GGCTCAGACCTTCAACGGATGTTGAAGAGAAGTCTCAATTCAGCCTAGTGTATCTTGGCATAGCCCCACCCTAGTTAGTAGGAGACGGCTCTTCAACATACGGTGAAGGTCTGAGGTTATGAGGCAAACGCCCTCCTTCAATTGTTGATATCAACACCGGCCGGAGTACCAAAAACTGTAACTTCCTTTGGTGGAGCTGATGCTTAGTAACAACCAGTGGGTCACGGGCCGCTTTTCGGCTTCTCTCGGAAGTACTCCTTAAGAGGTTTGAGGCATCAAATCCTCTTGCAACAGTACTAGTAGTAAAGAAGCCGGGCGTAAGAAGCGTAAAAAGACAAACTCAACCTACCATACGAGTGCCCACAATGGTGTAAATAATAATGGGAAATGCTCACCGGAAGAACCACTAGCTATGGAGATTAACTATGTAACCCACCCGTTTAGTTCGGTATTCCAGGGAATAATGTACTACTACTATGGAGTAGCTGGCGGTGGATAATCGTTTAAGTAGTAGTGGAAACTTGTTCCTTTGCAACCTCGGAAATACCTACGATGGACCTTGTTGCATTTGAGTGCCACCTTGAAATGCCATCTAATCTAAACTTTTTCAATCTCACCAAAAACGTCATTTTTTTAAGAATCATGTATCAAAGCTTTCAGTGTCAGCCTGATTGATTTGCACACCCATTATTGACTTGCAAAAATAAATCACTGCACCACATGTTTAAGTGGTTAACCCAGACTCATCTGAGTAAGTTACAGTAATGGATTAGTTTGCCATTGCCTAAAGCTGAATTTCCAAATCGCTTGATCCGGTCATCAATGCAACCTCCTTGATATATTCCTAGCCGATTCACATTTGCACTTTTTACAAGTGTTCAGCTGGTCCGAAAATTACCCGGCACAAAAGAGAGACGAGCCCCAAGGAGCCGTACATGCACGAGCAAGCAGGAATGGATCTCTTCTAACTATTTATAGTGGCTCATGTGCTCTAGGCCCCTCGGTGTTCCTTTATAACATATACGCACCCCCTAAAAAGCGATCATTTTCAAAAATTTTATAAATTTTTTACAAGGTTTTATCAATTATAAAAATGGCTTCTATTAATGATATTACTATGTCGTCGCCTTGCCCTGGAATCTTGCACAGTTATGTAAGTCGTCAATTGGTCTGTGATTGCTACGGGACTGCTAATTGGAACTAATACTATGTAACAGTCAGGACAACTTTCTGCATTTGAATACGGCAGTGGAAATGAAATTCCTAAACCCCACTCCCTGCTCTTTGTTGGTGGTCTCTATGATGGGCTCGGCACCGTTCCATATGTCAGCACCATAGCAAACGCCCTTAAGTCAACTAAATGGTCCGTCTTTTTCCTCCTCCTGTCATCTTCTTACAATGGCTGGGGCATGAGCAGCTTGGACCAGGACGTGAAAGAAATCGGGCAGTGTGTGAACTATGTACGACGGTATAAAGACAGACAGTGCAAAAACATGCCCGGGCTCGTTGTTTTGATGGGACATTCAACCGGAAGTCAGGATGTCCTGCACTATTTATATTCCCTAGATTCAACAGGGGAGTCGAAGCGACCAAACGTCGATGGAGCAATTCTTCAAGCTCCTGTCTCCGATAGAGAACACTTTTTACAACTCCTGAAAGATGGTGACACGACGTCAATGCCGATTTTTAATGAATTGGTTAATCTAGCAAAGAAAAATGTTGCTTCTGGTAGCAATAATACCATTCTACCGCTAGATTCTACTATTAAAGTGGGAATATCTATCCCTATATCTAGCTATCGATTCTTGAGTCTTTTTAGCCCAGACAGTCCCGACTCTCCCCAAGATGACGACCTCTTTAGCTCTGATTTAACCGATGAGCGATTAAACAAAACTTTTGGAATGATTAGACATCGGGATCTACTCAAAGGATCACTGATGGTGTTGTTCAGTGGAGCAGATGAATTCGTTCCCGACTCGGTCGACAAGGGCACGTTACTCGCAAGATGGGAGAATGCCACAAAACAAGGCGATGTATCTCGAGATATATGGAGCTCAATCAGTGGTATTATCCCTGGGGCTCTTCATTCGCCGCCCGACGGAGATGATAACTGTCCGCAAAGAGATCTTGTCTCAAGGGTTGAGACATACTTGAACAGTATTGAGAAGCCTTGATCGATAGCTGTTACTTTCACCATTGAAGTTTATTAAACACGAATATTTCTGAGAATTTACAGAGTAATTTGTAAATAATTACATCTTCATTAGTGTCTAACCATCAGAAACCATCGTTAAGATGTAGGCATGTAATATCTACTAAGAAAACATGAAACCCTTGTATTGTACATTTCCATTTCCCTAAACCAATTGCACCAGTTCGCCATACAGAAATGCAAAGAAGAAAGGGTATTCGGTTTCGTTCGACACGTAAGCCATCAGACCCGGAGCCAGAGTGTGAACACACCCTTCAGGTATTCCACGATTTCTTCGCCACCAAGCTTGCTCTCTCCGTAAAGGCGGTCGACAAAGGTAATAGGGCACTCCTCAACTTTGTAACCCATTGCTTTGGCGCGGACCATCATTTCCATCTGGAATGTGTACCCCTTGCTCTCAGTGATTTTGATGACTCTTTCTAGTACAGGTTTTTTATAGAGTCGGAAACTGCCGGTGAGATCGCTAACTCCTGGCATCAACATGACATCCGCGATCAAATTTGCCCCGCGCGATGTCAGCTTGCGAAACAGATCCCACCCAAAAACACCACCACATAGGTTGCCTCGATTCGCATATCTCGTTCCGGTGACAATGTCACAGCTAGTCTCCTTTTGGATTTTAATCATTTCTGGGATGAATTTGGGATGGTGGCTAAAATCGGCGTCCATAATAATCACGAAGTTTCCAGTGACAAACTGCAAGCCGTGAACGTACGCAGTTCCAAGACCGAGCTTTCCTTCACGCGGCTTTAGGACAATATGGTCTTCTCCCCACAATTCCTGTAGCTGCTTGGCTACTTCTTGAGTACCATCGGGGGATGCGTCGTCCACAATGATTACCTCCCAATCGAGCTCACTAGCAAGAAATGCAACGCGTTAGATTACTGAAATAGAAATTCAATTGAACTGGTTAAATAAATATTTGCTTACTTCTCGCGACACGTCTTTTCAATCAACCAGCAAATGATTGGCAAGTTCTTGCGTTCGTTGTATGTGGGCAGGATAATCGAGTACTTGTCTGCGGGTGCCATGGTAGCCGACCTGAGTTGACGTGTGTCTGGGATTTCGAGAACCGAGTTTTGGGGGAGAGCTTCAAGCGAGGGCCGGTAGCGAGGGCCACGATTGGGCATGCGGAACTGCCTATTGTCCACGTCAACCGAAGCACCAAACGCGAAGCAGCTCAAGAGAGAGACAGATCGGCCTCTCGAGTTGATGCTCAGGAGAGTTGTTTGTCTTAGTCAGAAGCCGCTAACTAGAGGGCTGGTGGTCCGTGCACTCACCGCCTGGCAGTATCGCGTGCTGGTGCTGCTGCATAGTATCTTGGGTAAGGAAATGGAACAGCCATGCTGCTTGCTGTGACTGTTAGGGGCAAATGAGTGTGGTTTCATGACTGAAGGATGCGTGATCGATTGTGTGAAGGTGCAAGTTAGAAGGCGCCTTAGGCACAGGCACAATACCTACACGCACAATCGCCATGGAGACTACGTCCTCCAAGCATCGGCGCAATGCATCCCTAAGATGTCCGTTTCCAAGCCATGTGTGATACTATTCACCAAGCTGGGCCTCTGTATAGCTAACTATTCTCTAGCTACACGACCCCGAAGCAGTACGAAAGGTCCTCTCGATATGCCAAATGAGTATGTGATTCTTTCTTTGTAAACAACTTATCTAACAGCCTGGTAGTATGGATTCTGAAGCCCCGACCCGTACCTCACAAGATCAAACACCTACTGCTGCAGGCCAGCCGACTTCTTCTGCCAGGAGTTCAGTGCTGTCGACGTTCTCGTTGCCAGTTCATAGGAACCTTTCCTTCTTGCTTCGTCCGGATATATATCATCCTCTAGTACAGTTGGATATACCGCCCGCGCTTCGTTCAGATTTCCCCAAACTACCTGAAAGTCCTTCTTTGCAACCACTCTTGCTGACGCTGGATGAATTACTAAATGGCGGGCACTTTCTTCTGGCTGCGCACATATCAGCACTAATATTGACATCGTCTGCTGTGTCTCCAAATGATCACGTAAACATATTCTCCCTTTTTTATACTCGTCTTGCATGTCTGGAACTCTCCGGAAAGACGTTGCTTGCAGCCCAGGAAGTAAAGGCAATGGAAGATCTAAGTTCTGCCTTCTACTATGTCGACGGTGATACCGAGAATCGCTCTCACCACTTGGTGCCGTGGCCTCTCCGTGTACTGGCCGTAAGATTACAGAGTATCGGATTTGGTGATGCAAGGAGAGGGATCACTGGCCTTTACGAGCTTGGGCTAGAAGCTAGGGGACAAATTTCGCGCCCGGAAATTGGGCATGAAGAAAAGGAGATGTGGCGGAGCCGGTTAAGCGACTTAGGAATTCGAGTTGTCAACGCCCTCATAGAGATGGGCGATTTGGACGCGGCACGACGGTCACTAAATAATATGCAAGCATCACAGAATAATGGCACAGGGATAGCGAGGATGGCGTTGCTATACCTAAGGATCGGAGATCTAGATGCAGCAAAGATTCTATTGGAAGCCTCGCCAAGGGTAGCTGGTGGCATATTGTACCCTCTACTGAGTATGGCTGAAGGCCGGTTTACCGATGCTGTCACTGAATGGAGAGATCTCTATAACGGCCCTGGTGGGAAGGATAATGAGGTTTTGCTAATGCAAAATCTAGCGGTTTGCCTGCTCTATGTAGGAAAGCTAAGTGAGGTAATGCAGCTAAGCTTTATTTCTCAAATACTCCTACTAATCAGTATCTGGGTATAGTCCCGGGAAATTCTTGAGACCCTCGTTGAAAGAAGTAATTCCTTCCAGAGTCTCACGCTTAACCTAGCGACCATTTATGAGCTCTGCCTAGAGAACCCTCACCACCTTAAAGTCAACTTAACTCAAAGGGTTGCGGACCAAGAGCCATCGAGACTTATCAGTAGGGAGCGGCCAAGTTCAACATTTAAGATAACAAACTGAAATTGGTTGTATGCCTGTTCATGTGCATCTCTGCAAAGAGACAAAATCCGAAGCTCACTTCATGCTGCAATTTGGTCTGCCTAGCTAGTTGGCACTTTCCGGGCCCTTATAACCACTTTATTGCCCTCTCTTTTCCATCCGAGGTTATGTTTCTCAGCAAGCTTTTCCCACGTGCAGCCATCCCTTTGGCCAGTGCAAGACTCAATCAGATACGCCAGGTCTACTGTCAAGTACGATTTTCCAATCGCTTTGAGTGCACGACGCTGCATGCTATCCGCCGCCCAGTCCATTAAGGTTCTAACGTACCCGTCGCCATGCTCTCTGGTTTTCCAGAATTGAACCCAATTATCATGTATTAGAGCGGAAATAACACGGTCGACTACCTCATGCTGGTAATCGATTGTTTCTCCTGCCCTTCGACGTAGTTGGAGGGCAGCAGCAATATCACCCTGGCGACAAGCGTAGTCAAGAATGAGGTAAGTGATGAATTCATGGAGTGCCGATGTCTCTAGGGGGTGTTCTTTTGTATGGAGGTGCCTTAGCAACCTTTCCAGTGGGGGGTAATATGAAGGCGGATGGCCAGCAAGAAGAGCCGTCCGGATACAGAAGATATGGACGTCCTGGGAAAAGTCCAGGGGCGTTTTTGAGGTTGTGGCGAGCATGGCTTCTCTCAACTTTCGGAGGGAAACGAGGATAATTGAAAGTTCCTGGGGAGCATTTGCAGCATGCGTTCTTTTTGTATCCGTTTTCCGAGCCATATTCACGGGTGGATTCTTAGTTGCATCGCCTGATGGATTTCTGGGTAGAGAGGCAAATGCAGCATCGAGATCACCAGAGTTATCCTTGCAGAACTGCGCATAGCGGTCCATGATGCAGCGGTAGTACGACTCCTGGGCATGGATATCAAGAAGCCTACAGTAGACTTGCCGTCAGCAGGCATTCTTCCCATAAGTTAGCTTTTCCCAGCATACGTGATGTCGCCTTTCGACACGAAGCCAGCCCGTTCCAGGGGATCTACGGGCCGCTCGAAGCGCTTCTGACGGCCCCATCCTGAGCTCGTCCGGCCATGCGCAGGTCGGTGGGCCATTTTCGCTGCGCCTGCTGGCAGCCATCCGTCCGTCAGTCCTGCATCGCCAGAGTAGAAGATGGAGAAGAGACAACCTCCTGCCTGTTGAGCACGTACCTCTTGTTTGCAGTGTTTGTAGCTTCAACACAGCTCACACCACCTCTGTCACCTCACACACACACACACACACACAACACTCTCTCTCTCTCTCCACCTGCGATCCTACAGCTGAGTGCACCTCTGGATGTGATCCCTGCCGCAGTTGAAATGGCGGTTGTCCAGCGGCGCCGTGTGAGCTTCCACGCTGAGGTGGATGCCACTGATGGCACGCTCCGCGCAACCAAGGCTGTGAAGACCACGGTGCGCACGATCACCTGGGATGACCTGCCACACTGGCTACGCGACAACCCGCATATCCACTCCGGCTACAGGCCTGCCTCTGCGTCCTTTGTGGCCAGCTTCAAGTCACTTACCTATGTTCATAACGAGACCGTCAATATATACTCCCACCTCCTCCCTTCCCTACTATCCCTACCCGTCTTTTTCACCATCTACACCGCCGTCTCCTCGCGCTACGAATCCGCCTCTTATGCCGATATCGCAGTCTTCAGCTGCTTCTTCGCCGGTGCTGCCTTTTGTCTGGGCATGAGCGCGATCTATCATACCATCTCGAACCACTCGCCGTTCGTCGCCTACATCGGCAATGCCTGCGATTACGTCGGGATCGTAGGCCTGATCGTCGGTAGTTTTGTTCCCAGTATATACTATGGCTTCTACTGTTGGCCGCGTCTGCAAATTCTCTACTGGTCGATGATCAGTTTGTTAGGCGTTGGCTGCGCCGCGGTTGCGGCGATTCCGCGGTTTCGATCCCCCAGCTGGCGGCCATTCCGCGCGGCTATGTTTGTCTCGATGGGGTTGTCGGCAGTTTTCCCCGTTATACACAGCATTGTGATCTTTGGATTGTCGGAGGTGCGCAGGCAGGGTCTGTCATGGCTGCTGCTACAAGGGTCCTTGTATATTCTTGGCGCGGTGATATATGCAGCGCGTGTCCCGGAGAGGCTGCGGCCGGGAAAATTCGATATCGTGGGGCATTCGCATCAGATCTTCCATGTACTGGTGGTGATGGCCGCATGCGCGCATTTCAGGGGATTACTCCATGGATTTGATTATCGGCATAGTGGACTCGCACCAGCGTGTGTGTAATGGTAGATATGGCGTTGCAAGGCACCATTAGAACGGCATAATACTAGTATCATTAACAGCGACTTCAGCTGTACATCCTCTCCTCTCTTCTTCTATAGCTTTTCGGCCTCGAAACTTGGCGCCAAACCTCGGGCTTCCGGGCCCAACGGTGTCGTGTCATTGGGCGCCCGCCCGGCAATTCTGGGCCTCGGCATCAGGCTTGCCGGGGTGAAACGCCGTGGAGCTTCACCGCATCGACAGAAGCATGATATCGTGCGATAGAAATATTGAACAGCACCGCACTGAGCTTTTCTATATTTTGTTTTCAGCGTCATAGAGCATTCTTCTGTCTTCCTCTGCAGTTCTTGTATATTCAAGGTACCTATTCCCTGCACTTTAAGAGCACAGAAATCCCGAAACAAACGCGATGGCACCTCAAGATCGCCTGGCCCAAGTGTCGTCGCACCTCAATTATCCTCAGGGCATGCTACATGGCCAAGTAGCAATCATCACTGGTGCTGGTCAAGGAATCGGCGCAGAAGCTGCCCATCTCTTTGCAAACGAGGGCGCTAAAGTAGTTGTTGCAGACCTTGATGCACGTACGTATCGTGTTCCTCCCATCAAGCAGACAGGAGATATGAAATGCCTGACTCTTTTGGGGAATATAGAGAAATGTGAAGCAGTCGCAAAGGCTATCAACGATGCGAGCGCTAGGCGAGCCATCGCTGTTGCGGGAGATGTTACCGATTCAGAGTATTTGAAGAGACTCGTACAGAAGGCCGCTGAGTTTGGGAACGGGAAGATACACATTATTGTCAACAACGCAGGATATACATGGGACGGCGTCATTCACAAGGTCCGGGTTGCCCCTCTTTACTCTGGAGGTTTACCAGTTGCATTCAAGTAAGAGGCACAAAGCTGATACCATCGACAGCTGTCTGATACCCAATGGGAGAAAATGCTTGCTGTCCATGCCACGGCTCCCTTCAAGCTCGTTCAACTCGCAGCTCCATTCTTCCGTGTTAAAGATGGAGAGCCCAGAGTGATTGTCAACATAAGCAGCACTAGTGGCATACATGGAAATGCGTAAGCTGCCGCTAAAGCCCCTAGACTACCAGGCTAATCTGCCTTCCAGAGGACAAGCCAACTATGCCCTCGCCAAAGCCGGCGTGGTCGGACTCACCAAGACCATCGCAAAAGAATGGGGCCCGCAGTTCGGCGTGCGCGCTAACACTATTGCTTTTGGCTTCGTTCTCACCCGTCTGACCCAGGCAAAGGAAGCCGGTGCTTTCATTACCACGCCAGAAGGGCACAAAGTTGCCCTTGGTATTCCCACAAAACAACTTTCCACCAAGAAAGGCGACGAACAAGACCAATACGCCGATATTCCCCTCCGACGGGCAGCTAGTCCAGCAGAAGCCGCAAGATCGATTCTGGGGGTTGTGAGCCCGCTGTTCAGCTATGTTAATGGTCAGACTATCATGGTTACAGGTGGACGCAATATGTAAACTGGATTTCGTGATTGCGCTGTTAATGAGTCAACGTGTGCCTGAGTCTTCTTTTCCAAGACGATCCTGGTTTGTATAAAGATACTCCGTAGAAGAACCAGTATTCGAACTGAGTATGCCGATCAAAGCACTTGTTAAGCCCGCCGTTTTGAAGTCAAATATTCGATATCTTATGCCCAATTCAGGCAAAGTGTCCCTTGAATATTTCTGACTCTTTCTTCAGCGAAGTGCCACGGATCACCACAAAGAGTTCGCCAATATCACACAGTAGATCATCGATTCTCCATCACATGCGTAGGGAAAAACTTTGTCAGTTTGAGATAGCATGCTACAGCGGCTCTTTTACTTGATCGGGATGGGTGGTAACACAATGATATGACGTTATCTCGGGTTGGGGGCCATTTTGAAGGCTGAAAAAGGAGTATGTAACGGAGCACAGGGCTGCATCTAGATTAAGTGTGAGGGTATTTATGCAAATTCAACCCCGAGAGTATGTGCACATAGTTTATGCATCATGCGGGCGAGACCCTCGTTTCAGGCCGAGGTTGAGAGTATGAGAAATCAAAGCAACACCAAACGTCTTGTTACGATCCCACGGCATATGCATGTCCGTACGGAGTACACACTTCGAAATACGGAGCTGCCCATACCAGTTGGGGGTGTCAAACCTTGATGTCAAACTATGCGCTTTCCGCATAGTGGTCAAAATACCAACTCTAGACGCTATACCTATAGCATGATGCCTTTTCTATACAAATTTACTGTCGATCAAGATACATTCGCACAGGAACTCTGACGTTCACATTTAAGAGGAGTAACATCCGTGAGTACGACCGTATCTGTCTGGATCATAATATAAGGAATAATACACGTCGCAACACCTGTCAAAGGCGGTAGATGGGCTCGTGCATCTCTTAAAACGGGACGAGGTAGATATACAAGGCAGGATGTATGTACTACATATAGTATGTACATACATACAGGTAGACAAAGGCATTTCCCTCCATTCCCAGGACAAAGGAAAGATGGTTACACTGCGCTTTGGCTCGAAAAGTCGAAAATTTTGCCTAGGAGCAAGGCAAGGAGAAGAAAATGGGAACCATTTCTGGGATACAATCACCACAAAACCGGTGTCTGTCAGTTTCGTGCGATCGGCAACGGTTCAACTTGCACAGATCACTTCGTCAAAGTCCAGTGTTACCCAGGCGAGGCCTTGTGAACCTGGCAAAAATTCCATAAATGGAAAACTATAGCCAGAGGAAATGGCGACATAGCTGTAGTGCAACAGACAGATCCATATTCCCTTTTGCCACAGCTGATGACTGTTTGACTGATGTGCATACTTGTCAATGGCAGGCAGTGCAGGGAGGCAGGAGGCAATGGCAAAGCACCTGGTTTGTACACTGTGCTCAGCCCAGGATGACGTCTTTTGGCTCACATTTAAGCCAGCCATTATATGGAGCATGAATGTATGTAGGTACATACATTATCTTGCTCTTTATTTTGTCCTTTGGCTTCTGTGTACAGCGGCAGCGTAGCTGACGCGGCCGCTTTGAGAAACATAGGACATACCATATGTTGAACAGCCTTGATGTTCCCCAAAAAATAGACAACTTGTTGTGGGATGAAACTGTCTGCTTCCATCAGCTATCAGACGCTGCATCAGTCGACTAGTCTCTGATGTAGCTAGTCGGCGGCGAGACAAGAGATTAAAAGTCAGACGGTTCATTTATGACCACGGGCTCCAGTTTCCAAGGTTCGTTTGCTTTTGTTCCCCGGTAGTACTTCTGTCTTTGGGCAAAATTTAGTGTACAATATAGTGTATATTAGTTCTGTCAACTGCAGATTCCATGAAAAAATAGCCAGATAAATAGTGCTGTTCTATCCAGTCCTTGTTAATTGTTTTGTAATTGTTGGTCTCCTACCTGGCAGTGAATCGACATACCGGCTCGCCCGTTTGCAGAGTGAGAAAGGTGTTTGAGCTAGCAGATACATTATTTGTTAGCTCTTAATGCGAAATCATATTGCACAGAACAAGACGAGCTGTAATAATCTTATAAGACGCGTGAACAGGCTTGGAGGAAGAGCACCCTCGGACTGGAATAATAGTAACGGTTCAACATGAAAAGAAATTAAGACGAAGAACCCCCTTAGAGTGTTCTGGGGGCTCTCAAAATCAACAAAGGCCCGAAATAGAAATCAAGCGTACCGAAAAATACTATGCAGGTATATTAAAAATGCCAAGTATCTATAGAATGAAGAAAACGTCAAGGAAGTATACCCATCATAACATCAACAGCCTAGAAAAAAAATGAGGGTTAGCAAGGATTTCATAATTGTCTTGAGTAGATTTTCATTAACTCGTAATTTCATACCCGGTGGACAGGGGTTGGGATATCATATGAGCACGATTGAGGTGTTCTTGGTTGGAGCTCAGAGAGCACGGCTGCTGCTCCTGCTTAGCAGGCGGGTGACTATGTCGTGTAGCAACTCTCCATGCTTCCAGACTCGATCAAGGATTGTCGGTCAATTGATACCATCACTTGACCAGCCGCATGAGTCCACTGAGAATGAGAAAGCTGCATGGCCACGATCCCGCCAGCCGGACGCAAGCGGAATTTAAGGCAAGGATTCATTCACATCGTGCCTCGCTCCCGAACAGGGAGCCGGGTGATGTGTCAAGCGGGGAGTCATCCATCGAGCCTGGGTGTCTGCGTTCCCATGCGCTTGGGAAGAATCTCCCGTATCGCGTCCCGTCGTTCTTGGTCCGCCATGGAGGGCCGGGAATACGATCTCAAATGAACTTCTGGCCGGAGCCACGCCAGTTAACCCATGCAGACGAGAAAGCACCAATGTTGACGGGGCAAACTCTCACGTTCACCGCTAAGAACACTCGGCTGCGCCAGCTCTAGATCCCAGCAGAGAGGAGCAGGCGGCTCGAGCCTCCCCCGACAGCGGACAAAGATGCAGAAAGGCTGGCAAGGGGGAAGGAAATGGGGGACATTTCTCTCACGTCCCATCCACATCGCCAGAAACGACGATGCATGCTCGCATCCGCAACAGGAACCAAGTTGGGCGTTTCAAGGAGGTGCAGATCGCCAAATCTTGCCTGGTTTATTCCGTCTTTGCTAGCCAAGGCGCGAGCTTTCGACGCCCTTGGGATCTGGACACCGGGGAGGGCCCGCATGGGAGGACGCACGTATGCGGTGGTGGCAGGGTGGACGTCGAGGCGGGACGGATGGGCAGCAGGACATGTCAATCTTCGGAGACGTGCATTAGCAGCACGGAAACGAGGCGAGCTCACAGGCCAGCACTCTGGTTTGGCGTTTTCCGGTGTGGATTTCTTGTTTGCCCGGCCGATGAAACTGCCGTTGATGGAGAGGTGTGCGGGACGGGAGATAAGAGAGACAGAGAAAGGCGGCCGTGCTGCGCCAAATCCACCGTTCGTTCCTCCACCAGCGCGTGTACACATAGTTACATCGAAAGCTAAAGCCAATATCCGACCGGAGTTGCGCTCGTAGTCTCGGACTTCCAGCCAAACAGGCCAGGCTTGTTTCAAGTAGCTCGAAGACCACGTCGTTCCAGGATAGTCGTCGTTTTCTCCGCCTGCGCCGAGTGAGGGGAGACTTCTAGCGGTACTCCCGGCGCGCAGCATCACAACTCCTTGCGGAAGGTCGCAGGTTCGATCGCCGGGTCACGGTTCGCACGTAACTCACACCCCAGGTAACAACGTGTTACTTGCTGGGTGGCTGACGCGGAGGAGACCGCCCGAAGGTTAGCTGTCGGAGGATCGGCGATGGCGAATTTGTCGTGACGAACTAACTACTAAGTTTGGGTGGAATCTACTTGACTCAGGCTTATGAGATCACTTCGGCGGACACAGGATCAGCTAGATGGAGGAAACGAGGCAAAAGAAGGGGAGAGACAGAATGGGTGGCTTCAGTGTTGGCGAAGTGGCTAATCTTTTGGGTATCAAAGTAGTAATAACAGATATAGAACTCGAACAGCTTAAGGCAAAACACGCCGAATCCGTCTAGCAGGAAAACCCAGAACATGTAGGCAAAACTCCAGTATGCATCCGAACTTCATTAATCAGTCAATCCATCCACCCGGCCCAATGCAAGACGTCAACCGAAAATCAACTCCCAAGCACGCAGATCAGAATAACAAAGGGGAAACTGACCACCCCAAAGGTAATAAACGACATAGACGAAAGATATTACAAATAATAGACGCAAGCAACAGAAAATATGTTCAGTGAGGGTGGCATGCTGTTACCGTGATAATCGAGCATAGGTGTCCTCCAAGGGTATACAAACGAAAAAAAAAACAATCAAAATCAAATCTTTTCGCTAGTTTTCAAATAAGAAAATCCAAGGCTATTCCAACTCCGTTCCATGGCTGAGCAAGAAAAGAAATTCGTTCATTGAGATAAAGAGGGGGCTTAGCACACAGCCACCTCGGGAGGGCACTGGCGAACCGCAGGCTTATCAACCAAAGGAAACAAAGAATACCAGTAGTTGGGCATAATGATTGGCGCAGCGAACTTGAATTGCGCCAGCTGACCAGGAGGGGCGTATTCCGAAGACGAGGACGAGGACACGGATGAGTCGTCATCCGTCAACGAGCTGTCGGACACTGCAGAGCTGGAGTACTGTACTTCGATTGGCTGTGCGGCTGCCGGAGAATAAGTGTCGAAATGCATGTAACCGAAAGGGGCCTTGGCATATCCATAGCTGACACACGGGGATGGTGGCAGATGAGAGACTCCTGAGATAGGGCGAACAGTGAGTCGCTGGCATTCGACGACCAACTCGCGGAGCTCTGGCAGAGTAATCCGTTTTTGAGGGTCGCATTCAAACGTGCGTTGCGCGATCGCATTGAGCTCAGGAGACAGAGGCAGAATGGTCCGAAGGAAATCCCGATTTTTGAGGAAAGCATGGAACGTTGAATCTTCAGGAGATGCCTTCTTCCACGGATTTCGACCACAGCTGAGGTTAATAAGAATGACACCGAGGCTCCATACATCATTTGGAGCAGAAGCATATGGAAGAAAGTTTGATTGTTGGCATTCTGTAGTTCTTATCAGCGAGTTCCTTTTTCCATACAGCAGCAAACAACATACCTGGCGACATGTAAAATGTAGATCCACAGCCAAAATCAGAAGTATAGGATTCAGTTGTGGCTAGTCCAAAGTCGGCAAGCTTCACGGTCATCCCATTGTCAGTCACTAGAATATTTTCAGGCTTCAGGTCCCGATGGTAGATCCCAATAGAGTGGCAGAATTCCACGGCATCCAGTATCTGCAGGAAAGCCCGTTTGGCAAGGTAATCATTGCCCACAAACTGGCCTCGCTCCGTGATATTGGAAAACAGGTCGCCTTCGGGGCAAAATTCAAGAACAACAAAGGTGCAATCAGATGAATCGAGGATTCGTACTAGAGAAACCACGTTGGGATGGTGGCTGGCAAGGTGGTGCAGCTTGATCTCCCTTTGCTGAAACTTTCGCTGTCGTGGGTCCAGGTTGGATTTATCCAATGCTTTGACAGCGTAGGGTACTTGCGTTTGGATGTCGATGGCGGAGTATACCACTCCATATGCACCGACACCAAGTACACCAGTGAGCTCCAGCCGATTCGCAAGTAGTAGGCCCACTCTATCCTCTGGTGTTTCACAAAAGGAGACTGGAGGTGGTGATTGTGGTGGTGTTGGGAGCATGGTAAAGTGGCCAGAAAGGGAATGGAAGCAGGATCAGATGTTGATGGGACGTGGTAAAATGCCGAAAACAAAAAAGGTCCAAGGAACGCCTCCAGTAGATTGTGAGTGCAAGTTGTTGAAGAGGTCCAGACAGAAGAAATAAAATAAGGATCCTGATCCTCGAAAGAAGGGTATGGAAAAAGTATTGCAGGAATTCTGCCGTCGAGAATGTTCTATGAATGAATGGAAACCGGGAAGTTGCCCAAGAGAGAAAGTCCAGCTGCTAGGGTTGTTGGGATTGAAAATGTTCTTTTAATGCTCCACTGGTAATAAAGGAAGAATGTATTAATAGGGAGAGAGGAGTAGAATAATAATGAGAGGCCGGCGCGTAATATTGGGAGGTGGTGTCTAATGTTGAAGAATGGCCCGGTGATAGATCGGACGAGCAGGGCAAGGGAGAATAGGTAGAATATAAAACGGCGTGACTTGCATGCTACCACGCAACAGCTGGAATGGTGGTGACGAAAAGTATTGGACGCTAAGGTATGTCGTTGAGGAGGTGGAGGCGAGTTTTAGGGGTGAACAGGTTCGCTTGAACTTTGTTTGCCTTACTCGTCGTTCCTCCGTTGGTCCTTCGTGGTCCTTAGGTGGCCCGGAGAACGGCGAGGCGATATGGAGAAAAGATGCCGTCAAGAGCCGCAAGCGGTATAGCCCGAAGGTCTCAGGATAAAGTCACGGAACATGGGAGGAGAATGGGGCAAGCCGAAGGTTGAACCAAATAAGGGCACAACTATAAGACGGAATTTGCCTGCCGAATCTAATTATGATCGCAGTTATTATTACTTATTCTTCTGCATTGCTGATAACAAGGCGGAACCAGGCAACTCAGAAAGGAATCAATAATAATCAAGGGCAGAGACCTTCCCCAGCAGTGGAACCCGTGAAACCCTGTTGTGTCTAAGCACTGGCTTACAGTCGAAAAAAAGTAATTTGTCGCGCCTTGCTACTGGTCTTTCCAGACGGCAAAGGTCTCCATCAAGAAACATTATTTTGCTATTCTTTTCGTTACATAACCGGATCCTCTGTTCTTGTTATGCAGGGTTTTTTTCGCTTAGAGCCAATCAGTTTGAGGCTTGTGGATGAACCTGGTCTGGACGGAAGAGAGCATAACTAGCGGCCCCTCCCCCCCTTCGAGACCCAACTGGGGCGTGGGTCAAACAGCCGGCGGAATGGCGCATTGAGAAGCCTTGCAGGCTGGTATGGAGCACAGCAGGAAGAGTTGACGTCGTAGCAGCAGCAGCAGCAGCGGTAGGACGGAGCAGAGGCGATGCGTGCGCACAGGAGTATTCACAGACCCGCCGGCATAGTTCGGGCGTACCACTGAGACTACTCCGTCCTCCCGTCGTTACTCCGTATTCGAAGATTGTCATCGACGTCTCCACCCAAATAAAAAAAGCCGGCGTAATATTGTTATTGTTGTGACGAAACACACAGGCCAACGTGTCCGTCTTTCGCCAGCGCTAAACCAAAGCCAAAATACGTACGAGACCCTGATGGCCAAGGGGCACAATTTTGATTACTCATGAATCAGGAAACCCATGATTTGCAAAGCGTCGCCATCCGATCTGCTTTGTAAGGCAGCCAAACCAAGCAGGTCGCTAACTAGCTTCAGTGGTTGGATGTGAGGGCTGAGCGCTGACCAAAACACTCAGAGTTTAGGAGGGCATCCAATCAGGCACCAGTTTTTTTCCTGTGAGTCCTCCTGAGAAGCCTGGGGCGAGGTGACATTGATTGGACAGGGAAGCCTGATAACAGCCAGCAACAAGGGTGGTTTGTGGAAATTTTCCCTCAACGATGGCGAAATCTGGCCTTGCACAGCTCCTGGCTAATCTTGTTGTTGGGTGTATGACAGGCCCAGAGGCGGGGGGTGGGAGGGCATGGGCAAGTGTGGACAGAGGTGTCAGAGCTAAAAAAAGAGTGGGCGATACCCTCGCGTCCCGGCCGCCTCTGGTGCTTGGGATTTTGGAGGCGAAGGACTAGCTAGCTAGTGGGTGGCAGCGCGTCGGTTGGCGCTGTGGCCAAAGCGTGCGTGTGCGGGAGAATAATCGTAATTACGCTGGAGGAGCTCCATCGCCCCCGGCCACCCACCAATGGCTGAGCGGACGCCAGTCGTGGCCGGGCGACGCATGACGCTAACATAAAAAAAAAAGAGAATTTGGTCGTGATTCACAGATCCATGTCGAAGGAGTCTTCCTGCTGGAACCCTCTTGCGACCGGGCGCGTTCGTGATCGTCCCTTCAACCCAACCGCCGTCCCCCGTCCTCCGGCTAACCATAGAAACTGCCGGAGAAGGGAACAAGTCGTGCTTCTGGTCAGCTCGGCCGGCACCGCACCGCTGTGTCAGGCGTAATTCTCAGCACACTGCCTCATTATGCACGTCATCCCTGTCCCCTGCTGCTGCGCTCGGGCTGAATCTTACTGGAGATTGGCGATCTTCACGCGCGGCCCTCTGCGTGGGCTCGTGCCACCCCCCAACTGCCCACTAGCTGGTTTCTGTATTTGCGCTGCCTGCTGGGGGTTTTCTCCGGGTGGTGGTGGGGCCAATAATTACGGCGCGTGTTCGGGTGCAAGCGCCTTTAGAAGATGAATAATAGTGGTATGGTGATGGTGAGCCTAGCAGGCGATGGCGCCAGAACAGTTTTGCGGTGCTGATGGTGGCGAGAGGTCATGCCGGCCGGGCGGCCATTTGGCCGACGGAGTACGGAGTACGTGGTCACTAGCAACAGTGGTGGTGAGCCATTGTCAGCCCACACAACATCATACTTCCTTCAACCTCCTCTGCGACTTCGTATTATACTGTGAATCAGAGCCTAGTTAGGGCTCTGCGGCTTGCCCAAGCCGGCAAGCTTTCGATGAGCGCCTGGCTTGTCCCTCACAACCGAGATCTCAACCGTGGACAACGCAGCTCCCGATTCACCGTACCCGCTGTGGAGCATGGAGACGATCCAGCCCGAGGCTGACTGCACGATTGGATGGTGTCGAAGGATGCTATCCCCAAAACATCCAAGCCACTCCTCTGCGCCATCGGGCCAGAGCCCTCCGTGACGTTGTCGGCCCCCAAGACCAGATGCCATTTCTGCGCAATCTGTTTCCGGTACTGAGTACAGAATATTCGGTCTATTAGCATTTGTTCTGCACTCTTCCGCCTGATGACGCGAAAGTCCCTTTGCTCCAGAAGATGCCGGACGAAGCTCGAGCCTAGTGCACAGACTGACCATTGCCATTTGGGCGGAGGCACTGTACCGCGTCGCAGCTGCCACTACTCCACACTACTACGCAATAATCAAATAACAATCAGCATCGTCTGAGCATGTCGTCCCTCGACGTCCCACGTCACTCACGGGGCAGAACTGGGGGAGGCCCATCCGGGCGCCAGGGCGGCATCAGAATGACTCCAAGACCAGAGAGAGGCTGGGAGCGTGGCTGGGCAAGCGTCCAATGGCCGGCGAGACCCGCAGCGGCGCGAAGCCGGCAGTGAGAGCGAGGTGCATCGCAGCGACCGGGCTGCGCAAAAAGGATAAAGCGCGTTGGCAGCCAGGATTGCCGTGGAGCGGCCCGTTCGTGTGTTTTCCAGAAGCCTTCGCGGGTCAGTTCGCTTCCGGCCAGAAACGGCGCCCGCACGTGACTCACTGCCAAGCCTGCGATCTCCGAGTCTCACCCACGACGCCCGCGGGCTGAACGCCCTGCCCTGCCGTGCCCGCCGTGACTCGCCTGGGCCCCGGTGCTGATTCGACCTGGCTGAGCCGTTGCGTGTGCGCGTGCCGGGCATTCCATGCAGCTCAGCGCCCCCTGTCACCCCCCCTCCTGGACAATCGTCCAGGCCTGCTGGCTCGGAGCCTTCTTCCCGAATCGTCGTCCCTGTGACGAGGGAAAAAAGCAAATTGTGGTGAGCAACCCAGCGTGTTTCTGGTCTTTTTAGCTACAAGCCACCAAGGAATAGCGCTGTGATACGGAGTACTCCGTACGCAGCTTCCAGCCAACTGCCCTTCGTGAGCGACATCAAACCTCGTCTTTTCCGCCGATGGCGCTTCGTGCGAGGCCGTCCTGCTAGGCGCCTTGTCTCGCTTGTTCTGCCGATTCATCTACGCATTCAGCGTCATCTGGCGCCCTTGGCCCCTTTTCCTTCTCACCGCTACCTGAGATTTTTCGCATTACTCCACAGACGGGCAACAATCAAACCTACATTACATGTATGTACGGGGCACATGGGGGCACTTATTGATGCTGGAAATGAAATATATTATACGGAGCACGAAGTATCGATGGTTGAAATGCAACTGTCTGAAAAGATATCTTTGGCCAAGCCTATGTTGGGATGATTCGGCGAACGAAGTGTGGTGTTATTGGTATGCCAATTTTGAGCTTTCTGGGGTTCATCCTCCACCCGCCAGGAATCCAGACGATATCAGAGCTCTTACCCCTGATGTGTGCATAGACCTATAGCGGGCGGGTTGCAGGATGCTGAGACCTTGTTCTTTCGCTCCTTGTGTCACAGCGATCGACTACGAAATGGAAAGCCACTTCGTTCCAATAGATGTAATATTTGGCTGACCCCCCAGGGGCCACAGAAACGAATCCACGTTTCTTGGGCGGTACTTATCACATGCAGTAGTAAATAGGGCCTGCAAGGCTTGAGAGTTTTTGATGTTGCTTGAGCCCATCCATTCACAATAATACTCGAGATCATCCTTCTTTTGGGATCCTTGATCGAATGACATGTATTTGTGTGTAGATCATGCTCCATGAAACGGAGATCTGCCATTCCGAGCAAGCCATCTTCGGAGAACGAGGTACCAGGATTAGGGAGCTTGGTTCTGGCGTTCCGTATCCTCCGTCAGTCTCCCGGGATTATGGAGTCCGCAGGTGTGTTTCAAGGCAAGAACGTCATAGCACGGAGGAATGTAGGCGAAACATCCGCACGAAAGGCATGGAGATCCCTGGAAATTTCATTAACGTTGAAACTTACTTGAGAACATCTGTTGATCATATTATATCCTTTCGCTTCCTGAAATCACCTCCATTATAGTGATTGAAGGTCGCTTCCACGATTCAACGGAGTACTGACGGGCAGATTTGCAAAAAGATCAGTAGCAGGCGACTGGGATACCACGGCGCCAATTTCGCGGAGCGGCGGACCCATTTACAGATCAACCTGAGTGAAATAATATGTATGGAACGGGGTGTATCCTGGCGCTGGTTTCTCGCTTCGACCTGAGGCGGCAATAATCGAGCAATATGTTTCTGTCGAGCGGTGAACTATTGTTCGAGCTCAGCCTGAGTCTTGCTTCTGACTGCTAGTGATTGGCTCCCAGCAGCAGCAAAAAGGAGCGGGAGGAAGCCCATCTAGTTGGTGCGGCGGCGCGCCATCCTACCGCAACTAGTTAAATATTTGAAGGCCGATTCCATAGCGGAGGAAGTTTATGGCAGCGCCAGACGCCGCTCACCGCCGAATGACCCAGCAAATTTTTGCACTTGTCTGAGGCACGAGAAATAAATCGAGCAATATAGCTCTGGGTCTGGAATCTAGCACCATCGGTTCCGCGTTTCCATCTCAAGCTAGCCTGAACAAGAATAAAGCTGGGGATGAATGAGTGGTCAACCAAAATTCTCTCAAGACCTTTTTTTTAGGGAATTTTTTTTTAGTCTTTTTTTATCCTCTGGACGGTAATATCAGACAAAGAAAGCAGCAAACCTTGAAGAGTCGCCTCTATCAGATGGTTACGAAAAAGGCTCGAACGGCTAGATTTCGACCACTGAGAGTCTGATGCCTCTTCTTGGAAAGCGTTGTTGCCTGCCGCACGCACGCACCCACACAGCTGCTATTTTGTCATTATGTGCATCATCATCATTATTATTATTCTTCCCTTGCTTTGTGGCGGGGGCGGGATCACCGACGCCAAAGCCCCCTCCAGACTCTGTGCAGTGGAGTCTAATGCGCGGTTTTGATACAGCCGTTCGGCTTGGACAAGATATGCCGTGTGTCATACTTTTCTTCTAAATATAGCCGTAGCTGCACAACTTCGACAGCGATCGCCCATAGCACACAGGAAGCGCCTCCAGTTCCGTCCGTTGCATAAGCATTATCAAGTTCCTACGGAATATCCGTCAGCTGTGCGCCCGCTACTGTCTCAGGAGATAGGGGGAGAGGGGGTTTTGCTCTTCTCTTATCATCATGCAATAATCAGCTGCAGGCTCCCCTAGAATCGGCCGCGCTGTCTTCTGTTTGATGCATTGCCCTTGCGTGTGCAACGTGCAACCTCTTGCGTAGTTCTATGTAGAGTACGGAGTAAGGATTACTCTCATGTACGGAGTATGTAATATGTACCCCTATGCAGATCGTCACAAATAAATCTGATTTCCTGTTGTCAATGTGGACGGCGCCTCACGAAATGGTGCAAAGGCCACCCGCAGTTCCCATCTTTGAGCCGCCGGTGCCGAGCGTCCTGCAACGGAGTTGAAACCAGCGGATAATCACTTCTCCCCTGATGTGCGATGTCGTGCCACCTCAAACTATTACCTGTCAGCGGTACGATAACCACCCTGGCCACCTATCGCTGGCCACAAGCTCCAAACCGGCCTGCAAGGCATACTCGATTGGCGTTGAGCTGGTCGTGGCTCAACCGCAGAATATTTCTCCGGATTGAAGTTGGTGTTTGTACTGATATTGCTCGGGGAACATAACGCGTATGGAGTACGGGAGTACTAACTACACTACATGAAAATATCGAGCTAAATGATATTCAATCCTTTTATTGATGCTGCGTTAACAAATGCAAAGTTCCCCCCCCAGAAAAAAAAAAAAGATTAGTCTCAAATCCCCAGCAATATTTTCCCCTCCGCAATGTATGTAAAATGCATACTCCGTACATAAACCATGAACTCTATAGCACTCCATATCATGACTTACTCCTAGCGATGAATGGGTGTCTGAGAGCTTCTGAAGGAGTGCATCTCTTTTCTGGATTTACGCTTAAACAGCGATCCAGCAGATCAATAAACATATTGATCTCCTTTATTTCTGTATCACTGAATCTTGCCCCTTTACCCATAAGCCGCGACTTCAAGTCTCGGGTTGGTTTCTTGAAATCTAATATTTTCGTAACCATGCGCCCCGTTATCTTGTCCTCTTCGACGCTGCGAAAGTTCAGCAATTCGTCAAAATGCAGTTGTGTAAGTGATCCGCGGCGCAGGAATTTGGGGGGGAATTTGCCCCGGCATTCCATCATGGAGCGTAGCATTTGATTGTTGCTGCGACCTGTAAAAAGGATCTTTCCCGAGTAAAGCTCAAAGAGGGTGCACCCAATAGACCAAACATCTATTGCATAGTCATACGGAATACCAAGGATGATCTCAGGGGCCCGATAAAAGCGACTGACAAGGTAGGGAGTGATCTCATTTTCGGTGATCGGTGATGCCGAGCCGAGATCACAGAGTTTGAGAAGATTCCTGTTCTCGTTTACAAGCAGGTTGTCTGGTTTCAGATCGGCGTGTAAGATGTTGCATTTGCGAAGGAGACTCAGTCCAAGAAACATCTGCTGAGCATACGCCCGAATAGCGCGAAGATTAATGCCAACATCTCGACCAAACTTCTTCAAAACCTCTCGGAGATTCATGCTGAGATTTTCAAATACCATGCATAGATGCCCCTTATGCTCAAACTGTCGGTCAAACCGGATAATGTGCTTCCTGTCCTCTTGATCCGCAGTTCGCAGAAGTTGTAGAATCTCAATTTCCTTGAACCCTGCTTTGCGCATAGTATCGTTGTTACGAATGATCTTAACAGCAACGAGTCTTCCAGTCTTGGAATCCGTAGCACGAACAACCGAAGAAAACATCCCCCTACCCAGGTTTTGCTGGACATGATACCGCCCATTAATCAACTCACCCAGCATGACGTTATAGTAACCTTCAGGGTCATCCCAGTTATCCATCATACTCATGTCGAGTTCTTGTGGTTGAGCGATGCTCGGTTTAATGTTGGTCACGGCATGATCACCCTGGTTCGTGGTTGCTGATGACTCTTCCGCAAACATGTCATCGTCATCATCCTCAGCAAACATATCAAACGGATCTTTGGCCCTCATTTGGTTGGGCTGGTCTATCGTTGGCTCTGGAATGAGAATTTCTTGTCTTGTTACCTTAGTTTCATCATAAGCGCTAGCAGACATATCCTCGCCAAAATGGCGTTTATCGTGCTTCATCTTTTCTTGTCTCATGTCTGCCGTTGGGTCGTAGTCAGCTGCAGAAGGCTCTTCCCTTTCCATTTCACTTCTATTTTGCAAATCAGTGTTGGCAAGATCTTCATCTTGAGAAACATGGAGATCTGTGGGAGAAAGGGCAGTAGAGGTATCATCCGGGGTTACGATAGGCGACTGTTGACGAACCGCTTAGCAAAATGTTAGCATTGACCTTCAAAAGAAATATGCAATAGACGTTATAATACCTGCAATCTCATCTGTAGAATTACTACCAGAGGCATTTGTCGCAGTAAATCCTGTCTCAGTTCCAATTTGAAGGGCTTGGACAAGGAGAGGCGTCGCTTGACCACGATACTTAGCTTTGATGGCTTCACGGCGCTTTCGCCGTTGTTCAATCAATGCGGTGTCATCAATGGGCTCGTGAGCAGCCTCATCTCGCGTAGTATTGTCTCCGCAAGCCTTAATGCTATATGATGGTTAGCAGCCTATTCGTGGAGGACACATGAGAAACGACTCACCCATTCGAGGCACTTGGCTGGGCCGCGGAAGTTTGCTGCATCTGGGTTCCTCGATGTTCAGTTTCTTGCCTGGATGTTTGAGCGCTAATAGAGGGTTTTCCTCGTTCGCTCACTGACTGTTCTGAAGATAACCGTCTCCCTTCACGGTTTAAACGACCCTCCGCTGGCCCAGAAGGGGGCCCTTGTCCCTCGATTCTTCGGTCGTGGTCGTCCGCGTATCGCTTTTGTTTCCTCGACTCATAGTATGGCGACCGACTCCGTGTTCTGGGACGTTTCTCAGAGCGCCTATCGTAATCATCATTGTAGGAGAGTCGATGCCTATCGTATGAATCGCTCCGGTCATGATCATAGTACGAACGACGATTTCGGCGTGAATCACTTTTACTGTGGTACTTATCATCGTATCTAGAAGCTAGGGTGGTCCGGCGGCTACCTCTGTCGTATTCATAATCATCCCGCCGTCGCTTTTCGCCTCTCGACGAGCGATACGGTGAGCGAGATCTCGATACCTCACGACGGCTGGACTTTCCCACGGAGCCAGAAGATTTCGGAGAATGCGCATCGTTTCTGGTGTTACGGTCAACGATTATGCCATTAAGAGAAGTCTGCGACGTAGTTGCCTTCGTATCTGAGCCCGACTCGATAATCTCACCCTCCGAAGGAGTCGACGAGGCCCTCGACAGTCTCGATGCCATAGATCTCCGTCGTAGTGTCGGCGAAGGGACACCGCCAAATGTATCGAGCGGAGCTGATTATGTGGGATGCGTTAATTAGCAAGGGCTCTCAGTCAAAGGCGATGATGGCTTGGGTGATGGTGAAATATCCAACCCGGCTAAAAATACCCCTCCCACGCGCTGATTCCAGAGACCACCATATAGGAAGTGGGAGTCGTGCCGATAAAAAAGGCGTGTCGATAGGGCGATGGCAGCTTTGAATTCTGCGGTGACAGCAATGTTGCGTGCCAAGTTGGGAGTTGATGCTTCGTTTTAGGAGTGAAGCCGCTAGCCTGGCTACCTAACCTGTTAGCTGAATACGGATAAGCGCCCGCCATCTCATCACAGGCGGAGAGGGGCAAACTTCACAGTGCAAAAGTCTGACCGCCTGTATCATCCACCGAATAGATACCTTTTCAATAGCGCTATCTACAGGCAAAGATGGGTGGTCAATCCCGAGAAGGTGGGATTTTTGAAAAAAACCCCTTTTTATTTGGGATGACAAGCTAACGGATCAAATACCTAAAGGCGGCAAAGTCAAACCCCTCAAGGCTCCCAAGAAGGAGAAGAAGGAAATGGATGACGACGAAATTGCCTTTAAAGAGAAACAGAAAGCAGGTATGGCCTGGTTCTACTTCATGTGTTATTTAGGCTTATTTAGCACCATTACTGTTGCTGTTTTGAACCTGACCGCCGTTCATCAGATGCGAAAGCCAGAAAGGACCTGGCCGACAAGGCGAAGGGCAAAGGCCCCATGAACACTGGCCAGCAGGGGATTAAGAAGTCAGGCAAGAAATAAAGTGACTATTGTTGACTTATCGAACTGTCGATATAACGTTATCATAAACTGTACCCGGCCTCGCTAAAGTCGCTAAGGCCGTTCCTTATTTTATGTCTTGAATACCCTAGTGCGGCGGACGGCGATCTACTCTATGAGCGTGAGCAGAGCGTTTAGTTATTTACTTAGAAATGGGCATTTCAGTGCACATTGTGTTTCTTTTTCTTGACATAAATAATAAATGGCCTATCTCGAAATGAAGAAAATATGTACAAGATTTCAGATACTTAAGAAACAGGTCAAAGAAGAATCTTCCAGCCGATTCGGAACGATATGTGAAAGAAAAGAAAAAACTGTAATTTACAGGAAAAAGAGTCTCAAGAATGGCCCAAAGTTGGTGTACAAGAAAGTGAATCATGATACATTTCATGACATAGCCGGGTAAACGACGCAAATTGGAGAGAACCACAGAAGGTACGAAGAGTCAGCACATCAGCCGGTGACCCTCCTGATCCACAGCCCAGAGGGTTCGCAGTAGTAATCACCCTCGTCCTTCTTCTTATATGCCCGATGAAGTTTCAATCCAACATCGTGCTCTTCTTTCTTGATATCATCAAGTTCGGCGTTTAGGCTCTTAACAGATCGTGTAACCTCAGCTCTAGTTGCCATATCGTACGTAATTGAACTTGGCTGTATAACTTGGTTCAATTCGCTAATAATTGTGTCAATATTCACCCGTCTTCGAGAGAGATCACGAAGCTTGGCCTCCATTAACTCAATACGGCTATTTGCCTCCATCTCAGGAGGGCTTCGTGGCAATGACTTTGAAGTAGATGCTGATTGTTGGGATGGTGTAGGTTTAAGAGCTGTCACTTTGGTCGACTTCGCGGTCATATAAGATGAAGGTTCTGGCTGTATAGTCTCATCACTGCGTCGTGGAATCCGTGGCGGACTGCCTGCTCCGGCAGTCATTGATCCCGGGAAACTGCGCTGGCTCCTCGTTTCCTCGTCAAAATGTAGGATTCTGGCATTGGAGTAGTCTGGTTCTTGCTGGACATCTTGAATACGAGCCTCACTACGCGAAGCGTAAGGCTGGCTCGGTAATTCCTTGTTTAACGGTGGCAAATCTTTTTGAGTATGTGTCTTGTTTGCCTTTTTTAACGTTTCAAAATCGAACGAGTCGATCTGAAAATGGGCATTTTCTGGCTTCGCAGACGGGGTTGTTGGGTGGGTCCTATTTGTGGCAGATGAAGTTTGCACGAAAGGGTTACGGCTATCCTTTCGCGGTGGTGGTATGAATGGTTTTTCGGCTGAAGGTTTTCTTGATGAGATTGGGTTCAGAATGGTGGACCTGCCACTTGCGCCTTTCCAAGGAACCCGCATGGGTAACGGTGAAGCTTCCACGTCTATTCTTGGCGTTTGTTTACGCCCTTCTTTTCCATCTTTACCTCGAGTAAAGAAGGCAAATGGATGCTTCTGCGCAGACTTGATATTCAGGAGGTCCCCGGGAGAAGCTTGGGCGAATTTTCCACGCTCACTATTAGTTGGTTCGCCAGAAAATTCGTCCCACCTTGTTTCCCGAATTGGGTCTGGTTTGTGAATAGCAGTCTTACTGCCAGTTGCTTCTACAAAAGCGGCTTGGGATTCGGGGTGGATGCCTTGGAATGAACTGGTATGCTTGTCGTCTTTTTTTGGCAGGGGGACAGCGGGCGAGAATGTCTCGTCAATAGGGGATATATCAGGGCTGTCGGCGCCTGCAGCAGAACGATATTGAACGGGTACAGGAGATATAGGCGGCGATGCATCCGTATACTGGCTATCGCGGTACTGCGAATAGGGACCAAGACGCACACTCGAATAAGTAAGGCGACTTTCCCGTGTATAGTCTTGAGTTGAATATATTGAGGAGGCAACGCGGTCTTCACGAATCGGAACTGGAGATCCAACACTTAAGAGAAAAAGTGAGCAAAATTCAGAGCGGAAACAGATGTGACTCACTTTTCATGAAATGGCGGCCTATACGAAGTGTGAGTATTGTTTGCTTCTAGCGATCGCGGGGCTATTCCTCGAGGTCCCGCCATGTGGCGCGCGTATTGCGGAGACCCGGAAGCAGCCATATTGGGAGGGTGGCTCGCCTTCCACATCTCGTACCCTCTAACACTCCTTGCTTAAGTCAGTGAGAATGCAGTGGGAAGCTTGTCATGAAGATGAAGTCACATACATATTGATGGAATGAGTTCAAGAGTTTAGGTAAAGTTCCTAGACCAAGGTCCAACAAAGACAGGATAAGCGTGAGCTCAAAAGATTAGAATCAAAAAACAAAGAAATGAAAAGAATGTAAGTGCTCTGGAGAGGCCGTGCGTGAAATAGCCCCTGTTAAGTTGTCACGAGAGAAGCACAGAAGAGAACCGACGCAGTCATGATCTTCCTAATTCCACAAGCATATGTACACTGAAGTAAAGGAGTGACAATAAAATAAAAGAGTGACATCAGCGTGGTCGCGACCAATGATAAAAGAATGACAAGCCCGCAGCGATCTTCGTAGACTCGCAGGTTGGATGGTCTGGCGGCCACTCCTTGGTACAACGCCCACGCCATTCCAAACACCGCGCCGGGCCCCTGTCGGCTCACCTGACAGGGCGTTGGCGCCATCAGGTGACCCTACCAAAATCCTGGTGACTCAACGGTTGGTGGCATCTTTTCCAGGCTGAACGTTCATGTCAAATACCCCGCCGAGGACCTAGAAAAGTAACTAACTACGGGATATGTTGCAAATAATTGAAGTTCCTCACGTACGGAGTAGTTAGTTACTTAGTTAACTGGTCCTTTGAAATTGTTTGATGAGTCAAGGGCTACGGAGCGCTTGACGGCAAAGTATTGCTCCTTTGCCCAATTATAGCTACCCCGGAATACTATCTTCGTAGTTACATACAGAATACGGAGTATACACACCCTGTCTGAGGCTGCATTTTCCCGAGGGTTATATCAAACGTTGCAGAGAAGTTCTTTCATGAAACCCCATATTAAGCATCCTATAATACTACTCTACTATGCATCTACTATTACTGATAAAGTACGACATGTTACATGTTTAACTGTTTTGTCCTGTTTGAGATATTTGAGGTGTCTGAGCAATATTTTGTGTGTGTATATGTGAAGGAGGGACAGGAAATGTCCAGCTTTCAAGAGAGGGCGAGAATAAATAGTAGGGTGGGAGCCCAGAGCTTTGATACAATAAGAGCAATCCTTGACACCTGGTGACTGCCTCACGAGCTGTGCTGGAAGCAAAAGTCCAAGGTTATTAGATACAAAAGCTCCGCTAATCCGCATGCATACTCCTATCACTTCCTGTACCTGGCCACCTATCAGACGCTTGACTGACCATTGGAGTTGGAGATTCTAGCCTAAATCTATCAATGATATCAAGATATAGCGGATATGAGACCCTCAAAAACACTTTTTGCTCATCCGACTGGTCAGTTATGCCTGTGGCTTATGTTTTCATGGTTGCAAATTGCATCCCGCCTATACGAATTTCAAAGGCAAGCCGTCGCGACGATCATTTAGCGGTATCTGTATCACCTTCTGCAACCAATTTTCCTACAATCAAATACTTTTCGAGAAATCTTTCTTCCCAACCCGTTAGGTTCTCCAGCTGTTCTTCGTCCAGTCCCTGGAGATCATCCAGCGGTCCGTTAAGGTCTTTCGTGAGCATTTCCTCGTCAAAGCTCTGACAGGCAAGTCCGCGGGATGCATCGCGGCCGGCAAAGTTCTCGTACGGTCCGCCCTAGAGGGAGAGATTGTTATGGATGAACTCTAGTTCGAGAGCGTGGGGCCCAGAAATACCGGTCCGTAGAAATTCCTCCCAGCGCTAACGTCGAAAACCCTGCCGCGAACCGCAAGGTAGACAGGCTTGTTATTCCTCCCATCAAATTCCAGTAAAGTCGTTGGTGTAAAGGTGCGGAATACAACCGGAGCTGGCTCTTCGGGTAGAGCTACCGCAGACTTCGGCCGGAATTGCATGTATACAACCACAACGAAAAGAGAGAGGAGGATGAAGTTTATTGGGGAGGCAATAGATGCCCTGTAGATTAGGATCAGTAAAGCCCAAAGCGATGACATCAAATTTAGGTGTTACCGTACACCTCAGCAACTTGGGAAGCATCTACGGAACTGTTAGTTAGCTCTTATGGTTTGCCAAATGGACGAGGAGATAATACCAGACGCCATTATACGTGCCGAAGAGCCCTCCACTCTAAACAAGGCACAAACTGTGGTATTCGATGGAGCTTAATAATGATGGAGATGCTCGTAGTCAAGGAGTTGTTGAGCTTCGGCACTTCAGCCTCGAAGCAATCGACTAACTAGCCAACTAGTTTCGGCGCGTCTGTCATTGGTTCCGGTTGAAGATCACTAGCACAGCTTTATTTTGCTTTGAAATCTTAATATGTACGGAGTATTTAGCCCCAAAAACACCTCAATAAATTCATTGTTATCAAGCGACAAATAAATAATAACTACATAGCGTTGGCCCTTGGAATTCGGTTAAATTACTTCATTCGAGAACGCTCTTGATGACTAGTTACACTACAGTACGAGTACTTCGTCACATGCCTGCTCCATACTTTTCGTGGCCGTTGCAGATATACTTCAATAAATCTTGTTCTCTCAATGTTGCTTATACACCGATAGACCGATACACGGTAGGTTAGCTCAACGATATGCTATTCCAACCGCTGAGCATAACAAACGTAGCTATCGAAAGTGCTTTTCGTTAGTATAATCTTAGAATTGAGGAAAATGTGGGAGGGCATACAAGTCAAAAGTGGAATGAACTCTTGGGCTTCTCATGTCCGACCTTGATTGACTGATTAAAATTTGAACTTCCTCCGGTGTCCAGCCCGCAAGTCTAGTCAGTACCGCCAGCCCCATTGATTCGAGACCCTCTTCAGCTTGGAGAAGATTATAAGCGCCAATAGTTTTCTAATCCAGCTGCAGTCAGAAAACATTTAGATCGTAATATCATATATCTGGGAGCACAAACATATCTCTTATCCTTGGGCCAGGTGCCGAGAGGAAGAAGGAACTTTTTGATGTGAAAATTTTGAAACCCGGCATCTCGGAACCATTTCTCCATTTTTTCTGGTTCAACGCGAATATAATACCCACCCTTGGCGAAGGTATCTAGGACTATACTATTATAACGTTCGACGGAGGTGCCTTTCGTGGTGCCATCCGCGGAGTATAGCCTTGTGTCCCAACCTTGATACTCGAACCATCCCCCAGACGATAACGAACTGAAGATGTGTCAGACGAGGTAAAGGCCTACATAGACACTATGTATGGATGATAAGACCAGCATACCTATAAGCTTGACTGATAAGTCTCGGCATATCCTTGATTGATACCTCAAGGAACCGGGCATGAATATAGTCAAATGGAGATGTTTCATACGCCCATTCGGCTTCGACATCGTCAACCACAAACTTGACGTTTGGAGGAACGCTGGACGAAGATTAGAGAAACTTGGACCTCAGTACTCAAAAAATGTAGGTAAGCTCACAACGATGGTTGAATAGGACTCAGGTCGTTCCCAATTACCTGAGTCTGACTTAGCAGCCTGAGTTTACATGTCAGACAAGGAAATGTGCAGTTACCTCGGCCGAAGGAAAACGGTCAGCTGTTTATTTTATTAGCACTGGGCTTTGTGAGAGGTTTTAATCACAGACCAAACTCCATAGCCCATACTCCAGTTCCAGTGCAAATATCAATTACTCTTACGGGGGAATTCCCAATAGGCGCAAGAAAGAGCTTTCCTTCAAGCAGTTTGTGAAACATTGCATGCAAAAGGTCAAGCCGGTCACTCTCCTTGTCATCATTCGGGATAAGATATCCTTAAATTTACGTAAGTGTCGCAATCATGCTACTGCTTGAAGTCCGAGGACTTACGGCCTTCGCGAAAAGCATGGTATCGCCTGCCATTTTCTTCCGGATAATCGACAACACTTGAGGTTATCGAAGATGTGTAAGAGGACCTGTCCTTGAGAAAATTGGTAAATAATGCCGCGATTTGTCTTGAGAAGCAATATTCAAAAACTGGGGCATATTTGCTCACAATTCATCCCCATATGTAGAGTCTGTATCATTGATCTGGGATATAACAGTTAATAGCGTCGTTTCAAGATCCAAAATTTCGCTAGCAAACGTTGTATGCATAACTATTGCACACCATACTCGGTATGTATGTACAGAGTATATATGGCTGAAAGGGCTTACCAATGGATCGATCTCCAATCTTTGGTCTCCGCTCATGATATGGCTATATTGAAAAAGAATAAGTAATGCTTGGGTTCCAAGCTAGGAATTATTTGCAAACGTAAATAATATACTGAGGATTGATTCCAAAGAATATTTGGAAGCATTAAGTAGCTGTGGGTCAGCGCAGCGTTATAAGCGCCGTTGGCCCAACAAATCACCAACTAAGAATCTCAGCCATGCAAGATATTATTTGGTACGAAGGTTGAAAGTCAAAAACCGCCGTTGTCGAATGAAATCTTGCTTCCCTGAACGGAACAAGGATTGTCTTCTCCGAGACCCAATGTTGTGAGTGAAATCGCATAAGTGCGGCATGGCATTGTGCTCACCGCCGACACTGAGACGCACCCTAGCAAAGGCCACGAGTTATTGGGATTCTTTTGAGGAATTAACTACCATTCCGAATATCCTGAGCATGATTATATGGAAACCACAGAAGTGCGCGACATTCACTCTTTCTTTCTTTTTGCAGCTGCTTTTCCCCATAAAGAGCGGGCGCAACGGCTACGCCACGACATCAATGCGTAGCGGGGTGATGGCCATCTGTTGCTTTGTCTGTTCGAGGGAACTCGATCTGCGCGCAACGCCAGCATCTGTTCTCATTGTTTGCCTAATACGGCTAGCGCGTTGTCTGGATCCGATGATCATGTGATTTCCCGAATTCCCCACACTCTGCCTTAGACCATACTTAGTTAGTGCTCAATGTGATCAGAACAGCAAGAAGCTTACGGAGTGAAACGTTCTCTCTCAAGCTCCAGCAAGTCCAGCCGTGTGTGGAGACATTTATGGGTGGTATAACTACGGAGTACGGAGTACGGAGTATACACACTTGTCAGTAAGAAGGCCAGCTTCCAGTGTCACCCCTATTCACTAAGCTTTCTAATAGCCATTGAATGCTTTTCGCTGGTATGAATCGCCGGGTTTGTGACCTAGCTCCGCAGCTTGCTTCATGTCATTGCTATTTATTCCCTGAGATAGGCTGAGCTCTCCTAAAAGCGTACCAGTATGAACGGGTAGTGGTTCGATAGCGGGGAAGAAAGCTTGTTTACTTAACTGTGGGGTTGCCAACCATGGTTAATGCTTTATTCTATACAGCGTAATCGATGTCCTTTAGAACCTTTGAAGATGGTACTCCGGAGCGATCGTTGTATGGAGTACGGGGTAGTTAACTACTATACTAACCAATTCGATGGAGTACTCCATACTCCCTAGTAAATAGAATGTCGACTCCCATTCCCTGCTAGCACCGGTCATGAAACTTGCCTAAAGAAAAGGGCACTGATTAATCACTACTGTAATCATTGGGATAAACCAGCTCTGCTGGCATGCGACATGGGTCAATAGCCTTGGCGGGTGGCGCCCTGCTGAGCGATGACATCATGAAACCACATCCTTCAAAAGTATCTGTTGAAGGAGAATATGTGTATTGCTGGAAGACTCCGATTACTTTGATTAGGAAAATTCGATCAAGAGAACCAATATAATTCTGAGCATAGAGCTTCTTAATCGTGACTGAGATATCCAACGATCCTTCCAGCAACCGAGGGAGATGAATAGGAGGATCCAAGCGCTCTGGCCTGTGAGGCATACTTGCACTCAGGCTTACGGTCGGCCATTTTACAGAATAAATGCAATTCGATTCGCCCATTCTGAGAATTCTGGAAGCAATAGTATGTGCTATGAGATCAATGCGTCCTAACGTGCGTGCCAAAATCACAGTTTCTAATTGACAATAGAGTATAACGACCGGGGTGACCGAGAACCACATTGCACCGAAGCTTCATCTTTTTCAAAGGAGTTTGAAGAACGTATTCCCTCAAACAAAGCCCGAGCAACTCTCAGCGAGGCATATCAACACAGTGGAGTCGATGCTCAGCATCCTAAAAGACCAGCAAAGGAAGAACTAAGCGCGGATGATGCGCATAAAATAAAGCAACAGGAGGAAGATGTTAGGAAACACAATGAGGAGGTCGAAAATCGATATGATAGAGCTATCAACCAGGTGTCCAATAAAAAAGAGGGTGGGCCGTTGTATGAAAAAGCGGGCGATAACAGTGCTAGGGGAGAATAATTATTTTAAGAGCAGCAGAAGCGTTTGAAGTATTTGAACATCACGTAACTATGCTATCGACCATAAATTGAGAGTCTGGCCTGATGATCGACGCAGTGGGATAAACGCCCCGATACCCGAAACTAAATGTATGTATACATTAAATATTGTAACCATATCATATCCAAGAACATATCGGATCCTAGGAAAACGCCGCCGCTTCTAGAACATATACAACTAAAAGAAAATTGTCAAGTCGACGCTTGATCAATACACTGAATACAACCTAAGATTGGGTGAACCCTCGTTATTCTGTAAGCAATGGAGTTTGCTCGGACGCTTGGCACGTATCGTTTCCCGAGTTGGCTCCTTCAACGGCATCTTCATGTGGTGACGAAGAAATGTCATCGATACTAGGGTTCTCGTCTTTCCCCCTTGGGTTAAGGTATTCAAAATAGATACCCATCACAAGCAAGGTGCCTTGGAGTAGAGACGTGACAACGTAAACCCCCCATGTACTCCATCCTTCTGCTCCCAGACGTGCTGCAAGGGAGGCTGCCCATACTAGACTTCCAGGGGTTTGGATACACATCATAGGAATACTCAAGCTGCCCACACGCCCTAGGAAGAAGGTGGTATATATCTGAGGGAAATATTGAACTGAGGACAGAAGGGTAGCCATGATGCCGAAAATATTAGCCCAGAGTTGGCGAGAGGACGGGTACATGAATGCTATGACGAAACTAAAGGTTGTCGCAGCTACTCCATGGATGACACAAGCTGCGGCCACTAGAAGAGCAGTACGGAACGATGAAGATTCGGGATATTTTGAAGTAGGTAGCGTGTCAGGCGGGGAGAAAAATAGAACAAATAGTGTAAGGCTACAATTTGCTTGTTAGCTGCGTCCCACTTGGGAGTACCCACATTCCAGGCTGGCAGATCCAGAGAGACTGCGGAATACACGCTTGATTTCTTACATGATCGCGAAACATGTTGCCTGCGTAGCAACTTGCAAGATTCCAAGCAAGCCTGCGAAACAGGAAAACCCACTAATTTCCTTACAACAAGCAATATCATGCCCACTTCGAGGCAGTAGAAGAATATTTGCTAGCCCCGAAGTTCCTGAGGTGGTTCCTAATAGGATGAAATATGGAGAGATACCGAAAGATGAGCGGCGCGAAATGATGCGGTGATGTTGTGGGATATAGGATAGAAGGATTCCAATGAGAATCAATCTATGGGCGCCAGTGGATTAGTGGGGTTCTTGAGGTGGATTTTGGAGACTCACATTGAAAGACCAAAGTTGAATATACTAGGAGAAGATAGTTGTTTGCAGTGTGGGTCCATGATTCCTTTCCTTTACAAGTAGTTTTACACCACTTTACTGCACCAAAGGAAGGTTGGAAATCAGTTTTGGATGGAGTGGTGAGCTCAGTATGGTTCATTGATAGTTGTTTCTTAGAATTAAATCGCAAATATTTATAGTTGGTCAAGATGGTCTGAGTTATTGGGTAATAAGTCCAAATCAAGAGAAGGTAGTGGGTAGTTATATGGAAATGTAAGATAGACACATTAATATGTGCTTGGCTTTATGAAGGACGACACGAGATATCACCCTTGATCTCATAAATATCAGGGTTTGGCCCAGCGGCTGAAGTCCAGAGTTGGATAACTAAACCAACTGTGGAAGTAGTTCGTTAATCACCTAACCTAGGTCAATGGCTGTTGACTACTCTGAATGGAGTAGTTACCTGTTATGTGGTGGTTACCCGTTAACTACCCGTGACCTTGCCAAGCCTCCACACAGACAAACAGCTGAAAACAAGCCGTCTAGCCCAGGTAGCTACCACTTGCAGTTTTGCAAAATATCAACAATATATATGTTTTGGGTCTCATCCTTACATATAGAGTGTTTGACATTTGTGCTCAGCCCTATAACAACCTCTAAGGACTAACACAAGCACCTTCCTGCTTCAACAAAGACAGTATCATATTTTAGAGCCAAGGCTCTTAATCTTGCTGGAGGTAAGGAGGATCTGGTATATGATCACCTCTACCAGTACTCCGTGCTCCGTACACAATTAAAAGTATGTTGTTATCAATCACATTAGACTTGTGTGCTTATACGTATGTACAAGTGTGTGCAACTCATCAAAGAGGTAGCGGCCATTAAAACCCATATATATATCCTTATCCACATGTGTCTTTTCAGCCAAAAAGGATAATCCTACAGTGTTCCTTTAGAATCGAAAGATGAACCTACCCATGTCTCTTTTTATCGTGTTGTAGCATAATGTTCAAAATACCGCTTCTGTCGAGTGAGATTGGAATATTTGGATTCTATTTCCTCCCAGTCAAATACGTAAATACTGGAAAGGGGCACTACAATTACTATTTGGGAGGCATAAGCCATACTCGTTAGCTCTAAATTCTTGTTGGTGGGGTGTTATTCCTTCACAGCGCAGGATAATATAGAGTATAGTGTTCTTTGGGCTTTCCTCTTGTCTTGGTATATGTATGTTCTGTCTGGTGTAGGGGCGCAGCCCTGCGCCCCACGACTTAGCCGAACTGACTATCCTAGTTAAAACACAGCACTGAGGCGCCGGGTGAATTCCTACTCCGTAGTTGTAAAGTAGTGAAGCCGAAGATGCTATCTGCCCAACGAAAGAAAGACGAGGCAGGCCAGGCATCGCATAGCTTTGGCTAATCATGGAAATAGAACCTTGATGGAGCGGATTCTGCAAAGTCTGTGCAGTCTTTCGGGCTAAATGCTTATTCCCAGAGAAAACAGGCCCAATGGGAAGCTGAGGGTTTGCTCGCAGCCACAGTTGGCTAACTAACCAATACTGGTTAGGCCGTATGTGGACGATACCTCCCAAGACACCCGTAATTTACAAGTGGGTTTCTGTATTACACTGTCAATCCCCACCGCCAAACCCTATTAGTCACCGGCCACTGACCACAGACCAACAACCCTTTCCATCTCACAATCCGCCCATCGCTACCAACTCCAAGTCTATTGTTTGCCGTCGTTCATTAATATCATTATATCAGCTCTTTATATTTGTTCCCTGTATTCGCTAGCATCTTTCCTCCGAATCTATCTCCTTCAAATACTTGTCGCGTTGTCGCTATCTACAATTCCCGGGCGGGCAGCGAAGGCCATTCGCCATGGCTAAACCCCCATCCTCACAACAAACACCTGACATCCGCGACGACTCGCTGAACACAACACCTGCAACACGTACGCGCTCGCTGGATCTCTGGTCGAACCCTGAAGAAATTTCAGAAGAAACGCCGATTCAAAACGTATTCAGTGATGAGTTCTCAGTGGAACCTCTGGATGGGTTTAATAGTACTAGGAGTTCGCTCAGCGAAACTACGCCCCGTAACATTCCACCGATGCCTTCAAGCGAAGAAACGGCCCCTCCTATTGTCAGCCCCTTCGGCGACAACGCAGATATATTGTTAACGGAGATGATACCTGTGCCAGACGTCCCCTCAAATTCCGATAAAATCAGACACGGCCCACGCGAAAGGAATTCTATAGCACGTCCTCTATCTACTTCATCTGGAAACTCTGTTGACCCGTATTCTGCGCGCCGAAGCATCAGTACGTCGTCTCGCTTCTCCATGCCCCGTCCCATGAGCCCATATCGGGGTCAAACAGGGCCCAGTCAGCCCTATGCAATGTATCCTCAAGGGATTGGGGTTACACGAACGTTATCTACCTCTACTGTCTCTACCTTCCGCCCTCCAGAACGCTCTTTCATTGCTGCTGCCCCACCACAGCATCCATATGCCATGTATTCCCAAAATACGGTCCCTGAAGAAGCCGTGGATGAACCCCAAAATCCGGTCATACCAATTGGGTTTTCGAGCCAAAGCCGGGGCTATCAACTCCCAACATCTCACACTCCCAACGAAGTCGGGGATATCGTTGGTCCGGATGGCCACACTGAACAGTTGCCTCCATACTCCCGATATCCAGCTAGCCCACCCTCAAAACAAGAACTGTTAGCTGACGATCAGAATGACGCTGTACCCCAACCACCTGTGCCGGAAGAATCACCTACACCTCGTCGACTGACATCAGAAGTCAGTATAACAGACAACACCGCTAGTACGGAAACAGATTCAAGCGATCATTCTTCTGACAGCGTCAAAGAAAAGCTGTCTCAGAAAGGACAGAGGAAGGTTTGCTGTGGCATTCCGCTTTGGATGTTTTTCCTTGTTGCAGCTGTGCTGCTTTTAGGCACGATCATTGGAGGTGTAATTGGTGGTCTTCTAGGTTCCCAGCAGACTACAAAGCGTAATCCGCCGACCACAACCTCACCGTAAGTCCTCACAGTCCCAGTTGATCTTAGACTTTATGCTGAGTCAAGTGATAGAACCGCTACCGTCACCGTCACCGCCGGGACTCTAGATGCCATTCCGGGGCCCACGGATCTGGGTGTGCTACCCCCGCTTCCAACGGGTAAATTCGTTGTTCCAGCCAACACACTTCAAAACTATTCAAGCAAGTGCCTATCCAATGGTGTTTACGACAGCTCTTGGCAATGCCGGACTACAGGTCAGTTTGATTGTCAGATTGACGTCGACAAGGATGATAAGGCAACGATCATTCTCAGTTCCCATAATGTGACTGGTAGCTTTTTCTACGGTGCCCAACCGCCCATTTTCAGAGACCCGGACCACACACTTTCACTAATGCTTGATAAAACAAACATATCCCTTGGGCCTGCGTTCTTTTTCTATACCCAACTCGATAAACTTATGATTATCCCGGAGGATGAATTTCCAAAGTCTCCATCAAAGAGAGGGATCGATGGCGCCTCACTGTCGTCAAGGTATTGGCCGGGACTCCGTCAAAAAGTAGCGGCCTCGCCTGGCGATAGACCTTGGTTCTGCTGGTGGAATAGCACGCTTTTGGAAGCATTCATCTACGTCAATGAGACAAGTTCCGCGGCTGCGTCGTCAAAGCTCTCAACCGGTGCAATGCCTACCCCAACTTCTGTCCCCCGAGCAAAACGCACATTCGGGACTCGCAACGATATCGTTATTCCTGAATATTCATACTATCCACGTGCTATAAAAATTGAAGAGATGCGGTATGCGTCCCACGGACAACCTGCATACTGCGAGCAGATGCTGGTAATGGACGATAGATCCCTTTACCGAGTATCTCAGGATCAGATTCCTATACTGGAGGCTTACACCTCTACAGACGCGCCCTTCCCGTCGGAAAATAGCAAATCTTTGGCTCGACGCAACAATTTTGACGAAGTAGGCTGCTTCTGTCAATACTTTTATGTTTGATTTTCTCTACCTCTGTTATATGGGTATGGCGCTATTGGCGCCCCTGGATTTACCCTTTTTGATGATTTTGGCAAGGCTCAGAGAGAGAGCCGTTGAACTTCTTATGTTTTTATGCTCAACATGCTTTTCATCTCTCACTTGACTCATCTCATTTGGTTTACGGAAAACCAATTGCATTTTCGATACCATTTTGGACCCTGTCTTTTCTAATTCTAGCCTTTTTGCTCTCAAATATTTGCATTGTTCATGGTGCTAGGGGGGAATATGGTTTCATATTAGTTTTCTTGCGCACGTTACCTGGTTCCACCGATCTACCGTCATATAGAATCGGACGAGTATTATATAAAATATTTTCTAGCCCCCCTTCCACCAAAGCTCTAAGACTATTATTTACTCACCTCGGTCTATTATAAAAACGACCTTCTAATATCATAGTTATCAATATTGACCAGGTTTGGCTTCTGGGGAAAGTTGATTGCTACCACTACTACACGTGGAACATGCGTCGTTCAAAGTCCTCTATTTATCACAAAATGAAAACCAAGAGGGGGGTGCATTCCAGATTCTGAGCTGGATATTCATTGGCTGGAATTCCTATTTCCCAATGCAACGTTTCTTCAATGAAACCATTTTTAGAGAATACGGTGTGAGAAGATATTTTTATTTCCTCTAACTTCTATCTTCTTATGACGGGCATAGTTACGGTCAGTGGTATGCACTCTTGGTTACATTTTCAAAAAATAAAAACGGTCCCTTCGTCCTCCCGCGCCGCCTTGTGGACATACACCTGAGATAGTTACCCTAGCCAAGACATTTCGATACCATGGCTTTACCTGTGTATTTTTATATTTTTAGTCCCCGATGGTGTCTTGGAAGAAGAGCACCTTGTTGCCGGCAGTATGGAGTACGGAGTACGGAGTATGTCTGCCCTTATCTTGCCTTTTCCGACCGACTAACTAACTACAACCTTAGTGCAGACGGAGATGGCCCTCTCGAAAACCGGGCCCAGTCTTGGTCTTGGACAGGGAGCCCAATAACAGGAGAATGCTAGTAATTAATTTGGGTTTTTCACCTGAAAGCGCCAGAGTCGGTGTTCTCCGGGTCAAGGGGAAGGTATTTTTCCCAGGAAGCAAAACAGTTATGAAACATAGAGTGAAGTATGTTACGATGCATGTACGGAGTACGGAGTACTCCAAATTCACTCCAAACCTCCTTGATGCTCTGATGAACGATCCTCTTCAACTATCAAGCAACCGTATTTTTCTTTTTCTTAAAGGTGGAATTTCTGTAGCCATTTTCGAAAGAAAACCCTGGTGTATTCAACGGATGGGCTTTCCGGGCGCCAGCGACAGACATTCTGTCCGACTGAAGGACCTTGGTCGGGAACCCTTCAGCTGAAGTGCATTTTGTTTCTGTATACTCCGTAAACCCTGCAGCCTCGTAGGGTTGCGCTTTTGAACCGAGATGTCAGTACGGAGTACTCTGTATTATTGCCTTGTTCGTGCTGAACCGATCGTGTCCATCGACAACCAGCATGAACCTGGGATCCCAAGCCCACGATCACCTGGTTTTTCCGGGTATTAGCGCAAGTTCCCATGACTTTAAGTGCAGCCCTACCACGCTGTAGAGCTTTACTGGAGACCTAGAAGGTCGGTGTAAGGATTTCTTTACCTTGAGTTTAGGCCAAATCCTTTCGAGACCGACGGAGATATCAACATCCTGGATTGGACAACGTGAACATGAGCATCTTGCCCACCGTCCTCTGGCACTTCTGTACTCCGTACGGGACAGCTTTTCAACCTACACAAGCCACAGATCACATGCATTTGAACTCCTTGCTTACTTTTCCACAGGCCGTTTGCCTCATCGACTAGCAATAAAACTACTGGAATCAAGTTGCTTCGCCAAACTTGCAGGGCTGGGCAGTAATAATAGCTACCACGGCTCGATGATCCCCACTGTTCCCGCAGCAAAGCAATCCTTTTGGTAATTTCCATCCTCACACAAGACGGAGAGGGCCTCCGTTAGCCTCTATTCTATCACAACTACCGGAGAAAATAATAATGGTTCGCAGCGCATGTCCTTTCCACCTTCCAATCTCTGGCAATTAAGCATTTAGGCCACACTACCGTTAGGCGCCGATGCCAGTATTGGCAGATTTACGGCACAACCGGGATTCGTCAGTCTTGTCGATGTGCGCGACTCTTGTCCGCTGGTGACAATACAACTTGTTACATTCTTTTTCAGGGTTGATTCTCAAATTTACAAACAGCTACTTGGCGCTCATGGAATCAATAATTAATACCAGAAAGACGCGGCGGAGATGCCATCCGTGCTAGGTTATGAGAAGGGGCTAAAAGGCTTTGGAAATTCATGTATGTGGTAGAGACCTAACAGGTACTTCGGTTTTTGATAGGCCATAGTCCATAAGTAAATGAGACTCGCAACTACCTGCCCTGTTAGAGATAGTCTGGCTGCATCTCTCCGCCTTTTGGATTTGTTGAAATAGTCTACTGGAAATAGTAGACATAGACTCCGTATATGTCACTACTATATAAAGTAGACTATATGCGCAAAATTAGTGTGTGGCAGTATATCGAAGAAGGCAGTATGTCTTTCTTGATTTAGCTGTTATACCAGGCTAGGAGAACACTGATGCTCAGTATTCGGTTATCCGCACTCATACCATGCAACAAAAAGCAAATATCTTGCTTAGGTGGAACCAGGATATTCTTTTGGTAAGTAAGCATTGATTCGATAAGCTTTGCCCTGTGAAGGACTATTAGCTGCCATTTGTCAACCGGAAACAGCTGGACAATATAAACCCAAGGATATATACATGCGTGCTTGCTATCATTCTTCCCCCCTGTCCCTTTGGGCACTCTCTAAGCAAACTCCCATGAGAAGATATCCAAGACCACCTTATTAGAGAAGATGGGCTTTTTTGGCTGGCAGTCAACTCAGTTGTTCTCTCTTGGCTAACAGCCTTGCTTTTTTTGTCGAGAGTTTCCTCTAAACTTCAGATGCAAACATTATATATGGAGTAGCAAATCAGGAACTAAACCGAACAAGCAATAGATACAGACAATAAGGCATTGAGCGTTTGAAAAAACAATTCTTGCATTCAATATTGATCAAACATGCCAGTCATCACTCATTGGGAATACATAAGTCGAACACAGAAACATGGAAGATTAGGTAACCAATCAGGAGGTAAACGCTGGTTTAATCAAGATATCGCAGCCCGTCAAGAGATCTTACAATTCGGACTTTTCCTTTGCTTCTGAAACCTTCGCTTTGGCGGCATCTGCCGCTTTTTGTCCTTCAGCCCTTCCGCTTAAAGCCCCGATTTTCAACTGATCCCAGACCCATTGCCCAGCACCCCAAGCTCGGTCAAGAATACCGGCTTCCTGCTTGACTGTACCATACATGAAATAATCGGCATTGCGCCTTGCTTCCTCACGGAGTCGATCAATGCTAGCATCATGCTGACCTTTCATTCCGTAGGATTCCAGGTACTTTTCAAGATCCTCCTTCGACCAACTATTGAAGCTATGATCCTTTGCAGCCTCTGTTGCAGAAGCCAGATAAGAAGTCACTGAGGCGTAGTTGCTACCACCAGCTTTAGAGGCACTGGTGTATGCATCTTGGGCTTGCTTCAACAGTTCAGCCCTGTTTTCACCGAGTTTCTCGAGGGCCTGTTTATGTTGAGAAGAAAGATATTTTCTGCGAAATGTTAGCATTAGCAATTTAGCATAAAAGGGCATGGGAACATCAAGCTCTTACCCAAGGTTTTCCCTATTCCAGGTATCAAATGTCCACGCAGAATAACCAGCAGCTGCCTTATGTCTATGCAATCTCACGGTAGCTAAGAGCTCATCGCGTTTTGATCCTTGAGGAACAGGGACCCCGCGTGTATCGAGATAAGCTTTTAGGCGGGAATCAGACCACATATTTATGGCAGAATTGAAAAGGTCATCCATTTTCATCTGTGCATCTTCTGTTGCTCGAGCATACTCATTTCCTGCCTTGGTGGTTGCTGCGCCATATACAGACTTGACCGAAGCAGTGGGTTCTTCAAGCAGTGATTTGCTATGCTTTCGTGCCAATGCGACGAGTTCGTTACGTCGAGAGCCCTGTGGGACTTTGATTCCGTGTTTATCGAAAAATTTCTTGAAATCAGATTCAGACCATGCACTGAAAAGAGCTTCGGTCAAACTCTCCTGGGCTGCGGCTGCTGACGAAGAAGCTACTGATGCAGCTTTCTGAGCCTCTATGCCAGCACGTCTAGAATTTCGTCGAACAGCAGCAATTAGTTTATCACGGCTTGTTGGTTGTGGGACGTTGAATCCATGGCTATCAAGATACTCCTTTAAATCGGATTCGGACCAGTGCTCATATAACCAGTTCCCAGGATAGAGCGTTGTTTGCCCCAATTTTTGTGCAATGGACTCATAGCTCTCTCGTGCTGTAGCCAAAAGGGTATCTCGCTTCCTTGGTTGGGGATTGGGAATGCCATGTTTGTCCAGGAACGTCTTTAAGTGGGATTCGCTCCATCTATCGCATCTCATCAGCGTTCCACCTGTTGGCTCGGGTGTGTGGTTTAGAGTACGTACGAGTCAAAAATCCAACCCTTAGCATTTTCATATGAGTCACCCACTGCTTCGTTGGTGTGGCTGATGGGAATCTGCACATATTTGTCCCAGTTGTTTTTAATGAGATTTTCGAGATCCTTTCGGTCTGCAGGGGTTGGATACGGAATGTCTATATCAACTAGTTAAATGAAATGTGTGGTAGTCAGAATTGCAATCCTAATCATACCGTGATCAGAGAGCCATCGTTCAAGCTCAGTTTCATGCCACCTGTTGTAAACTTTAGGTTTTGGTCAGCACCAGAGAAAATAAAAATAGAGCTACTACCCAGCCCCAAGCTTATATATGTTGTAGATGCCATACGTACCGGCTTTACTAAACCAATTGCTTGATCCCACGGCTTCAGCGGTGGCCAGGGCTAAGATTAAGCCTGTCGTAAAAAACCTCATATCGAAGCCTTACTGCCTAATGACGCGAATTGAGAGATGGAAGTAGGAAAATCTAAGAATGCTGTAATTATCAAGGAAGGGTCGTTAAATTCCAGAAGTTTAGACAGCAGGAACACATTCAAGTAGATATACGAGAATTTCAATGTTCTATCAGAAACAAGCTATGGCTGAAGCAGGGAATGTGTGTTGTGATGGGTTTGGAGCTATGACGTGCTGTGACGTAGCTGGCGGCAAGTTTGGTATCATTGAGCCCGGTCTTTGCGTTGAGGTAAGAAGAATGCTTGCCAGTGACAATATGTGTTATCGAGTCCTATGGGAAGGTATGTAAGGATTATGAAGTTATTGTACATATAAAAAACAACAGCCGATTATCACAGGCAATATTATTTTCGCAAAGCAAGAAGATTAGATAAATGGACCTTCCCCTTCTGGCCCCATCCCAAAGGGCCCGGTTCTACGTCGGGTCTCACTTGTAGATACCATGTCATCACCCGTCTATCCAATTCCTGCCTGCTAAGAATAGGTGCCCATGAGCGACACGCTATGTCGATGGCTCCGAGAACAAGCCCCAGGCACCTTTCTTGGTTTGTGTCTATTTCGAGTCTATTCGCTTTCTTCTTTCTCTTTGTCTTGTTAGGTTCTTGTTCTTGTTCGTCTAAATTGAAAGATTTAAGTAGATAAGCACGAGGGGATTCTGGTCTGAAAATCGGAAGTGACGGCGAACGGTTGTTGGCTTTCCGTAGAGCCTCTACATCTAATCCCCATAGCGGTGGAGATACTTCGAAAGACGCCTGCGTGCTGTTGCACCCAACATCCTCACCGTTAGAACCATCAAATCTCTTTAAAACGCAAATGTCTCTTCCAAGAATTGTTACAGAAGGCTGTCCCTGCGCCCAACCGTCATCGTCGGCACTGGCTCCGTTGTCAATACCTAGGCTAATAGCCTTAGAGCGACTGTTCGCACTGATGAGGGCCTGAGCTAGGCTAAGCCTGCTAGATGTGGGTTGCTCAGGCATAGTGTATTTCAGTAGCGTGACCGCAAAAGCAAGCATCAATGGCGCTCGGTTGGTAACAACGACCGTTTTTGAAATTTCGTCAACATTCGTTGAGATGGGAAGTGATAAAGAGGATTCAAGTTCGGCAGAATAAACATTTTCTTCAAGCTTTGATGCCTTTTTGGGCCGGCGCGAAGTATTTACAACAGGATTTTCCTCAGCCCTCCGCTTTTTTGCCGCTCTCTTCGCCGCGTTGGAGACTTGTTTGGCAATCTTTTCCTCTTTAAAAATAGAAACAAGCGTTCTTAAATCTGCTTTAGCTAAAGAATCAATACTTTCTGTGTGTCAGTTGTTATGAATAAAACTGATAATTCTAATTCAAGTACCAAATGGTAGCTTTCGTACTTCAGTAGTTTGGATACCTGCAGATCCTTAGCACTTGCTATCGCGATTGCAAGGGGAACCTTTGACTCCTGGCTGAGAAAACGGAGGATATTTTGAACTTCAGTAGTAGTCGCCATTTTTTGTGCCGTTTGTCCTCTACGGAGTACGAAGTATATGGAATTGATACGGAGTACGCAGAGGTGTTTAAACTGCTGATTATGAAATAAAGTTAATTGCTAGTGTGTTCAGCCACACCCTCCAGCCACAGATGAAGCTCGACAACAGAACACGCAAGTCATTTACGGAGTTGAGGCGGTGTGCACAAAAGCGATTACACCAGGCTTCGAGCTAGGAGCGATTTGACGATGCCTGACGACCCTAAAGTGAATCCGTTCTCCGAAATTCCGCCGAAAGCAGCCGCCCCGGCGAAGAAATCCTTGTTTGAGCGGCAGAAAGCAGAGGCTGAAGCAAAACGGGCGCGTGAGAAGGCAGAGACAGCCGCAGTCTACGAAGATTTTGTCAAGTCATTTGAAAACGATGAAGATTCTCCCACACTGTTAAATACGGCCAGCAGAACTGGCGGATATCAACATGGCAGCGGGCAACCTGTTGGCGGACCCGCACGACGGCACTTCACCAGCGCATCCATGAAGAGCTCAGCAATTGGTGGTTTAGGTCCACCTCCATCTTCTTTTACAAAAAAGCGAACATATGATGGGTACCTGGCGTCCTCCCGGGATCATACGGGCCGCGGGATTTTGACATATGAGAATTCTTCTTCAGCAATGGACACTACCAGTGCATTCAGAATTTTGGAGGACGAGGAAGAAAAGACCATGGATAAAAAGGAAGCAGAAAGAGCTGCTGCAAAGCCCACCCTACATCTTTCTTCATTGCCTCCAGGCACCTCACCAGCTGTCATAAAAGCGCTTATTCCCCCAGTTTTAGCAGTTGACAATGTAAAGATCATCCCACCTGCCAGCCAGGCGACTGGAGAGCGCAAAATTTGGTCAGCCATAGTTACATTGGCTAAAGAGACTGCCGCTACCGATATGGATACTGTTGTGAGCTCTTTACAGAATAAATACCTTGGCTGGGGATTTTATCTCTCAATATCTCGCCATCTCTCCTCCGCCGCCATTAACTCCGCAATTCCTGTTACCCCTGGGCTTACTGGTCTTACTTCCCAGCCATTTGGTGCTCGCCCCACCCCACATGGCCCTGGTGTGTTTAGTCGTGGCCCCCCCGGGCCTCATCGTTCTGCATTTGCCCCCCCTACTTCATATGCTCCTAATTATGGTACAAGAGATGGCTCTGCATTTCAGGTCGACGTTAAACCGCCCTCTGATTTGAAGCAGCTGAAGTTAATTCACAAGACATTAGAAAACCTGTTAACGTATGGACCCGAGTTTGAAGCTCTTCTTATGGGTCGACCAGAAGTTCAGAGAGAAGAAAAGTGGGCGTGGATTTGGAATTCGCGGAGCGTTGGCGGTGTATGGTATAGATGGAAGTTATGGGACATTCTCACCAATTCAGCCAAATCTACTAATAGAAATCGTCTTCGGGGTATACCAACATATATTTTTGAGAATGGTCCAGGCTGGGTTGCGCCAGAGAAAAAATTGGCATTTGAGTTTACGACAAAACTAGACCAGTTTGTTTCTGATGAGGATTACGACTCTTCCGATGAAGATGATTCGGATAGGGACGACGAGAGGCGTATAAATGACCCATCAAACGAGCCCAATGATGGTACTGGCCATTTAAATCCCCTGCACAAAGCTAAGCTGGCGCATCTTCTTGCCAGATTACCCACAACAAACACGAAACTTCGTCGGGGCGATGTTGCACGCATCACAGCATTCGCCATAAACCATGCTGGCGAAGGAGGAGAAGAAGTGGTAGACCTAATTATTTCTAACGTCAAATACCCTTTTGCTTACAGTGCTGCGAACCCTGAAAGACAGCAAGATGAGACTGAGATGATTAATACGAAAACAGAAGAAGCTGCAGAACCAAACGAAAAGGATATGGAGGGACCTGAAAATACAGATCGCATTTCTAAGATTGAGAGCAAAGAAAGGCTTGATATATCTCCGTCGAAACTAGTGGGCCTTTATATTATATCTGACATATTGTCTTCTTCATCTACAAGTGGTGTCCGCCATGCCTGGCGTTACAGGCAGCTCTTCGAGACCGCCTTAAAGGCTAGAAAGGTGTTTGAACACCTAGGTCGACTTGAAAAAGATTTGGGATGGGGCCGATTGAAATTGGAAAAATGGAGGAGGAGCATTGGGAGCTTATTAAGCCTTTGGGAAGGGTGGTGTGTATTTCCTCAGTCGAGTCATGAGCATTTTGTTCAAGTGTTCGAGCGGCCACCTCTCACCAAAAAGGAGCTCGAAGAGGAGAAAGCTCGGGCGGAAGTAGAAAAAGCGCCTGGTTTATTTGGTACCAAAGACAAAAGCAAATGGAAGACGGTTGAGGATGCTGGTATGATACCAGCCGTGGACAAATATGAACCCAGCCCAGATGGAGATAAAATGGACATCGACATTGACGGAGCGCCGATAGCGGGCGAAGAAGAGATGCTCGATGTCGGGTCGATGTCGGATATTGATGGGGTTCCCATGGAAGATAGTGACCTGGAGGATACGGAAGCTCTGGCTGAAGGCGAGGAAGCGTTAGTCCCCCAAGACAAAGGACCCAATGTGCCGGCACCAGAGAAGGAAGCTGACACATCGTTGCCCTCATCGTCTGAGCCTCCTATGAGACGGCGTCGCCCAAAAGCGGAAGATATGTTTGCAGATTCAGATTCAGATTAGGCGTCAGTATCATGTTCGTCGCGGATACCCCAAATGGATTGTTTGATGTATTATTTATTATATGTATGTATAGATACATGTGTAGTAGGCCTATTATTGGGAAGGTGTAGGTTATAATATACATAAGATAAATATTCTGGAAACTTTTCAATCTCTTTGATGGGCGTCGTTGGGCCGCCAAATTTGGGTATCAAAAGCCCCTTCTCCTACTCGGTACAGAGTACAATAGGGGTGTATTTGCCAAGGCTCCATCGCGGTTATCAAATGTTTTTTTTTCTCACCCCGCCAACAACCCCGCCACTCCAACCACGCTGACAAGTTCCAAAATCAACAACAGTTCAAAACACCTCCATCAGGAACCTGTAATCTCTGTCTGATTTTTGAATTCTAGAAAGGCAAAATGACTGGTGAGTTTAGCTCCTCAACGCGACCAGTGTCTGACGCGACTCTGGGCACAAGTACAACCTGGATGCAGCGCGAAATATTATGTATTACTGTGATCAGAAATGCTGATTATTTCTGAACCCATCTTAGACTTTCAGAATGTTGCTCGTGAGTTACAACACGTAGTTTTGCTGGTGGCAGTCTCCTGCGGGCCTTCTCAGGAGTAGACAAGCAAGGAATTCCTGGGTCCTAACGGATTATATGAATGGCTAGAACAATTTGTTGAGTACTACTACAAGACTTTCGACGAGAATCGAGCAGACCTTTCCCCATTATATGTACGGTCTTGACCTTGTAGATTGTGGAGATAAGAGCAGAGCAAACAGCCAAATGCTGACTGAGAGCTAGCGCGATCATTCTATGTTGACTTTCGAGAACTCTTCGATCCAAGGCACCGGCTTGATCGTCGAAAAGTTGATGGTTAGGACTACCCTTTATTATGGAAAGGGTACTTTGATGCCAGTTGCTAACTGTCAAAATCTAGTCTCTTCCTTTCCAAAAGGTTGCTCACCGTGTTTCGACACTGGATGCCCAACCAACAAACGAAGGCGGAATCCTAGTTATGGTCACCGGTGCTCTCCTGGTAAGTTTTAAAAGATATGTGTACCCATTTTCCTTGATACAGAGACTGACTCCATTCTTTTAGGTTGATGAAGAGCAGAAGCCTATGAGCTATTCCCAGACCTTTCAGCTCCTCCCAAATGGCGCTGGTAGCTACTTTGTCTTCAACGATATTTTCCGCCTCGTGTATTCTTCCTCATAGGCTGCGATTAGGTTGCTGACCTGGGGAGCTGTTAATAGGAAAGGAAAGGAGATATGGACCGCGAGAAGCACGCGAATTAGATGTCTTTCATCAATTGGCAAATACACTGCAACGGTGTTGTGACGAACAAATTAAATATTCTATATTTGAATGAATTGATTTTGATATCCGAATGAGACCCCGTTTAATTGCTGTTTATATAACTACGGAGTACCCTGCGATAGATCATTGAGGTGTAAGGGCGGCGACATATAATTCCAGGATGGGAGAAGGGCTTGGCGACACTGACGAACCCAAAGGCTTGGCAACCAGGCAAGCGCATTACGAGCAAACTGTGGCTGGAGATGTCGTCGTATCACCGCAAGCTCTCGGGTTGTCTCAAATCCAACGGTGGACTGACAAGAGACGTTGCTTAAGTCGTCCACTATCAATCGACGTTCATTCCAAAGCACTCACTTTGTTCATTGTGTAAACCTATTTATTCTTAGCTGTGTGTTTGTGAACCCCAAGTCCACCCTGTTCACTGGTCAGCTGCTTGTGCAGAGACCACTGTGGTCGCTCATTCCTCACCAAACCAACTCTGATATCTACTTGTCACTTTGTTGTGTGGCTCTCCTTGCCCTTTTGCTCAAGTAAGCACTGTTGTCGCTGCTGTGTGTGTCTGTATAGAAATAACTAGCTCTTTGCGTTGCTCCCCCAACCATTCTTTCCAACAATGCCACATTGCAAAAGCTAACAGGCAGCCAAAGCAGTTCGCGCGCCATATCTTGAAATTTGTTTGCCTTGTAGCAAATTTTGCCTAGCTTCCTCGGTGCTCAAAGAATAAGCTTCACACCCGTAAAGAGGAGTTTTACCAACTTCGAAGCGCTACGCGGTTCATAACTATCTCATAATGACGTTCGGAGAGGAGCTCAAGTCGAGAAATTTCAGTGAGAGTCCCTTTTGTAATCACTATTGCATGAGTAGCTACTACAGGGCTGCCGAGCTCTGTACTTTGGGATATACATAGCTAATTAATTTCCGCAACAGGTATCTATGGCCAATGGTATGGTCCAGTTCACGTTTTCTATTAATTTAGTTTGCTTACATCGTCTTGAAACCTCGCTAACTATGCATTCTGTGTTCTAGGACGGGCGTTCTCTGCATAATACTATGCTTTGCCATAGGTCTCTCCAATGTTTTTAGTTCGTTTATTGTTTTCGGGATAATATCTCTGTAAGTCTGAGTCGTGCGCTCCATAGCCAACCTGCTATGAGGCTAACAGGCCAATAGAGTTTACTCTCCAATCCTTCTCTTCATTGAAGTTCCGTTCCTCCTTCGAATTTGTCCCACCTCGTCGAAATTTGACTCGTTTATCCGTCGATTTACTACAAGTTTTATGCGGGCTGCTGTATATGTCGCTATGAGTGCCGGCCTGTGGGTGAGTCTTATTATAGGACCATCCAGCTTGATCTGTCCAGCGGTATTTCTGGCCATCGCGGCAATCTTCTATCTTTTGGCTGGTGTCATGAAACAAGAGTTTACAACAAGTAAAACCCTTGGAGGCCAAGGCGTTGCGCAAATGATTGTCTGAAAGCGGGTAGCTGTCGGCGACCCCTTCGTGTTATCGAGATGTAGGAGTGTAACATGATGGCTTCCTGCTCTGTTCTGTTCAATCTGCCCTCTTCTTTACTGGTTTTTTTAACCTTGCTTGGGATGGTGTATACTGCCTTTCATGACCTTTTTTTTTTCTCCATGAATGTATGGATAAGATACATGATGCCCCGTCGTAAAATTATAGTTCTTATTCTATCTACTATTCTTTGAAGTGAAGATGCCAGGCAAGCTGTTCGTGGATTTACTCCATACCAAGCCTGATGTTAGCGCGCAAAGCGCATAGGTACCCTCAGCAGGCCATATGCTGCACACGGGGTACCCTATCGAGTAGGGTGTGCTGTCCAAGTTAAGTCATTTATATTGAGCACTCCGGTCCAAATCCGGTCTTGTGGCGGCGTCGCTGGGCTGGTACCAAAGCACGGGGTATTACAGTTTCAGCGCCATTCCTTGGCATGTTTCGGCAGTATCAATATGGATTATGTCATGGCGTGGCTTGAACTCCTGATCCTGGATTGGGGTTGAGCTTCATCCACTACTCCCTTGTCGTCACTCTACGAGACAGAGTATTCCTCACTTGTCCCTGGGAGTTGCATTGATGAAGACGCTACCTAGTGTTTCCTGGCCTATGCATATGTTCCCGGCTTGCTTATAGCCCCCGAATGCGTCTTGATGAACACCACGAGCTACATCAGTCCCTAGCTTCCGGCTCCTTGCAGGTCAACCAGAGGTGAGCACTGGCATCAATTAGCAACCAGAACCACTTGCACTCTACTATTTATTGCATTTTTTCTGGGTGAATGGGCCCTCTTTAGGGGTTGGCCCTACATAAAAACCGCATGCCGTTATCGTACTGTTCTAGTTTGGACAGCTTTCTCTCCGGCATGCAGCCATGCGACATGCCGCTATGGTGTGCAGACCACGACAATTCTATACGTTTTAAATATTGATTGATTATTCTTCTTTGCAATATGGGGTTTAGGCATTTGAATCATATTGCCTCATAATATGACCAAATCCTTAAGTTATCCCGCTGACCGCTCTCACAGCATCTTTATTAGACTGTTTTGTTTTGCACGTTGGAAATATCCAAAGCTCGAAAATGGCGACGAAGGCTCCTCCCATAATACCACCACGACCCTCCCGGTCGTCCAACAATAATCCTGTACCGTCTAATACCGATGCTCCAAAAGTTCCTCCCCGCCCATCGAAACGCCCAGCCGAACGACCTGTTTCCCCCAGATGTGACAGCTACGCGCCATCACCACTAAACGCTCTTCCTGGAGAGATGTTCTCTGGTCGAGAACGCCTATCCAGACCCCCAAGTGTGTCGGCTCTCCCTTCTGTTGGGCAAGAGGGGATGGAATACGAAACGATTGGTTATCAGAATGAAAAGGATGACAAAGCGGGTGATTCAATACAACAGCCTGCAGAAACAAGGAGTATTAATCAGGACTTGTACCTTCATGCGCCGAGGCCTTCACTACCAGGCGCAAGTGCTAAGGCTCAGGTAGAAGTTGTGACAAGGACGGATTCTCGCCAGGCTGCGGCTGCGGGCTTTGGGGCTCCTATACACAGCAATGATGATGACCGCTCGTTATCACCTTCCAAAGTATCTCGTTCTCAAAGCCGATTGTCCGGTGAGCATCGTAAATCTGCTCTGTTGGGGGATGAACACGGTATTCCGGAAATCGGACGACGTGTACCAATGATTCCGAATGCTGGGGATGTCCAAGCGCCAACCCCGGCTCCTCCTGGTGTAAACGATGAGCTACCTAGATGTGAAAGTCGTGGCTCGCATCGACTTGGTCGTCAGCAGTCTCGGGCCCAGGTTGGACGAGAGTCCTCTCTGCCTCCTGGAAGCTATGGACTTCATGGCCATGGAATCCATTCAAATGACAAATTCGAAAAAGCTTGGTATGATAAGCACCCTGACGAATTTGTACGCGAAGAGCAAAATCATTACGGAATGGGATTTGCAAGCCCCCGACCTGAATGGGCCATGTCAAGCGACGACTTAAATAAAATTGTCAAATCATCTGCAGCCAGAGCAGTTACGTTAGGTATTGTTTCCTCTTTTTTCTGCCCAATTTCCACCCAAACTAATGGAATTAGGCGCTACTGCAGATGTCATGGGCACCCCAGACGAAGAGATTGGATACCTGGCGACCGAGGAGCTCGCCTCCCGCCTTGTATCACCCATGCATGGCTCAGGGATACGTCCAGAAGTTCAGCCTTTTGCCGACGCTACCAAATCACAAGTCAAGTCTAACCTACCGCCTACTGGTGGCCAAGACACAATCCTCAACTCCGCTAGAGACCACGATAAAGAAGGCGTTCAAATTCACATAGATGAACCAATCCATCATCAGAATCATCCGGACGGTTTCATGCCTGCTCCGGAAGATAATAAACCACATGGCGATGATTCATTGGAGGAAAGTGAAGCCAATGCACCGATACTTGCAGAAGATGAGGTTGATGAGCGTACTGAGCATCTACAACCAGCTGTTTCTCCAACTTTCGAGAGGCGAGATGGTTTGCGTGCTGTCGATGAATTTGATCTCAAAGGGAATAGCCGATCTGCAAGTACAGTTGGTAGTCGACCCCACTCGAAACCAGCGGCAAGCCCTGTTCTCTCAAGGTATAATTCTCGGGCAGAAGATTCCAGTGACATGAGGCGACCTCTTGAAGATGTCGAAGAGTACGAGCCGCTATTTCCAGAAGATGATAAAGACGAAAAGGAACCGTCTGTGGACGAAAAACTTAGGAAAAGACCTGAGTTCCACCAACACCGGTTCCCAAGCCGAGATATATGGGAAGATGTGCCTGACAGTTTACAGTTACAGACGACAGTCTCGATACCTGAAAGTCCCAAGAATGAAACTTCTTCTCCTGTCGATATCCCAGAGAACAAAATGGCGAAGATTATCACACAAACACGACCAATCCCAAATACATCTTCAAGCGGGTTTGACTCTAGAGTATCCACTCATGATGTCAAACAGCGTTTCCCCAGCAAGGATATCTGGGAGGAAGCCCCAGAAAGCCACCAACTCGAAGCCACAGTCCAGACACCGGAGCAGGAGCAGGTCCTTACGACGGACAGTGCACAGCAGTCATCCATGCCGGAAATCCCTCATCCTCCTTCACAAAAAGCACCGGAGATTGTTTCCAAACTTGAGCCTTCTTCAGCAAAAACTGAGTCTGCTCTCCCTGCAGCCGATTTGAAAAAGCGTCCCATTCTTCCGGAGCGTCCTAAACCTCAAATACCACCGAGACCCGCTAGACCCCCGAAGCGGATTTCAGATGACAGTTTAACTAAAACAATATCAAACAGCCCCAGCGACACGGCGCAAGTGCCTCCAGTTGTAAAGCCCAAGCCCCCAGTTCCTTCTCGCCCTCTTGGGTCCAAAATTGCAGCTTTGAAGGCTGGATTTCTGTCAGATTTGGATAATCGTTTGAAGCTTGGACCCCAGGCGCCCAAGCCACAGGAGAAGGAAGAAGAACAAACGCTAGAAGCCCCAAAGGGGCCTTTAAGCGATGCTCGCAAAGGCAGGGCCCGGGGTCCCGCGAGAAGGAAGCCTGCAGTTTCCTCTATACCGGAAGAAACAATGAAGACGAGAGAGCCTGAAACCCCATCTATTATGTTGGTTGAGCCATGGAATATCTGGTCGATGACCCCTAATGGGGTCTTTGCATTGTCGAAAATCAAATCGCGTGAACTGCGTACTAAGACAGAAGTATCACTATCATCGCCAGACCAAAATGACCAACAAGTCATGGAGTCTAGAGTCGAAGAAAAGAATGCTTTGGCCAGTCTCGGAATTGCGGATCACATATCTGATGTTCAGGAAGAGGCATCCAAACCGTTCGATGAGCCCCGGCAGTCCGTTGAAAATATGGCTAGCTCCAATCCAGCGCCAGTCGTGGAGCCTTCGAAATCGATTGCCAGCCCTGTAGCAGATACTGTAGATATATCTACAGATACAACGGAGACACCAGAGGCGCGTGGTGTTGATGGCGCTGTCAGTGGGGTGCCCCAGAAAGATGACGACAGCAGTGTTTTGAAAACGGAGCCTACTCTGCCAGATGATGTGCCGAAGAGCTAGACATCAAGTACAGTGTATACTAAATCCTTATCTTCCAAGTTGTTCTTATAACCTGTATGTAAAGGATATTGACCAGTGTTTGAGGTTTCACGCAGCCTTATACATAGGGGCATTGAATGAATAAGGTGTTCTGCTCTTGATATAGATTGCTAAGTAGACAGGTGAAGTGCCTAACGTGACTGTGCCCCGAATCAAAAGCAAATAAAACACAAGAAAGCTCCTCACATGAACAGAGTTTATACACATTCCAGCAGTTGCAGGTAACAAACAGAAGTTGACAAAAATAATGCGCAGAAAAACAGGAAGATAGCAGAACAATTCAATTGCACGCTTGATCTATGCCATGAATCTCAATAGTAGGAAAAAAAGCAGGAAAGAACATCAGTCCCAAAACGCCACAACCCCATTTCATTATAAAATCACCGAACTATGCCCCATGGATAGGATCGGGGCCAAAGCATATAGCAATACTTCCATAAATATACAGTGTGATATATTATAAGAGGGTAACAGAAAATCGACAAACTACGGAAAAGCATGAAGAGAGAGAGAAATGAAAAGCGGCCAGTTTTCAGAAGGTAGGAAGAATAAAGACAAGAAACAGGAAGGGCCAATTCACACGCTATATCGCGATGGACGTCACAGCCGAAATCGATACTCTGGTTGTGTATCATGTTGCAGTGTCTCAAAAGGCGAGAAGCGGAAGGAAAGAGAAATTGCCAAGAGACGTTTGCAGGCTGGAAATTTTTCGAGAGGTAAGGTTGGCGGAGTATGGTTGCGTCATGTAGTTGAGGAATGTTTGCCCTTAGTAGTGGGTTTTTTGACAAATGTAGTAACCGAATCCTTTTATTTTTGGTGGAGCGTTATATATGCTTATCGACGATGGTGTCTTGACGCAGATAGGGGGCGTGAGAACATTTTCATATCCCAGATTACTTTCTGAAGCTTTCGACGCCGAGCATTGGAGTCTCAACCAGGCCATCACGCGGTATTCCCTCGTCTCGTCGTCGTTGAAAGAAGCAGTCACACTCAGAAACTACCATCCCCCATTCTGCCAGGGCTCGACCGGCATACTTATTTGCGCCAATGCAGCTGTTGGCAGCGTAAGACATAACTACTGGCGCTGAGGGCACATCTTTTGCGGATGTGACAGCTGGCGGAGACATGGCCGGACTTGGGGTGCTCAGGACGTCTTCTACGTAGTCAGTATCAGACTCGAGTTCAGAACTCGTCTCGGAGAGTGAGTTGGTGAGGGATCCAGACCCAGATCCGGAATCGGAACCGCTTATAGCTGGATTGCGGCTAGACTGGAGGAAAATCTGGGTCTGTGCGGGTAGCGATGGTGGGAAGAGCCTCCTGTTTCTTGGAATGCATCTTGGACGATCCATCCATTCGAGGCAGAAGCGGAATGTGTATGTTCGATATGATTTTTGGGAATCATCTGCATCCGATCCACGCGCTTGATCTTTCCCTGGATGAGTCTTCGAGTCCTGCCCTCGCTCTTCCGAGCCACCACCCTCATCACAGCTACTACCAGGCGGAGTAACTTCGCCAGGCTTGGGATTGGAGCTTGTGCCAAATATAGATTTGAGAGATTTCCAGCGCTTCTTCGGCTCGGCTTGCGTTGCGTGCGCGGTGGCGCTGGCATTGATGCTCGGTATGGTAGTTCGCGGGCTGGGATTGTTTGATTGGCCATGCGAAACACTGTCTAGATATAGAAAGAGACCTGTGGGAGGTGGAGTTGCATCATCTCTAATGATGATTAAACGGCGACCAGGAGCTGGAGTACAGGGAACAGAGGACAATGGCGCTGTGACTTTTTTCTCCGCTGCTGCCTGGAAGGAAAGGAAGTAACTCCAAACATCTCCTAATCGACTAGACAAAGCACAGTATATCCTCCTACAATCAATTAGTATTAACTGAAAAATATCGCATGCCAGTAGGAACTCACCTATCCAGAGCAGAAGGACTATCGTTCAATCGCCCTAGTCTCCAGCAAATCAAACGATGGAAATACGCGCGCACCATGGGGCTCCAGTGACTAAAGTACTGAAAGAAGTACTGCTTGTGTAACAGTACCTCTAAACAAAGATGTTCTTTTCTTCGGTCTATTTGGCTGACGGCATCCCAGATGCCAAAAATGAACGAAAAAGCTCTCACTTCGGTCATAACATTATTGCTTTTCATCATTTGCTTGCAAACGTCCAGCCAAAAGTCCCAGTCAAGAATATCTGGTTGACCAGTTGACTGGCAGTAAGAAGGAATAATGGGGACGAGTTCCTCAACAAAGTCGCAAAGAACAAAACAAGGGCCATGGTCAAAAAGCGATGTCTTTCGAGCGGCCAACTTAAGCACTGCGCAAAACGTTTCCAGGAAAAACTGTCGAGTATCAGCTGATATCGTATCGTCTAGAAGCACGTTTTTCAGTATCAAAATTAGTCTATTTTCTGACATTATTCGCAGCGAATTCGTAGCGCCAAGGGGAAAACCGGCAGCAGTAGCTTCAGCGCTATCGATCAAATCCTCAAATGTAGTCGACGCAGCAGTATGAAGAGTTTCCAGGGCTTGGGCGTTGGCTTGCTTATTAAGTGTATTTTCCAATATCGCCAGCAATTGTGCATGGGCCGAAACTAGGCCGGGCACGTAAACACGCTTCGACGGGTCAATGTCTTCGGGCAAGAATTCCGCCACAAGAATGTGAAAATGTTTAACAAAGACGAAGAAAAGATCTGTATCTCGTCCGCACCAACGCGAAATCCACGGACCAAACCAATTGATATTGGAGGCAGCCAGGGGGATAGAAACGGTTCGACGCAAGGCACGAACCAAGCTCGCATGCGAGGTGAAGCTCATTGATCTCGCAGCAGGAGGGAAATAAGATGCGATATGTTCAGACACAACGCCCCTACTTGCAGGACTGCCAGTTGTCGGATACTGACTGACAATTCTTCGAAGTAAATCAGGTGTAACGCTCCACAGACGGGTGAGCATATCGGCAACGTCACGACAAAAAAAGAAAGCGTAAGCGCAAGTTTTCCCAGCAAAAGAAACAAGACTAGCGGGGGTATGTCTGGTGGACATTTTGTCGATACAGTACGCTAATTGGGAGAGTAGATTTTGAGAGAGAATGTTACGGATGTTGTGGTGAATGGACTCGACCAAGAAGTCTGATCCGGTAGACTCGAGAGATGTGTTCGACTTTTGGGTAAAGTTTGATTTCTGTGTGGGTGTTGCGCCTGGGGAGCAGGGGAATATTGGCACACGCCACTCCGGTCTCATCATGATGGCTGTAAGTGCCTCGAGGTAAACTGGCCGGTCGACGCCAGTTATACATTGGCTCGTCCGGCCGCCGAGCGTTTCTAATAAACCCGTCCACCACTTATTAAGAATGTTTACTCGTCGATCGAGATCCTCTGGCCGTAAGCATGTATTCGAAGGATGGTTGGCGTAGCGGGAGAGACATGGGAGGAGAGAGGAGCGAATGACGTTAACTTTGAGTGAACTAGATTTTGAATGATACCTGGAGCTGTTAGCCTTGAGAGCTCCATTTGTAGGAGTTGATACACATACTTCTGGTAATCCGCATCCAGGCTTCTAAACACATTCCAGAGCTCGTCTCGTTTCCGCGGCTGTTCTGATTTCTGTTTTTTTATGTTCGTGGGCGGTGGCTGAGGGAGTGGAGGTGCATCGTTCTTAGATAGGCCTACGGAAGCAGCCAGCCTTTCCAAGGACGTCTTTCGGCGTAGCGAGCGGATCGATGGAGCTTTGGACGATGCAGGGGATGGGTCTGTCTTCTCAACAGGCACTGGTGCGGCGGGCTGTTTCTTCGGCCTCCTGGCTAGGAAGCTAGCTGTCCTGACTAAATCACCAGGCCGCCGCTTGGCATCTTTCTGTGTTCGCGCCGTGGAGGCCGCATCTTGGTTCAACGAGAGTGGTTCGTTCGACGGAGGAGTTTTGGAGCTTTTTGCAGGTGACGGGGACCTCGACGGCCTCCATGGACGGCGAGAAAAGTTGACAAAAGCACCGGTCACAGCGTTGGTCTTCTTGGAACGAGCCGGTGATTCCTGGGGCGGCTTGCTTGGTTTCTCAACAGCAGTGGTAGCGGCGCTGGTGCCCTTCTCACCGTCATCTCCCAGCGTGAAAGCAGAGGTAGCACCTGGCTTGTTGCGCTTTGCCCGGAGCGAAGCCTGGCGTAGAATCTCCTTGCCGGTGGCCACTTCATCGGGGTTGTGGACGCCAGTCTGCTGGTCGGAGGAGTGGGCGAGGTTGACTTCAGACAGCGTTTTCCTCATGCAACTCAGATCGCCAGTCGCCTCGAGGGCTGGGATGTAGTTATAGCTGGCAGACCGGGTGAGCTGTGGCAGGCCACCGGCGTCCGGCCGGGCGCTGGCCAGCGACGGCATGGTCGACAGGCGGGTAGTAGTGCGGTAGTATCGACGGCGGACGAGGTTATTTTAGATGCCGTCGCGGAGGCAGGGATTGGAGGGGGGGCAGACCCGCAGAGCGCCAGAGAGCCAGCTGAGCAGCGCCGGCTCTCACCATGAGGTCGCGAGGCAGGCAGGCGAGGTGTCAGCGGCAGCACGGCATCGGTCGTCTGTTCTCCAGCGGGTGCGGGTGAGAGGAGAGGTGGGAAGTTGGCCTCGCAGCAGCGGAGCCGATCGACAGGGAGCGAAATTGCAGCTATTCTTAGCCGGCGGGCGGAGCAGAACTGCCACGCGCAATCGAGCTGCCTGGCACGGCCGTCCGTCTGCTGCTGTCCCCGACGAGGAGCGATGTGAAGCTGTGGTGAGGATGCGGCGATGCCGCCGGCGAGACGAACCGCAGGTTGTTTCAAGAGCGGGAGCGCACGCTTGGCGGGGGACGCTGCGGCGACAGTGAGACAGACAAAGAGCCGCCCGTCCAGCGAGGATGAACTAGCTATTAGTTATTCTCCAGAGACAGCGAGGGCAGCGGAGCGAGGTCTGTGGCGGCGACGGCCGCTCGCTAGCGACGCTCCTGATCATCTCGCGGCTCCACTGGCCGTCCGTTGAAACGACGCCGTCGCTCTATACAGGATGTACAATATCGACGGCCTCTACGCTTCGACGGCCTCACTGCAGGGCGTTGCACGGCAGCGATACCCAGCCGCCCCAGCACGCTCCACGCCACAAGCATGCGCCAGCCGGCGGCGCCCTCTGTATGAATAGTATGTGAAGGTGCACTCCCAGATGGCATTCGATCTGGCTATCTCGCGCCGCAGTGACAGGTCTTACAGCTGCTCCACCGCCGCCGTCCCAAGCCCGTCGAACCCTTCGCGTGTAACTTTGTGGCCCGCCAGCCGGCTTGCAAATCGCATTTCTTTTGCCAGCTCGAATTGGTCCTCGTGGACGAGCAACCCGTGCAGCATGCCCGCGATGAAGGTGTCGCCTGCGCCCGTCGTGCTGTGCAGAACCACCACAGTCAGAATACATACATACACCACTAACAATGCTTGCAGCTTGCAGCCCTTAATCCACGGCCAAGGGCGGTGCTCAGGAATACGCATACATACTCAACCACAGGTCGCTGGCTGTCCCGGAACGCGGGCGTGTCAATATACGCCATGCGATCCACATCGAGGCCAACGGCGCCTCCTTCGCCCCAAGTACAGCACAAGATCGCCCTAAACAACCGTTAGCCTGCTCAAAGCCGCTAACTTTTTGTTTTTTTTTGCGAGAACCCGAGGCTTGGTGGCCGTACGCTTTGGGGGTTAGCAGTAACTCGGCTTCCAAAAGCTCCCGCGGCGACTGGTATCCGTTCCACTAGAACTCAGAGATTTCGTTCCTAGTTAGCAGGCAACGCGAACACGACCACTTTTCCGGCATCGGCGATTGGTTGGAGATCGTCTTACTTGAGCCCAGTTTTTGGAATAAAAGACTACGTCTGCTTCGGCCGCTAGCTCTCGCAAGCCCGCTCGGTCAGGCTTCTCGATTTCCACACTGACCCGATTGCCTGGATTCTTCCGGCGAACATATTGCATGCACGCTAGGGTGACCTCTGGGATACGGCCCTAGACAAAATACGTGGTCAGGAGCTTGTAGACCCTCTATTCACAGGACATCACCCGCTATCACGCCCACTGTATCAAGTGCCACAGCGTACTTCAAAGTGAAACCACGTAGGGTCAGCTGGCAAGTCGTCTGCTACTTGCACAAACTCATCAGCCGTCATCTCCGGTAGCGGGTTATAGTTCACAATCGTGCGCGTGCCCGCGGATTGACTGCGGATGATGTAGCTCGACGCAGCGTCGCGCCACTCCTCCCGATAGATACAATGCCGAAGGTCGACTTTCGAACCCAGCGACGTCTGGACTTCCCTTACAGCCGGCGATGACTTCGCAGGCAGTACGAGTACTGCATACAGTGGTACAGACACCGCAGCATCCGGCCCGTTTTCAAATAGCTGCTGGAGCACCTCAAGCGAGTTCGGACAGTTTCCACCACGGCGTCGCGAGACGTGGGATGCACGTAGCTTTTCATCTTCTTGGGGATAGTGGTCGACTCTAGAACGGATGTTAGGAACAGAAGGCTCTTGTGTAGGACCATAAGCGGAGGGGGTGTATTCTATCTCACGTCAAAATCGTATCGAGGTAGCAAGCCCCGACAGCGACTAGCGCCCTCATCAGACGATAAGAGGGATCTATGGATCGCACAGAAGACGGCTAGGTATCATGTGGTGTACGAAGTACAGAAAAAAGGGATGAATGTCGGCCCTGTGTTGGACGTATGTACTTTAGAGCGGGGGAGTGTCTAGTCACCAGACGCAAGTATTAACATTTTGACTGCACGCTGAATACCGGATCACAAATCCGTAATAACCTTGCTTCAGGCCTTCAAGTCATCTGGAATTTAAAGCATATGAATTGAAGTGTGTAACTTTTAATTCCAACCTTATCTAAATAACCCCAAAATATCCAAACAGCTTTAAGGACATGCGTATTTAAGAACATGACGGCGGGGTAGAGCCTGGGAGACACAAATATCCAATGATCCCATGTTTATACTGAGGAGATGCTTCCTAACCCGGAGGTGACATTTATTGGGTCACGATATTTTATTAAAGCGAGAATGTGTTCGTCTCCACGGAGAAATGCCTTCATCCATCGGATCAATGTATTAACCTACCAAAGATGTACCGATTCAAAGAGAAAATTGGGAAATTATGATAATATTTGAATAGCTTGCAACACCGTGGAGGATAAAAGGATATAAACGTTTGATCTAGAAAGTACTGGATGCTGTAACTGTACAATATCGCGTGTCGTGTATTCTCGGTCGTCTATCGACTCTCCCATCTTAATTCTTTTTTGTACATGACAACATTTAGTGAGCAGCGGGCGTTTCCTCTTCTGGCATCTCAAACCAGTCCTCTTCAACAGCGGCGGTCTCTCCGGGCGCTGTTTGGCCTTCAACCTCGACTTCCTGGGTCTCATACGCCTTCAGATCACCCGCAATGTTGGCTTCCTCCGGGGAGGGAGGTGTTGCAGGCATAGCGAACTTCTGCACGTAGGCGTCGGCATCAGAGGCCTTGACAGGTGCGGGTTTGTAGGCTCGAAGTTCGCGAAGATAGAGGTCCTGAACCGCGTCGGCTTGTACGCAATCACCGTTAACATATTACTCAGTGACAAAAGAGCTAGCACTCCTACCTTGTCTGGCAGATGAAGTCGCGAAAGTTCGAATAGCGAACGAGCTCTGTTGCCGAGCCACTCGGGTCACAATGGACCGCTGTGAAAGGTTAGCAATCGGCGCAATTGAAGACAAGAGGGGGCAAAAAGAAAGCCTACAGATGCCCTAAGCGATTGAAACAACATCGTAACTGATAAGGATGACGGAGGGGCCGGCAAAGAATCCAAACGGAGGTTCGAATTGTAGTTCGACGTCGTCGCTACGTTCTTCACAGGTGGTTTGTGGTCTTGGCATAAGATGAGTCAGCATACCGCTTTCGGACTTCAAAAAGCCTTGCTTCACTCTAAGACATCGTCATCCCATCCAGCCCCAGGCTCCCTTCCAGCATCTCCAACAACCTGCAGGTGAACTCATATTTAGGACTACTACTACTTTTCAGCAAGCTATTCTTGCGGAGTATCCTACTGAAGCACGCTTCGACGTTGCATAGCGACTTTGGGAGGCTTCTTTCAGTTCATCGCTGATATTTGCCACCTTCACTTCACCTTAACGTGAGTGATCGCAGAGCCATCAGTCCGCGTCTCCCTTCATCCTCAAAGCGTTGGTTACTGTGTGAGGGAGCCCGAGCTGCCTTTTTAAGACAATTATCTTACCCCTGCAAAAGGTAAAGCTGAGATAGATTTGCTGCTTTTGGGTTGACAAGCACTCAAGTGTATCCCTTCCGCATCACCCTTAAGTGGGCCATCGATATCGCTTTTGCGACTCGCATGGACTGCTTGATGTACTGCAGCGATGGTTTTCTTAGCATTTGGGCTGACATGATAGCCAAAAGATAGTGGCCACGGCTTCCTGCTCAGCTCCAGGTTCAACCGCGTGCCACTAGTACGCTTTCCAGCCCCTTTTTGGCCGCTCGGCGTCGTCCAGACCAACCGGCAAACTGTATTCGCCGTTATTTATTCGTGTTTGTGCAACGCAGCATAACCTCAGGGTCACTCACAAGTCGATCCAGAGGCGTCGCAGTGAACGGCTGAGCAAGAGAGGAAAGGCGCAGAAGATGTCCACGTTTGGAAGCGCGGCTCGAAATGAAGCTTCGTCCTCTTTGTGGAAGGAGAATCTTGCGGCGCAGCTAATCTGCCCCGAGTGTAAGGAGAACCCTCCTAACCTCCGAACGCCTGATTCCCACGAGACAATCTGTGCCTCCTGTGGCCTCGTTCTTGCAGATCGAGAAATCGATCAGCACTCGGAGTGGCGTACCTTTTCAAATGACGATCAAAATAACGATGATCCGTCTCGAGTCGGTGATGCTGCCAACCCGTTACTCAATGGAAATCAGCTTGAGACACATATTTCATATGGGCAAGGCGGCGCGAAGGCTCGCGAATTGCATCGTGCTCAGAATAAATTATCAAGCGAGAAGACCAATCGAGCTTTGCTTGCGGCATACAAAGAGATTGGCGCTCTTTGCGATGGTTTCAATATCCAAAAGAACGTTGCGGACACCGCCAAGTACCTGTTCAAGGTTGTTGATGATGCCAAGGCTTTCAAGGGCAAGTCCCAGGATGTTATCATCGCCGGATGCATCTTCATAGCCTGTCGCCAATGCAAAGTTCCGCGTACTTTTACCGAAATCTTTGCTTTGACTCGAGTGTCGAAGAAGGAAATTGGAAGGATATACAAAGCCCTGGAGAAGTTTTTCACTGCACAGAACCTGGAGAGGATCAACTCTGTGGTCTCCAGTGGAGGTACAACTTCTCTTCTTTTGCATTGGAGCGACTGTTTGCTAATTTTTGTATCAGGCGTGCCAGATCCCAATGAAACTTATACCACGACTACCTCTACGAAGCCTAGTGAACTTTGCAGCCGCTTCTGCAACTTGCTTGATCTACCCTTTCAGGTAACGAACGTGTCTTCGGCCCTCGCCGATCGAGTTACGTCAATGGGCGATCTCGCCGGCCGGTCCCCTCTATCTATTGTTGCTGCATCCATCTATATGGCTTCATTCCTAGTGGGCCAGGGCAAGTCGGCGAAAGAAATTTCAGCTGTTGCCCATGTTAGTGATAGCACTATTCGTGGCGCTTATAAGCAGCTGTATGCCGAGAGGGAGCGATTGATTGATCCTACTTGGATAAAGGATGGCAAAGGCGATTTGAATAACCTTCCACCTACTTAAAGTAGACGACGGCGGTCGCACACCATTTAGATCCTGAAAAAATGGCGGTGTGTTATTGAAATTTGTCATCCTCGGCGCCGTGGTCCGTCATCAATGCTCCCGTTTCGCGAGCATTTTGATTCGTATCCCTGCGAATGTGAAAAAGCGACTTTCACTTACCTCGCATCAGGTATGATGTTTTCGTCGTCAAAATGAAAACAAAAATAAAAAAAATTCTTTGGCTAGGCCTAAATCGGCCTTGAACTGGCTGCAGTAAATCGAATGCAGCCATTAATTTTTTGCGTGACACACAGGATCGAAGCAGTGGACCTTGAAGGAATAGCATATGGCTTCATTTCGCCTACACTGTACAATATATAATGTATTCATAGAATAACAGGGGCCGAGATTTACAAACCACCAGCATAATTTACTTTTGAAGTTGAATAAATTCAAACATAAATGACATCGAGATTATAGCCTCTAAATCGCTTTCTATGGTATACGATAGGAGAGAAACTCAGGCCTAGTTTTAGAAAACTCATGTTTAAGGCATGTTATGCTGTGCTAAGACCAGTAGAATTTCAAAAGGCGAGCATCGATGAAGTAAACCACAATACGATATATACATCGGGTATAAAAAATCTCAAGAAAAGGGGTTATACAGTAGATTAAAACACACAAACACCCAAATAGCCATGTCGAAAGAATAAGTAAGAATATAAAGACATAGAGTAAGTATTTCGAGCTGAAGTGTAGAAAGAAAGAGAAACTAGCTCGATGAATCAATGGTTTAATTTGATGCTCGCCTTCGTGAGTAGTGTCGACACCCTGTTAATCCAGTGTTGTGTTTCTGTCCAGTTTCCCGAATCAATCACATCTCTGATTGCGGGAAAAAATGCTTCATCGTAGCCGGACCACTTCTGCGGCCCGAAAATAATATGTTTGAATTGGGTGCGGTTAGGAACCTGAAGACAGCGAGTTAGTCATCCGGGGATGCGTAGAAACCGCTGAAAGGGGTTTACTCACGCCGCCACCTTCTTCTAAATCGAGCAAAGTCGTCTCAAAGTAGGCCATGTGACTGTTGTGGCTCATTCTTCGAATGGCGAAAACCTTGCTCTCGAAGCCATTGTTCGCACGGACTGTCGAATTCCACAGCCGGGCCCAATTGTGGAACGTATCTGCGTTGTCGTGGAATGCCTTGGCTGCATCATATAAAGGCTGAAAGTCGACGTGTATATCAGAGGTGTCCCTTGCAGTCCGCTTTGGCGAGGGTTTTAGGGGAACCGATTTTCTCTTGGCGTAGTCGTGCAATTCGGATACATATCGAGCGACAGCTGCGGCATACGCTCTTAGATTGAATGGTAAGATGGGGCGGTCAACCAATTCCAAAAGTAGGAGACCCCATACTTGACCAAGGGCTCTATGGTGAAGGAAACCTGGGTCGCCCATCGTGGCCATCCACTCATAATTATCGTAGCAGCTATGATATGGATACATGTCACCTTCAAATCCGAAATCAATGCTGGAGGTGCCAGCGATGTCTTGAAAGGCAACATAGTCGCTACCTGCACCCAAGCCTCGGAGTTTCGAATTACTTTCTTCCCAGATACTCCGTAAAGACTTGCCAGTCTTTGGGTCGCCAACGCGTGTCAACACGCGTAGAAGTGCGGTCTCAAAAAGAGGAGACGCTGAAGCCCAGAACTTGTCTCCAGATACCGCCACATCGACGTTAAGGTAGGCAAATCCATCGCTACGGAGATCCTCTAGCCTATTCTCAACGTGTTCCGTGGAGCCAATGAGGTTGTACTCCTCCCCGTCCCAGCTTGCAAACTCGATGGTGCGTAGTGGCCTCCATCCTAGAGCTTTAAGCTCTCCAAATATTCGGACAACTTCCAATAGAACAGCAGAGCCACTTCCAGGGTCCGCAGCGCCAAAACACCACGCATCACGATGACTCCCGATAATGACTTTCTTTTCTGGCTGCTCCACTCCGCTAATCCTTCCAAGAACGTTGTATATTGGCTGGCGCTCCACTTCATCTTGAAGGTTCATAAGGTTGACTTTAGGCGAAGAGGCATCGCCTGTCCACCATTCTTTCACGTCAGGCACACCGCCAACCCACTCCTTTGGTACTGTTTTCCCGTGGCTTTGGATGGCTTGTAGTAAATGTTGAGCATCTCTCCATGCAATAGGCAAGCTTGGAATCTTAGTAAGACCCGGGCTTTCGCTGACCGGTAACCTCTTTTTCTCCTCAGGGCGCGAGGAAAACCCTGGGCTCAATACATCCCCAACAACCCAGGACATCAAACTGACGCCCCCACGTTGCACGCCATCGCTGGGCATGTATCTTCCTTTTGGCCAAACGGGACCTTTCCGGAACCCATCTTCTGATGGGTCGGAGTATATGATACATCCTATAGCACCAGCTAATTCTGCAGCTTTAACCTTCAATGCCCGGTCACCCTGAGAGCCATAGTATTTCACTAGGGCTACTGAGCCCTTTACTTGAACACCAAGTTTGGCCAAGGTCTCAAAATCTTCTCGTGAGCCATAATTCGCATAAATAAGAGGGCCAGTGACATTCCCAGACTTCGAATGCCCGTGGAAAACCAGCGTCTGCTCTCTTGGAGGCGCTGCGTATGCACTATTTTCGTCGATTATAGCCTCCCAACGCTTTTCGGCGGGTTCAACAATAGCTATCCTCCTGCCATCTTTTCTGGGGTAATTCAGATACACATCAAACCTCTCCATTTTGACATCTTCGAGGCCAGCTGCGTTGAACTTGTTTTGCATAAATTCCGCTAATACATAGTTTCCTTCTGTTCCTGCAATATGGGGGAACTGAGTGAGGAACTTGAGGTTCTCCGCGATGTTTGTTTCGTTGACTTGGTTCTGGACATATTCTCGGACTGATTCAGGCTCGTATGCCCGACCAAAGTTGAACGAGCCAAAACTGAATATATCGGATACGACGAGAAAGTATATGATCGACGCAACGATAAGAATGGCGAAAAGGCGAAGGAGAAGAATGCATTTTTGAGCGTCTTCGGTTGCACCGGGAGGCAGAAAGCTAAAATTGAAAGAAATGTTTGGGAGATATTTCCGTAAGGGGAGCTGTATTGAGGAGAGAGTTCTCCTAAGGTGGGTGAAGCGTTTCGAGAAAGCAGAGCGAGCAGATTGCTGGGTGCTTTCGGGTTCCTCCACGTCCATTTGCTCTAATTCTCTTCGTAAGCTCTCGGTAGAATCTCGTGTCGATCCTTCAACCGATGACGCCAGGTATTCGATGCTAGATCGAACGGATTCCACTGTTGGTGGATGATATCCTCGCGGATATTGGGGGCTCCCCGTGTCCGCGCCATGGCCGAGGAGTTGTTGCCTTTCAGCATCGTCGCTTACTTCTTCAGGGCCGAGGCGTGACTGAGAGGAGGAGGGCCGTGAGGATGTTGCCTCTTCATAGGTAGGAATTGGGAGGGAGTCATATAACGATTTGTGGTCACCCATTGTACTGGGTGGAGCAGAAGCGTCCCCCTGCTACCCGAGAATTGTCGGGGATCGAAGGGTGGTTTCGGGGCTCGGTGCTCATATTCCGACGGTCTGCAGGGAGAAAAAGAGAGTCATACTATTAATGAAGAGCCCAGATACTGCACTTCACAAAAACTGTCTCGTGCGGCTGTGGGCAAGCCCATTGTATGCACTGTTTCCTTTACGCTGGCCCCATCAACAGGATGTCTGTGCTTAGTCAGCTGCAGTACGTAATCACTGGGTGTGGCGCAGTTTGGCAAGGGTTTGACGCTAATCCCGTATCGGTCTAGACTTTATTCCCGGAGTAACTGATAGTCCGAGAACAGGGCTTGAACTCAAGGTGCCAGGTAAATTACTCGTATATACTGGGATTTATTCATATACGTTTTTAGTCAAATTAGCTATTAGGAAATTCGCCCAGCGGAGGTGCATGGTGACTACTCTGTTCTCCATAACTATACCTAACCTAACCTCATCTTTTCTGACAATCAGCATAGAATCTACATATACTCGATACCTGATAGTCAGTGATTATCATTGGATCCCTCTTATAGCTTAATTTGAAAGTAGATGTCTACATAGTAGTTATGGTTATATGATGAGGTAACAAAGTCAACTAATATTAAAGGAATAAATGAGAAAATATTCATCAAACTCATGCTGCATTTTGTTGGGCGGTTGCCGTGGCTTAGTATTGGGAATAAATTTTTTCAATAATCTCTTGTTTGTTCGTTGCAAGTCTCTTCCCCCTAGCGGATTGTGTCCCTACACTAATTGCCAGCAGATACGGAAGCGGCAAAGTTGATACTGAACATCCTGTGACCTAGCGGTACATTTGTATACGGGAACCCCATAGATGATGGCAATCAAAGTCATTGCGCAGAGCCTACATGAAATGTCAATAGGATATTTGGGAGCCTAGGGCTCACGGTGATATTCTGGAGAAGGCAAAGAGCACCACAAAGGGGACGAACTCAAATGAGAGAATGAAATGGTTAGAAAACCTTGTAATTTTCACTTTGTTTAGCGGATTAGTGTAGACAACGCACCTTCTTGAATTATACAGCCCTGTATCCGCCTCATATCATCTAGTGCTTCACCAACGTTCCGGTACTCCATCATCCAGCATCTGTGAATGACTTGGCCCAAAATCATATGGCGGGCGTCTGGGAAAATTCCGACCTTGTATAATAGTTCGACTTCACGATCGGATTTTTCTGGATATGGGTGGTGGGTAGTCTCGATTTCGTACAGCAGAGAACCAAATGCAAAAATTTCAGTGCGAACAGAAGGGTTTTGTGATGACGGAAAGCTAGGATGTTCAAATCGTGTGCCGCATAGAATTAGAGGCTTTGAGCCGTCCAGAGAGGATCCAGCAAAATCGTTCAGTTTCACATTATCATCCCAGTCTAACAACACATTGTGTGCGCCGATATCAATTTGGAATACCCCGCGCGAATGAATGTATTCGAGGCCAAGTCCTATTTGGGAGGCCCAGCGTAAAATCTCGCTTTGAGTTGGTGAAGATCGCCCTGCATTGCGGAGGTCAAGGAGCCGTTGGCGGAGAGGGCACTGAAGGCGCTCAAGAACTAGCATGTCATCATGTTGTATTGATAGAAGCTTCGTAATCTGTGGATGGAGCCCTAGCCGTTTGTAGATAGCACACTCGATCTGAGCTTGGGCTCTGTTCTCCCCCGTCACAGGAAACTTGATAACCGCCGAATCGGAGGCTTCCACCACCAGGCCGGAAACACCAGTGGAGACCCAAGGAAGGTCGATGACTTTATCCTTAGGTGGGATGACTAGAACCTCTTGAGAGTCTTTAGGTCCATGCACTGAGATGTTGCAAGGCGCCATGATGCAGCCTTGCGCATAATAGCGGTTGGTGTGTGGAATTTCCAAACTTCAAAGGGAGTTGTTTCGGATTGGAAAATCCTAGATCCGATATTCTGAATCCCATGAAACGTTCATTATTCTAGAGTAGGTGTACTATTAAACCCAGTCAAATTGAAGTTCCAGTTGCAGTGAATACAACGACCCTGAGAATAATTTCATTAGCTGAAGATCCATCAGACCTATTGGTAAAAATAACAAACTCCACGCGAAATTTCAAGGCTGTACCCACTCAGCTGCTTGCTTTCACGGTTACATGCCTCTCTGCAAACCACCTGTAGCGTTGAATACGCCGATAGACTAAGGAGGTGCTCCGTATAGCGTGGGAAATCAGGGCAGCGGCCTTCCGCATTCCCCGTGCGCTGCAAAACATAGTAGGTGGGGCTCAGGGGGGGCAGCCTGGGTGTTAAGTGGTGAGGGTCCTCGGCCGCGGTATGTCCGATATCTTTTTGGCAGAGAACATGGATCGGATCTGACTTGTATACCACTGTGGAGTGAGTTAACTTGGATCGTTTTAGTACTTACGCCGATGGATGGGGCTATCGGCACTCTTAAACTGAGGCACGGAGCCTGTACAGCCCTTTAGAGAGTCGAAGTAGTCCCCTAGACGGTTCACGGTTCCAAATAGTGTTTTTCTGGAAAATAGTCCTAAAACGTTCCTCTACTTTGGACCGCTAACCACGGACAAGTATGGGGCCAATATATAATTATGTAGCTTTCGGTCGCATTGAGAACCCCACCATGGTGGCCCAGCAGGCGCATTATCAGGATTCATGGATCACGCGTTTTGCCGGTATTAGGCGACAGCATGTTTCCTCGATAGAGTTACGAGGATTGAAAAGAAAGCAATAAAACTACTCAGCTCCTGGCACGTTTACAAAGCATCCTTGACAAGCATCACGAACCCAGGAAGTCTGGACTTCCCGCAGCCGCCTGATGTCATAACTGGGTTGCAATCAATCCCTCTCCGGCGAACGGCTCATAGAAGGCTGACATATACTCCGTACTTGCACCTGGAAGGAAATAGAGCCCCTGGCCTGCGTTCTCAGCCGCTCAGATTGACAAGTAGAGTATTGGTCTCGGAAGCTGTGGCCAACCCATGTCCCGACGGGAATGCAAATTAACTACGCGGCCAACATATTTAGATACGGCTGAGGGAGTGGCAAGGAGGGCATTTCGCTTCCGGGCGGTGTTGGTCTGGTCGGGTCGGGGGAGCAGAATCCTGGATGTGTTTCTAAATAGCAGTTGGTTACGGCCGGTCTTCCCCGGTGAACAAAAAAAAAAAAAGGATATTATGGCGGCATCGGGGCTCGGGATGTAGTGTGCAATCATACTCGCTTGGTCCCACGCATTAAGAGTTTAGCCGAATAGGAAGGCCACAGGTCAGATTCGAAGAGCAACGGCGCGGGCTCTACCAGATATGCCATAGGGCAGCTGACGGGGACGCGGTACACAGTCACACACACGAGGCAGCAGTGTTGCTCTCGCTTTCAGCCGGCAGCTGAGCCCACGGCGCAGCGCGAGGGATGGCACGCCGCAAAGGCGAGGGAGCTCAAGATTGCCGCTGTTCCTGGCGGCGCGGTGGGCGCGTAAAAGGATTTCGGCGGCGGTACGCAACGGGCGGCAGCGATTGGGCGGCGCAAGCTTCCAGGCGGGCAGCAGGGTCACGACGATACAGGCATCGGAGTAAGATTGAGTGGAGCGTTGTCTTATCAGATTGCTACCCGACGGCGACGAGTGAGCGCTCCACCCGCACACCCGCTGGGTGAAGGCCGACAGGGGGTGGCCGTGGTGGGTGTTGGCAGCCGTTGGGTGTGGTTATGTAGTTCTAGGCGTCGTGTTGGGAGTCAGTAGTTAACCAGCTGTGTGATTAATTAGTTAGTTAACTACTCTGCAAGTAACCCGCTTATGTGGTTAACAAGCAGCTCTTCGTACCCTGTGCTCCGTACAGAGCAGCCCGCCAACGCGAGCCTTCGCGGCCATCGATCCTCGCGGCCACCGCTGCGGGAGCTTTAACTACGCCTGCCCGCTCCGAGCGTAGCCCCTTGGCTGCGTTTTAGCGCGAAGTCAAAAGCGGCTGGCGGCGTGGAATTTGTTGTGCAGCCCAGCAGCGGACGAAAAAAAGAATAAGGATCAGCCTGCAAAGCGTGCATCTCTCCCCCTCCATAAGATCGATCCCCTTGCCACGGCGCCCGCCATTCCCACAGTCCCTCGTGTCTCGCACTCCCGCAACGCTCGCCTCTCTGTCCCCGTCCTCGTCCCTCCGCCTGCTTGCTTCTCTCCGTGAGTCTCCCGCCCCGTTGCCTTTGCTGCCCACCTTTGTTGCACAGTCGCGTGCAGTCACGCAATCGCCGCAGCCCGCTTCTCGACCGCCTTTTTGCTTTCTCGACGCCTCTGCTGACTCGGGCGTTTTGCCTCGTGACCCAGGCCTTTCGTGCCTTTCTACCTGCTGCTTCTCTGCTGTGTCGTTGATCAGGAGGCCATTGTAGCCACTGTTGCGTCTAGTCGCCCATCATGTCCACCCGCCCCCAAAACATTGGAATCAAGGCCGTTGAGGTCTATTTCCCCAGCCAGGTAAGGCCCCGTCTGCTGGGACTCAGAGAGAGACGTCTGTGGGCTGACTGATGGCCAGTGTGTCGACCAAGCTGAGCTCGAGAAATTCGATGGCGTGAGCCAGGGAAAATACACCATTGGCTTGGGCCAGACGAAGATGAGCTTCTGTGATGACCGAGAAGGCGAGTCGCTTCTGCCCAAAATATGGCACGCAGGGCCAGCGTGGCTAACGCGGAGAAATAGATATCTACTCCATGGCTCTTACCACCCTCTCTTCGCTCCTTCGCAAGTACAACATCGACCCCAAGTCTATTGGCCGTCTGGAAGTAGGCACCGAGACACTCCTCGATAAATCCAAGTCGGTTAAGTCCGTGCTCATGCAGCTGTTTGCTCCCGCTGGAAACACAAATGTCGAGGGTGTCGACACTGTCAATGCTTGCTACGGCGGCACCAACGCTCTCTTTAACTCCATTAACTGGCTAGAGTCCTCCGCTTGGGATGGAAGAGATGCTATCGTCGTTGCTGGAGACATTGCTCTTTACAAGAAGGGCAACGCTCGCCCTACCGGTGGTGCTGGCTGCGTTGCTATGCTCATCGGCCCCAACGCCCCTATTGTTTTTGAGAGCGGTCTCCGAGGTAGCTACATCACCCATGCTTATGACTTCTACAAGCCAGACTTAACTAGCGAATACCCATACGTCGATGGCCACTTTTCCATCAAGTGCTACACCGAAGCTGTTGACGCTTGCTACAAGGCGTATAACGCCAGAGAGAAGACTCTCCACGCCGCTGTGAACGGAAACGGAACCGATTCCGTTGACGAATCCAAGACCCCTCTTGACCGTTTCGACTACATGCTCTTCCACGCTCCTACCTGCAAGCTTGTCTCGAAATCCTATGGCCGGCTTCTCTACAACGACTATATTGCCAACCCCGACCATCCCGCTTTTGCTGAAGTTGCCCCAGAACTCCGCGACCTTGACTACAACCAATCTCTTTCCGACAAGGCCATCGAGAAAACCTTCATGGCTCTTACCAAAAAACGATTTGCGGAGCGTGTTCAGCCAGCTATCCAAGTTGCCACCATGTGTGGTAATATGTACTGTGCTAGTGTCTATAGTGGTTTAGTCAGTTTGCTGTGTAATGTCGGCTTTGACCCAGCCCTGCCCAAGCGCGTCGGCATCTTCAGTTATGGAAGTGGTTTGGCCAGCTCCATGTTTAGCGCCAAGATTGTTGGAGATGTTTCCAATATTGTTGAGAAGCTGGATCTTCAGAAGCGTCTTGATGCTAGAAGAGTTGTCGCCCCAGAGGTTTATGACGAGGTAGGTCCACCCAAGTTCTGCTAAGCATTTCTTAGATGTTAAGACTAATACTTATTTTTTGATAGATGTGCCTCCTGCGCGAAAAGGCCCACTTGAAGAAGGATTTCATCCCTCTTGGCTCCACGGAGAATATTGTACCTGGAACATACTACTTGACCAAGGTCGACGATATGTTCCGCAGAGAGTATGATATCAAAGCTTAAGCGCCCATTAAATATCGAATTTGAAGAATGCAGCTTGTCTAGATTCTCTCCTTCCCGGGAACTCCACGACCAGGCACAGCTAAGGCATATAGACTTTGTGGGATGGTAACTGGTTTTTGTGACTTTTTTAATTCATTATGATTATTATTTGATGCTGGAGAACCCCGAAAATGGCCTGTTATATGACTAGGATTTTTTAATTGAAATACCCCTATCACATTGGAAAAATCGAGAAGTTGATATTTTGATGTGTGGTACTGGGACTAATTAGATTCGTTTGAGATGCTGAATTGAATGAATTGAATTTTTTACAACAATAGTATGGTGTAGCCCTGCAGAAAAACCTGATTACCAGAACTCCGCACTGGAGAAAAACGTACGACATAAAAGGTAAAAAGACGCGCGTAAACATGCGTCCCCACGAGGACAATGAGAAATATCAGCAGGCGATTAGGCTATCAGACTGCCGTTCAACCCATCAATAATATCCTCGGTAAAAGGCCAACGCCCCACAAAGACATTGCGAATCTGGTGTATAAAAGATGATCTTCCTCGCCAAAGCAAACCAAGATAGCCCCACACGCGGGTTGAAAACTTGAAGTAGAAAAGTCAGTCCTCTCTGGCTCTACTACAATACTGTGCCAGTATTATCAAAGACATTGTGGCGAAATAGGCCTTTGAAGCCAGCATCGCTGACAACGCCTGCAGCCCAATAGTCGGCGGCAAGCGTGTCAAGGATGAAGCGGCCGGTGACATTCCGCCCTTGGCCTTGATGCAAGAAATGCAACGACAACATGGTCTTTGGGGAATGGGCCTAGACTTGCCCATGGGGCCCTTGTGCAACCTCCCCGCACAAGTCGACGACCAAGATGCGCAAAAGAGCCTCCAAAATACGCGCCAGTTAGTAGTTAGGAGTGACCAGGTCCTGGCAGCTCGGCGTTTTTTCCCCAAGAACACCGTTTCTTGAGAGTCCACACCCAAGACGCTGTGAGTCATGGCCCAATACCGCGCTGCATCCCGGAAAGACGCACGCGCGCGCGTCAAAGCGTGCCGGGGGTGTTGGGACTTTGGGGGCGATGCGCGACGAAGAGCACGTGTCGGCGGCGAAACGGCGAAACGCGAGATCACGACGCGTTCCGGTCTGGATCGAGCCTAGCGCGAATTTCGGGAAATACGCTAGCCTTATTAGACTAGGGTGTTTCTGAAACACGGAGAGACGAAACCTTAAATACCGCGGCGACCAATCAGCGACCTTAGCGCCGCCAACACGGGCAAACGCGCTAGTAGCCGCCCGGCGACGATCGCATCCTGACAACGACCTCCAACTCCGCCATTCAAGGGCCAGCGCCAACTGCAACACCCGGTCCTCCGTCTCTGCAGTCAAAAATAGTACGGCAATCATCCGATTCTCCATTCTATCCTCCGGTGTCTCAATTCTATTTTCTTTCTTTTTGTCTTGCCTCATTGGGAGTCCCCCACTCTACTTTTCGGGTCCGGAAGATGCAACTACAAGCGCCCATCAGGACAGGATGGAATTGCCCAAAAATATGACGCTCAAGGGGCCAGGTTGGCGAGGATCCTGCCCGCATGAGAAGATGAAACTCGGAGAAAGAACCCATCGAACCCATTCCCCCGGGTAAACCTGCATGGAGCTCCTCCAGTAGAGGCGTCGCCGTTCACCGCTATGCCTGGGGTTTGCGCGCGCGCGCGTGTATGCAGAGCGCGATACGATAGAGTTTTCTCACAAAGGAAGCTATGACACCACGCTCGGCCCCGAAGAGGGTGTTTCCTTGACTTAATACTGCCGTAGCGTTCTGTCTACGGCCGGTAGCTTTGTTTCATGTTATCCATGCTCATGGCGCCTCTTTGGAATCCCAGTCTGTCAATTGCAAATGGGGGTCTTGCCATCGAGGATTTATAGTGTCTCGATTCCCGCCCTGATTGCTGGATCGTGCTCCTCGTTCTATTTTTTCCTCAGTTGTCAGGTTTCCAATTTCCCCTTTCCTTTCTACTGGCCATCGAGTCTCCTTCTGAGAAGGACCCTGGTCACGATTCCTTTTTGCCAATTTCTCTCGTCTATTTTGGTTTTACCCGTCAGATACCTTCTGACACCTCAGGAAGCCGGCCTTCCTTGTTAATTCTATATTCTATTACCGTTTCTAACTCTTGAAGTTTGCCTCTATACTCAACTTGTCTTACTGGCTCTTCTATTTTAAGTGATATCAGACAAGTAATAATGGCTTATAATTATCCACCAACGACTCCTCCGACCGCCTATACTGCAGGGCAGTACCTCAATACTATCCACAGCCGTTCGACTTCAGGATCCTCTATATACACACTCGATTCTTCTCCAGAGTCAGTGAATACATGTATTACCACTCCTAATCGTTCACCCGCCTACCCCCCACATGGCCGTGCCTTGTTACCCAAAATCCGTCCGCAGGATGTGGTGGTTGAGCCCGTATCTCAAAAAGCTTCTCAGCGCCATCGAAGGGCCATGTCCAGCACTGTCAACCCCGCTGGCTATGCTCCATACCCATCCGCTCGACTTGCAGCCCCACGACCGGCCGTTGACTCAACTGGAATGCTGATTCCACCTATCTCTACTGCCTCTGCGTTGAATGCTCATCTTGCCTCCCCTGTCTCTACTCCGACAGAGCCTCGCGGGCGCTCTGGTCACTCTCGCAATGTTTCTGCACCTAGTATTGACGAATCAACTCTTTCCCGCTATGGATATCCTACCTACCGCCAGCTGCCAAAATTTGTGTCCCAGTACAGCCCCACAACTCCTGTATCTTCGACAGCGCTGACGTTACCCAATTATGGCCCTGCTAAACACGATCCTCTGCCCCACCAGTCCTATAGTGGCACTCCCGGAGTTTACAATGTGCCAACTGTTCCCACTAAGAGACTTGAAGCTCCAGTTAGCATTGCCGGCCCTGCTAAGCCCCAAGTACCCACTTCCACAACTCTTTTTGAATATCTCACTGCTCCGACACAGGCTGTAAATTTGACGCAAAACATCTCCGGCCATACCTCTTCTCAAACTCAGACTCATTTTTGGTGGGACATTCGAAATTTGCGGCGATGGTCCACTTTCTCACTGGACACGATGAGCGAGATACCAAAACTATCAAAGCTACTCACAACAGATATCCCGGATAGCCTTACGCCAAAATCCAATATTTCCTCTTCAAGGCTTCTGCCAGATTCCGAATTTGCTCTTGCAACAGCTATTCGCGATATATACGCTCCCCGTGTCAATGCTGCACTCCGGGTCTCTCAGGGTCGCGAGTGCTTATCTCTTTACGCTGCACCTGAGGTGGGGACCAATCATGAGAATGGCCCTCACTTTCTTGCAAACTATCCGTCTGACACGGAAATAACATCAACAGGATCGCCTCGTGGCCGCTTGGTGGGACTTGTAAAGACGTTTGACCGTTGGAATACTGGTATGCGTAATGAGCAGCCTCATCGTCGAGTGGAGTATCTCCATGGGCTTTCACATTTACAGCGCTGCATGCGAGAGCATTCTTGCCGGTACGGTTTTATCATGAATGAAATTGAGCTTGTTTGTGTTCGTGCCGGATGTGATGAAGGTGGCGACGTTCCCTACTTTGGCTTTTTGGAACTCGCAACCCCAATCACAACAAATACATCCTCGGCTTCATACAACGCCTTGGCTGCTTGCGATCTTGAGCGTACTTATTCTTCTGACTCGAGCCAATCCTCCGATTATTCCGGTTCTTCTCGCAGTACAACCCCCGAGCGCTCTTCAACGCCAGGACTCTCAGGGCCTTTTACTGCGACCCTTGCCCTTTATTACCTCCTGATGCTTTCAAAGGCCGTACCACTCCCTGGTCAGCCGTCCTGGCATTTGAATGTCGGCGGCCCCGGCGCTTTAACGCGTCAACGTGTCCTCCCAGAAGGTAAAGATAAGTGGATACCTGATCCCCAGCTGCGAGAGCGTCGATATGCAAAAAGAGTCCGCGGGTGGGTTATGCCCCAGGACGCTTGGCACCGCCGAGAAAGCGCAGGTAGAAAACCTACAAAGCCCAAACAGTGGCATAAATGAGCGACTTCCCCTGTTCCAAACCCCATCTCAACACTCTACTTAATATTCGGTTGACCTCATCTGCTAGCTATACTCTCTCCTACTTTATAACTTCCTATTTCTTTCCATCGATTCTGCATTTAAGGAGTTTACGGAGTAAATACGGAGTAGTTTAAGACCCTCATGTTGTATTTATCTATTCTGCTGTCCCCCCTCCCCGTTCCTCTTTTTCCTTTTCTGTTTACCTTGTCTCTATTTATCATTCTTTCTACGGAATATACGGAGTATTGGCGTCTTATCAGGATCAGGGCACCTAAAGACTTTATTGAGTTAGACATGAGCTTTCCGCTCCAGGACAGCAATTCTTTTTGTCGACTATTCTCCCTGGAATAATATCTGTCTACACACTTTACGCGGCTCTACGCAAAAAGGCTGGATTCCCGCACGCAGCAGCAAAAAGTTATATTCTACTGTAAAGGAGGCATCTTCAAGTTGATTTGGCTACAGGACAGTGCACAAACTTATCCATCCTTATACGATGATAAGGCAAAATTGAGCTTAAAGAGATGAATGGTGGAGAGGAGAGGATGCTGTTGTTGGATGACAAGTTAGGATCCATTCGCATTGTTCGGCCACATATTATCATAATAAGCCATCATAACTATAAAAGCAAGTCTCTCCTAGATCTAGGCCAGTGTCTATATTCTCAAAGTAGCCTGATCTTTGCTAGATAAAGTCAATGCTATTAACAGCTGACGTATTTTAGTAGTCATATAATTCGTAATGGTCATGTATCAATGTAGTGAGTTGTCGAAGAACGTAATGTCTATGAAGCTCCGGCGCGGGAGCACAGCTTTAGGTCTTAACTGTAGGCTCCTCTCTCCCAACATATTCCTTCAGCTTCAGTAACTGAACAGCAAGGCCAATGTTCTCCTTCAAGTATTCTTGAGCATCCTTGGAGAACTCATTCTCGTTCATTTCGTGGCGCTCAACATAAAGACGAATGGTTGCACCGCTACTTCCCGTGCCAGAAAGGCGGACAACAATACGACTACCATCGTCGAACTTTATAAAAATTCCCTGATTTTTGCTAACACTCCCATCGAGGTCCGTATAAGAAAAGTCATCAGCTTCCGTGACCTTGCGGCCAGAGACGTTTGAACCTATGAACGAGTCCTTTTTGGTGGTAATCAATTCTTTAAGGTTTTCAATCACTTTGCTTGCCCCCGCACTGTCGACATCTTCGTAATCATATCTGGTGAAAAAGGTACGCCCGTATGTTTTCCAGAAATCGTTCTGAATTGCCGAGATGCTTACCGGCTTCCCTGGGTTTTCCTGGCCGACACCAGCAATAATATTAAGCCAAGCAACAACGGCCCAGACGCCATCTTTTTCTCGGATGTGGTCGCTTCCAGTGCCAAAGCTTTCTTCGCCACATATAGACATTTTCTTCGTATCCATCAAGGCGCAGAAAAATTTCCATCCAGTTGGGACTTCATAGCATTGAAGGTTCTGTTTTTTGGCAACCAGGTCAACGGCTCCAGATGTGGGCATGGAGCGAGCCAGTCCATGGACGCCATTTTTTTTAAAGTATGGAATGAGCTTGGCGTGGTGTGAGATAATAGCCAAACTGTCTCCAGGAGACACAAACGTTTTGGCGCCATAGATCATGTTACGATCGCCGTCACCATCACTTGCAGCGCCAAATTGAATCCCTTCCTTATCGACCTTCTCGACTAAGGACCGCGCATAGGTTAAATTTGGATCAGGGTGGCCACCGCCGAAATCGGGTAGCGGAACGCAGTTCTGGCAGCAGCTCTCCGGCAACCCTAATTCCTTAATGAAGATGGCCTTTCCATATGGCCCAGTAACACCATGAAGAGCATCAAACAGAATTTTAAAATCACTATTACTTTTCAAGAAGGAGCGAATGAGGTCGAAATCAAATATTTCCTTCATCATTTCAACATAGTCGGCGGTCGAGTCAATAACTTCCACTTCTAAGTCTCCATATTTCTGTGTTCCAACATTCTCCAAGTCGACGAGTGGGAGATCCATAATGTTGTACTCACTAAGAGATTTAGAAATCTCGTATATTTTGTTCGTCACGGACTCTGGTGCAGGAGCACCGTTGGAAAGATTGTATTTGATACCGAAATCCGCTTTCGGGCCTGGGATTCAGATGTCGTTAATACAGCACTGAGTAGAGGCTCGCAAGTTTGAAAATAGCCTACCTCCAGGGTTATGGCTGGCTGTTAGAAGGATGCCTCCAGTGGCTTTTCGCTTCCGGATAACATGGCTTGCGGCTGGGGTGCTTAGGATGCCGTTTTGGCCAACCAATAATTTCTTCACGCCATACGCAGCGCCAATTTGTGCAATTAGCTGAATGACTTCAGTATTGTAGAAGCGTCCATCTCCACCAATGACGAGGAATGCATCTTTAACCCCTTCCGGAATTGATTTGAGGATACTGGTGATGAATGATTCCGTATAGTGGGATTGCTGGAAGATTGTGACTTTCTTACGCAGGCCAGAACTATTTTTGTGTTGTTAGCCAATTCATAAGGGGAGCAAATGTAAACAGTAAAGCAGACTCACGTTCCAGCTTTCTGGTCCGAAAAGGGGGTAATTGGCACAGACTTGACGCCCATGATTTCAGAGTTTGCAGGCCGATTGAGCTTAGGTAAAAGAGTGGCAAGCGTTAAGTTGGCTTATACGGCGACGTAGACTCCCTTCGAGGCGCGATAGTTACCGAGTAGAATCGAACCTCGCGATGGCCGAGTGGGAGGAGGGGTGAGGTTGGAGGCAGAAGAGGGGCAGCTGCAGTGTCGTTTGTTGTTCGATGGCGTCATAGGCGCACCACCGCCAATCCGTCCTACAAGCGATGCAGCTAACTAGTGCTTAACAAAACCATGTTCTCTTGCGGACGAATTACTCTGTAAGCCGATATTGCAGTGAATCTTTGGGCCTGTTTTGCAGTCGCATTGATCAATTAAGCCTCAAACTTGCAAATTGAGGCCGCGGGGCCTTGTCGAGCTTTTGCGGGGCTGTTAATTAGCTAGAGTTCTAGACTCCCGTTCGTAAAACACAACAGAATCATCCTCAATAAGTGGAATGCTCGAAACTGATAGATAGAAAAATGGCACTGACCCGTTCGAAGGAACCACTGGTCTGGATAGACTGTGAGGTATGTATGTAACATGCATGCGTACTCGTCGATTGGTCCCTGTCTCGACTAACGCATGCTTTCTATCAACCTGAAGATGACAGGCCTGGATCCCGAAAGCGACCATATAATTCAAATCAGCTGCTTTATCACGGACTATAATCTTGAACTTCTTGAGCCAAACGGCTTCCACGTCACCATCCACCAGCCCCAGCATGTTCTATCAGCCATGAACCCTTGGTGTATTTCTACCCATGCCCGCTCCGGTCTGACCGCTGCTGTTCTTGCTTCAACCACCACCCCAATCGATGCCACCGACGCCTTACTTACATATATACGCACGTATGTGCCCGAAAGTGGTAAAGCTTTGCTTGCCGGAAATACAGTACATATGGACCGGGCGTTCTTAGCGCGCCAGCCCTATAAAAGGGTGATTGAATGGTTGCACTATCGAATTTTGGATGTGAGTAGCGTGAAAGAATCAATAAGGAGGTGGGCAGCGGACGAGGTCCTACAAGACATTCCAGAAAAAAAGGGGTTGCATTTGGCGAAAGAAGATATTCTAGAGAGTATTCAAGAAATGAAATTCTATAGAGATAGGGTATTTTATGCACATTAACACGCCAAAGGGGGGGGGTTTATGGAAATCGGAATCTTGGCTTGCTATATGTTCTTCAATTTTAACGCTGCAAAAGTGGATTAACTCCTGGCACTCTTGTCATTCGACAGTTGTTCTTAAATATTGTTGAGCAAGGTCTTCCAACGAGCTTTCTTCGTCTTTCTCGCTTGAATGTCGGCTTTGAGAAGGGGAGCGCTGGAGTGCTGGGGCCTGCGCGGCTGAGTTTTCCTGGGACGTTCCATCGACGGATTTGAATCCCAAACGCGGGAAATATTTCCTTGCGAAAGGTCGTAGCGTCGGTACAGATGCACATATCACGAGGAGATTGCCCTCGAGGGAACTCCATAGCCACACTTTATATCCTATCCCTACGACTCTTTCATTAGACTGACACAAGGCCCTCTGGAATATTGGATAGATACATACATGTTACATCATAAGTTCGAGCAACAACCACATAGGTGTAGTACGCTCGCACAATTGATGCGGCGCAGGCACTGCAAGTATGCGTCAGTAAGTACTTTGTTAGTATTGCCGTAGGTCTCGGCCGAAATACAAAAAAAAGGCCAAAACAGGATAGTGGAGATACTCATAGTGGAGATACTCATACATTAGTATCAAGTTCATCAGGATAATAAGAATGACTTTCTCTCTAATCGGAAGGTGCATCTTGCAAAATGTGGGAATTGGGAGGGCGAGGACGAGGACGTCGGAGACAAGATTTGATATTGAAGTTGTCATAATCCGGCCAGCTTCATTGGAGCAATGGTGATCACTGAAATGGTCCCAGTAGTGTCTTAATGGCCTATAAGTGAGTGCATATTAGCAATGGAGATGATGGTATACAGGTGTGGCAGGGATCTTACACGCAAGCAAAAAATAACGAGAAAGCAAATGCTGTAATAGCCGTTGTTAGCTTCTTTGAACTTGAATAAAGGCATTTCAGTGAATCAATTTATATACCAACTCCCCATGCAGTTATCACGCCAATCATAACCCATGTGGCATATCTCAATGATTTGGCTGTCTTTGAGATGCGAAGATATGAGGCCAAAATAGAGAGCTTCACAAATGTCATAATCAACACAGAACAGAGCTGGCTGACCCAAGTGGTCTGTGATCTGTCAGAACACATTCAAAAAAGGGTAATTGAGCCGTACAACTCGGGAGCCTCGAATCCATTGCGGTTTGTTATCCCAGATATGATATCCTAAATGCAGTTGGCCGTTATTTTAGAAAGCATCCAAATTAATAGAGACAAGCACCACTCACCCCATCCAAAATACGTTCCGACTATCAACACAGAAGTATGGCAGGCCAAAAGAGGCTGCATTTAGATCAAATTAGAAAGCTATTTTCCATTATCAACCAAGTTGGCATACCAAGTTAACAAGCATCAGCCAGTCGTCCCATCCTGCGGTCTTTTTCATATGAAGCCGCACAAACATTCGTAGCCCGACAACAAGGAAGGATATCGAAAGAAATATGGCTCCAACTATAATGGAGCTTGGACCCTGTCGTTCAGGGTTCACGTAGTTGGGCTTGGGCCAAGAGCTGACAACCGCTGGCGGAGGGTTTCTCATGTTAACAAGGATATAGTCTGGCTTCCCTTGGACCCAGCAGCTCCGGCATCCTGTGGGGCAGGGGGATCATAGGAGAGCGTAAAGATTAAAGAAGAAAAGAAAATTGATTCATCAGAAATAGTCGCCATTCAGCAGGAGATTTGGCTTTCAAGCTATCGCCTGGTTGTTTGCCATGAAACGTAATTTGATGGCAAACGAGAGCAGTCCAAAGAAAACCGAGTTTCTACCACATAATGCCGGGTGGCATACATGACTAAAATCGCCATATCTTAGGCTAGAATAAACTCGGCTGTCTTACACTTTGTCGTTTTCAAAAGCAGGTTGATGGGAAAGTCTCTGAATAATATATTCTTAAGAACACTTCTTAATTCCCGACCCTATTCGCTTATTCCGGAGCAAGATGCTTCTTAACTTAATAACTAAGTTGGCTTAGGGTTGGAGGTCTACCGATCATCTATGGGAAAAAAGCCAAATCTCGGGAGTGGCGGCGAACGGTCGAAAGATGGAGAAGCCACTTCCGCAAAATGCCTGAGAGTCGCACAGCGTACTCCGTAGTTACATGAGAATCCCAATTTCATTGGATAAACCACATAATTAATTATTCGCTTGAAGCGCTTAGAATTTGGCGAGATCCAGAGAACATTTTCGGGTAGAGTATTCCGTACGGAGTACATAAATGTATCTTGATGACCTTGGGTTAAAAAGCGTGATTTAGCAATAGACTATAGAGAGTCCCCATACATATGAACTTACCCGTAGAAAATATTCTCGCTCACACTGTTCCTAAAGACTGCGGTAAGCAAAGAGAAAGAAAGGCACAGCCAATCTGGACATATCATATGGCAACCTATACGGAGGACACTGTGCCTTCAACATCTGGCGCCTGATTGAAAGGCGGCCTAATACTGATGAGGTATTGAAAGCTTTTCAGTATTAGGAAGCGTATCTCATCGACGTGATGTGATAGCAATCGCCGTTTTTGAAGCCATGGTTGAAGGACGATTCTGCGCTGATTGGATGGCCGGAGGTGAATGAGCGGTGAGGAATATTCATCTATCATTGGCTGGCACCTGCGGCTCCTATTTCTTGGCATTAACTGGTACTCCGCACTCGCGCCGCCGGACGGCGCGTATATCAAACCTAAATTCGTTTCACTCTACAATATTGTTGCGTGAGAGAGTCAAGAAAACTGATAAAACTCTGGTATATAGGAGCTATTGCCTAACAAAAGAAGCCGCTATTGTTTCTAATCATTTTAAACCTAATATCCCTAGAACAAGCAAACCACGCGACGCTTCCCTCCCTCCAATGGTCCCACTACACTTGCAACGTCGCTAAATACTTATTCATTCTCAAATTATATACGAACCACATCACAGTATTTAAGACCTCGTTGCTTCTCACTATGGTCTGTATCTTGAGTAAGTTTAGGTTCTAACTTGGGGAGAAGGAGTATAAATACAGATGTGGAAATACCAACTTAGTTATACTGCTCGGTATATCTAACCCTTTCTCCTTGCCTACGAAAGTAGCATTTAAGGTGCCATTTATGCATAAGATAGGCGAAACAGATCCCTTCAGGGATACCATGTCGGGCGAGAAACTGCACACAGAAGTCGCAACTTACATCTGGATGAAAGATAACCGATTTGATATACCGATTCCGAAATGGAGAGGCTTCGTCCTCATAGGTGGCCAGAGCGCAAGCGCAAAACATCACCGGCCATAAATATTCTCGCTTGCAACCAGCGGGGAGAAGTTTTTCTACCTAAATATATCCTAATTTTGCCAAGAATCAAAATGCTACCTTTGGGCACTTTCTCTCAATCTCATGTAGAGGTCAAAGATTAGTGAATTCACACCCCGAACTAGGACTTTTCGTAGCATTCGGGTATACTATCACTAACTGGGTTGAAGATGATTGTTCTAGCCCACCGAGTTAATCTTTCTATGGGAAGTGGCAAACAGTGTTGACACAAACATATGCATACCTTGGCAACTCTTCAGATACAATTTGTTCGAATATTCGAGTCGTTTAAATTGATTTACTTACTAGCCTCGATAGTTATCTCTGGTACCTACCTATTACTGCGCTAGATGAAACGGATATACGCATGAAGGCAGCAGCTCTAGTGCTCGTGAGAACCCTCTACCGAAAATTCACTAATCCCATGCAATGATAGGTATCAATCCTGGAAATACTGTTGTGGATAAGGACTGGATTACGAAGCATGCGTTGACTTTTAGGGGACATGTTTTCTGCTCTTAGAGTTGCTATCGCCCTCATTCTGGCTCAATCAGAAGTATGACACTGATATTACTACAGCGGAGACTTTTCAACAATATAAGGCATGCTTCCTGATGTTTGTGGCCATTTTACTACGGAATGAAGATAATAGGCTTTGGCATAATGGTATACTACCTGCGCACTGAGCATATTAGACCCTTGGAAAATGGCCAATGCTGGTATTTGCTAGGTATATCACAACACCCACAAGCACTTTCTGACATGTTTCATATATTTATCCAGCCGTCGCTTGATAATACTTCCGACTGTATTTTTGGCAAGGTCGTATGTCCATTTTGGGTATATAGAACGATACAGTCATTTACGAGAGTTAAGTTGAAGTGTTATGCGAAATACTGCGACACCCTGTGTGATATGTTTAACGACCCAAATGACCCAAATGACCCCATTCTATTCAAACACCATTGTTGGGATAATTGCATATTTACTTTAATGTCCTATATTCGCTTTCAATAAGTGTGGCAAGGGGCCCTAGGTAGCTTTTGAGTGACTACAACAGAATTCTTATTCTTGGCGCGGTAGGCGTCTTCAACATCAGACGCATATTCCCCAATCCAATATTGTATAGTGTCATACTCCAATCAGTAGCCAAAATATTATTTAATCTGTGACTGTTCTTATCTTTCACTCACACTGCCAACCCGGTAGTGGCGGGTGGGAAGGTCAAGGGGCGATCGCAAAATTTGTGGGATTGTAAATTTCGTGAGCGGGATTAAGCAGTTTGGTGGTCCAGAAGCCAGCCCAGTTAGCGCAAGAGAGCCTCTTATAACTCTTCCTCGATAATTGTCTTTTTGTCGGTATCCATAATAACTTCCGCCGAGGAAACTTTACCATTATTTACGTTATTTGGATTGCTTCCTATACCCATGGTTTCATGTATCCCTGTCGATATGCCTGAGCTCAATTTTTGGCGTACAATATCATCTGTGCTGGGGGAGCCCGCTCGGTGCTTTTTAAGAGGACTGCCTACGAATCCATCTTCTAGAGAGTTTAGAGCTGGATCTTTCCCAGATAAGCCTGCGTGTGGTGGTGTTGTATCTTGTTTTGTGGTTGCAGGTGGTGTAGTTATAGATGCCGGAGTTGCAGACTTGCAGACCTTTGTCGCATCGATATTATTAGCGCCATTTATTATGGGCTCAGAAGAATGTTGTCGTTTGAGCTTGTAGTCATCAGCATCACCATTCACTATGAGTAACAGAATCAGACAATGAATTACCTTTATTTGACGAACACCTTCAGCAAGTTCTCCTTGGAATCTTGCATCTTCAGGAGATAAATTGGTCTTTACATCTTTGTCCTCCTCATCTTCCGCTTTAACAACTATAGAGCCGAGGCCATCATCGTCGTCGTCGCTATCCATATCGCTTGCGCTTCCTCTCTTGTTCACTTGTCGAGATTTTGAACCGTTGTTGTCTCCATCCCGAAAATTTAGGAAGCCCGCTCCACCACCGGGCTTTAGTGGCCCAATTTTTGAGAAGTCTGGCTGCCCAGATTTTCGTCGAGCAGTTTTTTCTGCATCCTTTTCCTGGGGTTTAGATGTTTTCAATATGCCCATCTTTTGAAGTTGCCCTAATAATCGTTAGTCAAGAAGCTTAGAAATTAAAGGTGAAAGGAAACGTACTTTCTCCTCTGTACATGAATGTGAAGACGGCATATGGTCTGTCTGCTGGGTCGATTCCAGTAACAGTCTGTGTACTGATGGATTTAGGATCTAGAGATTTCGGCTTCGCAAAACTAGTAGTGTGATCGATATCCTCGCCACTACTTCGCCCGTTTGCACCTTGAGCATCTTCGTCATCATCGTGGGCATCAAATTGCGGGGAATATTCGCCGCGCTTGATTTCCCCTGAAGCCAGGACGCGAAATAAAGCGACTTTGATTTGGCCGGTTGTTTCCGGAATGGGGTCATCGTCAGATGTATCATCCGAAAAACAATAATCTGCGTCATCCGATATATTCTCCACTGGGGATTGTTCGTTGCCTCCATACTTCAAAACTTCTGATGCTCGTTTTATTTTCCCATCATCTAGATCCATGCCCGTTCCCTCACTGCAACCTTCTTGACGGCGAGAGGCTTCCCGGTGCTCTCTTTTTTTCTTCCGTTTCTCCATTTTCTGGCGTCGCTTTTCGACCTTTTCTGCGGCATCCTTGCCTTCCAAATCCAGCCCATTCAACCATCTTTCAAGACCAACCTCACGGAAGAGGAATTCTCTCTCGGCAAGACCACCTCCTTCTGACTGAGGTACCCCGACCCATCTTGAGTTAACCCAGGTCTCCTCGCCCCTCCGTAATAGTGTAGCAACCTCTTCTTTTTGTCTTCCATCAAAATATATATACGCGGCAATGGTTTCATTTGCAGAAGCTGTTAGAGGCTGATATGGGTGGACAGCGCCCGTTGCCGTGGATCGTTCTGGAATTCCGGTAACTGTCTTCGGACTCGGCTCTGGGTTATCCGGTGTGGGCTTTGGGCTAGAGTATGGAACTTTCATGCCTGGCACAAGGAGGGTTATGGAGATCGCAAAGGTAGATTGTTCTGGCTTGCCATTCGACACATCAGGTAGCTTAGGCGGGGGAACAGGGATGTAGCACGCGATGCGGGATGCTCTCGATTGGCGCTGAACAGAGTATTCGGATAGAGGGCCGCTCGGGGTGTGGATGCTGACGGCGAGGCCTTTAAAGCAAGGCATTGTTGCTTAGGAAAAACCGCTAATAAGAGAGGCACGAGAATGGTAAAGAGTAGTATACTGTAAATGGTTGAATTTGTTTGTTTTGTTAATAACACACTGCAGGGCTCGGCCCAAGGTCGCCACCACTATGTATGAGGGCTGCCCCAGCACAACAACCAACCAGAAATGAATAGGTTAGTAAAGACAGATATTCAAAAGGAGGTCTGGAGTGATGTTAATGCGATTCAAAGGCCTGTCACAAAGAGCTTCTTCAAAGCCTGAGGTGAAAAAGGATGGGATCTTCCATAGGCACAATAGTGGGTTGTAGGCATGAAATAAACTGTCAAGACGGTGTAGCTATCTCACCACTCTAATAAACGGCAAAATAGGTTAGGGACAGAGCCAAACATGCTAGGTGGGTGATCTGATTTTCAGCTGTAGACATAGCCCACATAAACAGCCAGACAACTTGATATTGACTTCGAGGCGTGGAGAGCCGCGCTCCGCCGAGATGGACCAGGTCATGTGACCAGAATTCAAATCTGGTAGGTTTGCATGTCTCCGTCACCCAACCTCCCAGCAACAGGCAGGCTCCTTCAATTTTGCTACTCAAGACAGTCCAACACTTATACATTCCTGTCACAGTGCGGTTGTACCATGATTAATGATTATGACTGTGTCCCGTGGTTCAGCATGGGGCTACTAACGCCACTTTTCCCTTTGATCCAACGTTGAAACTCCAGGAGTGCTGTGAGATATACTATAGAATGCTCATCCAACATTCACAAAGAGCAACTAAGTGAGTGGATTCTTAAGGTAGCTATGTTTACTTTTATATGACTGGTGCCATGCAAGCTCATCAAAAAAACTTAAATTAGAACCCCTAGTTACAACTTTTCCCCCCTCTTCCATTTTAACAGTGGAATTATTAACTAAAATTTTCTCTTCGTGTGCTATTGTCAAATTAATACAACCAGCCTAAAACATCAATCTTCAAACCCATCTAACAATAATTGCACACAATTGGTAGAAGGCTTTGGTGCTTCAATAGTTGGAAGGCATTGACTTTTTTAATATAAGTAAGAAAGACGTGACCGGTCATTCCACCCTTGAATTTATTTGGTTGCTACCAAAATTTGTGAGTGCCTTGACCTCTTTCTGTCTTGGTCATCTGGCTTGCCTGTGACATGATCTAGCTTGTATAATGGTTCAATATGAGTATTTTGACGAAAAATATATCGTCTAACCGACCATGGGAGGACTTTGAAGACCTGATAATAGACATGTTTCTTGGTTGGCACTGCAAATATATAGTCCAATTCCTCCAACGTGCGCTGTTTTGTCTCCGGCACCCACAAGAAAATCATAACAAATGCAGTCACATTTAGAGCCCTAGGAAACAAAACCATTAGCCAAGATGTGGCTTGCACCTCAACATTTAGGTTTACTTACGCATAGAACCCAAATGCACCAGTTGGAGTCATTGCACGAAGCATTCGAGGAAAAGTCATTGAAAGCGCGGCCGCCCAGAAGAAACAAGATGAAACAACAAATGCCATCCCAATCTCTGCAATGATATTAGACAACTTCATTGAACTGCTGGACCTTCTAGGTCATTAGGGCTTACCGCGATGTGAAAGTGGGAACACCTCTGCAGAGTATGCGTAGGAAACGGGCCCTTCCCCGGGCGCGTACCATGCTGCAAAGAGGAATATGAAGAGTGCAATTACAACAAGGTGTGAACTTTTATTTTCGGGAATGCGAAAGGCTAGCCCTGCCGCCAGCATTGTCCAGGCCATCTGTGGAAATGTGAAAAGCAACAGTGCGCGTCGTCCATAGGTATCGATTGTCCAGACTGCCGGAAGTGCAAAAAGGAAACTCACTAACCCAAATCCCCAAGAAGCTAGCAGCGCATCTGTTGTGCTTGCCCCAGCTGCTGCGAAGACAGTGGATGAATAAAACGCTATGATATTAATGCCACACATTTGCTGAGCTGTCATGACAATCGATGCGGCGAGCGTGGCACGACGAACCCGAGGAATCGTGAAAAGTTCAATAAAGCGTGCGACTGTGCTTCCTTTTCCTATAATTTCCTTTTCAACCTGAATGTGCGCGTGGATATAATAAAGGTCTCGAGCCGCCTGGATCTCGTGGTTTCGAAGTTGGCATAAGGATTGATACGCCTTGGCTATTTTGCCTCTTTTTATATACCATCGGGGCGATTCCGGACACCAGAATACTCCAAATAAAAGGGGAAGAGCTGGAATAAAGGCGGAACCTAATTGCAACCTCCATGAAATGCTACCAGTGTCTTTCACCGCAAGGTTTGCGCAACAACCAAGAAAAATTCCAAATGCGGTCCACCTGTGGATATCATTAGATACCTTTCCAACTCAGTTGAATGATGCGACAAACAAGTGCCATCCCATGACCAGTCCACCTCGAATAGATGCAGGCGTATTTTCTGCACAGAACATTGGGACAGTTGAAGCTTTTATTCCCATACCAAGGCCTAAGAGTAGGCGGCTGACCAAAAGCTGCTGCCAACTCTGAGATACTGCGCAACCGATAGGTGCAAGCACGCAAAATATAGCGGCAGCAAAAATTGCGCCTCGTCGTCCGGAGAACCTATTTATGGGATCTGACAGCCAGCATCCTCTGCAAACATTAGAGCTGATGATAAATATCAAAACTTTCCAGCCACGTTGCAACTTACAGGAACGCAGAACTGATATAAGGCCCACTATTGGGGTGTCAGCAGAGGCTGAATGGGGGTATCTATTGGAACGCACGCATTGACCAGACCAACTAGCCATTGATGCAGTTCTGCATTAGGGGTACCTGCGGTGTCGACGATATTAAATGCTTCCGGAAAGGATAAATTGGCGCCATTCGATCCTGTTTGATCCCATCCTCTGGGTACTGTCAGCTATGTCCCATGGCTAATCTATAACGAGCCTCACTGTACAGCGGCACCTATCGAACAAAGGACCATGGTGAGATATAAGGCTCTAGGCTGCCGCCATTTATGTAATACTTCGTTTCGAATTGCCTCATGTTCGTCACTTGTGAGTCCTTCAACTGTTTCCCAATTCGCGGGGTCCTTTGCTACCAGTGCCCCTTTCTCCAGGATAGGCAATATATGGCTAAGTCCGTTGGTGTTGGCAAATTCTTTGACATCTTGGAGTAGCCTTTGCTTGGGAATATTTGCCAAAGGATTCTTGATTCTGATGGTAGATATATTTGTTAACGGTGGCATCGCTGAAAATCGGGATTTCACATAACTACGGTTTCGTACTTTCCAGAGACATTGCTATTCAAGCTGACACCCTCCCCAAGTTCAATTGCATGTATATTTTGGTCGGAGCTGTCACTACACCGCGTAATCGTTAGGGCTACACAGATATTTTTGGAGTATATTATAAGCAGAGTAACTCAAACCTCTGTGCAATAAATGTTCCTTCTTTGTCTGGAGCCATTTCCACCATTGAACTGACTTGGAAGAATTGCTCATGGCGCGCCATATTTTAGGTATTGTGTTATCCGTTACGGCGGCTGAGTCGCCTCTCCCCTTGCTATGATAGGAATACATAATTCTACTTACCATGGAGGCCTCCTTCATAGGGAATTTATAATACCTCCGAACACCACCAACTTTTTCTGGGGGGCTTCTGAAAGCTAGGGCCTAGAATATGGCCTGAATACGAGATATCTTGCCAAGTCTATATTTGTATGAAACGTCGCTGGCATTTCCTAGTACACGCCGTATTTATGCCCCAAACTTCATTGTTTGGTCGTTCCTGTCATCCACCATTAATGTTGACACTTCCGAAGATCGCTGCCGGGGTGTGCTACGTTATTCCTTGACACCGCAGACCTGGTAAAGATGAGCGTCTATATAACCCATTTTGGTTGCCATAAGACGGAGCACAAAGAAGTAGTTGGGCTAAACCATGCTTGACTCCTTGCTCTCTGGAAGATTTGGGTTTGTACAAGACGTGGTATGTGTACTAACGTCCCGGAACATATTTTAAATCTACTGGAGAGAACACTGGCGTACAGGGAATCTCCTATTGAACGGTTTCCTTTTTGTAGGTTAAACTGGAGAAAGGATAGAATTATTACCATACTGCATAGCGCTTTTGTCAATACAGGATAGGTTCTTGCTTCCAAGGCATGGGGTATCGCAACGATATCCTCCGTAAACGCGTGTATACTCCGTACAGAGGCTGGAGAGCAGCTTCGATAGAGTTTCGGCGCTTGGTTGATCAGTGCAACTCATTTTCAGGCAGGCTGCATTTAGATCAAATACTGAGTCTCAATGGCCGACAGTTGTGTTTGAGTTGGTTTTCAGCTGAAGTTTAGGTGACGTCAATGGGTAGGAACGCGAAGGTTGGGCCCGCTGCCAAGACTGCGGCTGTTTTTCATCTGGACCTGATTGGGAATCGGCTCGGCTGAGCAGGGATCTCGGAGAAAGCCAGGTTTGAAGAGTCCAGTTCGTTTGCATTATTGTGCTACAAAAATATTAATGGACAGTGCTAGGGTATACATACATCAAATATAGCATTCCAACTGTCGCCATATTAACTAATACCAGGCCTCCTATGTAAGTAAATGTTTCAAGCCAGTGAGGTTTTGGGGGCTTGGACTGTCGAAGATAGTCGCCTCACAGCATCACAACCAGAACCTTCTAGGAGTTGGCCTTCTATGTCTTAGCCTGCATTTGGACGTATTTCAATTCCACGGAGTTTTCTTCCTCCTCCAGCTCTGTGTCTAGCTTTTGGTTGAAGAGCATTTTCGGGTTCAAGGCGAGCGCACCACTTGGAATAAACGTCGCGGTCATGACCAGAACAAATATTATAGTGAATTGCACCCCACCCACATTCTGAATAGCTTGATATATATTTCCTCCACCATCAACACCCCCGGTGGCTTCGAACACGTTGTCGATGTACTGCCCGAGCAGTGGGGAGGTGATGGCATACGTCACGATATATATAGAGTAAAGGAATGCCATGACCGCACCAAGGGCCGAGACATTCCGAGATTGAGCTTCGGTACGAGCTAACGAGGTCTGAATATATGCAGCAAGAGAGACATCTCCAGCGGCCCATCCAAACGAGATGGGAATGAAAGTCGCAGCGACTATCCAAGCTTGTCGAACATCGAGCTGCGGTGGCCGCCAAAATGGCAGATACCAGACAATGAGTAACATAAGCGAGTCAAGTCGAAGCCAGGGTATCGGCGTTTCGATTGAATTGGTAAAGAGAAACACGCTTAGGGCACCTAGGAGTTCGCCAAAATTAGAACCGCCCACCATGATTTGCGACCACGCCGAGTTCCCCAGATATCGGCGCGCAACAGCAGGAGCAAGGCCATTCTCTAGGTACCGATGCCCATATAAAGCGATAGCATATCCCGGAAGCAGCCAGATGAATTTGCGCTTTGTAAAAAGAATCTTCGCGCCCGTCCAAACTGATTCGCTGAACAGCCAAAACCCCCCTAATGCAGATCTTACGTATGTTGGTTCCTCTTCAAGCACATCTGGTTTCGTAGAGTAAAATCCAGGCACGGCAATGAAGAACCATATAATGGACGCAAGCAGAAAAAATATGGGAGTAACCAGGAATGCAAAATTATTCCCAAACCGAGGAATTAGTGCTAGGGCCGTACAGAACGTACCAACGGTGCCAGATATTTCATAAAAGATCTATGCACTAGTTATCAGAGAAGATTGAGCCAAAGCAGGACCTTCTTTGTGGTAAGATCTCACATGAATCAGAGCATCCATTCGACGGAGCTTGTGGACATTTCCTCCAACTATGTCACATGGAATAACCCGTCGAATCAATTCCACCATACCATACGCAATTCCCGTGATGGAGTATATCGGAATCATTCCATCAGTATTATAATTTCCATAATAGTGGAAATCGTTCTTTGGATGCTTTTTTCGGAAGCTGGCTGGGACGAATGTACCGCCTGTCGCGGCATCAATTATGAGAAGTATTGCGCTGAGAATACCGAACACAAACATCGAAGCCGAGAGAACATTTTTGGTTTGAAATCTCTTGATCAGTGGAGCAATTAGAATGGAGCCAACGCATTGAAATGCTTGGTTTAAACCCGTCAGAAGGCCAACACGTTCGAATGTCCTAGCAGGAGACTTGTTTCGGAGAGCTTCGTAATCGTACCTGTTGGTGGCGAGGGCAACAATAGAGCCATTGAATGCTTCAAGCCCGAACTTATAGAGCATGATTCCAGCCATGTATATAGCCATATTTCTCTTCTCCAGAGGAGAAAAGCTCCCCCAAGTCTCCACAATTGAACCGAAAATAGAAAGCTTCGCCACCATGATTAGAGTAAGTAGTTCATCTAGAGACATGCTCGTGGATGGAAGCTTGCTAAAATAACTCCAGGCATCAAGGGGGTTTTGTAGCTTGCCTCATGGAATGAAGGGAGAGCCATACTTGCTGCATATAGAGCCCTGCCGCTTCTTTCAAAAACGATAGATTTTATAAACACCAGAAATTAGAGAGCCAATCTCATATAAAACACTGAGCTCGTGGCGTTCGTAATGGGCCTAGTAGGGCACGAAAAACTCGAATTGTATGGTTGGCCTGAATGGCCCGGGAAGGTACCGATTGAAGAGAGCATAAAACAGCTTTAGGAGGGTGAAGGAAGCTAAAGAAACATAAAATCGTCCCGGCCATGCGATTGGAGAAATTTAACCCTGGAAAACAGAAGTCAGGGGAAATATAGATGTTGCATTGCGCTTTGATAACAATCTACGGGTTGTGTTGGTCAGTAATTTTGATCGGATTCGTCACACGGTCACATCAACCAAGGGAGCGACCATCGCTGTTGCCATTATTAGTATTGTGTCGTAATGCTCGAAATCCGCATATCAAGGCAGTCTATTTACTCCAGGATATAGAGAGTCATCCAGAGGAAAGGCGATTGACTTGACCATTCCAACTGTGTGCCTGGGCTCTACTCAGCCTCGACCCGACTGCACGGACATTCCAAAAATTGGGAAAGCCGTATAGTTTAACTGGTAGAGAACGTGCCGGTGTGAGTGGGATACAACGAGCTGGTGGCTTCATGAAATCGATGGCATGGTTCGTCAGCGCAAAAGAGTTTGGTGTTCAATGAGGCATTTTCCATATTGTGATGCGACGACTGAAGTCACCCATGCTCGCGCAAAGAGAGGCCTGCAGCCTTATACGCACACGTGGGCCCCCGGACTCGCTAGTTAGTCAAAAGGCTGTGCCGTGGACTTGAAAAGTTTTGGGCCTGGGCATTATTCGCATCGCACAAGTGCTTGCTGTGCAAGGCTGTCGGAAAAACGAGATCAAAAATGAGTTCTTAGGAAGAAAGAAATATGAACAAGCCCTAGTTACTCCGTACAAGCACCAAATGGCTCCAAAGGTATAATATTCCGAACTTCAGAACAGAATGCCTTCTTTTGCAGGATTTGCCGAACAATCTCAAATCTCTCGCTGATGGAAGAATTTGGCCCTGACTTTGAACTGTAGCACGTGACCAATCGCCTTGGCCGGGACTTCCTGCCATAATATCATCTCTACGGAGTAACTACTCCATACCGCCCTCCATGTTACTCGATACGAAACTCTAATGCGGAGTAGATGTGTTAAAACAGCAGAATTACCCCTGGAAGATGGCTGGAATAAGGTCGAATAATACATTTATGGTAGGTTAGGCCTCAATATAATTTCAGAATAAATATTCTGTACCCCCGTACCTACATAACTACATATCTTAAGCTTGCTTTGGTCAAAAAGCTCAGAATCGCTTTAAGTGTATAAAACAGCTAACACCACGCTCTTTCAAAATATTTGTCTCGGTCTTCAGAAAGCAAAGAATAAAATCGCTCTAACAGTCATGATCATTAGAATTACGAAACTGGCTATCGGTTGTTACTCCCACTCAACTTCATCAATGTAGCGTAACCGTAGCTCCAAAAGCTGATAATCAAGGCAGTGCTGATTCTGGCAAATATTAAGATATTGCAGCTTGTATACGGATTTAAGTTCAGCTGTCTATCATTTGAGTCTTTTAATCCGTAAAAATAAATACAGTATCAACATCATGTCTTTCAATCACACATACATGCATACGTTCATATAAGCCGTAGGAATAGACGATCTCGTTTCTCATGATTCTATCATTGTACACATATATATATGGTCAAATCTCAAATCTGGGATCAAAAAGCACCGATGGTTTTAAGTATTGCTGAAACAAATGTCTTTCATCCGCTTCTAGCAATAGTGATAGTACATGCACTGAATTAGACCTATAGAGACAAAGATAGAGATGTATAACAGTTACCAAAAGGTAGAAGGGAAGAAAAAGAAATAGTTACTGGTTTGCTTTATCCATTATTTGGTTTTCTCGTCTCACTTTCGGGCTTCTCCGGATCTGGCATTCCGGATCTACTCGAGCCAGATGACGCCAGCGACGATTCAAGGTCTAATTTATTCAGCTCGTAATCAATCTTATCATATTTTCGGAACTTCCAGTAAAACAAGACGGAGGACAGGCCCATTGCACCCGCCAGGCAAGAATACAAGATCACCATATTAGGATCCTTGGCAGCCGGACTGATTGCCATGCCTAGTAAACTGGCTACACACGCTGTCAACTGGGTCAGTGACTGCACGACTGTTTTCATGTCACGCGGGGCCTTGCTGTAAGCGTATTCGTAGGCAGTGACGAAGCCAAAGATTTCGCCAATGGCGAGGAATACGTAGACTGGCATCTGGATCCAAACGTTGACGTTGTTAGGGATTCGGCCGTTTTCGGAAGCGGGACATGCAAATGGTCGGTTGTAACAGGGGCCAGTAGAGTATATGAGTTTCTGAAGGCCGGCAGCATAGGCCATGCCTGCGCCGCAAAAAATAAAGCCGGCCGTGATACGAGCAATTGGTCCAAAAGGAATTTTATGTTTGGCCAGGACGCCATACATTGCCTGGATGATAGGCCCAAAAATGATACATGCAACCCCAGAAAATGCTTGGATCATATCATTGGGCACACCGTGGAGATTCATCTGACCGGCCTGAGAGACAAGATTGTTGTACATTTGATTGATACAGAGGTAGAAGATCAAGAATGAAAATCTGGAGTATAATGTTCGGTTAGTTTTGGTCTAGGAGGTTCGAAAGCTTTCATAACGGAGGATTTTTCACATACATGACTCGACAGGCAATGAAACCTCGCTTCATTTCATCTACGAAGTGATCACTCCATGGAACGGTGCGGCCATAGTGGGTCTGCTGGTAAGATGGCTTGGCATGGTCCAGTTTGAAGCCGCTTTTGCTAGCACAGATTACAGTCCTCGCTGCTTGAGGTAAAATATTTCCTTGTGGGGATATTTTTACTAAGGGGGGTGTATCAACGTTAGTAACAAGTACAAAAACGATTCAAAGATGTCAAAAAAAAGCTTACCCAATTTTCCAGCCCAAATCAAGAGCAGGACTATTGCTACGCAAATAGCAGACACTGCGAAGACATAAGACTGCCAAAAGTCATATTTTTTCTCCAAAATAGTAACCGGGAAAGACGAGAGAGAAGCAACATTAGTGAACCTGGACCTCTTATTAGTAAAATACGGCTAAATTCATCATCAAGGATAGGATACTATGATCGGGGAATAGAGGTCATACCAAAAGTAAGCATTGAATATAAACTGCAATGTTCTGGTCCCGTCCACTACAACTAAATTACCGTTCTTTCGTTGTACAAGCTGTGGTTTCCGCTGGATATATTGGTCTCCTGTACAAAACAATTAGGAATGAATCAATTGCTAGAACTAAGGGGTATGGAAAGCAAACCTAGAAAAGGGGAAAATGCTGCCTTAATTGATCCAACACCCAATGCAATGAAGATCATTGAGACAATCAAGCCGCCTAGGCCTGCGCCGTTGTCTAAAGCTACTGGCAGTGAAGTCGTCACGAGGATGATACTGCCACAAATATAGAGTCTGCATCGATAACAAGAACAATTAGAAGGAGCGTTTCGTAGCGTGTTCTTATGGGAAATTATCTCACGTTAAACCCAGTATCAGCGTTTTGTACCGGCCCAGCCACATATCAGACAAAACCGCAAAGAGGATTGGAGTCAGAAAGGAAAAGAGGAAAAAGGCATTCGAGATGTTCACAGCGGTAGCTTGACCCAAACCCAAAGCACCGGGTACGGCATGGTTGCCTCGAGGGTTTTGCATATAATTCTCTGTGTATCCATCATTAACTTAGCTACACCTGGTCCGTGATATCATTGTGGGAAAATTGAGATTTTGGGTTTGTAATCCGTGCAAGAATGAATAGTAAAAACTCACGCCATGGAGCAATCACTCCGTAGTAGGTAAATCGTTCTGCAGCGCCAGCAAAAATGACCGCCCAGGCAGCAAAGGGAATACGATCGATAACGTGCGGGAGGGTTTTGATCTCCTCCTCGGTAGCATCACGAGGGAGGGAATCAACCGGAGGCATATTCTCATCTAGAGAAGGCGCAAGGTCTTCAAACACAGGCGCATTGACTTCCTGCCCCTTTGTTTGGGGAGTTGAGTCCGACATTGCCCATGAACTTTGACTGTTTAATCGGAGTATGTATGTAGTATAGGCAGCAACAAAAGATGAGCCACTATGGCACCTTATGTAACTATAAAACGTCGAGAATGACTTGGGTGCAGTTGCTCAGCAAGCATTCACGTTGATACGATGACATTGGGCACCTGGCCGGATCTGACAGACAAGAAAATTTTCTGCTGCATGATTGATGAGAGACAGGGACCTCACAGCCGTCACCCAAGCCGAGCCCAGCTTTACGGACCATGAATCTGGGTCAGAATACTAGCTATGCATGGCAGCATACCGTCCTGCTATCGCCTTTCCGGACTTACCATTCCGTAGTCCGCGACATATTGTTTCGAATGGAGTTCTCGGTACGGGGTATTACAGCAAATTCAAAAGATTTTCGGGAATCCCATGTTCTCTCTCGCCTCTTAGTTCGCCAAGCGGGTAACTGACCAATCTAGCTTCTCATCCGGTTCAGAACTAGCAGGCGTATAATAATAATAATGATTGCTAGCATAGCGGCAATACGGGTATGGGGAGCTAATGCTCCAGGAGATCTCCGACTAGCCAAGCGATCAATCCAAGCGTATTGCTTATTCGAGCGGCGCTGGCCAATTCCAGCCTAGAATTGAAATAAAATTTTGCTCAAACCCGCTCGTGATCAACAGACTCGAAACAAGAGCTCGGCTGTAAGGGATGTGGAGTTCGAGGTTTGGTAGGGGGTCCGAAGACACCAGGTCAGGTGATGGCGGATGCGGCGTTTTTATTTTCCGTTAGGGCTGTGCCAGCACCGGGTTTGTCAGCATAGTTGCTGGCATCTGCAGCATCAAACTTGCGACAGCCACGGAGTATGTTTGGGGGAGCCATCCTCCTAGATGAGCGGGATGCGGTCTACTCCATCAGGGTGGCCTCCGCGTGAAGACCAAGGTGTTGCAATTTGCAATCCCGCGAGGAACTTTCTTTTGCTATCTTCTTAAATATGAACCAGAGCCAATGCGTACCTTGATGGCGGGGAGGCTAGCAAAGTATGCGCCCACGCGCACGATGGATTTTTCACCGCTGCACCGGATTCCTTGTTTTTTTCTTGACGTCGGCGGTTATGTGCTTGATATTTCTTTTTTTATCTCGTCTTAGCTTCGGAGGTAGATCTCGAATCGGATTTTGTTGAGACGGCAACGGGATACCGAGACTAAGGATGTCTTGACGGGAACCTTGTTGACATGCTTTAGCAAGCCGCAGGGCTGGGCACTTCACTTCAAGCAGCAGTAATGGCAGTTGACCTGGGCCATCTGGAGCAGGGGCAAGGCTGAACAACTCCTGATAAATGACGATTTGCTTTTGTGGTGGCAATGTCACGGAGAAATCAAGACGCGGAGATAGTTAATCCCTGTGTAGCTGAATTCCATCGTTATCTAGTACTACTAGTTGAAGAAGAAAATTTTATTTCGCTGCCAGATGTTGAGCCAACGCTCCATATCCCCCTTCAACGCAAAATGCTTCACGTCCCTTAGCTCTGAGCATGGCTGCAGCCATGCGCCCTGAGTCCCCATCCGTGCAAACTACCAGCACCGGGCCTGGCCCAGGTGGGTCTGACATTCCATATTGGCCCGAATATTTTTGCCCCTCGTGTATTGAAACTTTCCATAACCATGTTTCCCCATCGAAGGCTTGCTTTAGTTCATTCCATCGTCGCTGTACTGCTTCCGCCTTCCCGTAAAAATCCTCTTCCGTTTCTGGGAGTGGTATATTCCGCGAACCGGGGAGGTGTGAGCAGGCAAATGCATCTGTAGGACGAATGTCGACGACAGTTATGTCAGATGTCAGCGTATTATGTTTGGTTGAGACTTGCGGCGGTAGGGTCGGAGAGGACGGTGCTGTGGATGGGCCAGAAGACAAAGCGTTGTGGTAGGAATTAGTAGTGGAGGCTGATGATGATAATTCTGTGCCAGTTTCGGGTGATAGTACAGTTTTGCATGTATCGGGAAGCGGTTCCTGATCAAATGGAGCGCTCAAGTGGTCGCCATTCCCGTAGGAGAGCAGGGCAGCAACTTGTGTAGGTGTAAGAAACCATCGTTCATCATACGGATCGAGGTCACAAGCAAGAAGGTTCTGCAGATCTCCAGTTAGCAGGGGTGCAATGGACGTCGAATGGGGGAGAGGCAACCTGATTATAGATTGCAGGAAACTCATCCTCTCCAAGTTTTTTGAAATAAGTGTCCATGTATGGGTACGGCAAGTCAGCACAAACAAAAACACAAGAGATTTCTCCTGTGGCTGGGTTCGCAAGGTCAGAGAGGCAGCCCTCTGTCTTCAGGGCTTGAAGGTAAGTAAGTAATCCGTGCAAGGATTCGCCAGATGAAGGCCCCGCAATAATACCATGCCGACAGAGTTGCATCGATGAACGGAACGACTGAGCGGACGCTACTGTTTCAAAATGGTCGATTGTTTCCCTCCAGGGGAATTGTGAGCTTTCAAATCCGGGAAAATGGCGAGGGCCTGGTGTTGGATCTCCAAATACATTGCAAACGCTTGAGAAAGCCCTTAGGTCAGCAAGACAATCTGAAGTGATATCGAAGCGGATTCCTACCCAATGATCTTCACGGACGGTTTTTTCGATTTGAGGTAAACGCCTGTACCGCTAACACAACCTGAAGAAGGTACTCAGTATAAAGGTGCTATACGCTTCTCCCAGAAAAACTCGTAGTTCTCACCTCCAGTTCCAACGGTTGCGCAAAAGACGTTTATCTCGGGGAGCTGTTTAAATATCTGGGCGCCAGTCCATTGGTAGTGTGAACCCCAGTTCTAAAGGGGTAGTCAGATTCCGTTTTTGGGTGTTATATGAAAGAAAAGAAATTGCGAACATGATCATTATCGTACTGCCCTAGGTAGCAAACACTTGAATCTTGCGCAGCAAGTTTCCTTAGTCGGTTCATTATCCCCTTGGGATCTGACGGCTCTTGCTGGGCGAGTCCGCCATAAAGCGCTCTGCCTCAGTTAGCATCCCAATATATCTAAAAGGGGGGTATTATCTAACACTTTCAAACCAAAAAACCTCAATAGTCTCAGGGAATCAACGTGCTTTTTGTTTGTCACGTAAGCGGTTACATCATCATGGCCCCAGAGTGCTCGAGCGATGATTCCAAGTGAAAGGACCGTAGACCCTGAGCTCGCTTCCACAATTGATTTCTTATCGGCTCCTGGCTCATTGAGGAGCATTTTGAGTGCTACATTCGCAATCTCAGCAACGGTCTAAATAGACCACCCATTGGATGTAGATAAGGCAAAAAAGGACAAAAGGCAATAAATCGGTGGCGACCCTAGCTATCAAAACCTAGGGGTCAAGAGATAAAAGATACAAATCGACATACCTGGCAAGGACTTTACATTCTGTGCTGGTAATGCGGTAAGCATCTTTGCAAAGATCCGAACTCCATCTTGCCGTAAGGGATTGAGGGCGTCAGGTATCTCCACAAGAGGTAGTGGTGGATTTTGATCTGGGTCAAAATACTGATCGAGCGCGTTTGGGCCTTTGAAGACGTTCAAGGGACTCGGTGAACCCATCGTTTTCACTCTTTCGTCTTGTGGTATGGTATTGCCATTGAGCGACTGGCCCCAGGTGCGATATTTGAAAAAAAAGCCCAGAGACACCAAGTCGAGCAGGGAGCGTTACATAGTTCATTCGACTTCTGATGTGTTGCATCCCTGCAAAAGAACCAAGTACAAACATGCAGCAAGGTCTAAATTGAACCCGCTCAAATCCGTTCACCTGTCTAGAGCCCATGGCCCACTACGGAGACCTATATTAGTCTGTAATCAGACTAGTGTTCGGTACCGCCCTTCCGATGAAATCAAGGAAAGAAAATCCTCCCCGTAACCAATTATTGCCCGCCGACTCTGTATGCACGGACGGGGACAGGATTATTGGCTCGATGCGGCTTGCCCATTTCGTTTCCTGCTCAAACCCGCTCCTTGGCTTGAGACCTCGGCGAGACGGTTCTTAATTGAGTCTCGGGTCTATAACGGCGGGTTTGCCGCGGGAATGAGCATAGCGGAATTGCAAAAATTTCTCGCCCAAGAGGCCAAAAGCACTTGGGCGGTAACACGCCTTCCAATTCCTGGCTAGCGTGCCGGTTTGAGTTTGGGAGAAATATTGAGGCCCACTGACTCCCGCTGCTTTATGCAGGAATGAGGCGACTCCTTCGAATGTAATCCATACGGAGTAGCTATAAACAGTTGGTGCATTCTGGTTTTCACGTCTAGGTTTCGGTAAATCTGCGACGGGCAACTCTTGGGCCAATTAAGGCATTGGCTCCGCCGTGGCAGTGAATGACAATATAACAGGCCTATTTTGAAATCAGTATTCCTTTTGGCATTAATATCGCGCTTTTGATCTCGATCACCCAGAGGAAAAATAGAAGCTGTACTGTACACCGCTGATAGTCCCAGACATAAGTCTGCTAGGAAAAGTGGATATAACGAGAGTAAAGATGGTTTTGTAATCATGCTGTAAGCTGCCCCGATATACAGGAACCCCCTACTCTGTACTCCGTACGCGTAGAGCTAGTTTCCCACCATTTGTCTTCTGTTTCTGTCTTGTGCGGTGTCAAGGCTTTGGCGCAAGACAGCCAAGTCTGAACTGTGTGGGTGAAGATGTTAGTCGGAGGCGCGCTAAATGGAGCGGGGCCATCCTGCTTATATCAGCACCCTAACTCAACCTCCAACCTCACCCTCTAGGCAATTTTATTATCCCTTTCTTCCACGCAAGCAAAAAAGCAAAATTCTCGTTATAGTGTGTGAGTCTGGCGATCCCCGACTGACATTCCGGTGGCCATGGCTCCTGGACGGGCCTCATGCTGGCCACACTCCTTGGGTGCCCCCTGACCTCGGCGACACCGCTATTTATTATCGTCCTGCCAAAACCTTGTGGGAAACCGCGATCTTCGAGAGGGGCTTAACAATCCGCCGTCTCGAAACCGCTTGGTATCTGGGCCTACCCGCTCAGGTGGAGCCATCTACTCCGTACTGAGAAGGAAAAGCCTGAGCTCTCTGCGGGGCAGTAGATGACTCTGAAGGCCATCCGGCCAGCCAAAACCCCCCTCTGCGCCTCAGGTCTTAAGGTCGCCCTGAGGATTATTACGACACAAGAGCTATCGGTGGCGCTATTCACAACTCTTATTCTCTTCAATAAACGAGGTCCTAGATAGGCTCAAGGAGGTATTTGGCAATGGATTGTCCAAGCAGCAAAAAGGCACATATTCGCCTTGCAGGAACAGATAAATCCGGTGTGTAAAGCCCACGCTTATTCAAGCCCGCGAAACGTCAGAGTTCTCCCATATTAACACTATTTTCACTTCATTAGTGCTCGCGGATGTCTCCAGCAGTCAGGTTGCCAGCGAAACGAACTTGTGGTACCTAGATTTCCGTCTTCATGCAAGTGTAGCGAAGGAGGATAGCGGCCCAAAAGGAGATATTTTCAGTGTTGAACTGGATGCAAAAAGCTCTCTAGCTGAGAGCTTCCTTGAATCTTGCTTAAACGAAATTACGGCTGGACCAAACAGTCCAATTATCCCAATTCGTTTCCTCCTGCCGTCCACCAATGGTTCGGTTGTTCGAAGTGACTTTCTAGAACGACGACTAGAGTGCTGTGAACGTGTCGCCAATGTTGTCTCCTTTCTCTCTCCGTTGCAGTCCGTGAACGCTGCTCCCTACCAAGATGTTTCTGTCACTACCCCAGCCACGGTTCTGTCAAAGGCGATTGGTGCTATCCGTTTACATCCTCATGCTTCTTTTCAAGCACTCGATGCCGACTTGGTGAATCGATTATCCTTTTCGTGGCTACTACCTACACCTCTATCACCACGTCGCATCGCTTGGGTTCAGGGCCGTGAAGATATTGACTGCCTTGAGCGTGTACTTAAAGCCGCTGTTGCGATGGGGATCAAACTCGTGGTTATGGACGAACGAGGCCACTGGCTGCAAGATTTTCAGTCTCCTTGGGCGCATTATCGTGAAGCTTTCGTTGAGGTTGATATAACACCTAACGATGGATTCCCACAACGAGTGGCAGATGCCGTGAAAGCATACCCTAAACCCATTGATGGCATTGTTACAATCAGTGATGTTCGACTACCTGGCGTAGCCAAGGCATGCCGGATACTCAACCTTCCCTCGGAGGATCCTGATGCGTACGAAGTGGCTGGTGATAAAGGCCGCACGCGACTACTTGAAGTAGTGGGAGCCAATGAAAGTTTTGTCTTGGAAAGTGCTGATGGGTTGGAGGCGCACCTCGCAAACCGCTCTCAACAGGGTCTACCACCGCTTTGCTTTCCCCTGGTTGTAAAGCCAGTCGTGGGTTGGTCCAGTGACTGCGTCACCAAAGTGCGCAATGAGACTGAGTTGGTAGCTGCCGTCCGAAAAGCATCAGATCGCCATGCCGATTCTGCAAAGCGCAGTACCTCTGTAGTGGTAGAACCTTACGTGGACGGGCCCGAAGTCGATGCGAATTTTGTCCTTCTAGATCAAGAGATACTTTTCTGCGACATCAACGACGACTTTCCTAGCCCGGCTGATCTGAGAGAAGATGGTGCTAAGGCTAGCTTTCAAGAAACCCAGAACGTGATCCCTTCGGCGTTGTCTGCAGTTGAAATCGCGGCAGTTCAGGAACAAATGCGAGCATCAGTCCTACGTCAGGGGTTCAAATCTGGGGTCTTCCACTGCGAGGCTCGCGTTCGGAACTCACGAGCCAGATATACAGTCCAGGAGGGTGGGCTGATCGACCTCAAGACAACGAAACCAGAAATTACGAGACCAGAAGATATCGAGGTTTATCTTCATGAAGTGAATGCTCGACCCGCCGGGTATCTAGAGTCGGTGGCAGTGGCTCTCGCATATGGGGTCGACTACTATGCTACCAGGATGCTATTGGCACTTGGTCCAGACGAAACCGCTCGTGTACGGGCATTGTCCCAACCCTTCCGGGATGGCCCGCAATTCCATTTATCAGTAATGATCATCCAACAGACTCAAGCAGGGATCATGAAGACGGTAGACGCGGTAGTGGAGTTCCTGAACAAACACCCCCACATACGGCCGAACGTGGTGGACTACTACACGCGCAAGAAAGGAGGGGACATTTTGGAGGGTCCGGATGCGGCGTCGTTGTGGTGGATCGCGTTCTTCTCGGTGGTGTCCCGGGTATCGCGGCGGGATCTCTTAGAGCATGTCGAGTATATCGAGTCACATTTTGAGTATGAGACGGACAAAGGGGTGGTGCAGATAAGGTCAACAAAGCCTTAAGCTTGTTTTTTCTTCTTTCTCTGAAGGGATGATATGAAAGCCTTTTATGATGGGTTTATGCTGAGCGTGCTGGAAGCGAAAAGTGATAGAGACCGGGGTCGGTCAGGGGTTCGATAGATGTCCTGCATACTCCGTACATAGATTCCAAAATAGATGTTACATTCTTAGATCCTGCGTGCATTCTCCATCGCCAGTGCGTCCTTGGGTGCCATGATCACCTTATCTACGGAGGACAGCTCGACGTATTGCCCTACTTGATCATCTATGCAGTCTTGCCCTGCTTCCTCCACTGCTCGCTTGCATCCCACGCCTTCTTCGCCTGAGCTGTGGCGGTCGCTTGCGTGAGGTGTAAGTATCCCATGCGGCCGCTTTAGTGGTTGCTGAGTCACGGGCAGTTCAAACTCTGCAGATCAAACCGTCCAAAAACACGCGCAAATCTGCTCAGGCGAAGACTTTTGCGTTCCAATCACAGAGTCGATATTAGGCGACGACAAGCGAGCGAGCGCCGGACTGCATTTGAGCATGTTTTGCCTCTCGGAAGAAAAATAGAGGCACTTCGCGTGGCAATAGAGCCGCCCGCTGGAGAATTTCATGCCCCGTAAACGCCTTACCGCACCAGTCACAGCAGAGGGAATCGTGATGATCAGGGTCAGGCCGACAATAAGGCAAAAACCTCCCCCTTGGCAAGTCGGTTCTTGAGAGGAATTCCTCGGCGATGCAGTCTCCTCTCGGGCTGGACCCCGTGATGGGAGGTTCTCGCCCTTGCTCAAAGATCCTGGTTTTATATCGGCTTGATTCTCTTCTTACCTCTTCTTTCCTCCGCCTTTTTCATCACTGAAAACCTCAGTCAACAGCTGAGCTGGAGGAACAGACCTGGGCAGTGCTTCAGCATGAAGGTCTCCACGGTTGCTGGCCTGTTGGCCTTTCTCACTTTGTTGGACACAGCATGCGCCTTCATTGGAATGGGCATCACCATGTACAAACCGATCTGTGCGTTTGGTTGCCGGGCAGCCATCGCATCGGCCATGCTGTCATGCTCCGACCATAGCAAGAAGGTCATGACTAGCCCAAGCTGCCGAGCCGGCGATACCCCATTTCTAACGACTCTGGCATGGTGCATGAATGCAACGTGCTCCGGCGGCCATCACGGCCAAACGAACGACAAGCCCGTACCGGTTTGGAAGTTGGAGAAGTACTGGGCGAGCAAGGCGACTGGCGATGCCAGCGTGTTGCCTAAGTGGTCTTATGCCGACGCTTTAGCGGAAATCAAAGAGCCCCCAACCCAAGAGTGGCGCAAAGGAAAAACACTCAACTTCACTGCGCGGGTGTCTCATAGTGCATGGGATCTCAACGTGAGGACCTTGTCGCATTTTGAGCTGGCCGAGGAGCGGCACAATCGATATGCGTGAGTACTGTCTTATTACCCCATAAACCGAGCTTTCTGGTATATTTGGCTAACGGGGTCACCATAGCGTCATTCTGGCAGTTGTAGGCTTTGGAACCCCTATCTTCTTTACTCTTCTCAACGGCCTGCCATATATGACCGGTTTATTTGAGAGACTGAAGCCGTATCTGGTGTACCCGTCAACTGTTGGCACCTATCACGTTCGATCATTGCCTTATCTCCTCGGCAACCCGCCCACGGTTGGCCAGGGAGCATATATCGCAATGTTTTTTGTCCTGAATGTCATTTTAACCGCGGTCGGATATACTATCAGTCAGCCCAATACAATTTTCGACTCCAGCTACCAAGAGGTTATGGGATATGTGTCCGCTCGAACCGGCGCTCTTGCTTTTGGTCTCGCACCACTCGTCTTTCTCTTTGCTGGGCGAAATAACTTCCTGCTTTGGGTAACCAATTGGTCACACTCGACCTACATGCTTCTACATCGATGGGTTGCTCGTATTTTCGCCATCCAAGTCATCTTGCACTCCATCACCGAATTAGTCGTTTATATCGATATGGGCAAGTTCGAGGTCGAAACTAAAAAACCTTACTGGGTCTGGGGCATCGTCGCCACACTCTTTGTGTGTATTATGTTGGTGGCAAGCTTATTGTGGGTACGGCGCTGGTCCTACGAAGTCTTCTTGATTTCGCACATTATAATGGCGTTATTTGTCATTGTTGGCTCTTGGTACCATATTGAGCTTCTTTTCACACGGAAGTGGGGTTACGAATTCTGGATGTACGCCTGCTGTGCAGTCTGGTTTTTTGACCGATTGTTACGTGTTCTCCGCATTGTGAAAAATGGTATTCGGTCTTCAAATGTTACCGAGGTGAGCGAGGATATTGTCCGCATCGATGTCCCGGACGTCCGGTGGACCGCCGCGCCCGGAAGGCATACATACGCCTACTTTCCCTCGCTGAGAATGTTGAGGCCTTGGGAAAACCACCCTTTCTCCGTCGTCCCCACCGCACTCCTTCGACTACCAGAGCACCGCCTCAGCAAATCCACTCCTACAAAGGCCCTGTCCTCTGCCTCCTCTTCAAACGGGGATGTAGAGAAATCTGGCATGCCTGCTACCACCACTACCACGCCCATCCCAGAACCCCATGGTAGAAGTGAAAGGTATACCACAAGCGGTATCACACTGTATGTTCGCAAATCAACCGGAATAACTAGCTATTTGAAGTCAAATAAACAGCTCACCACCCTCCTGGATGGACCATACCCAAATAATCACACAGGGCCTGTTCTTAAATCCGACCGCTTGATCCTTATTGCCGGCGGCATCGGCATCGCCGGTATTCTGCCGTTCGTTGCGTGTCACACAAACGCAAAATTATATTGGAGCGTACGTCAAACCTCTGAGGGACTGGTAAACGAACTACAAACAGTGCTGGACGGGCTACAGGAGAAGGAGGTCCGTGTGGGCAGAAGATTAGAAATAGAAAGGTTATTGGAGCAGGAAGAACAAGATGGGTGGAAGAAGATTGGGGTGGTGGTGTGTGGACCTGGGGGATTATGTGATGATGTGCGGGCGTTAGTAGCAGCTAAAGGGCGGCAGCAACGGGGAGTTTTGTGGGAATTGGAGGTGGACGCATTTTCCTGGTAAACGACGATGACGAAATTGCAACATTGGGGAAGGCTCGTTTTTTTATTGGAGCCTGATCAGAAAAATCATGGAAAAAATTGTTTGATCTTTTGCCTTAATATATATATATCATGCATATGGCCATGCTGTTTATAATTGTTTGACTTTTCCCCCCCCTCCAGTCAAAGATAATTTCATTTCAAGTATATCACAACTTTTTTTTCTCGCCTTAAACTTGAATTTTCTTCATCCTAGTGCTTCTAGTTCCAAGGAAAACACTACCATCCTAATGTGAAGAAGAAAAGGGTCTGTCCTAATCCGCGAAATGCATACCAGAATCCTGATTGGAGTCGTAGCATTTTTGTACTGCTTAGAACTTCATTAATTACTCAGCAATATGGCTCGAGGATGGTACACATGTAACTAACTAGCTCAGAGACGTAACGGCAAACTGTGTAAAAGATCAAAAAGCTCGAAACTACTCATAAGAGAAGAAGTTTGCAGGCAAATGCTTACATGTCCTGAGACGAGACATGGAAGTAAGCTCAACCGGCTGTTCGTACGGAATATTCCGTTCTCACCCTCAATTAAACTTTAGGAGGTAGACCCAACTTGTGGGGCCAACTAAAAGAAAAGAGGAGCTGTTATCTTATCAATCACGATTCATCTTATCGATCTCCGAAGCCCGAACAACGTCCCCGGGATAAGTGCAGCTTCGCCTGCAGCAGCTGCAGAAGTGGGAGGATATCATGACAGAAGGAGCATTGCATGTTAGCAGACGAAGCTTTCGGAGATCACTGACGAAATTAGTAAAATATACCCCAGCAGAGAGCTTGCAACCTGTCCACTTATTGCAATATTCAGCGGTCAAATGGAGGCAAAAATTCAAGGAAGGTGTGGGAGAACGCTATTTAATCTTTCGGTGGCAACGAGTGTCACAGCGACAGAATTTACACACTGAGTTTGACTTTCAAACGGACCAACTTAGACTACTCCGTTCCAATGGGCGGACGTTTCCGATCGCCGTTGGACATGGATGTTATCTTTTATATTCTATCAACTTGACATCTTTCTAATATCAGCTTCATGAAAGTCAGCTGCCACAGGCTTTTAAAAATATCATTGGCTTAGTGTTTCCGATTTTAGTAACCAGTATATAGAAGTGAAGATAGATTTTCATTAGATATGTTCTGTATCTGAAATCAACAGTGGATGGGGTATCAAGATAGCAATTTCCTATTACGGTGGCGACAATTGACCTCTCGATGGCGACCCAGGGAGCCCAATAAAAATAGGGTACAAAGAAAAAGATCTGCGTGTTAAAAGAGAGGACGTTTGGGAGCGTCACACACGCCCCCATGGCGATAGGGGCTGACAATGAAAACCTTAGTTCCTTCTAAGACATTCAGCTTGCAGTTCACCAAAGAAGCCGAAGGCTGGAGCTGCATTACAGACAGCTTGCAACCAACTCTTCAAAACCGGGGTCCATGCCATCATAATCCGCGGTATGATAAGCGAATTGAGTAGTTCGGGGTTCGGGGCGGCCTCCGTACTCATGACGCAACTGTAAAATTAGCTGAACACTGGAAGGTAATCAGGTTGGCTCTTTCATCATACTATCGAGAGGTTGAGCCCTATAAAGAGAGCTTCAGACCCGAGCGATTTTCAATCTTAAATGGATTGTTATCCAGGATTTTTAGCTCATTATACTACGGCATCAAAAGAGAGGAAAACATACCAAATCTTCTCCAATACTTTGTTATTCTGCTCTCCCAAAATGCCTCCTCGGGATTTAAACGGCATCGACAGCATCAGCGAGATCGATGATATCAAAGTTCAGGCCCCCGAAAAGACGATTGGGCGAACTAGCACACCACCTCCAGCCCCAGAGAATTCTCAGCTCCCAAATGACCTTAGTCCAGCTACCCTCTCTACTCGCAAACATCCCAAATCAGAAGAGGTTGTAAAACAAGTCATCGACTTCTTCCTCCAAAGCTGGAAGTTTAAGAACGAAGAGAATAAAAAGAGCTTCGTTAATCAGAGCCAGCCTTGGTTTATAGCCCTAAGCTGCCCCTTATCGCTAGATGAAAGGCTGCACTGGGGCTGCCAGCTCATGACGTTTGACTTTTTGGTCGACGATGTTTTGGATTCCATGTCTGTCGAAGAAGGGCTTGAATATACATCGAGGATCATGGAATGCGCGAGTGGCAAGCGGCTTCCTGATCGCAATGTACCGGCTGAGTGGATCGCGTATGATCTGTTTGAGGAAATGAGGGCGGCAGATAAACAACTAGCAGATGAGCTGTTGGATGATACCTTAGAAATCCTGACTATTCAGGCGGATCCAAAACGGTTGGCGCGTATGAACCTGCATGAGTACTTTGCATTCCGAGAGGTCGATATGGGCAAGAAGTACGTTTCCTTAATACCTTTCTTCCAGCACCCTGATTAAGTGCTAATACAGCTTAGCTTTATTTCCGGAATTATGCGCTTCTGCATGGGTCTCCATATGACCGTGGAGGAGCTCGAACTTGTCAAAAGTCTTGAATCAAATGCATCAAAGCACACCAGTCTTGTGAATGATATTTGTAGTTTTGAGAAAGAGATTGTTTCAGCCGAAGCAGGTTTCGACCTTGGAACAATGTGCTCTTCATTGCCTATATTCATGGACTTGCTTGGTGTGGGTGCGCCAGAGGCGAAACGTATTATCTGGCAGGCAATTCGCGCCTGGGAAGTCCGACATTCTGAATTGGTCGACGAGGTTCTCCGTCAGGATCCGAGTCCAACCATGAAGGCGTTCTGTAAAGGACTGGAGTATCAGATAACTGGAAATGAGCGGTGGAGCCTTATAACGCCTCGCTACAACGACAACCGAGGGTTTTCATGTCACTGATGGATGTTGAATTGACGGCTCAGAGGAGCCGTGTGGACGTGGCTATATTATGTATGTGCGCACATGCAGAGCTAAGTTCAGAGACTATATATAGTTAGTTGAATAGTTACATACCCAGGAACTTGAAGGATAGTTATCTATCCCCTCACAGAGTATCATCTTGCTAATGTTTGGTGTTCGTTGCCGAAAGAAACGCGTAAATTGTCGTGCTTGGGGGCCAAAGCTGGCAAGTTTAGCCGGAGGCGTTAGGCAAGTCGTGACGATGCGGCTGCCGCCCGCAATAGACTTTAGTGATTGGCCCAGAGTATGCGGCTCACACACCCAAATCAATCACGTGATTATATATTTATCATTATCTAATCAGCGGCGCTTTCGCATTCACAAGAACCAAAGTAATGAGTATGGATCTAACTTCAATTTCCGAGGATGGCCCGATTATCTACAATTTCTCTCATGCCGATTTTGAGATCGACCCTCCACAAAAGTCTACGCTCGAAAATGGCCGTATCACACTCTCAGAGGCTCTAGATCGAGAAGATGATATGAGGCTCGAATTACGATATGTTGAACAAACGAGGCAATTTTTCCAAATTATATACGATCATTGCCAGGAAATTCAAGAAATTGTTGCCTCTCACTGTGGTTTGAGCCCTGAACGTGTCCATGTCCCAGAAATATCTACTCCTGAGGGGTTAGTGTGGCGCAACGGAAATTTCCATGTCTCTATTCCACTAGATATCGATAACTCCGGAACACCTTTACCCCAAAGCTTTGCTTGAGGGTGTATCTGCCGTATAAAGTAGGGGAAGCGTTCTCCCCCAATAATGTAGATGAGAAAGCTCGGTCTGAGGCCGCGACTCACATCTGGATCAACGACAATTGCCCTGACATTCCGATTCCAACTCTACGGGGATTTGGCCTCCCGTGTGGTCTTAGTGTGAGTATATAGTTTACATCTAGCTATAATAGCTTGTTATACTAATATTCGGTGGTGCACAGTTCTTTAAGCCCAGATACGTTCCACTCTGGCCAAGGATCAAAACTTATATCAGCCGTTTTTTCTTATCTTTTTTCAAGAAAAAACTATTTGCTGAGTATATTCCACTGCAAAGATCCACCTTTTTGCGTCGCGGCTACACTCTCATTGACTGGGTGGCCAGTGACGAAATCAACCTGTTCCCTATTGCCCTTTGTATATCACATACGGAATCACAGTTCCGAGCTCTTTACCGATCCATGTCAAGAATCATTCTTTCTCTTGCTAAGATTCCACAGTCTCGGATTGGCTCTTGGACTATAGATGATGGCGGGTGCATTCGACTATCTAACCGCCCAACACTTCGTCATTTATTTCAGCTGGAGAACTTGTCTATCTCATGTGGCATCCCACGCAACACAACTTATAAAACTACTGATGGTCTTCATCTTGACATCCTTGCCAGCCACGATCAGCGTCTGCGCAGTCAAGATAACGCTGCTACCAATGAAGCCGATGCCCGGGCCCAAGCTAAGGACCTCGTGCTTATGAGAGCGCTACTGGATAAATTCACAGATTCTAATCTACGTAATGGCCCATTTGTCATGCAAATGACAGACCTCTGCCTTACCAACATTTTTCTTGATAGGGACTGGAATGTTAAGTATATCATTGACCTTGAAGGTGTATGCTCTCTACCAATCGAACATTTGCAACCTCCACAGTGGCTGCTTACGATGAAGGCGGTTGTGGATGCAGTTCAAGACAAATATCTTGAGGAATTTAAAGAACGTTTTGAATCGTTTGCAAAAATTTTTGAGGAGGAGGAAAAGAACACCACCTCCACTCAAACATTCTGTTCTCAGGCCGACATCATAAAACGTAGCCTGAAAACCGGAGGATTTTGGTACTGGCATGCATTACAAAACCCGTGGGCCATGTTCAATATTTTTAGAAAACACATTTTGCCACTTTATGATGCTGTTCCCAATGACATGCTTCGAGAAGCTGTATCACCTTTTTGGGAGCCTAGAATGCGATCATTTGTTTATCAAAAGACAGAGCAGTATGCACGTTATTGTGAAGAGGTGCAAAAAATATTCAAAGATGGCAGGGAGATATACTAAGTAGCTAGCTATTTCATTTTTTAAGGTGGACTACAGAGTATATAGTCACTTACATACAAATTGCAAAGACGCAAAAACTTGGCTGGCTATAAACAAAGTTCGATACAAAGTTCGATACAAAGTTCGATACAAAATAAAGGTATCACAATTTAGACAAATGTAATGAACTCAAGTGAAACATGGATAACTACTACACATGTGCTTGCATGAAGCAAAAGCGCAAACAACGGAATTACAGCCAGTGACATGACAAAAAAAGGGGGGCATGATGGTAAATTTGTCAGAAAAAGGCAAAGAGGCAAAGAATAAGTACGCACAATAAGCAAATAAAATAGCCAATAAAAATGTCGTATTGACAACTGGTATTCCGAAGTTGCATTGTTTGACATTGCTTTGTACACAGACAATGTAGTGACAAAGGGTTTTACCAACGCCGTCTTGGGGACTGCGGGGAGGAAATCCTCTCTAGCATGCTCCACGCCTCTGCAAGGCTTTGCTCTGAAGTTGCAGCTATGTCCCGAAACTGAGCTGCTGAAAGTAGGCCTGTGGGTCTTGCGTCTGTCAATGCTAAATGAAGTTCACGCTGTCCTCTATCCAAAGTATGGCTTCTCCTTCCTCTAGGAGGGCTAAGGTGACGTTCCCCGTTATCTTGACTATAAATGCTAGAGGAGCGGTATGGATTGTTGTTTGGGCGCAGCTGGCTCCAATTTTCCCTATGTTCTTGGCTGTAAGTGCTGGAGGGGCGATTTGGACAATTGTTCGCGAGCCACTGGCTCCAATCTTCTCCATTATTTCTGTCATGCGTACTAGAGGGTCGGTTTTGGAGGTTGTTTGCACGCAACTGGCTCCGATTTTCCCCATTATCTTGGCTATACACGCTAGAGGAGCGGTTTGGGCGGTTGTTCGCGAACCATCGGCTCCAATCTTCCCCGCCACCACGACCAGCGGCATCGTTTCGCGTCCCCGAGGACCCATATTCGGAAGGCTGAAATGTAGTAGAAGTGGGGGTCGTGATGGGTGCAACGCGACCTCTCTGATATTGGCCTTGCCCGGCATATTGAGGAGCAGTAGTAGTGGCCCAAGTACACCAACGTTTAACGGATGACTCGGGTCAAACATAACTTGTATGGTTCCTCTATCCCCCGGGCGGCTACCTTCATCGGTGGAAGAGCTGAAGCGGCTAATTTGTTGTGTCCGGCCACGCCCATCACGTCCATTATAAGATGCCATGCTTAGTTTCTGTATTCTCAATTAACTACTTAGATAAATCACCGCCCTAAAACATGATTCTGAATAGGTCCTTACCTGCGTTGCAAGAATCCTTTTGACACTCAGTTCAAGGTTCGTTTCAAGCGCAATTCTAAGTCTTGTTTTGGAATCTTGTCTCGTTGCTGAAGAACAGGATGAGATGCGTTGAGAAAATGCCGTATTTATGTTGAAGAGAAAAATGGCAGTGCTCTGCCATACAGCTAGGCAACATCACCATTTCGACTTTGCCATAGGGGAGCCTCGTCGAATGTTCCGTATCCAACCGAGTTATTTGGGCCACGGAAGGAAGGTAGGCACACGGGGCCACAAAATAAACCAGGCATTAGAACATTCAAGCCCTCTTTGCCAATCCCTTTCTCAAGCACACCACCATCACGGGCAATCCCGAGCGTGATCAAGGTATTTTGCGGCTTAGGCTTTGGAAAATAGCACATCACAGGCGGGAAACAAGTATGCCCAGGTTGAAAGTGGAACATCCCGTTTTGTATGCCTATTACACTGGATCATCCGTCTCACGGTTGCGGTACATGCTCAAATGAGGCAAGTTAGCGCATCGAGCCCCAGATGGGCACCTACCCTGGTCATAATTTGGTGAATAGCCGCAGCGCGTTTGGCCCGGTTGAAGAGCTGGAAGAAGCCATGGTTCGTTACACAGGATAGTGGGCTGAAGCTTACGTTTTGGTCCCCAGTCAGAAAGTAGAACAGCGGTCCTGACAGAATTCACCCAAGATAGACAAATCACCGGTTTAAATAGGATCCACTTCACTTCGGAGCGTTTTTCCCACCTCGGCGGCTAGTAAAAAACGCCAAAGAATATATCTTGTACGGCGGTAATCCAGAAAACGGCTCATGAGGGGCTTAGACCTATGCCGCGGGTAATCCCGCGCCTCTCGGGTATCATGAACGCTAATCTCTTGGGGCGTTGCTCCAAAAATGGGGCGAGGACCTCTTCCCGTAGCAAGAAATGTATTGGGCACCCAGGTATGTGATGGTGCATATTCCAGGAGAGGGCTTCCAGGGCCCGGGCGGTAAGTAGGCCAAACCAATTAAAAAATAGGGGTAAATTTGCAACGTTGGAAGCTGAACGGCGTTCAGTGCCAAATCCGCCTTGTGGAGGGTAAGAATGAGAGTCCAGCCCGTCGAGCTGATGAGTCGCGAGGCAGCAACCTCGACAGGGTGTGCACATCCATTCGTTGTCAGTAGACCACGTGTCCGGCGACGGAATAACTAAAATTGCGACCTCATGCTTTAAAGTTCTCCTCCTGTTTCATTCGGGCTCAGAACTTTGCGTTCTTGCACACAGCATTCGACATTCTGATTTTCGCGATGCGAACGACAAGGGTGCCAGCCGTGCTAGCGGAATGTCGAACCATCGACTGAAGGGGCTATGATGGACGATCCCGCTTTGCAGGCGCCAGTGCAGGGCCTTCTGCGAATCAACCATGTTCCCGTTGCTAGTCCACCAGGCGAATGAATCAGGAGACCAGCCCCTATTGGCAGTGATAATACCCTCTGGATCACTTGGACTGCGGATATTCTACTGCACGAATAGGAGACAGACTTCATTTGTTGGCTTCGCGGCCCCCAAAAGATTTTTGTCATTTAGGATGAGAATTTCCTCTTCTTTTTCGGCTCTCGTCGGGCTTTGCTGTCATCCCGCTGGAAACCGCCAGACTCTAGTTGATGCCTATTATGCCGTGGAGCTGTTCGGGCTTGAAAAATACACACGTGATGCCAATGGTGAGTTGGCACAATGGAGCGCGTGAGCAAAGCCGGAAAGCAGGGTACGAAACTAGACCCAGAGTCTGCGCCGCGAAGGAAATGGCCTACATGGCTCCTATCCTGACTACGTGTACTCCAATGGGAGTGGTTAAAGCTGGCGCATCCCGCTAAATTTCTTGCCCCCCTCTTCCTCGGATACTTACCGGAGCCCATCCCTGCGATATCTCGTCTTTCTGGCCTCGTTCTGATGTGTTAGCAGACATACTAACGCGGCGGCAATGACTCATACGAGCCGCCTCGTCTGTTATTCCAATGATACAGGGCATAGCACACAGGGGAATACGAATCTGGCGTCTTTAACCTCGATTTTCCGCGCTGTTTCCAACTCTTTCTCCTGCATATTTCCACACCATGCTGTTTAACATCGACAACAGGATGAAAAATCCGGATCGAGTCTTTGAGGGTGAAGGCCTGAAACTAATTTACGAGTTCTTATTTGATGGTTTCGCAGAAAAGAACTCCTTTCGTGGAACATTGACTTAGAGTGTGGCTCTCAAGAATATTTTCAGAATTGCCTCTTCTTCCCGAGGAATTTGTCATTCTGATAGACGGGCTAGGCTGTTTACAAGGGTCTACTTCCATATCATGACGTAAATGCTACAACTTTAAGCGGCAAACGGTCTTTATTCGGGTCCAATACCTCTTTGAGAAGTATCACTGGTCATACTTTGGGGCTCTTTCATACATTATTACCTTTCTTACAAAGTGAATATCTGATAGACACATTCTGATACCCAGTCCAACATATTCTTAGGGCGACTATGCAGCATTCATGTAAAACTGACGGTGAAAATTATACTATAGTCTTCTTGATTCTGGATATTCTTTCTTCCTGCTTGAATGCATATTTTCTATGGACAACTTCAAACTTTCTACCTAGCTTTTGTGAATAGCTCACCATGTAAAGACGTAGGTGACGAGCAGAGCCAAGTCCTCATGTATGTGTTATAGCGACCAGTTTGTCTTTTCGAGCTAACATTCGATAACTTTGGAGGTATTGGCCCTTTTCCATACTCTGATATACTTGCGAGAATATGTAGCTCCTCCATGTAACACAAACAGTATGTATATGCTCATCAATAAGTGGCCTAAAGTTACTCCTACCCCTTGGTTCATGGGGCAACGGATTTCTATGCAATTTCAAGTTTGCATCGGCGCAAATAGGCGAGAGTAGACACTTGTGGAACTGAAGGAGCATACACAAGATTCGCAATCTCCCTTCCACGCCTTATGCCTTCACCGCCGTTCCTTTGTTTATCGCGTGCCCTGTGGGAATTAACTTTAGTCTGGGCGGTGACGTCGAAATTTATTGATCAACACACCAACTCCTTCGCCCCCAGATTGTTCTGAACATTACATCTTCTGAGCTCCTACGCCAACGTCCTCGAACACAGTGTATGTTATTTTTATTTATTATTCTTATTACTGATTCACGTCTTAATTCCTCATCTAGCCCCTCAATACCATATTCGGTCCCCCCCCGCCAGACTCAAATAATGTCCAACCCCGCTGCAGACTCCGCTGTCCCCGCGGCCAGTCGAGGATCCTGGTCTTCTTTTTTAAAGGTCCGGTGATTTCTACCCCATAACCATCAATAAAAACGCGTTGCTAAGCTTTCAAAACAGTCCATTGCCTCGTTCAACGGTGACCTATCTTCCCTAACCGCACCTCCCTTCATCCTCTCTGGCACCTCCCTTGTGGAATTCTCCACCTACTGGGCCGAGCACCCCGCGATTTTCATAGCCCCGGCACGGGAACTGGATCCAGCCAAAAGGGCCTTGCTAGTACTGAAATGGTTCCTCAGCACCCTGCACCAACAATATGCCACACGAAGTGAAAAATTAGGGAGCGAGAAGAAGCCATTGAATCCGTTTTTGGGAGAGCTATTCCTGGGTCGCTGGGAAGATGATGGAAATGTTGGGGAAACAACCCTATTCAGCGAGCAGGTTAGGTGAGTGTACGGTCCCCTCTTTCGGGTTTGGCATGTTTACTGATGCGTTTGATAGCCACCACCCGCCTGTGACAGCGTATTCAATACAAAATGAAAAACACCGTGTTCAAGTAAGCATGTGATGTTTCATTCTGAAGACTATTAACGATCTAATGCACTGATAGTTGCAAGGATACAATGCCCAAAAGGCCTCCTTCTCGAGTACCATCAACGTCAAGCAAATTGGCCATGCGCTCTATTCTATTCCCGTTCCAAACTCTGACGGGACTGATCGTGAAACGTATCTGATCACTCTACCATCACTGCACATCGAATCATTAATATATGGCACACCTTTTGTCGAATTAGACCGCTCAAGTCAGATTGTCAGTTCTACTGGTTATGTTGCCAAAATTGATTACTCTGGTAAAGGATGGTTGAGTGGGAAAAAGAACACCTTCAGCGCAGTATTGTACCATCAAAATGACGGAGAAAAGAATCCCCTCTACACTGCCGATGGCCAATGGTCGAAAGATTTCGTGATCAAAGAGGCAAGGGGTAAAAAAGTAGAAGTTGAGAAGTACAGCGCTGCGAGCACTAAAACCACTCCACTCACTCTGGCCAAACCAGAAGATCAAGATATATTCGAATCGCGTCGTGCGTGGAAGGATGTTGCTCGAGCCATCGAACGTGGCGACATGGATGCAACCTCAGTCGCAAAAAGTAAGATCGAAAATGCCCAAAGGGAGCTTCGCAAGGTAGAAAAGGAAGAAGGCCGAGAATGGGACCGACGATTCTTCAAGCGGGCAGATGTTGGTGATGACGAAGTGTTTAAAAAGCTTTTGGGCATGTTAGGCCTCAATGATCCCGCTCCCGTGGCTCTTGAAAGCGATAAGACCAATGGAGTATGGAGATTCGATCCTAATTCCGCGAAGGGCGCAACTCCTCCGTATTATGCAGTGGGAGGCCAATGCTTAGGCCTTGAACAAGCTCCCGGTAAAGATACAGAAGAAGGGAATAGTTTGTAAGAAAGATACTTAATAATTACCTGCCTTTCAGCATCTTGGTATTCTTGTTGGATTTCGGTGTATTGTCCGTTTTATGCGGGCGGCGGGTTCATCACCTTTTGGGTCCTGACAGAAGTATAATTGGATTCTATTTCCCAGTGGGCAAGCAAGAGTTTCGGAAAAGGCTACAGATGAGTACTACAGACTCATAGATCCCTGTTTGATCTACTCTACAGAGGTGCCCGTACCAATTCAATAGCATGCGAGCCTCTGGTCTTCTTTGTTTCGTTCAGAAATCAGTATTCGTGTATACAATTCCCGTTTGTTGTTCCCCACGATATTTCTAATGCGGTAGATCGGAGGAGATACATACAATGTTTCAAATCAAGAATTTAAGAGAACTTTTTTACAATAATAGTTTCTAGAAAGGCGGGAATGTCATCTATAATCCCGCTGTGGTTCCTGACTCTGCAGTGAAAACTCATTCCCCTCAACATTCGACTCCATATCATTTTCATTCTTATTCCTTCGGAAATTTTTTCTCTTTTTTGCCTTTTTTTCCTTTTTGGGAAACTCACTCTCTGGGCCGACGAGTGACTGGCCTGGATGAATGACGTTGAAAAGAAGTATGGCAATAAACATGGTAGCAGCATCGAGCACATAAAAAGCGGCTTCGTTTTTAGAAAGAGGAGTATCGACGCCCTGTGAGTATTCGCATAGCCGAAAAATAATGCGTACAGTGATCAGAATCAATCCAGCATAGACACTGTAAAGGAGGGGACGCCAGGGGTAAGAAGGCGGATGGATGGCATCGACGAAAGACATTTTATATTGAAAACGGAGGGCAAGGCCAAAGAAAACGAGGATGAAGAATTCTTGCACCGCGATGCCTCCAATATCTAGTACCAGTTGACGTTAAAAAACATAGAATGCACACGATGATGATATAAGGAGTGACTCACATAGATATATGCCTATCTTCACTAATTTTTTATTATCCCCTGACAACATACTTGCGGCAGAGCCTTGTACCAAAAAAGCAGTAATATCAAGGAGAACGAATATTAGCGTGAGTTTCTTCGCTGTGATGCCAAAGCACTTCTTTTCGGGCAAGAAGAAATATATCATGCGTCCCAGCACCATATAAACAAAAGCATTGAGCCATAGAGGAGAAAGGATAATAAGAAGCTGCGATGGCACGAAAGGTCCTAGGGATCGCAAGTTCTGAGTGGAATAAGACCGTAGCGCAAATCCGAGAGTCTCCCACGCGGATGCCATGATGATAACCCAGCAGAACTTCTGTAGTATTTCAAAACCGCTCAGCTTCAGGATATACTATATAAGAAGGGCCGGTGGGTCATACCTTTCGAAACATGATGGTTTGGACGATATGGGTCACCGTGACAATGAAAAAGAGTACTGCAAACAGTACGGCCGCTGGAAATGACGGACAGTATTGCCAGGGGACATTTTCATCGTGGAAACTGACATCTTCACACTTATTGGTCATTGCTCTGTCTGCAATTAATTAGGTATATGCTAGCTCCAGCGGGCTTAGAATAGAGAACCAGCAGAAAAAGAGCCGTAAGGAACAGAAATCACGCTTCCAGGCGGTATTCTCAAAGAAAAGAACAAGAACAGTTAAATAGAAAAGAAAGGTCGATGAACAAGGGTGTCAGCGCCAGCAATACTGGTCATCTTCGCTTGAGCAATTTAACTGCGCATTGTGCTGTGCAGCCATTGTTGCAGAGCAGCCAGCCCATGCCAGGCAACGACATTCTTTTTATCTTTAAGCGTCTATAAAAAGCACATCCGGCGCCAGTGGAGCCAGACACGCCGTGATCAACGCGCCTCATTGCGTCGTAAGTGCGGTCTTTGTAGCGCAGTCCAGTCCCAGAGCTGACTTGCTATGTAACTAAACCACACCGATGGCACCGTTCTTTGCTTTGTATTCTGGACGAACAAGGCTGAGCAGCGAACTCAGCGCCAATGCCTCCATACCGTTTCAAACACCCTTGCTGCGGGAGTCATTCTGCAACTCTGAGAGTTTGAGCGGCGGGTCTCTTGATTTCTCATTGAACGAGCCTGCGCACAAAAGCCGAGACAGTACGGTCGGTACCTACCGTTCGCTTCCCTGGCCGTGGGGACGGGAAAAGCGAAATTTCGCGGGCCCTTCAACCGACCTGCATCAAGGACGGACGCAGTAAGAGGGGAATAAGAGAGCGGAGAAAACTCAAACATCGCTTGTGGCGCTCGGACTGGCTGGTGGCCTCTCCTTGCAGCGTGGACGAACTGTCTCGCAACTCGTATCGGCTACGCAACCAACTTACGCAACGTGCCAGGAATTAGATTTAGGATGAATTGAGCTGGAGCTGGAGCTGGAGCTGGACGTTTCTGCGGCATAGAAATCATGAAGATAAATATTTAACTTGCGAGTTATTATCATTCCATTGAGACCAGACATCCAGGAAGCCAGGCAATTTCTCCAGAATAAACAACAAATGAGTAAAACTGGTAGTGGTACACATTCCCACTGGGCATTGCCACAATAAAGAAACAAATCAAGCAAGAAATGGCAATAAAGGGGCATAATCCCATGCAGAACAAAGCATGTCAGAAAAATCACATCATATTTTTTGTTATTGACTGTAAAAAATTCCCATCCCACCTTGACCAACAACCAGAAGAGAGGACTGGAAAGAGATCCATCAGTATCAAGGAAAGATAGAGAGGGGGGCATTAAGACAAAAGAAGTTCAAGATGAGCCTCGCACAAAACATCAACGTTCATGAATGAAGCAAAATAGGGATAAATCATAGAGGTAAAAGAGATCCACCGGGAAAAAATGTTCTCCTGAACTGAGAAGTAAAATACAACAGCCCGGTTGACTTCTTTAATGTCCGTAATTGCCACCCCACCCACCACCACGCCCAGTGTTGCCGTAGTAGTTGCTGCCAAATCCGCCACCATAGTTTCCGTATCCTGCGGCTTGATGATGGGTTTGAGTAGCTCCAGTCTGGTGGTGGGTACCCAATCCACCAAGCCCTCCATATTGAGGATTCAGATGAGGGTAATTGCCAAAAGCCTGCTGGCTACCTTGCTGCCCGGGGACGGGCGGCAGACCAGCTTGACTGCCGGCGGGTTGGGTTTGGGAGTTGGTGGCATCGGAGCCGGGCCTGTTGGCATGAGAGACTGATGGGCTTGGTCCACCGGCTTTCGATGTCTCAAATGCTTTGGGCCCATCGTCACCACTGACTGGTTGTTGAGAAGCTACCGGCTGGTTCTGATTAAACCCAGATTGTGCCCGCCCGAAAACGTCAGGGATACCGCCAAAAGCGTTGTTGCCAGTAGACTGCTGACCTTCGCCAGGTTGGGCAGATCCCGTGCGGCCATAGCTAGCATCACGGGCAGGAACACCTTGGCCAAACCCTCCCGCATTCGCAGGGGATGAGGAGTGTTCATACGAGAATGCGTGTTGCGGTTGCCCATACATTCCGCCCTTTCCACCATAAGGGGCATACTGACTGCCATATCCAAATTGGTTGTTATGGGGCAAGTAATGCTCTTCGTATCGTCGAACGTCGTCGTACATAGGTCGGTTTCGCCCATACTGGTGTTGCTGTCCCATTTGGCTGATATAAGTGTTTGGATAGTGAGGGTTTGAGTAGTAGGGATATCCATAATTGAATGCCCCGTGGCCTTGTGCTTGGGGCATATGGGTGGGTTGGTTTGGCTGAGCCTGTCCGGGTAATGTGGGATTTGGGGTGTTTTGGCCACTGTTGGTAGCCTCAACATGTCCGTAGCGCCCAGGGGCTTGGGAAGAGGAGGGCTGCACCGGTGCATCAATCCCAGCGGCACCAAAGCTGCTAGTGACTCTTTGTGTGGCGACTTCTTGCGGTTGACCGTAGCCTCCATAGTAATAAGGGTTGCGAGACTGGTCATTAGCATAGAATGCAGAATAATCAGCACCAGTGGTGGCTGTAGCCTGAGACGGTAAGGTGGCTTGATTAGAAAATGGTTCCTGAGCTTGGGGATGTGCCTGAGGTTGAGACTGGGGTTGCGGTTGTTCAACTTGCTGGCCAAAGGGGTCGTATGGTTTTTGGGGTTCTCCATAGCGACTGAAGTCATTGAAAGAGGAATCTGCGGTGGTGGATGGAACTGGAGGGAGACCGGGAGCAGCACGGGGAGTAACTGCTTCCCCGGATACGGGGGGTCTGGTCGAGGGAGGAAGAGAGGCGCGGGGAGCGATTGGAGAGTGTTGTGGGGGTTGGGGCCTGGTTTCGGCTTCTTCCCTTTGCTCATCAATATCAACATCGTCCGCCGATCCATTCAACCCCATGCTGCCAAACTGAACAGCTGCACGATCTACAGCATGATTTCCTGGCATGACAACTGCCTCTTGTTGATCCAGAAGACGACGTTGAAAATGTGAGCGTCCGGGAGTGGTTTTATATGCCGCAGTCGGTGCATAGGGAACTGCTGGGCGAATTTGCTGTTCCTGAAGCAGTTGTTGTTGCTGTTGTTGGTGTTGCTGTTGTTGGTGTTGCTGGGCGTGGTCATCAATCGTATTCATGGTGGAATCAGTGGCCGATGGTGGAGGTACTTGGGTGGATTGTTCTTGGGGTTGGGCGATTTCTTCCTTTTTCTCCATGACAATTTGAGGCACTTGCGCTTCAGGCACTGCAGCTTCGGAGGTCTGTGTTGCCTCTGCATGGTTCCCATCTAGGGGTAAATGGGCTTGATCGGTTGACGGTACATCCACAGCATTTTCGGGCACTTTTTCTGCAAGTGGCATTGCAGCTGGCGGCGGTGGTTTTGTCTGGGGAGCTGGAGTGGGTTTTGCAAATAAACTAGCCCATCCTTTCTTGGTTCCTTCTGGAATCAGACTGCTTTTCTGGGACTGCTCAGCTGCAGCTTTCACAGCATCCTGAACAGGCTTGTCTGCAACTTCCTTTGCACCTCCATCAGCTTCCCACGAATCTGCTAATACTGGCGAGACCTCAGCGACCTCAGGGACATGCGTAGCTGGCCTCTCCGACCGTACTCCGTTAGGGTGGGATCCTCTGCCACCACGGCCTCCGCGTCCACGTTCACCGCGGGCACGCCCACGGCCTTCGAAACTACCGCGAGTGCGACCGCCACGGGAGGAGGGAACTGCTGGTTCGCTTGGAACGGGCAGCGCCTCTTTGGGCTTAGTTCGAGGTCTATCAGCGTGTTTCTTTTTCACTTCACCCCATTGTGAGACATTGCCTGGAAAAAAGTAGCCTATCAGTTACTGTAAAGATGAAGAAGCAATGAAAAGGAAAAAGACCTTCGGAAATACGCTCAATGGCGATTTCAAGGACTCCATCTGCATCTTCTAAAGCGAATACCAGATCCTCGTCTGTCCAGTCCGGAAACAGCTCCTTTATCATGAGCAAATTGCTGGAGTGTTTCTTCTTCAGCTGGCCCAATTCCCCCTCATCTTCATACGATGGCGCTATGGTGTTTTCTTGGGGTGTTGACTTTGATACTCTAGCTCCACCGCGACCGCCTCTGAAAGCACCCCTGCCACCGCGAGCTGAACCTCTGCCACGGGGAGCATGGGTCTCAGACATTGTGTATATGATAAGCGAAAAATTGTACGAAGAGTAAAGAGAGGAGAAGATAGGTAAGCGGGAGCAGTAGGGAGGCGTGTCCGGAGGATGGGTCGTGTGAGCAACTGGATGCGAAGGGAGATTTTTTCCGCGTAGCCTGAAGACAGCTAGCAACAGCACGCAAGAAACAAGCAGTGCTCCCTATGACGAAGGGCAGGCAAAAGAACTCAGCGCAGACAGTTGGGTGGTAGCACAGGAGAAAAGAAAAAGAAAAGGCACAGCTTGAAAGAGAAGCGGGAGAAGCAAAAGGCAGATCGAAGAGGAAGAAGTTTGAGGATCTGGGAAGGCGACTTTCGCGTTTCGTTAGCGGTACCGCTAGCGGCGGACAATACGTAGATCTGCACGTGAAGTATCTATTGTGCCGCCCAGCACTGGTAATACCGATACAAGCGGCGTCCGCAAGCCCCTGCAAGTAGACAAAGGCGGTTTTTCGCCTTCCATGCCAGCTGAAGTCGATTTGACGCGGCCAGCAGGTTCTCCCTGCAGCCTTCTCAACAGCTATCAGGCTCCGCCAGGCGTTGGTACCGGCTGCAGCGAGCTTCTTGCGTATGCAGGGCTGGACGTTGGGCTGACTCAGGGCCTTTCGTTTGGCTTGCTCTCTATCACGTCACCTGGATGAGCTGGGCATCTCCGATCAGCCTGTCCTCCTAAAACACCCTCATGCCGCCAGAATGAAGATCATCAGCTCTCACGCTTTTAAGTTCCTCACGTCGAACATCCACCCTCCACTCCCTCGAACTCCACAAGAGTCCCGGCAGCTCTTGTCCGTGTTAACGTCGTCATTCCGTCGCCAACTCGATCGCGAGCATCCTCCCGTACAGCCATCAGAACCACAAACACCTGCTAGATCTGCCAGCGGTGGCCGGAGATCTGGCAGTTCTGTCAATGCAGATCAGCATATGAGCTCGATATTGAACCATCCGCTCTTCAGTACCGTTCCTCATCAGCAACCTGCCCGGAAGCGGGGTATCGAAGCTCGTGGCCAAATTGATACAAATTCAGCAACTGAAGATATCGTTAGCACCCTAGACCGTGCTATCGCTTCTGGCACTGCTGATACCAATGTCCTACATGATTGTCTCTGTCGACACCGGCTCCGACTAGAAGGCCTAGCCCATGGCGTGATGCGTCGCGAAATGAGAGATTCGACCCTTGGTTCTCGGATCACCTCATGGCTTTCGTCTGCAAATAAGCAATCACGAGCCGATTTTTTCCGGAACCAGCTGACCATCCGCTTTGCAATGCCATATATGGTCAATGAACGCTACAGGTCGGAGGTGGTGAAGTGGCTTGAAGAAATCCGTCAAGAGAACCCATGCACTTCTCAGTCAACGGCGCAGTTCGAGAAATTGCCTCAGTTTACCGTGCTCTACGAGTATGTGTATGCTGAGAGCAAGTATGGAGATGGCATTGTTCCAGCTCTACGTCTTTTCACAGAATGTTGCCACCTTCCCACACTGGAAAACACCGATGATACGCTTCCATCTTATATGTTATTCGTTGCGTCTCGGATAGCACAATGGATATGTCGCCTTCCTGAAACAAAAGCGAAGGCAATTCCTATAGAGTTATACGATGCCTTCACGCTGTTATTTGAAGGGGAACCGTTTATTGAATCGAGGAAGTTTTTTTGGAAGGCCATGCTTGCGCTTCATCATCCTATTCACCCTAATCCCGAACTCGCTCTCCAGCATGCAGAGATGCTCTCTCGCGACAACATACCAAAACGCCGCAATCTTTCCTTATTCATACGAATGTATCTTGAAGCCACGCAACTTTGTATTCAACAAGAAGAATATGTCAGGGCATCCTGGCTAATGTCTATCACAAAGGACCTTTTACCAGCCCAAGAATCGCCTCACCCCAAAACATCCAGCGCGGGAACACGAGAGCACCACCTAGGTTCCACCCTCGGCGATACATCCAACGGCTTACTTCCAACTTGAGATACCGAGCTTGAAGATCCTATAGCCCAGAAGGCGTGGACTTTGGATGCTCCCTGAAATGCTTATCAATGACTTCACACACAAGCTGTCATTGGCACCACAGGGGTGCAAGAGATGCACAGCATGCATTGTATGCATAGTCTGCTGAGCTTCTTCCCTACCATCCCCAGAAATTAGCCCTGGGGGCTGCGCAGAATGACCCGCTTTTCTCAAGCCCTGTGCGGGTAGTGCTGCCATAACCTGTGAGCATTTCTTCGATGCAAAAAGCACCGATATGCGATGAAGCCTCGGGATATATTCCTTTTGCGTGTGTTGTATGGCCTAAGCCTGGCATGCCACTCCTGCCGTTGTGTATATAGTTTTCATCGTCCAATTCTCTGGCGTCTTTTGTCATCAGCGGTGCTTGGCAGCCACTGACCATGTCACGAGGCGAATAAACGTTAGTGCCGGTGTTAAGCCTGCTTTTGCGGCGTTTGCATCAGTAAGCAACAACCGCTGCTTGCGCACCTCATCGCTCGCGCAACACATCACATCCACCAACCTGTTTCGATCTCCCATCTCTTACCTCTCTGGCAGCTTTATTATCCACAAATAAACTGAATTTGACTTCCATATTTCCAATTGAATCCTTCTTGAGCTCCGTATCATATCGCGCGCATTGCTATCCCAGTTAGGCAATTTGATAACATCATCTCATAAACATGTCTACTGAAGCCACTAACGGGGCCTCGACTACTGAGAAAGGTATGTTCATCGCGGTTGCCACATGGTTTTAATTGCCCCCCTTGATACTTTTTAATATTGTAGCTTGATTTGCTGCCCTTGCATCCTTTCCACCCAGTATCGCAATTGCACCAGATGTCGCGATACAAACGCGCATGATATGTATCTTTAGATATTCCATTTAGTTTCTTTTTGTTAATTTTTTCTTGTTTAGTCCCAGCACCCGACGTCGAAAAGAAAGAAGACGCGCCAGCTTCTGAACCAGAAAAGCAAGTCGGTGACAAACGCGACCTTGGAGAGACTGCCCCCGCTGAAGAAAACGGGACTGTCACCACCGAGGCGCCACCTGAGAAGAAACAAAAGACTGGCCGTGGCAGGAAGAAAGCTGAAGCAGGAATTGAGAAAGATGCTGAAGCTACCCAACCTGATGGGGTGTCTAAAGTCACTGAGGAGGCCAACGGCACCAAGAAGCGCGGACCCGGCCGCCCAAAGAAAGCCGATGCGAAGAAATCACAGAAGACTCCCACGCCACGGAGCGGCGATGGCATTGGCAGCAGAACTCGAAGCCGGACAAAGGCGTGATAAGAATGATACCAATGAATATCAATCTGAGCTAGCCGCACACCATTTGAAAACGCAGTTTTATATTTTTCTTTTCGGCGAATATTTACAGTCTCAGCGACGATACACCAGTCCCTCACCAGCGGTTCACGCTTTTGCACACTACCAATACGTAGTTCAGATAGTCGAGAGACTCATTATTGTATGAGTCTGTGCAGTTGATGGAAGCGAAAGTGAGGCGAGATGCAAATTCCAGCTAAATCCGGGAGTTCATACGTAATATGAGGTCGAAAAGTCGATTTTCTAGGAATCACAGAGCAGGATAATTTGGAAGATCCTTGGTTTAGGTTGTTTGTATGTCCTACGGTATCCTTTGGTCTTTGTTACCGTTGTTATTAGCCTCTGGTAAACCCCAAGCCTTCCCCTCCAGGTACATTTTTATACCTTATGTTTCAAGTGGAATTGCCAGCAACTTGGGATAATTTCGAAAGTAAACGAAAGCAGATCAACGGTGTTGCTATCGCGTTTCCGGGATCTCGTCAGCTTTCAGCCGCCAAAATCCTTGCAGGATATGTATGTACTCTAGACAAGCGTAGAAAGCGACGGAGACGCCATTGTTAAATCGGAAATCATACCGAGATGAGGCGGCCTGGCCATTGCGCACCAGAGCGTTCAACTGGCTTAGTAGTTATCCAAGGCATCCAGCGGATCCAACAGAATTACAGTGACACAGCACCTGAATGAGACCTGAGGTGGTTGTTCGTGGAAATGACTTCTCGACGCCTCTCAAGAGATTGCCAAAGTTTTTACGAGCGGCTTGCGTGTCTGGAGGTTTAAGCTCTCTCAGTGCGGCAAACTATGTACATATCTTACATACTTAACTACATACTATGCAGCAGACGCAGGCAGATCAATTAATACGGTGATTGCTAAATTCTTCATCTGCCTCTTTTTCCACCCGTGTGCTGCATATCTTTGTTGGAGCTTCACTCCCACAGCCGTCAAATTGTCACTCTGCTCTCGGCATCAAACCTCCGCTGAACCAAAAACCAGTGCCGCGAACCGAACACCCCGTCCAACCCCACACGCTCGTGCGGCTCGAGGCACCGAACGGAACTGAAAATCTACGAAAGAGCCTCAGTCAGTGAGAGATACATGCCATTGCTCGGTCTAGGTATCCAACTTTGCGTCCTTGGGAACATGGACGCCTGAGTTCGCGATTGCTGTCTTATGCCGGAAAAACCCGCGACCATTGCAGCATACGCTGCTGGGGCCTCTCTTGCGGCGATCACGCTCTTCTACGTCTTCGGCCCCAATTTCACGATCGATGGCGATGAGTCCAATATTAGCGGCAGGAAAAAGGGCATTGTTGGGCTCTCAAATCCGGCGAACGACTGTTTTATCAACTCTGTGCTTCAGGCCCTCGCCGGCTTGGGAGATTTGCGCATTTATCTAATTCGGGAATTACACCGGAGAGAGCTAGAAGGGAAGGAAATATATGACAGTTTGCCTGCTGCTGAGGATGTGCGCCGAGGGCGGTCTCCAGAGGTTGTCAAGCAGATGCAACTGGCTCCAGTGACACGGGCACTCAAAGAGATGCTGGATAGTTTGAACGAACGGCCAATCTATCGCAAGACTATTTCAGCTCGTGGTTTTATACTTGCGCTGGAGAATGCATTCCGCACACGGATCAGTCGGAATCAGCAAGACGCGCATGAATTTTTGCAGATCGTTGCAGAACGATTGTGCGATGAGTATCATGCCGGTGCTCAAGCTCGAAAGAGGGCTGCATGTCTACCCACAGCACCTTCGATAGCGTCAGGCGCGTCCGCTACCTCTGAGATAGACTCGAATAAGCCGCAGGATACTATTTCTCGCAGCGCGACCGATATTGAGTCTGAGAATGAGTCATTAATCAGCTCGAGGTTAAAAGAAGCTAGCAAAGATGACTACGGGTTTCCACTTGAAGGCATGCTTGAGTCGCAGGTGGAATGTCAATTCTGTCACTACAAATACAAGCCAAATCGAACGTCATTTGTCAACCTTACACTCCAAGTGCCTCAGAAGAGTTCGACTACGCTCAGTGCTTGCTTTGATGGGCTTCTAAAGACGGAGTACATTGACGACTTTCGATGTGATAATTGCCAGCTAATGCATATTCTGGATCTGAAGCTAACAGAGCAGGTGCAGTCTGCAAGCTCTACCCAGGATCAAGAGGCTTTAGAAAGGCAGATATCAACGCTTAAACAAGCCATCAACAATGACCCAGAATCTCCATTAGAAGGCATTACCACGCCTGATGCCCAAAATGCGCCACGGCGAAAGATAGCACGACACATGAAAATCACCGAATTCCCCAGGGTACTCGCAATTCACTTATCAAGGTCAATTTTTGATCAGAGCGCTTCAACCAAGAATGCGGCCAAAGTTTCGTTTCCAGAACGCTTACCTTTAGGCAGCATTCTCGACCGAAAATGGTATAGGCTACTCGGGATAGTCTGCCATAAAGGAAGCCACCACAGCGGGCATTATGAGTCCTTTAGAAGAAATCATGTCTACGCGCCTTTCTCAACCCCCGATACCTTTAGATCCTATGCTCAAAGTCGAACAGCCAGTGAAAACCCGTCCACCATGCCTAGCCCAAGAGTCCAAGCCCTTCACAAGGCGTCCAACGTGGACTTGAGCCCATTGACCACTTCCTCTGAAGCCGATTCGTCTTCGGGTTCGACATCTAGCAGCTCGTTACCCACAGCAGCGTCACCGTCTTTGACCCAAAGAAGTCCACTTTCTCCATTATCTTTGGACCGACAGCCTTCCGTAGCTTCCTCCAATCGGACAATACCACGATCGTCGCCTGCGGTGCTGGGTGCTTCCACCCGACTCGACACGAGTTCCCGAGGGAACAGCAAATCATCGGCAGGCGAGGGGTCGCTTTTCCGACGAAAAAAGCGTCATAACGAACGCTGGTGGCGGATCAGTGACGAAAAAGTCAAAGAATGCAAGACGCAAGATGTCCTGGGGATGCAGCGCGAAGTGTATTTGTTATTCTATGAAATGGAACGACCCGGTGATGACACAGTCATGCCATGATCATGAGAAAGGTTTTTTATGGAAAAAAAAAAGATATAGATTCAGAATTTAGGCAACATACCGGTGGATATGAGGCAGGACTTCTATTCTCCTGTTTGGATAGATGGGGCTTGCGTAGATCGGAGGCCGAAAAGAAAATGGCATCATTTCCTTTCCAACGTCAACAATGGTTGACGTTTGTGTTTTTCATATTATGTATTGCATTCCAGGCTATAAGGATAATTTCAACACTAGGTCTGTTGTATTTGAGCTCCCAATACGGGTGAACTTGTCTATTTTTGATAAGCTGATGGTTGTTGTAGAAAACATATATCATAATGTGCGAACTATCTGATAAATCTCTTTCTTTTGCAATACAGCAATCATCGGTCCTATATTCATATATATTAAGAAATCAATTCTCGATTTACCAGGATTCACAGTTTCTCTCCATCCAGGCGAAGCCAGTAATTCGGGCACATGTTGAGTTATCAAGGGACGAAGTTCGGCGTCGCATATTCTCGGTGTCAATCCCTACACTTCGCACTGAGCCTTTTCGCTGTATTCAGCTTATGGCAAAGATCTGCTGTGCATGTGTAGGTAATATCTTCAAAAAATTCTGGGGGATCATTCCTCTGCAGGCCTGTGGGTGCCTTGAAGCCAACCTTTGTTACAATCAGAGTTTTATAGAATACAAGATTCAAAGTTCTCAATACTCAAAGTTCTTGGATCTGTATGGTCAAAAAACAAAAGAAAAAAATGTCATCTTCTTTTTGGTGCTTTGTCTTATGAAAAGTGCCATCTTCACCGTGGCGGCTTTCCCACCCTATGTTGAACTGCGATGATATACAGACCCATAGCGCCTGTATTCTTCTTTTTCAGCGTAAGGTCCGACAACAAACTCACATATCACCCTCTATTTCCTCATTTCTGCCTGAGGTCCTGAACATCTTGGAAATCTAGTAAATCAATTCTCATTTTATCCTCCTCTATCCCTGAGCAATTCTGAGACTCCACGGAACCTTTCCGAAGACGTCAAGTGCTTCTTGAAGCCTTCACAACATTTTCTAGTCATCCATCACGCATGTTGGCACATTATCTTGAAGGAGCACGATGTTCAGGACCTCGGGGGTATATGTGAGATCACAGATGCCATAAAATCTAAGGATTACTTCTCTTTAAGCCTTCACTTGCTTTCCGGGGCTGTTGAGGGGGCTGCCGGACATGGGTGCCCTCGCTCCTTCATAGGATGCAGCCGCTGAGTTGTAGACGGCATGTTAAGGGCGCTAGAGTGACGTTCCATATCACTGCTATAATATTCTCAAATGCACACCAGCAAGATATCGTGAAGGCACGGCGGCTGGACGGGCGGTGTTGCAGTGAACCAGGCACGCGTATTGCGGGGAATTTCGGAAAGGCAGCGGAATTGGAACTGGTCGAAGTCGCCTCTGCCGTTGCTAAGCTTGCGTCCTGGTCACGCTCACTTTTAAAATCCTTCTTTTTCTTCTCGTTTCTTCTTCTTTCTCTTCTTCCTCACATACTCGCTCTGAGATTTTCCTTGTCGACCACAGTAGTTACTCCGTACAGCGCGGTATGTAAGGCTCACCCCTCCATCGTGCCGCCAGCCGAAACTCTCTGTTCGGTGAACAGAGTTTCCCCTCTCTTTGTTGCTGGAAATCGCTCTTTTCTAATCAATCTCTTCCAAACCAGCCCCTCCTCCCTCGAATTCGAAATCAACTCTGCTCAATTCCAGTTAGCACCCCGAATAATAACGTAGGTGAGTGCGTTCGCGCCGAGAATACGACCGCAACCACCCCTGCGTTGGAGATCCTGACTGCCCCTCCTTTTGTTGCTTCCGAATCGCGGGGTACTTTATAAAGGCGCTCAAATCTCTTCACTCACTAATTTTTATTTCTCACTTGGCTCAAAAGGCAGAGCCTGACTAACAGTTGTTATCATTTTTAGTTTCTGCAATTAATTGGCAAAATGGGTGTTGTTGACGTCCTCACTCGCAAGACCGGTGTCATCGTTGGCGACGATGTGCTGAGACTCTTCGAATACGCCCAGGAACACAAATTTGCCATTCCTGCCGTCGTGAGTATAGAATACCACATTGTGGGCTCAGTGCGAGAATATAGGCTAATAGTTGGCTGGTCTAGAATGTCACCTCCTCCTCCACTGCCGTCGCAGCCCTTGAGGCTGCCCGCGACAAGAAGGCCCCCATCATCCTTCAGATGTCCCAGGGCGGTGCTGCTTACTTCGCTGGAAAGGTGATTCAGTTCTACCATTGTCGTCTACATATTGAGCAGAGAAGCTAATATTCTATGCAGGGTGTCGCCAACTCCAACCAAGAAGCCTCTATTGCTGGTGCCGTCGCTGGCGCCCACTACATCCGCAGCGTTGCCCCAATCTACGGCATTCCTGTTGTCCTCCACACTGATCACTGCGCTAAGAAACTTCTTCCATGGCTTGACGGCATGCTCGATGCCGATGAACAATACTTCAAACAGCACGGCGAGCCATTGTTCTCCAGCCACATGATCGATCTCTCGGAGGAGACTGTTGAGTGGAACATCGAGACCACAGCCAAATACCTCAAGCGCGCTGCCCCAATGAAACAATGGCTCGAAATGGTAAGTCTTTGGGCTCTGGGTTTCGTCCTTTTAAATAGAGAGCTAATGAGCTTGAACAGGAAATTGGTATCACTGGTGGTGAGGAAGATGGTGTTAACAACGAGGATGTTGATAATGCCTCTCTTTACACTCAGCCAGAAGATATCTTGAACATCTACAACACTCTCTCCCCCATCAGCCCCTACTTCTCGATTGCCGCTGGATTTGGCAACGTCCACGGTGTCTACAAGCCTGGAAACGTTCGTCTCCACCCCGAGCTGCTCTCGAAACACCAGGCCCATGTCAAGGCCAACACTGGCTCCAGCAAAGACAAGCCAGTCTTCCTCGTCTTCCATGGAGGTTCCGGCTCTTCCAAGGAGGAGTACCGGGAAGCCATCAGCTACGGTGTTGTCAAGGTTAACATGGACACTGATATGCAGTATGCATACATGTCCGGTGTCCGTGACTACATCCTCAAGAAGAAGGACTACTTGATGACGGCTGTCGGTAACCCCGATGGCGACGACAAGCCCAACAAGAAATACTTTGATCCCCGCGTCTGGGTCCGTGATGGAGAGAAAGTCATGTCCGCCCGCACCCAGGAAGCTCTTGATGACTTCAATGCCTCCAACCAGCTGTAATTAAATAAACTACCCATTCTCGCAATGTTTTCAAGATGGAGACTCTGTGTCAGTAAAAGAACCCCATTGCAATTCATGGCGTGTTAAAAGATGAAATGAACATATTTTTTTTCCTCAGGTGGCTTTGGTGTTGATATGTGGTCATGTAACTATCTAGTTGATTAAAAAGCAAGAGAAATGAATATCATAAGTGTCACTACCGAGTATGGAAGCCAATTCCGGCGTCCCTGTGGCTGTTGTTGCGAAAAAAGGTGCATCGGCTTGCCTGTTACATAAAAAAAGCGATTATGAAACACGGTTAACTAACAAGGTGTGTGGAATGCCGGACAAGTCAAACGATAACTCTGTCTGAAACAAGACGTAGGAGGCCCAGCCAGTGTGAAAGAAAGCACAGGCTGAAACGGCTGTTTCCGTTGGACTCTTGTGGGCGCCTGCGAGTAAAGAAGGATGGCCGCTGTAGCCCAGCTGCACAATCGCCTTTTCGACGCGTCGAGATACCCTCTGGGCTTGAGTGGGATCCGTGTCTCACGGTGGATTCCGCAGTTTCCACTACTACTACTGTTCCAACGGCCAGCATCTCCGCCCGTCCGGAGTCGCAGGTGTGGAGGCCATGGGTAAGCAAACCAACGGTGATTCGCGAACCGTCGATGCTTCCGGAATGCCTCAAAGGCGGGAATCCCACGCTCTCCGCGGCACGATGACGAAAGGGACAGGGAACAGAACGCGACGGCAACCCTGCCGTGTCTCATCATCCATGCCCACAGCGATCGGGTTGGTAGGGCAAATATAATAATAATAATAATGCCGATGCCTGGAGACGCCCTTGGCAGTTGTTTGACAGCCCGTCACGTCGATGACGAGCGACGAACGGATCTCCGTCCCGACGATGACCGCGGCCGCCCTCCCCCCCATGTCACCGTTCCGTGTTATCTTGTTAAAACGTATGGTGCTGTAGATTCCGCCGGGGGAAGCGAGGGAAAAAAAATGAACGGCGGATGGCGCAAAAACGCCGCTAGACCCGGACGTATGCAATCTCGACTGCGGCCGCTCTTCCACCTGGCGGGCCTTTTTCCTTTGTATTCCCCCAACGACGGGCGCTTGGGGGGGAGCGCGTAGTGGGTCGAGCCCGAGCGAGAGCGCAAGAAACGCCACGCGATGGAGCGGGCGGGCGGGCAAGGGTTTGGCGGTGCTGGGCGGCCCCCTGGGCGAGATGTTCCATTTTTATTTCGGAGTGGAGCGCGATAGTGCCTAATAGTGAGTTAGCCTCCGGGGGCCGTTCTTACGTACGCCTCGTCTGCCCGCGGGCCAGCAGAGAGCAATCCTGTGGGCTGTTCTGCTCGGGAACAGGATTGCTGCTGGGCCCAGAACCTTCTCTGGTGATCGCTCGACCGACGACGCTACATTAACTAATGAACTAGTTAGTTAGTTAGTTAGTTGCTGTTGTTGTTGCTGTCGTCCACCTGCACAGCTGCTATCTCATGCATCTGAACTGCTCTATGCTCTCTCTGCTTCTATGATGAACCGGGTGATTCAAGGTTAAAAGGTTTGGTTCCTGGCATCCAGAGCATCACTCGCTAGCTATCAGCCACCACGCACGCTGAAGTCATTCGCTGGCTCTTTGTCTGGATCGGTTCCCGATCACCGGATCTTCCTCCACCAGTCCACCACGCTCGAAGTCCCGCCTATTTTAATTAATAACCCACGGTGTCCTGTACCTTCGTTTAAAGACGACACCCCCGGAGTCTCACTGCCTCTTCGCATTTTTTACCTACAGCTGTCATTTCAAACACCTGACTGTCACCACGGCGCTCGCCAGAACCTACGGCTGTGACAACAAACCAGCCGATCTACAGACCTAATACATAACTAATCGAAATATTTCCAGATTATGTCATTTTCGTGGGTTGGTTGAGCAGGGCGTGACGTAAATCTGCAGGGGGCCTGAGTCGTTGGAAAACCATCTGATCAAGAAAAAAAAAGTGTGCGGCGAAGAGCGTGCTGCCAGTCGAGGAATTCCACCACGATGGAAAATTTAGTTTTGCGACAGACATCGTCGACAGACAGATTTTTAAAGTTGCTTGAAGACCCCTTTCAGTCGGCGGTAAGTTTGCTTTCTTACCTTGGTTCGAGTCGGGCACCCTACCGTTAAATCGCCAAATATTGTGACCAGTTTGAGGGAGAACTGACGTGAAATCGCCTGTATAGTTCCAAGAACGTGCTTTCTGGGCATCTTTAGGAACGTCGTTAGGCACCACGCTTGGCCTAGCCCTTCTTTTCTGCCTCTTTCGACCCCGAAATTCAGTAGTGTATGCGCCCAAGCTGAAGCATGCGGACCGAAGACATGCACCGCCTCCCCTGGGGAAAGGGATATTTGCGTGGATTACGCCCATTATAAAAACAAAAGAAGCTGAATTGGTAGACAAGATTGGCCTGGATGCCACGGTATTTTTGCGATTCACCCGCATGTGTCGAAATATGTTTCTTGTGTTGAGCCTCGTGGGTTGCGCGATTATGATTCCGGTAAACGTTACTGGGAGCGAACGTTCCATTTCGAAAACTGCCAGTATATTCTCGACGATGACCCCGATGTATGTCTTCAGCTACAAGGCACTGTGGACGCATATCGCCCTTGCTTGGATTTTTGATGCTATCGTGGCTTTTTTCCTATGGCACAACTACAGAGCCATGGGCAGGTTGAGAAGAGCGTACTTCCAAGGCCCCGATTTCCAACAAAGTCTGCATGCTCGAACTATCATGGTGACGCATATTCCATCGTCGTATAGAACGGACGAGGGGCTATTACGACTGACAGACGAAGTGAACCCAAACGTCTCTATACCCCGTGCATCAATCGGTAGAAATGTGAAGGAGCTTCCGAAATTGATACGGGAGCATGAAGTGGTGGTCCAGGAGCTAGAGGAGGTCTTGGCTAAGTATTTTAAACACCCGGATCGCCTTCCAGCCAAACGACCCACCTGCCGACCAAAGAAGGAATTCAGAGGTGAAAATTCGCCGGAAAAGGTCGATGCAATCGACTATTATACGGTCCGTATTCGAACACTGGAGGCTGAGATTAAACATGTTCGGGAGTCTATTGACAAGCGCAACGCCATGCCGTACGGCTTTGCCAGCTGGGACTCCATTGAAAATGCCCATATGGTGGCATATGCGGCGCGAAACAAACACCCACAAGGCACAGATATTACCCTTGCTCCACGACCCAATGATATCATTTGGGACAACCTGGCTTTAAGTAAAGCTGATCTCCGGAGAAGACGAGCCGTCAATATTCTCTGGAACACACTTCTCACAGTGATATGGATCGCGCCCAATGCCATGATTGCTATTTTCTTGACCAATTTAGCACATCTGGGGTCCGTCTGGAAAGGTTTCCAGACGTCTCTAAATGCACACCCCAAAGTGTGGTCTGCCATTCAAGGTATTGCGTCGCCTGCCATCACCTCGTTGGTATATCTCGTCCTCCCTATCATTTTCCGCCGTCTGGCAATACGCGCTGGAAAATCAACAAAATCTTCTCGAGAACGCCACGTTCTTCACAGTCTCTACGCATTCTTCGTATTCAACAATTTGATTGTCTTCTCAGTGTTTTCTGCCATTTGGGGCTTCATTTCCACTGTGATTATGGAAACCAACAATAAGAAGAGCGCCTGGGAAGCAATCACTGCTGGCGGATTTTACGTAAGGATCATGATAGCACTGTGCAGAGTTTCCCCGTTTTGGGTAACCTGGTTGCTCCAGAGAAATTTGGGTGCTGCAGTTGATCTTATGCAACTCATCAACATGGTCTGGACCTTTTTTGCCCGTAAGTTCTTGAGTCCTACCCCAAGGAAGGCTATTGAGTGGACCGCGCCGCCACCATTCGACTACGCTAGTTATTTTAATTACTTTTTGTTCTACGCAACAATTGCGTTCTGCTTTGCATCACTGCAGCCCATTATACTTCCTGTCACTGCCCTCTATTTTGCAGTAGACTCGTGGCTGAAAAAGTACCTTTTGTTATACGTCTTTATTACCAAAACGGAGTCCGGAGGCCGATTTTGGCGCGTCGTTTTCAACCGTTTGATATTTGCCCTTATTCTCGCCAACTTCATTGTCGGACTGGTCGTGAAGGCTAGAGGCACTTGGATGATGATCTTTGCTCTCGTGCCTCTTCCTTTCTTGTTGATAGCGTTCAAGTGGTACTGCAAGAAGACTTTCGATGACGAACTGTTGTATTACCATCGAGCTCTCCCTACGGACCCGGAGTCCAGTGAAAATGGCAAGGGAGGCAAAAGAGCTGAGGAGCGTTTGAGCTCGAGATTTGGGCATCCAGCTTTGTATAAACCTCTAACGACGCCCATGGTTCATGCCAAAGCAGCAGATGCTCTTGAAAAATTGTTCCAAGGCCGTCAGTCTGCCAACGTCGGTGCAAGTGATTATTCCGATATCGCGTTGCATAGGATGTCCCCCACAGATCCCGGGAAATCTTCCGAGAGAAATGACGCTCCGTTCGAAGTTGTTGCCGAGAACCAGCTTGATTTCTCCTACTTCAAAGACAGACCGGATTTCCGTGAAGAGTTTGGAGGAGGCATCTACGGCCGCCCCGATGATTTGATTTCTGAACGCTCCCACACGCCAATGACTCTGCTGGCTGGTGCTGGGTCTCCTGGTTACTCTCGATCTGGCTCGCCAGCACCTTCGCAGCGCTCGGTGACTTTCAATGGCCCTCATGGACGATACCCGAATATTTCGGACCATCCAGCATTTCAGTCATCGGACTCTAAGCCCTACACGTTTTACAAGCAGTCTAACGAGAGCGAACGGAACCTATTAAACAATCCTCAAGCTCCACCGCTGCGATCCTCAACCGACGTCGCCTCTGTGGATAGATGGCAGGCGGACGCACCAACCGGCTATTCTACACACCGTACTGCATCTCCGTACGAACCATTTCGACCTCGCTAGCTATGTTGAATGATGCCATTTCTCTTCGTTTGAAAATATCTTGCATTTTTCTGGAGAATCTTGTTCATTTTCTTCTTCTGGTCTCGGAGTATATTGGAGCCTATTGCTGTAGATAGGACTGGCTTATGGGTGCATATATCGACCCCTTTGATGGTATTCAATCCAGGTGTTTGATAGTCGAGACAGGTTTTCATAGATTGGACTGTAACTAGAGTGAAGTGTCGACCACATAACATAACAGAGCAAAGCATAGAATGCGATCCTGGTTTTCATACATACCATATGGTCAAGCTTTTACATACATTTTACGAAGTACAGAGTATCTCTGAAGATAAGGGGCTTACGGGGCCTGCTTTACACAGTACTTCGCACTCTACATTGTATTCCAAACATCTCATCCACCGCTCCTCTGCATCAGCGGAAGATAGTCTGCTTTGAGGCGGAGTTTGCTTTGAGCCAAGAACATCAATCACCTGACTGCCCAGTTGGGCAACCACAACCTCGCTCGCGTGCCGCTCGCTCCGGTTCTCCTATTTCCTCACAGGCGATCGTGAGCGAAGAGCGCCTTCGGCTTCACGCATGGTACACGTGGCGGGGATACACGGAAGCCAACTCTTCCTTGACCCGCCATCACCCCAAGCAGCAGCATCGTCATCAAATACACGAGTTCCCGGATAAATACAACTTACGCTGCTTCCTTGTTGTGGTGGGGCTGCATGGAATACTCACGGCGCGCGCGGATCGTTTTGGCAGTGGACTTGGACTGTTTTGGGTAACCGGCGTCTCTAGCTACAGCTACTGTTACTCTTGTTACATTACTCGAATCACGACTGATCAGGCGGGCGGCATCGTGCATAGAAGCATCAGTTGACGATCTGAATTCAACCTGCGAAGGATGTCGTGGTATTCTTTACTCCCGGAGAAGCTTATAGCATTAGAAGCATGGCTGATACGATTTTTTGTAAGAAACCACTCCTGCATACCCATGCCGCTTAGCCCCCTTTCGTGCTTCCTTACACCAATCGCTACTATGTAGATCATCTTGGGACTCTTGACGATTATTCCCTGGGCTTTCATGATTCTCTACGATATCCTCTTATACCTATGGCGGGCCACAACGTATGAGATCCCCATTATAGGGGGACGAGCGAGGGGTAGACGGAGACCTATTGCACCCAGCCTGAGCGAGAGACCAAGCGGGAGACGAAGAGCGTTTAGTCTAACGGGTACGACATACGATGGAGCCCTAGACGGCACCCTGGACATCGGGCGCGACAGTTCTCTGTCCTCTCCCGCCCTTTCGATGTCGAGCGAGGGCATTGACATTGAACGCGAAACCGACTGTATTGAGAATTACAAAGAGATGGTTGACTCCTTGGACGGAGTTAGACAGAGAAAGGTAGCGTGAGATCTCTTCGCCGGAAACCGGGCCGCTTCCATCCGTCCAGCGGTCCCCCCATTCTGCGTGCGCCCCCTGTGTCGACTACCCACGCGAATAAACTAAGGCATGTTCTCCTGATACACCACCTCCCACGATTAATTTTGGGTTGCACAGCATCATCCGACTTTCGACTCTTCTTCCCAGCCTTACAGTCACGATATGCAACCTGCCGGGGCAAGCCGTAAATGTTGGGCTCTTTGAATGAAAGGTATTTAGAATGTTCTAGAAATTTTTTTATACCAGAAGATATCATCTATCATTAAGGTTGATACATATCCCAATTTGAGCTGTTCACGTAATCATGTAGCTGACATACTTTCTCACCCTAGAATATTGGAAGACAACCACGAATTTATCCTAGGTGTAGCCTAGAAAACAAAGCTTTACACGTATGCTTTTCTTTCCACTTTTTTTCTTTGTGGAACATTTTCTTCCATTTTCTGTCACATCAAAATGATTTCATTTTTACCAAGTAACAGCATGTTACAGAGTACTCCGTACACCTAGCACTTTCCCCCAATAGCAATCCAAAATTGATATTTCTATATTCAGCTGGATATAATGGTGGGAGTTACTAATAGGAACGCATATTTCTGCCTTTTTTGTCCACAGCCTACGTCTCTGCTGTCAGCCCCTGATAGTCCTATTTCTGGGTCATCAATATTTCCTGCCCGGGGCAAGGGAAAGGAGCTGCCCAACTTGAATTAAGTAGGACGAACAATGCCTGAGACGATAAAAATACGGCTTAGCAAGCGTTATATTGACTGATAATGCTACCCCTAAATGCCACTGTGCTGGAAGAATTTGCCCGAGCCTTAACACGTGTGCACACCTTCGCAACACATGTACGGACTCCTTGACGCGTTCGGCCTTTCAAGAGCCTCATCTGCGGGATACCTTTATTGTTTCTTAGTCTCTCGGGGTTAAACCGGACCCACGGCGGCGATGGCCTGCAGCTATCCGACCCTGGCCTATTGATTGTACGACTATGGAACCTTTACTCCTTTGCATCACGCTTTCAACCGGGCATGAAAATACGAGCGAGGCGAGTGTGAGGCCAAGACTGGCCTTGACAACTCATGCGACGACTTAAGACTATATAAGCAGCCCTCAATCCTCTTTGCTTACAAGATCGCTACTCTTGGGGTCTATAGTTAAGAGAAGTACTAGAAAAGGCTACAAGTTTTAATTGTTTTAGTCTCACAAATCAACACAGCAAATATGAATACAAGAGATGAAAGATATCGATGCTGCTTTTCAGGCACGCCATACGGCGGGAATATCCACCGCATGCCATCCCAAGATTTCAACGCCGCCCTTGGTCAAGCCCAGCATGGAATACAAGGCCACAGCTGCATGAACTGTCAATCCGCTCCTCGCACTCCATCAGCAGTGCCGATGAATTGCCCTCCGCGATATGAGGGAGCACTTTCACATAGTGGCAATGGTGCAAATAACACCTTAGACCTTGTACGAAAAACGAATTTAGCGGTGTCACTAGCAAATCACAACGTTAACCCACGATCGCAAGTTTCGATTATACATCCAATGATGTGTTCGGATGGAACGTTTCCTTTGGATTTCCAGACCCCAAAAACCATTGAAAGTATTAAACTGCTAGACTGTAAGAATTCCCACACGCTTTTCTATAGCTTTTTAGGTTGACGACAGTTATTAGCCATGCAAATCGATCGTATCCTTCGAGATTACAGTATTCCATACGATATGCACTCGCTGCTTAGAATATTGGCATCTTCAGGTATAAGAGCATACCCCGATACTGTAAGCTCAGCGCGCTTGAGGCAGGCGAAATTGCAGTTGTTGTTCGAACGTTTAGGTGCAACAAGGGTGATCGAAGAAGGGGGTTTTAAGAAGACTTCTTACTAATGACGCGGCACATTTTACTGTGACTACACGTATATGCCAGTTCCTGACTCCAGGGTCATATCCAGCGTTTAATTTACTGTCTGGGCCTTGCTTTACGCTCAATTCTAATACCTGGAGCAGTCATTCCTCCATTTGTTCGGGAAAGTGATGCTTTCTCGTCTCACACCGTGTCCTGATTCTTGCATTTCTTCTGGTTTCATTGGTGCCACTCTTCTTCATCATATAAGACAGTGTTATAGGTCGTAGATGGTTGTCCTGAGTTTCTTTTGCTATCCCTCGGGTAGTTATTTTCCTCGAGATCTTCAATAGACAATAACTACTAACTAAACTCCAATGGTGAATATTTCTTTGTCAACGAGGCATATCCACCCATCACCCGGCTTCCTGAACCAATTAAAATATTTTGATATGCGTGATTTTTTCCCTTCTTCAGATCTTTGTTTCCCGGTCTTCGAAGCCCCAAGTCTCTGCCACGCTAAGCCCAATCGCGTGACGCCGCCCGAACCCCAACACTTCCCCACAACCCGCGGAATCTCCGCATCGGTACTCAAAGTTGCGCCCTTTGGGTCTTGACCAGATGGATTTGCCACGGCATGCCGTGGGGAGATTTCTCCTCTTTTCGCTCCTTGATTTCGGCTGACCTACATATGTTGTCAGTCGAGCATCGATCGATTTCTTTTTTTTTCCTGTGCTAGATAGTAACTACTGAGTAAGTCCTCCACTGACGTCCCGGTTGAATGCGGAGAATCAATTCGAAATAAAAGATCTAATATCTACTGGTAGAATAGGGCATAGGGTACATTTCTGTTTATCTACGTTCAAGTTGATATAACTACGATCTTGACGAGCGTTTTATAGCAGTTGGCCTTCTTCTACCTTAGAAAAAAGCTCGTTTCCCGCCTGTACGATCTGTTTTAACTCAGAACATAAAAGCGCATCATGGGACACCAGGCATTGAACGAATTGGGCCTTACCCCATACTTGTTGAAAATGAAAGAATCCTTAGAGAAAAGTGGGATCAAGCCTTTTAACGTCTTGATGTTTTTGGGGCTCATTTTCATGATCGCATATCGAAAATGGGCTGACTCCGTGAGTTCCCCTAAACTTGAAGGATGTTTTGGAGAAAGTTCTAAAGCATATATGTAGACACGTACGAAAAGAGTTCAGAAACTACGCCGGGAGAATGCTTCAAAATTTCCAAATATTACGCCCCTAGAGAATTTCGAGTGGGAAAAAACGGAACCGTTGAAATTCAGGCCATTCAAGCCAAAATATCATCTTACAATGGGTAAGCTACAAGATGTATTTGTAAACAATGGATTTGATAATGCCACCGCGACTAATCACTATATAGCTCTTGAGAACCTGGAGCCAAGCGAGCTGATTCCCATGGATAATACTTATAAAGACCGAATTGAGCTTCGAAGACAATTAGTTAAAGATCAATATGGAGTTGTTCTTGGTGTTAATAAGAGCAAAGGGGGCGAAGAGGAACCTCGAGTTCGAGCTGCTGTGGCTGAGTTATATGCCTTTGTCATGGGTACATATCTTCCTACGCGATACCCAACGATGTTCCGACTACTAGAGGCCGATTTGGCCATGGGAAAAACAATGTTTGTTCAAAATCAAGTCACGAGGGAAATGCTACCAACAACGCTCAATCCGGGTAGGCCGACAATCTCAGCATTGGAAACGCTAGCTAAAAATGTGGACGAAGAGATGTTACTCCTGCTACCACGAGTGAAAAATCCTGAGAAGAAGAGTCAAGATATAACCACCTCGTCGACTAATGAGGTGGATAAATATATCCTGGAAGCATACTCAACGTGCTTCCCTTCAGGCTTCGACACACGCACCAAACTAGGCAGGCAGTTGAATGAAATTCATCAGCCTGTCCCTGGATACAAGGAGAAGTTAGAGAAAAGTATGGATCGATTTTTTCATAAGTTAGAAGTCGGCAAGTTTGTTAAACGGGTAAATTGGACCATGACAACTGGCGCAGAGCTATTTTCGGCCTTTGGAGACGTGCACGCGGTAAATGGGGAAGATATGAAACAAATGAATCTCGAGGAGCTAGATATTGATAAGGTGAGTTGTTATGCTGTATCTCAGACTCGTATGATTTCAGGCTGACTAAAATGACACTCGAAGACCTACCTTCGATGTGAAAGACAGACACTATACCGCCTTCCAACTTCCGGTGCATTGATATTCTCGTTCCATACATATCGCTATCCGATCCGAGAAATCAAAGCCGAAGGATCTGGTGAGGAATTAGCACTTGCTATTGATGGATTCAAGGAAGGAAGTACGCCCTTGATGGCACGGTATAAACGTGTGACAGCATGGGGAGAAGCCGTTAAAGAATATTTAAGAAGTTAGACCAACTAATTATAGACATTTTTTTTTTTAAAAAACAATCGGCTTCGAGCAGACAAGTCTAATCAGGATGGTAGCCACGTATACTTTTAACCTTGGCTTGCGGTCATATTTTCAGCTTATCTGTGGCTGACAGCTGGACACAAACCTCGTTTCTATGCTATCTTGATAGGTTAACTATTCAAACATTTATATCCACATGCAACTAATGTCTAACTATCTCAGGCGTTCCAACACCTTTATCAGGTCTGCCGTTACACCCATGGCTGTGACTGCACCTCCGGCACCAGCGCCTTGCACTATTAGGGGGCTTTCGCCATATCTTTCAGAGTAAAAGCTGATGATATTATCACTGCCTTTCAGGCTGGCAATGGGGCTGCCTGTATCAAACTTCTCCAATCCAACTTTTACCTTTTTCGACACGACATCGATGCTACCCACATAGCGTACAACCTTACCCTCAGCTTTAGCAATATTCTTTATTTCTTCCATATTTTCATCGAAGTCGGCAAGTCTGCGCATGAACTCCGCTGCACCCGCACTTCCTGACGCCAGACTTGCAAGTTCGACCGGAATCAAGCTCTCAACGGGAAAGGATTCAGGACTTTCAATCTCCAAACCGGCAATGCGAGCCAGGATTGTCAATTTACGTGCAACATCCATCCCGTTGAGATCGTCACGGGGATCAGGCTCGGTGTAGCCTAAGTCCTTGGCCTGAGTGACGACCTGGCTCCATTTTTGGGGCGGAGAGGATACAGCGGCTGAAACGGGAGCGAATTGATTAAATAGGAAAGATAGAGTGCCAGAAAAGACTCCCTCGATTCGGGTCACTTGGTCACCTGTTGCCACAAGGTCACGCAGTGTCGAAATAACCGGAAGTCCGGCTCCCACAGTGCTCTCGTGATATACCAATGCGTTTCCAGTGGCAGCAGAAGTAAATATATCCTTCCATAGCTGTAAAGTAGAAGAAAATGCTTTCTTATTAGGAGTCACGATACTTATTCCTTTGCTTAAAAACAGAGGGTAAGCGCTCGCAAGAGTAGGATCAGAAGTATTGTCAACTAAAATAGCACGTCCAGGGACTTGGGAAAGGTAGCCGGCTATCTGCTGCGCTGTCCAGGCCTCTGACTTGGCGAAAGAGTTGGACGAGTTGGCGGATTGCCAGTCTGCGGTGGGGATCGCCGGGCTGTAGGAGGGAGTAGGCGAGGTGATGGTCTGTGAAGAGCGGGCGAGGAGCACGAGGGACGGCGCATTAGGCAGACGAGCCAACTGGGCCAGGAAATGGGTGCCGACGCCGCCGACGCCTGCATAGGAATTGCTGTTAGAGAGATCGGGGATGAAGCTGGGGGGGATGACAGGCCATACTGACCAATAACTCCCAGGTAGATTTTAGTTGACATGACGAGTAGGACTTTCAATTGAACTGTAGAGTAGAAGGATAGGCAATTCCTAATATTTGAACCTCAGATAGTTAGGCGAATTGAAGTGCCGTCACGAAAGTCGTGGGCGACGAAGACTCTTGTCCCTCTGCGGGGCAACTTTATGGCTTTCTAAAACTCCGCCCTCGCGATAAATGAAGCTCCAGCAGCCCAATACAACATCCTCCACCATTCAGCTTGACGACAACGACGATGCCAACAGACTCTTCTCTCTACGGCATACGGCGCCCCAAAGCGGAAGCATCTAAGAAGGACATAACCTCATCTAACACTCTCGCCTTTACAGCGCATCTGTCTTCTCTCATCGCAAAAGAAAAATCGTCATCCTCAACCTCGCGAACGAGCCGCGCCCGGCCCAGGCCCCCCAGAACGAAAGATGATATCTTCACCACCCATAATAAGGGCGCACTGAAGCGCGCTGCAGCAGATATATCCCCAGACAGTCCCAATGTTGGGCAAATCCACAAACAAAGCGGAGAGCTAGGGCCTGTGGATGAAGCTGCTTTGCACCGCTCAAAGAGGAGGATGGCGGAGAAAGCAAAGCTGTATGCTGAGCTAAAAAGGGGTGAATATCTGGCTGCAAGTAGTGATGAGGATGACGAAGACACTCTGGACCGTGGCAAACCCCTGTCTGCTGTTCGCCGTGCGGAGAAGCACAGCTTGGTTGACTTCGACCGAAAGTGGGCGGAAGAGGAGCTTCATAGGCCTAATCATGAAGGGGACCATGAGCCAGAACAGGAACCTTTGGTGGACTACGAAGATGAATTTGGTCGATCCCGGCGAGGCACACGCGCAGAAGCCGCAGAGGCCCAAGCCCGCGTTCGTCAAACCCGCTCGAACGACATGTCAGAATCCCACGCCGCATCGCACAATCCAAACCTCCCTGCCAGCGCCCGGCCCTCTCGCCCTACAAACTTGATTCATGGATCTACAGTCCAGGCCTCTGCTTTCAACCCATATGCCAATCTCACAGCACAGATGTCTCACCTGGCCAAACGTCGTGATCGAACGCCAACGCCTCCACCGGAAACACATTATGATGCCGATGGTGAGATACGGAATCGGGGAACCGGCTTCTATGCGTTTTCAAAGGATGAAGAGGCAAGACAGACGGAGATGGCTGATTTATTGCAGGCCAGAGATGAGACAGTGAAAGAGAGAGGCCATACGTCTTCGAGGAAGGAAGAGAGACAAAGGGCAAAGGCTGAGAGATTACGAAAGATCGAGGAGCTCAGAGGGAAGAGGAGAGCAGAGGACTTTCTAAGCAAGCTGGGAAATATGGAAGACTTGGGTAGCCTTGGAGAAGCAGAGCCTAAGCTGGGAAAGAGATAGGATGCCTCAACACTCTAGGACATGTTATTTTTCAGGGCTAGCGTCGGTGTTTTTTTTTTCTTTCTCGCTTTATTTTAAAGATACCCACCCAATCGCTTCTTATGGATATTATCTCATATTTTCGGCGTCTCTTGTATGTATTAACTAATATTTAATTTGCAATTATATATATCTCGCCTGCCAGAAATACCGGAAGATAAAACTGAATATGGTAAATGCACTCCGTACAAAATAAGCGTCATAAATGCGTTATGTTTTCGCTGCATAGAAATTAAACAAGGATTAAAACAAGCATTATGTCCAAAATACATAAGTAAATAGTGTCACTGACTTGCAGCTCCAAAATATCCAAAAAATACTCTTGAGACATTCGTTACCTCTTTCCAGGACTATCCGACCGATAGTCAAGAGAAAACAGCTTCTCCCAAGGCCGCGTTTTCTGAGGACGATTATTTGACTGAGTACGGGGCGAAGGTAGTGTGCTACTTGCGGATGTGTCATCTACTCGAATAGATGGAGGATGCGAGTGATATCCCAAAGCCTAATCTCTCCAACAAACAGAAATCAGTTTCAAGGGACATGTGGGTAGAGCGGGAAAATCACATCATATTAAATTCGAGGGTCCAGAGAACAGGTCTTTGCGAACCTGGTCAAAGATGGGCGCTTCCTCCCTGCGAGGTTGAGCGCCCGGATCTCCTTCCGCAGACACAACCCTATTCTCCGCGGTTGATGATTCTTCCCGAAGAAGACTGCGACCCGGAGCGCCCTTTTTAGAGGCAGAGCTATTTCGTCGGCTGTCAAGGCTCCGGGCTAGGGTTTTCGTTGCTCCGCCACCGTTAGAAGGCCGTTTTAGCCGAATGCTCCCTCGAGCATCGACGTGGGCAGATGCGACGGTGCTTTTGCCCAACCCAGGTGTGCTGGGTGCATGGGCTTTTTCTTCAGAGGCATCGAGCAGATACCATCGCAAGCCATCAGATAATTCAAAGGGGTTATCGTCTTCGACCGACGCACCATCACTCGCATCAATCGAGCGTTTGTCTGGATTCATACCGTTCATTGCTTTCGAGAGATCCACTACTCTCTCATCAATCTTTGAAATACGCGCTAGGAGCCAATCACGAGTATGCAACCTATGCGCGTCTTGCTCTCGAAGGAAATAGTGCGGTGCACCTACATTGAAGGCGGCCCAAGAACGTATCGCCTGGTTGCGAGTTGGCAGAAAAAGAGCTAAATCGCCCTCCTTAAACGAACGATATGCAATTTTATCATGGGAATCACTCTGCGCACGGTGATATTTGTCACGATAGGCACGAGCTTCCTTCTGCCATTTTCGAGCCACCGTCTCAATATCCTTGACACGCTTCACGACAGCTTCGGCAAAGGACTCAAGATCAAATCTGCTCACTGCAGTCATGAATGCATCAAATTTTGCTGATTCCTCATCTCTGTCCGCAGCATGCGTCCAGAGTAGCACATCTGGATTCTCGATTGCGGGTAAAATTCCTGAAGAGGCAATGCTCTCAGCTAGCACAGAATTACCAACCACTTTCGAAGTTCGTTGAACAGTCATTTCGCTATCTTGAAAAACGATGGTGAAACCTAGTTGCTGCAGCATTTTGGCCATTACTTCGATCTGGGTGTAGAGCCTCTTCGAAATCTCGTCGGCCCAGGTGCTCTTGGCTGCGAGATGGGACTTCAGATTGCTTTCCAACTGTTTAAGTTGTTCTGACCTTGTCTCCCATTCCTGGCGCTCGTCTCCAATGTTCTGAGCCTTGGAGTCAATAGCAGCAAGCTTTTCAGTGAGCATGGCGACCTTTTGCTCTTCTTCGGCAATTCTGTCTTTCAACACCTCAGTTCCACTCTCACCAGTAGACAACTTAGATTCAAGAGTTTTCAGCCGACTATGCTCATTTTCCAGAGAAGACTGGGCCTCTAAAAGAGCTTCTTTCGTGTGGCTATAAGATTCAAGTGTTTTAGTCCTTTCCAATTCCTTCGCCTCGAGGTTCTGCTTCAGGCAATCAATTTCAGATTCTAAGTGGCATACTTTCTCAGATAGAACTTGATTTTCTTCACTGAGTTCGGTCGCTTTTCCATCTGATCCTTTGGCGTGGATGGCTAGACCCTCTGAAAGCACCTCGATCGCCTGAACTAGCTGAGAGAAGCCGGATGGAGCAGCTCCACGGGGAGAAAGCTGGCGATGAGCAGCCTGTAGCAGCTCAATGTGTTCTTTTTCTTGCTTGGTCAAATGATCAATGCGGTCTGATAGTTCCTTTTTCTCGATATCGAACTTGGACGATTGAGTTTGAAGATTTTGGACTTGCATGCGAAGCTCCTTTGCTTCTTCCACACTAGTCAAGGCCTTGGTTAGTTCTGACTGTAGTTTGCCAGATTTTGCTTTAGCTTCGGATTTTTCATGGTCACGGGCATCCATTGTCCTATCAAGCTCTTCTTCCAGTTCTTCCAGCCTAATCTTGAACTTATCAGCCTCGGACTCGAGAAATTTACGTTCATTCTCAAATTCACGCTGCTTGGCTTCGAGATTATGCATCAAATCTTTGTTCGTTGATTGCACTTCCTCCATTCTATCAATTGTCGACTGTCGTTCCGTTTGTGCTTCTTGCTTGAGTTTGGAGACAATCTCTCGTTCGGCAAGTAGCTCAGATTCCAGAGCAGCAATTCGTTGAACTAGAGACTTTTCCTCGGGGGCGTTATTAGCTGACATCCTTCGTGACGATATTGAAGACCTTCTTGACACAGCGTCAGGGCGTGGTGACGCGGGGGATATTGGGAAATCAGACCCAAAATTTCCGCTGACAGGGCGGCTCATGTGGCTTGAACGATGAAGAAGATCTTCTAGCCTTCTCACGCGGCTTTCGGAGCTTTTCAGCTTATCTTCAAGTCTAGTTTTCTCGTCCTTCAAGGAACGAACTGCCTCGTCCCCCCGCATAAAAAAGGAACTACCCATTTCGATGACACTGCCATGTTTGAAAGCTTTCGCCTTTCGCCTTTGCTGCCTTGTTGGAGCATCTAAATCTTTGTAGAGCTGCGTAAGCTCCTGGACAGCAAGATGCAGGCCATCTTTTGATTTGATGTTCTGCATGTATGTTTCTATATCCGTCCGAGATACCTGAGGCCACTCGGAACCTTTACCGGCTTGCAGATTTACCTCCACGTTGGGTGTACTGTCCTCAGAAACAGTCAGGAAATCCCCCATATTCTTGATCCACTTTTTCCTGCGGCGTTGCTCCTCATCGCGAAATGAAGCGAGTTCTTCGGCAAACGTCGACGAATCGGTTTTCATTTTATCAGACCACTCACGACGTCGCACGGCTTCAATAAGAACGGAGCCGTACACAATTGGGATGTGAAACACCATACAAAGAGTATCGAAGGCATCACCATCGACGTCTAGGGCTGCTATTTCAGCTTGAGCTGCCGCAAACCGTGACTCAATTGCGGATATCCTAGGCATATACTGTAAAAACATCGTCATCGCATGATTTCTGTTCTTAACGGATTGTACTAGGGCACTGTGTATTTCCAGGGAAAACTCCGCCAAAGACGGCAGAAGATCTTCAGTGTGATTCAGGGCCATCCTAGATATAATTGAAAGCGTCTTAGTGGTGTTAGGCAGGCCAAGGACATGCTCATAGTCGGAGATAATTTTTTTCGCAACAGTTTCGATCTCTTGCATCACGCCATCAACATCAATTATCGGGGGCGGCTGTGTCTCTCGTTCTAGTTCCTCGGTCTGCTTTGCAATATCACCAACGGCATCTTCCACGCTTTCCATCTTGCGCGAAAGCTGCGCGCAGACAGCGGAGACCTGGGCAGCGGAACGCTTCGTCTGTGCAGCATCAACATAATCTTGCAGGGTTTCAGAACAAGCCTCCTGTTCCACTTTGGGAGTCTCGGGTCTTCGTAGGAACGCAAACTGCTTTTCAGCAGGGATGGTTTCGAGCTGCGCGAGGCTCCGTTGCCAACCTCCAAGAGCAAGTTGCTGCTCCCTCAGCAGATCATTCGCCCATGTCTGGGCCTCTTGAAGTTTTTGTTCTAGGCTTCCAACATGAGACTTCAGGTTCTCCAAAGCAGCGCCAACACTGCGATGTATCACGTCTATACGTTCATCATGCTGGTGGGCTGCCTTCGCCATCTGACCGCATTTAGCGGTAAGATTCAAAGCCCATGACCTTCGCGCATTGTAGAGATCCTTCCATGCCTGTAGACTATTTTGGTTCGCGAGAGTGTCGGGCGGGTGGTCGGGTGTGAATGGCTCTGGAGACGGGATTTCCGAAATTCCAGTGCTGCCTTGCTCGACAATGAAGTTTCTATCATATACAAAAATTTCATTCTATAGCCATCAGCTATTAATGCAAGAGACTCTAGAGGAGAGAGCACTGGGGAGCGCGTATACCTCCGTAGCAAGACTTTGGAGCTTCACTGGCTTTCCGCGAGCAGTCATCAAGATCTGCCGCTGCAACGGAACGGACGTATTTCGAGATATCCATGCTCGTAATGCATCCGGCCTGCAATTACACCAACTGGTTAGGTAATATTCATAGCACAGCTGGCCTTACACAGCCATGAGGAGTTGACAGGGTTAGAGCTTGGGAACTCACGAAGCAAATGACACCGGGTCAGCAGACAGCTGCTCACCTGTGTGAGCTATATAGATATGCAGGGGCATGCTCCTTCATCAACAGGCTGTCCTGCATCTGCACCACCAAAAACCACGCAGGATGGGGAGCTTAGAGAAGCCGTTGCGGGTGGAGGAGGTAATTAAGCTAGTGTCGTCAGGTCTTCTTGGGGTGGGAAGCCTAAAAAGTGCAAGCAACTATGCAGAAACTAAGTAAGTTTTAACTAATTGGGTTCTCTTCTTCTTGCCCACATTCCCAGCGGATTACACCCACAGTAAGCTACATTTGAGCATTTGATGGGTGCCATCATACTTATCTAACTTTTTGGGCTTCTCCGCAAAATGCGTTGTTCGGATCACAGCAAACTGCTCCCATGGCATCCAGCAAAGGAGACCTAAGCGGCTCGCTCTCACAATTGGAAGAACATGAAAGGACGCTTGTTGAGCTTGCTGCAGATGATCCCAGAGATAAAGCACCTCTGGGGGAGAAAGAGCTTGAGCTTCTTGCCCTCTATGACCGTATCTATGAGCAGCAGCTAGAAGAAGCCCTTCTCCAGCAAGGTACGTTCTTCGAGTTCGATTGGAGGACAAACACGAACGCCCGCTGATGACTTCCCAAACAGACCCTGTCGATGTGTCTACAGTAGAGGATGTAGATGCAGCTTTAGCCAAGGCTGAGCGTGAGCTTCTAGAAGCCAGGGCCACGCATTCCGTGCAAAGGAAGGCTATCGAATATGTCCTGATGACGGAGCCATCCATTCACTCTATCTACGGCACGCATACCTCTCCAGTTGAAAGGTAAAACTAGAAATATTGAGTAATTTTTCAATCGGTGCTGACCTTTGATAGCGCTCTACTTTCCCTTATCAACCGACGGGATATCCTCTCCCTAGCATATGAGAATTTGGCTCACGCCATTGCCTCATGTTCAGAAAGTCTTTCCAATGCAGAGGTGGAAAATATTCAGGCGACTAAGAAGAATCGCGAATTAGTCCAGTCACTACTACAGCTTACCAGCAGTGAGAAAAATGAAAAACCAGAGATCAAGGATCCCAAATTAAAAAAGCAATTTGAGGCGTTAGTGAAAGAAAACAAGAACAAACGGGCTGAGAACGTGACGGTGAAGAGAATAGTCAGTGCAGCCATAGCTGCCAGTGGAATTGATTGGGCGAGTGATGAGGATCTCTTGAATTTAGTGATGGATGATGAATCAGCGGATGAGCTCTGATGGTTGCGCAATATCCCAGCCTTTGTTCCGCAGTCCTGGCGATCTATATAGTCGAACAGGGGCGATTTTACCTTTTATATGCAGTGTGCATGCAGAAACCTGTCTCAAGCGTCCATCCTCCCTCCCGCGATAGCAACAATACATGAATACATGGCAGTAAGCTACAGATCAGCATCTTCAGACTAACAGGTCCATGACGAAGCGGAATGAGAGGCGTGTTGAGCAACTCCACAATTTTCACTCCATGTTCCCAAATCGAGAATCGTATTCCAAAATTTTTTCTCCTGGAGTCTCGCAGTCAAGCGTGTGACCAGCCCCTGGACGGCTCACATGGCCCTGGTGGCTATGTTACCGTGATAAGCCCAGTCCAAACTACCCCCACGATGATATTAGTGACAGCTGGTCGGCATTCATGCCAGGTTGCGTTGGCCCCTCGGTAACTACTTGGATGATATGTCCTCGCTGCAGTGTTTGTTTGTCTGGCAGTCTGGGCGTTCCAGTAATGATCTGGTAAGCCCAAGACAAGTGTCGAGTCCAACGCGCTGGCGGAGCGTCGGTCTTAGCTCGGGACGTGAAAGTTCGTCGCAACCGGCTACATCGAGGGCAGCGTATGGCTCCTGTCGCCCCCCTCTGCTGACTTGCAATATTACAAGCTCGTGCTGTAACGCAAGTCGAGATGTTCCGGGCGATTCGGTGCGTGGTGGATGACGAAATCACACCCAACCGGCCGCGGATCATTAGTCAGCGGGCCTCTGTTTGATCTGGTGTAATTTACGGTAATTTGGCGTGACAATGGCTGGTGTTCCTTGCAAAACCGGACGTAATATTAAATACATACTGATGTGGTGTTTGAAAATACCTGAAGGCACGCGTTGGCGACTCCTCATTAATCTTAGCAGGATTATTACCGGGGCCCAGGAGCACTCCGTATTTTGAGTCTTTGTTATACCCAGGTTATGGAGCGGGATAAATACTACATGCTACATGGAGCACTCAGCACAGCGGCAGAACTATGTGCTCACAACCAAGTGTGCATGTGCCTGTAAGCTCTGGCGCAGGGAATGGCACGGAGCGGCCTTAAATACGCGAGTATGGAGCTAAAAGGGACATCGGCCGGCGGGCAGGCCTGGCGTACCATCCATGGAGGGAAAACCACAATCAAACGGCGAACCAACAAGTGCCTGTTATGGCACATGTACGGAGTAAGGCCGTCAGGCCTGCTGCGAAGAAGCGGGCGCACCTCACTAGCGAGCTAGCCTCTGGGATGCACTCTGTACGAGACGTGTTATTATACCACACGGCCGTCCGTTGGCTGGTTCTGGCTGTGAGGCAGTGTATGTATCCGGAAAGGCTGTTTCACACCTTGCGCAGCTCGAAACTCTGGTCGCAGACTGTGTGTGTAGCTACGGGTAACGCCCATCATACGCGGTATGGGCTGGCTGCCCGGTCCCTCCACCCATTTTGAGCTGCGGCGGGCTCGGCTGATCAGATACATCCATCCGTCGGTCCATACATACCTGGCAGGAGAAGCCAACCAAGAAAACAACAGCAGCCCTGTAAACTTTCAGCATGTATTAATTCGCCCAGATTCTGTGCGACGGCGGTCGAGAAGGTGTGTGGAGCGCGTTCTGAGCCTGCCAGAGGGGAGGAAGCGCACCGCCGCTCCTGGGGGCTCGTCGCGTTGTTACATTCGCTCCTCGGGGGCCACACGGAGGCGTACTCGAGGCGAATGGGATCGCGCCATCCAGTGCGCTGACTGCGCCGGCGGCGGACGAGCAAGACAGGAGGAGCGCGCGCAGGCTGTCGGTTGATCCAGACGGGCTGGTCGGGGAAGGGGAGAGGGGGTCTGCGGGCACGGAAGACCCGATATCGACACGCACGGCAATACCGGGCGTGCTGCGACGGCGGGAGTGGGCGCGGCGTCACGAACGGTAAAATTACGGGGCAGCGAAGGGCGGCGGCTTTCTGCCACCCCTCCCGGCCGTGGTTGCGTCGCCCAACGCCCTCGCCCTCGCCCTCACTGATTTTTTCTCACTCAACCTCTCCCACCCAAATCCGCCATACAACTGCTCTGCGCTCGCGCTCATACAATTTGCTGCCCCCATACAACTCAGGTACTACAGGTGAGCTCCCCTGAGTTTGCCTTTCTACGCTTCACCACCATGCTTTCCACCACAACGCATGCTCTTCTGCACTCTGTGCTTCTCTCCTGCCCTGTCTCTGCTTCTGTTTTGTTTTCCTTGCTGTCGCTTTCATTTTGTCCGCTTTCTTCACCTCCATCTGTGGCCTGTTGCGGCCTCAGCCCGCCTACACATTTCTCGCCGGAGAATGCACAGGCGCAAAGAGCCAATGTTCAGAATGAGGTGTCGCGACCCTGTTTGCAGTTGAACTGCACTGTTTTCTGTGCTTGCCACCCCTGGAGTTGTGCTGCTTTTCTCATCCGCGCGACCAGCCTCCTACTCCCCTCACAACACATTTGTTTTCCACTCATCAACAACGTGTTTTCCTCACCTATCTTGCATCTCTGGCGTGTTACTGTGTTTGTTTCCTTTGGAAGCTCAATTTTGCATCGATACCCGACGCGATTGACCCGCCAATCGCTCTGCAGCTGACTGACCCTTCACCAGCAGACACATTCACTTTCGCCAGAATGCCTAAGGAAAAGTCCACCCGTCAGACCAAGGGTCGCCGTGTTGAGAAGAAGAAGAAGGGTATGATTTCCATCTTGTCGCTCCCATCAGCGGACTCTCGAGGAGCTTCGCGATGCTGACTCCGCGGCGCCTCTAGATCCCAACGCCCCCAAGCGTGGACTTTCTGCCTACATGTTTTTTGCCAACGAGCAGCGCGAGAATGTGCGCGAAGAAAACCCTGGCATTACGTTCGGTATGACTGCCACATCTTCTTATCGTCCGTGGTCCAGCTGGCTAACCCGTTGTCCTTGTAGGCCAGGTTGGCAAGCTCCTCGGTGAGCGCTGGAAGGCATTGAGCGACAAGCAGCGCGCTCCCTATGAGGAGAAAGCTGCTGCCGACAAGAAGCGCTATGAAGACGAGAAGGCCAGCTACAATGTACGCCCCTGCCCACATATCCCCCTCTCTGTGTAGCTTGCATCCGCTGACCTGCTTTCGCCAGGCCCAAGAGGAGGAAGAGGAATCCACCTAGATTGCTATCGATTGACGAAGTCGATTTGGGGTCTGTGATGGCGTTTCTTGTTATTCCTGTTTCTTGTCTTGCTGCGTATTCTTCAATGGTTCATGGGACGGTACTGATGGTGGTTCATATATGTTATCTCGTATTTTACTATCCTTTCTTCTTTTATTCTCGAGATCAACGATAGGGAAGGGCACCGGGATTTCAAAGGTTATTTTTCTGTCTTTTTTCACCCTTCCGTCGCATTTGACGATTCGCAATCTGCGCCTGGCGAAGGACACACTCCGGCCGTCGACGGCACTTGTTCCTTCCTCTCCGCCCGCGGATGTCCTTTCACCAGGAGGATCTAGAAGGAGGAGCTAGGGTCGAATTGCTCGTCAGCGCTAGGCGACGAAGCTATATCTCTTTCTTTAACTTGAAGAACTGTGCGACTCAAGTGGCAAGGCCCAATTTAAGACTTTTAAAAATGATTGTACACTAGTTATCCGAAATTATTCTGGCCACAATCTTCCTGCATTTTTGAACTGGCGAGGATTTCGCATGCTTTGCAGGCCTTGATTGCCCTGGACAAAGCGACGACCCACTGACAGCGTACATCGAACAGTGATTTTCTTCCATACAAAGTAGGTTATTATGCAGCGTGGACTGTTCGTTTTCACTCGAGGGGATCTGTGGGAACTTGAACGGGGCCATAAGCTGCTCTGAGCGCGCCACTATCCGCGAGGGGTGCCACGACGGAGAACCCCAAGGCCAATATCGAAGCTTCCGAGGGGTCCTGTTCTCGTAGTATTCACCCGCTGGAGCCACGCATTTGCATTTTCGCCCGACGCCGTAAAACACACCATGAGAAAGCTGGCAAGAATATGAGCTCGTTTGTCCACGTCAATCGACTGCTGGCTTGGGGGAGGAATGTATGGATGCGACTGTCGGTGAGCGTCTTTTTCTTTGTTGAAGCCCGTTCTGGGGGCAGTGGTGCCAAATTGAGTCGCAGGTAGGTTTCATGAGGACGCATGCAGGAGGACGTGCTGCTGGCATCCGGATGGGGGGTAGTTAAGTATTTGGCCGCGACAGAACTGGGACTCTGCGGCGCTTCTAATTACTACTCTCTTTCTCGCCCGGTTCTTGCGGCTTATGAGGGCTGCCAAAAATAACTAGCTCGGCCCCGAAGTGCTTATCTAATTATGCTTAATTCGCCTAAAGTCTCGTCTGAGCGAACGAAGGTGTGATTGGCCACTAATCGCACCATCCCCTCTTTGTTATACAGCCTATCAGCGAATAGACAGTCGCCTTTCTGCCAAGGTGGGTTTATTGTGGAGCTGCTGCCCAAACAGTCTTTGGCGCCCGGCTGTTTCCCAGTCAACACCGAAGTTTGTTCACACATACGGAGTACGGCGTAGCAATGCATTCATCTCATTTGCTATGGTTTGAAGGCAAAATCTACAATAACGCCGCACCATACCCGTCCGTCAGTCGGCCGATTCTGTTCGTCGAATAAAGATGGCAAGATTTGAGAAGTTCTCTTCGTCGCGAAGAAATTCAAACTCGTCATAAAAATCACGCAGCATGTCTCTCACCCGTGGACTATACGGATCCGTCCTGAGATAAATCAGATTCCCCCATCCGTTAAAAATAGCCAAACCACGAAGAACTTACGTGTATCTCTCTTCGTCAATCTCCCCCTCTCTCATCTTTTCCCAGATTATTACTGCCGGCCTGGCAATATCCGAAACGATCTGCTTGACTGGCGCGTTGGACGCAACGGAGAATACAATAGAAGAGTCATCGATTTCCAACCATGCCTCGGGGTCGTCTAAAATGGTAATTCCAGAATTTTCAAGTAGAGAAATATCGACTTCACTGTACCATGGGTCCTGTGCATAGCACTTGATACTGCTAGACCCTAACTTCGTCGCCATCACATCCTGAAGAGTTAAAACCATGGCATGCTGCACTGCGGGTCTAGCTCGATATTCTTCCATATGTTCAGCCATACGTCCTAGTGAAAGACCTACAATTTTGTCGATGCCCAGGGGAACCTTTGCGTTCATGAGCGTGGATCGTAGCTGTTTGCACGTTTCGCCTGCCTCCCACTGCAACTTGCTATCATTGAACACTTTCTCAATTTCTTCATAGGGAGCGAGGGGCTCTCTTTCAAACTCTTTTGTGATTTTGTTCCGAGTTCCTCGATAATGAGAAAGCTCAATCGGGGCGAAGGTAAGATATGGGTGCATATAGTCGTATCTCATGATTGACTGATATGTCCTATATGAAAGGCATGGGTCCCGCCTAAAAATCTGTTAACACTTGCAAAAAGGCCCTTACATAGTGTGCACCTACATGACATATTCAAAAGATTCTGGTGTCTCATCCTCATCGACGTTGCCAACCTCGATATCGTAGTAAACAGGAACTCCGTCCATTCCATAAATCACAATCTTCTTTCCGTTCTCTAGTGGCTGTTCAAGCTGTTCATGAGTGGCTCGAATGGTTTCCTTCGGAAACATCGGCACCCCAGCATCATACAGCACTTTGAATTCCGATCTGAGCCGCGAACGTAATCTTGTGTACTCCCCCCCACCCGTATTTTCTGCTGAATTTCTCTCCTCGTCTAGCCAAGAATACACTCCTCGGCATGATGTTATTTCGTGTTGTTTTCTCATATTCTAAGCTTATAGCCGGAGCGGGCCTCTGGTCTGTGAATTGTGAGATGATGGAGGCCTTGTGAAATTGGGAGAAGGGAAGAGGGGTTGGAAGTGGGCTGGTTTTAGACTGCATATTGAGAACCAATTACTAGCTACTGGCCCCTGGATACAAATCCCATAACAGCCCTCAATGGCCTATTAATACATTCTCACCTTATCGTTCAGTATACATAGAGTACATCGATGTCTTCCTTACACTTGTATATCCATGCTTTCATGGCGGTATATAGTACGTAAGTTTAGCTATGATGCTCCAACTAGACTTATTTGCAAAAGTATGGAAGCGATCTATTTGGCACTCAAAGTGCATGCCAAATCAGGACCGCGCTGCTTTCGCCGCTTTAATTCTCTCTTTCTCTAATGTTTGAACCTGTGGCCAAACTTGCCGTACCCAGTTGAAGACGTGGGCTTTACTGTTCTCCGACGAAATCTGGGATGCCCAGCGAGGCTGGCGATCAACTTCCATTTCCGCAGTCTCTCGGAAAGATGGATTAGGCAGTTGGTCGCTATTGTTCACCTCCTCGGTAGTGAACTGCACCCATCGCTTGAATCCTCGAAGTATGAGCGCAATATCCCCGGAATACTCCTCGGAAAGGGCAGTTGAGATTTCATTCCACAGCTCTTCCTCTTTAATCTTTAATCTCCACGTTGAAATTCTCTTGTCATACTCTTCCCTCTTATCGAAACGGATCAATGCGTGTTCTGCCACGGTCTCTCTTGTCATTGGCTCCCTACCATGCCATAAATCGGCATGCTCAGGGAGCCATTCATCGACAAAAGTCTGGAACATGATCCTCTTTTTATATCTCTGTCGGTCATTTGCTGTTTCGTAAGTAAACTTAAACGCACTTGGGTGAAAAAACTTTCCGCTGGAACACCAGCGATAGAGTTGGTCCATAGTATCAAAACCCTCCTGGTATTGCTTCAGGTCCAGTCCTAAGAAATCAAGCACATCATTTACATTGTGTGTGAGATATATCTTGCTGTATGCTCGATTTTTGGGCTCAATTTCTTCAATTCGGATGTGAAGGCCCTTGTCTGTGGCTGTCAAACCTAGCGGCCTCAAAAACTTGCCAACGATCTGCCACATATCCCCGTAAGCATCTAGTAGACACTCCCATTCAATGAACCCGGGGTGGCAGATATGCACGTCAACTTGAGCATAAGGAGTTTCGTCGCTGTCGTTATTGTTAAGAGAAATAGGAACCGCAAAACAGCGCGATTCGCCGAACTTCTCTGTGCGATGTGCCTTCAGAAGCCCAGCTACTTCGTCCCATGAAAATCCAGGGAGAGGCTTTGATACCAAGGTGTCTACGTCCCCATAATTGGCTTTCTCTGGAGCTTCTGCTGGCGCGACGACATCTTCAAAACAAAGCCGAAGTTGTTGGATGCAGAAGTCTCTGAGGTGAGAGTGAACTGCCTTACTCATTCGAGGGGTATGTAAGGCGGGAAGATCACCCTTGGGCTGAGAAAAGACTTTTCCACCCATAACAGCAAAAAGGTGCTTCGCTCTAAAATTATGAAGTGTTATTCCTCGCATCCGGAGTACACCCGTAGTCAACGTTTATATAGGGGCCCAAGAAAAGGAGGCTCTTCCGGAAGTAACGCGGCTGAGTCATGCCCAGGCTTGGCGCGAACGTGACATCGTCGGCGATTCTCCATGCTTGAGCCTCATGTCCAACCAGAACACCAAGCAAGCAAGAGAGCCAGCGAAGTGCTAACTAATTCAACTAATCCTCGGCTATTTCATAGTGGATTACGCATATGCATACTCCGTACAGAGTATGCATTTGCAGCTTGACCAAGAAACTCGCAGAACCCAGACCCTTGAGAACCGGTTAGTGGCTTATTCCGCGCGATGACTGGTCAAGAGACGGCGGCTGGGATACGGGGCCGACCTGCTGTTACTTGCCATATTTCGCCTACAGTCGCTTTCTCCGCCCGCCGTTTTCTACCGAAATTCATACTTTAAGCATTCTCCCGCCCGACTTATAGAAACGGCCCCGCAGACGTGTCCTATTCCGTCGAATTTGCGAGCGCACAGGCAAGCCAGGGAGGTTGAAGTGGCATGAAGGCGGTGAACAGCCCTTCACTCCCCGATCACCACTTGTCGCGCCGCTGTGGCTGACAGACGAGCTCTTGCAAAGTGTCTGCCCAAAACCTTCATGGGGTGACCAGTGATCAGAAAACTCTTGCTGCCAGGCGTCGTTTACAGTCCCCACGTATAGCTTCACACCCCATACCCACAAACCATGGGTATGCAAAGCTACATATACTTAACTAACTACTTAACTACCAGCACTTACTTCTTCCATTTTTCTGCCCTCTCCATGTTCAACCCGTTTCCCCCCCGCCCACCAGCATGAGTTTACCTAACCTGGCTAAAGATGTAGAGCAATACAGCTCCAAGCTCATCCCATTCATTGAAAATGTCCCGAAGTATGCTCATGACATTGCCCTCATACTCTCCCAAAGCTTTGCTATCAGCGGCCACTTAAGGATTTTACATGCCCTGAGGTACTCAACTGCCTATGAATCGTCATTTCAAAAGGTTACGGATGATCTTCGAGTCGTTTACAGTATCGTTCGGTATAGTGCGAAGGAGATAAGCTCTGGAATTGAAGAAATGAAGCGCACAGCCAAGGGCGTCGTGACTCCAGATGAGTATCAGAGAACTTGGAGTCGGCTATGGTCTCTCTTCTCCTCTCAGTCCGGGTACACACTGCCCGTACGGCTCAATCATGCCCGATTGATGATAGAAGCCTTAAATGCGCTCATGAAAAAGCGAGTCCCTTTACCAATTGAAATTCCCGGGCTATCGATGTTGCTACAATAGCAATCGATGCCCCATCCGAGCGTAGCTCTGTGCAGCACAGACTGACTGTTTATTGCAATTATAGAGAGCCTGTAGACGAAACTATGATGGCCCGACTTCGCACGGATTTCAACACGATACTCCTGGCCCAGATTAAATCCGAAGAGCAGCAGCGGCAGCAGCAGCAGTGGAAGGAAATGCCATCCAATCCTAAAACGCACAAGCGTCCTAGCCCTGCTAGACTCCGACCTTCTCCGCCTACTCCAGAAATTCCCCCTCCACCGCCACCGCCGCCATCACCGCCAGCACTGCCTCCCCGTTCTAAACCTTCAACTCCGCAAACCAAGCCACCCAAGGCGGCGCAGAAGGCAGCGAGAATGGCTCGGCCTTCCTCTTTTGAGCGAGGGTGGCCGGAATTAGATTCAGATTCGTCAGAAGATGAGGTTCATTTCTCCTCACCAAATGAAAACAGTGCGCTATCAGCATCCTCTTATGTAAATTCGGATTTCGTTGATCACTGGACCCTGGACGTTTTTGGGCAGCACATAGACTCATCGGCACCTCTGAATCGCAGTGGAGAGGGGTACGTATTGGAGTTCTCCCTGATACCCACTCCATATAAAACTAACTGTCGAAAGCTCTGGCTGTTATGCCTGCCCAGTGATGGACGCAAGAGAAAAACTTGAAAAGGAGTATGAGGAGCTGTGTCAACTGTATGCTACCACCAATTGTCTACCTAAATACTCTGAAATATTTATTCACTTTCTCTGTAGTGACTTTCCCGGAAAGCCTCAAATATCCATCAGTTTTTTTCTCCGTGATAGAGATCATCGAACAAAGGTCCTATGCACGGTCTACACTTCTAAAACGCGTACTGTGTATTCTGCAATGCCGATAACCAAGCTAGAGATATACCGTGATGGCTCCTCCCTCCAACTCTGTGTAAGGCACTCGGAAGGCAAGGACGGTTTATATTTATGGGCGGGTCTTCAGTTCAGCTCAATGGAAAGTATGTTTCTTCAATACCCTCTTCCCGACGTATCACTTAACAGAGAATAGAGATGGTGGTTTTCTACTGCTCCTTCTTAGCGCTTCGGGGACAAGATGGCAGCGGGCCTATTAAAAAGTTTCTAGACTATGAATTAAAGGACGAATTATATGTTTTTGGTGGGTAGGTAAAATCCAGAAACATCCCAAAATTGTTAATTATTATATTAATTAACTTACTTTTAGCAAAATCTTTGACGATAATTACATCCATGCACTTCGAATATACCGAGATCATGATACTAAGGCCATACGTCTACAAGCTTCAATACATGAAGGAGATTTAGAATGGTAGGATTAGTCAGTATCCGCTTCTCATGAGTGGGTTTTATTGACAATGGTTCACTAGGGTACCTGTCTGGACAGCGTTTATCCAACATTATCTGAAAAAAAAGAATTGGATGAGGAGGTCTGGAAATAAGATCTACTTGTCGAAACTACAACGTGTAATATTCATTGACTCCTCCGACTATTCTCCTCAAATAACACGGGAGGGAGAGCATGTTCTGTCCTTTACTTCAGAAGATGGTAAGTAGAAGTCTCCTTCCAAACACTTTAGAATTCCCATATATCTTTTCATAGTATAGAACTTTCAGGCTGACTCTTGTGCAAGACGCGAATAGCTTTGAATACCGTATCAATGATCTGATTGATTTTGGCACCAAACAAAAGAAGGGCAAATAATTCGCTTTTTGTTTTCGCGAAATTCATAGCCATTCATTCCTATTCAACCACTTTAACGTCTATTGGCATTTAAAGCTTTACGCGCCCTGCTGTGTAAGCGGTATTAGACGTTAAGAACGAAAGAATATGGTTTGCCAGGGCGATGCCTATTATCAATTTATCAATTGATTTGGTGGTGAAGCTACAAGTGAAACGGAAAAAAAAAACCCTTCTTTTAAAAATGAATTATATGAACTATCCCTACTCCTTTTTATCTCCCTGACTTTGACGCACTGGCGAGATTATCAGCTTCTTGGTCCTTCGCTCTTTGATCCTTTTCGCGTTGCTAAACCAAAGTTATGGTTTTATAAAATTGGAATCGCTAGAGACGTCCATCAAAATAGGTGGCCCTATTAAAAGCGGCATCCAGCGTGCGGCACCTAGATACTCATGCTTTTCTAGCAAAATGCCAGTTGAAAATAGGGCTTTAGTGTTGAAATTCTAGATTATTTCAGCACCTTTTTGTCTGAAATATGTAGGCTCTCTCAATTTGATTCTGCCTAGATCGACACACCCTCCATACCACCAACATCAGCCCAAAACTCCTCAAAATCAACTCCATGCTGCTCAAATAAAGCCTTGGTCTCCAACATGGCATTTTGCTGTCGTTCTGGGGTAAAACCACCAGGCCGCGTGCTTTCATACTGGATGATCTCTATCCAACGAAAAAAAAGGTCTTCTTTTCCCATAGATGTAAGTTTATTTTTAAATTTCACAATTTTATCACGTTCAGACTCAGATAATTCCATAGAGGGGTCCGAGTTACAAGAGTTGTCCTCAACACGCCAGATGAGCCAGCCCTTGCTTGGACCACCATGAACGACGACACAAGTCTCAAAATCTTCGTAACGTAGGAGATCTGCTTTAATATTCTCTTCTGCGTAAAGCATAGCACCAAAGTCCAGATCCCAGTCTGCATCGATAAGCAAATACCCAGTCTTCTGCAACCTCATTGGGGTGATTGCTGGTATAATGCGGTCCTTCATAGTTGCATCGTCATCACGGATCCATGCGTGAACCAGGCTCTCACTCCAGACTCGGCTTTTACGCACAACTATTTCAGCCTGTTGGAATCCAATTGTTCGGCGCCATTTGACCGGGCCAGAGATGAATCGAGCGGGCCAAGGTAAAAACAATGCAATGAGAAGATAGTCGAATAGAAAAGTGAGGGTTCGACTAGCTAATGTACTAGATATTAAGCTCCACGAGGCCTTTTTAGGGTTTATTGTGGCAGGGGAGTCGCGTCCCAGCATCGCGGCCAGGATATTAGGGTAGGTATAAACACCAACATAAATTCTATAAGCCACCAGGCATATAATCGAAAGGTTGAGTATGAGCGGTAGGAGGAAGATTTTCTGCTTCTCGGGGATGGGATGCCGGTCAATATGAAAAAGGTAGACATCACTCGGGGAGAGACCCTCAAGAAAGTCGGTCAAGGAGGACGGGGCTTGTGTGAACGGTGCAGGAACATCAAAATCATCCGTCTTCTTAGCGGAATTCTGGGTAGCGACGGGCTTCTGCTTAGATTCCCGTCTTAAGGGCTTATTGGCCATGGAGAGTAGGGGTTCGAGATGCCGTAATTCCTCCGTAGCTCCAATGATCTTGAGCTTTTGAAGGAATTGTCACATCAAGCTCTCCTAATCACCTCTGGGCGTAAAAAGAGAGAAATAGGATATCCCGACCGGCGAATTTTGTTAATAGAGAGATACACGGTGACTTTGAAGATGAGATCTCTGGCATTCGAGGATCGCGATAGTGCGCTAAGCCTTTTTAGGACAAATCGTATCAAACGCGTTGAAGAGACAACAATCGCGGCTTTGTTGCGCTCGTTGTTTTGCTGGTTAAAGGACGACATCGGGGTTTGGAGCATATTTGGCGCCATGTACACAGCCTAGCTAATTGTTACAAGAATCATCATTTGCTTGCAATGTATAATAACCACTTCCGCCACCCGTTGGATGAAGATGACACTGCCAATGAGAAGTCGCCCAGAAGGCAGGCCACACACCGCAAAACAGATTCATTTGCCTCTCGGATACCAACTTTAACTCCAAGAAATGGCGAAAAGTCACGCCTCACATTCAAAAACACACGAACACTCACAGGCGCATTCCAGGCAACTGCCGACCGTTCACGCACACCGGAAGATCCCAATGAAATTTCTCACAGATCAAAGATACCAGAAACTGGGAAAGGGGGCAGGGCATCTGTGGCCTTTCCTCCCTCACCCGTTTCTAGCCCCCCCGCTGAGCTTTACGAGACATATCGACAGGCTGACGTGGAACACCGGGCAGACCCTATTGACGACGAATTCGAAGTACCCCAAGCACAACACCGCGAGATGCGCTCCAATTCTCCGAGTCCAGGCCCAAGGCGACGTGAAACAAGTGGTGAGATTCATACCGGAGCTACATACAATACCAAGCCCAATATACAAGATATTCTCGATGAGGAGTTGCGAAAAGGTATACGCCAACGAGAAATGGATGACAGGAGGTTGAAGCGCGCAACGGGGAGAGAACAACCAGTATTTAGTAGAGCAAAGATGGGGCGAAGAGCAACTTTGTCCACTGAAAACCTACAACGGCGGAATGAGGAGGTACGCGGGGAAGAAGCTCGGGAAGAGGTGGTGGACCAGGGGACAGATCTTCCAGTCAACGTTCCTAAAACTTGGGGCACGCGAGGCAGAGCCACAAAAGATTGGTTGAGTAGGACTTATAATCAAGATGATCGTCTTGCCGATGAAGATGAAGAGGATCTATTTCACGACCCAGAGAACGACGTTATAGATTTTACGGCCCAATCTTTGCAGATTTCGAACAGTCCACCTGTTAAAGGAGGCTCTCGTAACTTTGACGAACCATATAGGGCTGAATTAATTAGCCAACCTCTGTTCACTAAACAAGCGTCAGAAGAATATCCAGTGAAGCCGCAAGGGGTCAACGCCCACCTCCACCGTGACAGTCCTACCAAGGATACTCCAATTACTGTATACAGGAGTGCGAACTATGAAAGAGCTAAGATACCCAATAAAGAAGATTCTCACGAGTTTCTAAGAAAATTGGCGCGTAAGGAAAGCCCAAGTATTTCCAACACCCCTGAAACAAAAGTCCCGGCGAAAACACCCCTTAACCCTAAAACACCCATGGTTATGGGGGCATGGATTGATACCCCTCTCCCCGAGCGATCTTCCAACCATGTAGAATCAACTCTAGAACCCTTAGAAACTATGCAAGAAAAACCCAAAGAAGCAGTTCCTTGTCTGGAAGAATCGAAAAAGGAACCCCCCCCTAAGGAACCACGACGAAGACGCTCATCTTCGATAAAACTAGAAAAGCCTAATCTACCGAAAAGTGCATTGGCTGCCGTGATCGAAGAAGCTATGTCTGGAAACAATAGCCTGGGACTTGAAGAAAACACGATTGATTCTCTCCAAAGGATACTTGAAGACAATTCAACAAGCAGTTCCGACTTGCTAGACTCAGAAAAATCAGGAAAGGGTCATTTATCCTCCTCCCAACAAGGCAACACGGAACAAGCAAGTGAAGAAGCATTGATAGACAGACTGAATTCTAAGCTTCGGTCACTTGTTCAAAATATCAGCGAGGCCAAGGCAGGACTTGTTAGCCTGGAAGACAAAGCTGCAAAAGATGCCACGCTTCTTGCAAGTCGTCGTATTAAGCAAGAAAGACCTCGTCTCCCCCAGAATGGCGAATGTGAAGCATGCGGCTTTCACGATGATGGTCGTCGTTATTTGGCTATCCCTATTCCTCGCCTTTGGCGCCTTGACTCAGGTAGCGGAAGACGACACTTAACCAGGTTAGGCTGGATTTTGATGTTTCTTTTTATATGGCAAGTTTTTGAAGCTCTCATTGAAACCTACCGCTACCATCCTTCCTTCCTCAACAAGCGACGCTACATGGCATCTAGAAACCCTGAATGGCCCGCTTTTGTCCCTGGTACAATCTGGCGCTGGCTCAATCTCAACGCGATATGGAGGCCAATTCGTGATACTATGTTCGTATGTGTAAAGTTTATTGGAACGTCACTGGGGCTGTGGGATCCATTCTTCGATGACTGGATGTACGGAGAAGAATGGTATGGAGAGAATTGGATTCAGAGATACAACCATCATGTTTATCCGGAGTTTTTCCGGCGAGAATCGCTTGTGCCACAGAAATTACACCTAACTCCCGGCTTTGCACGCCCTGTTGCAGCTGCTACTGGTGCCAGTGGTCGCGTGATGATTGATCCAGATCTGAGCATGGATGCCGACATGATAATATCATAAGTTAATAGAATATCTTCCTCGGAATACAACTGACCTCATACTATATCATATTCAGAAATATAATGTGCCGCTTCGTGGCAACCACCTTCGGATTTGATAAAAACGCCATTTCAGTTTTATTTTCTCTCTTAATAAAACCAATAAAATGGTATCTTGTATCCTATTATTCAAAAAATAGTCGCACAATGGTATCGGATTAATTCGCCCTATGACATAAGTGTGTATAAATGACTTAACATTGCCTGTACGCCTTGCTAACATTACAAAAGATCTTTCGGGTGCCATAGATCTAAAATACGACAGTAGAGCAAAAAATGCACCCGGCTTAAATCTTAGCCCTGTCCAGTCCCTGTTTCCACTGCAGGACCAACTGATTTTCGCCCTCCACCCTCCAGTTCTTTCCTTCCACCAACCTACTCTGTACTTCCTCCTCAGTCAGCTCACCCAAAGTAGCCAGATCCTTCCTTTCTACATGATCAGTGGTGTGATCCAGGAACAAAGCCTTGCCTGTCTTTTGCACCTGGCCTTGTGCTGCATATGTACAGAATTCGGCCCAGCTTTGGTAGCAACGCTTTCCAGCTTTCGAATCCGGCAAGATAAGTGCGAAGCAATGTGGTTTAGCCTCAAAACGCTCCAGAACAACGGTACCGCCAGCACGATGAATGTTACGAGCCATATAGATACCGTCATCCTCGAGAGCCTCCTCTCCTAGAGTGATAAAGACTGGAGGAGTTTCTGTAAAGAGATCTTTGGGAGCAGTAAGAGGTGAGACAAATGGGTGAGCGAGCATGTTAGCGTTGGCGTAGAATTCGACACGTGGTGGACTTGAAGGCCAAGTGGAGTCTGGTGGGAACGGATACGGCGTATAAAGTTCCCCAGGCTCCTGTGGAGGAGGGATGATATAGTCAAATTTTGCGTTCCGGAATGATGATGGTAGAGAACGTGTCACGTCGCAAAATGGGCTCGAGAGCGCAACACCGGCGGGAAGTTCGACAGGGACATCTTTGCCATGGAAGCGAACAGTGTACGTGGGATTTATCCGACGGAGAGTCAAAAGTGTCTGCAGAAGGGCGAGAGAGAGGCCCGCACCTGCAGAGTCACCTGAGATGACGATCTTATTTGCAGGAACCGGCATGTGGATAGCACCTTCAGGAGGGGAAAGAAGAGATAAGTAGGCAACCAAGGCATCCAATAGAGCGGCTGGAAATGGGTTCTGAGGAGCTAATCTGTACCGGACAGAAAAGCAACGGCTTCCAGTAAGTTCCGCCAGCTTGGTAGTTACTTCACGATGCGAGCATGGGTCCATCAGGCTAGATTCGAACGAACTTATTAGTATTGACCAAAATACACATTAAGTGAGTACATACTGATAGGCACCTCCGTGGAAGTAAAGTATCGTAATATCTTGATCCACATCTTCCATTAATCTCTCATATTTTGCCTGCTCCGAAATATCCGGCTGCGGGGTTTTTGCATTGGCACCCTTTCTGAACCCCGTCCATTCTGCCTGCACAGCTCGCACCTCTGGAACATCGTATGTTTCTGACCCTTCCATATGATATTTGATTGCCTTTTGTAGGGCGTGAAGCACGTCATCTTCAGGAGGTTTTGGCGTTTCGACGGCTGATATCCACATGTATCCTTTTTTCCCAGGATCGCGCAAGCTCCCTCTTTGCATACGAAGTGACGAGACACTGAAGTTGAAAAACGAACGAATAACACCAACAATGACTTCTAGTCGAAGATCTTGTTTCCCTTCTGTTGGCGAGAGGCGAAGGATATTCAGAACTGCGGTTTTTAAGACCATAGGCAGTCGCTGAACAAGCTGATGGATGAGGTTAAGGGTAATTTTGCGACCCATTTTCGCGTTTCGTTCGGGTGGGAGCTGCAAGCCTTAAGTAAATGAAGAATTTACGACAATCTTCTCCAATATATACTCCGTACGGAGTAGACTGACTTAAAAGATGGGGAGCGAGGACAGCAAAGAAGAAAGTCGCTCCTTGTGATACTTCTTGGCGGGCATGTGCCGCGGCTGCATTGGGGGCCTCGATTATATAAGCAATGCAGTGCATGAGCCGATTGAGTGACGCTGGTTGGTCGGCTTTTGTTCCTGAGGGCCCGTGCATGCATAAGGTCTGGTTTAAGCTTTTATGCGTTTTATGAATCGGGAGCCGCTTCACCGCCAAAATCTTGGGAGACTCTGGAACGATCGAAAGAGTAGCCTGCACCAAACCATTGCAAACTGTTCCCCCAGAATAATTCAATGATAATTACTATGCGGAATACTCCGTACCGGCGCCGAAATTAGAGATATGTACTACAATTCTCAAGCCATCACACATACCAGTCAATTTAACACACGGCTATGCTCGCTTTCAATATTTAAGCCCACCAGAAGAGAGACTCAACGCTCAATTGAAAATCTGCGTGATAAACTGACTAGGTTCGTCCAAAAAGAGGTGAAGCTACCCAAAACCCACCGAAGATAAGTTTGCCAGATAGGTCGTTTAAACTTGAGAGCAAGATCGGGGCCAAGTAAGCCTTTTCGAATTAGCACTTCACATGTTTCTTTCTCCTTTGTAGAGTTGATGAGAAGGTTCTCCGGTTCTAATGCTATAGCCTTGGTCTTCCGTTTGAAATCATACGCGAGTAGAGCCATCGTAGGTTAGACATTATACCAGCAAGCTGATATTAGGCCATCGAAGGTTTGGTGTTTGCCAAGTTCAGGAAATTCCATTTCTTGAAAACGGCGCTCCAGTTCGTCGGGGTTCTGACTCTTGAGGTCGATATCGTCATACGGCTGATAACCGTAAACCATATTATATAAAAGTGTCCCAACCGCAAACTGCTCAGTTCTAGCCCCACAAAGTCCATAAGTACCTTTCAAAGGTCCTGAGGGTATCATTCTAGCCCAAGGTGCATAAGAGCTTGTAAGCCATTGTCCAACAGTAGTGCAGTAGTCAAAATCGGCTAATTTCAAATTGAGGTTTTTGTCTAGCAGACAATTTCGTGGGTGAACGTCGTTGTGTGCAAAGCCCATCTTCTCAATATACTCTAGGGCGGAGGCAATCTGCCGTATCCATCGAGCAACAAGAGAGGAATCATCAAACTCATTAACACTGATGACACGTCCCGGCGAGCCGTCAGGAAGAGTCTCGCAAGCCTGGCGGCTAGTCAGACGACGACCTAGCTGATTAAGATCACAATAAGCCAAGAAAATATGATCTGTGAGAGCTAGAAAACATTCAATAATATCCACACAACGATCTTCGCGGTCATTGAGGGCATTAAAAAATGTGATTTCTTGGAGGAATGGATGTCTTTCATCATATTCGGAGTGCCGAACTGTCTTTACAGCAATGGCAGGGCTGACATGGTAGACAAGGCATGAGCTTCCAGTGCCCACACAAACATTTTTCTCAAGAGTATCAAAAAACAAGCGTGTCATGGCACTTGGGCACAGTGAGAGCATACAACAAAAGAAGAAGTGATGGAAAGGATGTGCTGAACCTTAACAAGCACTAGCTATTCCTATTGTGGTCTAACTAGTTAGTTAACTTACTAGGTACTCCATAGTTAGTTTGAAGGTTAACGTGACTAGTTGAAGCAACCCAATGATGACAGCTTTTGCATTTCAAAGCTTCATGTCAAACAACAAGGTTGTACAGAGTGATTTGAAATCACAGAAAACTTCAAATTTCAGAGGTGCAGCTTTGAATAAAAAACCAATAAATGGTGAATGCACATTGATGTGCTGTTCAAAAGATAACTAAAATTGAAGTCATCTCAATCCGGGCAGAGGCAGGCAGTGGCACAGTGCTCATATACCCCGGCCCTGGAGGTACTTGTATTTTTCCTACATATTTTATTAAATTTTATCCTCTCACAAATGTGACTGTATTACATCTAGAAAGTACCTGAATATGACACTGCCACCCAGTGAATTGATTGGCGCCTCTGGGTGTTACTATCTCTTCAAGCACTTGATTCAGGAGAGACCACAACTAGGTCGCGTGTGGTTGGCAACGTGCGAGCATACCCTAATTCTTTATAATGTGCCTCAGTGAACTGATAGTATACCAGATCCGGACAAGACAAATTTGTCTTGAAAGACATTCCCAAGACCATATTCTCAAACTTTAATGAGGACATACACCCGCGGCTTCGTGAATGCCCCTTTGTACGGTTACCGCATGACACAATCCCGGGCCAGCGGATATTTGTATACAAGCACATGGATAATGACTTTCTGAGTCTCATCAGAAAGCAAATACCTATGAAAGCTAGGAAGCAGATTCTAAAAGCTAGTTTGCGAGGGATTGCTGAGTTACACAGCCATGATATTGTCCATTTAGGTTAAGTCAACTCTCTTTACTTTCACAGCCTAGGACTCATTCATTCTAGATATTAAACCTGACAATCTTATGGTTAATTACCGCCAATCTGGTTTGAACACAATCGTTGAGAAAGTTCAGATCATTGATCTCGAGAACGCAGCCTATCTTCCTAAAGGAAGGTGTATTAAAGGGATGTTAGCTGGCAATGATAGCTGGCGCAGTCCGGAAGGTCACTTCAAGGGCGAGCTCAACAAACCTTCCGACATCTTTTCCTTTGCAGCTGTCGTGAGTTGTTCTTTCTTGAAAGAGGCTTCTGTCCAGCTAACCTACTCAGTGCATCTATGCTATGCTAGGACAAGTTATCTTCGGGGCCGATGAGGACTTACGGAAACATGAATCACGCGGTGCATTCCCTCACGTCATTCGTCTGCAACGTCAAGTTTCTTTTTTTGGCGATCAAGAGGGATTGAACGGGCTTATGACGCATGTTGGAGATGAGGAAGTCAACTGCAAAGTTCTGGGGCTTCTTTGGGACGATCGAGTGGCAGACTATCATTCCTACAGACCGTTCTCAAAGTGGCCGAATGACACTGAGGACGATTTCAAGGATCTCATCCGGAGAATGACAAACTTGGATCCTCTAAAGCGGACAACTGCGCGCGAAGCTTTGGAGCATCCGTGGTTTTCTGGCTGTGAAATTGATTAAGTGTCTCGAAGGCTTACGAACATTGGGCACAATTCCGTAACCGTTAACATTAAGCCAGGTAAGCCTTACAATAGCTCCCTTACACAGTGCCATAATTAGGCAATACAGCTGCATGAATGTCAATCCCTAACTTAGTTGCCTGCCCATTATTAAGGAAGAAGTAAATATAGGCCAGCACTCATTACCTTCACAATAAGTTTGATGGAGAAAGGACGCCATTGACCTCGGAGCTACATTAATCACTAACTAAATAGCATTAGTCTCTGGGGCATGCCTAGACTTAGACTATAACATGACAGAAAGGCAGCTTCATATCTGAAGATATATATATATATATTTTTGTATTTCTGTCTTAATTAAAAGTCTTTTGCCGGTACAAATCTTCAATTGCTAACTATGTAGAAGCTTTCTTTTAAATATAGTAGATTTGTATATAAAACATTGGTTACTAGATAGAAATGGGCAATTAGTAGTAGGTTAACTACGTCGAGTATATCCTAGCAAGTCAAAAAAATAACATTTCATATGCGGTAGCGTTTGTATACCGAGCATAATTTACCCGAAATCGGTAGGGTTTATTATGTTCAACTCATCTTTCCTCCGCACGGCTTGTATGGGAGCCCGTATTCTCATTTGACGTATGGTTATTTTGGGACATTAGGCCCGGATTGGGGATTAAACACTTTCTCTACAAGTGTTATACAGAGTTGGCCTTTATTATTGCTTCTCGAGCGCCCTCCCAAGCCTTCCGTCTTCTCGTCGTAAACAGCCGATAGATATGAGGGGAGTAAATGCCCCCCATCAACAAGTTGCAAAGCTTATAATTTCGCAGCCAAAACCACCAGCCACTCAACCCATAGCCGAGTTTATCTGGGACTCCAGTACACGCTGCTTCATTTGCCCATTGCATCCACTCATAACTCTTCACTCTGCTAGGATGCACGGTGCCTCGTGAAGCAAGATATTGGATCCAGCGAAAATGCTCATCAGCTTGCCTGTTCATTTCCTCCTTTGATGGAAGCCTTGCGTTGCCCTTCCAGATTTGCGCAATAGCCATGGAAGCAAGATCGTACACAAAAAATGCCGGAGATAAAAACGCAGTAGTGCCCATGAAAGCCAGCGAATCGGGATAATCAAGGGAGATGACGTTCTGATATAGCCATGGAAAAGGTCTCCTGTTGGAACCAGCGGATGAAAGCCACTTCTGATTAACATGGCGTGACGGGTCATACTCGCCAACAATCGAAGTGTCGAAGTCATATCCAGTACAATAGATGATGCAATCAATGTCGGGGAGTTGGGTGCCATCATCAAGCTCGACGTTGTGGTCACCCCTGATTTGCTTTAGGCCACTGACAGAAATGATTGTGCCCGCACGCAGTTCACCAACTAAATCTTCGGAGACAATAGGTATAGATTGTGCTGCTGGGGCTACTGAAGTAAATCTCCAGTTTGGCTGGAGTTCAAAGGATGAATTCTGCATCTTGACAAATGCATGTTCGAATATAATTTCGCCTATACGGGGAAAGTATTTCATGAAAAATTCCATCATAGCCGTAATTCGGTATGAAACGCTGTGGTCTGCTGGCTTGCCGTTCAATTTGCGTGGCATCTAAAGAATAAAAGCTTAGATACTCCCTCGTAAATTGCTTTTAGAAGAAATTGATCATGTACCACGAAATTCCCATGCCTATGTGAGAGATAGATTGCCTTTGCATGCCCAACTAGTGTGGTTGCAGTATCTGCAGCCGAATTCGAAAAGCCGAGAACCAGCACTCGTTTTCCATCAAAGTCCGTGGGTCTGTAGTGGAAAGTGTGCATGTGTTAGCAGGGATGGTCATACAAGCCGTTTATAGAGGGTTGAAGAAAGGCGATATACCGCTTATATTCCTGGCTATGAAGTACCCTGCCTTTGAATAGCTCGATATCTTTGACTTTGGGGTAATTAGCAACTGCATTGGGTCCTGTCGCTACAATGACCTTGTCATAGTATAACAATTTCGGCTCTTTAGGCTCATCACCAGGACCCGAAAGCTCCAGGCACCATTTCTGCATTTCTTCTACCCTCTTAATTCCGTGCACAGTGGTATTGAGTTTCATCTTGTCATGTAAATTGAAATGGGAAGCGTATTCGACAAGGTAAGCTGCAACCTCTTTCGCGTTGGGCAACGATTCAACATCTTAAGACTCAAGGGATATCAATTAGACCCTTGAAGTATGCACAGTACCTAAAAGGCTAACGGCTGTGGATAACGGAATATGCTGGATGTAGCTTTACATACCGTCTCGGAACGGGAAGTCAGTAAAGCATCCCTAGGAAAGGTATCACTTGTTAATGGAAAAAAAAACCATGTTAGCCCTGACTATATGTATGTATGTACGTACCCGTTGTTTGGATATGTTTACTATCGTACCTAATTTGGAACAAAATGGTCAACAATGACGGCAGTAGTAATTTTATTCCTTGAAGAATGCCGGGGCTTATATATATGAATAACCTAGGATCGATGACGTACTCTTTAAGACTGAAGTATCCGATCCATCGTTATATCGCCAAATACCGCCGATATATGGTTTCTTCTCATAGGCGATTGCATCGTAGCCTTCCTCGAGAAGGTTCTTCAAAGCCACCAGACCGAGGGCACCTTTAAGGAGGAGGAGGTCAGCTCAGAAATACCGAACATGGCAGGCTGCCACAAACCTAGCCCAATGACAGCGACGGTGGGAGCAGGGTTAGACATGGCGAGGGCGCATTTTCAGCAAAAAACCCGTTCTAACGGTGAATGGAAATGCTTGGTTATATATCCATATTATAACCTTCTCTGACGGTCCATCACTAATTAGGGGTCGGGGCATATTGATTTTGGCGCCAGCAGAGCTGCAGAAACGTCGGGGTTCAGACGGAATTCTCATTTTGATAGCCGAAGAGTGGCGTGAAGGCCTCGTAAAGGAGTGGAGTCTGCCGTCTCTTTCGCGGGTGCTTTCTCAATGCGGCCCGGCTAATAAGTTTTCAGTTGTTAAAGGTTTACCTCAGGAAGGTACCTGGTTAGTTAGTTAGGGAAGTTAAGTAATCTTATCTGATTGATCAGGCCAAGCTATCCGGCCCGAAACCCCACAAGCGACCCCTCATCAAAGAAGGCTCCCAGGCCAAGTCTAGGCACCGATAATAGAGAGTTGTCATAGCCGAGAACCCACTTCAAACCCTCGATTCAACTTCGTGGCACTGTTCCTTCTAGCGAGAAGGATACGAGGATTCATTCCCAAGGTACGGAGCATTCTTGGATGTTGCACAGGAGCCAGATGTCGCAGTGTCAATCATTTAATATTCAACCAAAGGGGTGGTCACCCTTAGGAATCGGGCCAGGAATGGAGTACTATTCGCATAGTGCTCATCGAGTGACACATTATAATATGGACTTGTCAAACTCCACACGCAACCATCACGTGAACTAAAGCTTCTTCTATAGGTGATGGTCATTATATCTATCATTAGTCTACCACCGAAGCAATAATTGGAGTGCCAGGTGCCAGCAACATCTGAGAATGTGCCCTTCAACGCGGAAAAAAGAGGACCTCACCTAGCACTCAGGTGCAAACTGTTGATGCCATTTCTCAATCTGCTCTTCTCTGACTTAAAAAGGCAAAGAGGTTGTGTATGTACACAGTGCAAACATCAACAACTAGAGCAATGGAAAATAACGCCGACTGTATGGTTTGCACACTATAATGTCCCGGAGGAACATGGGCGGGACATTCTCTTTTCCAGGGTGGAGATGCATTCAGCTCGGAGCGGAGATATATGCGCTCGCCTGGAGCACACAAAGGCCCGGGTTTCCCACCACTTATTTATTCCGCCGTATTTCTCATTGAATCAATATTGGTCATGATATCAGAGGTTCGACGGACGCCGAGAAGACGTCGGTATGTCTCTTCCTCCTCCTCTTTTAATCCGTAGCCCGACGGATCTCGCTTCATCAAGAAGCTCTGAACTCTCGCATCCTGCGAATTCATCTTGTTGATCGTGTTATGTTTCCGGCCCTCAAGAAATTTCCCACACCGATCATTTACATCTCGTACTCGCTCTTGGACATATGTCGAATATTTTCCTACAGTGATCGCCTGGCCAACACCACCGAATAAGGCTAGAAGTAGCAAAAACGAAGCAAACGTGCTATGGGATACCGTTTGTGCTTGTTTGGGTTGTCCGTCACGCCTCTCGTAAAATTCTTCCCAGTCCTCCCAGGTTGCATTTTTGAATATATCGTCCCCGCGTTTTTTGGGTTTGTATCTATACCGAACTGTTGATTGAGAGCTGTCATTTTTGGCGTTAACGCCGAATAATTCATGTCGATGGTGCCATCCATCGCCATATTTGTCGTAGGCTTCACGCTTGCGGGGGTCGGAAAGCAATTCATGCGCTGCTACCAAGATCCGATACCTGTTCATACGAACAGAATCTGGGATGTCTTTGCATAGTGGGTGGCCGTCGCATGATCGGTCAGGGTGATATATCTTCACCAGTTCATAGAAACGACGCTTCGAGTATGGAGAGTTTCGGTCTAGTTTGAGCAGTTCATATGGCGAGAAGGTGGAAGATGTAGGCCACGAGAAGTCCCCATCACCCTGAATAGGGTCTCCTGAGTTGACATGGGCGAATCTCTGAGGGTTTTGGAATGTAAGCGAGCGTCTTCGGGGGTGTGGCGAGATAGATGACGGCGAATTGAGGAGCGGGACGCCGCCACGAGAGCAGAGGAGAGACGACTTCTTGAACATTACGATATGCTCAAGACTGACGGGAATTGAATCATCGCTGGGAATGCTCTGGATAATAGCCAGAGGCCCTGCTGCGCCCACCCGCGTAAAGTGCTCAAACCAGAGCAGATGCCCGGCGTGATCCCCGTCCCGATGCAGTATCGCCGATGACATAACCGCCTAACGTTTTCTACTCCTGCGCAAATACGAGTCGGAAAAGCGCGGGCCGGCTGTTGTTCCGAGCGCTTAACCACCAGCGTCAAACAAGATGAGAAATGTGCTGCGCTGATAGGAACTGCGAGCTGGCAGTTCTCGACCATGCCCAGACACGATGAGGAGCATGGCAGTCGCCGGCGACGATCGCTGTCGCGATTGTCGGCAAGTGACTCAGGCGCCCGCATGACCAAGGACCAGCACAGCGGCAGAAAGCACAGGGACGACCACCAACCGGCTCGGGAGAGGCATCGAAGAGACCGATCAGCGTCGGTATCGGAGCCTGACCGGCACTCTAGGCACCGGAAATACCATAGGATCCACGGGCGCAGAAGCCGCTCTAGAAGCCCCCGCGAACAGTTGTCTCGACGACACCGCCATTCCAGAGAGCGCCGTCGCGATGATCGAGACTCACGCGAATCACCTCAACCTCGACGGCAGCGTCATGCTGATTCGCCCTCCCGAGGCTCACCTGGCGCAGAGCGACGATCCAAGAAACCCCTCTTGTCTCAGAAAGACGCCTTCTCCAAAACGTCCAGCGAGATTTCTCATGCCTCCACTCCAGCCTCAGACAAGGAGAGGCCAAATTTTGCAACCACAGGGCGCTTGGCTGCTGAGACGAACACTGTCCAAACAGGTGATGGTGCCATCGTTCTCAAGTACCATGAACCCCCAGAAGCTAGAAAGCCGGCGGCGAAAGATGCATGGAGGTTGTACATTTTCAAAGGGGATGAGTTGCTAGAAACGGTGGAGCTGGGTGGACGTAGCTGCTGGTTGATTGGCAGAGAGAGGTTTATCGCAGATTTGCCCATCGATCACCCCAGCTGCTCCAAACAGCATGCTGCTCTTCAGTTCCGATACGTGGAAAAGCGGAACGAATATGGGGACAAGGATGGACGAGTCAGGCCATACTTGGTCGATCTAGAAAGTGCCAATGGATCAACCGTCAATGGCGATCCTCTACCTCCGGGTAGATATATGGAACTCATAGATAAAGATGTCTTAAAATTTGGATTGAGTACGAGGGAATATGTCCTCATGCTGCCGCCAGCAGACTGAGTGGATGCCATAATCAAACAACGGTCAATTTAGCTGGTATAAGTGCATATACGTTGTGACCCATGGCTGGATCAACGAATAACTATAATACATTGTGATTGCAACCTGAGAACAGCTCAAGCAGGACCAAATACAACTCAAACCATACCCTCCAACATACTGAAACAAGTCTCTCTCAGCTGGTCTCTCTACCCGTTTGATCACGCCTTCCCGGTCAACTCCTCTGCCTCTTCTTTGGCTTTCTCTTCCAGATCAACAGCCTTCTCTTTGGCCTTCTCTTGCGCCTGATGAGCAGTTTCTTTACCTTGCTCAGCGGCTCTCATCCCCTCTCGTTTAGCTTCCTTCGCATGATGGCCCAAGGTCTCTCCGATCTTTTGTGCAGCTTCCTCTGTTTCCGCCACGTCAGCTCTCCTCAACTGGTCGTTGCGCTCTTTTTGACTTACCTCCTTTTTCAATGCCTTTAACAGCAGCATCGGAGACAACCCTATCCGCTTTCTTGAGAGTGTCTTTTGTAACTTGGATTGGCCCTTTATCGAAGTGTCGGTTAGTGGTTGAAAAGAGAGCCGGCCGCGATGCTGCAATCACAGCCGATCTGGCTGGAGTAAAGGATACTCTCGTAGTGCAAGAGACGCGGGCGACGAAAGACATGATGAATTGGATTATTCTACCCAAGTTTGTCAGATAAGAATGTTGTGTTGTGGAAGCTGAAGCATGACGTGGGCCACTTACTAGACAATGCTATGGCGTCTACTTGATAGGAGGATGGGATACGAGGAAGAATTGAGGAAAATTTGAGGTGCTAGTACTGGTCTATAGGGTGTCGGTAGTATTGTGGAGATGGAAAATACATTAGAAGTACAGATGATTTCGCCTTTATATCCAGTTTTCGCCATTTAGGTTCGCATTGTATGTATTTGGGCCGACGACGTCATCGCTCCAAATCTTGATGCGCTGACTAAGATGACATCGAAGAAACTTCCAAGAAAAGGTATCACAAAAAATATTAGCATCGAATTAACGCCGGTATCCTACTCACTATTAGGTCTATCTAAGTATGTATATCGGTGAAGAAAAGAAAACAGTATACCCAACTCGAATCATCCCATAGCAACATGCCTTCATGAAAATAATGCACAGTACGGAGTACAGATGTATGTATATAACTAAACCACGAACATCGTCATGACCCATGCTCCTTCCCCACAAAAATAGCCAGGAAAAAACAGTGTTATATTAGTACTCAATTATGACATAATTGCTGTAAGCTACCCTGACAGCAGAAGAGTCCCCACATAATCGTGCTAGTATTCGCACAAAGCAATTCAAGCCGAAGATATAAGTGGGCTTCTGGTGCAAAAGTACCTAAAGTTAATAATAAACAGCAAACTCTATCTTCACTGAAACTGAAGACCAAACCCTCGCAGGTCCTGTCGAGAAACAGGAGAACTTCCACTCCGCCGTCTCTGCCGCGATGAAACCGGCCTGCTGGGCACTTGGCTTGGGTTTTGCGAGAGCAGCATCTGAAGCTGCGACGGATCACTGGCAGTAGGGATCAGGTTCTGAGCCGGATACGGCGCTGGTGCTCTCGCTCGCCTCCGGGCTGCATCCACATTGACAGGGTGGGTTTCTCCAAACTGAATATGGTGTGTATCTGAAACTGGTCGGAATTCAACAAGACTTCTGCTCGTCCCGTCCGTTGAATTCACCATCATTCCAGGCCCAGATGGAATGCGCGACATGGTAGGAGCGTCATAAGATGACGGTGACGTTCCGCTTGACTCAATAACTGATTCTCTGGACCCGAAAACGACATGTTGCGCACGTCGAGTATCGAGTTGCGGCATTTGGGACGCATTTTCGAATGCCAGTGGGGAGGAATAAGCCCCGGAAAACGCGGGTGGGAATCTAGCAGGCTCCGTTCTCAAGGATTGGTTCGATCGGCCAGAGTGGTCTCGAGACAAAGGCTGTGAAGAGTAGCCAGTGGGCATATGCGCTGTGGAGAAGCTGGCACGGTGCTGTGGGAACCCCGATACCGCCAAAGATGGTGGCGGCATGCTAGAAAGATTCGGAACCGAGTTACGTTCTGAACGGCGCGTAACACTTACATTAGACTGGAATGGGAGAGGTAGTGGATTAGGTCCAAAACCCGGTTGAGAACCGTACGAATCTCGATTTGTATAAGTATATTGGGTGAAATCTTCTGACCTGGCTGAAGTCTGGGAATCTGTGGCAGAGTTTGAGGGCTGATGATGCACCACTCTAGGCACGCCAGGGTCGCTATGCGTAGATTGCGATAGCGCATCGTATCGATCTCTCGTCGGTCTGGGTGCAAGGGAATTGTCTCGGTGGATACCAAACCCATCTTGAAATGGATTAGGCCGTGGAATGAAAGGCGGGGGCGGCTGGTTTAGGGAAGAAGTTGAGCGTCCAGCAAGAGGCATTGGCTGGTTAGCAACAACGTCAGCGTAGCTTGGACGGTTCTCCTTCTGGCTACCAGATCGACCGATTGGTTTTCTTCCTCCGGGAATGGGTGGGCTCGATCGCTGAACCGCCGCCAAAGCTGATTCTGCATACGATCTTCCGTCTACAGAATGTATTGAGGGAGTGTGGATTGGCGAATCTTTTGCCTCAACATTAACCTGTGTCACGGAAACTGTTGGTTTAGGCCTGAAATTCCCAAGGTTTTTTCTGTTCCTGGTTTTTCTCCACTGGTTGAGTACTGAGAAAAAGCCACGTCTAGGCTTTTTCTCTACTACTTGCCATCCAGTTTCGTCGCCGTCGTTTAATGTGACTTGAGGTGTTGCTGTTGCCTGCGATGGGGCACGAGACATTTCAGTAACTTGGCTTCCCTCCTCAAAGCTTTTTGCACAATCGACATCCTCTGTTATGATCGGTATATGGAAACTTGGATTGTTAACTGACGGAGCAAGTTGTTGAGGGAAATATATATCAACTGGCGATTCCGACTTGGTGTGATCCAAGCCTACTCCCCAAGACAGCGACGATATTTGACTGTTAGGTGTGTCTGGAACGGAGGACATGCTGCTGGTTCTGTCGAAAATCGATTTGTTATTACGGAAAGATTCCTGTGAGGAGCCCGGGGAGCGGTCTGCAATTTCACTTTCCATATCAGCAGTCAATTTACTTAAGGTATCATGCAAATTTTGCAGGCTGATTGCTACTTTGGTAAGTTTCGTAGGAAAGTGGCTCATCAGCCGCCTGGCATGAGTTAAGTACTCCCGATAATCTCTTGCTAGCCCGGAGCCCCTTGTTGCTCTCATATGGGCTTTGGCGTTATCGTAGGATAGACAAAATAGAGCAGTTGCAAGCGCGAGCCACCAATAGTAGTGGTTTTCGCCTTGATCCTTCAACTCATCACGACAGAATCCTTGGACAACAGTATGGATCTTGATGGTATCTATCGTGCTTCGAGCTGCGGCGGAAAAATCGTTGTCGCTCACATGAGAGTCATCTGCATCGGATGACATTCGTGAGCCCCCCATAGTACCCGAGTCACCCATGTCACTCAAATAGTAAAGGTATAATGTTCTCTCTATCAGCCCATATTTGATCAGAACAGTGATGGTATTATCCAGGTGGCGCTGGTTGCTTCCTCCACGGTCACTGGTTCTTATCTCAACACTATAGTCAAGCAGGGCCTTCCTCCCTAGGACCAGCATGCCGACTGGGACATGGTGTCCAAAAAAGGAAAGAATTTTTATCAGGTTAAGTGCTTCATAGTGTTCATAATTGAAAAGGTCTCTCATAATATCACGGTAAGGCTCGGCAAGCCTTTCATCAGTGAGATGTGAATCAAAATGGTATTTTTCCAAAGCCCTCCCAGACGCCCTCAGGCGGTGGCCAATGGCGTGAATTGCCAGAGGCAGACATTGGTAGTATTTCACCAATTCAGTTGCCTTTTTCTCTTGTTCGGGTGTTGGATTCTTAATACCTAAATCTTTAAAGAGCATTTTGCAAGCCGCTGGCAAAGCAAGCCGTTTGACTTCTAAACCATATGGTTCTAGTAGCCTTTGCTTTTTGCTTAGGGTTCGATCAATTGAAGTGTAAATTATGGCTGTGTTTTTCGTGAACGGGAGGACATTTTTGAATTCGTTAATCTCACTGCTGTGTTCGAAGGATATGTCATCAAAAACAAGCAGCCAATTCTCTCTTGACTCAAGCCATTTTCGTACGGTCTCGACGTAAACTCCAGTGCTCCTCCAGTTAGGATCTTGACTGTCCTTTTGTGCAATCTGTTCATCCGCCATTTGTGCGATTTGCCAAATACCGTTATAGCGTGACTCTCTGGTCCGACAATCGATCCAGAAGACTCCTCCAGGGTATAACGACTGATACGTGTACATGTATTGGCGTGCAAGGTGTGATTTCCCGGCGCCAGGGCCGCCATATAATAGGACGGCAACAGTTCCAGCGGTTCTCTTTTTGGCCATGTATAGACGGGTATGCAGCTCTTCAAGTTCCTTCTCCATGCCAAAAAACGTAGAATTTGGGTGAAAACCGGGAGGCACAACTCTGATGAAGCGATCCTTTTCTGGATCTTGTGAACGAGGAATGTCCCCACTTTCAGATGGTGGACTCGGTAAAAGAGCAGTTACAGAATTGGCTATTCCAAAAGTTAGCAATGGCGGGGAAAGCTGTAGATAGCATTAAGAGGAAGAGCAGCATACAAAGAGACTCAAGTTTTTCCAACCGTAGAGAAACTAAACTTCCCACAGGCGCGTCGGTCAGTCCTATATAAGTCGTAGAATTTAGCAATAGTATCATGGAGTCAATGGGGACACTGATTTACATACCATAGAGTCGCTTCGCCTCCTCCTGCCGTTCGAACAATCGTTCTTTATGCTCCTGTATCCATCTTCCGGGGATAACCTTTGGGGCGTCAGTCGAATAACGAAGGACTGCCTCGGCGACCGCTTCATAGCCCGGTGAGTTATTGTCTTCAAATCGACACATGCCTCCATGATCAGCTTCAATCCCCATGCGTTCTACTCCATCGATCAATGGGGCAGCAGACGACTCATCGACGATAAAGGCGCGAGTACTCTTGAGATCCATCGGTTTTGACTCGTGGAAGAAGTAAATACGAAATTTGCTCATTATTTGCGCAAAGTCACGGTTGATAATCTGCAGATGTTCGTTGTCCGTCTTCAGGCTATTGATGAGCTGGGGGCTTGTGTCGAATATTTTCTTCGGCATAACAGCACTGCAAATCGACTGAAGTAGGCTGCCAAACTTGGCGATATCCGATCCATTGTGAGGCGTTCCTAAAAATAGGATAGCATATGCCGAAATGTAAATCGAGCGCAAGTGCTGTATATGCTCGTGCTGGACTCTTGAGCATACGGAAAGACATTTCTTGACGATTAAACCGCCGAGAGAATGGCATATGAAGATGATCGGCCGCTCGACAGCTCCGTTCAACTAGACAACCATGTCAGCCTGTGTCACTCATTTTTGTTTTTCCTCGAATACGCCCTTCTACTCACATTTCTATTGGCAAAGAGATGGGCGGCAAGGTGCTCGGCGTGATTGTGTATTTTGTCTTTTGACGTCCCATCCAGAAACGCAGTGACGTTCGCATTGTAACCATACGTTAGAATGCGCAGTTGCTGAGCGGGAAGGGTCTTGGGAAGAAGGTCTGCCGGCCAAAAGATATCCGATTTCTTCGTCGTCCACGTTTCATAGGCGGAGCCGTTCAGGCCGTGGACAAAAACCACACTACAGAGAGGTAAGTACATGCTCTTTCAGACCAAACTCCAGAGGTGAGCCAGCAGATGGGACATACTCGACCAAGGGATTGTTGGCAGTATACACCTCCGACAAGCCAAACTCCTTGACGTGCGGTCTTCCAACAACAGTCGAACTCATGGCTCAGCAGGTCTGGTGTTTTCTTGGGACAGGGTTGACAGGAGTGTGGCCAGGCGGGCAATATATAGGTACGGCCCATCGAAGCACGGCGGGCAGGCTGGCGAGGCAGGACGGGGGTTCGCGCACGAAATGGGGCCGGGCAGCTGGCTTTGCAAAGGGCAGACAGCGTCGTGTGAACAGCAGAGCAGCAGAGCAGCAGCAGAGGAGCTGGACGACGATGAGTCGAGGCGGGCGAGGTCAGGTGCGGGCAAGCGCAGAAGTCACGCTCCGGGCTCTCCAGCCTCGACGACCACGGCGGCAACAGCGCAGCAGCAGCAACGCGCCTTTTCAACTCTCTGGCATCGTATTCCCGCTCGTTAGCGGGCCTGGCCGCGAGGGGGATGTGCGCAACGGGCGGATCGTCAGGCCGGCAGGGCCTGCACCATAGCCGCACAGCCTTGTCCGGCCTGCCCAACGGGGCTTCGTTCGTGAAGCTGCTATGTTTAACTAACTGACCAGGTAGTGGGTTACTGGCCTGGTCGCCGGCGCCACAGCCCAAGGACCCTCTTCCTTGTCGGTGCTGGGTCGTCGGCCCGTCAAGCTTCAGTCCACTGTTGTTGGCCGCCGTTCCATGACTCAACACGACTCACGGTGCGGATTGGCGTCGATCGCCCGTGCAGGCTGCTGCCGGCCTCTCGCTGGGCGCGCAGTAACTAGTGCGCTCGAGAGACGGCAGGCCTGCATGCGGCCCGCGTTTTGTTGACCGTCTCGTCGCAGACCTCCCCTGCTGGGTTTCACACATTGCTCTGGACTTCTTTGCAGAATTCAGCGCATGAGGTCTGATCTGGCCTGGGTGGCACCGTCCGATTGTGTTGCGCTCCCTGGCGTGAGATCCTGTTCACTGGAGACACAGGTGATCAAGCGCTGAGCAAACAGCTGCCGTTGATGATTCTGATTTCTGAATGACGAGATCCATGTGAGCTTCAGAGACGTCCAACGCCCGGAGCAAACTTCGATCATAAGCTTTTAACGCGCCGAATACTGCCTATACAGGCTCCACGGTTACATCCGCCCTGGTTCCCAGCCCTTTGAGAACTACATTGGCATCTGCACTTGGATTGTTTTGTACATATCTTCATCTCACAATACCATGGCCTGTTTGTTTGATTCTGCTATCTCCTCTAACTAGGTCTTACGGAGTACAACTACTTTGGAGCCGGCCACCAATGCCCTCATAGTTACATCATACCTTCATAACTGCCGTAGCCTCCCAAAGGTGCCGCCACGAGCGACAATGTATGTGCCTAAAACATGCTCCGATGACGACGCTTATGCTAAGGCTTAGTTGCCTCTGCTGTACTCCGTACGGAGTAGGCAGCTCTTTAAGCGCTCTATTACGAAGCACACACCTGCAGCCTTACAGGGCCCCAACCACCCGAGAGCCCTCGCAGCGCCGTAATGCGCCCGCTCTCCTTCGTCCGCCTATCACCTGCCCTTGAAGCACGGCTTTCTCTTCTCTGCGAATGCCTTCAGCGCCTCATGTCGGTCTTCCGTATCGACGACTCCGAGGTACGCCTCATTCTCTCCCTCCTGGCCCCTCTCATAGCCCGTAACCGCCTTGACAGCCTGTTTCAGGGCAATAGGGCCACCCTCGCAGATATCTAACGCAAGCTTGATGCTCTCCTGTAGAACCTTCTCGCGAGCCATGCCCGCCTGCGCCTGCTCCTCAGGGCTGATCTCCACCAATCGGTTACAGAGCCCGAGGAAATAAGCTTCCGCCGCGTGCACTCGCCTGCCGGTGAGGATCATATCGAGAGCCCTGTTCTTGCCAATGAGGCGAGGGAGGCGGTGGGTGCCGCCTGCGCCGGGGATAATAGCAAGCCGTGTCTCCGGGAGGCCCACGATGCTGGTCGAGCCGAAGACACGGAGGTGTGTAGATAATGCAAGCTCGAGGCCACCACCCAGTGCCATGGAGGAGATAGCTGAGATGGTGGGTACCTGCAGGGCCTCGAGGTTGATAAACGTCTGCCGGAGCTGGGCCAGGAAGGCATCGGTCCTGTTAAAGCCGGGCCATTTAGCATAGATAGGAACATTATTAGCATAGCCCGCAAGAGAGCGATTACTCACTCCTCCCTCGTGAACTTCGCCCGTTCTTTCAGGTCCGCGCCCGCACAGAACGAGGCATCGACGTTACTTGCAACCACCAGCGCTCGCGTCGGCCCAACCCCCCGCTCGGCGCTGATCGAGTCGATATGTGCTCCCAGCGCATTCAACAGCTGTTTCGAAATCGCATTGCGGGCCTCCGGCCGGTTCAGCAGGAGCACTCTGATGTGGCCGGCGCCCGGCGCGGGGATCTGCTGGACATTGATCACTGCGCTGTGTGCAGCGGTGGCGTTGCTGCGGATCTGGCCGGAGGCGAATCTCTTGAGGGGAGAAGAGAATACGAGTATTTTGGGAGGCATTGTGAGTGTGTGAGAGGGCCTGTTACAGGGTTGGAGAATAGAGGCCTAGAAAGCCGGCCTGGCAAATTGAGTGTTTTGTAGCTCTCCGTCCATCCTCGGCGCGGGCATCCGAGTCGGCCTCAGGCACCGCGATCTGAGTTTCCTGCGGCTAAAAGCGGGACAAGTGCAACCACGCCGAAAGCTCGCACGACCTACTTGAAGTATTATTGTTATTATTATTTTTTATAATTTGATATATAGGTATTGTACAAGATGTAAGATAGTTGTTCTATACTATTAGAAGCCCTCATGATCCGCGACATACTGACGCACTTCTGTGTCCGTGGCCCATGGCGAGAAAAGCTCGGAGTTTTCGATGATATCACGCGCCTCCTGAAGGTAAGATTGGGGTGGCGCAGATGCTTCGCTCACAGCCCCAGCCGACTGCGCTTGAACGTCCTCGTTTAAATGCTGGTCTATTGGGGGCCTCTCATAGTCTGAGTCGAATATGTGTTTCTCGATGTATACTCGGACCGCAATAACAACCAGTCGCATTGCTCTGTCTCCGCCAAGAAGCTCTTTCGCAACTCGCCTAAGCTCCGCTGAGTTTTGAGACATCCATTTAAGCAGAGATAGCACGCTTTCGAAATCCGCCGCTAGGCCAAGGACGCGAACAAAAGCGTGAATGGTAGACGGATTTGGTACCATGAACATTTTCGGCAGTGCTGGATGGTTTGATGGGTACAACGCCGTTGAGCTTTTAGCAACCGAAGGAAAAAGTGGCCCGTCGCTTGGGAGCACTATGTCATCAAATGTGCGTTTGAGGAAGCCAATACTATCACTAACCATTTCTGAGCTAGATGATAGGTTCATTGCTGGGGCAGTGCCAGGTAAGCCAGCTCGCTTAAGAAGCTCGATGCCTGACTCCACGCCGTGTATATCCTTCCGAATGGCGAGCAGCAGTCTCGAAAAGGCATCACACACAGTATGAAAGCAGCTCGTATCAAGGCTTAGACCTTTGGTCTCCATCCAAGAAAGAGCCTCACAAGTTTCATTCCAAGTCATCACTCGTTGTTCCGAGGAAGAAAAGTATGGATTAGTAGCTGGAAGTCTTGTCCTAGCTAGCCTTGTCAATAGGTGATTCCAAGATGGCAAGTAGTCAGGCATACGCAGTCGTAGTAAGAAGACTGCGTGAGCTAGACTTTTATCGGCCGCTATTCTCTCACCAGAGCCCTCATACCCATCATGCGGTGGCTTGATTATGGGAAAGAATTGACTCAGAGAAAACTGTGCAGGCTTTGGAACCTTTCCTCTGTAGCAGGAAAATCTACAAAGAAAACGAATAAAGGCAGCAAAGATGTCGTCGGAGATACTGTCAAGATGTCGCTTGCGATTCGAATCTTGGGTCCACGAATCCGATGTCAAGGCTTGGGCTTGCTCCGTCGACAGCTCACTGCGAGTAATTAAATCTAACCCTGATATAAATGAGGTCGAATGGGTAAGCAGCAACACTAGTAATTTTCTCGACAAGGTCACGTTTTCGGAGAACAACTGTTGAATAAGCATCTCCAAAGTCGGGGGATCCGAATGCACGTAGATTACGTCTCGAGGGGATGTCGGTTCAGGATATACCTCTTTTCCATCTCCTGGGAGTGCTTCCAGCTGGGTGGCCTGTGAAGAATTTTGGAGATATTCGTAAAATATCACTTTTTCTGCAAGTTCAAGATATATGCCTTTGGTAATTGGAAAACCCTGATCTTTACATGACAGAAAGCAGGCCCATGCTTCCTTCATAGTTCTCGTTGCACGGATACGCGCTGCCCAAATGTCACTATATGAATCCTCGTCCGTCAATCCAGAAACCGTGGACTTATCCCCATCTTCTGCTGAATTTGCTTTAAGCCACGCCGTATGCTGAGATCGCATATGATAAGGGCTAGATCCGGGAAGGAAGGATCTGGTCTGGATTGTGGGGGTACCATCAAGGTCCCAGCCAGCTAAAATGGTTGCTATCCGATCCCAGCGGGTAGCAGAGTATCCGGCTTCTTTCATTCGCGTTATTGCTCCTATTGTCTTGCTTCTACTTCCTTCTAAACCTTTATCAACATCGATTCCTAGCTTATCTTCTTTCCATGGAGGCCATGATTTTGCTTTGAATTTGGCCCATTGTTTGTCTGGATTTAATTTTCGACGAGCATTTTGGATTCTAGTGACAGCATGATATCCTTCTCGAGTGACCGCGAGTGGTGGCTCAAATTTCGTCATTTCTCGCAGCAGGTGAAAAATCGCACGCTGCTGAATAACAGTCGATATATAGGGCACTACTCGGCACGGAAGGGCCAGAAGAGACAAAATTTTGTTGTAGTAGGTAATCAAACGCCCAACTTGTTTATCTTTTAAGGTACTGGCCACAGCGTCATACCCGAACACGGCGGTAAACATTTGGGCAATGGAGAACAACGCCTCCGGTGAAACTATACGAGCCGCACGAATCAAACGAACGAAAAGGATCATTACGGATGTATCATCCCCGGACCTGAACCATGCAGGCTGATCACACAGTGACACTGATTGTTTAGGTGTTTTAGTCTGGGGCAACGTTTTGAGTTGCGGATGCAGCATAATATCCCATGATTGGACCAATAGTAGCTTTAGAGCCTTTGAACCAATAGCTTTCCGGCGAAGGATGAATAATAAAACAAACAAGGGAGCACGCTTGCCGCCTAGCTTCCCCACGTTGGAGCTATTAACAGCAGTCAGCCGCATTGCGGCAGTATATGAATCCGGGGCCAGTAGTATCCATGCCCACACCATCACATCATCAGCAGAGTAGCCTCTCTGTGATAAATAATCCAGTGACAGATCGTCGAACACAGCGAAAAGAGACGCATCCAGAGGCCGTATATTTAAAGTGCCATCATCGAGAGCGAAAGCTTCCGCGGACAAGACAGGCTCAACATAACGAATATAATCAGCAACTATGGTGGCATAAGATAATCGAGCAGGATGTTTTGGATGCGATTTTTTTTGACGAGTTTGCAAACCAGGTGTTGGTAAAGTATCGACTAATTTGTTGGGATTGAACCAAGACAAATCAACGGAGTAGAATTTGGGCTTGGAGAGCTCTATTTCGAAATTCCTGTCTCGTATAGAAGCGATCAATGCATCTGATGGGGTCTCCCTTCGGCAAAAACCTGCAATTTTTTCTTCATCGCGTTGTCTCGTAATTTCAAGGTCACGAATATTCCGGGTGTTTGGTTTGAAGCTTCCAGAGCCATTGCGCTGGCGGCGAAGGGGATAAAGGGAGTCGGATGAATGCCGACATTTCGGTATCTGAGACCTCTAGAAGCTGGTAAGACAGAGAAGATAGGAGGACGACAAGGGAAGGGAGTGCCACCTGTGGTCTCCAGCAACAGAAGTTGTAGGGGAGAGTTGAATAGGAAATAAAGGGCGTTACCCAGCGGCACCGGGCAAGTCTATGAAACGAGGACATCCATCGAACTTCAACCAAGGCCCGGCAGCAGCTGGAGGCCGTCTCATCCGTCGCACCGCAAGCTGTTTGCAATTCAGTCGTTTTCGGTCTCCAGAACTTCATCGGCTTAGTCATACATCACGTGAATATTTGATTATGTAATTCGACTAGTTTTCCCGCGTGGCTGCTCTGTTGCTCCCGTTCATCCTCTACTGGGTCTCTGTGTGCCCTTTAAATGTGCTTTGTTCCTCCGGACATTTTGTGTGATCCGGTTGCGTCTCTTACTGGTTGTCTCCTACCTGGCGCGCTGTAAGGTTTGTTGAAGATCCCTGGGCTGCTCCCTTGTAACTCCAGTCTAACTCTGCGATCAGGAACTAATCGCAGACGCGCAGAAAATAACTAGCTAGACACACCACTTCCATCTCACCCTATCAAACCGGCCGTCGCCAGGAGCCTGGGAGTGCATAACTACAACTAAGCTTGATGCTCCAGACCCTAGCGTACGCTTTGAAGGGTTCTTTCTCCCAGCCTAGCGCAACGGCCCATAAAGGCGCCAATTGAGGGCGTCTGTTGCGACAAGCTTTCACGCCGCTTTCTCAAAGGGACGCTTGGTGGGTTGCGCTCTCAGTATGGATGGTAAAGGTTCGACCACGATGCCGACTGTAAATGGTGACGTACCCCATATGACGGATGGTGCTTCTCCAAACGGCCCCCCGAAGCGGAAGCATGAGCCAGCAGTCGAGCAAACGGTTAAGCCCGATACTCCCACCCGCGACTCTAAATCACTGAACAGTGAAACGGTAGAAGATCTACTTACCTCGTCGCTCAAAGATGTCCTTGAAGTTGTCAGAAAGTACGTGCTTCTGATTTTCGCTTGCCTTCAGCATGCTAATCTTCGCATGATGCAGATATGACGATGTACTCAAAATGTTGGATTATCCCTTACCTCCAAACACTGACTCCGAACCCGACAATAAACGAACTAAATTATCAGAGCAAGAGACAAAAACTTCGATATCATCAAAGGTTGCTTCGGGAGAATACAGGCGTCTTCAAGACTTCAACAACGACATTGAGTTGGTAACGACCTTGGTCAGCAGCAATGACACGCAGTCTCAGAGCCGACCGCAGCACCTCAAGAGCCTCAGTCCGGATGAGATATCTGCAAAAGCCAACTTGTTCAATAGACAACTCAATGATCTTTTACAAAGGAGCAATCAGCTTCGCCCCTTACTTGATAATTCCGAAACAGAGCAAGCTGAAGAAGGCTCGTCGTTTTTAGACTCAATGTCTGTACCTACTCGTGACGATCTGCCAATTCTTACTGTTACTGTTGGCAATCCCTCGAGGACTTATTTTTCAAGCTTCCCACTGATCGAGTCGCCAAGCGGCCCTCTTCCAGCGACAAGACGCACTCCAGGAAACGAACAGCCCCCAGTCGACGAATCTCTTCTTCCCGAAAATATAAAAGTCTCCAAAGTCGTGCCATTCAACTCAACGAATTTCCAGGGCCCGAGAGGCCGGATAAGGACATTTGGCGAAGTTTTTGGCCCTCCTGCCAACCTTCCCCAGCTGAAAAGACCATGCAGAAGTCAGCCTCCAAAAAAATCCGATAATGTGATAGGCTGGCTCAAACCCGTGGACGTTTTAGCTGCTGCCAGTACGACACCATCCGGACACAAGCTATATAATAACAATGCATTGTCAGTTGGAGACTGGCTTAACTATGGCAAGGCATTCCGAATCAACGTTGCCGCAAGCGCCAATTCTCATGAAATATCCCAGATGGAGGAGGAAGACGTGGGAAACCTCATGTCAGCTTGCTCTTCCTTTGCGCCTAGCTACGACAGTGGCGGTGCCGTTGTAGATAAGGACTCTCACAATATGGTGTTTTGGGATCGATATTGGAGCGGGGACTTTCATCAGCTATATTCAAAATGGCATCAAGACCAGCTAGAGCCGGTAAGAATGCTTTTCGAAAATACTATATTAGAGCCTGAACCTCTTGACGATGCTGGTCTACAAGAAGCTGTAGAATCTTTCAAACCAAGTGGAACTATTGAAGAATTTGAGAAGAGCTTAAAGGCCTCGGCTACAGAAACTGGCGAAGCAGAAGTCGAACAAATGCTGGAAGAAATATCGGGGCTGCTACAGACCTTACAGTCTTATCGACGGCTACGTGTCCTCCAACCCGTGCCTGGACAACTCTCAAACGTCAGCTCAAGTGCTTCCAATCAGTCATCGGATACTCCGTCAGACCAGGAGAGGGCTTTATACGATGTATTAAAACAGAGTCTGAGCTCTATGATAGCAATGCTTCCACCTTATGCGGTTGCTAAACTCAATGGCGATCAGCTAGCTGAGTTAAACATAAGCACGACAATTAAACGAGACGGGCTCGATTTTGCTGGTACGATGGATGAAGATGAGTGGACTGTGCGACAGAAACAGGCCTCGAGACCCGCCCTGCCCGTCAACCGCTCACCGGTCCCAACTCATCCGCCCAGAGGCCCCATTTTCCCATCACCACAGCATCCGAACATCGCCCCACATCAACGATATCAACCTCCTCCTCCCCGTACTAGGAATGCCACGACAAACTTCCACAATGCACAAGCTTATGGTGCTAGGCCGCCACTTCCAGGAGGACAATACCAACCTGGGCACCCACCGCATGCCTATTCCCCGTCACCGCAGCCTTCTCAACGGTTTGTACAGCCTCAATATCAACAACCCACGCCTGCGGCCCAATATACCCGAACTGGAATGCTCCAGCAATTCCAACGACCTAGCCCAGGCAACCCCGTTTCGTACGGCGGTCAGCGCAACTTTTCTCCCTCCCAACCCTCCCAACAATCGCCGTATCCTCGGCCCGTTCCCCCCGCAAGCTATCCTCCAAGGCCGAATGCCTCATCGCCGCCTCACCGGCCCACCACTTTTAGCCAACCGCCACAACGGCAGCCGTACTTGAACTCCGCGTCCGTCGGCACCCAGCCGCGATATTTCCAGCAACAAGCTCAGCCCCCAGCGCATTACGCTAATTATCCCTCAAATCAATCCACGCCTACTCCAGCGGGGTACCCGCCGGGCGCAGCTGGAATGCCTTTCCCTCGCGGCTCTGCTGACCAAGCTAATATGCCTCTGGACCGCACCAGGACGCCAACGATGGAAGCCCAGCGCCGTGTTCTCGGCCTTAGTCAGCAGCACCAACAGACTGTACATCAAGACAATACACAGGGAAATCCTCCTGCTACACAGCCCCAACTTACACCAAGGCCTTAAGAACCGGGGAATTTCAAAAGGCCGGGGCGAGGTTGCTGGCATCTGTCTTTCCCCGTCATTTCTCCCCTATTACATTCAAAAGTCTACGCCCCTTTTACATCTTTAAAATTGTCATATCTGTCTTATCTTTGATGCAATAGCTAATACTAGTCGATCGGGTTTTTGGCGGGGTGTCACTTCAAGGGAAACGGGCCCAGGACTCCCGGGACTCTATTACATGGCGCAATATCGGAAAATATACTTCCTTTTTATTGATTTTTCATTTTTACGTCTTTTTTTTTTTTTTTTTTTTTTCAAAGACACGTTTGGCAGTGCTAAATCGCCCATTTTTTTCCTGCTTATCCATTTTATGAATAAGTCTGCATTTATTTTGCGAGATATGGTCCATGGGATCGGTATGGCGTTTAACCTTTGATTTTATTTATTTTTTCTCTCTTTCTATTACTGGGGGGACTGTTGTTTCGTTTCTTCCGTTTTTTTGCCTCGGTTTCAAAGAATAGGCGGGATGACGCAAACCTTGGAGGAAAAAAAGTTCAAAGAAAATTTGTATGCCCAGAGCCCTAGATGAAATGAACTCAGCTATACCTCTTTGATTTCTGATATTCTAGGCTCCAATCCTTTCGCAGTCGTCAGGTGAGCGTGCCAGCAGCCTGACCACGCCGATCTTCAAGCACCTGGGGTTCTTGAGATCCGATTGGAAGCTACACATTAGTTAGGTAAAGCGTGAGAGTTTGCCACCGAGGTTTAATGATGTCTTAGCTCTAAGCAACCGCTTAATGCTTGGATAGCCGCGCAACGGGCTCACCAGCCTACTAGATTGTACAGGCTTGGAAAACGGCGTCATACATCATGTGTATCAGTTAGTGACAATTACATTCGCTTCACCAGCTGCTGGAAGAGCCGGGCCATGGCCAAAACAAGGGCTATGACCAGCCCAAAGACGCATCAACGGCGGGAGCTACATTGTTGTTCTCGAAGCTAAGGTTGCTCATGGACAAACCCAAAGGAGCCCTGCTTAAGGCTTGCTACCCCCTTTCCCCCTTTGGCAAGCCTAACCTTACGTTGCACCGCCCTTTGTGCGTTTTTTATACCGCGGGGCCATACTCCGTACATGCTCATATTCTACAGACAACAATCAGAACTAGATAGTAGAAATACCAGATTCCGAAACTACAACTATGATCTGTGAGGCTCAATTTGGATGTAGACAAGACAACATAAGCAACATTTCTATGTAATTAGTTAGGAAATGAAGATGACCTTCATTAAAGGTAGAATCTTGATCTTTTATGGACGACTAAGGGTAATGCATTACACACTAAGCAGTTCTTCTCATACATCTCCTCATTCAACACAGGTTTCACACCCCTTCCTGTACAGACCTGCTTCTAGGATGTCATGGTGCTTGGAGGCCAAATGATGCACGGCGAGCCGAGCGGCGCCGTTGGATTCACGCAAGCGCATTCAGCCAGCATCCCAGCCGGGTCGTTTATCTGAGGGTTTTCATATACAGCAGGACCAATCCATGGCACATACGGATTCACGGGGTGACGAGCTACCAACCCCATGGCTTGTCACCCTTGATCTCACGGCTACCGGCGATATCCTTCGTTGGTTGGTAATTTTTGCAGCAGATCTTCAGCATTTCACAGCCCCTTGCCCCTAAACCAAGAAATTCTAGCTCCACTATCTTGATATGGCACTTTTCTGATATCAACATTTGTGTATCAAGATCAGAAAGTGAAGCCATCAAAGCTTCTTGTGTATGGCTTTGTTTCTTGGGGTAGATTTGTTGTTTTTTATCTCTCTTGACTTTCCAAGCCTTGAGGTCTTTGCCAGGGAGAAGAAAGAAGCACCTCCAAAGGTAGAGCCTAAACAGGCATGACTACCCAGCAAACTGTTTTAAGACGGGATAAGGAGAGCGGGTGTTGTGATGGCTTAGCCACAGGAGCTGGTGCTTAGGCCGACATAGTTTTTCGAGAGAAACAAAAAACTAAGAGAGGCGCAGGCGACACTAATAGCCCCCTGAACTATACGCCGTCCATTTCACAGCGGAAGCTGCAGATGCCGTGGTAGCGAGGCACGCGTGTGAAGGTGCCGAGTCGAGCTCGCCGTGCTCTCAAGGTCAAATTCGATGATGCCAAAGCCCGTTGCCGCTGCTTCGTCTTCGATAAACCGCTTAAAACTCTGGTTCAAGTTTTGGATCTGAACGCGGTCTTATTTGGCTATCGAATAGACGGGAGGTTCGTGCGTTCGAATAAAAGAAGCCGGTTCCAGGGCAGCGAGGGTGTCACAGAATCTTGCTGAAGCCTTGTACAGTACCAAGCCAGCTATTCTTTCTTGTTTGGTCTCTTCAGCTAGCTGCCGATGCCCACGGGCGGTGGATCGATTGGAGACATCAAAGTGAAGCTGATAACAAAGATGAAATGTGATCTCTTCATAAAGACCTCACAGTGAACATTCCATGTTCAACGAAGCCTTTTGGAAGCACATTATCTGGGAAACGGTTTCGACAAGGGCCCGCCGCAGAGCCAAACTTGTTTGGAAACGCGTTGGAAGGTAGCACAAGTGATGAACTGATAAACAAAAGAGAAGAGTTCGTTGAGCAGAAGAGGTGTTTTCTTGCCGGAGATGTTGTTTATATGCATTTCTGGGGGTGTCCTTGTTAGGGCAACAGCCAGGCAGAGAACAAGAATGGAAAGAGCCGGCTAGTAAGCAAGCAAGTACGGGCAAGAAAGAGTAGGGGCGAGGTTCTCCCCTAGCGTAGTTGCCTTATCTACCCCGGCATATACGTCTCGGCTGAAAGGGCTTCTTAGAACGCTACAACGCAATTCTGTTAGGCATGTGAACATGTCTAAAGAATCATTTCCTAAGGATCAAGTGCTAGAAGCTGCAAGGTTTAGAGTGAGGAAGATAAAGGGTTTGCCACAAGGAGGTATTAAGGGAGCACTCAACGGACGCCGGTTATTCTTCAACATTCGGTTTGAGCCTATGGAAAGTTAAGTAACAAGATCAGCTCGCAAAAATGGGTAAATTAGGACAAACTCAGCAACCCAGATTATACAAGAACCCTCATAAGCAATGAATCATCAATAAAATTGAAAAAAAAAAAAAAGGCAGGCTAAAATTCACAAGATGTGTGTTATCAAAGACACGGAGGAAAGGGGAGAATACTTTGAAGAAAAGCAAGACGTCGGTACTTCACCGTCATTAAAAACCTCGTAAGATGCTTTGAACAAATGAAATAAAATAAATCAAAAGACAAAAGAAATTCGTTAACAGGCTCTCATTTTTCTGTACTTCATGAACTGGCTATCCTTGACACCGGCGCTGGTCATGAGATAATCGCCGCGGCAATGGACATAAAGCCGAAATACCTAAGTTCACCAAGTTAGCCAGGACACTCCAGAACACTCAAGAGGAAAGACAGTCACATACAGCACAGCACACTTCCAGCCGTCATGGGGGTCGATTAGATACTCATGGCCGGGCGGGCCATTCGACGCCCACAGGGCAATCATGCCCCCAATAATGGCCACGATCACAATGCGCCCGAAGAACTCGCTGATGGCGCCGAACGCCAGAAGCGGGAACAAGATGGCGGCGCAGATCGCGGCGATGGTGGAGTAGATGGGGTTCTGGGGGTGGAGGAGGGCGGCAGCGACGGCATCGGGGTCGCCGTCGGCGGCGGGCCGGCGCGAGGGCGCGACGAGTACGAGGTCGGATTTGTGGTCGAGGATGCGGCGGTCGCCTCTGGCGGGCGACGGGGAGGTGGTGAGGGCGTTGGAGTAGGTTTCGATGTCGGCGTCGGAGGGCGAGGGGAGGGTTTGGACGACTTTGTTGAAGGAGCAGAGGGCGCGGTCTGGAAAGGGGGTGGCGTGAGATCGCGGGCTAGTCACGACGGCTAGGGAAGAATAACTTACTATACTGCTCCGTCTTCGCAGCCACTTTCTCGATCAGGTCCGTTCGCTTGTAGTGCAGAACGGAATAGTCCTGGATCTGGAGATCGTGGTACTTGGCCGCGAGCATCTTCTGGCGCGGAGAGTTACGTGTGTTGGGAGACGCCTGGTGGGCGGCCTCCAGTTCGTCCAGCGTACTCAGGTCCTCTTCCAGCTGGATGATTTCCTCCTGGAGATGCCGCAGCAGGCGGTGGTTCAGAGCGTCGAACTTGCGGTAGATGCGTGGGCGCGGCTCCGCGGCCGGCTGCTCGGGCGCGCGCCGGGGCGACAGCATGGCGAGAGAAGTGCGGCGGGCGCTCTCCACGGCGCGGGCGGTATCGACGCTGGGGAGGTCGGGCCTGGGTCGTCTCTTGTGCGGCGTGGGCGTGGTGGGCAGGTGTTTGGCATAGTAGAAGGACTCTGGAGTGGCGACGTCGAAGACCGAGGCAGCGGGCGTGGCCTGGTTCTCGAACAGCGACTCGGTGTCGGTCGTGTACGCGCCGGCCATGCGAGCTGGCTTCTTCCCGCGCAGGGCCGCGGCGAGGTCCCATTTCAGGGGCACGTCCGGTGGAGTGGGCGGTTGATATTCGTCGGCGGACGACGCAGCCCCTGGACTGGGGTCTCTGACAGACACGCCCGAGTCCGAACGGAAGCTGTATGAGCCACTGGAGTCCCGCGAGCGGTCCTGCGGCTGGGCGGCGAGCTTCTTCGCTGCTGGCTCCGTATACCGTCGGTCAGCCGCGCCGCGTGCTTTCACCACCACGGCGGCGTCCGGGTCGTCTTGGTCCAAGAACTGGAAGACATCGGGCGCTCTCTCGGCCACGGCGACTTCGGTCAGCCGTGTGGCAGCGCGTCGACGGCCGGGGGCAATCTCGCGGTCGCTGCCGGTCTGCGAGATGCTTTTGCTCCGGGGGCGGGCCTTTGCGTCCGAGCTGTCGTCGAACGAGCGGGCCACGACGGCGTTGGCCACGACGGCCATTGGATTTCTAAAAGGGCTTGCGGCCTTTTTCGATGCACGACGCTTGCTGGGCCTGACGTGGCTCATGGCGGCGTGCTAGAAGGGCCAGAGGGGCTTGGGATATCACGATGACGGGGAGGTCCAGCACGCCTGTCTCTCACGGTCAGTCCGGCGGAGATATTCGACAAAAGGCGTGAAAATGGGCACATAGAAGCAGTGTCGACGGCGGGAAAGGATGCGGTTCGGGGCAGCGGCCAATGGTAGTAGTTATACAATTGCAAGGAAGTCGGAAAGGCTGTGATGGGGATAAAGATAGATCAAACAACAGCAACCAGAAGGGAAAAAGCAACAGCGGCCAGCGCGAGCGAGAGAGCGACTCCAACGACAATAAAAGGAGATGTTAAGAAGCCAAAAAAAAAAAAAAAAGGCCCCCGAACAACGCGCGACAGGCCGTCCGACCGCGCGCGGTCAGCAGCCAAACTAGCGGGTTTGAGGAGCGTCTCAGCAACGCGGCCCCCCCAGCATGCCCAGCACGCACACTAGCGAGGGTGCTGCCGGAGCTAGGATCTGGCTGGCTGGCTGGGCTGATCAGGATGGGGGAGAAGGACGGCGTAGTTACCACTAATACAGTTAACTATACGAGGCTGCGGTCGACGACCAGCAGTGTCCCAGCGAGGGAGCAACGCCGGCCGATAGCCTCGTGGACAGCGGACAGCGATCGCGATGATACTCCGATTTCAACAGCGACCGCCCCCCGGCCGGCCGGCCTGCATGCAATGATTCTATTCTATAAAGCACCGCGTCTCTCGTGGCCGTCGCTGACTCGTCCCAGCTCGCAGCGTGGAGGGCGAACTGCAGCGAACACCGCTGCGTGCTGGACTTGCAGTGTAGTTAACTAACTAGTTAGTTGACTGGCTCGCTTTCTGTCGAGAGCCAACGCAGCGTCTGCGCGCAGGCCCCGTGGTGGCACCAGAGGGAGGCCGATCGTCAGATCCTGCTCGGAGCGCAGGATGAAGTAGGAGTAGCTGCCCAGCACTCCGTAGTCAAGATATCGAACTATGTCCTCCGTCTGTATGATGTCTGCAGCCCGCCCGGCCCCGCAGGCTCGCGTCACCCCCCCCCCCCCCGCGTCTGCCGCCAAGCCTATCTGCCGTCGCGCCGCGGTGTTTTAGCGCGGCGGCGGGGCCCGCGCCATTGTTCTTCCGCAGTGCCAGCCAATCGGATGCTGCTGGCTCGGCGTCGAAGCACGTGCCGCTGCCTAGGACACGCGGCGCTAATGTCGCACCCTGTATCTGATTGGCTGGTGATCTCCACCGGCATGGCTCGGCGATCGTCTATCTATAGAACGGGGGAGACTTCCATGTAGAGAGCTGGATACATAGTCAGGAAATAGATTCTCTTCGGTAGAAGGTCACCAGACAGGCAACTGCCGCGTCCGATCATCGACGTGGTGGCAGCCGCTGGACAAACGGCAAGCTACGTTGCGTGCCAACTCCCGGTGGCGGCGCGCGCACCTACCAGCCGACAGTGCATCTGGCACCCACCTATCATTTGTGAACAGACAGCCACAGGCCCTGGTCACATGCCAATAGGAGCACGACGGGACGACCCGGCCGGAGGTCTCTGGCTGTTTGAGTGAACGGAGTTGAATTCAGGCTTTGCGTGTTGGCGCGCTGGTATGCGGTGTTTTCAGGCCCAAGGGTAGTAAACGGCGCCCGGCGTCGGTGTTGCTACTGGTTCTGGCCTGGGCCGGCTGCGTTTGAGATGGGAGGCATCTGTGTATCAGGGGTGATGTTCAGAGTGCAATCATGGGAGGCATGTTGTTGGGTTGCAGATCGGGTTGAATGCACTGTCTGGCAGACTCCATACTTCGTGCGGAAGATGGATAGCACTGACCAGAACAGCGTATGAGAGAGAGACTGCCGTAGAACTTGGTAGTGCCGCGTGACTGCGCGATAAGATAGCAGGCTACGGCGGTCCACAGCACCACCCATTACCACCAACACACCACGCCGTAGCTGGCCTTCCACTCCCAACTCCCAACGCAACCCGACTTCGCCTCGCGCTCGCCTCGCCCCCGTCTGCTGTCCCCCCCCCCTCGGCCATGCATACAGCGCTGCAGCACAGCATCTGGCGGCGCGCACTCTCGCTCTCGCTCTCGCGCGCGCAGCGCCTTCCCCCGCGTCTCTTCCGCCATGCACCCACCACACACTGTCTCGCTGGCCGGAGCTTGCCCACGCGCGCGCTCAGCACGGACACTCACACGAACAATGAGGAGGCGGCGGCGGGGGTGATCGTGCCGCTGCGGAAGGAGTTGAAGGAGAAGGCGAGAGCGAAGAAGCGGCGCGCGGCGGTGGAGGAGCTGCACGAGGCCGACGACGACGGAGAGTGGGAGTTGACGGTGGGCATTGAGGTGCATGCGCAGCTGGATACGGATGCGAAGCTGTTTTCAGGTGAGCGGGAGAGAGAGAGAGAGAGAGAGAGAGAGAGAGAGAGAGAGAGAGAGAGAGGGACTGGGCTGGGATTGGGACTGGGGCTAAGGGTGTGCGATGATTAGGGGCGTCGAGTGCGCAGGACGACGAGCCGAATTCGAATGTGGCGCTGTTCGACCTGGCGTTCCCGGGCAGCCAGCCAGTGAGTGCAGACGTGAATCTAGATATGTTTTGAGAGGTTCCATGTCTGATGAATGGGCGGGCAACAGATCTTTCAGGCGGAGACGCTGATCCCGGCGCTGCGGGCGGCCATCGCGCTCGAGGCCGACGTGCAGCGCGTGAGCCGGTTCGACCGCAAGCACTACTTCTACCACGACCAGCCGGCGGGCTACCAGATCACGCAGTACTACGGTATGGATCTCCTCTGCCGTGGGTTAGCTCTCCCTCTCCCGCTGACACGCCAGAATAGAACCGTACGCGAAGAACGGCGTGCTGCGGCTGTACGCGCGCGACGGCCTGGCGGCGGCGGACGGCGCGTGCGTGGAGGTGGGCATCCAGCAGCTGCAGCTGGAGCAGGACACGGCCAAGTCGCAGGAGCTGCCGGGGCGCACGTACGCGCTGGACTTCAACCGCGTGTCGCGGCCGCTGATCGAGATCGTCACGCGGCCGCAGCTGCACTCGGCGGCGGCGGCGGCGGCGTGCGTGCGCAAGCTGGCGGCGGTGCTGGCGGCGTGCGGGGCGGCGACGACGGGCATGGAGCACGGCGGGCTGCGGGCGGACGTCAACGTGTCGGTGCGGCGGCGCGGCGATGGCGCGCTGGGCCAGCGCACGGAGATCAAGAACCTGAGCAGCTTCAAGGCGGTCGAGGACGCGGTGGCGGCGGAGCGGCGGCGGCAGATCGCGGTGCTGGCGGCGGGCGGCGCGGTGGCGGGCGAGACGCGCGCGTGGACGCTGGGCGGCGCGGCCACGCGGCGGCTGCGCGGCAAGGAGGGCGCCGTCGACTACCGCTACATGCCCGACGCCGACCTGGCGCCCGTGGTCGTGGGCGCCGACCTGCTGGCGGTCCTGCGCGCCACGCAGCCGCCGCTGCCAGACGCGCTGGTGGCGCAGCTGACGCACGACGCGCGCTACGGCTTGTCGACGGCCGACGCGCAGGCGCTGGTGGCGCTGGACGGCGGCGCGCGGCTGGAGTACTACCAGGCCGCGGTCGCGGCGCTGGCGGCCCTGCAGGCAGCAGCAGCAGCCGCCGAGCCGGCAGCCACAGCGCCGGGGGTCGCGGGCGGGCGCGCGCTGGCCAACTGGACGCTGCACGAGCTGGGCGGGCTGTTCGGGGCGCGCGCGCAGGCGTGGGACTCCGGGCGCGTGCCGGCGACGGCGCTGGCGGAGATCGTGCACTTGGTGGCGCGGCGGGCGCTGACGGGCGGCGCGGCCAAGGCGGTGCTGGCGCGCGTGTTCGACGGCGACCGACGGCCGGTGGCGCGCATCGTGGCCGACGACGGGCTGGCGTTTGCCGCGCTGGCCGACGCCGAGTACGACGCGCTGGCGCGCCGCGTGGTCGACGAGGCGGCGGCGGGCGGCGGCCAGGCGAAGCCGGCCTGGCTGCTCGGGTGCATGATGCGCGCGGGCGGGCGCGGGCGTATGGAGCCGGGGCGGGCGCGGGCGGCGCTGGAGCGGGAGCTGGCGCGGCGGGCGGGGCAGTGTACGATAGAGTAGAATAGCTATACCACGAATACTCCGTAGTTTCATACAAGACTCGCACGATACGACGCAGCGTCGCAGCGGGCGGAGCCAGGCCGCCAGCTAGCGGCGCGGCTCTCTTAAAACTGTACTTCGCGGCCAGCGCGTTCCCCTAACAGCATTTGCAGCCGGCCCGCCGCCCGCTGGTATCCGCCGGCCGGCAGGTATAAAGCTGGCCGTGGACGAGTCGGGCTGCCCGTCTGCCGTTAAGAACAACCATCGCATCCTCTCTCACCCTCGCCATGACCGCGCCCAGCACGATTGCGCAGAAATTCATCAGCCGCGGCCATGAGCTCGGCGTCGTGGCCGTGGGCTTCTCCGGCGGGCAGGTGAGTATCTCGCCCCTCTGCTCTCCTACTACTCGCTCTGCTCTAACTCTCCGCTCCTCTCCTACTACTCGCTCTGCTCTACTCTCCGCTCCTCTCCTACTACTCGCTCTGCTACTACTACCCGCTCTGCTCTACTCTCCGCTAACACCCCCAGTGCAAGCAGGGCGTCGACGCCGGCCCCGCGGCGCTGCTGGACGCCGGCATCCTCGACCAGCTGCGCGACGACCTGGGCTACGCCATCCACCACGACGGACAGGTGCACGACTACGCGGCCGTGCTGCCGGCCGAGGACCCGGACGTGCGCGGCATGAAGCAGCCGCGCGCGGTCAGCGCGGTGTGCGAGCAGCTCGCCTCGCAGGTGTACGAGCACGCGGGCGCGGGGCGGCTGGTGCTGACGCTGGGCGGCGACCACTCGATCGCCATCGGCAGCATCGCGGGCACGGCGCGGGCGGTGCGCGAGCGCCACGCCGGCCGCGAGATGGCCGTCATCTGGGTCGACGCCCACGCCGACATCAACCGGCCCGAGGACAGCGCCAGCGGCAACATCCACGGCATGCCGCTGGCCTTCCTGACGGGGCTGGCGCGCGAGGACCGCCCCGACGTGTTTGGCTGGCTGCGCGACCACCACCGCATCAGCTGCCGCAAGCTGGTGTACATCGGCCTGCGCGACGTCGACCGCGCCGAGAAGGCCCTGCTGCGCGAGCACGGCATCCGCGCCTTTAGCATGCACGACGTCGACAAGTGAGTCTTCGTGCGTCCTCTCCTCCATGGCCCGCTTCTTATTTTCCCCCCCAGGCACGGCATCGGCCGCGTCGTCGAGATGGCGCTGGCGCACATCGGCGCCGACACGCCCATCCACCTCTCGTTCGACGTCGACGCGCTCGACCCGCAGTGGGCGCCCAGCACCGGCACCCCCGTGCGCGGCGGCCTGACCCTGCGCGAGGGCGACTTCATCGCCGAGTGCGTGCACGAGACCGGCAACCTCGTCGCCATGGACCTGGTCGAGGTCAACCCCAGCCTCGAGGCCGCCGGCGCCGCCGAGACCGTGCGCGCCGGCTGCTCGCTGATCCGCAGTGCGCTGGGCGACACGCTGCTGTAGGAATGTATGTATGTACGATGTATATGATATAGACTGTGTGTACCGAGTATGTAGTTCTGTAGTTAATCGACGGGGATGTACCCGCCACCGCATTTCGCGCCAACCACCCGATTGCGACGATCGCCGTTGTGCTGTCAACACCCTCACTCTCCCTCACCACCACCACCACCACCACCACCACCCAACTCACCTCCTCTACTACCTCTCCCACCTCTACTCCTCTCCTCCACGCCTACTCCTCTCTTCCACGCCTACCACCGGGGAGAGTCGCGCACGTCGCCCGCCCCTCGCCTCGCCCGCTGCACAGCGGCCTGACTCTCCCCACGCGCCCGCCTCGCCGTCCTCCCCGTGGCATCGCCCTCGCTCGTCCTCTCTACGCACCACACGCTTCCCATTCTCTCATCCTATCGTCCTCTCACCCTCTCACCTCACACACTCCCACCATGGCCACCACCCGCCGCACCACCACCACCACCGTGCGCCTGCGCAAGTTCCACTGGCCCGAGATCCAGCTCAACCTTTGGATCCTGATCGTGCTGGCCGCCTCCGCCACCTGCCTGGGCATCTTCAGCTGGTTCATGGTCGTGCAGGACCAGATGCGCCTGCCCACGCCGTGGTGCGTCCTCCATCCATCCGTCTCCCCCCACCCCCAAACAACCAAATGGCTAACAAGTCTCTCTCTCTCTCCCGCCCAGGATCTTCCCCTTCATGGTCGCCACCGGCAGCCTGGGCGTGGCCTTCGTGCTGCTCGTCGTCTTCCTGATCTTCCAGAACAAGCTGATCCCCGAGATCATCCTGCTGGGCTCGTTCATCCTGTTCACCCTGTGGCTGACCGGCCTCATCGGCATCTCGCTGCAGCTGTACGGCGCCGTCGCCAGCGTCAACGCCAACTGCCAGAACTACGTCGAGGCCATGGTCTATCGCGGCGCCAGCATCAACACCCTCGCCTGGCTGACCCAGTGGAATATCTGTGCGTGCGCTCCCCTTAATGGTTTTTGTTGTCGCGTGTTGCTTTACTGCTGACACTTTACCAGGTAATTGCTGGAAGGCCGCCTTCTCATTCAGCCTGGTCAACACCATCTTTTTCGTCTGGATGCTCTTCATGGCCATGCAGGTCCGCCGGGGCAGTTTCTAGGCCCTTCCCCCCACATGCCCATTCACACAACTCGACTTCAACGTACATACTATATGCCCCCGCTCTAGATCTTGACGACGCCACGCATTTTAGGTCCCTTTTTTCCATACATCAGCAGGAGTTTCTCCAGGGTAATTTCCCACCACCAGCCAGATCTCTTTTTTCTTCTCGTTCTTGTTTTTCTATATACATCTGCTATTTAGCGATACAAAAAACTGCCTGGCGTTTTTTTTGGGGTGAGGGGCGAGGAAGCCAGGCTTGGCCCATCTATACACATACATACACAGTTGGGGTGTTTTTTTTTTTTTTTTTTGTTTTAAATCTTTGTCTACAGCCCTACGCTGGCTCACTCGAGACCCACTGAAAAGCCTTCTTCAAGGCTCAATTAGTCCGTCAAAGCTTATCGTGTTTTGATCTGACGATGACTCAGCCACGCGTCTACACGCGTACTCCGTACTCCGTAGTAGTTACCCCAGTAATCAACTTAAAAAAGTGTCCGTCGTGCTTTGCGCCGGCAACTCTCTGTTAATGCTTTCTTGTAGAATCTGGACATTTGGGCGGGTTGGGTGTCGATAGACTTCCATTTATTCTAAATGCTATGTTTAGTTTCAACATGTTCTATCCTACCAATAATAATGGTCTCGTGGCCCAATGGCAGGGCGTCGGTTTTCGGCACCGAAGATTGCGCGTTCGAGTCGCGTCGAGATCGAATCCTCAACATTTTTTTGGACTTCATTTATTATCCGATAATTCCGCTGCTTCTATGGAAAAGAAAAAGAATCTAACAACAATAGTATACCCAATTTTGTTAATGTATCCCGAGAATGTCGAAAAATGCACATCGCTCTCTCTTTGTATCGTGGCAGATATGGTGGTTGAACACCCGATGCCCCCAAAACCCAGTCATAGTTAACGAATCCTGATCGATCTATGTTTCAACACCTCCTGAACACCAACCCCTAAAAACATTCTAGCACTGCAAGTCGTCCAGAGACTCCTTCAGCATGCTGACCAAATGGGTAAGCTCCTTTCTCCGCTCAGTCTTCGATCCCGGCTCCGCTGCGATCTTCTGGAGCTCTTTGTCGGTTAACGAGAGCACGGTCGTGGGATTGAACACATTGGGCAGCTTGGAAACGATGTGTCTCTCGATCACCTGGCGGCAAACATTATCGACAAAAGTCTTCATCGCGACCTACATGGCTGCGTGTTAGCATACAGTGCAGCTTGATGTCCACCGCATGGTGATTTTACTTACCTTGCAATAGGCATCGAGCGCTGCCGTGGCTTCCTGACATGTTTGCTCGTTCATATCAACAATAATGGCGTTTTGCACCTCGTTCAATACTTTTGCCTTGTCGATGTGGGTGTAGGTAGGTGTCCACTTTATTTCATCAAACGCTTCTGCAACCGCCTCTTTTAGCCCCTGGTTTCTGATCTTTTGAATATTGTCAGTGAAATAATGGTTGTATGTTATCGGCTGAAACTTCTCGTCTCGGCAAATCTTCTCAAGCTCATCTAGCGCATCGTCCAAATTTACCCTTAGCCTTGAATTGATAACGCGATGAAGTTCCAAGCGTACGTGTTCTTCACTAACAACCTGTTTCAAAACTCTGTCCACGAAGTCCCGTACGAGATTGTGAACCGACTGAGTGTGTCTTTTTGCCACGACAGGCCAGTGGTTTGATTGCTCGTGGAAAAGCTCCATAAGAAGAGTATGGTTGCAATTACCTGGAAGCTCAAGCCCCCGGGTATTTTGGTATGTCTCGAGATATTATCAGCTAGGAAAGAAACATAAATTAAACAAGGTTAACATTTCTTACCATCTTTACATGAGCATGAAACTCGCCAGTTGATACGATTTCAGGTTCATCCAGTGCTAGTAATTGCGCATACGTCTTAGTATCCAGCGGCATACTTAAAACAAGATGGCGTTTAATATCCAGCAGTCTTTCGTCATTGGGGCGCTGATTAAGTCGTCTTTTAGAAGAATATTGTCGCATGTATCCCGCAAACTCCTCATTTAAGAGATGAATACGCGCTCGTAACCTGTTGTGCAAAAGCCGCTCCCTTGCTTCGGAGAAGAATTCTGGCACAGTCCCCTGATATGTTCCATCGGTAGCTGAGGCCACCAGGTTTGAAAAGGTGCTGCCAAGTTTTGAGATAAATAGTCGTAGCTCAAGGACTGTCTTCCTTTCCTCACCTAGCGCTTCGAGATCCTTTTCGGCCTTGTTCAGCAATTCGAATACATCCGCCTGTACCTTGGGTAATTCCCTTTCGATATGTCCTTCCAGGAGGGTTTGAAGAGATGCTCTTAGGGCATCCACTCCAATTCGACTGTAATCAGGCCTATGTTTAGACCACTTCTGAGCCTGAAACCACTGTAGCTCTTTTGATTTCCGTTCGTCTATAGTGATTCCTCGCTTCAGTCCATCCGGGTCAGGATTTTTCAGCAGATAAAAACCAAGCTTTAGCTTGGTCGGGCCGTCATTTCGCAGCAGTTGAACAACTTTCCCCTCTGTATTCTTGTTAATAAGGTCAGGCTTGGTAAGAATTCCCACAGTCCTCTCTCCAGGTTTGTCGAAATGCCGTGCACGTTGAATGATCTTTTGTGTTTCGATATCACTAGGCGCTGGCAGAACGGCGAGGATAATTGTACGTGAATTTTCCAGGTAAGAATCCACCAATTTTCCGACCATATCAATATTGTCTTCATCTTCCGATACAGCAATAAGACCCGGGAGATCCACAATAGTTAGATGAAGACCAGTATCACCAATCACTTCAATTCGTAATACATCGGCTGCGAATGCTGGGGCATTATCATTTTCAGAATATCCCTTCAGCCCAAAAAGCCGCGAAACTTCTTCAATAACCACTGGTAACTCGTCGTAGCTAGAGAGCGAACGAGAGTACTGACGGAAAACCCCTACCTTTTCCGGATCTCGTGAAGCGTGTGGTATGACAGACGCCGTAATAGTGCGATCACAAACAGCATGTCGAAGAATTATTTCAGTTGCAAACCTGGTGCATAAGCCGTCTTTCCGAGGGAACGGGATTCCTGTGATGCCTTCTAGAACGGAGCTTTTACCAGCCGATTGATCCCCACAAACGACCAGCTGCGGAAGGGCGATATGGTCTCCAACACCACGGGCTCTGACTTTGTCAATAATATTGAGTTTATTTTTTATCACATCTGATTCGATCATCTTGTTTAATTAGTAGGAGTGTCCGTGAAACTTTGCAACTTCTAAGGTAAGAAAGAAGAAGAGAATATTAGATATGAATGTACGGTGTATGTTCATACTATGAGGGCCATGTTAGAAAAGATAGCAGAAGATCTCAGCAGTTTATATGCAGTGTTGTAAGCCGAAGAGGAACAATAAGTGGTATCCATTTGCTTATGGGGGGAGACATGATCTTGCACATGTTTCAGGCTCCCAGGAAGTTCCGTTAATACAGACTATGGAAATGAGCGGCTCTGCTTTCATGTCAGGCTAGGTTCTTTGCCTAGCCCCGCAAGACCCAGGTTGATTGTTATAGGTCTCGCAAACATATTTCACTATTATGCCCAATTGGCTTAATAGTAAATCATCAAATATAATGAATAGTGGTGAAAGGGTAGAGACATGCGCTTTTAAGGCCAGTCATTATTTGTGTACCAGCCCAGGCTAACGAAAATCCCCAAAAGTGCTAAACAGGTCTAAGAAACCAGGAAAATAACATTGTGTGGTTGGGGTGAATGGATGGTGGAGGTTTGGAAGACGGAAGACGTTGTGAGCTCCTCCCGCCTGGCTAGTATCTAGTAACCAAACTAAACCAACAGTCTTGGCAAGTTTTCCATCAAAAGCAAACAGATGTAGACTGAAGTGTCCGCGTAGAACATTTGTATCGACATTCCATTATGAATAGCGGCTGGAAAACAGTAGTTGGTCAGGTTCATGTAGTCATAGCTATAGGTACTTATCCCAGAAAATGAAAGGTTTGCTGGGCCAGAATTCACCCCAGATGGTAAGCGCTGATAGCAATCCAACCCCCACTAAATTCAATATCAGAAGCTCAAAACTATCACCCGCACAAATAAAGCAAATCCCACACACGCCCTTGCTTTCCCAAACACCATAGCAGTCACACCAACAAAATTGAAACATGCCATCCCAGGACCGCGGAGAGGGTAAAATAGTAAACGCCTCGCTATGCCGAGAGGTCATCATTCAAATGCATGGCGACAGGTAAAAAAATGAGGGTGGGAGAGGGTCAAGCCTGCCCCTGGAGAGAAGTGGTACAAACAAAAATGCCGTATTAGTGCAAATAGACAGGGTTTCCACCTCTATCCATTATCACTCATGTTCCTGTCGCCCGTCTCTTCTTCCCAGTCCTCGTTTTCAAATGCAGCCAGCATTTCGCGCTCTAGTTCATCTTGGTCATCGTCTCCGTTGTCATCGTTGGAAGAAATCCCGTGTTTAACTTCAACGTCGGCCTCAGGTTGACTGCTGCTACCAGCTGCGACTTGCACCTCGCTTCCTGCATTAGGGATGCCTGAAGCTTCGCCACTTCCTTGCGCAGCAGGCGTCTCGGAATGTGTGTCTTCTGTACTGATCGAAGCGGCATTGGACACCTCCTTGAGCCCCGTTGTCCGCTCATGGGATCGTTTGATCTTCTGGGACAATCGCGAACCGGGATGGGCTTGCAGCTGGTGGTCCTCGAGGGCAGGTCCTTCTCCTCCGCTCTCGTCGCTTTCTAGATCGCGTTTGCGTTTTCTATCGGTTGTCACGACCATCGACCGTTGAGATATTGAGGCATCGCTGTCGCTTTCACTTTCTTCGTTGTCACTGCCTAGAAACGCTTTGAGTTCATCGTGTACCTCAGCCTGTTCATCAGCATCGTATCCTATCCGTGAGTGCTCATCAAGGCCCGTCGACAATAATATCTCCTCATCGGCCGTGCCCAACTCTTCGCTTTGGCTATTGCCTTTTAGAAAATCCATATCGTCGTCATCCATTGAAATGTCGTCTTCAGAAGACGACAAATAGCCAGGATCGTCCAGGTCCTTTGGTTCTTGGGAGCTACTTCCTAAATTAATCGGCTCGCCGCGGTCATCAGGGTGGACCGGAACCAGGTAAGGCTCCTCCTGAAGACGTTTCCATTGTACCAGAGAATCCAGAAGCCACTGAATCGTGACTATCTTGATTTTCGGGTATCTTGTCGCCTCTCGAACTTTAGCTGTGCGATTTCTCCCTGCAACGAGATGGGTGGTCCTCGAGTCGATTTTTTGCGTGATAATGACTCCGAAACTCTTTGCCCAAAGCGAAATATCCGCTTTTTGTGTGTCAGTTCCAAGAGGCAGCACGCCGGAGAAAACGACAACTATGGCCTCCAGTATTTTTCGCTTGATTTGTGGCATGATAACCTTGATATCAGGGACAGTGCGAAGGTCAATGCCTTTGTCTTTGGTGGGAACAATTTCGCCCCGCAACGCTGATACTCGACCCCCCAGAGATAGAGAACGTTTTCTGTCGTATTCTTCAAAGAAACGCTGATGGATCAGTCTCAATCTCTCTGCCAATTGAAAGAGCTCTGTGTCATTATCTTCTAAAAGGTGATGGCGATGTTTCGATGAATCTTGAGAGTCATCGCTAGCCGAATCTCCATTTTCCGCAGCCTGCATTTCAGCAGCTTCGTCCTCTGCGTCAAGCTGTTTTTGCTTTTGCAATAGTGGTCGTTCCTCAACTTGATGTGCAATGAGCTCTTCTTGTTGATTGGTTTGCTCCTGGAGTAGCACGGGGTTATTACCACCTCCCATAGTCACGAGCTGTTCCAAAGTTGAGACGTCTTCCTTTGGCTTTTCATCGATATCCATCTCGCTTGAACCGTTGATTCCAGGCTCAGTTTGCGCGTCTGGGGTGGCCTCCGGCTGTTTCTTTATCTTAACCTGTCCTCTAGGCGCGCCCTTTAACTCCTGTTTTTTCGGAAGAAAACTGGAATTGATATCGCCAATTCCAACGAAGAAATCATAAGGAAAGACCCTGATAAGGTTATCACTCCACTTCCACACGTCTCCACGGTCGTCAATAATCACGACCATTTTAGTGTCAACGGGGAACAAGCGTTGCAGATTCTTTGCCGTGAGACTACCACTCTCATCACGGCTTAAAATTCTATCTCCAAAAATCCTCCGATCCGGGTCCACAATGTTCGCAATATTCTGCGCGTATGCTCGGGTGCCCATCGTATAGATATGGAGCTCATAAAGGCCCGAGACTTTACGCAAAAACTCTTCCAGGCCTGGTCGCAACTTGATGTAGTACCAGCACCCCCTCATTCCGGGCCCATCATCAATAAGCTGGAATGAACGAACATCTTTCACGGCCTCGTAATTAGGGTTCGATTTATCCTCCCGCCATTCCCCGACAGTTGGGTCAACCGTCGCGTGAATGATCGTTTGATCCAAGTCAACGACCAGAGACAGCTTCCTTGAGGCGAGAAGTCGGCGCTTTGCATCCTCCTCGACGCGCGTGGCCTTATCCTTACTGACAGTCAAAGCCGCGCTATCATGGACCATCCGAATTGGAGCTCGCGACGAATCTAGGATTTCGGTGTTGTAGCTGAAACTGCGGGTTTCAAGGCTGGGAGTTAGCGAAATTCGACGCGTAAATCGAGACCTGAAAAAAAAAAAAAACAACGCGCGCAGGGTGAACATACACTGTCATATCTTTCCCGCAATTTGCGCACATGCCGCCAAACTGTACATCGTGAGAACATGGCTCATCTATTTCAGCAATATCAATCCTATAAACAAATTTCGAGGTTAGCGTAATGCATCAATTCCACTCCCTCCGCTCTTTTTCCTCTATGTGAAAGAACCATCAGACTTACGGCTTCTCGATGATCTGCCCTTCTCTAATTTTCCAGTTTAACAATGTACCATCGACTGCGCTCTCGAACTTGGTTGGAAATTTCTTCACCACATCATGTTTGTTACCTAGCCCGTCTCCTTCCGTCACCGTGGTGTGATAGTAGTATGCGAAGAGCGCATCGCCTTGGTGGACACTATCGCCAGCTAGATACAGGAGCTCGGTGACGGTGATCGGATAATGAAGGCTAGAAGATAATTTCAGTAGCATCCCTTAAAGAATTGAAAGGGCTTTCGCGGTGCCCATAATCCGTTTCTTTGATATAGAAGTCGTAGGGTGGTTGACGCGCAAGCTGTTGTTTGAAAGAAAAACTAGCTTGTGTGAAGATAAAGAATGCGCAATGGTACTGTATGGATTATTTTTGTGCGGGGAGGAGTATAGTCCCGGAGCGTGAGTTGTTATTGAGTGTACTTAAATGGAACAGAGAATGTGAGCTCAAAATGGTCTTGGGAGCACAATCAATGTAGCAGGAAATTTGAAGGAGGAAAGAGAGTGCATCCAGTAGTTAGGTTGAGTTCAAGTAGAAGTTCTTTTGTGATGCTTGCGGGCAAGCTGCCTTGCTACATATGTTTGGAGAATAGCGAAGCGCCAGGTGACTGAATGTGACCACTAGTACGGTACAGTACGGGAGCTTCCAATCAACGTCATTCTACGCTAACTATGTTTGTATTAGCGCACGCTACGGCCAATCACAAGTCGTTTGAGCCTTGTCCCTTTACATGACTCTGACCGGCATCAAGCAGGGAAAGTATCATGACACGACAGAAACATGGTTTTAGGACGCTGTGGAGACGATGTGGTCACTACAGATGAGGTTGCACAAAACTGGACGTCGTTGAGCCCCAGTAGTTTGATAACATGGACACCAACTTGCGTGCTTTTTATATGCCCTACGGAGTACACCAGATGCTCAATTGAGCTTAGAATTAGCTTAGCAAAGGATGTTACTCTATAACTATGTAAGCTAAAGTCGTTGAGCTGGAATTTGTGGAGAGCGAACTGTACATCTAATATAAAATTTGGCGGAAGGTACTCCGTATGAAGTGTTGCGTTCTGAAATGGGTATTTAGTATGGAGTACGGAGTACTCCGTACATGTTACGGGAACAAAAATCAGGACCAGGCAAGGTCCTTGTATGCCCTTTTTAAGATCCCATGCCTTGAGTAGATAATGTTGAAATAGAAAAATGTTTATGTTAGCTCTCGCATCTGTGGCTAAGAGATTGTTTCAACCCTCAAGCATGAAGTAGCCTGTTGAATTCGGAATGATACTTCATAGAGAATTGATCTTCTCTGTTGCTATAAGTGGCAAATTCTAGAAAAGCCGTACATGCCCGAATATGATAATGAAAGGGTTCAATATGAAGAACTGGGGGCCCGCTCGAAACGGCGCCATTTCTAGCGCACTCACCTGGATGAAAAATATTGTGCTGATATATGGCAAGAGTTCCAGATTCTTCTCGATGCACAAATTCGGGACACAGCTACTTGTGTTGGAAGTAGGCAATAATAGCCTCGGGCTGTATGTTTCTGTATTGTGACGTATAGTGCAGTGTCTTGGCCCTTGACATCACTCAATTCTCCGAGTTTCCAAGTATTGGAGCTTCAGGCAGGGGAGCACAAGTGCCTCAGTGAAAGTCAAGGAGGGAGTACTCCGTACGGTAGATATTATTTCTGATCCCGATTACATGTCAAATGATGGTGCAATTGCACCAGTACTTGATTACACAAATGATGCCATCAAAAACAAAGCAATATTCGCATCAACTCCAGATAAAATTCTCCCTGGATACTTTGAGTCAAGAAGCCGAGTCCGAAAAAAAAAAAAAAACAAGCAAATCAGATATATCAATAAGCCTAGAAATGTGAGTATAGAAAATCTAGACCCCAGGGCCATGTTACACAGTCTGGACATGGAAGGGTATTCAGCCATCTATCGGATAAGCAGAGAACACACACTCGTCCACCAAATTACCGAGTCACTTTAGTTCTTGGCTTTGGCAAGGCCAACAACATTGTTGCCCAAGTCATACATAGTGTACCAACGTCTCAGGAAAGAATCACCAAGAATAGCCAACGGCCCGACGGGTTCGGGGAAATCCATGCCCATGAAGCTGCTGATGCATGAGCCTTGGACTTCAAGGATGTAATCATTGGCACTGATGGTGAAGTTGTGACCCGAAAGAGTGAATGTGAGGTCTGGAAGCGATGAGCGTTTGTCGCACTCCACTGTGTATTGACCGTTCCATGATTTCTTTGCACCGATCTCTTTGTTGCTAAATAGGCCGCGATATTAGTACTGTTAAGCGATAGGTATCGATGAAATAAGACACTTACAGAAGTTCTGCCATCGTAGATGGGAGGGCGATGAGGGAAGTGCCAGTATCGAGGATGATACCGGTGTTTTCAAGCTCAGCACGCTGGTCGCCAAGAGCAATAGCATCGAAGTCGACCTCCCAGTAAGCTTTACGACGAAGAGGGATTTTAATCATTTCACCACTGTATAAGGACTTATCAATACCGCCGAAGGTAGCGAATGATTGATCACCCTCCTTATTTGCATCGCCAAGATAGAAACCGAAGACTGGCTCATCGATCAACTTCTGGTTGACCATGTTATAGAACGGTGGAGTGATCTTGTTGACTGAGATGCTGTCATATCCAAGTCCAAGAATGCCATCAAACCGGCCGAAGGCAAAAGCAAGGCCAGGTTCACTTGTAGCCTCTGCAAAGAGTTGATCTTTGATAGTGAGGTCACCGATTTTAAGAGTATCTTGCGAAACAAATCCCGAAAGGCTGCCTGAGCCATATCGAATACTGAACTCTGTCCCGTTCTTCTTGTAGGAAGATGAAGCCGAGGAATCATATTTCTTGTGAAGGTAGCAAGCGATGGAGCTACATTGCTCGGATGGAACCCAGAGGTTGGAGCTACCAGTGTCGAGGACGACTTTAAAGTCCTGGGGTGGATTTCCAATCGAGATTTCAGAGAAATCTAGGTGGATTGATAAGCGCTGGGAAATGGTAGCATGTTGAACAACAATGATAAACTTACATTGGGCATTCAAGAAGTTATCGACGAGGACGTTATGGCCACTGTTCGGTTCAGCCTGATCTGCTAGAACTTCCTGTTGATGTGCTGATCTAACACCCAGGTATTTGCGACCAAGAGACTTCATCTGAGTTTCGATGTCGGCATGATCCTGTGATAAAATAGCTATTAGCCGTAGTCCCGGAAGAATACGGTTGCCTAGAGGTCAACCATCAACCTGCAATACGTACGAACTGCTCGGACAGAGAGATCTTCTTCAGTTTGAGCTTGTGCACTTTCGCAGATGTGCAGCCCAGCAGCACGGCGGCCGCGAGCAAGAAGGTGTTCCTCATGGTCAGCGAGGTGGCTGGGAACCAGAGAGGAGGCAGAAGCGCAGGGCTTTGAGGGACTGATGAATTAAAAAACTCGAATTAGGTAACAAAAACGAATGATTTGATGAACTTAAGCAACTCGGATAGGTGTTGATGAAGGGAGAGATGGTGGGTGGTGGGAGCTGTGTTGTTGGGGTGGAGTGGAATGAGGTTGTAGTCTGGGGCCGTTGCTTCGGATATGAAGTCAGGTTCCCGCCCTTGATGACGAACATTTGGCGCCGCCAGTGTCACGTGTCGGTATCTTGGCATCTTGTTGTTGATGTTGACATCACTACCGGCGCGTGTGGAGACCAGACTTTATCGGCCAAAACACTCCGTACCACGGAGACGCTTGCCGTGATGTATTGAAAGGAATACTGCCATACCACATCTTTACTTAGAAAATAAGCGATTCGACCCTCGATTGCTGCCCACAAAGCGGCACATTTTGAGTTTTATCAGGAACAGCCTGTGCTGGTGTAACAGGCAAATTACCCAATAGCTGCATCCCACACATCACCCCTGAGATGTGCATCCCCCAAACAAATAGCTTAATCTCAGACGAGAAGGAGGCGAGAAAGTTACGTGAACCAGAGGAAGCTTTAACATTTATATTATGTTTGATGAAGAGAAGCTACATAATAGGTATATTCAAGTGGTTCTCTTTGCTACAAGTTCAAACCAGCCTGTTGAAAGTGTGCGTTTGTATCCGCATTGAGAGAGACAACTGGCTTCGTCCTGAAAACACCAAACACAAAGAACCTGATTCCATACTGGAAATTCCCTATTCGCTAGAGAGCATCAACGATAGAAATCAAATCTGTAATCATTATAGTTAGTACGGACCATAGCCCCGTTCGCACGGGGAGTAACTCACTTGTCTGCATCTTGTCCTGTCTTGACTTGGCTGGAATATGCGTCTTCAAGATCAGATTGGATGATGTTGTATCGATTCTTACGAACGGCACGCAAGCCAGCTTCCTGCATAATGGCCGCAATCACGGCGCCGGACAACGGGTCATTACGCACAATGAGAGAGTCCAGGTCTACTTCCGGCGATAATGACATTTTCGACGCAATCGTGCCGAAAATCAAACGGCGCTCACGTCTATCACGAAGGGAAGGGAATTCAATCTTTCGATCCAGGCGGCCAGGTCGAAGCAAGGCGGGATCAAGGGTGTCGGCGCGGTTGGTGGCCATGATGACTTTGACATTGCTGGTCTGGTCGAATCCATCCATCTGGTTGAGGAGTTCGAGTAGGATACGCTGCACCTCGCGATCTGCACCTGTTTGGGCGTCGAATCGCTTTGTCGCGATAGCGTCGATCTCGTCAATGAAGATGATGGCTGGCGAGTTTTCGCGCGCCATCCGGAAAACGTCTCGGACCATGCGAGGTCCTTCACCAAGATATTTCTGCACGAATTCGGAGCCAACGACGCGGATAAAATTGGCGGTTGTACTGTTCGCCACGGCCTTCACCAACATGGTTTTGCCCGTTCCGGGGGGGCCATATAAAAGTACACCTCGAGGTGGATCGATTCCTAAACGATAGAAATTATTCAGCAATCAGAAAAGTCATTAGCCAGGGTATTGTATAATACCAATCTGTTTGTACAGGTCAAAATGCGTCAAAGGCAATTCGACGGCTTCTCTGATTTCCTGTTTCTGCATATCCAGTCCACCAACATCGGCATAGGTGACATCGGGCTTTTCGCTCGCACCAAGCATAGCAATGGATGAGTCGGCTTCAGGAGGGAGGATATCAACGAGGGCATTGGAATGACGGTGGAGGGCGACGGAGGACGAAGGCTTTAGCTTCTCTCGGTCAAGGGTTGAGAGAATTCGAACGACATAATTTGAACCGGTGGACGACTGTACGATACCGGTGCTAAGCAAAATATTGTCAGTCGCATCGTCGTCTCATCCATGAATGAGAAACATACTTCTGATCAATAGCTTCCATAAATTGTCCGATGACCAAGGGAACGCTCTGTATTCTTTTGATCTCCTCCTGGGCTCTGACAAGTTCGCGCTTAAGACTCCTGAAATAAGGTTAACGAATTCTAGGGTGAACGACTACACAGTTAAATGTGGCGGACCTTTGCTCATCTTTGATATATTCTTCCTGTAAATTTATGTACCTAAAACGTGTCAGTGGCGAGGTATGACTGTGGAAGCTGAGGCATACTCCAGATGTCGCTGTAGCCTTTTTAAAACAGTATATTCATCGGCATCATTGACTCCCCAGCCCTCCAAAGAGTCGATATCAGGAATGGCATCGGCGGGAGTCGCTTTCAGCGAAGGAGCAATGGCGTTGATTGGGGGCTGGACGGCGGTGTCTCCCATGACGGCGGTCTCGAATATGGCAAACAAAATGAAAATAAGAGGCAATTCAAATTATACTTTTTAACTTTACTTTTCCAAATATAGCTGGGAGTGCGGTGTAGAGAATGAAAAGCACTGCTGCAAAACCGTGAAGCTGGTCTTGCGCTGGAGCTCCTCAGCAGCTATGCCAAGCCTGGCCGACCAGTGATTAATCAGCGATGCCGTCCGTTCTTGGCGCCAGGCTCTCTTCGCGACAAGAAGTTTGGCGGAAGAACGCCCGGCCTTTGTGTGCTCTGGACTCTGGCCTCAATTTTATAATATGCGTCTCATAATTTCGTAAAAGTATTCGCGTTTTACGGGATACTATATTACTATCTCTTCCTCGGCATCTGCCTCGCTCCTTGTTGTTCTACAGCATGATCACACGCTACAGTTCATGAGCGCCTCGCACGAGAGCAGCCAAATTATACATCAATTGCCGCCGCCATCCCCGGCTACTGAAGCTCTAGACAACGCACTACTGCTGGCGGATCTTCTGGTATTATTGGAATGTTTCGCCTGCTCTTTGATAAAGTTTATAGACTGCAGAGTCCAAAAATGACATGCAGACTTGGAAGTTGGAACCATCAGACGAATAATTATTACTCTAGTTTCAACCTATCGCACTGGCTCTGCTGTCTCAGTCGACCCGCCCACCCGTGATATTTTGCCGAGCTGCATATCTCGTATTTTATGTATTTCATTGGGGCTCCTCTCCTGGCAGTCGCCAGTCTTACATGGTGTAGTGACGGGCCAATGCTGCCCAAGAGGATCGAGGATTTTATGAAATGAATTGCATTTCAATAAGGGTGGCCAATAATGGCAAATTGAGCCCTTCAAAACGCCTCTATCTTTTATTGAAATCCTTCGTAAAAGACTCATCGTTTGGTTTGGCTTTTTTCAGAAACGGTTGCTTTTTGACAGGCTAAAACCGCCATCCTGAACCTATGACAGCATTAATGATGAGTAGCAATTGGCCAGGCGGTGAATTTTTTTTCTTTACCGCAGGGCCCAGTAAATTAATATTAGGACTTGGGGCCGATCAAGAGGGCAGCCGCACGATTGACGATCACGGCGGGCTTTCCTTCATAAACTGGGACGTTCGCTCCTCAGATGATCAAGCCATCTAACCATTTGGAACAACGGGGATTAAAAAAGCTATTAGCAGGTGGGACAAGGGACAAAGCACATCCGCACCCAGGCGGAATTTCCCTTTGCAGGGATGGGGCAAGTTTGCCATCGGCCAGGAGACGCGGCCGGTTCGCATGCCCGGTCCCAGGAGACAAAAAAGAAAAAGGGCCGTGGCCAGAGGAACCAGAGTCTGGTGCAGTCCTTGAAAGCATAACTATATGTATGTGTGTATGACTGGCTTAGAAGGCTAACGGGGCAGGATTGACAAGATATATATACCAGGCGACACCCCCTCCCTCTGGCTCCCTTTTCTCATCCTTTCCCACCCCCCCAGCGATTATTATTATTCCCGCTGGCTCACCTGAAGGAAGCGTGCGTGCGACTGGCACCGTATCAGCGTATCCTCGTTCGAAGTGAGACGAATACGACTGCTGGATGCCCAGCTAGCATCACCTATATTATGCGAGAATTTAACTGAACAGGTCTTCCTACGGCGGTTTTCGACCGCAGCCTTTCTCTCTCTCTCTCTCTCTCTATCTCCAGTCTAGTCGAGGCTCCGGATTCGGCGGACTGGAACGAACCTGGAGTTGGCTTCCAGGCGCTGTGTCTCTTGGATCTGGGGGTCTGGTCCGCCCGCGCTGGGAAGCTTCCGTTGCCAAGACGTACGCATGCAAAGCGGCGAGCGGCCGACGCGATGGATGCGGGCGTGCGGTGGCTGACCTGCGATTCACAGCCCCTTTTCTTCCATCGTTCGCGCCGACCGCCACCTTGTTTCGGTCGCCCAGGTGAGTGTCCCCAAGGCCAGGATTCGAGCGGCCTGGATCTGCGCTGCTCCGGAGAACAGGCACGGTGGTGCGCCTGAAGCGCGGGGTTGGGCGGGCGGCCAGGCGGCACTGGCGCGATGTCGGATGCGGCGTAGCGCCGCGATCAGCGGGGGCACGTGAGGGTGCCGGATTCGGGGCTGAGACCAAATGGCGGCGCATGATTGGCGGGCTGCTCGGCTGCGGCCGGCGCCGCCCTAAGCGAGCAGGCGACGCGCGAGAAAAATTTGCTGCCTCAAGCCGACCGCCCGCGCAAAAGTGGACGGAGCTGCTTCTCGCAGCCCTTTCTTCATACTTTTGCCCCGACTGCCTGACCCGAAAACCCGACAGCTGCATCCCATTCGGCCTGGATTTGGCCCTTTGACTTTGGGCTCACGTTATTTTCGCGCCTAGCCCTTCATAGTATTTTATTTTAGGAATTATCGCTCCGACAGCCGTGGCTGCTGTCCCCTACCCCAGCGCCCCCTATCTCTCTCCACTCTCTTGGAGGCACGACATTGGCAGCTTTGCGTGCCCGTCGTCTGGTTGCAGGTAGGAAATTATTCCCGCTATACCTCCCCCTCTGGACTGCCCCGGGTATTTTCCCACCCCCCCTCCCCATACCGGTCTGGATCCCCTGCCGCTGTGCTTCTGGTTCCAGCGCCTTTCGCCAAACCCGCGTCAAACAAGCCATCCTGCCCTGCCGCGTGCTCATTGGTACGCTGCCCGCCAGCCTGCTGATTATTACCTTTGCCCGTGCTCGCGACTTATTATTATTTTCTTATTCTGCCCGTGCCCCCCCTTCCCTGCGATGACGGCATCTCTGCTGCTCGCGCTCTTCCGCCACCCGCCCAGCCGCGCTGCTGCTGCTGCTCCTCCTGCTGCTGACTCAGCCCACTGACTCTCTGCCACGTGACCAGGCCGCCCAAAACAGCAAGCGCCTTCGCAAGCACGTCCGCTCTCTGTGTTTGCGGCTCAGCCTGTGCTTCCTTCGCGACGCTGCGAGACTCTCCCGTTGCTCGTGCGGCTCTCGTTCTGTTCACTCGCTTGTATGTACGCCGTCTGTTCTCCCCAATTGCACTCCGCTCTCCCTCAGCCCCTGCGTCTGGTCGCTGCTGGTTTTTCGTTGCCACTTGTTGGCCTTTTTGAGACGCGCCCGTACTCTGTCTGTGCCTTTTGGTCGCTTTGCTGCTATCTGGCTTCCGCCGGCAGAAACGCGTGTTGGCGCTTGTCGCGATCTCCTGTCTGCTCAATCCACTATGTTTTAGCTGCTGACTGACGCGTCCTGTGACCACAGACGAATGGGTGTATTCCTCGATATCACGACATGAACGCCTGGCTCAATGACCCTGCGACGGCAAATATTCCACCTGACAATGGCTCCTTTAGCAACGCGACCATTGACCCGTCAATGGCGTTCCTCCAATCGCCGAATCCCTCCGATTCCGGCCAATTCCAACGCATGTTCAATGGTGCTTCCAGGAACATGTCGCCTGGCTTCCATAACCCTAATCCTGTAATTCCATCCAAGCGTGCTCGCCCGGATGATGGCTTCTCCATGTCCCCAAGACTGGCGCCTGGCGCTCTTCCTGGGTCTCGTTCACAAACCCCCCACCAGGCACCCTTCTCCAGTTACCCAGACCCGGCCAATGGTAATCCGCAATTCTCGCAACCACAGGCCCCGACGCCCTATCAGCACCTTCAGACCGGCTCCAACAACCCCAGCCCTTCCCCTATTTTGCAGGACTTCGACCCACAGATTTCGCAGAGAGTTCATACAGCTTCTCCAAGCCCCTTCTCACCAGCTGGATTGCATGTCTCATCTCAAATATCGCCCACTCAATCGGATCACGGTAGTCGAGTGAACACTCCGCAAACCAGCACCTTTGGGCAGTCACTACCGTACGCGCCGCCGCCAAACCAGCAGTTTTCTCCACAAGCCCCCATAACGACAGCAGGCGTTCACCCTGCGATGCAAGCGCAATATGCCCAGAACAATGCGGCTGCGATGCAAAATTATGCAGCTCAGCAAATTAACTCACAGCAGAGAATGTATCAAATGCAGTTTCCGAACCAAGCACGCCAATTCCAATCTCCTAACCCGTCCACCCCCGGCAGACCCATCATCGCTGGTGCTAATCCAGCAAACAACAACCAAGCCGCTGCAGTCAGACAAATGCATCAAAATATGGCAAAACCCACGAACCCAGAAGGATTTTTGCGTGGATTGCAGAGGTTCATGTCAACGCGGGGACTTCCTTTAGATCTTAACCCTATAGTTTGCGGACGGCCATTACATTTGATGCAACTCTACGCCACTGTTATACGGCTTGGTGGCTCAAAGAAGCTTTCCGCGACCAACGGGTGGATATCAATCGCCCAACAACTGCATATGACTCAATTTCCTACAGCTCCTCGAGAAATCAAAGAAGTGTACATACGGAACTTGGCACCCTACGAGCAAGCCTGGCTCACTACGCAGCAAAAGCAAGTTAGCGACCCATCGCAGATGGCTGCCCAACGTATCGTAGATCCTTCTGCAACTCAACAGCACATGACACCTTCCAAGGCTGGGCCACACCAGTCCTTCGACCTGAGTTCACAGCTCCACAATGCGGGCCAACCGTCCATGCAGCAACCAAACAATATTCAACCAATGCAGATGAATGGCTTTGCTGTCGGTGCACAAGGCAAGCCGCTCCCAAAACAACAGTCGCCTCTCGGACACCAGCATCGGTCGAGCCTTTCACGCCCGCCTGAGTCGGCCTCGCCAAATGGTGCCATACCTCCATTTTCCCCTGGTGCATCCCTGTCAGGAAATAAACAGCCCTCACCTGTTGCCCCAAGAAAGCCAGGGGAGGATTGTGGTTCCATTCGACGACCCCTGGAAGACACGTTTAAGCCAGCGGTGTTGCCGGAAAGCAATTTCCATGGTCCAGTTGTAGTTGACGATGCTTTCCAGGTTGGAGAGGAACTCATTCGACTTAAACCTAGCGTCCCAACATTTGGAGAACTCGGAGTAATTGATATTCATGCACTCACAATGAGCCTCAAGTCAGGTATTCATGCAGAGATGCGGGTAGCGCTGGACACTCTCATCCAGATCTCGTATGAGTCTGCAGTACAGCTTTCGCTAGATAATTGTGACGATTTAGCGGAGGCCTTGGTAGACTGTGCTGAGGACCAACTCGATCTCCTCGCAGACAATGCTGCAGAGGTCTCTGATATCATGATGCTTCCATCATACGAGGAGATTGTTCGTGGATGCAGACAAGAAATGGAAACGCTAGTCGACGTTCCAGAATTTGGGAGCCTTGACTATGACCTTGATCGTGCTGTGGATCGCTTGATTTGCGTTACCACGTTGCTTAGAAATTTCTCTTTCGCCGAGTCTAATTTTCACCCGCTTGCAATGCCCCCTGTTATCAAGTTTCTTGCTACCGCAGTGCGGTATCTGGGAACCAGACATATGCTTCTGCGAACAAACCAGAATACCCTCGATTTTATGAAGGACGTCGTTATTTTCTTGAGCAACATTTCCCATTCCGTACACCTTCCTGGCAAGGAGGAGACTCTCTCCCTATTACACTTTTTGATTTCCTTTGCTCCAAACTCGTCCTCGTTTGGTCCCGATGGTTTTATGTTTACTTCGTACGATCCAAGTATTCATCGGTACCTTCCGGCTGCCGTCGATAGTCTTGCCAAGCTCCTTGCGCGCGACGACCCCAATAGGAATCATTTCAGGAGTATCTTCATTCACGATCAAGTGCCTTCTTCCAATGACCTTCTAACCAAGGCATTCTCATTGGCCATCGCCCCAATACCAGAGCACACGAAAGGAAATGTTATCTCGCTAGCTGATATTCGAAAGCCATTCCTAATGCAGGGCTTGCTCTGCGGAGAGATTTTAGCTGGTTTTACTGACAGTGACCTTGCGTATTCCTGGTTCAAGTCCTCCGATGGTTTCGCAGTCAGTCTTCTGCGCCTCGCTTGCCTACTCAGCGCCGATCGGAATGCGCCAGGTGGTCGACATGGGCCGCCTGGTCGTGTGGATGCGGACCTGTACTGGCACAGCACGGTTGGCCACCGTGCACTGATGATCCTGAGCCGGCTAGCTGATAAGGCAAGGAAGCTTAACGGGGTGTTCACCAATCCTCAAGGTGTGTTTCCGAAGAAGGAGAATCTCCTTGGTGCTCTTCTCACACCCAATATCGATCCGATTGTTGTTCGCCAATTGTGTGAATATGCTGTCTTAGGCAGTTGAATGACGGATGTTGCTATATCTAAAGCTCATCTACCTCGCCTTTTTTTTTGGCTTCGTGTAATGAATATTGCTGGCATTGCCACAGGTGTTTTTTCTTTTTTAGTATCACTTGGTTTTCTTTCAATTTTTGGGGTATGAATTTCTTTTTTTCATTTATCTGGTGAAAGATTGAATGATAGAAAAATGGACCTCTTATTCTGTCTAGCGTGGCTCCTTAAAACTCCCATATATATTTTTCTTTTCTTTTTTGTCTCTCCCCTAGTCGTGTAGGGCAATTTTGACCCTCAGTGTAAAGAATAAATCAGGATACCTCTCTTGTTATGTTTCTTCTTTGCATGCAAGGATTGTACCTTTTTATTTGCTGAAAATAGTTTGAATGGCGTGTGTTCTCTTATCTTAGCCGGTGAAGGTGGATGGTTGTAAGTTTTCGAAGAATATACAAACATGATGAATATAAGGCACTTATTTGAATATGTACTGTTTGAGCTTTGGGATTTTTTTTCTCCCAATTTTGTGTTCGCATATCTTTCGACAATCAGGGGTGTTGTAGCCCAAAAAAAAGTATACATACAAGTTGAGTAGCAAATGGTGCTTCATACCGAGTACTCATTAGCCATATTCAGAACACAATATGACTCGTAAGAAAATTAGAGGAATAGTCACAAAGGCGAAAGAAGGATAATCACAGCGTAGGGAGAAGGCTTTAAGAAATGCAGCAAAAAGGGATATCAACGCCATTCCCATAAAGTCAAACGTGAATTTAACTGTAACCAAGAGATTCATGTGAAAACAGAAGGGGAAAAGGCATGGCCTCCATTGAAGAGAAAAAGTACGTCAGAAATCTTGCAGGCGATATCTCCAGTAAAGACGCTCATTTTTAGCTTTTTAATATAATATTGACCACCTAAAATTTACGATCCTGGAGGAATTGTAATATTTCAGCTTTTCGCCAGCCCTTTGATGATGACGTTAGTTAGAAAAACAACGAATTACGAATGGGAGAGATCCCAAAACAAAAGGAAATCGGTGTTTGCATACATTCACAAGAATATGTCCATTTAGGCGGTTGATCTTCACGTCGTCTGCGGGATTCTCATCCATTCCCAGAGCCTTTATCAGGTCTTCGCGCAGCGCGTCAACGTCGCCTTCTGTTTTTTGCAGCCTGGTCTCTAGTTTAGTTCCACCAGCTCTTTTCTCAAGATATACAGGGAATTGGTTCGAAGACGTGCGACGGATGAAGTAGGGGAGATTCGTGAGGGGAAGCGCGAGCGCGGGAGTGGTTTCCTCAGCGGATAATACGGTTTTAGGTCTAGTGATTTTGGATTTTGGAGCTCGGGATTTCGTCGAGCGAGGTTTCGAGGTGGGCGGTCGTGCTATTTGGGGGGGTAGGGAGTTAGTTTGGTTTTTTTTTTTCTCTTCCTTCGTACGGTAGATGAATTCTAAAAGAGTTGGGGGTGAGGACTTACGTGATTTCGTTAGCTGTGATTGAGTGTGAACCTGAGACAATTGTATTCCTGGGAATTGGTATGATATTGAAAACGAGCTGCATCGAGCATGTAGTGAGGATATAGAGCCTGTCCGGCGTATTGGAGACGAAATGCTGGAGGAGAATCTTATAGAAGCCATTGTTTTTTGGCTATATAGTGTACCCGATGAGATAAATGAAAATATTGACGGTTTAATACAAGGTGGGCTATTCCATAGCAAGGGTCGCTGCTCCCCTGGTGTAGCTGTGGTGGAAGGCCGAGTCGGCTGATTTTTGCTTGGAGGCTCGCGATATCAAAATCAAACGACTTTTGAGTTGCGAGGCCGGCGCTAGGCCGAGAGCGGGTTAGCGCGGCAGCACAACAATTTTTCGACTTTCAACGCACACGAAATCGACGTCTTGATTCCCATCTCCGCTCCGTTCGCTTCCCACTACCACCCGGGCATCGCCATACCACCGCAATCATGGCGGACAACGTACCCCCGTCTGCCGACACGCTTCTCAATGGAGCAGTTTCCCGCTCTGCAAAGACCCCTGAGGAGATCATCAAAGAGTATGACCTTCTTCCAAAATTAATACCCTACCTTGACCGACATCTTGCCTTTCCGCTGCTCGAGTTTGCTTCGACTCAGGAAGAGGAAGATGATGCCACAGTTGATGAGATCACAAAGGCGAAATATGAGCTGCTCAAACAGACGAATATGACCGATTACGTCGCCAGCCTTTGGCAGGAAATCAACAATTCTGATACCATTCCTGAGGAGTTTGTGAAGAAGCGCGAGGAGGTGGTGCTAAAATTACAGCAGTACGTTGATGAGAGCAGCAAAATCACGGAGTTATTGCAAGATGACAACATCGTGGGCAATCTACGAAGCGACAAGGCTGCCAACTTAAAGTTCCTTGAGGAGCACGGTGCGACGATAGACATGGTGAACATCCTCTATGACTATGGCCGATTCCAATACAGCTGTGGCAGCTACGGCAACGCCGCGGAGCTTTTGTACCAGTTCCGTGTCCTCTCTACGGACAACGATAAGGTCGCATCCGCGACGTGGGGAAAACTGGCATCAGAGATCTTGACCACCAACTGGGAGGGCGCCATGGAGGAAGTTCAGAAAGTCAAAGATTCTATTGACACCCGACTATTTAACAACCCGCTTGGCCAACTTCAGCACCGTACATGGCTGATCCACTGGTCTCTCTTCCCCCTCTTCAACCACGATGCCGCGCGTGATGTCCTTACCGACCTTTTCTTCTCTCCTGCCTACATCAACACGATCCAAACTTCCTGCCCATGGATTCTGCGCTATCTCACCGCTGCGGTCATCACCAACCGCCAGCGCGTCCACAAGAACTCGTCTCTTTACCAGAAACAGTTGAAAGATCTGATTCGCATTGTCCGGCAGGAGGAGTATGAATACCATGACCCTATCACCGATTTTGTCAAGGCGCTATACATCGATTTTGATTTCGAGGAAGCCCAGAAGAAGCTTGGAGAGGCAGAAGAAGTCCTGAGAAGCGATTTCTTCTTGGTTGCCGCTGCAGATGCGTTTGTTGAGTCGGCTAGGCATCTTATCTCTGAAAGCTACTGCAAGATCCATCAAAGAATTGATATCAAGTACGTTTGACTTAGGTATATATTGAATTGCCTGTTATTAACCCATCTTCTCAGGGACTTATCTACACGCCTTGGTCTCAGCCAGGACGAAGGCGAGAAGTGGATCGTTAATCTGATCCGCGATACCAGAGTGGACGCAAAAATTGATTATAAAGAAGGAACCGTTCTTATGAACCATCCACCCCAATCAGTATACCAACAAGTCATTGAGAAAACGAAAGGAGGCTTTTTCAGAACCCAAGTATTAAGGTAAGACTTTCTCTCTAATGTAGAAAACAGAATTCTAACAGTCATTGTTAGTGCTGCCGTTGCAAAATAGTCCAACAGCATATTTTTTCTCTAGTATAGGGCGTAGGTAGAGACAAATGGCAGTTTTTGGGGGTGGAGGAAAAGCTCACTTTTTCTTGACACCAATGCACACATTTATGGCCTTTTTCTTTTTCACTTTTTCCATGTTCCTTTTATCTATCCACGATGAGAAATGGGTTCTGGGAAACATTCGGCGGGCGTTAGATTTTTGTTTGATAATTAATTCGATGAAGGATTTACGCTTTCAAATGCCAAAATGTTACGCGTCATGGAAGATATTCTGTAGTAGAAAGCATGCCAATGCTTTCGCCGTTATAACCAAATTTAAGGGGCATCACAGCTCCCCGTACTTAATTATTCCCACGGCTGTAAGGAAACCGGACAAGACATGCAACTGCAACACTACCAGCCTTAAGAATATACACAAGTTTGATAATGAGATAGGAAAATTTTGCGACAGTAATTTCTAAGGGTCTTCAGAACAAATAATAGGGGGTGTATGCAAACATTTCATGGCGAGAATGTTGTGTCTACGGCCATGCATCAAGAGTGGAGAGCGAGCCAAAAGCTTATAGACAATCAAAGCGATAGCCATATATACACTCAAAGAGACTGCATGAAAAAAGGGGTAGAAAAAGTCGCGAAGGCTACCAGCTCGGATAGCATCCGCCACCTTATGATGTGACGTGAACAAGGCTGACATGTCAGCTTGTATCCCGTTAGCCGACGAAGATGTAGAGGCGGAATGATGACCAGGACCATGGCGATATCGGGAGGAATACGAGTGTACGGAGTAGTACTCGGTATTTTGCCGATATATATTTCTTTTCTCCACGAAGCTGATGGGATTTGAGAGGTGTCGGTGCAAACGGGCTATGGGGGTTGGCAGCTTGATTCACCGGTTTGTATTCAGATGCTGCATTGATTTGATTCAGGAATGTAGGTTTATATATCAGTTAGTGTCTAAATTGTGTAAAAATGTGATGCCTCAGATGGTAATATCAAGGCAAGTTTTTTATGAGGGAAGCTCTGCGAAAAAAAGGGAAAGGGCTTAAAGCGGTGCTTAGGTCTACTCAACAGACTTCTCAGTCATCCTTGTCAAATGCTAAGTGCGCCTCAGGTTCGCATGCCTCGCCGCCTCGGGTCGGAGAACAAGGCGTGTCTGGAGTGTCGCAGGGGTTTGGGTCTCGGGTACGGAGTACGATCGCTACTGATACGATGGAAAGGGGAGGGTATAGGCTGCGTGTGCTGTTCGTCCACGGCTTTTTTTGGTTCAAGGCTCTGCTGTTGACGGATCTCCGAGCCAGGAGAGTAGTGGCTGCAAAGTAGAAGGACGGACCTGAGGTCGTTCGATACTGTGTCCGAATTCTGTTCAACTGAAAATGTATCTAGTAAAAAGACAAAATCAATAGAGCGGAACAAACGATACTATATTCACATGAGTGTCAGAAATGGGGTATGTCCACGAGAAAATGCCGAGGTGTTGCGCCACTCTAAATGTTTCCAAACTCCTTTGTCACGCCCGAAAATAAAGCACAGTATAGATAATATTAGAACGTGCAGTCCCCTTTTTTTTGCCTTCCTGAAGTAGGTTGAGATTTGAGGAACAGAATGCTGCTTGCTCAGATGTTACATGGAGAGAGTGTGCTGAGTCAAGTGGAAAAGTTGAGAAGGGCGAACGTCGTTGCCCAGAGCACGGATGGGAGGATGCGATCACCAGGAACGTTTGTGTCGCGGAAACCGGTCAACTGGATACGGTTTAGGGTCGCGTTCCCGGTCTCGCATCCGGTCGCGATCGCGGGTGTCCCGTCGGCCGACGAACACAGGTTGGTTGATGTAAGGTTCGGCCACCTTGCTATCTGAAGTGTCACCTGTGTTCAAGCCGGCGACCTGGGTCATTCTGATCGATGCCTCTTGCTCGTAGGCCTGAGACATCTTTTTCAAGTCATCGATTTGTTTCTAGGGGTATGTTGTCAACTATGCTGTCAAGAGAGTAGGTTCTGGACAGATCAAGTGGCATACTCTGGTGAGCTGGGCTCCCGCAACAAGATATCCCTCTCGCCCCTACACCATCACGTAGTTAGGACGCGTTGACAGGCAAAAACCAGCGCAGACATGCGCCCCGGCAAGCTACGTACCTGGTAGCTGTAGGGCCTGACGGACGAGGTTGGGCCCAGGAAATATTGGATCTTGCTGAGGACGATGTGCCGGGAGAGCCCATAGCCCGGCAGCCAATACTCCTGCTGCTGCGACATGTTCAAAAGCAAAGCGAAGTAAAGCCAGATACACACGGGTATCTGGGCATGCAAGTATAGGGGCTATCTCACGACGGCGAGATAGCAGTGAAAGGGGGAGTGTTGATCAAACGGCGTCAATCAAGACTTAGGCAGGAGGTCCTTTGTCAGCACGGGCAAGAGAACACGCTGCGCACCCGCCAGGCCGACGAGAGACGCAGCGTGGCTCCGAGCTTCGGCGGGCGGGTGTTATATATGTCGAGCGGGCGGGCGTTGCAGCGGCGAGACGGTGAGGTTCGGTGCGAAACGGCGCTAGGCCGCAAGCGGCAAGCCCGCCTCGTTTTCGCGCGGCCGCCAAAGTGAGGCTGCGCGCTGGCGGCCAATCGCCCGCCGCGGCTGTTTGGCCGCGAAAGCCAGTCACACCCGAGCCAGCCCGCGCGCCCAAGTCGCTGCAGGCGCCGCTGCTCGTGTTGCGCTGCCGTTTGATACCTGCCTGCTGCTGGGTTGGCCGCGTCCATTCTGGCCGTCGTTTGTGCGCGTGTTCCCCCCCCAGCGGACTCGTCCTCGCCGGCGCCTGGCTCGAGCATCCGCTCGCTGCCACGAGAACGCTGTCCGAGTGGCTGCCGGCCAGGGAATTCTCGACGAGAATGAGGCGGTTACGGTGCGCTTCCAGGGTTGTCTGGTGCTTTCTGGAGAGCTGATACCCACTCCGTTTCTCCTCCAAAGTATAACTGAACTATATATATTCTTGGGCGCTCTCAGCGAGTCAACGGGCTGCTGTGGTGGTCCGAAATCCTGAGCAAGCCTTCGCTCATGGAGCCAGGGGAGAAGCAGAATGCCAAATATTGCGATCGACATCCTGCGGCTGGGCTAGCAGTTTGGAGACGACAGCTTTCGGCTGAGCTCTGAATCCTGATCGGTATTAGTTGCGTGATCGTTGGAAGCCATGTACCGCTCCGCTCGGGGGCCGCATTTGTCTTGGGAAGTTTAAAACAAAAAAAAATAAACCTCTTTCGGCGCTGCAAGGTGACTTGCATGGACGCAGCATGCCGTGCCCAACTCGGCCTCTGGGTGTCTGGGGCTGGCCGTGTCTTGGGCTGCCGCACCCCTGGCCGCCGCCGGTGGCATTGCTGCCATCCAGGCGACACACCTCCGAGAGACGCAGCACCGAGAGATGTTTCATTTCTAAGCACTTTTTCTAGTATTATTGTGGGCCGTTGGCCCAGAGATCCTTCCGTGTGGAGAGCGGCCACAATGACCCAGCCCTGCTGAATCATCGCTAGGATGTCAGTCAGTGTGGACATTATGCTGTTGGCTGGGAAGGCACATGTTTTGGCGAGCATCTTCTGTCGTCCGAGGCGGGGTGTATCTACGCTTTCGCTTTTGGGTGTGTATATATCTGTCGCGTGTACTCCGTACTCGGTATGTACATACGTTGCAGGCCTGGTTATGGGGATCCAGATACAAGTGCATGTCGAGGTTTACCGAAGGTTCTACCTGTTTCCGGTGCTTCCGACACCGCCTAAAACTTAGAGACGCCCGTTTGTGACCTTGAGCACGGAGTACTCCGGCTGGCAACGTACTGCGTATGTGTATGTAGCTTCTGTTTGCTTTTTCAGGCGAACTTCTTGGTTCGCTGCATCTCATCGCTCGGCCGTGTAGGGCTAGCATGCCGTGAAACCATTCTTTGTACCCCACACGGGCCAGAATATTAATAAAAAAAAATACGTTTTTCAATATCGGTATTTGACCTGCTGGTTGGCAGGTTTCTGCCGGGAAACTATGCAACAACACTCGCTGGTGTTGAACCGGCATCTTTCTAGACATCCTTCAGAGAATCCTCCAACCCACACAAGCCCGCCAACCAAAATCCCACCAAGACAAGAAATCCAAATACGGAGTACCTGGGAAAGAAAAGGCCGAGCCAGAAACTCAAACAGCCCCATTTTGCAAATTCATTACATAGCAGATTCAAACCCGTTCAGTCCAAGCCAATCCGGACCAGCATTGCACTACATGCGAACCAAGCTCTTCACCGCAGATATTTGCTCCAAGAGCTTAAGATACGATGATAAAAAAAAAGAAAAATCGTTGGTTTTACCAATCATAACCAACGAGTCCGCAATGCTCACAGACATGATGCTGTGCCCTGTCTCGGGGCTAAACCCTACTCCGTACACACCGGAATAGGCGGATGTCGTGAGACACCGGGACAGAGACAACAAACGCAAAGGAAAGCTCGGCTATCCGCCCTGTATTGGGTATGGAAGAAAAAAAAGGGGGGAGGGGAGTAATTCGATGTCAAATCAGCCGCTCGTAAAACTAGGGCGTTGATATTCCAGGAGATATTCGCCCCCTTGTTTGAGATTGCCTTTTTGCATTAGTGGGTGCCTCGATCAATTCAAAGTAAGGCGGGAGATCTGTTTGGACCGCTGTAGTCAGAAAGAAGGGGTCGGGAATGGGCGGAGCTGCCTAACTAACGAAGTGGATTCGCATCCATGTAAGACAAAAGTGGGGGGGAGTACAGGGTAGAAGCTGCCTTGCATCTAAGGAGGAAATAAGAATGGTTCAAAGAAGTGAAGCGAAATTTCTTGTATAGAACTATGGCTTTTGATTAGGGTATTGTTATCATCGAGTCTAGTTTAAGGCTGGTCACTCTTCATATGCCGGCTGAAAGGGATGCACAAGCATGTCACTGAATCTGTAGTTTGAGACGTATCTCATTAGCGCATGTCCAACCAAGTCCCTGGTTGAGTGAGGATGGCTTGTTGACCTACTTTTCAAGTTTCTCCTTGCCGCGGACTTCTTCCACCAGCATGGGCATTCGAACAACATTGAAGTCCTCGTATAACTCTCCAATCTCATTTAAATACTTCCTCTGCATCTTCCGCCGGGCCTTGCACTGTTCACATGTGCTATCTTTCTTGGGAAAGAGAAGTTGATTTACAACAATAGAATGGGTGTCGATATGGTAACTCGTCAACTCCTGAATCATTCGCTCCGTCTCATACAGGGACAGGAACTCTGCGATGCACACACATACGAAGGTTGTAAGATCAGCATCTTTGAACTGGGCGTTTACCTCACTGATTGTTTCTCGTAGAGATTCCATCTTTGCTAAGACTTCGTCGAGATTTTGGCCGCCTGGAAGGCCGCCTCTGGCCCCAAGAACCGTGTTCAGCATCGGGCCAAATTGGCTGGATAACTGAGAAAGCTTTGCAAGACCCTTCTCGAGCACCGTAGGGAATTGCAAGAAGCGAAGAGTATGGCCTGTTGGGGCTGTGTCGAACACAATGACCTCATATGAGAGAGATTTGACCTGTTTCAGGACTTCTGCGAAAGACATGGCTTCATCAACACCAGGAATCTGGGATATAATTAGCACAGCCAATCTGGACAAGAAGTATGATTCCGACTCTCCCACTGACACTGAAAGCCAGATCCTGCATCATTCCCCCAAGCCCGAAACCTAAATCATCCGCCTGCTCACCGCCAGCAGCCATGAGATCCTGCATACTCGCGCTGGGGTCGATCTCCATCGCGCTTAAGTTGTCAAATCCGTCAATAAGTCTCGCCTCCTTTCCGAACTTCTGGCCAAATGCATCACTCAGATTGTGCGCAGGGTCTGTGGAAATCAAGAGGACCGATCGCCTGACTTTGGCAAGCTGAATGGCGAGAGAGCAGGATGTGGTAGTTTTCCCGACGCCACCCTTCCCGCCGACAAAGATCCATCGGAGGGTCTTCTGGTCAAGAATGCTTTGGAGGGTAGGCTCCAGAGCATCGTCGGTAGAGATGAGCGCCGCTGAAGACATGGGTACAACCTCTTTTCGAGCAGATTAGCAGGAGGTAAGGATATCAGAAAGTAATAGGGAAATCAATTTGCCGGCGGAGATATTGCGAATGTTCACGGGGACCGTTAACTAGTTGAAGATCTGGTGTAACGCCCAATCTTATTGTATTGTCCTAAACCCTCTCGGCAGCCTTAACCGTCGCGCGACAAGAGCGTGGCTATGCCGAAGGTGAAAGATTCGATATCCCGGCGGGCGGCTCGATGCGGTGGAGTAAGATATGCCAATGATTATTGAGCAAATGCTCTGGACATCCGGTGTGGGTTCCATCAGAGCTTCAAGAATCACTAGCGGTTGCGGTGCCATTCGGATAAATATACGGGCCGATGACTACCGATCCTTCGAATGTGGGGTATCGATGAAGGTAAGGGGTAAGGTGAAGGCGAATGCCTGGGATAAAAGGGCGCTCGTCGCTCTTCAGATAGACAGAAGAGCACAATACTTTGCATACTACGATCAAACGAGATCTACTGTACTTTCTCTACACTATTATCACCTTATTTTCCCAAACATGAACGTGACCCAACATCCCATCTCCTTTCATGTCCTCGACACAGTCAACGGCACCACCGGAGCCGGGCTCTCCAGCGTACTTACTCTGGTGAACTACAAACTCCCCAGCGGCTCCGGCAACAGTTCGTTCTCTCCTAGCATTCGGGGAACGCAGTATCATGCCGTCACGGACAGCGATGGCCGCGTGAGAGTATGGAAGCCCACCAACTCATCTTCGCCCAGTCTTCCGGAGCTCTTCGCGTCGTTTCCCGTTGCAACCACGGCCGGCGGGCCCTCGACGCAGTCGACTTGGAATATCAAGGTGGAGAGTGTTGATGATTGGTATGGGGAGCGGGGAATTAAATGTTTCTGGCCTGAAGTGAGTGTCAGTTTTATCGTGGATGGAAAGCCGGGAGAACCGAACTGGAAACACTATCATGTTCCCATGCTGCTTGGGCCCTGGTCCTATTCGACATACCGCGGGTCCTAGGGCGATTGTGCTGGTACATGGGGAGGGAGCAGGGGGAACACCCGGACAGCGCGTCTTGCTCTTGGGTTTTGACTGGGAGGGACTGGCGCGTCGCGTCGTTGCGGCAGACTGCACTGTTACGCGCGTGGCTAGCTGAAGGCCTTGTGGTGGCTGTTCTTGGAGGCGCCTTCTACGACTCTCACATCTGTCCGATTTGGTTTGTTTTGCATGATAGTCGCGGTCGATTTGGTGGGCATGGCTACCCGGCGAGCTGGTAGCTCAGCAATCGCGGCCTGTTTGGGAGTAGTTAGGCATGTAGATCCGCATTAAATAGCCATTGAAAGACGAGCAAAAGCCCGCAGTCGCGCCTCGTGAAGCCTGCTGGTGGCTTCATGGCTCTTTCTTGTGCACAAGCATCGTGCATCCTGTTGCAGACTTTGCTCTTTCTCAAGAAGAGTCAACACGTCATCGGGGCCGGGATCTGTGACGCGCCGACCAATCACAAGTCGCGCTGGCCCACTTAGTGGCCAAGAATTCCCTGTTAGCGCTCAAAGCGGGTTTGGTGCCGCCGCACGCTGGCCAATCACAGTCGCTGCCCAGGAGTCCAGAAGGATCTCGCGCGGTGCGATTGGGTGTGGCCCGCCATAGAATACCATCCAAACCCTGTGTTTCCGCCTGCAAGTCGGCCTCGAACCCAGCCAGACGGGGTTCTGGCATTGTTCGCGGAATTTCGTAGGCTAGCAAAGCACGGTATTGGCGATGTTCGGTTCTGGAGTGCAGTCGTGCATGCGTTGAGTTGCAATTGCGCAGCCAACATCCCGGGCCACGGCCCAGCGCTGGGCTACTTAAGATTCCCACCTCTGCCGTCCCCCCCAGCAACCCTACGTCACGTTTGCACCATCAAACTCCCCTTCGCCCATATACGATTGTGTCTTGGTATACTACCGATTAGTTTAAGACCTTCGATCCCACAATAGGAAATTTAATTTGCCAGCTTCACCCTCTGTCTGGTTCTAATTCAAACGGCTCGCTCTACCTCGATCTGAGCCTGAACAGCTCTTGCACTGCTGCTTGGTCGCCACGCGTCGACCGCCGAGGGTTGGCACTCGACAAGGAACGCTCAAAGCACGAGCGGCTGCTGATATCATCGCACCAGCGTCAACGCACCGACGGCCATTGCGCACCTGGCCCCGGCTGCTCCCACCAGCTCCTGTCCGTAAGTGCCCCCGAGCCCCAGACAGACCGCGTGAGCGTCGCGTTCCCTTTTGTATGCCCGGCCGGCGCGCCAAGGCCGCCGCTGAGTCAGCCCGCACAACCGCGGCGACATCACTATGTCGTCAGATTGCTGCTGAGATTTTCTCTTTTTCTCTCTTCCGTCATCTCATACATCATCGACCACCACCCGCTGCCATCGCCTTTTCCATCTCCCAGCTTCCCCGCGCCCAACCACAAACGGATTGGCTTGCTTGATAAGCCTCTACTGACTTTATTTTTTCCGTTCATCCCGTCAGTGCCTTCGATTCATTCTCTCTGCTGCTCATTCGTCGCCCCCCCGTTGTCGACATTGGCTCCGGCGTCGTCATCCCTCCCGTTCGCATAATTTATTTAGTCTTATCGCTTCCTATCCTACGTTATGGCCGCTGCTATCGCCAAGAGGGGCTCCCCTCGAATAGGGCGCCCAGTATCCCGGACCAATTCTCCCCTCGACATCAAACATGAGAGTGAGTCTTCCTGTCCGTCGCTTGGACCCAGTACACTTGGCTGCTTTCTTTCTTTCTTTCTTTCTTTCTCTTCTTTTTCTTCTTCCTCTTCTTCTTCTTCTTCTTCCTCTTCCTCTCCTCTTCTTCTTCTTTTCCTCTTTCTTATGGCCTTACTTCCTCACGTTGTATGACTAACTAAGTGCTGTAGATCTCCCGGAGCCATCATCAGAGAAGAGAGACGCCAAACCCCTCATTAATGGGGATGGTTCCCAGCCGTTCCCGGGCTCTCGCCGCCCTGGCCAACCGGAAACCGAGGATTATTTTTCTACTATTCATAACACATCTCATTTCTCTTTGGAACCAAATCCCTTCGATCAGTCTTTTGGCTGTACATCGGCTGAGACTCCAGGAAAGTCTCTGCTACCTCCCGTCGCTGCACTTACCTCTCCCTCTCTGCCGGGCTCGAGCGCTGCAGGTACCTTCCCCTGGGGTGGTTCTCTCAGGTCCGGGCCCCTAAGCCCAGCAATGCTTACCGGCCCATCTGGCTCCAGCGACTTTCTCGAAACCATTGGCCGAGGCTTCCCAACTCCCAATGAATCATCCCTTCGCACAGGACTCACCCCCGGCGGCGGAGGCTCTATGTTCCCTGCCCCAAGTCCTGGCAGTACATCCATTCTCCAACAACTCCAGAGCGGAGGAAATACCCCTTCGACATTGGAATTTCATCGCACCGCTATTACTGCGGCAAGGAAAAATGGCGCTCCCACCTCAAATCCTCAAGACACAGAGCTTCTCCAGCATGCAGCGGGCATGGACATAACAAAGTCTGGCCCTCCCCTAGACTTTACCCATCCTGACGCGACTGATGCTGCTAATGGTCTTTATATGCTCGCCAAGGGAGGCCAAGCTGACAATGGACAATTCCCACAATCTGGGACCACTGATGGGAGAAACTCCTTCTCACGAAACACCACCCCCATGAACGGGGGCCTTGGGATCATTGGAGGCGATATGGCTGACCCAAATCTTGGAGATTATTCCGATGGCACTGTTGACCAGGGAAGAGTCAATCGCAATAAATCCAAGAGAAGTGCGCCCAAGTCCACCACCTCCATCAACGGAAGACGAAAGGCAGAAGAAACGAATAAAGGCTCCAACAAGAAAGTCAAGTCGTCAAACGGCACGGCTGCCGATAAATCAAACGATGAGGATGCGAAACACGATAGCGATAGTGGACCTAGCACTTCGAAGAAAATGACTGATGATGAGAAACGGAAAAATTTCCTCGAACGTAACAGGTAACTTGCTCATCCTTACTCTGTTTTATTAGCGTTATGGAGTGACTGATTTCTTTCTGATAATAGGGTTGCTGCTTTGAAGTGCCGCCAAAGAAAGAAGCAATGGCTCGCGAACTTGCAAGCCAAGGTTGAAATGTTCAGCCAGGAGAACGAAAACTTGTCTTCGACTGTTACAAAACTCCGAGAAGAGATCGTTACCTTAAAGTCGGTCCTATTGGCACATAAAGATTGCCCCGTCACCCAAGCCCAGGGCTTGAACGCTACTATTATGATGAATGGTCTTGGCAACGGAGACTACTTGCACCCTCAGCCTCACCCATATGCTATTACCATGCAACCAGGAGTTCCCGGCATTCCAGCCCAAGCTATGGCCCGAAGATAAAGCTACTTTTCTCTTCCAAATACTTATGCTATCAAGTCTCGTTTTAATTGCTAATATTGAGCTGTATATGTTGATTTTCTGTTTACTCCCTTTCGTGCTTTGATTTTTTTTTGGCGTTGATGTAGGGAAAATGGGGGCGTTCTTTTTATTATTATTATTATTTTTTTCGGAAATCGGGGGTTTACTTGATTCTTCTCTTGATCTGGTGTCATGGAATGGAAATGGCAAGAGAGGCTGCGGAAGAGAAAAATGGTGGCCGGAATGGTAGAGCCAAAAGGCACATTCCATTCTTCGTTTGCGTCTGAAGTCATATACCGAGTCTTCCGAAGACGTGTTATGTCCCATCAGCTTGTTGTTCATTTGTTCTTGTGGTACTTTACCTGCAGCCACTATTCAGATGTTGTGATGTTGATTGCCTCGATTAATGTTTATTGCTTATTGCCTCTTTTTTCTTTTCTCTTTTCTTTCTTCCCCCCTTGGTTATCTTCTCTTCCTTCCATTACCCTTTTTACCCCCTTCGCCTTTTACTTCATTTCCTGTGAATTTTTGCCTCGAGCTTGCGATTGCATGGGAGAGCTATACTTCCTTTCCACGTTAATCTTGCTGGCACACAGCGTTCCGGTGTTCCTCGAGCGAAAGAGGATTGCAAAAAACTTATTCCTTCGTTTCTAATCTTTGACATTTTTTTTTTGGGGGATATTTTTTTTCAAGCTGGAAGTTGAATTCTACATTTGAAGTTTGTATGTACAATATTATTATTCCCACTATATTATTATCAACACATTATTCTTATCTGGTCCACGAGCACCCGTTTAATTAATCCCTGTTTTACTCCGTACTTGTTCAATGTTTATGTTTATCGAGACAGTTTTAGGGGGCCTGCGGGTTGGTCACGTGATTAGCCAGTTGGGCATTTCCGTGAATGGAACAGCCAGCGAGCAGTCAGCTCAAGCATTGCAGAGCGCCGTGGCCCAAGAAGCTCGCTCATATGGAATGGGAATACCGGTGACTCCAGTTCTTCTTCCAGATGCTACCTTGTACCAATACCTATAGCGATGCCTCCTCCTCCCTCGTCTTCAAACCACCGCAGTCGTCGCATAGATGATGCCCTATCCCAACTCGTCGGATCCCTTCTCCCACCGTTAGACCACGGCTATAACAATGAAGACGACGCGCCCGGTGCCTTTCCGGGTGAATTCGCACGCGCAGACGCCGCCGCAGCTGAAGAATTACGACACCGTCGCGCGTTAGATCTCGCTTGGAGAATAATAGATGCCCACGGAAGCAAGATCAATGGTGGCAGTGACCTTCTTGACGGCCATGAGCAACGGCGTGGATCTATAACCCCTGATGTTGTTAATAATGCGCCGGATTCGATCAGACGGAAGTTATGGAGGGAGAATTCATCGCCGGACAAGGCGTTGCGATTCTCAAACTTGTATTCGAGATTGTTGACGCAGCCAGTTCTGGGGCAGAAGTCGGCCATTTTGTATCTTCTCTATCGAATTGGAGAGCATAATGAAGATGAGAGCCCTCGTGGTGGTAGTGACGATGATGAGATTGGGAATATACAGAGGCTGGAGAGCCGTGGGAAGTCAGACGGGCGACGGAGCCCGCTGATGGAGGACCGTCAGTTGGAACATATGCTACTAAGTGATAAGCTGGCTGGGAGAAAACATTTTGCGGAGAGTATAGCTCCTGGTTCTTCGGTGTCTGCTGTTGGCAGGGAGCCCAAGCCTGGCATGAACCGCCCCGGGGCACCAAAGGATGGAATAGACATCAATAGGGCCAAGGGGAAGGAAGGGAAGAGAAGTTCTGAAGATGAGAATGGCAAGCCATTGCGTCGACAAGTGCAGGAATCAATACCAACGCCTCGTACTCCAAAGCCACCCCAACAAGATGACAATGTGGACGAAGAGCCACCACCAGCCGAGCCCGCTCTGTTACGTGACCTACCATTCTGCTTACAAGGCCTATCAACGACGAATCTTCACTTCTCACATTCTACTCTAAAATTACCGACTACCCTTCCTATTCCCCTTATTTCCTTACTGCACACGTTGGCGGAGCCATGTCTTCTCTATCGAGGCCTGACAGAATTCTCCAACAAATCCGAGGGCGGTCTAGTAGAGCAGAGTTTCCGCGCGGCTATAGGTGGTGAGCTTCGCGCTTATCTAGGCTTGGTGGCAAGCCTAGAGGGAGAGATTAGAAGCGCCCTCACGGCGGTTTCGCGAGCTTCAGATGAGCCTAAGTCGGTGATGAAGGCAGGCGTCACTCTAAAACGATGTGTTGTTTGGATGAGAGATGCCACTATGGCCTTGCGATTGATGAGCCTAATGGTGGAAGAAATGCAGGATAAGAAAGGAGGTCAACTTATATCTATGATACATGGGTTTTCTACCTCTCATGGCGATCCTTTTGTTGGTGCATTTGCTGAGCGACTTCTTGCACATGTTACACGTCCATTTTATGGAATGTTGACGCAGTGGATATATGATGGGGAGTTGTCGGATCCCTATCGCGAGTTCTTCGTTGTCCAACCAGAAAGTCGTCCTACTATTGATCCACGCCGGACGGCGACGAGCGTCTGGGATGAGAAATATAAACTTGACGATGTAATGGTGCCCACGATTATGACGCATGAGTTTGCAAAAAAGGTGTTCTTGATCGGAAAGTCTCTTAATTTTATACGTTATGGCTGCGGGGATTCTGCTTGGGTAGTGGCGTATTCTAGGGATGCATCAAAGGAATTGCGATATGGTGATACGGCTACGCTTGAAACATCAATCGATAAGGCCTACAAGACTACTATGGCCCGTCTCATTCACCTCATGGACTCGAAATTCAAACTGTTTGAGCATTTAAACGCGCTAAAGAAATATCTTTTACTTGGGCAAGGAGATTTCATTGCCCTGTTGATGGAATCACTGGCTTCAAATCTTGACCGACCAGCTAACTCCCAATACCGCCACACGTTGACTGCTCAGTTGGAACATGCTATAAGAGCATCAAACGCTCAGCACGACTCGCCAGACGTCCTCCGCCGGCTCGATGCACGCATGTTGGAGCTTAGCCATGGTGAAATTGGTTGGGACTGTTTTACTCTTGAGTACAAAATTGATGCTCCCGTCGATGTTGTCATAACCCCCTGGGCATCGACCCAATACCTCAAACTCTTCAACTTTTTATGGAGAGTGAAGCGAGTAGAATTTGCGCTTGGCAGCACATGGCGACGATGCATGACTGGGGCCAGAGGGGTTCTGGGAAGCGTGGAAGACAAAGTCGGCCCGGATTGGAAACACGCTCGCTGTGTCATCGCAGAGATGATACATTTCATCTGCCAGCTTCAGTATTATATTCTCTTTGAGGTCATCGAAGCCAGCTGGGATCAGTTACAGGTTGCAATTTCAAAACCAGGTTGCACACTTGACGATCTAATAGAAGCACATACGAAATACCTAAACTCCATCACTCATAAGGGCCTCCTTGGCTCATCAACCTCCCGGAGCAGCTCATCCTCAAACAGCAGTAACAGGGGCGAGGAGTCGTTTCTTGCACAGCTCCACCAAATACTCAAAATCATGCTCGCATACAAAGACGCTGTTGACGGACTATACTCCTTTTCCGTCGCTGAATTTACCCGTCGCCAAGAATTCAACGCAAAGATAGAAACTCGCACTGCACAGGGACGGTGGGGTGTGACGGAGCGAGACGTGCAGTCTTTTCATTCCAGTCGACCCAGTCGCTCTGGGTCTACATTCCGACGGCCGCGAACGACGAGTTCTAGCACGCCCATTGTTGATTCGCCGCTTGACAACCCTTCTTTTCGTGCATCAGCCGACGGCACTCCTGGCGTGTCTTCCTCGTTCTTCAACTCCAGCCTGACGGCAGAGGATCATTTACTACCATCACTTCGTTCCCGCTTGCGCGACCTCTCAGTTGAATTTCGGGCTAGGCTGGTCACCTTGCTGGGCGATTTAGCCTATCAACCCGATGTCGATATGCGGTTTTTGGGTGTGGTAATGAATTTTAATGATGTTTACCAAGTAGTTAGGAGGAGAAAAGGCGGTGGGGGCCACACTGGGAAAGATAGGGAGAGGAAAAGGGCCGGTACTGAGTCAACAATGCCAGAGAAGAAAGATGAAAAGGAAAAGGCAAAGGAAATAGAGAAGCCCACGGAGTAGGAGTAGGAGTTGTTGAGGGTTTGAAAATCTGGTCATTTTTTGACCACGATGGATTTTATTAAGATACCTTGCTGATGGGGTGGTTTTTCTTTTACGGGCCATATGATAGATATGATAATTGTATGTTTAATTCGACAAGGAACCTGGGTATACGCTTTTCATATCACGGCTGGTTTTATGTGCCGTCGGAGTTGTACATATCTAATGTATATTATACTGCGTCTAGAGTTTTTTATTGGTCAAACAGCAGACGTTTAACTACCTTAGGATGAAGCTGAAGCAATATCCATTGCAAATGTGAATCTCTGGAGCGGAAGACTAAACCATCAACCTGAATCTGCAGGCTGGTGTTAGCTATATGAGTTTTGGGTAGAACAGAAGGCTTTATTTACCTGAACTCGAATCTGAGGCAGTGCTACTGGAATCTAAATAGAAACATTAGCTTTTGTCAGATTTCTGCGTGTACCATCTGGAACAATTATATCACAACTAACCGGAAGAATCAGATGACGACTCCGAATCCGAATCAGATCCGGATGCGGATGCGGAATCGGAATCGGAATCAGACTCCGACGACGAAGATCCAGAAGTTTCAGAAGTCAGCTTAGATTTGGCTGTGCCTTTTGCTGCTTTTAGTCTAGCAGATCTTAGACCGTCAGAATCACTGGCGTCACTGTCACTATCGCTTTCACTGCTACTACTTGTATCATCCTCTACCACAACAGTCCGAGTCTTGCGTTTTCGTTTCCCTGCCAATTGGTTTGATGATACAGGCTCCACGTCTTTGGCAATGTTGCCAGAGACTGCAAAGTAGACTAATTCAGCCCTTCTCCTTTTCTCAAACCTCTTAGTTTGTGAGCTATCGTCAAGAGAGGAATTTGGAGGGCCGACATCATCTCCAGAAACAGCAGTACTCCAGCCAGGTAACTGTTCCTTAAATGATGAAAGGGCTTGTTTATACTCTATACTTTGACCATTGGTGTCTTTTTCATCGGCCTCAATAGCTTCCTTGGCCGCCTGTGTAACCCGACCTCTGGCCGCCGTACTTTGCAACCCAGACAAGTATGCGCTAAGACAACGGTTGTAACTGCTTGGTAGGCGGTCCACTGATAGGGAGTGCTTCAAGATCGCGGTTTCTCTGTTTTTCTGGAATCTCCAATTGGAACGGGATTTATAGTAGGTGGAAAGGTAATCTAATAGTTGATCTGAGGATGCCGGGGTTGCCGGAGGTAAGGATTGCCCCGGAGGGCGGCTTAGGTGCCTTTGTTCCCGCTTTCGACGCTTTTCTGCTTTCCTTTGCTCGGCTGTGAGAGACGGCTGTTCGGGTACGGGTACGGTTTCTGGAGCTGGCGTGGGATCCTTTTCTTTGGTGCCCTCCGCGAACGAGACGGTCTTTTTAGGGGAACGTTTTGATGCTGGTTTTTTATCCGAACTAGTGAGCTGAATTTCCTCCGCGGATTTTTCGTCAGAGAGTTTCGGGTTTTCTTGACTTTTCTTTCTTTCACGCTTCTGTTTCTTCGTGGTGGTCTCTTCCTTTTGTTCGGGTGTTGCTTTTCTCTTTTTCACCCGATATTCCGACACTTCACCATTCCTAAGCGCACCATTTGTATGTATATCTGCATTTGCACGCTCTTCTGTCTCCTCTTTGGCATACTTTAATTTGAAGCCTAGCTTTTTCCATGCCGGAACGTGCTGCGTGGTAGCTGCCCCAGCCATCTCCGAAGGAATCTTGATTGCCTGGCGGTTTGGTAGGAAAATGTATTCAAAACAGTAAACAGTACAAAAACGTATCACCCCAATTCTATCAAGTAGTATGTAACACCTCCGCGCCCCAAGTGGCCCCTCGATCCGACGGTTTGCTTTGCTGTCGAGAGAATTTATTGAACATATGTAATTAATTCTACGTAATTTACACGTAATTTACATTAGCAACACTAATCTAATATGGATTAGCATAAATAATTGGGCTCCGCGCTAAACCTAATTGAGCTCAGGACTGACAGCGAGCTTGATCTCAGGCAGCTCTATCAACGCGTCCTCTCAACACCTCATGTACAATTCCTAAGCCCGAGCTCCATTATTGAAAATACTCCTGAGAACTGTCTGATCGTAAACATTATTCTTGTTATTTATTCTGTAATCTAGAGCATCACGATGTCGGGTAAGTCTTTTCCACACCTTATTTCGCCCTTGGCCTATGTTGACAATCGAGCTACGGCATCCAGGTAGTGCGGGCTACGATAGACATATCACAATCTTTTCGGATCAGGGGAGGTTGTATCAAGTTGGTAGGTGCATCTTTGTCCTCATGCATTAAGTTCGGATTCTTATCGATTCTCGCTTTAGAGTATGCTTTCAAAGCCATCACAGCTGCGAATATCACATCACTCGGTATCCGGGGAAAGAACTGTGCTGTAGTTTTATCACAGAAAAAAGTCCCGGTGCGTATTCCTTATATCAACTATCTTAACTTCTCAGGCTAACCCTCTGCCTCACGATATAGGATAAGCTGATTGACCCTTCGTCCGTGTCGCACGTCTTCAAAATCTCGCCAAATGTCGGATGCGTTGTAACTGGCTCGATAGCAGACGGTAGAGCTTCGATCAATCGGGCGCGAAGCGAGGCAGCGGAGTTCAAGTATAAATTTGGCTATGAGATGCCCTGCGACGTGCTAGCAAAACGCCTTGCCAACATCAGTCAAGTCTACACTCAGAGAGTCTGTTCCTCGTGATCCTCCATAAATATAGGATCGTGCTAATTGTACACAGGCTTATATGAGACCCCTTGGCGTAGCGACAACTCTGATCTCAGTTGACTCGGAGTTTGGACCTCAGCTATATAAATGCGACCCAGCCGGGTACTATGTCGGCTATCGTGCGACAGCGTCTGGCCCTAAGCAACAAGAGATTTTGAATTACCTTGAGAAGAAACTAAAAAGCAAGGATTATGCTGATGGCACATGGGAAGATGTTGTTGAATTGGCGATAACAACGCTTAGCAACGTTCTTAGCGTTGATTTCAAGAAGACTGAAATTGAGATTGGAATCGTAGGGGGTCCGAGTGCGGATGGCAAAGAAGGAACTGATCCAGCGTTCCGTACTCTGACTGAGGAGGAAATTGATGATCGCCTCCAAGCAATTAGCGAGAAGGATTGATCTAAGCTTCAGCTCAAGCCTCGACAGGCCGAGGTTCCGTAAAGAGCTCGGATAAAATAATCGTATATGTCTAGGCGATGGCAACGGATGAATATCTCTCCAGGGGTTTTCATTGCATAGAGTATCGCCATCAGCAATAGCTTGGATTCCAATCAATGCGAAGCTGCGGCGCCTCGGAATGGACTTTGTGATGTGTTTCAGAGGTCGTTGACTACTCATGTCAGTAGATGATTTCAAATAGATTCGGTTCTACAGGTGCTTCACGGTGTCCAGGCCCAAGAGTTGGCCCGTTGGCCACGCGATCTGGGCAGAGCTCCGTGCGATAATTCTATTCTAAACATAGCCTGCACTACACCAGTCATCAAGTTCCTCCGAGGCCCATCGTGTTGTGCCAGGGGATGGTGATGCGAGAGAGAGGAGGCAACGATCCTACCCATCGCGATTGAGGGATTTCAGGGAGGCCTTCAGCTATTCCACAAGCTCTGCAGCTCGCTGTCGCTCCCCTTGCGCGCGCCCGCTGCATCTCTGTGTTGTCCTGTGCGACATTGGCCTGGCGTGTGTGTTTAGCCACGCGAGAGGCAACTGAATCAGCTCCAGCGCCTGACACTAGCCCGGCTGGGACTAGTTCCCCGCCAGCCTGCGGAGCGTCTTCAGTGGCGCTGTGGCTGATGCTGAACCCGTCAACCTTTCTCTTGCTTGTCTTCTCGTACTGTGATCCCCACATCTGGGTCAGAGGTCCTGGCTTGCTGCGTTGACGTTGCCGTAGATGTGCAGATTCCATACACCGCTGTCATGGATCATCAGATGGCGTCCTCCCGGAGCCGTACCCATTGGCCCCCTTGGCTGCGTGACGTTCCGCTGCCATTTCTTCGAGATATGGACTTGGTTTCATATCCCCGAGTGAGCTTTTTTCTTTAAATACGGGAGCTTACAGCTCTTCAATTGAGTTTTTTTCTTGATTTCGTCAACAGTCATAGGACTGAGAAACGCTTTTGGCAGCATTTTCAACCTCTTCTTTCTTGTTTAATTTTTGATTTTATGTTGATTGAAACTAGACTGTTTGGTAACAATTCTTGCCATGGCTGACGGATGTAAGCATCTGATCTTTTGCCCAATGATTTTCAATATCTAACTAGAACCTACAGTGAATGAAGCTAGAGCCTTGAGAGTTGCTGAGCTGATGAACGACTTCAGAACACTCCTTCTTCATATATCCCAGCTAAAAACGGATGCGCCATCTGGAGAGGAATTTGAAGAGGGTTATACTTTGATGAGACGGTGTCTGGGCGAAGCTCAAGGACTCATTTCAACCCAATTCAATACTGAATCCATTCACAATTCGAATGCGGATGGAGAATGGCAAAAGGTGCAACTGCAGCGGTATGCTTTGCGTAAAATTTTTTGTATTACGCCTGTCATAACGAGCCAAGCTTATGGAGAACAGAATCATCCTTGACGCATCAGCACGCCGTTTCCAAGCACATAGACTGTACTTGCGGATGGCTGCTGCCAGGAGGTGGGCCATGACCCGCGCCCAGGTTTTACAGGGTCAAAAACCTGGACCGTCTCATCGAGATGCTCTTAGGGCGGCGGACGAGACTTTGCGCAACGTATGTTTTTTTTTTTTTTTGCCTCTTTATTGAATAGTTCTGGCTAATTGCTAGTAGGATCTTTTACAACTTACTGACCCCTATATCCGAAATGATCTCTGGTCTGCTGATGTTCGTGCTGGTCACTGGCTCAGCGAAGACCCGGAGTTGAGTACCATGCTGAATTGGTTTCGAACCCATTCATAACATTTATTCTGAACGACCAATGTATGCACCACCCAGTTTTATTATCTAGATTGGCTATAAAAGCCTATGGGAACGCAGGGCCCTTCCCTTGGTTTGAACGCTGGCCCGTTCAAAACCCTTTCCGGTTTACAAAAAGATGTACTTTTCGTTTTCTTCTCTTCTGGTGGTTTGTACTTTTTGCCGTGGTTCTGATTTCAGCATTATTTGGGAGCCTCGGACGTCGATACCCCTTATGACATGTGCTTTTTGGTCTCTATGAGCATGATAGAATCCGGCTTTTGGGTTGTTTTTTACCTTTTTCTGGGCAGCGTCTACAAATCAGCGATTTGAGCGTATCATTGTAATAGACCGTACTATTTTCTGTATAGTTGATCACGGATTTTCTCGCAAATGTGCTTCGAAGTGTTGCCATCCGATGGCTGAATACGTCAGACTCTCGCCACTGTGGCACCACACGTACAATTGCTGGGGAAAGGAAGAGAATTAATATCCCCATATAAGGCCGGGAAGCCCGAAGGATACGCAGATACTGAGTAATCAGTGGTTGACGTGTAGCATTGGCGTTCGCGATGACCATCCGACATTCGCCTCCGCCCAAGACCAATAGCTTCGCCAGGGGTCATGAACGTGCCAAGGCCAGACGGTCTACCTGAGCCCGATTGGCCCGGAGAGTCGAAAGACTCAGAGCTTAGCGCCCAATATGTGGGTGGACTACGGAGTATACACATATAAATACGGATAAAGTTTCGGGCTCCGCGCGTCCAATAGCTAGGAGTGAGTGACGGATTGAAGGGCGCGTACGGAGTAGTTAGGTGATATTCACATTTGCCACGCCGCATGAAGAAAGGAGCGGTAAGGGTCGAACGCAGACATGCATTGGCCCTGCTCTCGGGCCCTTTTGTCGTTGCCGCCCAGAACGCAGAGTTGGCGAGACAGCGGAGCAATAGGGCGGGCGTAAGCCACTGGCTGGCCCGTGCCTTGCAGATGTCACTCGGAGGCCGCCGCTCGGCCGGAGCTTCTTGCCTGGCTAGGCCTAGCGCGCTGCCACAAAAATTATGTCATCTGTCCATCTGTGGCTGTGCAGCGAAAATTTCTGATCTCGAACAAGGCGATGGCAGAGATTTTCTGACCTGCCACGTTTTTGCGCCTTCGATTGGCTGTCACCGCGTTTCGTCGAGGCCCAGCTGCGAGTGCTGAAGATTGCAGTCCCGACATAGTTCACACGGCGCCAATGCCATGCATCAAAACTCGTCTGCGCTTTTGCGTATCATCAGCGCATTGCAGGGCAACACAAGTGCCTCGAAAAGCCTCATGGTTGAGGTGAGGGCAAAATGGCCGACAGATAACCAAGCAAACGCCGATCTGGGAAGATCAATGTCGTTTTGGATCGCCATAATGTGATAGCCCAACGCCCCCAGTGACCATCATCGGTCAATCCCGCACAACATGGCTTCCAACGCAAGAGCGTTTTGCTATTAATAATAGCCCATACCGCGAACCAACCTTCCGAGGCCACTGGCCGTGCTTTCCACTTCTCTTTTCTACACATCGCAAGCCATGCCGTCACACAAACCCCTTGTTGAGTTCATAAGCAAAGCTCTTGAGGTATGCTGATTGTGACCCTTCTGCGGACAACATGCTGCTCAACTCGCATAAGGTTGGGTTTCTCGGCTATTGGCTTTTTTAGGGGGCGTACAATGCATTTGTACTCCTTTGTTATTTACCCGCATCTTTTATTTAAGGTGGCGAAATTCATTCATAAATTTTGTTCGCACCGTGCCTTGGGAAGACAGTTTAAATATACTCCGTATCGAGAACAGAGTACAAGTCTTTGTTCATGCTTAGTGTGAGGGTTCTAGGTTGAATCTGCCCACTATCCAGGGCATTGGAAAACTGCTACTGAGTTACCATCTGGCGTAATTGACACGTTGTTCATTATTAAATGTGTGGCAAGGATTGAAAGGATTGAAAAGAGGGAAAGTACTTCTTTCCCTGCTTCCTCTAGACTGTTTCAATTGCTGAATAGATAAACCCTATGGTTCTGTAGAAGTATTTTGAAGTACATACGGAGTACAGTACAAAATCACTCGGTTTATATCTTCAAGCAACACCAAGACATGGGCGTTTTTCTATTTTTGCTGCGTGGGACAAGACGTTGGCCTGGATGGCAGCGCATCGAATATTTCCGAGACACTCTCACGAAGGCTGAGCCCAAACACGGGATCAAAAATTTACTTCGATAAGATATACGGAGTACGAAATAGGAATTACACGGCTTGGACCCTCAGTTCAACGCCTGCTTTGCTTGATTATGCGATTTGGAGCCTATACCCTGGTATTCTTTATGTATCGGAGTATTTAAATGCCTTGTGCTGGCCTCGTGGGGCTGTTGGAGCGCCGGGCAGCGCTGCGTACGAAGAAGAGGCTAAGCTTCGACTAATGCAGGATCTGTTGCCAGGTGGCCAGACGCGAGGAGGCGGGGACGTTAACGCATGTCGAATCATTGATCTTATTCCTAACCAGTATCTGATTCCATTTCTGACTCCAGCCTCTAACCGGCGGGTGATAAGACTAGACCAACACAGCAGCTATCCGAGGTCAGCTGGTAGAAGTTCTCGGTTCCTCACATTTTGCGGCCGCTAGCATCGTGCAACTGCTATTGGTGGACAATTCTTCTTCTCCGCCTTAATGAGACTTAAGAAGGGAATAGCTCCGTGTCTGACTTGGTGTGAGGTTGCATTATTGTTATTTTGAATCTGGGATCAAAGGACCGTCCGTTGTTTGATCGCAAAACATCTTCGGTTTTTCCGTCGTGACCCTATCGGTGTCTTAAATTGATTGGCGAAATTATTTCACACCTTTAACTGGCTACGCGTGTAGTCTGACGGATATTCTCGCATATTTCTTATGCTGGTACTCCGTACGGAGTATATGTATGTATTTCTTACCCCGATTACCGGACCAGGTTAGAGGAAATGGCAGTCCTGAAATGTCAGCCCCGGGTTATTGTTAATGGGAAGAACGAAATGCCCAGATACAACATACTAGTTGGGTTGGCCATCGACAAGTATTTGAGCTGTGAAATCCTCAGTAGACGTCGTCGAATTTGTTCAACTCCCTGACTTATATCATGTAACCCACAAGGTAGCTATTTTCTTCACCTTGACTTCCATGCCAAGGGCTGTAAGTAAGACCACTTGTCATCCGTTGTTGTGTTGTCTTTTCTTGGGGGACGGGGTTTATAATCCAAATGCTGGACATGGTTTACATACCACTCATGGATCGTACGATCTGCGCGATATACCGGATTTGGGGCGGACGAGGATAGGGTCCTCAAATCCAAGATTTCTCATCCACCGATTCAAACCCTTCCCGCACGTTTTACTGTAAGCAACTTGTATTGTTTTGGGGACCGCGAAATGACTATTGTACGAGGTGTTATGTTTCGCGAGCGCAATAATTTATTCTTCACATGACTGTGTTGTCAGACATCCCGCTTAACGCCCTAAAATTTCGAGAGTCAAATCAGACAGACAGGCATGGGTACCCTGGAGAACGAATCTACTTTCTCTCAGAGGAAAAAGCTCACTCTACGGAGTACACGTGAAGCTGAATCAATGCATATAAGAGCACTCTGTTGAATAGAGAGGAAATAACGTCCATGGCTGTCTCCGTGGGAAATGGTATCTTACAGACGACAGTGCTCCACAGTGGGCTTACGACTGGGACAGGTTAAGGTCGATTTAAATTCGAGCTACCACGTTCTAGGCGAATAGAAAGAGGATCGTTGTGTAAAACAAACCGCTTTTTCCCCAGGGTCAAGCTAGAGTTCCCCAGGAGGCATCCCTGGGCCTCCACACCATTCTCGCGTTCTCAGATTCCCCAGAGCTCTTGGATCGACATGTCGATTCGAAAGCTCTCTCCATCGCGTTCCAACGTGGCAGCTTCACCAGCGACTCTGGCTGTGGCGGCCTCAAGCCTTTCCAAGACTTGCTTGGGTGCGTCGAAGCCTTCTTGGCGCATAAATTCGTCCGGGAGCGGCAGGGATCGGCCGTGCCGCGATAGCCGAGAAGGGAAAGGCCGCGTTACCCGGAAAAACCTTAACGCGACGTGCTGTCCTGCGACTTCTTCCCTGTGCGACCACAGCGTTAATCTCACGCAGCCCAGCTGTGCTCTGCCGTTGGAGCTTCGTATCCTGCGAGACATGCGCGCCCTGGACGTTTGGCGACCTTTCGTCGGGCAGGAATCCTCTTTACTCCGTCTGCGGGGCTTTGTCGCGATACCTTCGGCAGTCCTTCTAGAATCTTTCCCGGCGCGTTTTGGGTTCTTCATTGGAGACAGAAGTGGGCCTTCATGAACTTTCGGGGTTGCATCGACCGCCACACTACCTGGTATCACTGTAGGATCTGGTGGCCTGTTGAACTCAACCGCTCGGAGTTGAAACAGCTTTTTCGTACCCGACCTCCGCTCTCAGAAGAGAGACATACAGCGAAAACGGTATTCCGTATGGGCCTAGCCTGTGAAACCTTCATTGCGAATTTGCGACCGTGCGGAGTGCTGCGGCGGTTTGGGCATCTATGCGCTTGTGTATCTCAATCAAGATGAGAATCATGGTCTCCTTGACATTGTGATGATAACCTCCTAACCGCATAAAAGCGTGGAATTTGCCACTCGCGAAATGAGCGTACATTACTCCGTACGAGCTGCCATGATTCGAGATCGTACTATTCTATGGCCAAATTCTCCGGAAACTCCGTTCATCTCGAGTTGTGCGCATTAAAAGCCAAGGATTCTCCTGTCAACGGCGCTCTCATTGGCTTCTCGCGTGTAATTCAAACTCTCGTTATGTTGGTGGCCCGCATAAAACCGCGGTAAAATTTACAAGCTTAAGCCACCTACGTTGAGTCGCTTTGCAATAATTTCGCTGGACCTTGTGTGGTGATCTTTCCAATTTCTCTGGGAGTCTACCAATCACTCACGCTTAGAGGCGAAACTGGACCTATCCAGTCTCCCAATAATGGCATCGGGTCCAGCATATTTGACTGGGTTAACAGCGGGTACTCCGTGCGCTTGTATCGAAAACTTGTATTTTTGCATGTCCGTACGGGAAGCACGCGCCCGCCTCCCCTGCGTGTCGGGTGATATCTCCGGGGAGATCTGACAGTAGTTTCGAAGAGCAGGTATCTTCCATGCCACCTTGCCGATCTAGTATGTACCTCTGTTATGATTTCGCCCACGAAAGTCAACCAATTTTTTCACCTCAGGCCAATGGTATCTGGAAGAACGCGAGATAAGCATTCTTTTCCAGAATGGTTTCCTTTCCATGCCCCCGGTTGACTTTCAAACTTTCTCGTTGTTGGAGGTCTGTGGTTAAATAGCCGGCCTGTCCCCCTCGCGACCTTTGCTCTGATCTTTTTCCTTTTCCTTCTAATACTCCATATTTGCCCTGTCCTGTACTTCTTTCTCTGCCTGCCTCCAGCTGAAATAATCGGTGGGAGGATTGTGCGGCTCAGAAGGGATGGCCGACCATGAGTCAGAAGCAGCTCAGTAAGCACTCTGTCCATCTTCCTGTTCTCTGAAAGGAAAGGTTGTCTAACGAAAGAACATCAGGCTGCATCAGCAGTTCAACCGGGGCACGGAGCCTGCCCATCAAACGGAAGATATGGCTGGCGGATCTTTAGACAAGGAAATGGCCGTGGATTCCAACTCTCTTGAGACTGGATATAAGAAGGAGGCAGATGGCCCAACGGCCGATGGCGATGAGCCCACGGAGGAAGAGAAGCGCACACTGAAACACGTTGCCGAATCTCTGCCTATCTCTGCCTGGCTTGTTGCAGTCGTCGAGCTGAGCGAACGTTTCACATACTATGGTATGCAGGGTCTGTTTCAGAACTATGTTCAAAGGCCGCTTGATGGAACACTTGGTCGTGGTGCACTTGGTATGTTATTTTCCGATTCCGGGACGATATTCCTCAATGATTAACCGTGGTGCAGGTCTGGGACATCAAGCTGCTACCGGCTTGACAACCTTCTTCCAATTCTGGTGCTATGGTAAGCAGCAGGTCCTCAACAATACGTCGTCCGAACAATTGAGTTAATATTTTCGGCTAGTGACCCCAATTCTCGGTGCCATTGTTGCCGACCAGTATCTCGGAAAGTATATGGCCATTTTCTACTTTTGTATCGTTTATATCGTCGGTCTTATGATTCTCCTCTTCACGTCACTACCAATAGCTTTGCAAAATGGCGCTGGCTTGGGAGGTTTCATTGCTGCTATTGTCGTCATTGGCATTGGAACTGGTGGTATCAAATCGAACGTCGCGCCGTTGATTGCTGATCAATACAAGCGAAAGACTATGGCCATCAAGACAATGACAAATGGCGAGCGGGTCATTATTGATCCTGCTTTGACAATCCAACGAATCTATATGATCTTTTATGCCTGTATTAACATCGGATCCCTCTCGCTCCTCGCGACACCATACATGGAACGGGATGTCGGCTTCTGGTCGGCTTTCTTGCTCTGTCTGTGTGTCTTCGTTGTCGGAACCTGTGTCCTGGTCCTTGGACGCAAGTTCTACGTCGTTCGTCCTCCAACTGGATCTATCATCACCAATGCCTTCAAAGCAATGGGTATGATGGTTGCAAACCGAAATCTTGACGCACCGAAACCGTCGTGGCAGGCTGAGCACGGACACAACCGCACTTTGGCTTGGGACGACCAGTTCATCGATGAGTTGAAGCGTGCTTTGGTTGCTTGCAAAGTGTTCACATTTTATCCTATCTACTGGGTTGTGTATGGTCAATTTTCTGGGAATTTTGTTTCTCAAGGTATGATTCGAGATTTGAAACAAAAAGGATGTGTGTGGATTGGATAGTTCACTGACTATTGATTCCTTCTAGCTGGCCAAATGGAGCACCATGGGATTCCCAACGATTTAATGCAAAATTTCGACCCGATTGCTATTATCGTCTTCATTCCCATCCTCGATCGGATCGTTTACCCGATCCTTCAAAAGTTGCACATTCCTTTCAGGCCAATTACCCGGATCACTCTTGGATTCGTTGTTGCGTCTCTGGCCATGATGTATGCGGCGATTGTGCAGCATCTGATTTATATTTCGCCGCCTTGCTACGAGCACCCGCTCTGTGATCTGTCCAAGGTGGACGGGGTCGCGCAAGGAAACAAGATCCACATCGCGGTCCAGACCCCCGCATATATGCTCATTGGTATCTCGGAGATTTTTGCTTCCGTCTCCGGCCTCGAGTACGCCTACACCAAGGCGCCCTCGTCGATGAAGAGTTTCGTGCAGTCCATGTACCTGTTGACCAACGCCTTCGGGGCCGCGATCGGAGAGGCACTAACGCCGGTGGCCTACGATCCTGCAATCAAGTGGATGTTCGTGGGATTGTGCTGTGCGTCGTTCGCGGCCGGTGTCATCTTCTGGTTCACCTTCCACCACCTTAACGCCAAGGAAGACGACATGAATGCACTCGACAAGGATGAATATTAAGTGACCTGTCCGGCGACGTATGACTTTTAATAATGATGATCGGTTTACGAAACGCACAGGTTGCCGTCACAGTGATTTGGCATTTGTATATACGTGTGTAGATAGCCTGCTATTTCAAATATACCCAGGAGCATGGATGATATATCAATTTCATGGGTGCAGCGTCGAATCCGAGTTGCAAAATGCCCTGCGATCCACCCGACGCACCGACGATCGCCCCCATGCCGGCGAGACCTCGTTTTCGGCGCAGGCGGTCGTGAGTTGCTGGGGTATATTTCCTGTCATCAGCTGCTCTGCTCGACGCAGCCCCAGCGGGCAGGTTCGGCAGACGGATTTATCATCAGCGGGGCCATATTTTGGCGCATGCTCGCCCGTGTAACTCTCTGCCGGGCAGCGGCCGCGGGGTCGGGACGCAGCAGCCCTTTGACGACGTCCGCAGCGGGCATCCCTGCCTGGCAAGCATGGCCAGGGGCTGCTGGCGGCGATTCGACGGGCAGAGCGAGCGGAAACGCGGCTCCGCCTTCCAGCGTTGCACTCCCCGTGACCCGGGCCTGGGCGGCGCGCGGGCGGGGGCGCCGTATGCGGCCTAGCGCCCAGGAACGTCGCACCCTGCTGCAGGCAAGATCCTGGCCCGCCGCTCCTGCCAACGCCGCCCGTTTTGTTTCACCTTCGCTCTCGGACGAGGCACCACCTGGTTCCCGCAGGATCTCCCTCCTCCCTCCCACGCGAGAGGACGCGCCCAGGGATGCCCAATTAATGTTCCTCTCGCCGGGTCCGTCGTGCGGCCCGTCCGCTCGCCGTCGTGCTCCTTGCAATCTGTTGAGCTTCTCACCGGGAGCTGCCGTTCTGGCTTCTGGCTTCTGGCTCCTTCACGTTCTTCTTGTGCCCGTGCTGGCTGTGGCAATCTGGCTCCTGCGACGACTGCCACCATGCGGTACGAGACGCCGACACGATGGCCTCGCCAGTTAGCCTTTGCCAAGGGAGAAGCGCGGCAGGGGATCTCTCGTTTTTCTGCTTGCCCCATGGCATCATGAGCGGTGCTTTAGCCGGCTTGGGCTCAGAGCGGGCCGTTCTGTTCATCAGACGCCTCCCATTATTATTTCTTCAGCCCTCCACCTGCCTTCGTCGCCATCCTCCAATCCTCTCCGCACAGACGCTGTTGGCCACAGCTGTGGTATGTATCTCTTTAAAAAGGACGCCAGCACAAGTATCCACGCTCCGGTTTTCGCATCCACGTTCCTTTTTTGTCCTGCTGCTACAGTCGCCTCCTTAGACTGCCGGCAGCCAGTTTATCCATACTGTGCTCTCTGCCTTTTGCAAAACGTATAGACAGTTCTTGTCTATATCCCATTCCTTCTCTTCGTGTCTCCTTCCTCAGATACGCTGTGTACTGTTGGACAAGATATCTGGTCTGAGACTATTATCCGCAGCCATGAGCTCCCCACGTCTTCTTGTATCACCTTGGCCGAGTAGGGCGATTTATGTTTTGCTGGTTTCCTGCCTCTTGCTGGGCAGCCTTCCCGCTGTATTTGGTAAGTAGGAGGTATATATGATTGGCCATTATTGTCAATTCCCCGAAAAGAAACCGCTTTCAACCCCTTGTTACACATTTCTTGCCCTAAGGCCCAGTGGCCGATTTCTTCTCGGTGTTTGTCGAAATCCCACTGTTGCGTGGTGGGCGAATGTTATATCTGTGTTCTTTTTTCTCCTACATAGAATAGTTTCACTCTTTTGGGTCGCATCTACTTGTTAAACTTCAGCAACTAATTACACCATAATTTATAGCGGCACCGAATAGCCCTCCCAAGAGCACTTGTGTTCAGGTTGTTCAAGAGCCAGCTCACCCTCCAAAGGCCCCTTGTGTTAAGGAACCCCCGGTCGTTGTTCAACAGCCAGCCACCCCCCCAAAAAAGACCACTTGTGTTAAAAAACCGCCGAAGGTCGTTCCAGAGCCAGCTATCCCTCCAAAGGCCCCTTGTGTTAAGGAACCCCCGAACAGTGTTCAAAAGCCAGGCATCCCTCCAAACACCACTTGTGTTAAAGATCCCCCCAAGGTTATTCAAAAGCCAGTTGTCAATCTGCCAGGTTCTTCATCAAATACATCTCACAGCGAATCTGGTTTCAGATCAGTTGCATACTTTGTCAACTGGGTGTGTATCATGTCCTATTTTAATCTGAGCCGACTAGCTTACACAGTTCGCACAGGGCATCTATGGGCGAAAGTACACGCCAAATGACTTGCCGGTTGAGAAACTAACTCACATCCTCTATGCATTCGCCAATGTGAACCCGAATTCAGGAAAGGTGAACCTGACTGACCCTTGGTCTGATGTCGAGCAACGCTATCCTACTGATTCTTGGAACGACAAAGGAACCAACCTGTACGGATGTACCAAGCAAATGTACTTGCTCAAGAAGCGCAATAGGCACTTGAAGGTTCTCTTGTCGATTGGCGGCTGGACATACTCCCCTAATTTTCCTAAGGCCGTCAGTACGGAAGCCGGGCGTAAGAACTTTGCCGAAACTGCTGTACAACTGATGTTGGACACGGGCATGGACGGCCTCGACATTGACTGGGAGTATCCGAAGAGTAAGTCAATGGCATCCGAACGATTTGTTAACAAAAGGCTGACCCGAGTTAGACGATGAGGAGGCTCAGAATTTTGTCCGCCTGCTAGAGGCAGTTCAAGCAGTAAGAGCCCTGTTTTCCCATTTGCCCCTAATCATAACGGAACTAAAATATGAAATTAGAAATTTAAGACCATCGCTGGAAATCGAAAGTTCCTTCTTACTATTGCTACTTCCGCTGGTATGTATTTTTTTCTTTTGACTTGAACATTATCTGACAAAGCTATAGGGCCTGATAAATTAAAGATACTGCGCCTCAAGGAGATGGACCAGTATCTTGACTTTATTAACCTCATGGCGTACGATTACAGTGGTCCTTGGGATTCGATAGCCGGTCACCAGGCAAACATTAGACCGTCTAAAAACCTCACAGCTTCAACTCCATTTTCCACCGAAGCTGCTCTGAATTATTACATCAACACTGCCGGTATTCGTGCTTCAAAATTAGTCGTTGGAATACCGCTTTATGGCCGTGCTTTTACCAATACCGATGGACCCGGAACACCTTTCAAAGGCGTAGGGGAGGGAAGCTGGGAGAAAGGAATTTGGGATTATAAGGTTCTCCCGCAAAATGGCTCGCAGGTGTTCCGATCATCAATTTTCGAAGGCGGAATAGGTGCATCGTGGAGTTACGATTCTGCGAAAAAACTCTTCATTTCCTTTGATACCGTTGAAATGGTGGCAGAAAAGACCCAATTCATTTTCGACAAACAACTGGGCGGCGCCATGTGGTGGGAAGCTAGTGGAGATCGAGGTGGGAGAAACGCAACGATGTCTGGAGGAAGCCTGATGGCTACCTTTTATGAAAATATTCGCAAGCTCTCGAGAAATGGAATGGAAAAGACGCCGAACGTGCTAGACTACCCAGAGAGTAAGTACGATAATATGAAGTCCGGGATGAGCAACTAAATGGCATTCGACGGTGCTTGATTAAGATTTCTCATCTTTGAACTTCATATCCACCCCTTGTCCCTTTAGACTTCTTGTCCCTCGCTATATACCCCTTGCTTTTGCTTTTCTAGCGAAAGCTGCTACTGTGTTTGGTGTGCCGTGTGATAGGGACCGTTGAGGTTACTTTTGATGTTTGATATACGGAGTATCTCTCTACGATTGTATATATGATTATGACCGCAATACATAGAGTATAACGGCTGTCTTATACATTATTTTCGAGGTACAAATTAAGCACCAAAAAAACAAATAGGAATTAGAAATTAGTTTCAGGAATCATTGCCATTGATTTGTGGTCGAGATAGCTATGTTAACAAGGATTCGATAGTCATTTCAACGTCTCCATGCAACAGGCACAAACGGCTTTGTTAATTACAATCATTTGGATCCCTCATAGACATAAGTAAGATGGCATTTGCCACAGTACTGGCGGTTGTGCATAGAAGCCATGAAAATACCGGCACCGCACTGTTGTAAGAATATGTCAGCAAAACTTGTCATGATTCCAACATTTTAGGAGTATGTTCCTTACTTCTTCGGACGGGCATTCTCGTCGCAAGCGCTCAATATTGCCATCGGCATCAACCTTGTAGTATTTGAGCACAGCGAGCTTGGTCTTCTTGCGCTTGTGCTTGATCTTCTTGGGAGTGGTGTAGACCTTCTTCTTTCTCTTCTTAGCACCACCACGGAGGCGGAGGACAAGGTGAAGGGTGGACTCCTTCTGGATGTTGTAGTCCGAGAGGGTGCGGCCATCCTCCAGCTGTTTGCCGGCGAAAATCAGACGCTGCTGGTCAGGGGGGATGCCCTCCTTGTCTAGAGGTTTTCTTAAGTCAGATTTGTTGACGTGGCTGGTGGGGGGTTGTGGTTTGACGCACCCTGAATCTTGGTCTTGACATTGTCAATGGTATCCGATGATTCCACCTCAAGGGTGATGGTTTTACCCGTGAGGGTCTTGACGAAGATCTGCATCTTGACGAAGGCCTGTGAACAGGGAGGTCGTGGTCAGCACTGATTCTTCCACTGATGTTTTGCGCACAGTATTTCCATGAAACCAAGCGAAAGAAATAGTGCAGATATGTTATTGGAATAGAATCAGAGTACGCAGCAGTGCAACTCACCTCGACAATTTGTCTTCCTCAACCTTCCTGATCAGAACTTCGTTGGAGGGGAAAAATTTCGTAAAGTTCGTTTGATGTCGAGCTAAGCGGGTTGTGCGTCACGTGCCAGTACATGAGTAATAGCTGAGTCAGCGCCATTAAGGCTGAGGTGCGCTAGTCCGGACTGGGCGGTTGCTGGGTCGACCGCCTGTATTTACTCCATGGCCGCGCTTACCTTCAGGGAAACGCCAGCGGCCTCCACTTTCGGCTTTCTCACGGCTGTCATCCGCTGCATCATGATCCAAAGGGCTTTTTTGTCTCTTTGCGAATGCTCACGTTTATCATCCTGAGCTCCGCCTACACGCTGTTTCTATACGTCTTTCTAATCTCGCTGTCGCCATCCCGCGCCCTACTTCGCCGCGGTTAAGACCACAGATTTCACACATCTATACTTAGACACAGCATTTCCTCCTCCTTTATTGACCCCATTCTTCCCTGGACTTCGCCTATTAGGGTGATGAATCTCTAAATGTGACCTCCTTGCACCGAGGAGCCGTCGTGACACCGCCCATTTACAACTAGCTGTCGCCGCAGTTTATAGCTTGCCTACGTCTGCCTCGACGATAATTGAAACTCCTTAACATGCTAGCAGCTTTCAACGCCAATTTTGACCGCGCGGAGACTATTCGGCAGCAGCATGGCCTGTCTCTCGATATCCAGGACGATATCATGGCAAAGCCCATGCGGCCCGCCGTTCGGCATCGAAGAGGATTGAGCCTTGATCAAGGAATAGCAAAGAGCCGCCAAAGGACACTCATCCCTAAGTTCGAGCCCTTTGAACCCCTGCAGTGGAAAGCCGCCACATCAGGACTTGCTCAGGAGGTGTCGGCATCGCGCCCACAAACTCCGATCAAACACGATGAGACAGGTAAGTCAGATGGCCACCATAACTCCAATTCTGGCTGACGTGGCTGAGACTTACTTTCCCTGACACCAGCAACCACACAGTATTGGAGGCCAGCACAGCTTCCTCGAGGATGTAAAACAGCTCAGTCGTCGCCGGTTAAACAATATGTACGCCCCATTCTTGCTCCCGCGGAGCGCGCAAGGTCATCCCACGGAGTAATGAACGCACGAGATACTCTTGCACCGCTCTCTAACACAAATTGTCTTCAACCCGAGACTCTCAGTTTGCACATACCCAAGATGAGCGATGACATCTTTTCGGATTTCACGTTCCCTGGGACGGAAAACTTCAACTCTGCGACGATATCCTCACCTGTTTCCCCTATGATGCCTTGCTTTCCACAGCTTTCAGGAGCAACTGCCTTGAATTATCCTATTAGTTGCAGAAGAGGGGATAAAGTTCCAATAGCCCCAGCGACGCCGCCAGTTTCAATTCCGCTGAGAACGGCAACTTCAAGCCGTTCCTCTTCGCCGGCGAAGACCTTGTTATCACCACGCGCTCTTTCAATTGCAGATTTAAACCTCGACTCTAGTATTGACGCCTCAATTGAAGAAACGGGCATTACCTTAGACGACATAGCAACTCATATCGAGGGCCCGGATCCTATTGACAATAAATGGGTATGCAAATACGATGGGTGCAACAAAAGGTTTGGAAGGAAAGAAAATATCAAATCCCACGTTCAAACGCATCTCGGAGACCGCCAGTTCAAGTGTAATCACTGCAATAAATGTTTTGTTCGAGGCCACGATCTTAAACGTCACTCGAAAATTCATACGGGCGTGAAACCTTATCCCTGTGAATGCGGTAACAGTTTCGCCAGACATGATGCTCTGACGAGGCATAAACAGCGTGGAATGTGCAGTGGTGCGTTTGCAGGGGCCGTTCGCAAACCCCTTAGACGTGGGAGGCCGAAGAAGCGACCTGACGCCGAGGAAAGACGGGATAAAGCCGTCAAAACACACGAGCGATCGAGGAGAAGTCATACACGCAACCTCTCTGAATCTTCCTGTGCTTCTTTTGTTTCTTCTGCAAGCGAATGCGCGAGTGGGAGAGACTTTAGTCCGGCAAATGACCTATCTTTCCTTCAGGACACCACATTTGGTTTACCACCAGACGCATTTTCCTTCACTCCTCCCGCATCTCCGAGTCATAGTACCGGGAATATTCCGTCGCCTTCTCGAAACTATCACTCAATTGCCTTGGATCCAGATCTAAACCCGCTATACCTTTCACCAAGCAAAAGACCCTTGGATGACATACCTGAAGAGATACCTGATATTCCACTTCTTACCCCTAATTTACCATTGAAAACAGATACACGAACTGCCTCGCCAGTGCAGCTGTTGTGGCCTTCCATAAAAGATGAAGACGACATATGCAAAGTGGAATGTGCAGATCTCGATGATGTATTTATTAGGCATGCTCACGAAACAGCCCTATGTCAGGACCATCTCCCGGCGCTTGATCCGACGACGGATATTTCCGAGCCAAACTCATCGCACTACGACGATGAGTACTTCCTGAGCCATGGAGAACCAAACAGCTCCGACTTGCTCAACACTCCTTTGTTTCCTGTGTCCTTTTCTCCTGAGACCGAAGCTTTCTTTGACGAATTTACTGTTAAAAATGGAGCTTAGGCGTCACGGTTTCTTCGGTTGATCTCTGGTTTCCAGGGCATGTTTTGTCAATTGTCGTAAATTTTTAACTTGATGTGGGGGTTTAATCTGGGTGTTTCTTTTGTCAATGTTTGCTTTTAGAAAATCTGTACAACATTATGACTTTTCCTTGATGAAGACTCGGATTGCCAAATTTCTTGCCACTTTGCTGAGTGTATTTTGCGTTACTTTGGTGTCATGATAGTATGAGTGATTCTTGCAGATAATTAGTTTTGCGCTCTGGATTCAACTTTTCCGTTTTGATACTACTTCCCAGATAGTGATTCTATGTACGTATACTTCAACTTGAGGTCTATCTCGTTATTTTCTTTTCTCCTCCCCATCTGCGTCGTGCGATTCTGGCCCTCGGAGACCTCTGTGGTGGCCCGTTTCGATGCCAAGCCGGATGGCGCTCGACAAACCCAAATCCCTGCATGTCCGAATCCAACGTCCATCGATAGAATATAGCCTGAATCGGTGCGAAAGCATCTCAAGACAGCTTGAGTGTGGACCGTATCCCATTTCAAAGATGCTTAAGACTGCCCTGCAAGGCATAAAGCGGGTTATGTTGTCACGGGACCACGTCCTTTCCGCCCCTGGATCCAGCGAGCCTTGCTGGATCCAGGCCGTCTTTTTTCGTTATGAACGTCTCTTCTGTTGAAGCTGGCGGTCTACTCTGCCCATGGCTCTTGTTGCTGGGGAAGAAATGGCAGGAATTTGCCGTGCTGGTGACTGTTGCTCTGGTCAACGCCTTGCACAAGTGAGGCCAAAGTCACGTTGGCAGAACATGCCTCCTGAGCCCTGCCACCAGCAGCGCTTCAGTTTGTTTATTGTGTGTTGATAGAGTGTGTCTCCTTGCACCTGCACTGCTCACTTGCTTGTGTTTGTTCGTTCTCTTCTTCTCCTCCTCCCCCTATTTCTACTTCTCCCCCACAACCTTCTCGCTTACATCGTCCTCCCACGACGCCGTGCAACATATCAAGCACGCCTTGTCAACATGGCAACAGCACTGATATTGCGCGTTGAGAGCTTGTATGCCTTATCAATTACTTCTGCCGTGCTTCATTTTTTGACTGCTGGCGTCCGGGTCTTCGATGGCCTGCGCTCTCGCCGCCGTCCCAGTGGCGATGGAATTTTTGCAGTGGCAGCAGCAGTATGTTCTCATTTGAATCATTTCACCCATCTTTGATGCTGAACATTGCTTTCAACAGTGGTTTGGCATTGGGTTTTCTATCATCTTTGCCATTTGTAAGGCATATCCCTCTTCTCCTATATTTCATTGAACAAAACTCACATATCCAATTAGTGAGCCATAGGTATATTGACAACCCCAGTGATCCTGAACTGGAATCCTTGGATGTGAGTGTCCTCATTGTAAATCCATACAATGCTGCAAGGTATTTAATGATCATAAATGCTTTCAGGGACTCGGCCTTTTTCTGGCGGCAAAGAATTGCTACAAGCTCTCATTCACTTTCGCAGTGATTTCCCTTATTACACAATGTCTCTGGATGTATCCTTCTGGACCATTTCGTCGGTTTGCTTGGGTGTGCCTCATCTTTGCTGTGGCTGAAGTAATTTTATTCCTTCCCATTATAATCACTTATTGTGTCAGCCCCAACTACTCTTGCGACTTCTTGATCTACAGCATCCCCTTTAATACTGAGAGTTTCTGGCTGTTTGATGCTGGATTTGCGGCTGTTTGCAATTTCGCTCTCTGCTGTCTCCCGATTCAACGAGTGCTCACTATTGAGCTTGAAAAACCAGCTCGTGTCTGGCTTTTCGCTGGTGCAACTGTGGTCATTTTGTAAGTCAAAAATTGCAATGTTGCTAGTATTGTTTAACTGACAAGATAGTGTTGTGACTTCATCTGTCCTGCGTGTTGTGACCTTATCATGGGCAAGAGGGGCTTCAGATCCGGCTGGTCAGTAATTTTCTGCTAAAAGCCTCCAACTTGGGGGATTTTGAGACCATTACTAACAAGAAACTATAGAAAAATTTCTAGCGTACTGGTTCTGGACATTGTTTGAAAACACCGCAATGGTATTTTGTTGTTCCATGGCCTCCTTTTCTGATAGAGTGTCCGAGCTCTTTCACTGGCTTTCGAAATATGTTAAGAGCAAGATTGCCGGCGAAGGACTACAAGGAAATTCATCGGGATATCGACTATTTCCTAGTTTATGGGCAAGTCAAGATGAGAACAGGCGCGATCCCTCATTTCAATCTGTTGTCACCCCCTACCCCTCGGCTTTGGACAGTACCTATGCACCAGAGTTGATAGACGTATTTGAGCCCGATACCCCGCCAAACGGCGAAAGCACAACTTCTGCCAGCACTTCAAACGCACGTCCTGCAGTCCATGATCCAGACGACGATGTCCTGCTGCTTGCTGCCGGATGTCGTGCTTTTAAAACCTCTAGAAACCGCCTTCGTCAGGAGGCAACTGAGCGGCTTCGTGAACATGCGCCCCCAGGAGCACCCTGATCGATACTGCATGCCCTCATTAAAATGCGCAAACAGTGCCGCCTCTAACATCCTATTTTACGGAGACATTTGGGGACGATACCAGCCTAGTCCTACCAGCCAATGGGCTATGACGAGAACTACGAGATTCGATACACACAAGTTATGGAAAGGAATGTTTTTTCTTTTGTTTTATCGCAGAGAACTTTCAATATCAGAATGAAAATGAGCTATGTACGTATTCACACAAGTCAAGTAGGGAGATTTGAATACAAATTCTATTTAAAATGAAAAGGCTATTTCGCTTAATCGTATGAGGACAAAGTTGTATTGTAAAAGCACCGTCAATCATGACAAGTGTGCTTTTTTATAGCCCACATCCTCCTGCTTCTTCTCTTTCCACAGTCTTAGGACTTCGAAGCCTACCTCCACAGCAATCAAGAGGATTATCGTCCACTCGAGTCGTAGGCCATGCGTCTCGCTCAGCCTCTCACGCAGAACGCTGGCAATTTCCTGTGCATAATCCATTTTTTCGTTAAGTATCTTAATGCGGATTCCAATGTCAAGAGCTCTTCCAACCTGATCATAGTTTCCCTCAAGGCCAAGCTCATGCCTACTATCCCAGAAGAGATCGGGGAGGGAATCTGTCAGCTCTGAATAAAGATTAAGGTGTGCTCGTATGCTCAATAACTGCCCTGTTTTCCGGAGAATAAAGCTTCTTGAGAAGGGCAGGCGTGTCCCTTTAGAAAGCAGAGTGGGGATGGTCCGTGTTGAGTCGAAATAATTGGAAAGTAGACTCTCCAGGACAGCAAGTTTCGTGCTTCGGGCCAATCCTGATGAGAAAGCAATCTTGGTTAGAACAGTGTCAACCAATTGTTGGTCGTTGCGCTTCAACTCGTATCGGCTGTTTTCTAGGAGAGGTTTCGTCCCGAGAATGATCTTATCACCTTTCACGGTGCTACTTTCTCTTTGTAGATCCTCCGTATACTCCAAATGTTCTGTTTCCATATCATCCAGATGTGGATTCTGGGCAGCTGGCAACAGAACTGTGCTTGCAAGATAGGATGTAAAGCCCTCTGGTAGTGACCATGACACTACGGTGCCAGATGGAAAGATAAAAACATCTCCCACCTGATCAGCCGGCAGTTCCGATGCAGCCAAGCTCGAAGTTCGCCGAATAGAGTCAAGTGGAACTTGTACGTGGATGACTTGCGGATATAGGCCAGTGTCGAAGGGATCCGGTTCATAGCCCTTTGCTAGAAGTATTTCCATCACCTTTGATATATCAAATTGCTCGGCTACTGCATAGGCGGTAACCACCTGGTGAAGAAAATATACTCAATCAGTATTATGGAGAGCTGACAAAGCTAGAGGGAAACACAGCGGACACACCTTGGACTGTGGCAATAGATCTTCGGGTGGTTGAGGTCTTTTTCTCCCATCCTTCGAGAGCTGTGCCTCCACTGCTGCTCTGCGCAGTGACGTTTTAGCTGCAGGAGACCTGGATGACCGTTTTGCTTTTGACACATCTACGGCGACATTAACCGCTGCGGAAGGTTCAGACCCCGATTTTGAGGAATAAACCCCATGTTGGCAAGAAAAACCGTCGAAAGGCAACCTTATCTGCGCTAATCCTAGCACCCGGTGCCCTGAGGGCTTGAATAGTAGAGGTCCCCTTAATAGCTTGGAGGCAATCCGAGACGTAATCATAACTTGAATTTAAGAACAGCTTGAGGCGTGAGAACCAGAACTGGCCGCGAAGGCAATGAAGGCATTCCTGTTGCTCCCAAAGTTCAGGATCTTAAAAGATAGGTAGAATTTATTTCTCTCAGTTAGCAATTTCATGATGACGGAGTCTATTTAGGTTGGTGATTGCATCCGGATTTACTATCATCCGTTGTTCCGGCCCTACCTAGGTTATGTCCAGGCACTCTGGAAGCTCAGAACATTCGATAGCCAAACAAACCAGGATGCATTCTCTTCAATGATTATGGCACAACTCCTTCAGTCAATATTCTCCTTGAGCTTTTTGAACCTTCAATCTACTGTCATGTTAGTTTCTTTCAAGGTTGAGTTCCCTATAACGCGTTAGAAACTGCTTGAATGGGGTCAGATAACCCCAGGCTGCCTGAACAAAAGGCAGCTCCAGATCCCAACTTAACGCCTACGAGGGGCCGGTCAGAGCTAAATGATAGTCAAATAAGTCAAGAGGAAGAGGAGTATGATGAGGAGAGAAACAGCCAGTCCGAATCCGAGGATGAAGGCGAAGATGAGGAGCCGCGACTTAAATATGCTCCCCTGACGAAGAGCATAGCGCCGCTGTACCGCAAAGGGGACGCTACAAGCAGCTTTCTAGTCGCAGGAGATAACATGGTATGTATCTCACAGCCTAGTTTGAAACGCCCTTGGCTAATGTTTCTAGGTCGTTGGTACTCATAACGGGAATATTGTATGCGACGTCTCGTTTGATTTTCCTGTGTCGCTTTAACTGACGTTAACTATAGCACATCTTTGATGCTTTGACGCTCGAGCGAATTCGAATTTATCGTGCTCACTCCGCCAGCGTTACTTCAGTATCAATATCCCCGTTTCCGCCGCCACCTTCCAGGCCAATCGTCAAGAGCACATCGCCTGCGGATTCGTCGAGCCGTCTATCCGTAGATCTTTCCAAATCTCCTGAGGGCGCACGACAGACGACAATACAAAATACTGCTTCGAACGCGATATACATCGCCACATCTTCTATAGATGGTAACGTCTGTATTTCGTCGTTGGTTGATCCAAAAGATGTGTTGCTCCGAAACTTCGGGCGCCCCGTTCAAGCCGTCGCTTTATCTCCGGAATATAAGAGTGACAAATCCTACATTTCCGGGGGGCTTGCTGGGAATCTCATCCTAACAGTTGGAGGGCGAGCAGGAACAAGCACAGATTCGACAATAATGACTGGTGTCACTTCTACCAGCCCGACCGGGTGGTTAGGAGTGTTAAATTTCGGTGGCGGTAATGGAAAGGATACCATTCTGCATTCCGGCGAGGGTTCTATCAGCACAATAAAATGGTCATTATCCGGCAAATATGTCGTCTGGGCTAACGAAGAGGGAATTAAGATTATGCGATCTAATCTACACTTAGATCATTCTCAGTCAGAGTTTGCTTGGAAGAGGATGAGCCACGTGGATCGACCCCGTAGTCCGGAGTGGGATGAAATGGTCAGCGTGTGGAAGGCCAGGGCTGAATGGGTGGATGAAGACAATGACGCTGCCGGTTCTCAAGAGTCCGAGACTATGCCGCAGACTCGGCGGGTTAGACTGTACGAGAAAGAAAAACTTATCGTTGGCTGGGGAGGCACTGTCTGGATTATCAATGTTTTCCCAGTCCGACGTGGCAAAGATGCTCGCGAAAAGGCCATCGGCTCTGCTGAAGTCGTCACAATGTGGGTTATTTTTGATATATCAAAGTATTTTCATACTGATAAACTTATAGATTGCGCACGGATTGTATTATATCTGGAGTTTCTCTTTATACCCCAAATGTTCTTCTTGTTCTTTCGTACCTAATACCAGAAGACAACAATAAAGGCGAATCGAAACGGAAACAGGCCGGGCCGGCCCGTGGAGTGAGGCACCGACAAAACGGCCTGGAGCCTGAGTTAAGACTAATCAATGTGGAGACGAAAGAGGAGCTTAGTGCTGATACTCTTGCCGTGCGCCGTTACGAAAGCCTTTCGGCATCTGACTATCACCTCGGTGTGCTGTCACCTTCCAAGTTTCCTCACGCTCCCGTTCGTCGAGGGGCATTTGAGACGATAGGCACAGGGATTTTGGATGCAACTTTGTACCCAACTCGTCTTTTCAGTTCTGCCAACAGCATTCGCAGCACAGACAGTGGTGACAAGAAGTCTGGTCTAAAACCTGCAAGTTTAATAGGTGTTCCCGGCACCATGCTTGGAGAACCTGACCTTGATAGCAAAGAGCTTGCGGTTTTGGCGAGTGACGGGATCAAAATATTCATTCATAGTCCATATGATTGTGTGGCTGCTACTAAACGGGATGTTAAGGACCGACTCTCCTGGCTTAAAGAGCACAAGAAGTACGAAGAAGCGTGGGAACTTCTCGCGAAACATCCCGAAGCGGCATCCCTTGCATTCTATGAAGGTGACAGCGCTTTGACTACTCCCAAACAACCCGAACGGAATCTCACTGAGCTGTTTGTGGACGGAAATTTGCCGGAACAAAATGATACTGCAAAAAACCCTCAGGTGCAGAGAGAGAGGCAACAGATCGGCGAGTCCTGGTTAGAACAACTTGTCAATGATCAAAACTGGGAGAAAGCGGGTGATGTGTGCGGTAAAGTTCTTGACTCGACTTTGAAATGGGAGCATTGGATATGGATATTTGCCAAAAGCGACAGGTTTGACGAGATCGTTTCTCACGTTCCTATTGATATCTACCCCCCGCTGCCTTCCCTCATCTATGAAGTTATTCTTGGTCACTACGTCTCCCGAGACCGTAGCAGATTCAAGGAACTCCTAGACCTCTGGTTGACCAATCTCTTTGATGTCGACAGCGTTGTCGCTGCTATCAACGATCAGCTGAAAATCACGTCTTCAGAAGATCAAGAAAACGATTGGCGCCTTTTAACAGAGTGTCTAGCGAAGCTGCTTTTAGCGGGGGGTCGTTATCGTGAAGCATTGCGATGCTATGTTCGACTTCATGATGCTGAAACTGCTATGACTTTGATTCGAGACCACCATCTTCTCGATGCTGTTGCAGATGATATTCCCGGGCTCATTCTGATTCGAGTGCCTAAAGAAAAAATGAAATCTTCAAGTCTACCAGAGCTTGAGGAAGCAACGTCAGAGCCTATAAAACTTCTCGTCCGCGAAGCTGTCAACGGAATTGTACGCCCTGATACTGTTATTTCACAACTGCAAGCTTCTGGTCTTCATCTTTTCCTGTATTTTTATGTCAGAGCCCTTTGGAAAGGTGACTCTTTATCACCAACTGATAAGCCTGCGGCTCCAATGCGTGGCCACCATCGAACTGGTGCTGCAGAGAAGCTTGCTGCTGATGAAGGGAGACTGTTGATCGACGCGTTTGCGGATACCGCCGTAGAACTATTTGCGGATTATGACCGACCTCTGCTCATGGAATTTCTCAAGTCCAACACATCTTATTCCTACAATGCGGCATGCTCCATCTGTGAAAGTCGTCATTTTACCCCTGAGCTCATTTATCTTTTCTCAAAAACTGGCCAAACAAAACGGGCACTTCATCTGATACTCTCAGACCTGAAAGACATCTCTCACGCCATCTCATTTGCAAAATCACAAGATGACCCTGACCTCTGGGATGATTTACTTTCTTATTCGATGGATAAGCCTGAATATATCCGCCGTTTGCTTGTTGAGGCCGGCACCGCGATCGACCCAATAAAACTTGTAAGGCGAATTCCAAGTGGCTTGGAGATACAAGGCTTGAGGGAAGGATTGACGAGAATGATTCGCGAGCACGATATTCAAGCTAGTATCAGCCACGGCGTTGCAAAAGTGCTCGTTGGCGAGGTCTCTATTCGGATGGATATGCTGCGCAAAGGACAACGGCGGGGTATCAGGTTCGATATTCTTCATGAAAGCGATCATGTTAGAAAGATGCCTCAGCCTACTCAGCGGCAGGAAGGTGACGAGACTCGAGGTGATATTGAACCACTTGAAAGAAAACGGGACTGCCCGCCTGGCTGTTGCGCTGGCTGTCAAGAAATGTTTGTTGAACAAGGTAGGATGCACCCCAATTCCATAGCCCTGTGTGAGCCCCTTATACTAAATCTTGGTAGAAAAGGAGCCTCTGGTAGGCTTCGCGTGCGGGCACGTCTATCACATATCCCATATACATCCGAACACATCACGACCTCCATCACGCGAAGAGGATGTTTCAACGTTGAAGCACTCAAATCCGACCTCATATGAAGACTCATCGCCGCTGTTCTCGCGTACTGTTGGTGTCAAAGTCACGAACGCTAGACTTTTACGCGAGAAAATCGGCGATGGATGTCAGATATGTGCGTTGAAAAGAGTAACCGACGATCAATGAAACTGATAGGCACGAATAGTTAGCATACTCTATCTTAACAACAAAATGGAGTGTCAGCAGCAACGGACGAGACATGATCGAGCTGACTGCGTATTCCGTAAAATTCTCCTTCGTCCCGCGAATTGGTATGATGTGTGTGACGGGTGCACATGGCTGAAGATTATCATTATCATTATTATTACCACAAAAAAACGAAAATAACAGGAAAAAAATATGAAAAAAAAAATAGTCCAAAGTCGATGCACTCTGGTCGGGGTTTATTACGTCTATATACATGGTCTTGGTCAAATCAATTGAAAGGAGATTTCATTAAGGATCCGCTGTCGAATCTGAAGTATCTCTGGAAACAACAATTATTGGAGTCAAAGTCCATCAGCAAAAACATATCAACCATTTCAGTTCAACAACAGATAAGATCGAGCGTCCAATCACAATAAATCCATCCGACCCATGCTAGTCATGGGTGGAAGAAATACAGATGTCTCAACCATAGAACCCAATATTACCTAAAAAATGTTGATAATTGCGATGGCAATTGCACCAAAGACACCTCCAACCCCGAAAGAGTTACGCCCAGCATCGTTAGTAGGAACTGGGGAATTGCGAGTGGTAGTCGGAGTGCCCTGAGACTCTGTTGCTTTGCTAACAACACTAGTAGCCGACTTCATGCTAGTAGTCTCGGAAGACAATTTGCTGCTGGAGGTTGGTGCAGGAACACTTTCGGTCCCAGTAACTGCCTCGCTGTTTGTGGTCATCTTGGTCACAACAGTAGACTTGACCTCACTGGAGACCGACGGCAAGGAAGCAGACGGAACGAGGCACTCAGTGACAGTGGCCGTGACTGTGACGACAACAGGGTCTGTGACTCTAGTTAACAAAAAATATTATTATTAGGGAGTTGATCTTACCATTACGGGCCTTGATGGCACCGTGTTCTTCGATGTCAATTTTCTCGGCAACGAATCCTGGATGTGGTCAGTATCAATGGAAGTCAGCTTTGGATGTTTGTGTTCATTACTTACCTGCAGTAGCAGTGACCGCACCGAGAGCCAGGATGGCAAGAACCTTTGCGTTGATAAACATCTTAATCGATGAGTACCTTTGAGTGTTTAAAAAATGTTGAGGATTCTTGACGATAGCCGGGGGAGTTGAAATGAAGTAGCTGTTCGCTTTGATAGGCTTTATCAACCAAAAGGAAGAAAAGAGAGAAAGGGGAGGTCAGGAGGAGAAGAGGGGGTTTTATAGTGCGAGGGGATCACGCTACCGCTAAGCGAGTGTCGATTCAGCCGTCTATACCCAATTTGGTGTGTTATGATATGCCCTTTCCGTTCCGGGCAGGGCCAGGTGACTCACTGTGATCGTGCACTGACTCTCGAGCCCGTCGGGATCGCATGGAGCACCACCAACCTCCTACAGAGCGATCCCTGGCCGTTACGCAGTCTAGGATAGCTCTATAGGAGTGGAAAGCGTCTACTAGACATTTTAAAAGATTCTATGCCTGTACTTTACTCCAACAGATACCCGTGAAAGATACTGAACGTCGGAGTGAAGTAAGGGCTACTTAAGCTAAATTATGATGATTTCAAGGTATTTTCTTCGATCCCAGCTGCGCAGCGGATATTTCAGCAGGCATAACAAAGCTAACAAACGCTCCCAGTGCCACTGCCGTGTTCGTCAATTTCTGCGGCATGATCCTGTTGTCATCCACAAAAACTGCATCCAAAGATACATAGGGGAATCAAAGCTACTTTCCAAGCAACGTTGGCTCGAATAACGTTCGATATTCCTTCCAAAGCGGCCTTCTTGTTCTCAGATAATTACTCGGCTTGCGACACATAAATTGACCCCGTTTGGCTCTGTCACGCCCCCAAAAACCTAGCAGCATCCGCATACGTTGCTTCCCTACGAAATAAAACATGTATCTACGATCTGTGGGATATTTAATCGGTTTTCCAGTCCACAGTACTTCTTGGACTGTTGTCTCTTCTTTCCCCCTGTCATGTAAATAAACTTACGCTAAAGGCGGGAGCTTAAGATTAGCGCATAGGTTAAATACGCTTATTTTTCCCACACGTGCTGCCCATGTGGCTGCCTTTCTTTCAGCACTTACGTCACTGGTGCTACTGAGATTCCTCACGCTAATTCTTTGGAGGTTTCTAATAAGGTTGTGAATATTTTATTTTATCCAGAGGGTTAGGGTGACAGCTTTGTGCAACCTCTTGGGAATTTGGGTGCAGAGACAGAATGGATTATTTCATCTACGAATGCATGACATAGTTAGTTGTTTCTTTTGATGAGGAGAAGAAGCTTCGGGCAACTTCAGACATCTCGGTGATTTTTCGTAATTATCCTCGCCTTGATGAATGTATGATACTATTAGAAGCTAATAATTCGCGCATTGTCGCCTCCGCGTTCTTCTTAGAAAGTATCTCTCTACTCTAAGCTCTTCCTCACAAGAGGTGTGTTAGCAAGATCCTCGACTCGCGTTTCTAGGCCCGTTTAGCCCATCTCAAAAAAAAAAGACACGCTGCCCATTCGCCACTTATCTTTCTCTCTGCGCTTCAATGCCGATCTTATTTGCCGAATCGACATCAAAGTCTAAGCAAAAACGTGGTAGCCACTTGATCGCCACGGGACCGTGCACGAAGCCGCTCAAAAAAAAAAAAAATAGCCACGTTGTGCAGAAGTTGTCGTAGTATCGGAGACTTGTATGCCTAGATGACGATATCTTGCTATAGCATAAAGATTAAACATTTCCCTCCGATGACGTTTTGTTTACGTGCCGGGGGGTACTTCCAACAGTACGGCGTACTGTGTGGCGCACACATGCGATCTGGGACCGTTTGTCACGCTAGCGAGTGGGAAAGGGAGCAGCTCCATGACTTGGAAAAGCCTAAGGTTTTTCCCGTTGAGGGAAATACGAGTCACACCCTAGCCACGGAGTTGGCTTTTCCATGGGACGTTTCTTCCGCTTCCGGCGATAGTGAGCTTGGAAACGCTGGTTCTCGGGATCTGCAGGAGAGCGACAGGTGTCATCCATTCGTATTGGGGACCAAGCTTTTTATCGTTGTTTACGATATTTTTGCTGTTGGCGGTGAAAAATGTGCGGGATACTTTTCGTCCAGTTCGTAGTATGACGACAACGAGGCGGATGGCGAAATAGAGGGGTTACGGAGTACTGCAAGAGCTATCATATGCGCGCTCTGTGGACAGCTCTGCGACAGAGTCTCAGAATAGCCCATGTTTCTCGATTTCTATCACCGCGAGGGGAGCAACACCTGATTATTATCAAACTGCTCGAGCGTACATAGTTAGATACAAAGCAACACAATCCCGCCTTCGCCCAAGATCATTACATCCATTAGTATTGTACACTCTTGACAGACAAAGCTTCCAGGGGTAGGTAATGGTACCACATTCGCTCCAACACGGTGACTGAAAGAGTAAAAGAAGGGGGGCAAAAGACATGCTCTAAACATAGGCCGCCGCCCTTTGACAACGACAAGAAGCAAAATTCTTTTTTCCCAAGATGCATACTACCCAAAGTCTTCTATGACACCACAAAACCTCTCATGGCAAATATCAAGACCTGGCCGTCTAGCACCAGAATAACCCCCCTTTGCGTAAAATCAAAGAACGCAGTACCCCACACATTTGTCACACAACATCAAAGGGCGACCTTTGCCACCAGATTGAAAATGGAAACAAACATGAGGGATTCTGAATGGCTCGAAGAACAATGCAAGAAGTAAAACATCGCAACATCACCCCGAAAGAAACCAAAAAAAGAGAGTGACTCCTTAAATGAAGGCCTCAGGAGGAATGTAAACCCAAGAATGAAGGTGTAAGGGTAGTAATAATAAAAATGATAATAATTAGCCCAAGCAGAATCCTGTCCTCCAAGAAATTAAAAAAAGAATAAAAAAAAGAATAAGTGATTCAAAAATAAGCATTGGACAGGACAATGAGGGTATTTCGACCGCTACCAAATCGTAAAATTCGTAACCCATGATACTTTTATATTTTGCATGTTCGAACAACCTTTTGTCCCAACCCTGTGTGCGCCATGATAGTTGATTTTTTTTTTTTTTTTTCTCTTATGCTTTTTTGCGCGGAATGATGAATTTTGATTGTCCGTCCTAAAATATAAAAGAACCCAGAGAAACCACAATAAGATTAAAGATTATTCCGCCGCGCATACTCGATGTCCTGAACGGGTAGGGTAAGAGTATAGGCGCCGGCAAAATAGATGCTCAAAAAAAATGTAATACTCGATATCCTGAACGGGTAGGATAAGAGTAAAGGCGCTGGCAAAATTGATGCTCGGAAGAAAAAAAAGGGATAACGAAGAAAGCACCGGGAGCTGACCCCATCAAAACAAGAATGTTTGTTGGGCGCTTCTTTCACAAAAAGAAGCGCATTTCGACGTCGGTGACTGTTTCGGATGACTTCTCTTCGATCTTGATATTAGGGTCACCCATTTCAGCAAATTCCACAGTCATAGTCTTGCCCTCTGGCAGCTCCCGAACGACGTCATCATCCAGCATGACGTTCATTCCGTTGTTACTTTGGACGACGAAAGCTCGCACAACCCGGGCAGAATCGAAGCGGCATTTCTTGACGACGGCTTGTACCAGTGCCGTGCCCGTGCGCTCCGCGAGGTAGACAGCGTGGTAGTAATCTTCGGCCTGTGGGCTCATATTTTGTCTAGGGCGAACGTAGAAGCAACATTCTTTTGAAATAGTCAAATTAGCAATCATGGAAAAGTAAGATAATAATAGATTATGGTATAACATACTGGGCTTGAGGAGAGGTTCATTCGGAGGCTTATATGTATGATCCACTCCCATTGCTTCGATCCAATCCGATTCCCCGCCGACGCCGTTCGGAAGCTGAACCTTGACTGGATGGTTAATAAATTGGCCATGCCTGATACTATCCCCGCCACGTTGCGAAGTATTCGACCAGTCCAGGGAGCCACGCCGTGAGTAGCGAGAGTCATTGGGCACGCTTTGTCGCTTGATGTCGAAAGAGCGATGCGAGGAGCTCGGAGAGTGATTGTTGGTGAATGGGGAAAACGCATTCGAAGTCGACTCACCGTCATTGGAGTGGGTGGAGTCGAAGTTCACTCGGCCGGGGCAGTCTTCGTCGTTGGTAGGGTCCAGTGCGACGGGGAAAAGGTCCGGATCGTCTTGCTCGTCGCCCCGCAAGTTCAGAAGACTGATGGGCTGTGGGGACGTGAACATTGAATCCAAGTTCGCCATTTTCAACTGCAAGTCTTCTTCTATCGAGGATTTGCTATCATTTCCGGACATAGTCCACGGACGCTTGTTTTTACCTTTCATCGATTTCGGTCCGCCTTTAGTGTTGACGACAGAACAGCTGCGTTTGCGCTTGTCAATGTTCGTACTTCCCAGCTCGGCTTGCGCGATCTGTTGCCTGACCTTTTCCACCATCTTTTTAACGTGGGCAACATCATTGGACAGTTTCCTTTCTGCGCCATGATCTCTGAACAGCTTCACCTTGCAATAGCAGACCTCCTGGGTATTACTCGGAGACGGTTCGGGGGTATTAGTCATAAGGACTTCTGTTTTAGCACATAGCCTAACTGGAATCCCCTTCACACCTTTAGAGTGGCTAAAATCCGTCGACAAGAAATTAAAGCGAACGGAGATGTTGGTCTCTGGGGTTCCGGTGGTCATGTTTGGACTCCAGATGACGGAGAAGCCATCAAAATGCGCTTTTTCGAGTTGCACTCGCGATTGCCGGTCTCCAGCGCCGCCCTGGTTAGGATCCACATGTTCAACGGCCAGAAGTCTGCCCTCACGTTGGTGGGCCTCATTCGACCCACGGCCTTCTTTCCACAACATCCAGCAAGCGGCGGGTCGGGACCGTTGTCCCTCTTCATCGAACGAGACACGGATACATGTACGATACTTAATAGGCTGGGCGCCAGAGGCCATCGGGTCGATGTCTTGCACATTGATAGTGTACGCTTGGCCTTTGTTCAGATAGGTAACGGGAATGTCATCGTTATCCTTGATCATCGCCGTCGCTGCACGGAGAGCGACATTGAAGCGAAAGCTGAGCGTTGCGAAATGTCAGTCAAAAAACCTGCGGCGGCCCCACCAGAGCGGGGCGAAGAAAAAAGAGGTTTGGCTTACGACTCCTGATAGGTCTCACTCTCGTCCTCGAAGTCATTGAGGTTTTCTGTTAGGCGAGAAGGGATCACTCCCATGGACGGGCTTCTGATGGCCAGATTGCCGAAGGCAGCTTCCTCCATGGGCTGCGAAAGGGCGGCCATGGTGGGCTCGCGACGCAGAAAGCTGCTTGGAGGAGCGAAACTGTGCGGATTGCCGAATGCATCGAGGTTGGGTGGCTGGTGGTGGTGCGACGCAAAGGCCGGGTGGTAGCCACCCATCTCCATGGCAGAGTGCGGCATGGTCGGGTCAGTCACGGCGGAAGGGGGAATACCCAGGGGCGTCAGCATGTTCAAGGCCATGCTGGGCGTGGTCAAGTCGGCAGGGTGAGGTGGGTTGACTAGGCCGGCCGGCAGGGTAGTGGGCGCATAGTAAGCCGGCTGTTGGCTGGCAAAGGACGTGAAGGTATAGGGAGTGGGATCCATCATGGACGGTGAGAAGGACGCCCACTGGTCATGGAGTTTGGCGAGGGGGTCCAAGTCTGGTTTGTCTTTGGGATCCATGATGGGTGGGTGGGTGTTAGCAGGGAGAATGAGTCGGCAGGACGGAGCAGCAGCGTGCGAACTAGCGGGCTCAGTAGTCGCAAGAATTGAAGCGCGCGGCGGCAAACAGGGCCGGAGCAGCAGGGAGCAGCAGCACGAGAAGGCAGCAGACGCAGGACAGAAATCCGTCAGTCATGGAGCAGAGGTTGCGGGGAGGGGAGGGTAGGGCAGGGCAGGGCAGGGCAGGGCAGGGCAGGCCAGATCTCTATATAGCGAAAATAGGGGAAGCAGCCGTCGCAGCTATGGCGTCACAGCCGGGCCAGCTGGCTGTGGCACGCCGTAGCCGCAGCGGTACCTCGACCGGGCGACGGAGTTGCAGCGCCAAACCCTAAACACTGGGGCCGCCCATGACGCCCTCCTGACTCAGCGCCACGCTAGCCTGCTCGGGCATCGCGCCGCTGACAAGACCGATCGCCCTATTGGCTTCGCCGCGAAGCTTTGGCGAGCGCTCAGGAGCGCGACAGACAGTGCGGCCAGCAGCTAGCTCTACGAAGGCCGTAGCTAGCTAGCCAGCGCGGCTGCTGCACCTCCGCTGTCGGATCTCGCGCCCTCCACCACCGCTATCTTCCCCGTCGATATGGGTGGCGCCTATGGCTCCTATAGCAGCATCCATCGTGGTCTAGCCGCGCAATCCACCCCCGGCAGCAGGAAGCAACAACCAACAACACCAACTGCCGTCGACAATAATGCGCCGCACGCCGTAACTCGTCGTATAGTGCCGCCCACGGGACACTCACCACTCCTTTCTCAAGCCACAGATAAGGCACGACGCCACAGTGGGTCGCGGCGTGACATCACCGGGTGGGGCGGCGGCGCGCCACATGCAGCTCTAATGGCACCCGGCCAATCAGTGGCGGCCACCCGTCCGGCGCAGGCCCCGCAACGTGGGATGGGCTTCCTTCCTTCGCCTGAACCGCTGCTGCTGCCGCCTCCGCGGATGGCCGCCCATCACTACTCACTACTCTCCCTACGGAGTTCGCTATATGGAGTACTACTGCTCTACTATACTACTCTACTACTCACCCAACACACAGACTCTCCTCACCCACTCCGCGCCCGCCGGCGGGGAACCTGCTGGGCGTCCTGCGGACTCCCTCCGGCACAGCACGAGCGGCCCCATCCACAACTCCAAATGCCAATGCAGATAGCCCTCTCGGCACGGGGGGCTCCACACCCAGCCCATCGCTGGAACGGCCAGTCAGTTTCGCCTTCTCCCTCGCTCCCTCGCTCGCTCGCTCTCGTTCAGCTCCCGCGGTGGCTGGTGCGCAGACGAAACAAAAAAGAAGCAAATAAAAATAAAATAAATAAGAAACTAACTACTCCGCCGCCAGGGGGGGGGGAGGGATGGCGGCGTGCACCAGCCAGAAGCAGTAACGGGGCCCGCGCCGAGATTGAGCTTTCCCATGGGGCGGCCCTGACGAGCGCGACCGTCGTCCATCGGCGCGTTCTTTTTAAAATTTTGGCGCACGACGCCGGCTCGTTTGGTGGGTCTCGCTGGCTTACTCCGAGGTAATAATAATAAGAAGAAGTACTCCGTAGAAGAAGAGTAATGAATATCCCCATCGCTATCGATCAAATCAAACGCGCCCATGGGCCGCGACGACGCCGACTACTACGACCCATCCACCCTCAGCGCACGCCATCATGGTTTCCTCCAGCACGGCAGGCATCTCCCATGCTCCCACGAGAGACACGCTTTAATAATTGGGCAAAATGTGTCTCAGCTAACGCGCTTCGGGCAAAAAGGCCCCCTTCGGGCTTCTCACTGGCCCGGCTGCGGGCCATCCTACCCCAGAGCCGCATCTGCACGGCGCGCGCGGTCAGCAGCAGCAGCACCAGCACCAGCAGTAGTAGTGTAGTAGCAGCGCATCGCCCGTCGGCAAGGTTTACGGCGTGAATCTTCTCCGTGTCGATCGCGCCGCCCCGGCAATGGGGCCTTTTTAAAGCACGCGCCCCTCCCCCCCCCCCGGCGTACACACTAAACCCGCTTGGGCGCGGAGCCCAAGGCCACGCTACTCCCGCCATTAAAAGGCGAAGCGCTGCGCTGCGGGGGCCGCCCCTTTTGACTAAATTTCCTCTAGTAGGGCTCCGTAGTTCCCTTTTATTTTTTTGGTTTTGGCGAATTTGGCGTCGTCGTGGTGTTGTTGAGTCGAAACAACGACTACTACGCGGGGGTTCCACCGTCGTCCCAACGTCATAAAACGGTGCCGGGGGTGGGTGGTGGGTACGCACACATGTATGTATGTATGTATGTTCAATGGGTGAATGCACATTGCAATCTATGCGCATATGACGAGAGCAACTCATCCTCCCCCGCTTTTCCCCTGTGCACTCTGCGTCCAGATGACAATATTGCGCGATCCCAGACACCCATCACTCCCGTCCGGTCCGAGGTACACTGCGGGATGACGCCCCCCCCCCCCTCTCTGCCGCGAATCGCTGGACGCGGAGCGACGACCATTATTGCCGTGGACACGAGCAACCGGCAGTGGGACCCCTGCCGTGCTCCTGGAGATTCTGCACGTCGAGGTGTGCGTGCATATGCCGTCCATTCTCAGTAGTAGTCGTGTGCATATATTGCGCGGGTTTCACACGTCGCAGCGCCCCCAAGCCGCCCATGACATCACCGTGCAGCCGCACAAACAAACAAAACAAACCCCGGCGGCGCTAGGTTTAGAAGGGGAAGGTCAGACCGGGGGGGGTGGGGGGGCAGCACATACGCGCTTGGCGGGACTCCACCTCACCGACCGCGTCTGACGTCATAGCCGCCGTCACCGCGCGCGCGCGCGAAGCGCTCAGGCTTTGTGTGATGAGGATGAGGTAGTAGTGGACACGTACTTGACAACGCGATGAGGTAGTTGAAGGAGGGTGAACTGGATGTCCGGTACAGATCGCTGTGGTACGCACAAAGGTAGAGTAAGTATACTCCGTATGCACATCCAGATGTATGTGCGGTGGTTGCATATATACTTGGCAGCGCCCCGCCTCCCCCCCCTCCAGTACGGGCCATGCTGCAGCTCGCTCGGGTTGCAAGCCCGCGGCCAGCGACGGGGTCGCAGGCCCCAGCCGCAAAAAGAAATACGGCGTGTTTTGCGTGCTGTCGTGCGCTCTCGCTTTTGGATGCATGCATGCACGTCGAACAGTGGCGGCTCTCATACATGTATTTGCGGCTGGGCCAATCTAGACTAAGGCGTTGTTGTTGTTGCTGGTTCTGCAGTTTCCTGGCTCAACGGCCGGCGGCTAATAACCAGGCAGAAAGAGCATTATTACTCGATCCGGCGGTGCTGGGCGGCAAAGTATCGTTAATATCATGTCTGCATGGGTGCGTGCGGTGGAATATAACTTGTCGTCGGCATCTAAACCAGCGTGACCTTCGCCGCCGAAGCAAAAAAAAAAATAGAAAAAATAAAAAAAAAAAACTCCGAGCGCAGCAACTGATTCGCCGCCTTAATTGCGGTCGTTTTGGCGACTGACGAATCCCAGACGACGCGACCATTTACCAAAAGGGTGTCGCCCCAGTCTATACACTTTCACACCAACAACTCTCGACCCCCTCCCCGCCTTCTGGGGTGGCTCTCGCGCGCGCCTGTGCCAGATACGAGCGAAAACCGTTTGGAAGCAAAACTTCCCCTTCTCTTCCCCCCACCAGACTAGCAACAACAACGTGTCTTTCCCAACAACTGCCGGAAGCAGTCTGGCCCGGTCTCTTTTCCAAGTGCACACCTACCCACGGGTAGTTATGTACTCCGTAGTTACATCCCAGACACGCCGCCATAGCGTTTCATTATTATGGCTCGACGATTATTAGCCCCCAAGAGGCCTTATGGGCGTCAAGCTCCAGCCAGGCAGATTTGCCGCCCGACGGCCGGCAAGGTTCGCCTAAGGGGACCGCCAGGCTCGTCTCACCCATCCGCCAGAGGAACATACACGCGTCCTGTCGCCGGGTGGCACCCAGGGCGGGCGACCTCATTGGCCGTGCGGCCGGCAGGGGATGGGCCCATGGTGTTTCACAAGGATGCTCTGCGTCGAACTAGTCGAAATGTTAAAAAAAGGACGCAACGCCACCGACGTCGTGCACGCCGTGACAAGCAGAAAGAAAAAAAAAAAAAGAATACCACTGGGGGTCGCGGCGCCTGGTGCTTCCTGTTCGCAATTAAAATCTGCCCAGCCCCGATGCTGATGAGAGAGGTATCATTGCGCTGCTCCTCTTCGTTTTTTTTCCTTTTTTTTTTCCCCCTTCGCCATCTGGTAGTAAGGGATCGGCGGTCAAGTCATAGCTCGGGCGTTTCGCCTAAAATAATAATAATAACAATAATAATAAATGGGCCGAATGGGGTGAACCGAGTGCTCGACGCGGGTAGAAGCCATCCCGTGCGTTCAACGATCCCAAGAGGGCAAAGCAGTGCGCCTCAGCGACTGAACTAGCTATAGCGGACACCACATATGCTATAGCAGTTCATCCACCGCCGCCCTCGCCTCCCCCACTCCACATCCCACGCTCTTGAACATCACGCCTCGCTTCCCCCTGAAACCGCCGTTTGTCGACGATCGCGGGAGAAGGGCTGAGTGAGGGATCGAAAAGTGATCAATGCATCATCGATTGGCTGTCGTTTCTCAGTACAAATGCTGCTGCCGCTGTGGTCCATGACATGATCGATCGGGGGCCGCACGTAGGCATGCGCAGATCTATACAGCACGGCGGGTAGGAGGAACACCCGGCGTCACAAGTCTGTGCCGTAGGGCTTTTGAAGGTTGTGTGACGGCACTCCGCCCCCTCCCCCCAGGAACACTGCTGCTGTGTACATTATTTCATATCTCGCACATCTGCCCGAGAAAACCCCATGTGGGCCGCGTCAGGGTCTGGCAATAATGATCGGCGCCGATCGGACGCGACCCAGCCAAAGATATACACACACACACATGTGGTGGGTGGGTGTGTGTGTGGATGTATTATTTGACATACCTGTCGGGACTCGCACTGCGAGCCCACAGCGGCATAAACACCCTCACACTGAAACCACCGACTCTATGGGATATACCGCCCTGCCCTACCCTGCCCTGCCCGACACAGGGTGCATGCAACCGATCCCCGCGAGCCACGGCTAGATGACTCGGGCGCGCGCGCAACCTTCGCCTAAAGCAGTGCGGGATGGTTGATTCTTTCTCCACCCCCCTCCCCGGGGAAAGAATATTCCCTGCGAGTCATTTATTATGATTATCACCGACGGGTTGCCGCACTGCACCAAGCACCTCCTTCCACCCTCCTGCTCAGACAGCCGTCTCATTTTAGCCGGGATATACATTATTCGCCTGGGCGGGCGCAGCTGAAAGAGTGGCCATCACGGGCTTGCATGCAGGAAAGATATGCATGCATAGTCGACCACGTATGTTGGCTCAACCTGCGTGAACAATTTAAACATAAGACCAATGCCTCGCAATAATGCACCTTTCCCACGCCGAGCATCGGATAATCGCCCGAGAGAGCGCCGCCGCGGTGGGGAACGAGAAGCAGAAGGAGGAGGAGGAGGGGGGGGCGTTGGGGATGAGGAGGCGCACTGAAATCGATCGGGATTCTCGCCCTCCTTTTCCCCCTTCTCGTTTCTCCAGATGCCCTGGCGACTAGAGCATGCACCTAAGACACGTCCATCGTTGGGGAGGCGCTCTTTAATTAATCCCTGTGGCGTGGGCCGTGGTTGCGGCACGTCTGGGTCGCCCCCCCCCCCCCCCCCCCCCAAATCTACCGCCCACAGAGCTAGCAAGAGGTTTGGGATATTGGGTGTTTTTCTTTTTTCCCTTGATTATTATTTTCTTTTCTCGGGGTCTCCTACCTCGACCCACCGGAGCACCTCATTTCTTACTCGGAAACCCACGGGTATTGGCAATGCTTTGGTGGTGGCGCTGGTGCTCTGCCACACCCAACAACACACACTCTCGCTCAACACCTATGCTATCCTATCGTGGAGAGACGGAAAATGCTCGCACGATGGCCTGATGTTTTGGAGCTGTCCTATATTGAACGGTGGCGCTGGGTGCCGCATATTGATTCTTTTTTTTTTTTCATTCTTGGGGTCGAACCGACATGCCGGGGGATGGCCTGCGGGCGAGGCCCAGGCCAGACGTGCGGGATGCAGGGAGTGCATTCCTCCTACGTCCACGTCCCAAACTAAAGTCATATGAACGATCACCGATTCAACGAAGGAAAAAAAAAAAAAACGCCCACTGAGACACACAGGCCCGGGGTCCAGAGCGAGGAGCACGATGGGCGAGCTCGGCGGGCGCGCAGGCGAGGCCTGGCGCAACAAGCGGTCTGGATCGCGCATTTATCGGGGGGGAGGGAGGCGAATTTCAGGCGTCGCCGGTCCATAGCCACGTAGTTGTTATATTAAAAAAAAAAAAAAAAAAAAAAAACAAAAAAACAAAAAAGAGCGGGAGCTAGAATGGGATCATCTCTTTTTTGCGTTTTTGTTTTTGGGGTGAAAGGCGAGTCCAGCGAGTTCGTACTGATGATGATGATGTTGTTGATTCTTGCGCGAGAAATCGCCGAAGCCACGCCAGCGCCCGCTCTAGTTAGTTAGTTAGTGCGCCCGCCCCCCATTTGCTCGCTCGCCCGAGATGCCCCCCGGAAAAGCCTGTCTATGTCCCCTGCCCAACCGACGTTCAATTTTCCAGGGGAACCTTCGATCATGGGAAGTTTCTTTCAACCACCGTGTACGGAGTAGACGGCATTAATTGATTATTGGGGTATAGTTATGGTGTTTGCTCGGGCGAGCTGCTCGGCCTCTGGAGCACATATCTGGACGGCATCGGCCATGGGCCCTGGCCGCCCGTTGCAGCGCTCCGTCTTAGCATTTCTCGGCTCCCCTTATGAAGAGGCAAAAATCGCCATTTCGGCCGCCCAGACCGCGTTTACCCCAGCAGCAGTATTAGTTAGTGGCGATGTTCGCACTCCCCGAGTGACAGCTGTGAAGAAGGCTTGGTGCTGGGCGCCCGCCGGACCGTTTGGGTTCGGAGAGCGAGAGAGAGAGGCCTCCCCCCATCGGCACGCCGAGAGAATTCCATCCGGACGTCGTCGTCGGCCCTGACCATTTTTTAAGGTTGTGCTACCGGTGTGAAACTTTGACGGACGGCACGGAGTGGAAAGGAACAATAATAACACGTTGCCACGAAAAGAAAACGCATCTCTGGTCTCTCTGCAATCTGCAAAAGAAAGAGGCCGTTTGATGCTGAGGCTCGGTGTCTTAAAAACCGCACGCGAGACCAAGGCGTCCTCGGTCTTAAATATGTGGGAAAATGCCCCGACTCTTTTCTTGGAAAAGAAATGCCCGGGACTCGAGATCACCGGTATCGTGGTCCCCCTGAGTGAGAGCGAAAACGGCTCTGCTTTACGTGATGAACCAAGGCGGAAACGCATTCAGCTTGGAAAATAAAAGCCAGAGACTCAGTATCATCGGAGTCTCGTCCCTGAGCGCGAGCGAGAACTGCTCTAACTCGCGTACTCGACCAGGCGAAATCAAATTCAGCTTGGATAAGAAAAGCCAGTGACTCAGTATCATATCGGAGTTGAGCGAAACATGTTTAAACTGGTGAGAGAATGTGTGTGAGAGTGTCTGTCTTAAGCCTGGAATTTTTGAAAAAATTACGCAAACCTGGCTCTACTACTCCCTGTTTTTTTGTTTGAGTTGCCACGACTCTTATCGGCTCAACATTCAACATTGCCTATGTTGAAACGTTGGGCCTCCGATCGACGCACCTTGCGTCTAGAATAATGCAAGTATATCTTCTGCTATCCAGCAATGACATGAGAGTCTCTGAAGCCCAATATACCCGTCATGCAAACACGCGTGGCGCCGGCACTCAGTCATGTTGGACACGATTTTGAATGAGGCTGCTTAGGATACCAGGAAGAAGGCTAACAGTGTAGCCAAAAGGCATCGAAACAATGTCCACCTTTAGGCAAACGGCTACTGCTCTCCTTGGGAGTTGGATGCTCTACTGATATCAACTGTGATGGCCCTTGTGGTTTCTTCCAAACCGCAGCATGCCTCTTCATACGACCTGTCTTGTCCCGGGCAATATTACTGTCTAAACTGGTAGCCATGATCTTCTGGAAGTTGGACGAAGAGCAGCGAGAAGCATGACAAGCAACATATATATAATATATATATATATATTATATATATGTGTTCTCAACCAACCACGCTAGTTACAAGTTTCCGCCGGCCCGCTACCAAGGCTGACAGTCATGATTCAAACCTGCACGGTAGACCCCTTAAACTTTCGCCTCCCTTCGTATGATACCCCAGCAAACACCGAAAAAGTCGCCCTGCATAGCGTTTATGTGAGCGTTGCGTTGGGGGGAAAAAAAAAAAAAAAGAAAAAAATAATAATAATAATAAATACGATACCGCAGCTCAGAAAGTTTCTCAGGCGAAAATTATTATTAATAATGGCATGGAAGCCCGAACCTCGAAGGCACCCGCTAAGGAAGAGATAGAGCTCCAGGCAGGAGGAGGATGCAGGTTTGGAATTGGATCTCGCTTGATTCCTGCAGTGTATTATAGTTTGTTGCTATTATTGGTCGAGCAAGATGAACCTGGAGCCCTTCACTCGAAGATATCAATAATGAATCATAAAGAGAGAATGATGTCAAATCAAACGCCCCTTGAAACTTATCCTGAAACGATTTTTAACTCAAGAAGGATGCTCCCGCCTGCTTCTTTTGGAGGAAGATCCCCCCAAGACGCCTTAATCTCACCTCTAAGCTTTTGTACCCGCTGGGGGGGCGGGATCTGCCTCGTGCAGCTTACAATTTATGGAGTAGTAGTAGAGTAACTTGGGCGGCTTCGGTCTTGCCTAATAATACTGTCGGCATGTAGATCTCCAACTACGCATCCACTTGCCTTTTAGCCTTTCTAGATCTTGCATGGAGGGAATTCATTGCAGAAGTACCAAGCCCCTTTTCCATGGCGGAATCCTTGCTTCCGTTTCTCTATATGAAAATATTTTATTATTAGAAAATTAATGTAGGTAACAGCTAATCTTCATGCAAGTCGTTTATCAGTTGCGAATTACTTTTTTCAATTAAATCCGCGAGGATCTTTGGTCTCGAGTAGCTCGGAAGATGATATATGTTTTTTTTTTTTTCTTTTTGAATAGAACGGCAGTGATCCGATCCGATCCCGAAGCCTGAACATTCCGCTGCAGTAGAAAGAAACTCATCGCGTGATAATCAAGGAGAAACCGTCTATGTTTTCGCCGATTAGTCCGGAAATGCCCGCAATTTTGTAACCTCGTGGTGCAATTAATGTATGCCTAGCCAGAGAAGATGAGAGCATTAGCAAACTGCAACACTCGTCGATGCAGAAGTACGAAATAGGGCTCACATACCCAGTTCCAGCACTCGGGTTCCCGAAAACGCCATTTATTTTGCCCATATTGGTGATAACACCCAGACCATCCACGCTCTGCGCCGCCCGAATATAAAAGCCAGTGAGTAGTTCCCCCTTCCGTGTATCTAACGGCTCGAATTAATATCACACCCGAAAAAGAATGTCTTTTAAAAGCAGCACATAAGGTTCTTACCAAGCACTAATTCGCTAACATCTGAAAACTGAGTAGACCGGTTGCCGAAGAATTGAATAGTAGCATCTTCATAATGAAACTCAATGCCACTGACCGACAATGGGCTGTGAAAAACTTTGATGGAGATGAGTAGTTTTGTTTGTATCATAGCGAAGTCCAGAATCAGATCTTCGGCCGCAGTTCCTGGAAGGACTGCCGAACCCAGCTGGTTGCCTCGATAGCCGGTTTGGCCATTAGGCAGCTTGATCGTGGAGGCCTTCGACTTGAGTTGAAATAGATCATCAATGGCGTGACAATACAACGAACCGGAATATATCACCAATTTTATATTTTTGGTTGTTTTTGGACTATTGGGGATTCTGGTGCGGATGTCGTCATCTACAAGGGTGACTTGTTTAGAAAGACCATTGTTGATGTTCCCAAGTTCTCCGCTCATGTAGTCAAGGTATGCCTTGCAAACGGCGTCTCCTTTCGTATACACCTCAATAAACGCAATGCCCGCCTGTGATGTCAGTACAATCTTACCGCCGTCCACAGGCCAAACCTGTAGAGAGCCGTTGAAGCACGGAACCGGGTCACTGAGGTGACGGAAACAGGGATGTAGACGGAAACGTAAAGCGTCGAGTCGGTGCCAATTGCTTTCGTCCTGTGCTAGGCAGAGACGTTGGCCATCTTCTTTGTTTTTTTTGCGATATGGTATCCAGCTCATAAATGATCTACTAAATTGAAGATAGTCTTGACCCATGATGCCACTGTCTTGTTGCTGGCAGCCAAACATACGACCAATTTCACGAAGATGGGCGCCAATATTAGCGCTTGCCACTTCCCACATGGCAGTTCGTTCCTGGTGTTGGCTGGATGGGAAGTTAGAGTCAATTTCTGTAGAGTCGGCAAATGCCGATATTACCTCTTCTATACAAGAGGGGTAAGTATGTAATGCATGAGAGCCAAAGATGGCGAGATTGACGTCATGCCCAACTGCTGCGTGGCGAGTAACGATTTCACTGCCTGGGTAGCTGTCAAGAATCAAGGCAGTCACATATGTCTTTTGGTTTAGCTTAGGGTTGAAGTAACCAAGAATTGCCTCTTTTGCGACCTTAAATAGTTTGCTCTCTCCTTCGGGAAGGTCAGAGCTATGCTCTAGACTGAGAGCGCGTAGTTCAGCAGCAGTTTTATCACAACGAATGACATGAATCTTCGCTTCGTTCCTCATTCGATATGATATGGTATCTCTTGAGCTCAGTGTCCCGGTCTGCCATTCTTCTTCGAATCGAAATGAACGTCTGGCAAAATTATTCCGGTACATTTGTTCCTGCGTGAAAGCTTGCCAAAGATAGGCAGCCATTCGATACTTGCGAATAGGAATGTCAAGTTCATCGTGATTCCTTAATGATTGTTCGGGCTGTGAATCCGATTTCTTCAAGGAATCTTTGCCCAGAAGGATGACGAGATGCAGCGGTGGGCATTCAATCATAGGTAAGTAATTCACATTGATTGTGGACTGGTGAGCGGTGGCATTTGGGATTTGATGAGAAAAAAAGTCCAGCCGGATCTTGTTCGGGCCAGGCACAAGGTGCAGTAATGCTTTGAACTGGGAGCCTTGAACCGGCCAAATAGTGGAAGGAAAAGAATCGTTTAAAAGATTGATGGTCACCGTGCCATCAATTGGAGGACGAGCATCACCAACCTGCCCATAAATAAGGAGAATTTTATGGTTTACCTGGGCCAATGGGTCAGTGCCTGTTAAGAGACCGATTCTAACAATTGGAGCCCAATTTCATACCCATGAGTTTTCTGAGATAGACGTAACGCGTGGTGCAAATGGGGAGATTGGGATGGTGCTTCGGGACGGCTGAAGCAAAGATTGGCTGCTCTGAAGACGAAAGATACAAGTTAGACGGGAAAGTAAACAACGGCTGATTGGCCGCGGGAGAAAACATACCCCAGTACAGCTTCGGCTAGAGCTGATTGGAACGGGCCGCTGTGGCGACGAGTGTGCATTCGAGCTCTCCGACTTGGTCAGGTAGGGAAGATGGGTCGTCGACAGAGTGGGTAAGGAGGGGGGCGGCGTGGTATGGGAGCTATTAGAGGAAGAATTGTCGCCCATCAAGCTGGAGGTGCCATTGAGCGGGTGGCCGTTGCCATTGGTGCCGGCAAAGGAGTCATCATGGCTGGATCGCTTCGAGCCCCCTTTCTGGAAGTTTGTCTTGGAGAGGCGACGCAGGTCTTTCATAAAGGCCTTTGGCGCCATGATCAGTGGGACCACAGCAGCATCTATTGGGTGCAGATCTAGCGAGGTCAGGCCATGAGCAGGCAAACAAGAACAGACGGAAGCAGTGCGCAGCAAAGCAGGTGGGTGGTGGCTTACTGAACACCTCTGGTGGGTGGGATGCGGCAGGGAACTTTTGCGGCGGCTGGATGACGTTGCAGACAGCGCGCACAGGAGAGAAAGAGCGACACAACGACCAGCAGACTGCAGACAGCAGAGGCGCAACACAGCAGCAAAGCGCATTCACACACACCGTCCTGCTGCGCGGCGTGAAGAGAGGGAGGAGCAGCCAAAAAGCTGCGTCGTCGTCGCACAGCTTGGTTGATGACGAAACGTCAAACTTGTTTCTTGATAGTATCTTACCTGGCCGGTTACCGTACCGTACGGGGCGAGACGGCCGACACGCTGGCCCGCCTCGTGCCCGCGGCCGCGCCCGCCAGCAGCCAAACAACCCACAGGCAGGAAGCGGTCCCCTCGGCCGCTGCGGTGACGAGACGAGCGGCGCCAGACCCGGCGCGCTTGCTATGCCGCGATCTGGAAGTGCTCGTGCGGCCTGCGTGCGCGTCGGAGCAGTTAGTCGCCCCCTGTCGCTGCGGCCCAAGATAAGCTTGCCGGGATGGCATTTTTGGGTTGCTGAGGAACAAGCCAACGCCGGAGCTTGTCGCGCCGTGGACGAACCAGGACCCGGCGCTCGGCGAGCAAGCCTCGTCAGCCCTATTTTCTTTTATTCTTCGCTCGAGCGCAGCGTGGTTGCTGGCGCCCCTAATTCCCGCCAATTTCGCGGGAGATTATAAGTGGCCGCCATGACGCCTCGGGCGACGGGGAGCTTACCATGATGCTGTGTTTAGATCTACTTGCTCGTTACGCTGAGACGCCCTTTGCCCGGGACTCGACGACTCTCCCTCATCGGCTTTTTTGATCAGAGCACTTTCAAGTCTCAGTTGAAAGAAAAAATCAGACAACGAAAAAATATCTTTCTGTGCGAAATGAAAATTACCGCGGACGTTACGGATACAGCCTAGTTACATGGCAACGGCTGATCCAGGAAGACGCCGGCGGGTACCACGACGCACCGCATGCTGGGCGTATTGAGCTCTGCGGATAGGCTGTGACTTGCCTCTGCCGGCCCCCGCCCTGGGGCTGACCCAATGTCGAGCGAACCCTGTAGGCTTGGGGGAAAAAAGGAAAATGCCATCAGATCCTGACCCTGGTGAATCTCCGCTATGGGAGATAGATGTTCCAGAGAATCGTGCCCGGAGCCACCTTAAGCTCAGTGAGATTAAGTGAAAACCTGTAGGAAGATGAAGCGCTTTTTTAGGAGGCCTGTTATTATGCACGTAGATGCATGCTTGCTCGCTGAAGAAAACAGCGCAGGGTCAAATATAAATATCGTCCGCATCAAATCCCCAAGCGTCCCAGCAACACCACTCGCTGTTCTCCTGTAACTAGTTAATTAAAAGCATTTAAATCGTTTCTTCCAGGCATATCCAACGGGCCAAGGCACGGTGCTAAGAGACCATCGAGGCGTGCACAGAGACCGTGCTGCTATCGTCGAGATTCAAACCGCCCCAGTAGTCTGTACTGGCATCCCTGCACCGTCCAGCGACACTGCTTCATAACTACTGACGAAAAGCAGCCCACCCGCGACGGGGCACCAAGCCAATAAGGCGTGCGGCGATCGCGACCGGTAATCGCGCGGTTATGACGGGGACATCTGCGCGGCCGCACTGTCGAGCCAGCTTGGCGGGCCCGGGCGAGCATGGGCGTAACTATAGTTATGGCCTGTCCGTGGGAGGCGCTGCTCAGCCGCACCGGCAACATGGGCGGATTGCCAGATGCGGGCCGGCCGCGGACGGACGAGGGCGCGCGGTGGTGGAGTGTCTTGAGCGTAGATGCACGAACTACTGTCCGGCGTAGGGAGCATCAGATCCTCGCGAGCGCGCGCTCACATTTCCGGCGTCCAACAAGCAAGCTGCAGGGGTGCGGCCGCTCGGAGCAATATGCCCGAATGCAGCAGGAGATTTGTTCGTTTTAGGCCTCGTTTCTGGCTGTCACCGGCCAGAGCAGAGCGCTGTGCTGGCGAGGCTCCACGCCGTGGACGGCCGGCGTTTCGAAAGTAAAACATCGCGCGCCAGCGGTCTGCGCTGAGCGCAGCACCGGCTTGCAGAGGCCTCCTGGCCAGCCCAGCAGCGGTGCCCCTGCAGCAGAAAAGGGGCGCTCCAATGCCCTCGGCCGCTCGCATGGCGTCAACGAGCAGGCCGGCTCGCCAACCAAAGCGCGCGGGCGTCGCGGTGGCTGGCGGAGATCGCTGGCGTGTTTGCGCTGTTTGGCCCGCCCGGCGCCGGCGCTCGTTAAAGCCTGCGCTGTCGCCGTCTCAAAGCAACGCAATCCCGTCTATTTTTGTGCTGGTCGGCGGCCTGGTCACTCCTTTGCCTTCTTTCATTTCCCTGCTAGACCCGGCGCCTTCCTTTGATCCCGCCTGTCGCTCTTTTGCTGCCGCCGCTTTTGCTGTTCTTTTTTTTTTTCCTGCCTCCTCAGCTCTTCCTTAGTTACACCCTGGCAGCCCTGCCCTTCCGACTTTTCTCGCTCCCGCCATCCCGGCTCCTGCTCGACGCCCTATTGACTTTCTGAACATTCCTTGTATTTTCACTGTTGGGCCCTCCAGCATGGCCATGTCGTCGCCGGCAACGTCGGCCAGAAAGGCTGTTCACAAACTGGATGTCGAAAAGGTGCGTTGTCGCCAACAGCTGACCCCCGGCTTAGCCGGAGCATTGGGCTGACCACACAATCTTCCTTAGGTGTCACTGAATCTTCAAGACCGCCTGGGCCTTGCTAAAGTCAAATACGAACGCATGCATGGGCTGCACACAGACCCAATGGACGGCAGCGAAGATAATAGCAGCGTTGGAAGAAAGCCTTCCTCCACTTTTTCGAATGGCCACCCCGGATTCGATACCCCCACCGCTTCTACCCCGCTGACAAGCCCCATCTTGACAAAAGACCTGCCTCGTTCTGCCCGTAGCAAGCATGCTGCAATGTTTGATCTTCGGTCCATGGAAGCCATGACCGGCGGCTCTCGAAAACGAAGAAGATGTGACTCCACGACTGAAAAGTCTGTGAAGGCCAACCGTATCGCCTCGGATTTTATCGATGCCGTCCTTCCCTCGTCACCTACTACTGGTCGTCAACGGGCTTCCGTGTCTGGCCATTCCGCCTCCTATGTATCCCAGTCTGATACTATCCCGGACGATTCACTTCTGTCCCCCGAAAAATTTTCAGACCAGAATATCGATCCCGAACTTCCCACAAGCAACACAATGCTGAGCTCCTCTCCACCACGCACCCCCTCGCCCCGACGAAAACGTCTTTCTTTTACTTCTCGGAATCACCAAGATGGCGCCGATTTACTGATGTACCTGGCAAATTCCCCCACTCCAATCACTCTTGGAGATAGAACTCGCATACCTGATTTCTTCCCTTCGACTCCTCCTGCTCAGCATGCCTACCTACCTTCCCTCCTTTCTACCCCCGGCGGCGGGTTTGGCATGAACTTTAATACGCCTGGTCAGCCATTCAACTTTGCTGATTTTGTGAATGTTACTCCCAGCCCTGCACAGCGTCCATGGGGCAACAACCGAACACCTCGTGTTGGCCCAAAGACGCCCATCGTTACGAAGGAAGTGAGGAAGCGGCTTAACTTCGATGCCCTTGTTCCTCCGTCTGGTAGCCCAAACACAAAAACTTCCGAAAGAAAAGTTGGCCTGGCTCTACAACTGGGCGAAGAACTTCACTTCTAACCGTTTCCACTCTCCTACCTCCCCCATTACTTACTTTCTATTTCGCTGCCTTATGAAGATTTTACGATGTATGGAGTATCGATGCATTCCACCACCAATATGATTCCCTGGATCTGCTAAAAACTGCAATCCCACATGAAATTGTCCTAAATTACATTTTCTTTCTCATGCAATATCTTTGTCTTTTTTTTAAATGGTGGATCAGTGCCCACACTTATGCCCAGTTTCATCAGCCTTAGCCCTACCAAGTGTATGAGCTGTTCCAATTTACCAACCCGCACCCTGTCTCAGAGTACACCTTCCCCTGCTGTGCTTGATTGTGTACCTTAATGTATGTACCAATACAGTCTTGAGCTGCTAATACACATCTAACAATTAAAAAAAAAAGCGTTGACATTTACATACAAAATCAAGCAAAATTGCGGTTGTTGTGTCGTTCGCTCGTAAAGTGGGTTTTAACTTTTGTGACGCGTTGTTTGAGCTTAATTGCGGGGGAGACGCGTCCGGCTCGCGTCCGACTAGGCCGCTTTGGGTAAGATTGCATGATGACATAACCAGGTCGCGTCAGCCAAGCTCTTGTCCCCGCCGCGGGGAGGAAGGGCCGACAACGGATTAGGAAGGCAGGCGCACGCCCAGACGCACACGTGCAGGCGTGGCGAATCTTGCATCAAACTGCCTGGAAGACAGAATAGAGATGCCATGCCTCTTGTCTGCTGTGCTGCTCAGCATTGGATGGATGCGAGAGTGTTCAGCTCCGAGCAGAAAGATAGAGGGTATACGGAGCATTTCGTAAAGTCGGGCCATCGACCCGCCCCCTGCTGTGTGTACGGATATTGAAGAAAAATGATGGATGTATTGTAGGTTGAGAGTGTGATAAACACCTGCATTCTTTTTTCCAGGGTGCAGTTTTTCGATTTTATTGCCCGCTTCATCGCTGCTACGTATTGGCGCGCCCTACGATGACAAGTGGGGGAGAGTATGACAAATCTGGGTCAAATTTATCGTATTCGACCTTCACGAAAGGGAATAGCTGCTAGATAAATAGAGGATAATACTGAGGCTTCTTCCTTTCGAGTTCTGAATTGTTGCGGAGAAAATATCAACGTTTATTACTCTTCTCTTCCTACTCAACAAAGCCGTACGCGGGCACCCAAAGAAATGGCGCCCACAGCAGAGCCGGAGTACACCGTTATCGGTGCCTGGACTCGATATTCCAGTGGGTCTCGATGCTATTTGGAGGGCGTTCCGAGTCATTGACCATGTTCTTCAGGCTGGACTGCCCGCGTCACAACAATTCTGGACTACTATGGAATTCCATACAAACCAGTTTTTGGCTCTCTAGGAGAGGTATGCTGGAAGTACTGATATTCTCATTTCAATTGAACCATCTAGGATTAACTCGAATAAATAAATAAAAAGACCACGGCGCTCTCTCACTCCGGCCTTGTTCCTGCTCTTAGCGCCCGCTCCCTTCAAAATGGCGTGCAGGTCAACGACTCACTCGCCATCCTCGAGTTCCTCGCCGAATCCCACCCTGAACTACCGTTTTGGCCCAAAGACCGAGTTCTGCGTGCTTTGGCTCGTAGTGCTGTAGCCCGTATGCACTCTGGTCTATGTCGTGCACTTCAGACTACGTTCCATACAAATTTTCTGGGAAAATATACCGGCAATGTTCCCATCGGTGATGATGCACTTGTGGAAATAAAAAGAGTTCTTGCGCTATGGGGGGATCTGAGAAAGAAAACTGCCGAGCGGCTCAGGGAGCTGGGAGAAGAAGATAAGGGGTTTTTGTTCGGCGAGTTTGGTATTGCGGATTCTTTCTTCTGGCCAGTATTGTGGGTATGTGGTGTCCTTCTGGTCCACAATATTTCGCCTGGTTCTTTGGTAAGCTGATTGGCTGACCGTGTATAGCGATTCCGCACGTACGGATTCCCACTTGATTCAGCTTCTCCTGAAGCTCTGGCCTGGATGAAGCAGATGTGGAGTGACCCAAAGATGAAGGAGGTCCAGCACGATTATTATCTCCAGAGCAAACGGCCTGAGACGGTCATATCTGTGTATGATGATATCTTTAAATACCTGCCGGGCGTGCAGTACACTTGGTTCTCAGAAGATTGGACATTCTCTGCATAGATTGATTGAAACCTAGAAAGCAGCTGGTATATCCCATGAGAGTGATTTCCAGGGTGACGACTCGTACTAGTAAATTGTCATGTGGTTAAATGTTTTTGTTGCCGCACTTGAACGACTTGAGGTGCCTTTGTCAGAATATGTGCATTCCATCATACTTATACGTACGACCTACAGTACGAAGTGGAATACGGCGGCCAGATCAGACCAACCAAATAGAGTTCATTGACCTAGGAGTCACGCCAAACACCATGGCTGCCAAACTCTTTCGCCATGCAAAACTTGACGTTAATGCCCTCTGCCAACTAGCAAGCTCCTTGCGCCATGGAAGACCCTGCTCTTGCGATCCTGACCAAGCACCACAGGGAGGCAGCTTGTACTGGGTGGTTTTTGTGGTGTTTGATGATGCAGTGGAATGGGTATTTCGATCTCCACGACCCGATGGCGTTGTTCAGGCAGATGAGACCATTTCCAAACTGTTAGCCAGCGAAGCTGCGACCCTGAGATATATTAGGTCTCATTCTGCGATTCCAGTTCCGGAGGTTTACGCTTATAGGTAGGAAGCAATTACGCCCGGGATCATTTTGGGCTTCCTGCTGACTTCTTGAGAAGTCCGTCGAAGAATAATGATATAGGAGTTCCCTATATTCTCATGAGCAAAGCAGCCGGTTTTCTGCTCAGAAAGAAGTGGGAAAACCCAGGATTACAGCAAACAGCTCTGTCAACGGAAGAGAAATCCAAGATTCTATCACAACTCGGAACTATAACCTGGCAACTCTCTCAGCTGCGATTTGAAGAAATTGGCTCACTATTTGAGGATAATGGGCATATACAGATCAAGAGTTGTTTGTCTCGAGGACTAGTAGAATCTGAGCGAGATACTTTGGATGACCTGCCCCGAGGGCCGTTCTCATCCGAGATGCTATACTTTGATGCTCTGGTGTCAGGTTTTTTACAGCATGTTGAGTGTCTCCAGCTTTTCCATCACTGCTTCCTTGCACCTATTCCCACTCGCAAAAACTATGATGACCACGAAGAATTCCGCAAGGCATGTGATCATTGGAACAATTTTGTCATTTTGGGCTCTAAAATTGATGGATCTGACAATCGGGTGGACTACACAATAGTTGGAGACTTCCTGCGAGAAATGGTCTCCAAGGAAACTTTGTGGCCATCCCGGAACATCAATGCAAAGGGTTTTCCATTACACCACCCTGATCTAAGTGTGAACAATATCTTTATCAACGACAACTGTGACATTACTTGCATCATTGACTGGGCATTCTGCTCATCAGTTCCTGCTTCAATCCTCTTCATGGCACCTGGTCTTCCTATGTCTCGAGATGAACTGGATGCGCCTTTAGTTGCAGCGTTTGAAGAAGGATTGAATGAAGCCATGCAGGCAGATCACGGAGAAGACTCGATGCAAATCTACCACCATACACCAGCAATGTTCCCTGCGAAACGCATCATTTGGTCGTTTTCCCGATTAATCAGTTTTGATTCAATTGGAGACTACTATTTATTTGATAATATATGGCAACTAAGCGATCAAAACAACGTGGATTTCTTGACCTTTTTTCGGTTGAAGGAATCATCTGATCATTATTTACAGCTGCACAAGGAAATGAGACAATATGATGAGCCTCCTGATGTCACGAAGAAACAGGAGATAGAATTGTCTCAAAGAGACATGCTTGGTTTAACTGTGTCAAGGAAACTGTCGCTGGTCTCTGAGTGGACATCACGATACCGCAAGGATGACACCCAAGGAATACGGCGGAATGGAGGTCATTTCGTTGCTGATGATAAGCTGTGGAGATGGATTTTGAATTCGTTGGAGCAGGCGGGCCTCAGTTAACAACAGAGGGCTGTATCGAATGCACTTAGAACTGATGTATTCAGTCTTACCAGTTGCAATGTCCTTCGCCTTGCAATACCTAAATGATGGCTACGTAAACATTGAATAGCTAGCAAGGCGAATTAGGAGGCGTGGGTATGTACCAACATAGGTGCACATCTTGTTGTTTATTTTTCATTTTCCCCTTCAAAACTATCCACGAGCTTAAATATTGAGAAGGGTGGGCGCTCGTTGCTATTTTAATTATGATTCAAAGATATGTACTGAGCCTTCCTACGTACATAACATACACCATCACCCTTCCAGGGATTAATCGGCATATTCAAGCGAGCGGCAATAGCTTCATACGTTACAAATACTTTCAGACTGGCCATCAACCTTCGTGATTAAGGTATCACATAGAAGACATTACACTTTTTTCAATCTCGAGAGATTCATAGGTCCTTTTCAAGGGTAAACACTTATTCGTTTGTAACTCCTTTAAAAACCTTGATCGTATCCTTCGCCGTATCTCTGGCACTTTGAGGGTTTGCACCCGTGATGATCCTGCCATCAATTTTGCAGAAGTCATCGAAAGGGTCTTCTGGAGCGACATATTCAGCGTGGGCAGACTGGGCCAATTCATCAACGGTATGGAGTTTATCTTCGCGGATCTTATCGATGACCTTCATCATGATTTCACCTTTTGTTGTGAATCCGGTCACGGTCTTGTCTCTGATGATAGATTCTCCATTCTCATCTTGGATCCCAGGCAGGATGGCAGGGCCATGGCAAACGGCACCGATAACGCCGCCACGCTTGTAGACGTCCTGTGCGATGTTTTGGAGGTGTTTGGCCTGTGGAAAGTCGTACATTGCCCCGTGCCCCCCGCACATAAACACAAGTCCATAGTCATGAGCTGCTAGATCGCCAGCTTTGAATACTTGGTTGTTCATCTTCTCCATGAACTGGCTGTGTTCAGAGTTGTAGACTTTGCTGTCGTCCCTCGTGAGGTATTCTTGAGTCAAGGAGTGTTCATCCCATCCGAATGTACCTGTTTCGGATGCAACATCAACCTCGAAACCAGCGGCAGTCAGTTCATTGAATGGGTGCAATGCCTCGGAGAAAAACAAGCCAGTCTTCTTGCCATCCGGCCAAAACGGCGGGTGGGCACTGGTTACAGCCATCAGAGCCTTTCTGGGAAGTGGTGCCATCGTAAAATAATATATAAGCCTTTTATTTTGATTCCTTGAACATGTCAAGATACCAACAACCTTCGCATCAAGCGGCGATGACCAGCCCGTTAAATAGAATCCCAGGTGGCTGGTGTAGAGTTGGTGTCGTCACAGATACAGAATAGCCACTAATATTCCCCGTTAGTAGGTTAAATTCCCGATTTCTACAGCCACGGACTTTGATGTATAGACATTTGGAAAAAGAGGACTGGCGGAATTGAGCTATGACGTAGCATAAGGCGACGTTGATTTGAGGGAAAACTGGTCTGATCTACATCGTTTTCCATGGGTAAACAAAGCATGACCGGCCGCTCTGCTCCGCGATACCAGACGGCCAGAAGAATTGGTGCGTTTTCCGTGTGGAAAAAGATTCGCTCGGAATGGTTCATCCATCCTCCTCCTGTGGCAAATTCTCATTTTCGGTATGTGAGCGTATGACTTGTTTCCTCCAGAGATCGGCTAGGAAGCTAGAGGTGCTGGCCTCCTCGATCGTTTTATCGTCACGGACTCGGAGGAATCTCGGGAAGCGGAGGCTTAATCCACGCTCTTCGCTGGCAAGGCCAATAGCCGCCGTATACGTCGGGCTCAGGGTGATATCTGCAAAAGCGATCTCCCATACCTCCTGAGGCTCAAACCACACTTCAGGTTCCATTTTATAGTCCACATAGCTTGGTCTTGAAACAATATTGTCGCCTCCCTCCAAATATTTGTCCTTATTTTCCTGGTAAAACTTGTCTGTAAACCCTGACATGCATTTAGTTACAGCTTCTAGTGTACCGTTCTCTGGGTTTCGCACAGCAAGGAGGATAGGTGACCACCATTTGGCCTTTCGACCCTGCCCATGCCAGCCAGCAATAGGGATCAAATCTAAAGTATCAGATGTTGTACTGTAGTCCTTCTTTACCTTAAGCCATGATTCAAGGCGCTTATCTGGTTCATACGTAGATAGTAAAGCACGCCTTCTTGTGGCCTTCTGCTTTGCATTTGACACATTGGATATGTTTTCGCTAGTTGAACTGTTGGTTAGCTCGACAGCACTGGCATTTTCATCATCCAGTATTTTCACCATAATACCTTCACACTTAGCACTTGTTGCCTCATGAAAAAAATTTAGGACGGTTTCCGAGTCTGAAGCGGTTGCATCAATACTTTTTACCCAAGAAAACTGGCCAGGTATTTCAACAAAAAGGCTCCGGAGAAGTTCCCGTCGCTCTCTAAACGTCCTTTCTAGCAATGAGGTATCGTTCAGATACATGAGATCGAAAGCAAATAAACAAACATTAATTCTTATATCGGCCATCTCCACATTCTTTTTGGCCCGATTGGAGAGAATTTGGAAGGGCAGTAAAGCCCCAGATACTTGGTCCACAGCTACAACTTCTCCCTCAAGGATGAAACTGGATACGCCATCACCTCGAATTTGCGGGACCAGCGAAACAAGATCAGGGTATTTATCTGTCATCAACTCTAAATGACGAGAAAAGAGCGTCACCTTTCCAGACGAGTCACAATGGACTTGTGCACGCTGGCCATCGTATTTATACTCGCAACTGAACTTTTTACCCTGCAGTTTGACAAGCATTTCTGTTAGGTCGCGCGTAATGCTTCCTAGCATTGGTAACAAAGGAATGTGTAGAGAGAGGCTGCATTTCGAAAAAAGTGTTTCCGACACTCCAGTTTCTAGAAGACACGGTATTAGGTCATTGTAGTTGGGGTGCCGGGCATAAGTAGCTTTAATAATCTCCTCCGACCTAGAATATAAACTAGTGAGTTCCTCTTTTTTGAGCTTTTCAAGATTGGCTCTAGAATGAATGTCGAAACTGGCGGACGGTGGTCTAGAATAGAGAAAGGCGCGAGCTAGCGCAATAAGCATGGTAGTTCTGACAGCTCCAATTCGTAGATGCTGAACGAGAGTACGGACAATGTACCGGCTCTCTTCAGCTCCTCTGGCGTCTCGAAGTAAATGTTCCACCAACCTCTGTTTACTTTCCTGGCTGCCAGACCCTTTACTGTTCGCAATCTTCACCAACGTGTCATAAACTCCTTTGATAGATAGTGACTTCGGTCGTCGCAACGTAAATGTTTGTTTCTTTTTTGCTTCATAGGCGACATCCCCTGCATCCCCATATTTATCGTATAGGACCTTTAGGCCCAGATTGTCGAGACCATAAGCCTTCTTTAAAGCTTTAGAAATAGCAGAGCCGCCTAGGCCTAGCTCAAGAGGAATATATGGCGGTGAAAAAGCATTTGTTGCCAGCCAGACAGCCGGGAGTAAGCTATCTGGATTGCCTTCGATCAAAGTCCTCAGCAAGTTAACCAAAATGTCCACAATTCTGATCCTGCTCTGGGTATTATTGACTAGAGAAAACGCTCTGACTAATATAGAATAAGAAGCGTGGCCGCCGTCGGCTTTCCAGTATTCCCTCAGCTGTTCGATGTACAGTTTGGGTTCGAATGTAAGCGGCGACTGGTCGAATGGCAATGACATTGAAATCATGTCCTCTGCTGCAGCAGATGTTTGTAATGATAGCGTAGCGCCATGAGTAGAAGGTACCTTGGGTTCAGGAGGCGAGATGGTGGGTAGTCCTTGTTCACGATACGCTGATGTTGCTTCCGGATGCCTATGGCTTGTGATATTCGAAGAGGCGCAATCATTCCATTCAGCATGTAGTTTGCGGGCAAGTTCCTCATCTGCAACAAATTGGCGCGTAGGAGATGGCGTTGAGGGCGCAGGAGAGCCTGGTTGTGCCTGTTTTCTGGGACTCTTGAAGAACGAGTCGATGCTCTTGAAGCGGCCTGGTGAATCGCCAGCGCCATCTCGTTTGCGCTTCTTAGCGGGGTTCGACATTACTACAGTGCATATTTACAGCTCTCTTGTAGGATCGCTTTGACAATATACACGTTGGCTGGTTTCTTTGCCGACGACCAGCATGCACTTCTAGGTTCTCTCAACAGCGATGGTGCCGAGGATTTGGTGTTCGCGCCAAGCCTGACGAAGCTCTGGGGAAACGTTGCTCCAAAGCTCCTCTGCCACCGTGATCAGGCGAATATCGAAGGTGTTTCACAGCCTTACTTTCTATTTCAGCGGGAGAAGTAGCTAAGCATATATCTGGCTGAATCAGACTGGGTTTAACTCAATGGCCCCGAACGTGCCCTCAACACGCAGTCGAGTCGCTGAATATGTCGACGAACACATCCAAACAGCAGCAGACTTACAGACCCTAGACTCTCTCATCAAAAACCTTCGGCAGCAGCAAGAACGTCAGCAACAGCAGGTGCGTCTCCTAACTTTATTCTATGTGATATTCGCTCACTGTTGTTTCTAGTTGCGGGAAGCAGAAGTAATCCTCGATGAAGCCACAGAGGCGTCAAAGCTCCATTCGGAGACGGTTCGGAAGCATGCTGAGGCTTTCGCTGCACGCCAGGAAGACATAAACAAGCGGCTTATGGAGGTCACTCAGTCAAAAACTAGTGACGAGGCTATCGTACAGTTTGAAGCCCGGATGGAGAAGCTTCGGCGCTTGGATGTTGCAAAGGGGTATATGGATCTTTTGTCCAAGGTGAACTCCATTGGGTTTGTCATCTATATCAACTTATGCTTCTAGACGCTTATCTTTTACTAGCAAAAATGTGCTGTCAGTCATGAAATCTTCTCCGAGTGATGCGCTGCAGTCATACGTTGAACTAAAAACTATATCTGCCTCGCTGGAATCTGCCCAGATCGCCGCTGAAGGGGCTGCACCTCACCTAGTGAATTATGTGTCTAAATTGGCTATTAATTTGAAAGCGACGTTACAGAAAGAATATTCTGACAACCTTCGGGCCGTCCTAGAGAAAATGAAGTGGCCTGCAAAGGATCTTCAAGCAGATGTTTCGTCAATTGACGAATGGACTGTTTGGGTTGATCTTTTACTTCAACTACAGGAACCGTAAGCGCTGCAGCTCTAGCATTACATCCCAATATGCAGCTAACTCGTTGTAGGGATGTTGTAGCCCAAATCGCGGCCATTCAGGATGAATCGCAACATCACGATCCCCCCATACTGTTGCCGGTGGAAGTGATGGTATATCCTCTGGATCTTCGATTTAAATATCACTTCGGTGGTGATAGACCGACAAATAGACTAGACAAGGTTAGAGCTTACTTTGATGACCAGCAAGTTGCTAATATTCGGTTTAGCCTGAATACTTTTTATCCCACATCATTGACCTAATCAATACATATGATGATTTCTTTATGGTATATCTCCAGCCGGTTCTCCATGACCGTTCGCAAAAGTGTGACCCAAGACTCTTTCCGTTCTACGCAAATGCCGTATTCTCATACATTGCTGCCCTGATGCCAATGGCACGGCAAAAGGTCGACTCACTCCTCCCTCATATCGCTAATCAACCCCAGCTTTTAAGTCATTTGATACATGAATTGATGCAATTTGACAATGATGTTCGAGAGACATGGGGTTACTCGCCTGCATTTAGCGGAGATAAGTCATGGAAAGGTTTGACTTGGGAGGTTTTAGTTAAAAAAGACTGGTTTTCTCAATGGTTACAGGTGGAAAAAGACTTCGCGCTGTCCCGTTACCAGGATATCATTGATGCCGCTGATAGTGGTGAAATTGATTTTGATGGAGTCGATGCGACCGCAACAAAGCCCACTAAGGCGGCCATTCGGGTTAATGATCTTCTTGAGACAATCACTGATCGATACCGCCCTTTGTCTTCTTTTAGTCAGAAGCTGCGATTTCTCATCGATATTCAGATTACGATTTTCGATCACTTCCATGAAAGATTACATTCTGGCCTTGAAGCTTATCTTGCAATGACATCGACTATTGGGCGTACTGTCCAGGGCTCTTCTGCCGGCCAATTGAATCTGGAAGGTATCGCTGGCCTAGAGAGGCTATGCAGAATATTTGGAAGTGCGGAGTATTTGGAGAAAAAGATGCAAGACTGGAGTGACGATGTTTTTTTCCTGGAGCTCTGGTATGAGTTGCAGGATCGTGTCGATCAAAACACGCGCACCGGTAGACCTGTTGCAGGCTCAATGTCTGTTTCAGAGGTCGCTGCACGAACATCGTCATCGGTTACTGACAATAACAGTGGACCACGTGTGGAGGGGGCTGAAGGAGTGCTATTTGATGAAACTTCAGCGGCCTACCGCCGCATAAGAGTCAGATCTGAATCAATTATCGTGTCGAGTTTGACATCGAATATGCAAAATTTAATGAGGCCGTATTCCCGTATATCCACCTGGGCATCACCGATGTCCGTTTCTGAAGCGGGAGGATTCACAATGGCACCTTCTGCAGAGCTTGCATCATTTGGCCGAAGTGTCAGTACCGAACTGGAATTTCTATCACGAGTTCTAGGATCTGCACCGCTAAAACGCATCGCGCGACAGCTTATGTTCTCAATTCAAACATTTTTATGGGATACTATTTTGATGCGAAATAGCTTCTCAATGGCAGGGGCTACTCAGTTTTCGGCTGATGTTGAGCATATATGCTCGACGGTGGACGAAGTGACAGGAGTTCCACAAGGCCAGTTTGAAGCTAGAAAGGCGATCCAGCGACTCGATGATGGGCTAGCGCTGCTGCGGTTGAAGATAAAACCTAGGGATTCGACTAATGCTGAAGGCACCTCGTCACATATCGGCCTCTGGGAGGTAGAAAAAAGACTGTTCGCAAGCAACGAAAGCGCTCGGGAAGTGCTGAAACAACTAGAAATCGAGTCCTTGACAGAGTCCCAGGCTAGATCTGTTTTAGAGAGACGGGTAGAGCTCCGCAGTTAACTATATCTGAAAAATGGGTGAGTGAGATATAAATTGTGTTTCAATAATAGAATTGTGGTCCAAACTACTATTGCATTGCCTTGTCCAAAAAAAGTAACGAGATGAACCTATATATGTAACTCCAGCTTTTGAGCAAAAAAAAAAGCTTACTCTGGAAGAACACTAAAACACAACGGGTCCATGTCCCATTTCCGCGGGATTTTTTGAACGGATCTCCGGGCTCACGTCTGACGGTTCCACTGACTTTGGTGCATTGAGGACTAGCCCTAATTGCTGCTTGAGAATACCAGACCCGAGTTTGACAACGGTCTTAACAAGGGCATCTAGCGTTTCCTTTGTTGTACGAACATTGACAACGCAGCGGAGGAACTGGCCTTCGCCGACTATTTTATCACCGGCACATGGAGGAGCATAGTCAACCATGAATCCTTGTTGAACCAGTCCTTGAACAATATCTTCAGTCACTTTGCTGTTTCGGGTGACACGCTCTTCATCACTTAGCCTTTTGCCATTGATTTCTCGCTCTGGAGGATATGACATTTGACCAAGTGGTGCGTAATAGAAGCAAACTTGAAGGCATGGGGGCGGATTTTCCGTGATCAGCATGAGACTGGGGGATTTACTGACGGCAGTGGATAGATATGCAGCAAGGTCACAGGCACCATCAATTTGTCGCTCATAACCTTCGGACCCAAAATATTTCCAACTAAGGTACAATTTAAGAGCATCAGCCCGACGACCACACTGCAAAGTCAAATCCCCCAGATCCCAAACATTTCCGCTTGTCGTATACTCGTCGTTATGGAATAAATATCCGGCTGGGAGAGTATTCGCGCGGTGGAACTTGCGGAGATCAGATGCCAAAAGGAACGAGCAGGTTATCGGGACGCACAGCATTTTGTGTGGGTTGTAGGCAATGCTATCTGCCAGATGAGAACCCATAAGCTTACCCTTTTGCTTGGAAGAAAATATGAAAGAGCCGCCCCACGAAGCGTCCACATGGAACCATAGGTTGTGCTTGCGGCAGATCTCTGAAATTTCCGGAAGAGGATCAAAGGCACCGTACACGGTCGTACCAGCAGTAGCGTTTACAAAGAATGGCGTCTTCCCTTGGCTCTTCGCTTCTGTAATGCGTTCATCGAGTGCCTCCGGAACCATGCGGCCTTGTTCATCTACAGGAACGGCCCACACGGAACTACTTCCCAAGCCGATCATTTGCGCAGCTTTTTCGATACTATAGTGCCCGTGGCCACTGGTGAAAAGAACAAAGTGGTGGCCAGCCGTGCCGTCGACCTTGGTTTCTGGGAACAGAGTGTTTCGCGCAATGACAATGGCGGTTGTGTTGGACGCTGAGCCTCCTGGCACCGATATACCCCCTGCATATGGCCCAGTAAGACCAAAAAGAGAAGCTAACTGTGCAGCAGTATTCTTTTCGATAATGGTAAGCACCGGCGCTACCTGGTACACATGGACGTTTGTATTCAAAGAAGCAATTATTAGCTCCGCAGCGAGCCCTGGTGCGTTCGGCGATGAATACAGCTTGTCCATGAAGCCCTGATGCCAGGTATTCACAGAATATTTGAAGATCTTATCCAGAATCTGAAGTAGTCCGTCGACTCCCTGGCCGCCATTCGGAAAGTCGAGCTGCAGAATATCCTGCAGTTCATGCGGTTTCTTTGGGGCAACTAGGTCCGCGAAGCAGGGATTATCTGTGTGTCGTGAGCCATTTTCCTGCGCAGGTCGCCTGGAACCTCGATCGGCAGCTTCGATATACTGCAGAATTCGCTCCTGGACGGGATTGAGGAGCTATGAAAGACATGTCTATTAGCATGCGTCATGTTCAACGATGGTCACGAGGCGATTTCAAGTTTGCCACGGGCTGTTCCTGGGCCAATTGTCCTTCACTCACATTTCTCACTTCTTCCGCCCGCTCCATGCTGTCAGCACTGGGTTGGAGCTTCTGTCCGAATGGTGCTTTGGTGAGAGTCAAGAGCTCTGTTTCTTTGGGGACCAGACGCCTTTTATTTAAGTTAGAGTTTGGCTGTTGCGACATTTCGTTACATTTATTAATCGGTCGACGTGACATCACACAATTCCTTGTCTATTTGCTGCGCTCAGACTGCTATCTAAACATGGGCCGCGACTATGCGCTGAATGGATTCTTCCCCTGCATCACGATCGGCACCTATTTCCCGGCCTTCTCTCCTGCCTTTTGTTTGTATTATTTTCGATTCCTTCTTCACTTTCTCCTCCGACTTAGCCGCAAAACGCTCCCTTGCAAGGTCTAGCTTGGACTTCTGCTTCACATGTTCCGGGTGGGATGATTTAGAATCCGTTTGGCCTTTCGCCTTGGCCATCCATTCTCCCCGTTTTCTCTTATACAAATCTAACGACCAATTTCGCCATACAGCTCTCCCTAGGAATGAATCTCGAAGCACTTTTTCATTGTTAATCAACTCATCAGCTGCCCGTTGTTTTAGGAACAGTAAATCCGCAGTTGCTTGCCAAAGGGTATCGACAACATGAGAGCCGCTTGAATCCATTGCGAGTTCGCATAGATGCCCAGTGAACCTTGGAATAATTTGTCGACGAAATTGGCTATTTGATTTTGAAAACTTGAGCGACTCCTGAAGCACACGGGACGCGGTCGGGCTTTTTGCAATGCCAAGCAAAGTGGATGGTGGTAATTCCAGGAGACTGGATCTAATCATCCCAGAAAGAGGGCCTGGGACCTGCAACATTGCCTGGGCTAAAAGCGACCCGTGAAGCTGCTGAGATGCTAAACTGCTCGTGTCATTTGGGGGGCCATCATTAGCTTGGGCGTTGTCGTCCAACCGGAGAATTTTCGAGAGTCTGGAGATAGGATCATCCCCATAGGCCGATTTCAGAGCTTCAGCCAGGGGTGTTAGATCCGCTCCTCTTACCGTTCCCCTTTCTATCAGGGTTCTAATGACGTTTAATCTTGACCGCTCAACCATTGATGGTATTTCGCGCAAAATAGTACCCATTGCTGTTTGTAAGTCCTCTTTACTTAGCCGTTCCAAGACACGGACCACGACGTAGGATGCAATCTCGTTCCGAGATAATGATCCAATGCGGTCTTGAATAATATTCCTATATATGCCCTTGAAGGATTTCCCTGGCAAATACCGTAAGAGTGTTTCCAACAGCCGAGAGCCAATGGGGTCGTAAAATAAGCCGTTGAGAAACGTAGCACTGTCTGTGTCCTGCAGACAATCATCTGGAAGAAGTCTCCGTATAACAGAATTTGGGTCCGAACTCCGCCCCTTGCCGAGGTGCGTCAATTCCACCATCAAGAGCACTTGGAGTACTGGAGATCCAATAGGGTGCGTGGCTAATGCACGCAGATATGTTGTGTCCAGGCCAGTGATTAGGTCCTTGATCATTTTTTCCAACGCCTCTCTAAACACCGAGGGAACATCGCGTTTTTCGGCCAAAGGATGCTCAAAGTGAGTGTGGGTCTTGAGGGAGCTCAAGTTCTCCTTTTTCCGGCTGGCAATGACCGCGACATTGGAGGTATCCAAGGGGTCGCCAGCTAAAATCAAGAGTAGCACTCGTATTGTGTGGGATGCAAACGATTCAGTCAGAAGGTAACCCCAGTTACCATCCAATTCCGAGATAGCACTTAGCACAAGGTCCGCCATCGACTGGTCAGAAACAGTCTCCCCGTTCTCGTTATCACTCACATCTGCCCCTTTCTTTTCTCGAGGCTTCATCTCGTATGTTACGATAGGTGCAGCGCGCTGAAAGAGGCGTTCACAGCAATGACTGGCAAACCGGTGCTGAACGAGATGCAAGAAATGGCCATGAAATTTGGCAAAGAGGTGCTTCAGCTGATTTGCACTTGATAGCGAAATAAGTTTCTCCATCAGTCTCGAGCAGGATTGGCTGCATGCAATTTTCAGCTCTTTGCCATTAGCCTCTTCCAGGACACTGTCAACAAATATCCTTCTATCCTCTTCGCCCTCGAACTGGTTGAATTCTAGGGTCTGGTTTGCGCGAGAAAAGTATTCTTGCTCGTCCGAATCTAGTAGTCCGTAGAATGGAGTATCATCCATTGGCAGGTCACCGCCCTCGAGAGGGACATAGTCTTCTCCGTTAACAAAAACATTCTCCTGCTGGACGGGGGGTTGTTCGTTCTCGTTCTGAACCTTTTGCCGTTTCGGTGTTTCCGTTTCGGGGCCATCAGGCTCTCGTTTTCGTTTATGATGCTCATTTTCTTTCTTCGCATCACCCCTGCGACCTCTCTTATGCCTTTCGCGTGGCATGGTGCTGGCGTAATACTGTCGATTCAGTTGCTGAACTGGGAATTATCTCAGGTCGAAAATATTTAAGCTTTGAGGCCGAAGGTTGATCACGTGCATAAGTGATGGGTTCATTGACTGGAAGTAGATGGACAATATCAAATTTAATAGACATGGAGAATGTTAACCTGCGGGTGTAGCAGGCTAGGTTAAAGTGTATTCGGTTAGGAAAGTAAGTTTACATATCCCAACCGCTAGGTAACTGGTTCAATTTGAAGTTATGTACAGAAATATATGCTCTCTGAATGCATGCCATCGAACATGAAAGGTTCGCTGCAACGAATAAACTTCCTGAAAAGCAAAAGTCTTTTCTTCGGATGTAATGAAGGATGTAGTCCGTGAGAGAAAGGCTCATACAACCCAAACAGATCCGATTGCGTAAACAGGGTTGGACATTATGCCCATTGTGATGACAAAAACCCAAGTCTGGTAGGCTAAAATGGCATTTATTCGCTCAATAGAGTAACTATGCAACGGAGAATTTGTCTTCCTATTATGCTAGCTATTAGTTATTTTTTGGGCTTGCCCCGAAATTGATCCTTGAGCTCGTCGCTAAAGAGCCGGAAAAAGTACTTTGGGCCTGGCTCTGCGAAGACACAAGAGACGGTCAGCGTGGCCACAATCTTTGTTAAAGCGCCTCAAGGATTTCTCACTATCAATTTTCGTGCCACCCATATCTTCAAGTGCTTTTCCATGCCTTAGCTCATGGATGGATTTGTGAATCCGGCGCACAGCTCTATGGAAGCCTGGACTAGCCAGCAACTGCGGGAAATTAGAATCAAGCGCTTAATGAAACGAAAGGGTCGCTGCCTGACGACGTACCCTACCAGTAAGCCATATCTTCACAGCATGTTAGAAACCGGAGCCTCAAATATTATGCGGGTGCAGTACAACGTACTTCGAAGAATCGAAGCCACAGTCGTCTGTTCATCATGGCCCAGCTCCTTGGCTGTTGCAGGAGACCGTTCCCACGATTGGTGCGGCAGGCAGCGAACCCAAGCGTCAGAGCGCAGTCGCTTTATGCAAGCGAGTCGGAATAAAAAAAAGCCAACGCGCGCGGCGGGCGGGCGGGCTGTGGCGGCCAGGAAGGTTTTTGCGGGCCATGTGATTTGCATCGATGCCCGAGTTTGGATGCGAGAAATGCCTCTCCGGGGGCCTGCGTCCGCGGCTTCATGGACGGCTCGCTCGGCTTGCGCAAACAGTCTGCGGATGCGTTGCACTCGACGCCCTCTCCTTGTGCCGGGTAGACCTTTCACTGTCTATTATCTTTCTTTTTTCCTTTCTTTCCTTGTGTAGCGACTGGCCTGTGTATTTTTGCCCGGTGTGTGTGGGGAAAACAGTGCTGGAGACGCCCGCCGCCGCTACAGAATACACTCCTTACAGGCTCCTTTCATTGCTTGCAGACAAATGATGGGTTTTGTTCACACGTGGAACCTTCCCTTCACAGCCAGATAGTGCGCTCTCGGCGTTTGAGGATCTCTATATAACAGTTGTTTGGAAACCAGCACTCCAGCATCCCCCCCGCCTTGCCCTATGAAGTGTGTTCCTCCTCTCCCTTCTCTCAGTGCTTTGGCTCCATGCATTTGCTCTCCTAGCCTCCAGACCCCTCTGCTAACTCGCTTTGGCGAGTGCTGTGAATCTGTTGCCGGATCCTGCGCCGGATAGTTCTTCCAGCTGCCCAGATCCGTTGCTGGCAAACACTGTGCGCCCAGACACATCCGCATCCCTCTCTGACGACAACAAAGCACACTCTATTGCTCCATCTGAGACTTCCAGTGCCTCTGACACTACCTATTTCAAAGGGCACCAAAAATCCAAAGACGGCCGTAATAAGGTACGGCGCTTCATGAGACAGGCTCGGAATTTTCGCCGCCTGGCGACGGCACGGATGACGGAAATGCATTTCCCACAGACCCTCGGCAAGCGGGAACGCTCGTCGGACAGTAGGTCGTCCGTCAAAGGAGGGTCGGTTACTGCGTTGGATGTCAGCAGCCGAGAGAGTAGTACTGAGCGGGGCGGTGCACCCAGCATTCCCGCTTTCCTAAGCCAATCTCCATCAGGTGGGTTTGCGGATGAGAAGGCCTATTTCTAAGATGTTATGGCTGATTTGGTGGTTTACTGTGATGCAGAGCTAAGAGACAAGTTTGAGGACCTCCAGTGGGCGCAAAGAGCCCGCATGACTTCTGCAGTTATGTCAGGGAACCCATCCCATCCGTTTGCGTTAGAGTCTGGCCCTGTGATCACTGAAAGAAGTCGATATGCCAACGTCCAAGCTTGGGCCAATTCTCGAATCCATTTGAAGGTTCCCCCGGGCGATTGTGACTTCATCAATGCTTCTCCTATCATTTTAAAAGATAGCAAGACCGAAGAAGCTTTCCGTTACATTGCCACTCAGGTCAGTTGACCACCAGGCTCTATTCGAGAATATCTTCTAATGGCGGCCACTGCTATAGGGCCCAAAAGAAAATCACCTTGCCCATTTTTGGAATATGGTTTTCCACGAGACAGGAGAGGTTGCGATTATTGTAATGCTGACCCAGACTCTTGAAGCAGGTAAAGAGAAATGCGCACAATATTTCCCTTTGGACTTGGAAGTTTCTACGTTTACGTTCTCCCATACCGAGTCCGACCCGTTTATCGATTGTAAAGAGGGCGAGTCAGACTGTGAGAATGTTACTGGATCCATTACTCTTTTGACATATTCTTATGACGAGATATGCTGCTCCGAAATTCGACAGCTGAAATTAGACGTTGGGTCGAAATCGAAGATCGTGTGGCATTATCTATTTGCGGGCTGGTCGGACTATTCCAAGCCAGAGGGCCAATACCGTGACGCACTCATCCAGCTAACCAAAATTACGGCTGAGCAAGCAGTATCCGCTGACAACCCAAGAGTTGTTCATTGCAGCGCTGGGGTTGGTAGAACAGGCACTTTTATTGCCTTGGATCACCTTTTACGACAGCTACACAACGGTTCTTTGCTCGATGTAGCCGATGATGCTGACATGATTTTCCGCACTGTGGATGACCTTCGAGAACAGCGAATGATGATGGTTTTTAATGAGATTCAATATCAATTTCTATACGACGTTCTACGAGAGCAAGCCCAGACGCTTCGAGCAGAGAAAGTCTCTACTGAGGCCCCCACTGTCAGTGAAAATAAAACAGAGACGGTGCCTGAAGCAGAATGTTCCAGTTGATATTAACAGAAAAATTAATATTAATCAAAATACTCGTCTTGCAAACACAGCGAGCGTGCTCCCAACTGCGTTCAATGATGCTCACTACTCGAGTCTTATGTCTCCATATTCTTCAATACCCATTCTTACGCTCTGTATTAATTTTGATTTGCGTTTTCCTGGGAGGCCATTGTGTAACATTACTAGCAGCGTTTTCTCGTTTTTATGGTTGAGTCCTTTCGCGGCGGATAGCCGCCCGATGTTGCGCCTACATTGCCCTTGGATGAATTACGTATTATTATTACTATCCACAGTTAATGTCTTACGATTAATCTGGCTCATGGATGTTGCTCTTGCTGATAGATTCCTTGCAAATTCTGAGTCAGCCTGTTTGAGCGAACATACCCCATACCTTTGACCTTTTATTATCTTTTACGCACCGTAGTGCCTTGGGGGATATCAATTTACGCAGAAGAATAATCTAGACTTAATCAGAACCGAAAATATAGTGACCACATCCCCTTCATAACATAATAAACAAGGCTATCTATAACCGAACGCCAATTGCCAAATACCACCAACAAACTAAAAAGAGCTATACTTACGCCAGCCTGGGGTTCTTTTAAGTATACATGATGAGTAAAAACACAATCTGTTATATTTTCATGGAGCATACGTTTCCGTCATTTCAATCGCTTCGTAATTTCACGTCATCTTTCGCTAGAGATGCTGTGGACACATCTTCGGTTCCGCTCGGGGTGTTATGGGCTGCCTCCCCTTCCTCTTCTTCCCAATTATCCACCGCATTTTCATCCCAGTCATCAACTTCCTGCTCGAGACTTCGGCTCGCCGTCACGCCGGTCTCTTGCGGACCAAGGGCGCCGCCATGACTGGAAGAAGCCCCTAATTCAATATCCTCCTCCCGCTCTCCGTCGTTCATTGGGCCGCCGAAACGAGCTTTCCTTTTCCGCTCCAGCATCCGTTTATGATACCATGTGCAAAGTCCCACTGCACCCAGGCTCCCGACGATATTGGCAAGGATGTCGAATGGATCGAACGATCGGCCATTGGGAATGACTGACTGCACAATTTCGGAGCCAACTCCTAGAGCTAGCGTGCAGACAAAGACGGTTAAGTGTAGTACCCGCCGTCGGGATGTATCCAGGATCCAGTAGAACGCGATCGAAAGGGCAAAGAAGGTAACGAAATGGAGGAATTTGTCGTTAGGCTGCAGGGACGCGGGGATTTTGGGCGTGCCATCGCCCGGCTGGCTGTGGGGAGTAAGGCCAATATAAGCAGAGAGTAAAAGAAGAACAAAGAAGGCCCCTGCAGGAGATGGATGTTTTCTTAGCATGAAGGAAATCACCGTGACGAGCTAGAATAGATTCAGAACGTACCAGCAAAGGGGTATCTGATACGCATATTTGTGGGTAACGGGAATATTGCTATTGTGCTTCAAGTGTCCCCAACCTGCCGGCTGCGAAAATATGGTGTGCGGTGCTAGGTCGTATGCGTGGTGACGATGTCGGGTTCGGGGAATAATTCGTTCGTTAGTTACAGCGATGCGCAGCAGCAGCCAACAAGCAAAAATCGGCCGAGAAGCACGCTCAGCTTCATCCAAGGAGAGCGAGTGCAGGATTGTCCAGATTGCCGGGCGTTGGAGCTGGCCGGCGGCGGACAGGCAGACGCAGGCCGCAAGCTGTCCGCTGGCGCTGGAAGGCCGGAGCTGGGGCGGTCCCGTGACTGCTCGGATCAGAATGGTCAGTCTGGGCGCTGCTGATGACTTCCACCTCCGCAAAGAATCTCCGCCAAAACCGTCGCTCGACCAGCCATCGACTCCTCGACACATTCATCGCCTGCAACCCCGGACTGCGCGCCGGAGTGGCTGTTGCACCCTGACCTACTATCTTATGCCATTTTTCCGTGCTCCCCAACCCGAGATTGCTCTCCGCTGAGGCGCGCTCATCAGCTGGAGGGCAGCCCCCTCGCCCGCCCAGTATCGCGGGTTTGGCGCCGCCATGTCGCCCAACCAACACCACGCCTGGCTCCCTCCAGGGCATCTCCGTCCCCCCGACAACCAGCACAACTCCGGCTCCTCTTTCAATGGCCTGTCGAATGGTCCGTCGCGCCCCCACACGCCCCAAGTAGCTTCCCGTGCGCCAGCGGAGAGTTCCCAGGGCGGAAACCCGGTATTAGACCCTGATGTCGCTCCGGAAGAAGACCCCCGCGTCACCGCCTTTAGAGAAAGCTATAAACGAACGGAATCAAGGATAAATACGCTATTTGGTAATAAAACTTCAGAAGACGCACCTCAAAACGATGCCGAGCCTACGTCGGGTCCTGCGGAAGCCGCTGCCCTTGAGCCCCAAGCAGCTGCCGCTCCAGCACCTCCACGGCGTCCTGCTAGGCGACTGGATGAGGATGACTACGACGAATACGACGATGAAGAGGAAAACAGGTCTAGCCCTCATGCTCCTCCATCCCCGAAATCCAAATCCACACCTTCGATCACGGAAATAAAACTCGAACCTTCTCCTCCCCCGAAACCCGGCATTCCCCTAAGCTCTGAAAACCAAAAGGATTCCAAAAAGGACTCTCTAGAAGATATCAGAAAAAAGTTAGAGCAGGATAAAAAGGAGACTGAAGAAGCTGCCAAAAGAAGCTTTCGTACGATATTCTACACTTTGGAGAATGATCGTGATGCGATGCTAGACCAACAGCGGCTGGAGGAATCAGAGAGACAAGTCGAGGCTGAAATGAGTGGTCAATCTGGAAACGATAACACCTCCGCAAATGGGCAACCAGCATATGGTTCGCTGAGCAGTGCCAACCTCGGAGCATCGAGTTTGACTCTGAAGAATCTCATCGCCCGGATCGATATGAAGCGTAGTGAAGTTCAAGCTTCAGATGCCGAGCTTCGAAGTTTAATGAGCGAAGTCAGGAAGAATCGCAGTAAATGGGCAAGCGAAGAGAAAATCGGCCAAGAAGAACTCTATGAAGCTGCGGAAAAGGTACTAAGCGAGCTTAAAGCCATGACTGAACACTCCAGCGCCTTTCTCACCCGAGTCAATAAAAGAGACGCCCCAGATTATCATAACAGTAAGATCGAATCCCACTCTTCACGCTTTTCACCTTGCACTAACTAAGGAAAATAGTCATCAAACGCCCAATGGATCTTGGGTCGATGACCAAAAAGCTGAAAGCCCTTCAGTATAAATCGAAGCAGGAGTTTGTAGACGATCTTAACCTGATTTGGGCCAATTGTTTGAAGTACAACACTAACCCTGAGCATTTTCTCCGAAAACATGCCCTGTATATGAGAAAAGAAACAGAGAAACTGGTGCCTTTGATACCGGAAATTGTCATTAGGGATCGTGCCGAGGTCGAAGCCGAAGAGCGCAGACTTCAACTTGCGGAACTTGATGGCGGAGAAGAAAGTGATGATGAGCCAATCATGTCATCTCGAGGACGCAAGGCAACAGCTACGAAAGGGAAGAAGGGGGCGGGAGCTGGTCGCAAAGCGCCTGCTAAAGGTCTCCAGTCGACTCCTGAAGTCAAGAGCAATATACCATCTGACGCCATCAGCACGTCCCAAGATTCAACCATAGATGGTATTTCAGGTGCTACATCAACACCTCCTCCCGGCACCTTGACCCCAATTACATCAAATAGCCAAGGACTTCCTGCCACTGGAATCCAAATGGATGCCCTAGAGATAGTGGGGTTTGTACCCGCGGCCCCTGCTTATAACAGCGCTTTATCTGGACTGGCTGTAGAATTTGAAGATCCTGAATATAAAATATGGAAGCAAGTTACGAAGAAAGATCGTGCTCTTGTCGCTGCCGTGAGACACCGCCTTTTCAAAGGCGATAGATTAAATTCCGAGGAGCCGGCTCTCCTTCGGACAAAATCTGGAATGAGACGGTGGCTTAAAAACCAGCAGGAGGCTTCAATAGAGAACGATAGACAGACAGATTCTAGCTCCCAAATGGTACAACCGGCAACTACCGCTGAAACTTTTGCTGAAGGTATCGAAGAGGAAGAAGAGCAGATGCTTCCAGATTACTATGATCTTATGTCGGCCGTCCCTGATCTACCAGCGCATTTACAGTGGAAAGAAGACTCTGAAGGGAATGTGGTTGAGACCTCGGAAGAATTCCTGAGGATTCTTCCAAAGGGGTTGTTCACAGCACCCCCAAGTAAATTTTCCAAGAGAATAGATGCAAACTTAAAGCAGACCCAGGAGACTAGAAAGATCTGTTCAAAAATAAGTATTGTAAAGCAGATGCAACAGCAATCTCAGGTAAGCTGTTTGGTTCTATACTGTTGCATATTTAATCTAATACATGTCAATAGATGTATCAAAACCAATTTCAGAAGTATCAGCCAGAGCCACTTATTGAGAAAGACGTGCTTCCACATGTGATGAATGATGAGGGGCCAGTTATAAACCCTTGGGTTTGCAGAGCCGCTCTTCAACGCTCAGTTGCCAAGGTTCTTTACCATACTGGGTTTGAGGAATACCAGCCTTCGGCTTTGGATGCTATCACTGATGTGGCGGCGGATTTCTTTTCTAAAATCGGGGCAACACTCAAAGGGTATATGGAGTGTCCAAAGGTTATGGTATCGGACGAAACAACGAATCCATCGTCAACAAAATCACAATGGAAGCTGCCTTATACTCAAGAACAAATGATTCTCCACACACTCCAGTGCGTTGGGACGGATGTCGAAACTCTTGAGTCATATGTCAAGGACGATACTGAGCGCCATGGCGCGAAATTAGGTGTTATCCATGAACGCCTGAAAGGCCATCTCGCAGAGTTGCTCCGACCAGCCCTCAATGACAATGCCGGCGATGGGTCAAGTGCTTTCAATGATGGAAGTGAACAATTTATTGGAGGTGATTTTGCTGAAGATATTGATGAAGATTTCTTTGGATTTAAGGAACTTGGTTTGGACAAGGAATTTGGCCTTTCAAGCATGAGTGTGCCTTTACATCTTCTCCAGAATCGGATGTACAACGCTCATCAAGCCCAGAATTTAAAGTATGCCCCCTTCGTTTGCCTAATCACCTCTTGGCTATATTGGAAAATACTGACAGTAACCCAAGTTCGTCTCAAACGACATCCGCTCTATTTCCTACCCCACCTGCCTACCCACGGATCACATTACAGACTCTCCCTCGGCACATCGGCTTGGTTCAGAACTTCTTCTTGGCAAAATTACACGCCAACAACGATGATGCACTTGTTGAAGATTTGGAGTTGCCGCCAAAACAAAGACCAAACGCAGCAAGGCCTCGTATTCCGGCATCTGGCAAGATTCCCCCACCATCAGGTCAAACAATAACCACCAGCCCTCAGAAACGACCGGCACCACCCTCAGCAAATATTGGCGCTGTGAAATCTGGACTTTCTGAGCCGAATAGGAAGAAGGCTAAGAAAAGCCAGAATGTCCCGCTTGGTCTTCCTGGTAGGGATGGCGCTGATAGTGCGAATACAGTTGGTTCTGCCAATCATGTCAAAGCAGCCGTCTCCTCGAAACTTAACGGCATCAAGTCTCATGATGGCTCTAACGGCTACAAAGGAGAAAGCAACAATGGCGGCCCTGAGAGAGCAGGAGAGGCGCTCAATGGTAATCATGGGGACGATGATGCTATGGACATTGACGACAATCATGCTGCCGATGGCAACTGGGCAGGCAATTCTTCCACTGCGCCCGCTTCTAATGCGGTCAGTGTAAATGGCCATGCCTAATAGACAAGCTGTTTCGATTATTCTTTTACTGGTAAACCCATGTTACAACATTTGACTCGCGAACTTTTTTTCGGCGCTCGATTCGTCTAGCCTCAGCCTAGGGTATCGATCTTTCTCCGTTGTTTGATGAAATATTGTGCATTATTACATATCCTTTTGCTTCTCAGTCTTGTATACCCCTCGTTTGCTATACAATACGGCAAGTTTTTGTGATTCCCCTCCGAGGTGTGTGATTGTATTTCTTCAGAAACCCTGCTTTCCTTCATGCATCGGTGGCTAAGTTGCGCTTTTGTTTAGAGCCTTTCCTTCTTGTTTTTTTTTGTCTTCATTTCCCCCGGAGGGTTGTTTTGGATATGATATCCCCAGACAAAAAAAGGGTTATCGGCGACGGCTCAACGGAAAGGGCGTTTTTGACGGAATTTCTTCCTCTATTTTGCTGTTGCCTATCTCCAAATAATCAATAATTCGACTCATTTCTTTGGTGGTTGATCCGGCTTGAAACCCAACTTTTTTGTAGGTATTTTTATTGCTAAATGTTTTCTTTCACCTAAATTTCCCGGTCCCAAGGTTGTGTGGATAGTCTTCGTTCAATTGATCAACCGTGCTGAGACTATTAACTCTGTACAATCCATCTGCCTACAATACATTTGACAAATTAGTCGTCTTCCCTACACTAGAAGCACCTCCAGTTTCGTAGGTTGGCAGCAAGCTTCTTTTTCATTTCTCTGTAGCATAGATTGCGGCACCTGCATAGTGCTGTATCACTTACGGAATGGTCTTATATTTAAAAAACGGATTCTACCAAAGCCAATTTATCAAGACGTGATGTTTATATTCCCTAAAGAGCTACCTATAACAATCCTAGCAGCTAGCAGTTTTATCCACCTACCGCCTATGAATCGTCTGATAGATCAACAGCAATGTCAATATCGTATAGTTAAAAAAAAAGTGCTATGCCCCATATTTTTGTGCTATTTCGTTTTGGGGTCTTATTGAAAGAATTGGCATTTTAGAGGAAACGAATTTGGATCGGATCAAATTGGCTGTCAAAAGTACGAGAATTCTGCACAGAACTCATGGCGGTTTAAATGTACCACATCTTAAATCCAAGCTTATCTCCGGCTGGCATGGGCAATAAAGCGGGTGGTTCTGCCGGCTTCTGTGGGGGTGGTGCTTGATTCAATTTAGTACCAGGCCCAGACTGTGGACCAGAACTCGCAGGAACATTCTCGTGTGACCTAGCACGGTTCGAAGCCAGATGGGCGTAATAGACGGCTGGGACTAGAGAAGCAAATTAGTTGGGAGTATTGACAGATTTGAGGAAGAACATACAGAGAGATACAGAGGTAGTAGATCTCATGTACTGGTAACAGTGCTCATAGATCATGTTCTGAAGCTGATGGGGCGAACTTCCGATTTCGTCAACAAGAACCTGGTAGTGTACTGGACGAGAGGTTCCCTGAAGTGCAACGTGCGACCACAAGAAAAAGTCATAGCCGTGTGGGTTGGTAACGTCTCTTTCAACAAGAGTGCCAGGGAGTGGGTTGCCATTCTTGTCAGCAGCATTACGGTCATTCGAATCTGGAAAAGCTCTGATGTGATGTCTTTTCGAACAAATAATGACAGTAACTTTGCCTTCCCATTCTTTACCCATCGCGATGTCTTTGAAGATATCCTTAATATGTCTTATTTCGCGCTGTAGAACGTGTTGTTGCTCTCCTTCAGATACACCGTCTCGAAAGTAGTAAAGATTCTGCGGGTTTTTGCCTTTGCCGACATTCATGACCCATTCACGGATCAGAGGGCCCAAAATATCACGAATATTGGCTGGGCTTATTATCTCTCGTCGCTCACCGTTTGTCTCGCAACCGGCGTTGTACCTACCACCAAATGTATCCATACAAATGGTAAATGACGCCATGCTGGGAGCATGGCTTCCTGGGGAGGCATGAGAAACATCAGCTCCAATCACCATTGTAAATGGTGGTAGGGACGGGTTAAATTTGGAATTAGATCGTGCAGTTGTTCCTCCGAGTTTAGCATTGATTTTCATCAGCACGTTTGAAATGTACTGGCCATTGTTCTTTACTACTTGTCTTGACTGAAGCACTTGCGATGGGACACCAAATCGACAGTCGCAGGACTTTTTAATGCGAAGATAATGAAAGCTATGGCGATCTTGCACGATCAAAATCAAGAGCTGCGGGCGTTGATTGAATTTGTTACCAACCGCATGGAATAATTCGTAAACAGCCTTCGCTGGATCCTGCGGCAACTCCATTATAAGCGGGCGCGTGGTTTTGACATCGCCACCGTGTCCTTGATATGTTCGAACAAGGTTGTCACAGAAGCTTTCGATCTGAGAAGTATCAATCCCCTGGCGACCTTTGAAAAAACCAACACCCCATGACTTTAGAGGCGTCGTATTTGGGAGGTAAAATTTTTTCCCACGGAGATCCCAGCGACCATTGGTCCCAGGATTAAATTTCTGATTTCCCCCAAATAGAATCTCTGGGTTCGGGAGCAGTCTGGCCTTTGACCTCACCATTGTGTCGCTGATTTTGAGCCCATATTCCTTGAGCACATCATCCTCCGGGTGACGAAGATTTTTCTTGCATCTTTCAATGGCCTGGCGTCTTTCAGCTGGCCTAGAAACAGCAAATTTGATCATTTCTGCCGTTTGAAACTCGCTAAGCTTAAATGGATATTTCTGCGCACGATACACTGCAAGAAGCTCCATAGGGTAGACAACTCCGGGTTTTGTCATTTGCACAACAGGAAGCTGCCAATAGTCCAGTTTAATGTTGTACTTTTCGTTAAAATAATCGTAAATAGTCGTTGTCTTCTTCGAGCCGTCGGGAGTTTTAACATCGAATGTGTATTGTTTCGCATTGACTAGGAGAAATTCCTTGATAATCCATTCTTTTTCGGGGCAAGGACACCCGCGATAATTGGGTCTAACGCCCAATTTACGCAGGCGATTCAACAACTGAAATTGTTTAGATGGCATATGCCCACCATACCCGTCATCTAGGGGTTTTGAATAGTGCATGAGCTGTTGGACGTCACGAAGATCCATCATTCCGATAGCAAGACCCACGAGGGACCACAGAGACCAGAAGCACGAATTAGAAACGTCAACATTCACCGCCAATTTTCCCGGCTGAAGGAGCCTGTTAGCTAGGTCAACTTTTACAATACGAGAGTAAATCTTACGTGAACCGCCCGAATGGCTTGATAGATTCCTTTATACGCGAAGACACCTGCACCAAGATCATGCTTTGGGTTGTCTTCCGAGAAATAAGATCTCTTAACCGGAATGAAAGTACGACTTGGGGTTTCGCGTAGAAGGTGATCCAGGAAGTCTTGTATGCATTAGCTTTGTCATATTTATACTACTTAGAAATAAGAGTAACTAGGAAATACTTACTAAACGACTCCTGAGCATCATCCTTGAGCGAAGTAACACCACGGAGATATTCGTCAAGAATAGCCAAATTGATTTTTTTCGTTTCTCGAACTACTAAACGAAAGGCATTGCTTCTCTTCGAATCTGATCGGCCAACTTCAGCATCCAGGTCAATCACAATGTTCAACTCTCGGGGAAGCTGAGTAGTAGACCTGGTTTTTCTGCGTCAGTAAGTGGCATGGAAATTTCAGACATCCAGCCTACCATGCCAGCTTATTTCCATCAAAAATCCAGAATTTTCCGAGCTTTTCTTGTCTAACTTTAGAATTCCAGACCTTATCCAGAACAGCACGTTTTTCAGCGCCATTTCCAATGAGGACCTAGATATGCGTCAACAAGTCCCATGTAAATAGATAAGATGTTCGGTGAAGTGATAGACTTACATCGTATTGATAAATTGTTTTTGTTGGAAACTGAAGAATTGGATACGAGTTGATAGCGACTGAGATCTCCTTGCCGGTTGTATTAAAGGCGGGCCGCTTAACGAGAGTTATGTCTTCAAAGTACTGGTCAGGGTCAGTTTCATAAAATACAGGATTTCTCGAGAACGCTGGGCCTTCCGTCAATTTTTTTTCAGTCGTGTTTTTTGAAGACATTGCTGAAATAGAGATTGAATACTGAAAAGAATACAAATAGAATAGCAAATATAGCAGAAATATGGCGATTGAAAATAGAGGGCAGTGCAGCGATGCGATCAGGAAATGGGCGTTGAGAGAGCTCTGACGAGTGAGAAAGAAAGAGGAAGGAAGAGAGTAGAGAGGCCTTTATATTCCCAGGCAGAGACTGGCTGAGAGGTGAATACTTGAAATGGTAGTGATGCAGAACAGTGAATTCACGTAAGCCAGCCAAGTTTTCAGAGCCACGATCAAGCAAAAGTGAATTTAAGAAATTTCAACGGATGTGTGAGTATAGTGAGTACTTTTAAAGAGAGTAATAAATAAAAGGAGGGCCGAATGAAAAGTACTAGATTAAGTGATATAGCTAAGAAAGCCATATAATAAGTGCCCAGTGCCATGTGGAGGATATTGCCGACTTTTGTTAAATGAAATTATATGAAGGTAACTGTAAAAGCAAACTGAAGCATGCTTACCGAGGAAGTATAACCTATCTGAACATCCATGTTACGGCACATATCTTCACTGGGGGGATTGATAACATGGCCCAGTGAAGGCTGAGCAACGTTTCGTGGACTCGATGGAGTACGGATTGGCGATGTTACGCGGGGGGAAGTAGCTGGGGAGCCTCTCTGAGGCGACAAGACCCCTGTATTAACTGGAGACGGGGGTTGACGACCACGAGGGCGAGAGGGTCCTTGCGGTGGTGGCCCATCATATTGTTGAATGGACACATTAAATGGTGTGTCTTCAGACTTCTTGTCTTGGTTTGCAGCGTTTCTGCGGCGGCGTTTACCTGCCCCTGCCATGAAAATACGGTTCTCTAACTCATATCTGTTAGCATTTGCCAAATGTATGTCCACACAACACGTCGGTAATTGATTGGCATCCAATAGCAAAACGCAAGTCAGCCGATGGAAAGCCTAAATTCGACGTAAATGAAAATAATAGTCACTGTGCACAAAAGGCCCAATACAAGGAAAATTCCCGGGGCAGTACAGATGTTGTCAAAGTATATATTGCATATACCGCAGCAATCATCTTCAATCATGAGGCTGTTCGAGCAAGACGGTGTGCCACGCTAGAAATTCGAGTGGCGCGTCCCAAAAACACCCACTAGCACTTTCAGGGACAGATATGATGAAAGGACCAAGCTTTCGATTAAAGAAATTGCAGCTCGACGAACGTCAAGTCTGCGGCAGGAGTCCAAAGTCGGGTGTCCAGTAACGCAGGAAGTATAGGAAGGGCAAATAAAAATACTGACCTTTTAAAGCCTGAAAAAAAAAGTTGCTGAATAGATTGGAGAATAACCCAGTACAGAAGCTGCTAAGATAAACAGTAGGTCGACCAACAAACAGGACAGAACAGATTATATGCACCACAACAGATAATGAGGAGTTTAGAGATGGAGAGATGAATGGAGAGAATGGGAAGATGAGAAGAGGGGGAGAGAAAAGGAAAAGAAGGAGGTTGGCGTTAAGAACACGTTCAGATCCAAAAAAGGAAAGCCTTAGTGTTGGCTGTGGTCGCCCAGCAACAGCCGTGAATGAAACACAATAAGGCAACAAACATGGTGGAACATTGCGGCCAGCATGCTGGAGTCTCATCTGCAGTGTTCCATGGCAGGGTTATGAAAGAGCTGCAAGGCCCCTCGCACTTGGGTGGCCTGTCAATGACATTGCAGAGTGGCTTGACAAATTTGGCTGGTGAGGCCTATCTCTCTAAAAGCTTTGCGGATGCTGTCTGCAGCATTGCATAGTACTGCATAGTTACATCTGCAAACCTAGCGATATTGGGAGAGAAAGACTGAAAACAAGAGGTCTGTCATGGTGTCCATACAGATAGTTAATAATCTGCAAGTGCTCTGTATGCATGCATATGCATGCATATGCATGCATACATCGTATACCCAGTCCATAGCCATGTATCCAGATGGGAAGGCTCGCATCGTTCAATGGCCTTTGTATACTTTTGTTACAAGCCTTGCAGTTTGACAGTATATAAAATCATTGGTGGACGACCAATAGAGGGTAAGTGTGGATCACTAGTGTAGAAGGTCTGGAGAGCATGATGCATACTCTGTACGGAGTATGTATGTCTTTTTACTAGGAAGGAGGCTCGCCTACCCAGTAGGAGGCGAAGTGAGAGAAGGCCTGCGCTAATCCCGAAGTGGCCACGCTAAGCTTAAAGTGGTGCCAAGAGGGCGACCAGCCAGATACGGGCTAGCGCCGCACCCCAACAACCAGTGACAGCATGGAAAAACTACTCCGTACAAGGTTGACGTCGCTGGATGGGCAAAAGTATACGGGTATAAGGGCGCTCATCACTCTTGATCTGATTGCCTTGTCTATAGACCTATCTTTAAGATAATCTTGAATACATCTTATACCTTGGTTACTTTCCATACCATTGAAGTCTTGTGATACTGTATATTTGTGTTCAAGTTTGCTCCTCAGGTTCTTCAGCCTCAGTACAATCTGAACTCTGGCATACCTGAATGGATTCTCTTTGACACTCAGGTTAGGCTGACTACTCAACCGCGTACGCACCTTGGAGATATTGATTACATCCAATTCTTAACTAGTTATCGGTACCCGCAAAAGCTGACAACGAGCACCCAGACGACAGGTCTATAACACCTTTGCTTTGAATTCATTCCGATGAGGTTCCGACACCTGTCAGTTATCAAATGCTGCTTTAAGTGGAGTAGCTAGTTAGTTTAATAAGCAAACTGTACGGTGGTTAGGTAGTTTACTATTGTCTGGTATACTCCGGAGATATATCGCAAAGATACTCAATCGAGTTAATAAATGGTACCACATAAAACAACACTTCAGGTGGTCGGATAATTCATTTATATATATATATATATATACGGAGTAACTATGTATCGGCCGATCTGCTGGGGCAGGGGGTAGAAAATGGGCAATCTCAATCTGAGGGTTGAAAAGAGGGAACTGCAAGTAACAATCATGACATTATGAAACTAGGCTTGCCATTTGACTATTTAACTATCGTACATGCATACGGGAATTCGTGGGTCGTCAGCGAAAACGAAAGCCCCCCCCAAAACCGCTCCTCAATACGTATTCGAATCCCGAGGAAAAATGGACTATTCGAAATGAAACGCCCTGTAAATGCAAAAAGAAAACAAGGGAAGGCCATAGGGCGGCGAGTGTGTACACTAAAAATAAAATGGTGGACACGAGTGGTAAAAGCACGCAAGTGGGCATAAACAAAGTAGCCAATTTATCTAGCACATTTTTGAAATCATGGGGGACTTAGAGGGTCGCAACAATAAACGAACGTAGAAAGCAGCATTCACTTAGGAATTCGCACGGTATGCTCCTATAGAATATTTAGTAACCCAACATTTTCAACATACTGTTTCGAGGTAATTTACGTACCGCCATATTGAGAGCGCCCCGCAGTACTATGATTTTGGCGTAGCTGCGACACTGAAGATGGGATATCAATTTGCCTGAGCAAATTCACCATATTTTCCGGTATGAATCTTACAGAATCATACGTGGATGCAGGAGGAATGATACTGAGAAGATACACAAGATCTCTTGGAAGCGGCTGTGCCTGCGCTGCCACTCGAGCTTGACCAAGATTGCTTGCATTACTTCCGTTGGCATGGTGTGTTCGTTTTTGGTCCAGCCTTCTACCAGCCGCACCCTTGAGTGGCGATTCTCCTCGCATAAATTTCCGTGGACGAAAATCATCATCGTGGTCATCAACTGGGAATGCCCGTTTTGGAGACCCGGTGACACCAGTCAAATAGGCGGGTCCTGCAGGTGAGTCACGGAGGGAATGGCCATCAGAGGTCTGCCCAGGTAGCTCAGGTTTCACTTGTGTGGGCGAAACAATAAGTTGAATAGCGGTTGGGTCAAAGGTCGGGGAGGAATAACGGTGGGCGAATTGTTGGAGCATCGCATCGTCAGGGAATAGTTCTCTCATCCGGGCCTCCAGGTTTATAATTTGAGTGAGGTCGCCATATCTAGACTCATATTCATGGAGAAAAGCGAATATCGGTTTCGCCTTTGCGACGTTTTCAGGGGATGATGCCAGTCTTCGGACAGTTGTCTCAAAGACCGCCCTTGCATCTATTTCAAGATTAGTAAGGACCCCATTGCTTCAAAAGAATTGACATACTGGTAATATCGTTGATATCAATGAGGTGTTTGAGGTATTCCAACGCAAAAACCTCATCATCCGGGAAAAGTTTTGCGCCTCGCTCAAAGATTTTCGTTGCTGCGGGGTCTTTATAACAATGGTACTCAATCAATGCACTTGCAATATAAACATCACTTGTGATCCGCCCGCGTTTACGTGCATCGGCAAAGATCTGTCGTGACCCAGCAATTTCTCCGGGCTTTCCTTTGCCTTGAATACGGCGCATCGCCCGCATGAGAGCGATCCAGGCATGCGATATTGTCTTCGAGAGGAGGGCAATGTGTTCGCCGTGCAACTTTTTCACAGTCTCGATTTCATTAGCTTTTGCAGTTTCCTTTGCCCTTGCACCATCTACTTCCTCATCTTCATCCTTATTATTCCGAGCAGTCGGTTGTGTCGATTCCACTGAAAACCGTTCCTGAATTTTCGCCATATCCTGTGCCTCTTGGCTTTTGGCCCTTGTTATTAGGTCGTACAGGGCATCAAGCAATTTATCATAGGGCTCCCTCACGGCAGCTCCACGCTTCGAACGATCTTGTTCGGATGCAGATGCTATTTCAACCTGATCTGCTAACTTGAATCCAAGTAAAGAGCTTTCTGGGTTAGCTTCAATTCCTTGCTTGAGAAGATCAGTCCCTTCTGTATCCATGCCATTTCGAAAACAGAAATCAGCTGCGTCAAACCACAATTGTGGCATAAATCTCAAAGCCATCAGTGCTTGTTTGTAGACATACAAAACGCGGGACTTGTAGGCGGGGGCATCTTCTTCCTTGAGTACCAGTGGATCATCTATTTCCCATTTGATCCAGCGTCTCCAAATTTCAACTTGTTTTGTATACTCGATATGACCGCTAAACCCAGGGGCAGGTGGTAGCTTGGGAAGTGAAGTACGAATAAGATCTCTAGTAATATTTTGAAGCTCGGTGTAGGAACTTCGAGCGGTCATATACGAAGGAGATTTTTCCTGGATGAATTTTCTACCCTTTAACACAGTGTCAGTATTTGAAAAAGACGAGGCGTTGAAAAAAAGGAGTATACCGTGAGCTTATTGAGTCCCATTTCAAACTGATCATACTCTTTCCACAACGCATTAACAGCTTGCATAGGTATGCATATGGCTCGCTGATACGCCTTCCGAAGCAAATCCATTTTTTGTTGATCTTGCCACCCGGAACCGCCAATATTACCTGAGCCAGATTTGATAAATTGAATGTAGTCAAGCCAAACTGGACCCGAATCTTTATCAATACCAATATTTTGTAGAGCAAAGTCATACGCAGAAGAGATGATACGTCGCGCATGTCCGGTAGTATCTGTCATCAGATTGTTACGGCGACGCACATAGTCGAGATAAACAGACCACAAATGAACATTGGGAATATTAAGAAGACTTTTGTTAAAAATCTGCTCCAGGCGATATAGTTCGTTATACTCGGACTCCATATTCGCATACGCGATCCATTGGTCAGCCTAGAAAGAGGTCGTTAGAGCATATGTGCTGCATCGAGAGAAGTACATGATTACTTACTGCCCAAGGGAATAGTTTGAAAAATCTCTCATAGACCTGACGGGCACTATCGAGCTTATTCCGACTTCGGTGCTCACTAACTAATTCTAGCCATGCGCCGGTATCACCACGAGGATCGGCCTGAATTCTATCCTCCAATATTCCAACTCTGTCATGGGGTAACCGGCCTTTGGAAACAGGGGTGGGGGTGGGGGTCACAGCTATGGAGCTGCTGGTTGACTGAGCAATAGAAGGGACTGCTAAAGCTGTTTCATCTGGTTTGGACATAGTATCACTCTGCAGTAAAGCAGCAGCAGGAGGAGCAGTAGAAGAGAGGTTATTAGGAACATCATGTGAAGTTGGTTTGTCTGACACAGTCTGTTGCTGCGATACATGAAATGAAGAAACAGTTTCATTGAAATTTTGAGAAAGAGAACGCTGTTGTATATCTGCAGGAGTTGAAGTCGTATCCTGAACATGATCTAATACCCCAGGTGGTTCGTATTCAGTATCAGGTCCATCCCCTTCACCAGCCTCCCCTTCCTGAGTCTCCACGTCCGCGACATCAATATTTGAGTTCACGGCATGCGCAGATGGATACGCTGAAGATGAGGTCATGGATTCGGATCTGGATGACGACTTTGAAGGAAATGTGCTATTTGAATCTTGAACTTGAGGTAATTCACCGGAGACATTCCTCCGTTGCAGAGAATCAGGACCAGAAATATCAGCAACATGAGAAGAACTTGGTACGATATTTTGGGGATTTGTCGAATCCACAGAATATTCATGTCCCACAGTCATCGAAGGGTCATATTCATCTGAATCTGAACCATCCTCCCCGTGATTTTCACCAGTCTCATAGCTCTCCATGTTCAGTGCTTGAGATCGAAAGAAGGCACGCTCGGCGTCGTCGTCGGCCATAGAGATAGCGAGGGCAGATGCCCAGATAATTATTAGACCTGCAGAAGAAGCCTCGTTCAGTAGAGATATTGACGCCCAAGCTCCGCGACTCACTTCAGCAGTAAGAATACTAGGCAGTGATTTAAAAGGTCAAAGAACAGAGTGCTCTCAGATGGAGGAATTGGAAGGAGTGTCAAGTGAAAGAAAGTTCGAGAGAACTTGTGCTGGTTGTCTTCGTTGTTTGCCTCGCCTGCCATCGTAAGAATGCCGCTTTGAAAAACTGGTCACTGCACGTGACCTGGAAGAACCGCGCTAGGGAAACGCGAGTCTTTTAATTGAACTTCACGCGTTTCCGAGAGTTCACGTCTCGACACGAAGAACCTCCTCTCTATCCCGCGCATTCTATTGACTGAGATATCAACCGTTATCTCTAAATCAAAATCCTAATATTCCATTTACTTTTCCAATGTCTGTAGTATCTCTTCTCGGCGTAAGGGTTCTGAATAACCCCGCAACCTTCACCGCGCCCTACGAGTTTGAAATTACATTTGAGTGCCTTGAGCAACTTCAAAAAGGTGGATTTTATACCCATATATCGTAAAGCTGTAAAGCCAGTATATTAACAGTTTGGCTAGATTTGGAATGGAAGCTCACTTACGTCGGCTCGGCGACATCGTAAGATTTTGCCCCTCTTCCCTTGGATCTCCCCAGAGTGTCTGTGCTGACAGCCTCGGAGATCGGAGTTCGATCAAGAATTAGACTCTTTACTTGTTGGGCCAATTCCAATCGGTGTCAACAAGTTTATCTTCGAAGCCGACCCCCCTGATCTCAAACGAATTCCTACTTCAGAAATCCTTGGTGTGACCGTGATACTCCTTACGTGCAGCTACGATGGGCGAGAATTTGTGCGCGTTGGATATTACGTGAATAATGAATACGATAGTGAAGAACTTAACGAGGAACCTCCATCAAAACCAATTATCGAGAGAGTGAAGCGCAGTGTATTGGCAGAAAAACCTAGGGTCACGCGATTCCACATTAAATGGTACGTATTCACATCGTAGACATGCGTTCAGTGCCTCTACGAGGCTAGTGACTATGGCCGAAGCACCTCAACCAGTCCCCCCGCAGCAGCACCGGCTGTCTCTCCACAACGTTCTCTCAAAACTCAATCGCAGAACGTCAAGGGCCAGCTCTGGGTTTTGACCTACATAATTCTCGCAAATTTCTTTCCGTAGTGAACGACTGAGAAAATGCCGACTAATACCTTAATAGGGATTCCGACTCAGATCCGACCGACTTTCCCCCTGAGCAGCCAGATGCGGATGTTCTGGAGGACGACGGGGCAGCGTACGGTGCCGAAGAGGTCGAACTTGAAGCAGCTCTCCATCGTGAGCTAGAAGAGCTAGACAAGCAGGACGATGATAAAATGGATACCGGTGAACCAGTAGATGCCGATGATAACGAATCCGAAGCTGGAAGTGAGGATTTAGAAGGAGAAACAAGTGGTAGTGACGATGAAGAGGAAGAAGAAAACTTTGGAGCCGAGGACGAAGACGTCGAAATGGGGGATGACAGCAATCCTCCTCCAGGTCAACAACCCCAACAACAGTCAGCTGTAATGGTTCACTGAACAATGTCAATGTGATTTCGTTCCCGATGGCTTTACCGTCTTTTTTTATGAAATTTTCACTTTAATGTTCACGCAGCGACTCTACGATATCCTGTTTCAGCCCATCACGTGGAGGGGTTTTTTTTCCCACCGCCAGGCACCATAACTCTTCAAAAAAATTCTATACATGTTTCTGTTGGTGCTTTATTGATTTTGTCCTGGTCCTTTTAATGATCGGATCCAGGATGAGAATTTTTCATTTATACAGAAATATTATTCTCAGGGCTTTTAGGTAAACTTACAAGGCCATATACTCGATCTTCTGCTGGCAAACTAACTAGACACGGGGGAAATAGCTAAGAAATAGAATATTACCTCAGGTCCAGAGACTAGAACTAATTCAACCTGTACGCGCGACATCACCGCAACCCAAGCGGCGATAGCTTATAAAAATCATATGTGAAAAGAAACCGTAAACCATTGTTCTAGAGTCCGAATTTGGACCCAATAGCTATCATACAATCAGCAAAGGGGAGGTGGCAAAAAAACAAAAGGGCAGCACACTTACCTCCCAGAACAGCTTTCTTTTTCTGGTTCTTGAGATACTTGTTCACATCATTCGCAAAGCCGCTACTATTTTGTTCCAGCCTCTCCATATTGTCACCCATGATCCCAAGCCTCTCGGTTCTCTCCTGAACCTGTCGCTGCATGTATGCCCAGTAACCTTCCTGGGGATCCTGGTTTGAAGATGCAGCCTGGCGGGTCCGGTTTTCGCGGTTCTCTGCTTGTCGCTGTTGTTCCTCTTGACGCATTTGCTGGATCATTCTTTTGGAAGGGGGACGATCGGGGCCACCAACTAGTAAAATTTAGAGGGGAAATTCCGATAAAAAGGCATTTCTGGGTTCTACGTACTCAAGAGGTCCATGTCACTTGTTGAAACATGCTGGGTACCGGAAATCCATTGTAAATTTGAGATTGTTGGCCGGGGCGGGACTTCTAGTTGGGGATTGAAAAGAATATCCGCGCACCGGTCCCTAATAATTATAAGCTTCTCCTTTATCATGAATATTCCCAGAAAGGAGAAAACATACAGAGAAAGCCCAGCACCCCAGACATTGACCATCGCTACTTCTGACGGCCCGAACCACCCTAACACATCGCCTGACTCGGTGATACATGCGTCACCAAATCTTCTCACATCAAGAAGCTCATTGATGGGTGTGGAAGCAATCTCTTTTAGAGCAGGTATAGAGTAAGCCCTGGCTTTCCCATCGCCGAATAATCCGACTAAGCTACATGCTTCTCCTCTTCTGACTACCGTTGCCGAATCGCACATAAAGTCATCCCATGATTTGTTTGCCCCTTTGGAAACAGATGGCTTGAAAATACGGCAACCCGAAGGAGTCACGGCAACAACTATACCATTCACTTTGTATCCAGTTCTTAGGCTTGATACGGCATTCTGAGTAGCAAGAGCTTGTTGGCCGTTTTCAGCATTAATAGGACATATGGTCAAAATCCGATCATCAAGGGAAGAGACACCGTCGAGTGACACCATGTAACCGTCGGAACCTGGCAAGATTTTAAAAGTGGCAAGACGACCGCGATTCGTACCAACAAAACACACGATGCTCGAGTAATCTTGGTTTGTTAGTAAGTCAAAGGAGCGGTCATATATCAGGAGCAAGTTAACGAACTCACCATCGCCTTCCACTGTAAGAACCCCAAATTCGATACACGTTGCCCACTCGGACACAGTTTCAGGAGAGCTATGACTTTTCATAATGCTAGTTCTTCGATGTTGTTTGCCAAAATCAGAAGGATTCGCCGTATGAATTATTTTTGGGCCACGCATATCCATAAAAGCAATACTACCAGATTGATACCCAATACAGACAAACCCGACATCACTATGCTTTAGAGAAGTGACAGGCCCTTGGCGCTGATCAAAGAGTATTAGAGGAATAAACCCTTCCTTCAAGTCAGGGTCTGCCCGATGGGTGACATCTGTAACGAGTCCAGGTCCTTGATTATTTCCTAGTGGTAAATCGCTCCCGGCATTCTGATTGCGGTTCCACCTAAAAACAACTACTTCACCAGACTTTAGTCCAACAGAGAACTCCCCTGCTGAGCCTGCTAGAGACATTTGTGATACCTCGATGTTGTCATAGCGTCCTACAGCCCTAGCAAGATCAACCTGAAGGACGGTAGGATTTTCAATTTCATCATCATGTCCTGTATCCCATAGCCGAATAATACCATCTCCATGGGCCACTTGCACTATATCACGACTTTCGAACCGTTTCATATGGCGCTTCGCTTCTGCACCTCCGACCAACAATTTAGGACCCTGGGCTCGTCTTTCTTTCCAGCCTAACCACCTGGTCCGTTCAACTGATGCTAAGGTTATTCTATTTGCGAAAGGGTGGACCAGGGACAAAGACAGGTGTAGCATGTTTGTTGGTGATATCGAATGACCACTAGGGAAACTCAAGGTCATCAATTCTCCAGATGATAGTAACGCAATAAGTGCGATTGGGTCTTGCCAACCACAGAAATGTGGGGATGCTCGGGGAATTAAGCAGAAATCAATGACTTCCGCATTAGGCGGAGTCGACAGCTTGTCCTGACGCTTTGGTGATGCAAAATGGCTAGAAAGCAACTGCCATGAGGACGTCTGGTAATTTGGAGTTGGCCCAAAGTCAAAAAAGGTCAAACCTTTGGTTTCTTGAGTGGTCGAAGAACCGCCAGCAACCAGCAGACCTGTGTCATCAGGGTTATTACCCTTACAGCACCATGCCACATGCAGAATTGGCTCTTTCAATGAGAATGCGTCCGGGTTTGAGCTATGAGCTCTTGGTGTAGGGCCTGGAGTATCAATATTGGTGTCCGTGAGGGTTCGAGCCATTACAACCCTGCCATCTTTTGGGTCCCAAAACACAAGGCTGGAATCATCATGAGCCGTTAAAATGAAAGTCCCCGTAGGATGCCAGATTGCTTTTGTAACCCTGGGTCGTCGGACATCCCGCAAAGACGATGGGTCAGGGCTTCCTCCAGGGGCACCAGGTGGTATCTCAAATTGGAAATATTTCACGGGAATGTTTTGCTTGACAGAAAATATCACAGCTCCATCAGAATATCCAATTAGAATAGTCCCAATATCTCGTGGATGAAATGCCAGGGATACTATGGGGAGAACCCGGGCACGGGGATTACGTTCCTTCCAGAAATTTGGCAACTTAAAAGGTGTTACAGTCTCTCGATCCAAATCGTACGCAACAATCTCTCCTAAAATTAATATTAATCTTGGTACTTAAGAGGGACAGGGGATTTTCCATAATGATTACCATTTTGTAGCCCAATAAATGCATAATCCAGACTGGGATCAGTCAAAAGAGCCGTAACCAATCCTGGCGGCGCATATGAAGCCACCATCTTCCTTTCCGGGAGAGAGAATACGCAAATCTCATTTTTCGAGTCCATGCTTACAAGCTTTTCTGCAACAAATTGAAGTGTGGTTACAGACGCTTTGCGGGGCAGCTGGAACACAGCTGACACCCTTTGTTGCCCGAATACGTATACTTGTCCCCCGCCATATTGTGTTTCGCTTGTACCGACAGCAAGTAGGGACTGCACCGGGTCATATGCAAGAGTGCTGATGCGTGAATTTATGCCATAACGAGCAACCTAATTTGGTAGCAAGGTTACGAAATGATTCGCTGCCCACATGTAGGGCTGAGAGTACTCACCACATCCAGCATAAAAAGATCGGAGAACAGACCGGTGGAAAGGTCATTTTGGATGCCAGCCTGTTTGCCTCGTAGAAAGTGAGCCATAGTTCATGCACTTGAAATATAATAGGCATTCATTTGGCGACATTCGAACGTCGTGATCCTGCTGGTGATGACGAAAACAGCTTATCGAGCATTAACACGTGAAGATAACAAAAGAATATACAACTACTGGGTAAATATTATCCCGAAAATTACATAAGAGCGCCAAGTCGGAATATCCCTGCAATAAGTAGAAATAAAGTTTGAATTGACTCAAGCGCCAAGAACCTTCTAGAACCCGACCCGAAGACCCCTTTCTATGTATGTATATCCCATTGCAAGGCGCAATACAAATAAACGAGATGTCTGTCGCTCCCATCATTAAAAAACCCAGTGAAATCCTAAAATGAATGGCTTGCTGAAAGAAAGGCTCGCTTAAAGCACGAAAAAAGAGAGCAAAAAAAAAGGTTATGGGAATTCTAGAGTCGATAATTTGGCGAGTCGAGCTGTCAAAGCCCGGCGGGCGGTCAATTCTTCATCGTCTTCACGGTTGCGATAGTATTGTCGGACAACTCTGAGAATATTGTGGTAGCAAGAATATCTATTTCATATCAGCAACTGAAGCATCTTCATTTTGGACCTCCTAGTACTGACAATAATAATCGAATTGGAGCGGATTTCTCATCCATATCGGACTGAAAGCCCTCAAGAAATGCCGATGACGCCGACTCAAAAATCTCAGCCATCAGCGGGTCTCCCCACAAAGCGCTGCTGAAGTCAACGAATCCTGATACCCGTTTTGTTCTTGGATCAACTATGGTCTGCGACGGTTGCCCAATGTTAAGAATGACTAAGCGTGGTAGCTTAACGTCGTCAAGGCACGCAGAGAGTCGCATTGCATGCTGTCGAATTTCAGGGTATGGTAATGATATAAAGAGATTTTCTGCATCCCAGATGAGAGAATCGAGTAATGCTAAAAAGGCCTGCTTCCAAGTCCGACATCCAGCTCCGGACGCAACATTGTGTACAAGCCCAAACTGGGAAGAGGTGTGCTGTGCTATCAAGTTCAAAGTGGCGCTCACACGTCTGTCGATGCCTTTTTGCTCATCTACTGATAAAGAAACGTCTATTTCAGAAAGTGGCAATCCGCGAATAGAGTGTCTGAGAAGATACGAGGTGCGTTGAGGTATAGATGGGTTTTCGACTTTGCTAAGTTTGGGGATCCCGTCTATTTTGCTTTGCGATAGTAAAGAGAGAACTGCAGCCTCTGTCTCTAGATTATATCGTTCATGGCGGAGGACCGGTGTCGAGAGCAGCGGGCGAGCCTTAAGGACAAGCTCCAAACCATTTGATAACTGGAGAAAATGGAGCGGGTGTGAATGGCCTTCGAGTAACCGTATGTTTTGGATCTTTACCCCAGGAAATAGAGGCTTGAGGAGGCGCTGAAATGCAGAGAAATCGGGCCCGGGGACGGCGGGGCCCTTACACATCGTAGAGGACATGGTGAAGTTGGAGCAAGAGAAATGGTAGGTGGAAGTCATATCTTGAGAAAGCATATTTAATAAATGGCGATGAAAATAAAAGCTTCGGGCCCCAGGACGGACGTCGCAGCCCCCAGGGTAGTAGTTCATCGCGGAACGGGCCAACAACGCAGGGCGCGAATAATCACTCACAGTCAGGCATTCATAGATAGACCCTGTCTATCCGGGACTCCTTCTTGAGTCAAGAAAACAAAGGTATAAAAATGGGTCCGGGCCTTGCGATTTAAAGAAGATCAGACGAACTCTAGGCGCGGCTTGGGGCCCACATACTGCGAAAAGGGCGGGCCACGAAGGGTTGGCATGGACCTCAGGTATCGGCAAAGAATACTGAATTTAGAACATCGTAAGCAGCAGCCAGGCGCGCACAGTGCATTGCCAACGGCATCATTGGGGCCGCGCTCGCTTCACAAAGCGAGAGGAAAAGAGGGCCGTCAGCGGACGAAAAGGCGCTCGTGTGGCTTAAGAGGAACGGCGAGTAGCAGCGAACCCTGGAGCCTATGGGAGCAGTTCGAGACAGCTCGACGAGAAGCGAGAAATGACGACAGACACGGCGTGTCGGATCGCTGGTGGACATGCCTGCAAATTGCTTGCGCGGGAACAGCGCTCAGTCGCCCGCTCGCCAGATTTTGCTTAGTTGAGAAAGGTATGGTTTTCGCTTATCGCCAACTGAAACCCAGAAACATGAGTAATCCTCCGCGGTCGCACCAATGAGCAGCCGCCGTTGACGAGGTTTTCTTATTACCAGCTCCATCGCAAATGCGACACTCGCCATGGTGTCAAGGTAGGGTGCCAGAGCTAAGAGCGTCGCTGCTGCAGCCCGCCCGTGCGGTGTGAGGCCTGGCGACGGGGAAGCCCGTCCACGATCGGCCCGCGCTGAGAGTCTGTCGCTTAGGCGATGTCAGCACCAGGGCGTCGCCGAGTTCAAGCCCGCGCGGTGTGTCTGGGGGACGGCTTGTCCTTGGCTAGTTACTAGTTACTGTACGTAGACATCGCGGAGACACTTGGATCTGCCGCCACTCGTCCTATCACGGCGATTTCCGCCCCCTCGTCCACCCGCTATGAGAGGCTGTTGGGCTGCTTGAATCGCGTGCTCGACAAGAAAGTGACGGGTGAACTCCTTGAAGGATTTAAATTCCGCGCTATACCCCAGCCTCGAAACGTCGGCCGCCTATATTCCAGACACCAAGAAGATACCAAGCGAACCGGAGTGGGAGCCACTGTGTGGGCGCCGCCGAAGTCAGCCAGAAACACAACAACTACCGAAAACCGCGCCGACCAGGTCCAGCGACAGAGGAGGGTCATTCCGCCTTCGTATCACCTTCCATGTTTGGAGAGGCGATTGGAGCTGCTTGTGGGCGAGGGGTTGGGCTGTAGATCTCAGCCAGATTGTATCGTTTCAGCTCGTCGTAATCTCCACCTACAACACTCATGCCACATATGTTCTACCCAACAGTTAGGCTCTTGAATCTTCTCAGGTGCATTGGACAATTTTCTTGATGGAGTACCCCTGGCGGATACTTACCTGCATGACTTCGACAAGTATCAATGCATCATAGTTTTTCAGGTTAACTGTGTGGCCTGGGCCGACAGCACGGGCGACAAGACGGATCAAAGTGTCTCTTGGCCATTCGTGATTATTCCGAACGCTTGGTCGAATCGCGTACTAGTTATACCAACGAATCTTTCGCTTAGCACTTGGCTGAACAGTAACATTCCAGCCATGATATCTCTCCACTCAGATGGATGACCCATGGAGTTTGGGGGAGGAAGCAGCGGTACCTTTTTCGATGCACCGTCCGAATGGAAATGCGGCTTCAGTATCTCATTGGCAAGATCCTCCAGCCCTTCGCTCAGAATCTTTCGCGTAGACGTGATTGGTGTGAGCCGCTTGACATATCGACTTCGCTTCTTGTCCGGATTTGCCCGCGCGTCCATGCATATTCGATGGACAAGGTCCACGGGGTCAATCGTTTTATCCACTTTGATGAACAGCACTATCCCCAAGGATTAGTAGACAGCCTTCTTATGCCGCTGTAAGCGGCAGCATGTTAGCCGAGAATGTACGCACAACACGGGACATCCAACTTCACAGCTTGGAAAAGTGCATGCGACTTCCTTGGCTTCATGCATTCAACCTCCCTGCGAATTTGGGCCTCGATGTCGTCTGTATCTTCCTTTGACGGTGCATCTTCATTTCCAGCATCGTCCTGCAAAGAGTTTGGTATTTCCTATATTGCATTTTTAGTCGATAATTAAGACAAAAATCACGAATATTCAACTCACCTGGGATAACAAATCCAATATTTCAGCAGTACATTTACCCTCTCTTCCTCGATCACACGTCACAAAAATGCCAGCGTCTCCGCTCTCAATGGTGCGCTTTACATTTTGGTTTGGATGGGGAGTTCGCCAAAGTTTCTTGCGCTATAGATATATCAGAAGCTGCTTGTAGGATACGATCCAGTCACTCCGCCAAATTGCTACAGCACAGTCTCTTGTCACTGAGCTCCGCCATAGAAAATAGGAATAGTGCATTTCAAGTCACAACCTACCTTCGGCGCCTTTCCTGAACTATCGCGAGCATCATGCGATGCCGCTCGTTTTTTGACACTACCCTCTCCCATATTGGTGTTCAGTGCTTAGCCGGCGTTGACCCGATAAGTATTTTCGATTCACGCCCGCTTTTTGATTCACCAAGTATCAACAAGCCCAATCGCTCTACGGCGTAATTCTGGCCGCGTTTGTTTCCACGCATCAAAGCTTGATCGTGCGGTTCAAAGGTCGGAAAAGCCGCCTGTCCAATCACAGGCCCTAGTTGGATCTGCGAGGCTAATCTTTTTGGGACTAGCAGCGTTCTCGAACTCTTCTGATTGCCGCTTGACATCATCAATCCAGGTTTCTTCGGAGAAATGGTAGCAAAGGTGGCCTGTCCCTTTCTAAAAGTAGCACAGGGAGCTCGGAGATGCCGGAATATATTTACCGCAATGAGGGGCAGGATCTAGATACTTCCACTTCGGATACACGGTGTGAATCTCAACATTTGAATGATTCTCCATCATCAATTATTGAACCTCTATCCGCAATAATTCATCATGACGACGGATATCGCTACCAGGGAGCTTAAAAACCCCGTCGATATCGCTGAATATCTATTTACGCGTCTCTATCAGCTCGGTATCAGGTCTATTCATGGAGTGCCGGGTATATTATTCTCACAGCTACTTGATTCGATCTTTAGGTCTAATTGCGTCTAGGTGATTACAACCTTGTTGCCCTGGACTATGTTCCAAAATGCGGCTTACGATGGGTTGGTAATTGTAATGAGTTGAATGCAGGTATGTTTATAGTCTTTTTAATTGCGTGACCAAAGTCAAAGAAGCTAAATAAGAAAACCACTTATAGGTTATGCGGCTGATGGTTATGCTCGAATAAATGGTTTATCTGCACTTATAACGACATTTGGGGTGGGAGAGCTATCCGCTGTAAATGCTGTTGCTGGTGCTTATTCGGAATTTGTTCCAATTATAAACATTATTGGCCAGCCAAGCACTGCTTCACAAAAAGACGGGATGCTTTTACACCACACCCTTGGTAACGGTGATTATAATGTCTTCGCTAATATTAATTCCGGTATTTCATGTGCTGTTGCAAAACTGAACGATCCCCATCAGGCTGCAACTCATATTGACAGCGCATTACGTGAATGCTGGATTCGTAGCAGGCCTGTCTATATCACTTTACCAACGGATATGGTTCAAAAAAAGGTGGATGGAGACCGCTTGAAGACTCCAATTGACCTGAAATGGCCGCCAAATGAAGAAGAGAAGGAGGAGTACGTTGTTGATGTCGTCCTTCGGTACCTTCACACTGCAAAGAAGCCAGTCATCCTTGTGGATGCATGTGCAATCCGCCATCGCGTCTTGGATGAGGTTCATGATCTTGTTGAGAAATCCGGACTGCCAACATTTACTGCACCAATGGGGAAAGGTGCTGTCAATGAAAATCTTCCGAATTACGGTGGTGTATACGCCGGTGATGGGTCCAACGCTGGGGTAAGAGACATTGTCGAATCTTCCGATCTTATTTTGAGTATTGGAGCGATCAAATCCGATTTTAATACCGCAGGGTTCACCTATCGCATTGGGCGGCTGAATACGATCGATTTTCATTCTAATTACGTTGCTGTGCGATATTCAGAGTATCCTGGAGTGGGTATGAAAGGCGTGCTTCGGAAGGTGATCCAGCGTATGGGAAAAGTAAATGTTACTCAAGTTCCACGGCTCACAAACGAGCCTCGCGAAGACCCTACTACCGCATCGAAGCCGGTCATTACACATGACTGGCTCTGGCCAACTGTTGGTAAATGGCTGCAAGAGAATGACATCGTTATTACTGAAACTGGAACCGCAAATTTTGGTATTTGGGAGACTAGGTTTCCTAAGGGAGTGACCGCCATAAGTCAAGTCCTTTGGGGAAGCATCGGCTATGCTCTTGGTGCTTGTCAGGGTGCTGCCCTCGCAGCGCAAGAGGAAGGAGATCGCCGTACCGTTTTGTTTATCGGAGATGGCAGTTTTCAATTGACTGCGCAAGAACTAAGCACAATGATTAGGAACAGACTTACGCCAGTCATGTAAGTATTGCTGGGTCCATTGCCGCTGATATCCTTCCATGATTTCTGACACGTTTTGAAGTTTTGTGATCTGCAACGAAGGTTATACGATTGAACGGTATATTCATGGCTGGGACAGCACATATAATGATATTCAAGAGTGGAAGTATAAGGACTTGGTGCCGGCATTTGGGGCCAAACCTGATCAATACAAAACATACCAGATTCGGACAAAGCAACAGTTGCTTGATCTCTTCGATGACAAGGAGTTTGGTGCGGCTCAGCGTTTGCAGGTATGATCCAGTAATTGGTATTAGTTTTGGACTTAATCTGACTCTGATATAGCTGGTTGAATTATATATGCCCAAAGAAGACGCTCCCACTGTGCTGAGATTGACAGCTGAATCTTCAGCTAAGAGAAATGCAGCTTAGTTATTGAGGTTAGGAATCAGGCGAGCTGAGATTACTGGGTTGGCTGAAAGTGTAAATGCAAATGGCGTGTGTCTGAAACGAAAACAACCACAAATTGATCCAAAAGGCCCTCTTCTACAAAATGTAGCTATCCGCATCTATAGGCAAATCAGAATCAGAAGTAACAAGCATGAAGCTTGATGCCTGTCAGAAACAACGATGCCCTTCCAACGGCTGTGTGGCGCATGCTTGGAGGCTGTGGCGCTCGAGCAGATGCCAAGCCAAACGGGAAAGGATCGGCACGCCTAGCCACTCGCGGGCGTTTTCATCAGCCACTTCTAGATCACGTGGAGGCTACCCGGCCACGAAAGCGGTCGAAGGAGGAGGTGAAGCTCAGGCGTGAGCGACGACCAGACGCCGTCGCGCCCTCAGGAAGACTTCTGCACCGGTATTGGAGCCGGACTTCTAGGATATGCCAAGTGCTGCTCCTCATGCCGCGGGCTAGAAACAGCATTTGCCGCAGTGCCCCGTCAAATCTGCCTGGCGCTTCGTGATAGAGCTGGCTAAACATCGGATGATAAGGTCAGATATGTCCTGTGATCCGCGGTATTCGCACTGCTCGAATGGAAGCTGTATCCTCCTCAATTTTAAACCAATAATTGGACTCTGCTGACCTTATGCCTGGTAGTCTTCACATACATCCCTTTGTCGCTCGTTTCATCCCACTTCTACCCAGATGGTTCCTTGAAGAAGGCTGGGAGCCCAACCTGACCTCGATCACCTTATTTTCTTCAGCATGTGAAGAAAGCCCATCATTTATTTGCTGAGAGTCTCTACACATCTACGAGAAGCATCCCTAGGCCGTGGTCCGATATTAGTGCCTCTGACATCTCCATACGTTTTACATATTCAATGGAATTCACTTGGTATTTAATCCCAAGCCTCTCGTTCAATCGGCCACAAGCCGGTATTGTTTGCCAGGTTACACCTTAAATACCATATATTCTGCCAAATAGCTGGTACTATATACAAAAATGGACGGCCAGAGGCAGCCATACGTCCCCGCGCCGCCGTCGCAAACAATCACACAGGCGGCAACACGAGGCCATGGGATCCAGCTACCACCACCTCCCCCCCCGCGTGTTCCTCATGTGGCCTCTCACGGTGGGGTACCACCTCCTCCTCCACCACCCCGAATGCACTCTGGGTCGCATTACGGAGGTCAGGGTGCCGGGTGGCAGCAGGCGTGGGCGAGGCAGCCGCAAATTGGCCAGAATTATTTCCCCCCACCGCCACCCCCACCGCCAAATCAAATGCATGCGCAATTTGCATATAATCCCGGCTCTCTTTCTTTGCAAGCAACTGCCCCAAGCGACCAGCCTCTCACGTATGCAACCTATATTCCGGATGGCGAATCGTTTGGCCCTGGGGTTGGCATACCACCGTTAGTTCCTCATGATTCCTATGATCATTTCAGCCGAACTGAGAGGTCCGGATATTTCTATGACCCTGATACGTCGCGATACATTCCTCAGACCTACCATGATAGCATAAACCCTCCGCACCAGCCACCTTTATATAGGGAGTTCTCAGATGCTTCTATTCCAAACTCATTGCCAACAGCCAGCTTACAATCATCGCATTCACAGATCCCGACAAGGGAAGGTTCAAGTCGATATAATTCACATACCACCTCAGCTGGAACAGTGACCCATGAAGCCGATGAGAAGTGGCCGCTTGACCGGGTACTGCAATGGCTAGTGCATAATGGTTTCTCAAACGAATGGCAAGAGACTTTTAAATCACTTGATCTAAAGGGAGCAAATTTCTTGGATCTTGGGATTGGGGGCGCGAATGGACAGGGAAATTTGGGAAGGATGCATCAGGATGTCTACCCCCAACTTGCCAAAGAGTGTGTTAAAAATGGCGCTGGCTGGGATCAAAACCGCGAGCGAGAGGAGGGTGTTCGGATGCGAAAACTTATTCGAAGTCTTAGCGAAACTAGGCAGTTCGACTCAGGACGGTTCTATGAAAATTTGCAGCCCAGTGCGTCAGCAGATGGCAGTGTTGAAACCTCTCCTCACCTGAGAACGGACCCCTTCGACCCCCCATCAGCAGAACCTAGCCGCCAAGAAACAAGCTCTAGGTCCGAACTCTCCCGCAACATACTGGGCAATGCTTTCGGCGAGCGACGACGACATAGCCCTTCGACATCCAGTGATCACGGTGTACCTACTGCTCTCCGTTCTTCTGGTAACAAGTCACGTGGCGGTAGTCCAGCAGCACAATTTGCGTCTATGGTAACGGCTGACTCTACATCGACAACACCAGAGATGGGCCAAAACAAACGACTTAGCTCTGACTCCATTATGGGTCGCGGTTTTAGGCAAAACCAAGGCTCTTCTACCCAGGATCAATCTATGAAACAGAATGAAATGTCTTCCAAAGACCATAAAGGGTTCTTCAATACTATTCTAAAAGTTATTGGTCACGAATCTCCACAACAATCTACAGAAGATCTTGCTTCAGAATCTCCAACGAGCCTGACGAATGGGTTTCGATATGGACAGTCATATCCTTACCCTACAAGATCTACACCAAACTCCAGCGAGACCACCTTAGCCTTCGGAATTCATATGCCCACTTCTGAATGCCATGCACGAAAAGTTATCCAGAACCCTCCCCCAAAGAAGTTCATCTTCGTAACCCTTGATGGTTGGAACTACCGTTTGGTTGATGTTACTGATGTTGATGCTGCTGATATGTTACGAGCTAGACTGTGTAATGGTGTTGGTATCAAAGACCCAAGCAGCGCCCTCATATACGTGACAGAACCTGGCAGGATTGAGCACGAAGAGCCCCTTAGCGACACTATGCTTGTTGTAAATCGTCGTTCTAAGTCAGATGACCAAGGAAGCTTGAAGTTCTTCATCCAAAGCACGCCCGCATTTAGGCTCGATGGGATTAAACCACAAACGACTACTCCAGAGGAAGAAACTCGCAATCGCCATGTCCAAAATTCTCGCCGGGTATCCCCATCTATAACTTACCGTACACCTGGGCAAAATTTAAGCTCATACTCAGTATCCAATGCTGAACAGGATCGATTTCTAGAAGCTTCAATGGATGATAAGGAGCGAGAGGCTGCCATCTTAGCGGCGCATAAGGAGCATCGTCGGATTGCCGAACAAAAGCAGCAGGCTTTCCTCCAGTCGAAGCAGGAGCAGCGCCAAAAGCAGCCGATCTCAACAGTAACAACGCATGGGATCAAACGGGGTGGCATCATTGACTTTGACTCTCCACGAATTTCACCATACGAAGATAAACGGTCTGAAAACTTCTTTCCGCTGAGAAAACCACCTATAGCACCGGCAGGATCAAGCACTCTATCGAAAGTTAACTCTCTTAAAAAGCCTGGTGAAAAATCTGCTAAGGAAACTGTGTTCCAAGGTATCCCTCAGACGAGTCTCTCAAAAGATTTTCTTCCAGATGTTGTGGAGAGACCACCGAATTTCAGCCCTAAATCAGCATCTCCTAGTATGGGAATAGCTGCCGCATTTGCCAATATGGGGAAGATGTCTGGTTCTATCGCAAAACCTTTCGCGTCCTCCTCGCCATTTAGTCATTCTCCTCGCACACCGTCCGGATCAGAAACTGGGAAGCCTGTTTCAACGCATTCCACTGATCCAATCAGCGCCGGATCGCAACATGCTAGCCCGGCTTCTCCTATTATCCGCCGTGGATCCACCAATCCCGCATTTAATCTGCCTGATTACAGTGGGAATGTTATGTTACGACAAGAGACGCTGGGTGGAAGCACAACCGTACCAGAACAAACTGCGTTTAAGAGCCCAGAAGATGGAGTTACAACCTCTCAGTCAAGACTATCGCATGGGCCTGACTTTGATTTCCAGGAAACAGAAGTATCTTTTCACCGATCTCCGCAGCCAGCTACTCAGGATTCAGACGAAGATTCCGATGAGGGACTCTTCGCAAAACCCCTCGCGAATACCAAGAACAAAACTCCAATAAAAAGGAAACCGCCGCTCTCTGCAGTGAATACTCAATCTCGGCTGGCAAAGCCCGCATTAACTGTAAATACAAATTCAAGGGCGGCGAAAGGGCTGTCTGTTACGTTTAAATCACCTGGACCGAATGATACTTTTACACCAGTCACTGACCATAGTGATCCTCAAAGCGCCCATCATTCAGCAGGCCCAGATGCCGATGAATTCTCACCTCAAGATGTCCGAAACTCTCGCCGCCAGTCCTTCGTCAGAGACGATGTATGGGCATCCCGTCCTCCAGTTGAAGGAATGATTGATCAGCTAGATCTATTCTTCCCTGGTATCGATTTAGATGAGCCCTACTTGGAGGGCATTACACTGACACCACCATTGTCTCCTACAACATTAATTAATCACCCCGAACCGGAAGTAGAGCTCTCCCAGAGCTTGAGGGATCGTGTGGGCCAAGGTCATTCTAATCTAGGCTCCGCATCCCGGAACGCCTCCGATACATTTTCATCTGATGAGTCCACTTTGAAAGCTAAAGCTCCGATGAAAACCGTTGCGCAACGGAATCTTAGTCGCTCAGGTGGTCTAGGCCGCATGAAATCCATACGTGAAGTTGCAAAGGGAGCACATCAAATACGTCGAAATCAGAGTATTGCTGCTGCTACGAATGCACAGTCCGGCGTGCTACGACGCAAGAGCACTAAGATGTTTGGCGCGAGAATTATGCAAATCAGCCCCAAACCTGGGACCCGATTGAGCGATCTGGACCCCCTGCCCCAGCACCCAGTACCCCAGGAAAAAATTCCTCAAAGACAGCCGACTTTCAGAATTATCAGAGGTCAGCTTATTGGCAAAGGGACCTACGGTAGGGTTTATCTCGGGATGAACGCCGAAACTGGGGACATCCTAGCAGTAAAACAGGTTGAAGTCAACCAGAAAGCTGCTGGATACGATAAAGACCGTATTAAAGAGATGGTGGCCGCCATGGACCAAGAAATTGATACTATGCAACATCTGGAACACCCCAATATTGTACAATATCTTGGTTGTCATCGCAGTGAACTCTCAATATCCATCTATCTCGAATATATTCCTGGTGGCTCCATTGGAAGCTGTCTCCGCAAGCATGGGAAGTTTGAGGAAAGTATTGTTAAATCACTTACGATCCAAACGTTAAGTGGCCTTTCCTACTTGCACAATCAAGGAATTCTCCATCGAGACCTTAAAGCTGACAATATTCTTCTTGATCTCGATGGAACGTGCAAAATATCGGATTTTGGTATCTCAAAAAAAAGCAATGACATTTACTGCAACGACGAAAGCAACTCAATGCAAGGTTCTGTATTTTGGATGGCCCCGGAAGTGGTTCAATCCCAAGGAAAAGGGTACAGCGCCAAGGTCGATATCTGGTCCCTTGGCTGCGTAGTTCTAGAGATGTTTGCTGGCCGACGCCCCTGGAGCAAAGAGGAAGCTATTGGCGCTATCTTCAAATTGGGGAGTCTTAATGAAGCACCGCCAATTCCTGAAGACGTATCCCTGACTATATCTCCTGCTGCCATTGCTTTTATGTGGGATTGCTTTACTATGTGGGTCTCACCGCAAATTCTAATCTATCTATATCGCCTGCTAATATTCTTTGGCAGCCGTCCATACGATCGTCCCACAGCGGAAACCCTTCTATCCCAACACCCCTTCTGCACACCTGATCCGAAGTACAATTTCTTGGACACCGAACTCCACGCAAAGATTGGCCATCTGTAATGCGCATCATTTGTTACCTTCTGGATTTGGCATAGTAAATACTACCCGTTTGGCCTTTTGTTGAGGTAACTAATAATTGTTTTCGTGTTACTCTATCCATTTTAACCCTGAAAATTCAAGTTTTAGCCTTGCGTTCCGTTTAATGAGTATCTTTCTTTTTCAACTTGCAGCGCTTCTTCATTTATATGGCCTGTATGGATCAGCTCTGGAGTATTATGTTGATAAAATCATTTCAAATTTTACCAATCATGTGTCAGCCTCTAGGTGACTTGGAAAATGTGACTACTTCAGGGAATATTGCTGGAGTAGTAATTCGAGACACGAATAACATATTTTGCTAAAAAATTTTCAGGCAAGGCCAATTATTATGCCTATACGCTTCGTCCACTATCCACCTCACCATCATCGTCGTCACTACCCCCATCCTCTTCACCTCCCTCAGAACCTTCCAAGCCTAAAATCCCCACTCGAAAGATGCTCTCGCTCCAGCCTGTGAAAGTGTCCACGTCCAACACACCATCCGCCTCATGGTTTATCTTGACAACTCGATTTCCACCGGATTTGGCGGCAACATATGCTTCGAAGAAATCTTCATATAATTGAGTTAGATTGTCTTGTACAGCAGCGACAAGTGTCTCCCTTGTTCGCGCATCATCGATATAACTATCCAAGAGTTTCCGCAGCTCGGGAACCTTCTTCTGAACAACCTGGCGCATAGATTCGATAGCGCCTCGAGCTTGGGGCACGGACGTGGCTGTGATTTTGGAGGGCAGAGACGTGGCCATGTTGGCGGCAGAAGAGTTTGTAAAATCGTTGATGACTGTTCGCAGTCTGCCATCCAGTTCAACCTTGGCATCGAGCATATTCTCAACGACTCTAGGCAAGAGGCCGTTTCCAAGTAATCGGACCAGATTCCGTGGATTAAACAGGCCGCCACGTTCTCGTAGTTCCCAAAAAGTATTGGTTACGCCGGAGAAATCAAATGACACGTCCGGGGAAACAAATTCGATATCAAAGGCAACAATTTGTTGTTTCAAGATAAGGAGATGTTTAATGAGGAATAGTTGGGCATCTGGTTGGGAGGCCTTGGTCCCAATTTGAAGACTCGCTTGATACAGCGAAAGAGTGGTTTGGTGCACTATTTGGTGGGCGAGATCGTCAAAAACAGTGGACTAGACAAGAGTGGTCAGCAAAGTTGTCTACAGTGACAATGAATTATAGTACATACATTGACAAGCCGATATATGCGGCTGAGTAGCCAGACAGCCTTCCTCAGAGTCGGGTACCAGCCTTCAAATACTGATCTGGTATCAAAATCCCATTTGGAATCCTTTTCCCCAGGAGAGTCAAGCTCCTCATCTATAATAGTCGGAACTCTAGGCAACGGCGATGTCGATTCAGTGGATGAGAGTTTTGTCCCGGTGAGCATGGAAACCCTCTGGTTTCGAGCGGGGTAGTCAAGGTCCTCCGGTTTCGGTTTATATCTTTCAATCTCGTCCCTGAGGATAGCTTGGGCCCTAAAGACCAGACGTGTTTGTGTATCCTGGAGGGCGGGCTGTATTAATACGGAGAAGTCTAGCTGATTTGGGTTTGGATATTCGCCTTCTTCCTCCGGGTCCAGAAGGTACCTAGTTTGCAAGAGGGTGCAAAGCTGACACAGTTTCACCAGCTTGGTCTCATGGATAATGCGAGGCCGTAGATGATCATATAGTGGCTCGCAGACGGACTCTAGAAAATCATAGAGGCCTTGTTGTCCGTGGAACCATTGGCCCCATAAGTCAAACTCGTCTAAACAGATTCCTCGAATATAGCTAATGCTAGCACGGGCAAATGCTACAAGATCTTGAGCCGTGCTGGGAGCATTTGCAATGTCATTAAGCCTCTTCCGCACAAGCGGTATAATCAGCTTTCCTCGAGTGGCCGAGAAATTGCTATGAAGCTCATTCAGTAGACTTTGGTATTCAGCTTCAGCGCCTTGTTCAGGATCCAGCGGAGGCACAGCTCTCTTCTGGATTTCTAGACCAATGGCTTTCATTTCAGTAGCTCCTACGCGGAATTTCGCATATAATAGTGCCGACATGGTAGTATCGTTGAGTTGTCGATCAGCAATCCGTTTCGACACGCCCGCAGATATCTCTCGAAGTGTGGCAACAAATTGCCCTCGTATCAGGGTCAATGCACGGGTGAGCAATAGGCGGTAACGGGATCTATATGTCTCTGCTTCCTTTTGTTCAGGCTGCCAATTGCAAATTAGCACTCACCGATATAATACCAGATCGAACAAGCAATAATCTCTTACGTGAGCTTGCATATAATCCAGGCATTCGTCCAAGCGTCGCAGCATATCGGAGAAGTCTTGAGTCCGGACAGAATTGCCAGCCCCAGGTGCATTGAGTCTTCTCGATGCGGGGTCCAAATAGTCATAGTATCGTAGATTTTCTTGGATGGCATCGGCGAGCTTGGAGCTCCGTTGCTCTGCGGCCAGTAGGCCCTCGCATTGTTGTTGGAAAGCCGTAGTACTAGCTTCTACCGTCTTGAAGGATCGAGATAAACTGGATAATAGGTCTAAGGTCAGGGTGCTGTCGCGAAGAAGGTCATCTAGATGCGAGGCGGACAATTCCAGTTCGTCGAGACAAGCTCTAGGACAAGCAATCAGTGACATATCCATCTGATTATTCAAAATTATGGGAGAGGAACATACTGGTATTTGTCGTAGGTGGCCTCCAACAATTCTATCCGGGTTCTATCATGCCATCGTGCAAAATCTAGGTCATTTTTGATATCTGGAAGTTGGTCATTCTCGCAGGCCGTGTTTTCGCAGTTGCCTGGAGATGCACTAGAAGACATTTTGGGAAATTTTGGGCACCGTTAATACCCTTTGCATCTTCTAGCGTTCTGCATATAAAAATAGAAAACAGGAGGCAAATATCTGGGACACACAGCTGTTCAATCCTACAACTCGACCAGCCCTACAGGATGTTGTGTCTCAAAGGGCTCTTGCGCCGAGGCTCCTACCACCAACCAGCGCCCGAATAGAATTTTGCTTTGGTCCGTGCATCCACTCAGACCAGTAGGCGCCAACCGCCCGTCTGCGATGCTCTGAGGAGTTTGCCAGCCTCAACTCCCTGTAGCTCAGTCTTTTTTTATCTGTCCAATTGGCCTTGCGCGGTTAGAGCGGCATGGAGGATGCCCTGGCGCGTTAAGGCAGCGCTAAGCCGGCCGCATTCGGGCTAGAGCGTAATGTCAATACACAGCGTTACAGCGTTGCCCCCGGATTCGCGCCGTCTGGTTGGCGGGGCCGGCACAGAGCCTAGTGCGGTGGCCAATCAGGGGCGGCTAATACACGCAGGCTGTGTTGCGCGCTAGCCCCCTTCGTTGTCCGTCACACGCCCCTGTCTACTGCAACCAACTTGTTTGACTGGGCTCTGCAGACGGCCACAACGCTCGCTTTCCTGGCTCCGACCTTGATCTTCTATCTCTCGTTTAATTCTATCCCCCTTCCTGTCTTCTTTTTGGGCCTTGCGCCTTCATCGTCCTTATCTTTTATCACCAATATAGGGCCTCGGTTCCGCAAACGACAAGAGACCCGTTCTCTGCGCTCAGCCCAAGATGAGATTGCCTTCGAGATTTTCGGTCTTTCTGCTCGCTCTCGTTCTCCTCGCCGTCGTTGTATCTGGAATTGACGTCGATAAACGCCAAAACACCCTCAAAGACTCTGGCCCAAATCCAGACACGTCTTCATCCTCAAACGAATCAACTTCAACAAGCACATCAACACGGTCGACGTCCAGATCAGAGCCTTCTTCAACTACTCAACGGTCTACTTCTACTACACCTCCGTCTCCTACGCCTCCACCTGCTCCGTCAACTACTGCCCCACCACCAGCCAGCTCTACCCCCCCATCTTCGACCCCAGATGCGCCAGCCCCAAGTTCTACTCAGAATACCCCGCCCCCTGGCACAACTGCTCCGAACAACCCTTCGCCATCGCCTTCAAGGACTATCGTTACGATCACGGTGACCAGCAATGACAAAACTACTATCCAGACGAGCGAGATAATCAACCCTCCTCAGCAAACCACCGCCGCTCCCGGCTTGGGCAAGGATAAAGACGGTTCTAGCAATTCCGGTCTAAGTCAGAGTAACAAAAATATCATCATTGGTGTTGTGGTCGGTGTGGGAGGTGCTATTCTTCTTGGAGCTCTTGCCGTCGTGGTCTACAGACTGCGCCGAAAGAGAAACTCCCGGACTGAGCCCGATGAAGATGATCTGACTGGCACTGCCCTTGGTAATAACAATGAACCTTCGATGACGAACAGCCCATTTAAATCCACCCTTGATCAATATCACAAGCCGGGACCCGTAAACCCAGCTTCGAATTTCTAGAGTCAGATGGCTGCCATTATGACTATTGAGTTCGGAAAGACTCCATGACTACCTTATTCTGATACTCGGTAGTAGTCGGCTAAACCCCAGGATTCAATATTTGAATTCTCTACGATTTTATTGAACCATGGCACATGGGTGAAACGGAGTCTTGGTATTTCTAACAATCATTTACGACCTATCTTGTTCTTTCCTCTATTGCCGTGTTCTGCCTTTTTCCATTCCGTCTGGCCGGCCATTTTATTTCAGCTGTACATTCTTTACAAAAAGGGTGGTGTTAAGCTTGTGCTTCTTGCCTCCCGCACAATCAAATTGTAATAATGTCCTATTTTATGTTTTAGCACGCTTCGCCCTATTTCCCTATTATCCCATAGGGGTTCACCCTCTGTTCTCTTGATGGCGGTCATTCATTACTACCATTTCCTCTCAATGCATGTATGATACCGGTCGGGATCTGTTTGTATCATACTCTGAAAATTTTATCTAAATCTGTCTTTGTGTGTTTTTATGTTTATTGCTACTAGATTTGTATTTGCCATGTTTGCAGAATGCGCATTGCTCACTAAATTAAAAGTTTTTCAGGCGGCCCTTACTTACAAACCCACTTTGTCGCGTCCCTAACTGTTTGCATTGAAGTAACTACTTGTTTATGAAAAACATAAAAAAAATTAAAAACATACAACAGCCGGGATTCGCTGGTGGTCACCCACCCAACTACTAGCCGGCCGGCAAGTGGCTTAAGTACGGCTGAGCGGACGGGAAGCCCTGTATTCCACTTCCTGTGGTCGTATGTGCTAGGGATAAGATCACTTCAAATTAAATAGAACTTTCAGACATTGCAATGCAGTCAGCCGTCAAGCTTTCCATTCTGTATTTAACTTGTCCAACCACAATGCATTGTATCTTCCTTTCATTTTGTATCGTCTAAGTGACTCGCCAACATCAAAAATGTGATTTTCTATAGGATTAACTGGCCTGGATATTAGTTACTAAGATCGACCAGATCCTCGTTGGCTCACGTGGATCTGCCGGTTGGCCCCGAGCATCCTCCTCTGGATGTCGAAGAGCACAAAGGTGAAAGTGGTGGAATATATAGGCTGATGGTAGACACTCAAATAGAATTTGGTGCTAGCAGCGTCAATAGCGGAATTGAAAACAGTAACCAGCAAGCCTAATCTGATTCTGGTGAAGAAGGACAGAAGCGACCTCTTATGTATGACCCTTGAAATGTCCATCAGAAGATATTGAAACATCTTGGGATCTTATTATATCAGTCTATGATATAGCAACCTTGATTATAGACTCCTGTATAGGTTTGTTTGATCAGAACAAAACTCCACTTTTTCGAATTCCTAGAAGCATCTATCAGAAGAGTAGTAATTTTATCAACAGGCTAAATGGGACTTCAAAGAGCCACTAACTATAGGGGCAGATTGATGAAGAAGCACAATGTTTTCAAAGTAGGGAGGAAAGCAAGCCGGCTCCAGATAGCAGTTTCAGGATGTTCAACCAAAAACATGTTCAAAGATTGCTTGAGCATAGGCTGATAAAAGTTGCCAGCATCTGCGTTATTGCTCTGGGTGCGTTAATTTGGCCAGGAAGCCTTGCGGGCGGAGAAAAGGCTGCCGTGACAACTGCCATCCTATCGATGGTGTTTGCCGGAATTATGGCGTTTGTGTTATGTATCAGGAATGCAAGGTCAATGGAGCGTGTGCATTCCATAGACGAAAAGAACGAGGATAAATACCAGGCTGGTCAAAGCATAGCTCGTAGCGTCACAACCTCAAGCTCAAGGGATATAGTTGAAGCTATTTTCAAGGCTTCTCTTCCATGGATGGAGTGTTAACAGTTTCCACATCAGTGTAGCCTGTATTGCCGACAGTCATAGCTTTATTTTGTATGATAATTCAGACCGGCCAACCAACATTGTAGTTGGGTGGTTGAACCCCTAAGTCGGATGGTAGAGAACGGCCGAGGAAGCAAGCAGGCAAATCAAAAAGCTTATCAGCACTCACATGCAAGGCGCGCGTCGTCCCCAGATCTGAAGTGGCTTGTTCAGTATCTCCACGTCTTACTAGGACAAACTCCATACCTAAGCACAGCCCTTCTTTCTATTCTAAATTAATATGGATTCAAATCCGACGGCACCCGCTGGTGATCAGAAACCTACCGCCATCCCTGCCCAATCCCCCGCCCAACACCCCCCACCTGCCGCAGAGACCGCACAGCCCGCACAGCCCGCACAGACAACGGCTCCGGCACCGGCAACAAAAGAAGATGAGGAGGAATCGGATTTAGATGAATTAGATGGTACCTGGGCTTCAAACACCTACTCGTCAGTTTTGTCAAAGCTAATATATACCGATGTAGATGTGTTGGACGACTTCTCGGCCTCCGCTCCCGCGAAAGCCGATCTATCAGAGTCGGCCATCAAGAAGCCTGAAGACAAGCCGGATTTGAGCCAGCTACCAAGTCCAGATGAGGAAGCACTGATGAGGCAGCTAGAGGCCGGCATGGCTGAACTACTAGGGGGCGGCGGCGGCAATGATACTACGGACGACTGGAACAATTTAGCAAACGAGCTGACGAAACACGGTCTGAAGTCCGGAGATCTAATGAACTTGATAATGGGCGAAGACATGACTTCGACCGGCGGCGAAGCCAGCGGCGAAGCCAGCGGCGACGCCGCGCGGAAGACCGAGGATAAGTTCCAGGAGACGATCCAGAAGACCATGGAGCGAATGCAGGAGTCGGGGGACAAGGCCACGGCGGCGGCGAATACGAATTCGGAAGACGAGATGCTGGCGAACTTGCTCAAGGCGATGGAATCGGCGGGCATGGGCGGAGGTGACGGCACGGAAGAGGATTTCGAGCAGCTGCTGATGGGCGTCATGGAGCAATTGTCGAATAAGGAGATGCTATATGAGCCGGTCAAGGAGCTAAGCCAGAAATTTGAACCGTGGCTGAAAGACAATAAGGACAAATTGTCGAAAGAGGAGTACGAGCGATATGTGAAGCAGTCTGGACTCATGTCGGACGTCTTGAAGAAGTTCGACGAGCCGGGGTATTCGGATGATAATCATGAACATAGGACGTATGTGTGGGAGAAAATGCAGGCTGTAAGTCTATTTCTTCGTTGTTGGCCATTTGAGCCGATTGCTGATAGCTGTTTAGATGCAAAGCACCGGCGCGCCACCAAAAGAGCTTGTATCGGATCCATTGACGGAGGAGTTATTCTCAGGTGGTGGAGACATGTCGCAGTGTCCGCAACAATAGATATTAATTCCAATACAAATAAATGCCTATTGTCAAGGATATCTTTTTCTTCATACTCACACGACGGTTTTCCTATTTACACATTTCCCATGTTGACCCAACGCCCGCTGTTCTATCTTTGAAATACCTATGTACAAGTGTCCAAATGCTTGTGGTCGCTATGTATGCTGCCAACACGGACAGAAACTGTCATCCATGCGAGGTATCCATCCGTTCATCCGGGTCTAATACCTCTGACGGGCATTGCGACGCAAGCGCGGTGAATATACTATCATAATATTCATCTTCATCATTGCTGCTGCTTCGGGCATTATCCGTTTCGAGCTGTCTTTCCATCTCTTCCGCGAAGGCTTCATATTCCCGTTCCTGGGCGAGATACTCCTCCAGCGCCGCTTCACCCAGAACGAATCAGCAAAAACAAGCGACAACAAACATAGCCACAAAAGAGTCAGTCAGTGAAACCCATACCTTCTTCCACCCAGTCCTCGTTCCCCGCCGCAGTCCCTACTCTCTCGTCTTCCACCATCGCATCCTCAACATTGTCAATCCTCGGAGCCGAGCGCGCCATCTCCTCCTCAAACCGGCGTTTCTGCGTGATATACTCGATCCACAGCATGCGGTCCTCCCGCGCGTTGAACCGCGCGCTCTGGCGATCCTGTTTGACGCGGTTGAGGAAGGCGTTTCGTCGGATGTCGCGCGACATGCGGCCCGTGACGCGGGAGGCCGGGTGGGCTATTCGCGAAGTGTAGCGCTGGGCGTAGGAAAGTGGAGATGAGGGAGGGGAGAAGGGGGGCTCGGGCGCCGCCGCAGCATCTTGCTTGTTGTGCGAGTGGTTGTTCGGCGACATGGGGGAGAGGCGAGATCGAGGGCGCTCGGCATCTTGCGGCGATAGGGGTGAAAATGGCTCGGTTGCGAGGTTGCATGCGCGGGGCGGTGACGAGGAAGGGAGGGCGGCAAACATGGCTTAGTAGAAGCAAACGAAAAATGGGCATCAACGACTGTAGAAGCTGTCGAGTGTCTGATAGAACGCGGTCGCGTTAAGCTGTTTCCTTATCGCGGACTAACGATATTCCATAGGCAGATTACTAAGTAACGGTCTCGGGTCTTGGCACCGAGTCACGTGTATTGGTACCCGTCTTCGGCTAATGAAATAAGGTTTACGGAGTACTTCTTGAACCTTAAAAGTCGGCAGCTTGGAGTACGGAGTACACGACCAGCTTAACAAGGAGAAACTATCCTACCAAGTGCACGGCTGGCTCATCCGTTCGTCTGTCACAATGCAGACTCCTAGATCAGGGCAACCATAATGCCTTGTCAATCTAAACAACGAAGTCTGCAGCATCCCTCAAAATAGCTATAGTTGGGTGGCGTCTACTCATTCTCATCAAAGGGAAGACTTTCAAACCATTTCAACAGCCTTCTGCATCGTATTGTGTCTGATGCTGAGGTTTTGGGGGTGGGGGTGGTAAAGCAAGCAAGCACACGCCCATCATTCAAATCAGCCCATGCCAACGACTGCGAGAAAACCTCACGGCCAAGGGGACAAGTCAAAAAACCAAACAAGGTCCCGGCAGCGCTGTGCGAATTTTTCTGTCATGAACAACAGTAGACGCTTGTGTTGTTTTAAAGGCATACCTTGCCGCTCCAGCTTCCAAGAAAGATATGCAAGATGGGTATTTATCCTCAGGCGCGACACACAGACGCCCTGGGTTTCTCTCCCTCATCGCAGCAGACTCCACCACTAACCAACTTCATCAGCGGTGCAACTACCCTTTTCTCTCTCTCTGCGACACGTCCAACAACCCTTTACGGACACCGCACGCCACGATGCAGATCGGCAGAAAACGCGCCAACACGGGCTGAGACGTTCACCAAACAGACTACTGGCTTGACTGGCCCGCCCCAACGGATCTGGTTCCCCGGGTGCTCGAAAAAATCCGAATTATTGGCGATCTTGGGCCGGTGGTGGTAACTAAGGCGGCAGAATAATCCAATCCGACACTCTGGCACGCTGTGCGCGCGCGAACCGCCCGGGAGGTGCTCTGTGGCTGCTATAGTTATTACTGGGCAGCAAGGCGGCGGCGGCGCGCGATGCGGACTCCATTTGTTGTTGGGTCTGCTCTGCATTGCGAAGATTTGTCTCTATTGGGCTTCTCTGTACTTTTTTTTTCCCCATTCTTTTCTTCTTTATTTTTCATCCAAGTAGTTCAACAGATTCTCTTAGCGAGACAGACACTTTCAAAGAGAGCCGATTGGACTCACCTCTCTCTCTCTCTCTCTCTCCCGCGATCCTACCGGCTTCGTCTTCGTACGCGTTTCTGTCCGCGTTCAATCCGGCATTCGCCGAAAACACCACCACCACCACCGGCGTCTTCTTCCGCTCGGGGGCCCGCCGCTCTGCTCACCGTCACCGCACATATGCCGCTCTCGACGGACGCCGCCGTTGCCGTTGCCGTTGCCGCGGTTGGGTCCTCGGTGATAACAGACGTCTGGCATTCCCGGGCGACGGTGTCTGGGTGGGCGGCATTTGTTTTTTGCAAGCGGGTCTGACTGAGTGTTGGTTTTAACTAATTAGAATAATAATAATAAGAATAATCGCTCTGACTCCCCCTGTCCTGCAGCGGGCGTCAGCTTCCCGAGAGCCGCCGCCCCAGCCCCAGCCCCCGCCTGCAGAGAAGAGGGGGGGAGGGGCTCTTTGTTTTTTTTTTCGACAGGAGTGGTGATACCGATCGGCGCCCCCCTGCACATCTGCGATCGGAGATCTCTTCCGGCGGATGTTGTTGTTGTTGTCAGAGAGGAGCGCGCAGCGGCTCCTACTCTTCCCTCCCCGCCCTCCCAATAATAATAATAATAACAATAGCGGTGGCTGGCTGGCTGGCTGGCTGTGCAGTCGTGGATCACCGGGTATGCAGAGTTTTTCTTCTTCTTTTTTCATTTTTTTTCTTGATCTATTATTTCTATTTTCTCGAGGTAGTCTTGGGCGGTTGGCGTGGGGATCTGCGGAATAGTAAGAAGTCCCCAGCAAGGACAAAAAGGAGCCAGCCAATTCAGCCTGCGAAATCGGAGAAGGGAGGGAGGGAGGGAGGATTGGGGGCTTGTTTGCATCTTACGCAATATGGTTACGTTCGTCGGTCGAAACAATTGACGGTGTGACACATATTGATTTTTGATTTTCATTTATTTATTATAATAATAATTATTACTATTTTTCTCTCGTGAGAAAACAAATATTCGCCCAATAATAATAATACTCATATCGTTTGGTTGTTTGCCGGCGGAGACCGCGGAAGTCATCGAACAGCCAGCCGCCAGAAAAACGGCCGGCCCTGAGTGGACCGTTTACTCGCGCTAGTGCGCAAGCGGCGCAGAATAGCCGCCCGGCCGAGCTACTTAGTCATCCACGAGCAACCCGCAACGAGATGGCTCACGGGCGGCAATCCTGACTGAGGGTCACCGACGGTGGGCGAGCTGCAGCGGTAGCAGTAATCGGGGACGCCGAACATTCGGCGATCTATCCCAGGGCTATCTAAGTTGTGGTTCCCCTGACGTGCGCGATGATGGGCGTGGGTTTTGTTTTATTATTCGAGCTAGGGGGAGGGATGGTTTTTGCTTGCGCGGCGGGCGGCGGTGTCCGGTACGCAAGTAGGTAGTAGTACCTAGTAAATCGACTAAGTAGACCCGACAGCGGCAGAGGGCTAGGTAGTGGCAACGCATGTGGTTAGGGGGTGCGAGAAATGGCCCATGGGGGGTCGAGGAGTGTGGGCTGGTGATGGGGACGGGTCAGCCGGAAAAAGGGGATTTTCTGCTTTCGGCACCGAATCAAGAAGACCAAGTCAAGACAAGCGAGACGCAACATCCTGTCATTATTCTTCTTATTATTCAAGACAGGAGGAGGAGGAGGAGGGGGGTGGGGTGGAATCGGGGCTGACATTTTTAGGAGTACAAAGCAGCCCGCCCAACGGCGAGAAGAGGCTAGACTGTGATATTTAGCTCGAGCCGGGCTCTCGGCTGGCTCCGCCCGCGCCAGGGACCGGCAGCTCAGCGGGCGAATCAAGCAGCCGCGCGCGCGCCGGAACGGTGGGATCCGGGGGGAGAGTAATCAAAGAGAGTTTTTCTGAGCAAAAAGCATCCTTCGCGTGCGTGCGGGCAGGGCAAGTTTGAGCCTCAGGCAAGCGGGCGCTTGGCCCGGCCCAAAAAGAAAACGAAACCGAAAGGCAAAAAAAGAGAGGAAGGAAAAAAAAAAAGAAAGGGCAGCGAGCAGAAGCCGATAAGAACGGGGGCGTGGCGTGGGTTTAAAATAAAAGTATGTAAGTGCGATCCTACGGCCGGTCGGTGTTGTCGCCGCGGGCCGAATGAGGATAATACATAATAATGGGCGGCCGGCCGATTGGCATCTGCGCGTGCGCGTGCAAGCGTGGCCGCGGCCGGGAGGGGTCGCTACTAACTACTGGCGTGATATGATCGCGGCGGGTGGCCTTATAGGCCTATACCGGGCGGATTCTATGGAAGCGAACGAGCAGCGCACGTTTTTTTAGTATTATTTAATTTTGTTTTGACTTTGTTTTATTTTTTGGCGCGGCTCGGCGGCGGAAGGAAGACCGGGCTTCCCCAGCGTGGCGGTGCGCGCTGGCGGGCGGGCGAGGGAGCGGCGGACCGGGCGGGTTAAAAATAACCCGCGAAGGCCGGGGTTGCTGGTCGTGGTTTGAGGGCGCGAAGGCGAGGTTGAGGTGAGGAAGGATGCGGGCATCCTTTGCAGTCCCATCGAGATGAAGGGGCGTGGGTGACGGTGCCGGGCTGGCGGTGGTTGAGAGGAGAGTAGTGGTGGTGGTGAAGATAGTACGAATGCTTGGGATAAGATGCGTGCATTCGGCGAGGGCCCCCAAGTCCGAAGGCAAGGAGCGCCGGAGGGCCGCAGCCGGCGGGCGTCGAGTGCAGAGGCTCCACGGCGGGGCGGGCGGTCGTCAGCCAGTCAGTACTCCGTAGTGGTCAGAGAGGATGACGGGCAGGAGCCGCGGGGCGCAGGCAGACGCCAGAGACGCCGAGCGGCGGCGGCGGCGGCGGGCGGGCGGGCGACGTAAGCGCGACTCCTGACGGGCGCGGCGACAGGCAGGCGAAGACGGAGATCGCGCTGGGCGAGGCGGAAGGGGGGTATGTTGGGCAGAGGGGGGTAGGCAGGGCGGGGTGTATTACTCCTCCGGCCGACAGCGCTCCCCAGCCCGGCTGGGCACAACGGTCCTCCAGGATCACCACCGGTTTGATCCGCGTCGCAGGCTGCGCAGCTGCTGGCCTCGGCCCGCGCGAGAATTCGACCGCAACGTCTTGGCTGTGGGGGTACGCGCGGGCCAGCGAACGCGAACGCGAGCGAGAAGCCTTCTTGGTAGAGTAGTTCGTGCGTTAGTTAGTTAGCTAGCTAGCTATTTAACCCGTGGACTGAGCTAGCTGGCTGGCTACGCCGGCGCGAGCGCGGCAGACCAGACAAAAGGGCCGCGACCAGCCTGCCCCTCTTGCGTCTCTTGTTGTCTTGTCTTGCTATCCTACCGTTCTGTGCTGTCCTACCGTCGTGCTGCCTGTCCTCTCTCCCATGGCGTCGCCCGTCTACCACCCACTGCGTCTCGTCCTGGCCCCCAACCTCCCCGTCGACATGCCGCTGCCCGACGGCTCGTGCAGCTCGTCCGCCTCGACTCCCGAGCCCGACACCACCGCCGCCGCCGCACACCCGCCCAAGCGCAAGGGCGGCCGCAAGCCGGTGCGCCCAAAAATCCTGTTCTTTTATATATATATATATATAAACAAACCAGCTGACAGCCGTAGATCTACGCCACGTCCGAGGAGCGCAAGCAGCGCAACCGCCAGGCCCAGGCCGCCTTCCGCGAGCGCCGCTCCGAGTACATCAAGCAGCTCGAGGCCACCATCCAGCGCCACGAGGACGCCCTGCGCGCCCTGCAGCAGAACCACCGCGCCGCCGCCGACGAGTGCCTGATGCTGCGCTACAAGAACTCGCTGCTCGAGCGCCTGCTGCTCGAGAAGGGTGCGTCTTTATATGTAGTCTAGTTACTATCACTGTAGTGGACTAACCGACCGCCAGGCATCGACGTGCACGCCGAGCTGCGCCTGAAGACCACCACCACCACCGCCGCCGCCGCCGCCGCGCCCGCCAACGCCCTCCCCGCCGCCCAGCGCCCGCACCAAAAGTCGCCGTTCGCCCGCCCGCCGCCCTTAGCCCACCCCGGCGGCTTCAGCGCGCCCGCCGCCGCCGCCGCCCTCACACCCGTCTCCATGAACTCGCCCGATAGCAACCCCACCCCGCGCCCGCCCAGCAACAGCAGTGCAAGCGGCCCGGCCCGCAGCCAGGCGCCGTATTTCATGGTGCCGTTCCAGAAGCACTACGACCCGCTCGGTGCGTTCTCTCTGCGACCCTGTCTGCGTCTGCCCGCCCTGACTGACCCTTGTCTTCCCTCAGAGCCCGAATACGACCCTCCCCAGCACCAGCACAGCAACAACCACAACCACAGCCACGCCGACTGCCCCCCGTCATCATCCTCGCATAACCCCACCACCACTCCCTTCGGCCTGCCGCGCCCTAATAGTAATAATCACAATAATAACCCTCCGCACCCCGACATCCTCGCGCAGCTCGGCGACGACGGCCTGGGCTCGCTGAGCGCCTTCGTCGACCACTTCGACCCCATGCTGGACGCCGACCCCTTCGGCCTGAGCGCCAGCATGCACTTCCACACCCCACTCAGCTACACCCAGAGCAACATCCGTTGACCCATGCTATGATTTTTAACAGCGACAAAGACAGAAATATGAATATGGCATCTAGATTTGTTTTTTTTTTTTTTTTAATCTGGGAATTACAGATATATATTTCTGCTTTTTCTCTTCATTTCTCCTCTTTTTTATATACACAAACTCATATACGCGCAGTGCCCCCCTTTTTACGGGCCTGTCGCGCACATCCGGCATTGAGCGGCGTTCTCTCTTTTCGTGCTTTCTTGGGGCGGACATCATGTTTTGCGTTGGCCATCTAGCTATCCTTTTTTTTTTTTTTTTTTTCGTCATGACGGGCGCGCGGGTTCCACGGTGTATGATTGCAACGAACGACTGAGAGCCGGCGCTCCGCACGGCCTTTTTCTCCCTTCCCCTCCCCGCGTCCCTCCCCCTCACTAGCATGCCCTCCACCCCACCACCACATACATACATATTATTAGACTCTAGATACTTTAAATCCTTACTCCGGCACCGTCCATGATGTAATACCCTAAGCCCTAAGCCGGCGCCGGCACAACATCGGCCCGGCCTTCGCTTAGCACCGCGCTGAGTCAGCGCCAAGCCCGTGCCGGGCTAACGCGATCGGGCCGTGCGGGAGGCGAAATTCCAACTTCGCTTCGCTTTCTCATTCTTCCTCTTTCGACCTTTCCCCCTTCCTGCGCTGTTCTCATCTCCGTCGCTCGCGTGCTGCCTTGCAATCTACTCTCCGTCGTCTGCGTGCTGGCTTGCTGCCTCATTCGCGGCCCGTGCTAGCCATTCCCGTATTGCTGCAATAACGGAAAGCCTTCTCAGGAAGGCCCCCTCCCTCCCTCCCCCCCTCTCCCCCCAGACACCAGGCGTCATGTCGGGCGTCCGGTCCCAGGTACGAAGCAATTGAGCTTTTTCTCCTCTCTGTGTTTGCTGCGAGTGTGCGGGCCATTGAGCGTGGCGATGCTGTTGAGAGCGTCAATGGCTGTTGTCTTTAGAGCTTGCTTGCTGTTGTTATTTTTTTTGGTGATTCGAGCTGACTTGTGATTTGTGTGTTCCTCCCGACAGAACCCTTACGACATCCTTGGTATGCAACCTCCCCCCAACCCGCGCTGGGCTCTCCGACTATGCCAATTTTTGGAGCTGCGATCCGCTCGCGGGTAAATTTGTTTGTTGGTGGAAATTTAAAGTGTGCTAACCCTCGTGTGCTCGGCTTGTTTAGGCAACGATGAGGTCGACGAGCCACAGCCGCCCGCCAAGGCCTTAGACAAAAATGCTCCGCGCCACGGCAAACGCGATGCCCCCGTGCAGCCCCGTGGCAGCAATCCCGCTCTCGCCCGCGGTGGCCAGCGCTACTCCGGCAATGAACGAGGTATATATTTACAAACCACCTGGCGCGCCCCTCACAATGCGCTGGTGCGCCAAAATCCATGTTAACCTGCTGTCTTGTCGCAGCTCTCCGAGACGGCGCCGCTGGCTCTCGTGCCAACCGCTCCCGCCCGACCGAAGACGAGCCTCGCTCGGGCCCCGCCCATGTCGGTGGCACCAAGAACCGTGACCAGCGCGGCCACCTCATCCGTGACGACCGTCGCTCCAAGACCGACCGGACGTAAGTGGCTGCTTGTGTGCATTAAACTTTCATTTGGGGCAGGGGAGCATATCATTCTGATCGCACACTACTCGCGCAGCATCACCGGAAAGCAGCTCGACCAGGGCTGGGGCGCGACCACCGGCGAGTCCAACATGACGGACGAGAAGGCCGGCGAAGCCATCGCGAAGAACGACGAGAAGGAAGCCGCCGCGGCGGCGGCCGAGGAGGGTGAAGGCGGCGCCACGCCCGACGACAAGGAGCCCGAGCCGCAGGACAAGACCAAGTCCTACGCCGACTACCTGGCCGAGCTGGACCAGAACAAGCGCGACGACCTCGGCATCAAGGAGGCCCGCAAGCCCAACGAGGGCGCCAAGGTCGACAAGAAATGGGCCGCCGCCAAGGAGTTCAAGCGCGACGACGAGGACGACGACTACATCAAGGGCCGCGAGGAGAAGGCCAGGCGCGAGAAGCAGCGCAAGGAGAAGAACGTGCTGGACGTCGACATGCGCTTCGTCGAGCCCGCCCGCCGCGGTGGTGACTTCCGAGGCCGTGGCCGTGGCGGCGCTGACCGCGGCGGTCGTGGAGGAGGAGGAGCTCGTGGCGGTGCCCCCGGCGGCGGTCGTGGCGAGTATCGTCCCCGCGGTGGCGCTGGTCCCCAGGGCCCGACCGTCGACGAGCGGAACTTCCCCTCTCTCGGCGCCAAATAAGAATCTCTTGCGACGAGATCCCGCCACGTCAGGAAACTTATGGGCTAGCGTTTTTGGTGAACAAAAGGGAGGGGGGACGGTTCGTTTTTTTTTTTCTTTCTTTCTTTTCTTCCGTCAAAACGCTTCGTGTGTACGCTGCTGGAGATGAAACCGTAAAGAAAAAAAGGGACAAAAAAACAAATAGCCTACTATTGCCAGGAATTGTCGGAAATGCTGCATGGGAAATTCTTTTCTATTATGTTGATATGTGCTGTGGCTCCTCTTTCTCTTTTTAATCCCCCACCCCCTCCAATTTAATTTTTCCTTAAGGCAGAAAGGGCTTTTTCGAATGCAATAACAGGATGGAACATGATGATGTGTGTCTGTGTGTGTCGAACCAAGACGGATTTGTGGAATTTGACATGCTTTGCTACTCTTGCCCCCCCCCTCTCTCTCCCTGCCTTGTTCCCCTTGCGCCCGGCCCCCTGATGTGTGCAATTAATTCCTATGAAATCTATTTTATCCAATCTTCACATCCGTTTTCCTCTCTTCATCAATTCATCCATCCATCCACCCATTAATCCTCTCTCTCTACTCACTTGAACACGCCTAGGTTTTACTTTTTTGTTCTTTGCTTTCTTTTCTGATGACTGCGGTTCTGCAGCAGTAGCAGCCGCAGCAGCAGCTTCCCTCTGGCTCCATTGTTTTCTGGTTCTGCGTGCGATCGATCTTTCATGGTTTGGGAAGATAGTATTCAATGTTTGCGAGAGAATTGTAATACAAAGTCTACTTACTACCCAAGGCGGTCCGGCGGTTATGTCAATTTCTTCAGCTTGACCCCTTGGCCATCAACGCTGTGCCTTGGTGTTTTGGGGGCGACGAGTCTTGGAACTCGTCCTGACCTTTCCTTTTTCTTTTCTTCTTTTTCTTTCTGGCTACTATCTCCTCTTTCGGGTACATAGTAACTACGCATCTAGCTGGCTTTGGTCATTTTGCCGATTCCGGGTGTGTCTGCACACACCAATACCCTGGCCACAAGTGCAATATCTCGAGCCTGGAGCAATTCAAGCTTACTTGGTGGTATTGTCTTGACATCAGTCCTTTTTATATCCCATACCCAACGCCGTACAGCCATTCCAGAAGCCACAGGATTTTACTTCATTAAACATCTTCGCAGTAGCTTCTAATACTACTACTAGAAGCTCACGTATGTATCTCTATTCTCCTTTGCTCATATCTTGGAAATATACTTTTCGGGAAGTTCCTGAGCCACACGATATTGCTGTTCTCCATTGTCTTCCCTCGCCAAATTATACAAGTCCAAATGCCATAACACTCTCTGCTGTGTTATTTACAGCCATGAATCTCCCCCAGCCCCCCCCCTCGCTTCCACTTTCTCCTCTCCCCTCCTTTCCTTTCCTCCTCTCTCTCCATACAATCCCACATTCACACCATCTCAAACCCCCCAATATCCATACCACCCCTATATCCCAACCATGTCCTACACCACCACCACTCTCCGCCTCAAATACCCCTGGGACCCGCCGACCCCGCAAACCGCCCACTCGACCTGCTCCATCTTCCTACCTCCGCCGCACCAAACCCTGCCATTCACCACCACCATCAAGACCCCACTCACCGCCCACTCCACCTGCTCGATCTTCAACCCCGGCACGCCTTCCGACGGCGCGTGGATGTGGGCCAGATGCACCCTGAGCCTCGGCACCGTGGTGCCCCAGCTCGCCGGGATCCCCGCGTCGAGAAACGGGAGGAGGAGGAGGAGGATGAGGAAGGGAGGGGAGGAGGAGACAGGGATGGAGAAGGAGACGGAGAAGAAGAAGAAGCGCTGTGGCGGATGGGGTGTGTACCACGCTTCACTACCTCTCAGGGAGAAAACGAGTCATAGCATCCCTACCCCGGAACCACCCGGCTCGAATCCCAATCGCAAGGTCCTAGCGGCGAGAATGAAGGAGCTCCTCCTCCGTCGAGTTGCTGCCGCGTCGTCTCACGTCCCGTTTTAGACCTGTATAAACGCCGGAGCCAAGTTGCAGTTCTGACGAAAAAAAAAAAGGGGGTCCTTGGATGGAAAGTCCAACGATTTCACGTATGTTTATCTCCTGTTAACAACAAGATTTCTTATTTTTGGATATTTCTGATTGCCAAAGTTGTAGGGATTCAGCTAACCTGGGGCTTCTAGGAATGGATCATAGGAGCTATGGCATTACGTTTAGTTCTACTACTTTAATTTGCTAAGTTTTATGAATTCATATTTTGAAAGGGGCCATCGCGTTTTGGATTTTTGATTCTTTTCTCGGATTTTCCGAAAGTCGCTTTGAATGCTCTACTCTGGTCAAGGATGTCGATCCTTCTGCTTCTTTATCTCGGTAAACATCCAAGAAGCAAGGAATGCACTAGGGAATACATCTCCTTAAGTCTTGACAAAGTCTAATTGTATGTATCATTCTAATCAGAGCAACGTAGGCTCGAATATATTACATACCAACTCCACATTCAATAAAAATCACGCTAAATATACAGTGACATGTACCCATTGAGATGAGATGCAGTATATAGCATGATTGTTCTATCTCTTCCCAGACATGGGTCGTTCTGTGATCTTCTGAGCACGTCTTCAGCTGATGCAAGACTGCCTTAGTATTCTACCCACAAATCCTCATCCTCATTGTCCCTTCCCTCATCAGTCGGAATAGTTATTTTCGGCTTTTCTGGTAAAATTTCGTCCAGAAAGCTCAAACCTTCCATGGCTTTTCCTTTACATGCTCGTTCTAGAGCTAGGAAAGCAAAATGTCCGCCAACAACCGGTCGAGCAAAAAAATTTGGGCCAGGAAATCCGCCGTCGCCCTCTGTTTGATAAAGATCAGTCAATGGGCGATCAGTCTTTGTCTCGTTAACCCATAAAGCAACCGATTGCAGAATGTCATGACGAGTTGACGGGCTAGCAACTGCCATAGCGAAAAATTCCCAGTCCGATTTTGTGTATAGATGCCGGCTATCAAGGGGGAGACCATACTTCTGTCGAACGTTTTCGTACCACTTCGACTGTAAGGTGTATATATGCCTTGGAACGAATCCCTGTCGCTTTGGTGTAGTGGATGGCGATGAAGTTCCGTTCGCAGTGCCATGAGGGTCCAGGTCTGTTCCATCTAGATGGAAACATAGAAGTGCATCGGCGTACATGTTATATAACGTTGTCCACGAGCCATACCAATCATACGCAACTTTAGCATGGGTTTTGTCTCTTGAAAGACCGTATTCCTCCCATTTAGTAATATATGTATCCGATATGTTCTGGAGGTTGCACGTCAGAGGTTTAGAAATTAATCATGATGAGTAAACATACCTTGAAATATACTGCGTCCACATCATTCTTGGTAAACTTAGCAATCTCACTCATGGCATTAATCCCGACTATTCCTTTCAAAGCAAGGTTGGTTTGGAGGGCTAGCCATCCGGCAAAATCATCGGTAGAAACTGAACAGTGTTAGAAATACAACTCGCTGCATGCATTTCTTAAGTACTCACGTTGATTTTCCGGCCTCAGGGAATATTGAACGAGATACCAGGTCCACTGTTTGATTAAAGAATATGACCGTTCAACCCATTCATGTGCCTTTCCGACAGAAGCATTGTCAAGCCAAGGGGTATCGAGTTTATCAATACCGTTACTGACCTGGAGCGGCAGCAATGGAAATGCTCCAGTAGAATGGTCGTCTGAGCTGTTCCCGATAGCACGGGACTGTATAGGAATGCTGGTGGGGAACGAGGGAGGGGTACCCGTGGGGTATCGAAGGGAATTCACGACGGCGAGAGCCATGATAAGCATGTTTCCACACTCTTCAACAGGCATATACTCATCTCTCCCATCAGGGTGGCCGGTCATATTTGGGAAATGCGATCCCAGGTCATGCATAGAGTATTTATTTGGGTACTGTCCACTCAGCATATGCTCAATCAGTGGTTCGAGAAGGTATGCGAGCCACCGTGGACTTGTATAGAGGAAAAATGGGAAGGAAGGGAAGATCACATCGACGGTCTGGCAATTTCCATTCGACGATATTTCTTTGAGAAACAGAACTGGATTCTCTGCTGTCCCAGAGAAGACAGTAGCCCCAAGTACCTGCCTTGCCGATAAGGCAACAATATCGACATAATCTTCGGCACCTGACAAGAAAGCATCCGATGCCAGTTGATCCGAGTAGTTAGTCGCCAGGTGCTTAACATTATGGAAGTCGTGATAGTGGAAAATAATCAGGCTGGTGACGTCCGCAAACCATGCTTGCCAAAGCGGTTTCATAAGTGTCAAACCACGTGCAGCGGCGAATTGAACAACAGGGTCTTGTATGTAGGTCATGGTAAAAGTCACTGCACCTTCTCGTGCGCTAGCGCTAAGGTTGAATGATCTGGCGAATGAAAAGACAGGCTCGTGGTCCATGATTGAACGGAAGTTACGGTCATTGGTATTCTCCAGAGTTCCTGTCCTTGCAAACCGTTTACGAAGAACCGCAGATGTCCCAGATTCATATCGAGTGCCCTGCAGTACTTATCAGTACAAGATCTGAATATGCCGAGAGGCAGCCTACCGCAGGTGCTGTGAAGTGCATAGTGCCCCATTCAGCGCGATCCGCAGTCTCTGTGAACAGAAGCTCGTGTTTCCGGTTAAACTGCCATTTAAGCAGGCTGTTGTCGCCTTGTTCGGGGATCATATGGTCAAATCTCCATTCCAGCATACTACCTCGATCCCCACTGACCCATTGGCCGTTCAAATCCATATAGAAATTGACGGCAATGTTTCCTTTGACGTAAATTGTCACATAGGAAGCTGGAATAGATTGGCGAGCAGTGGACGTGGGTGTGATTGGGGACAGAAACGAGAGGGTGATTTCCAAGTCAGTCGCTTTATCGCCTTGCACGGGCTCTGGGATGCGGTATGTGAGATTTGTCGTCGAGGCATCATAGAAAGCGCCGGTATAGATCGGAAAGGCCAAGCTATAACTGTAACACCCGTCAATATCCACTGTTACTCAGCGTTGCTCGATAAGCGCGTGCTCACCCTTTAGGGCTGATATGGTCCAATGAATCGTGAGGCCGTCCAAGCAGCGGATAAACGGTCTTTGAGCTCGGCACCTGTGCCATCAAGCTCATTCCCATGTTCTGGCCAGCCCAGAAAATGGGCCATTTCTCCCATGGGTCACCACGGGCGTTTCCCAGCCAAGTGCTCAAGTACGGATTCCGTACGATCAGCGGCAACACCGGCGGCTTCAGGCGGGATGAAGAGGCCGAGATGCACGAGCACAGGGCGAGCAGCCACAGCAACGGGAGCAAGACGGGTCGCTGCATGATGGCGCGTGTAGCAGCAGTCGTTCAGGTAGCGTACGATAGGTGGACGGTGGTCGCAGACCACACGGCAGCTCTGGGGAAGGGGAGAGGCAGGGGAACGTCCGCCCATCGGCGGGGAGGCAGCGGTTATATCTATACCGGAAGGGGCAGCGACGATGGCGGCGCACAGGTGCAGTCGAGCCTGCCCCAAACTGGCATGAGGTCATGTGGGGAAAGCACGGCCCAGAGAGCTCTTTCCGCTTTCCCCCCACGCCGTTTGTGCTTAGTCACGCCAGCCGTGGGGCCGCCGAGAAAGGAAAGGGGGCTCGTCGCAGTGTCTGCATCTCGCCCACCCGCTCTCCCTCGCTGATATCGACGCTCAGTTCGGTTCGCAACCGCGCATGCTGTGCGCACTTGATCCCGCCGCATGGACCGTCCGGCAGGGGTTGTGCCACCCGCCCGCCAGCCGTGTCTAGAATGGATGCGCGCTAGGCCCAGCCTATGCCGACAAAGGATTCCAGCGCAAGCAGATGGTCGAAATAATATCTAGTTATACCGGGGACAGTGTCCCTCATCTCAGAGACGGGAACAAAGGCCCCTCACTTAGTAGTTAACTAAATCAGAGAAGCCTTTCGATCGACATAGAGCTCGGTCAGAGCCAGAGATCCAGCCATCCCGTCCTTGTCAGCTGGGACGGAGGCCACGCTGTGACGATCTTCCAGTTCGGATGACCGGCAATTCAAGCTGGTTGACACTATCCCCAGTCTTCCGCATCTAGGTACCAAATCTCGCTCAGACGATGGGAAATGAAAAATGCGTAACTTGATATTATCACGCGGCCCGGAGGATGAATAACAGTCATGCAACCACCAACTAGTACAACAGTTACTTCTCTATGTTGCGCTATCTACCTTCGTTGTTGCAAACTTTTCCGCTAAAAATCTCTTCCCGGTACCGAATGTTTGTGTACACATCTAATATTTGTGTCTATAACTATATTTCAGCCCGTTTTACCAGTTGGGATATTGAATAGTACCGCTGGCTCGCCACCCTGGCATTGGCGATCCAGTCTAAAGTACCCCTTTCTCTCAAATTGGATAATATCTCCTTCCACGAGATCAGCAACATTGCAGTCGCCTAAAACATCTGTCCGGGACTCCGTCTTCGGATTCAAGATCGCATTGATGTCATCCTCCTTTTCCATCTTGTCCTTGGTGATTAGGTAGTCAAAATCATACAATATCGCAGGCACAAGCGGTTGATCCTTTGAAAGCCATGTGATCTTTTTCTCTGTTTTCTTCACATCTCCCGCAAGATGCAACTCGAGGTCCAGGCGACTGACCTTACCACTGGAAGAGTCTGTGTCAATCTTTCGAACAAATGCGTTGCCCCAGTTCATCAAAGTAATTTCTTCGCCCTCTTTCAATGTCTTGGCATCGGCTTGATCAATTATGATGCTGTCACTATACACCACCTTTTTCATTCCCACCTCTGGATTTTTCACGTGTTTAGGTTTGTCGACAGATGACACGCCGTCAACGCCTTGAACCTTGGCCTCAACCATGTCATCTTTGTCAACAGCTGTATGTCGTGGCGCCACAGGGTCAATGTACTTTTTATTTGTGGCCCAGAACTTGGTCCAATCCTGGTTCACAACATTCTTACTGGGACCTTGCTTCAAAATGAACTCCCGCAGAGCAGGAACTGTCATTCCTCGTCGTCGAATACCTCGGATTGTAGGCATGCGAGGGTCATCCCAACCCCAGACCACTCCCTGGTCGACGATCTGCGTGAGTTTACGTTTTGACAAAACAGAACGAACAAAGTTGAGTCTGGAGAAATCCCAGATGTACACTTTTCGTAGGTTCATAGCTTCTTGCATCCAGGCGTATTGCGCATTTCGATCCCCGTACTCAGTAGTTCGCAGCGCATGTGTGACTCCTTCCAAAGCGTCTAGAATTGGCACGCAGAAATCATATGTTGGGTAAATCTTCCATGTGCTACCGGTTCTGTGGTGAGGTTGAAGATTGCAGCGATAGATGACCGGATCTCTCAACGCTTTGTTCAGGTCATCAACGGAGATTTTTGCCCGAATGCACCATCTTTGCCCCTCCGTCGACCCTGTCTTCATCTCTGCAAACCGTGCTAGGTTTTGCTCAACTGTTGCATCTCGGTTTTTACTTGCAATTCCCTCACGTCTTTCGTGTTGCATCTGCAACTGCTCAGTGTCATCGGCATAGGCCTTTCCATCTCGAATAATCTGCACACAATATTCATACATTTCTTGGAAATAATCACTCGAAAATGAGATTCTATCGGGAGTAACCCCTAGTAAACTTAAATCATGTTTAATAGCATCCTCAAACTCCTGGTTTTCTTTCGAAGGATTAGTATCATCAAATCGACAAATTAATGTGCCCTTGTACTGCTCGTGAGCAAAGTAGTCATTAAGCAATGCCGCTTTTGCATGACCAATATGGAGGTAGCCAGATGGTTCGGGTGGGAAGCGTGTGACAACACCATTTTCGGTATTTGGAAGCCCGATATTGTAGCTAGCGCCAGCAGCACTAGCAGCAGCTTTTTTCTTTTGCACACTTGCATTCAACTCAGAAGGGCCATTGTTTACCCAAGGATAAGATAATTCAATAAAATTGAACCATCTGCTAACGGTATTTGCAGCTTTTTTGATGTTTGCATAGGCAACTTTATTTCCTCGGAGAGCTCCCCAGATTGCAAGGTCCGCAAGAGTAAGCGTATGCCCAACGATGTAGGAACGTAATATTAAATGCGACTCAAGCTCCCTCATAGGTTTATCCAAAGTTTTGAAATCGGGGTCTCTAAGCTCACTGGATTGTTTCACCCATTTATCGACCTATAACGTTGCCCGCTCTAACCGTTAGCTAAAGAGCCTGCGGCCATATAGGCTGGATATTCTCAAGTGAACTGTTCCAATACATACCTCTTCTTTATTACCCAGCTGTAAGACCTGATACTTTTGTTGAAGGAATGGCAAGATATCGTCATCACATATCAACTTCCCACCCGCAAGCTTGAGCTCCAATTTGGTTTTGCCAGCTCCCACAGATTCCTCATCCTCAAATGAAATATCAAGCCCGGAATCAGGATCAGCAACTTGCACGTAGGTTGCAGCGGTAACAATTGGTAAGAGGTATGCCGCGTTTGGCTTGGAAGCAACTGTGAGTAATGCCATCTGGATAAAGATATCAGCATTTTTGGATCACGATAAGGTGTCGCAATGACTTAGTAACTTGAAAATAGTAAATATGAAGGGTACGTACTCTTTCCCAAGCTTCAAGCTGATTTATCAGATAAAATATGTGAAGATAGTCGCCAATATCACCACCAAAGAAGCCGCAGCGGGACCTCTGAATCACTCCACCCAACAACCTTAGCGAGGGATCAGGAATATTTATTATCCGTTCCGGCAATGTGGATCAGGAACAATGAATATCCGTATTTATCCGATTATCGCGGGGCGTCGGGTAATTTATTATCCGCTGTCAATTGGCGCTTGTCGGGCGACGCGCAGTGTTGATTGGAGCCGCGGGCCACGCGAGATGCCCGCGCGGAATATCAACGCAACGCGACTACGGCGCCTGTCCACGTCAACAGCAATTCCTGTGCTTCAACCCCAATTTCAGTTGGCCGGGACAGCAGTCGGAATTGTGAATGCAATTCAAGCTGGATTCTTGTGGAAGTGAGGAGCATATATTAGAATAGATCTTTCTCTGTTGCCCCAATTGTCATCTTTGCGACGCTGGAGTCCAACATCTCCTTCACCTTATTGCTATACCCATTCAATTAGATACAAGAATTGGAATTGGGCTCCCGTGGGTCATGGTGGCTTGTGATTGTTCATAATGAACACTTCCACTTTCACAGGAACTTCGCGACCTGCCCTCCTCGAAAAGCCCGCCAACGTTATCCTCTCCCCGTCTAAACAATCCCAAAAATCCCTCGACACGATGAACAAGCCGCTCAAACTCACCGCTCCCACCATTTCTACCGTCAGCGCGGCGCCCATCATATCACCTGCCGCGATCGCTGGACAGAAACGTTCAATCGATCAAGTAGACGCAGACCATGACCCCATTGATTCCGTCAACAGCTCTTTCGGCCAAGCGAAACAGGAAGATGAATTTTATATCTTTGAAGAGCCTTCACAATCGAGCCTTGATATTGACAAAGAGGTATTTCTATGCATAAATTCCGCCTGCAACCCTCATCCCACTAACCAAACCAGGCATCCTTTTTGCGATACTCCGCACTACCTGAGTCAGGTCACGACCACCTAAACCAGGAGTCCCAAGAGAGCATAGGCTTGACATCACTCCTTAACCTAAGCCAAGCTTCCGATAAATACTTCCCAACCACACTTTCCTCCACCTCTAAACAAAGAAGAAAAGAACCAGTCGATGCCACTTCTATTGTCCCCTCGGATCCAGAACAGAGGAAGCTATTTATCGAGCAGGTAAGAACCTTCTCTCTCTAATTTTATCATCAAAGGTGCCTCCTTTTATTAACTTACCTGCAACATAGAAAGCCAACTTGCTTCGAATACGACTCCAAGCTGCTGTGAGAGTCATGGACCAAAAAAAGGACTTTAACCATCGCCTCGCAGATTATGAGGCTCGTGATGAGGCCCAAAGAAAACAATGGGGCAACACGGTCGATCAGCTCAACAGCAACCCGAATCTCATGGCACAAGGCGCGGAGGTTACTCCTCAGAGGAAGGCACCTCGACTCGATCCTTCACCGCCCCTTCAAGACCGTGGTCGCGTCGCAAACATCATTTCACCTCCTTCTGCCTCTAACACGAACGGAATTCAGAATCATAACGCCACTCCAACACAATACAGCACGGATCAGAACCAACAGACATCTCATGAGCTGCTCTCGTCAATTAGACTCCTCAGCCCAGGTAGCGGCGACCGCAATGATCCCATAGTTGTAGATAGGGATATCAACTGTTCAGTTGAACAAATGATCGCCAAGACCAAACGTGGTGAAGCTTTGGATGGACTTCTGAAGCTGATGGAGACTACAACCGAATATGATGCGCTGGATGAATGGACTGGATAGTGGGCAGGAATGACCTTTTCATGGGGAAAGGAAACGGGGCATTGCTGATAGTTCTTGACGATCCTGTCGCTCCCTACGACCTTTAGCTTGACCTGTTACTCTGTATCTGTTTATACGCTAGAAATCAATGAGCTCCTTAACAGGGCGAGATTGTTCCATGACGTGACGTTGGATCGATTCGTCATTTCTCTTCTCCTTTGCCTTTGCCTAAATATTTTTGGCAAAATCCAAGTTATACCACCAGAATCTTCTTTCCAGTTGGTATATCTCTTTATTCAGTTTATTTGCATTTTTTTTCAATGCCTGCTTATATCCTAGAGGGTATTCAGGGAAGCGATACTCCAGGCATCCTTCATTAGCAATCAAGGCATGAGCCTTCACAGGGGCCATAGTAAATGGTTAATATTTGGTATCTTCCCAGGATATTGACTATTCAAGCTCCAGGCTAAATGAGTGCTAGCTATTCTTCCGTCATGCTTAGTGCTGCATACATCTATCTGCATCCCCATTATTTGATAGAAGGGGCTAACAAGTAGTTCTGTCTACTCTCTTCACTACCTATAATGGTTGGCCCGGCAGTTTATCAGGGAGGGCTCCAGAACAATACTCATGGCATTCTCCTCTAGTTTCACGTGAACTGTCACCGCTCACAGATGTCTTGAAAATTATGTTATTTAACTTGTCCCTTTATCCCTCATTTTATTTCCCAGTCGCTTTCAAATACTTATTTTAAGCCCAGATTTTCTCGATACCACAATCCGCATTGCTTTGGTTTGTGACTCAAATTTATAAGGATTCCATAGCGATATGCACACGGTGAACTAAACTTTCATTCACAGGCTCCTGGATGGTCCAACTGTCAAGATCCTTTACGCAGCAGATATAGACGACACACCAACAGTCATCTTCAATGCCATCCCTAAGGCAGTAGTGATGCAATTTTCCAGCTTCTTAGGCGACTGTTTTCCTTCATGCGACAAAGTCCATGTTAGTCGCAAAGGTTGTGATGGCAAGACATACACCACAATCTTTGGCGGCGTCAAACCTGCATTTGTGTGCATTTTCCAATGGATGCTTTCTTCTTGCAAAAACCAAACTTTCCAGAATATTGACCGTTTTGAATTTGCTAAATATGCCCGTCTTTATGAAGCAGCAGTGCTCCTTGGCATATCACGGATTGAAAATGAAATGGTATTCCGTATGGAGCTATTAGCGAAAGGCCAGGTCCCCATTCAAGATGTCAAAATCATCTATGCAAACTTCCCCAAAGAATGTCTTCCGCGGCAGATCGTCATCCGTAGCATCGGGGATGCTCTCTTCGAGCGTCGCCTACGGCGTTGCGCTTTATACAAGGACTTCAAGCTTCAGTGCGCTGAGTACGACAAGGACATATATGGTTACATCCAAGAGAAGAAAGCGGCAATTCGAGAAGAAGAGATGGCCAAAAAAAGGGGAGGGAAAAAGAAGCAAAACAGCAACGAGGGTAAGCCTGGAGAAGATTGTGGCGAGGCACCCCAAATTATCATTAAGAGGGTTCAGGCTGTCACTGCTCGGAAGGATCATGGAGGCAAACCAACGTATTTCCGCATAGGACTTGAAGAGTTTGGGATTTCCAATCAAGAATATACTGCAGCCAAACCCACGAGAACATGAGAATGATTCTCGGACTTTTGATTCGCGTGTATTATTAAAATAGCAGTATCTTCTAAGATAACAGAGCCGAGAGCACTTTAACCCAGTAGAGCATTGTCTAAAAATTAATTTTAAGACCATAATTCGCTTGCTCTATTGTTCAAGTACAATTCCACGCTGAGTATGGAAGTGGTCTGGGTACTCCGCACTTGGTAATGAAATATTTACTGGAGCTGGAGGCCAATTCACGTAGCCAGCATAAAAAAAGCTCCAAATGCCACATTGCCTTCACCTGCTAATAAAACTTTTTCACGCTGAGAAATCCATTCAAAATGAAATAAAAGGCAGTGAGTAGTGAGAGAAGCTGCATTGAATTCTTACAAGGGCGTTTTGGTATGTATCTTTCGAGCATATCAACACCCTTACCGATCGGAAGATAGCTCCCTGTAGTTTGGCCTATCGGCAGAATGCAGCATTTCTACTACCAGATGTAGCCACAGCATTAATGAGTTAACAATTTTGTTAATCGGGCGTCAATCCGCGTTTCATGGCAACAATTGGCCTAGAAACTCAGAGGAAATTAGCTTGTAAATGACTTTTAGCCAAGTTGACTCGCTATATTATAGTATGCTGTGGTGAGATTGCCAACTGTTACGGCTTCATGTACTGCATTTCCGATCCTCTGCCACAGTGGGCCCCATTTGAGGCTTACTGCCAGATCCTGGTCGTTTTCAATATCTTCAATCTGTACGTTCCGTGCACAGGCGGCATGATCGCAGTGGTAAACCTATGGCCTGCAGCATTTGTACCAATTTGCTTTCCTTGTAAGTGACGGTAATAGATATGCCCGTCCTATCATGATTCTTTCTCTTCTGATCCTGATTGAAACCGTCAAGGCTGCGAGCAACTCGCCATCGATACTGCGTGTGCTATCCAGAGTGATGATAATGGCGAGCTGGGGTCCGTGTGGAAGAGACGAGGAAGAATAAAGAAATGAAAGGGCAGGACCATCAATAAATTTAGGATATCAAAAGCGTCTTTCCAACACCATTTTGTAGTTTAGCGGACTTTCTTCAACTTTTTCACCCTCCGGCCAAGTACATCTTTGCCTTCATCAATCTCGCCAAGGGCATCACGCTTCGCACCGCTTACTTCCCTCAAAATTCCCCCTTTCACAACTCTTGACTCGATACTGACTCCTTCTTCCTCCCAGGGCGCCAGCTCTCTTCCAACCCTTGCCTCAGTAGCAAGGACTAATTGGACATCTCTTTGTCCAACAAGAGTTACAGCCTCACCTTCTCGACCCGCTCTAGCCGTACGACCAACTCTGTGAATATAGTCATCAGGGTTTCGAGGAACATCGAAGTTCACAACAAGACTAACAGATGGAATGTCTAATCCACGGGCAGCCACATCAGTAGCAACCAAGAGCCGAGCAGCTGAAGCGCGAAAACGAGCCAAATTCGATGTTCGCTCAGATTGCGGTAGTAAGCTATGTAAAGAAGTTACGCGATGACCTAACCGGCGTAATAAGCGATCTAGTAGATCTGCAGTTTTAGTTCGGTTGCAGAATATTATTGCAGGTTTTGAGGCATTTCCCTCAGTAGATAACAGTACGTGTAAAAATGCTTCGCGATGTGTCATCGGGACCTGGAGGTAGGATTGTTTTAAGGTAGGTGGAACTGTGGAATTGCTTTCTGTTGAGATCTCGGTGACAAAGATGGGCGGGTGGCCTTTAGGTCGTGGCATTTTCGTCAGGGCACGAACTTCAGGCGTTACAGTAGCTGTAAAAAGTAGCGTTTGCCGTGACGTTGAGGGCGGAAGTGCTGAAAGACATGTCTCCACATCGGGTAACATGCTCCCTGGGCCACTGGCTAATAATCTATCTGCTTCATCGAGAACGACCATACGTACGCGGGAAAGTCCACATGTTGTATCTTTTCCGGACGTATTTATATGATCCGCAAGTCGGCCTGGTGTAGCGATCACGACATGCGGCCTAGTAGACAGAGCAATAGCTTGGGGGCGCATCTCACTACCCCCAGTAATAAGGACGGGTTTAAGAGATTGGGGGGCAGAAATGGCCTTGAACTGTTCGAATATCTGGAGTGCCAGCTCCCTGGAGACTACATTGTCAGTCTCACTGCTTCGTTAAGATTCACCAGCGAGCAAGCCATTCTTACCTCGTTGGCGTCAATACAATCGCAAATATTCCAAATGGATCTTCACTCCACCGATGCAATATTGGTGCCGCGAATGCAACCGTCTTTCCTGAACCCGTTCTACTCCCACCAATACAATCCCTTCCTTTGATAATTTCCGGAATACACTCTCTCTGAATCGCTGTCGGCCGCCTAATAGCCATTGCGGATAGCGAGCTCACCAGCCATGGTGCAAGGCCTACGGAAGCGAAGGAGGACTCCGTAGACCGCAGGCCTAGAGCTAATGCGTCCTTCGCCGTGACAGGGTCTGGTTGCTCGAGAATGTGGCCATTCTGTTGAGCACTTGAAGAATCGGATTTCTTCTTTATGCGCGACAAGGTCTGAAATGGTCGTTGACGCACAAATGAATCGGACTCAGGAGATTCGGAATCTGATAGACGCCGACGCTTCGAGGGTCGTTCCGCAATTTCGGCACTGCTGTCTTCACTTTGAGATATCCTGGACGACTGTAGGCTCCCAAGCTCCTCCACCTCCCCACCTTCACTTATGAAATCCCGCTGCTTTCCTATTGCCATCTTGAAAGTAATGGCAACAGGTGATTCAGGAGGTTGTTTATACGAAATATTTTTGATTATTGACTGGCAAAAAAAGTTGGTGGTATCAAAGCGGTGAAGTCTGGTAACTATTACACGTGACTCCATAGTAAACTAACATATCACGTGATATTTGTGCTGAGCCCGTAGATTCTAATTGCTTAACTCCCCTGATTTTGGCCAATATCTAAATCATTCCCGGTTGGAAAATCACCGACAAATACGCCCGAACGTCCGCCGAGTTCTGGCACATCCGTTGATCTCAAAGTATTGCCATAGCCACCGGGAGCATGCCCGTACGCCCCACCAACACTCTCCATCGTGAATGGACTCGCGGTAGGTGCATCCAAAATGGACAACTCTTCTTGGGTGAACCACCGCGGAAGCAAGAATGTCCGTACAGGAATAAGCAAAATGATAAACACAGGAAAGCCGATGGCAGCAATCGTCTGCGTAATCGCAAAGGTTGCACCAAAGCCAATTAGCTCAATGCCAACAAAACACCAAATTGCCAGCCTCCGTTCAATCCGTCTAAGGGGCTCTGACGATGGTGTTAGGTTTTTATCTTGTATCAGAAAAAAAAGCTTCTGGGTTACGCCATTGGCCAACAGGGCTTGAACACCCATAATGAAAAAAAGGCCAGCCATGACTGCCTGGGGAATCAGGTGCAAGGCGACCAGAAGTGGTCCCGTCATTGTTCCCAGGGTCAGCAGGCCTTGTGCGAGATTGCTGAGTCGCTGTTCAACAACGTGGTCGATGATGCGAACCGACTTGCCTTTGTTGGTTTCTTCGTCGTCTGCAACCTGTCTGGTGACGCACAGAGCCGCGGTGTGGAAAGGAGCCTGGGGAATAAGCCCGTTTGGGAATGGAATGCCCACGATTCCGGCAATCCCAGTAGTCGACCCGAGTAGGAAAATGTCCCAATGAAATCCAGCCGGCTTTTTGAGTGGAAATTCGGTACCCTGGGCTATTAAAGACGAGACTAGTAATGTTAGTAGTTGTTTTTAAAGTAAAAGCGAATTAGTGAAGTTATACCATTATGATCAAAATAGAATAGAATGGTCAAAAGCACAGCAAAAGGAATAGCAAGAAAGACCTCGCTAACATCGATATCCCAGAAGTGTACTAGCCAACCACGGCTAGAAGTAGGAAAAAACGCTTTTGTTGTAGGGAGAGTTTCTACATGCACATGTTTCATATGACCGGTATGGACAAATCCCGTGAAGAAAACAATGGTTAGTGGGGTACCGTAGTCCTCAATAAATTTCCGTATAGGTCGTTTGAATAAATGGCTATTTCCAATCCATCCACATATAAAGCTAATCATGAGGACAAGGAGAGCCACCATAATGGAGAGATAGGCTGATGTCTCTCCAGCTGTTCCCCATTGCCTTGTTAATACCTGAATCCCCTTCTGAATATATATAAATGCGACGTAAAATCCGAAAATATCACACGAAAATCGAGTGACATATGTTAGGCCATTGCAGGAGTTTGTGATGGCGAGTACCCAGTGCATAATGAGAGACCAGCTAATGAACCATCAGCAATCTGTGATATATCTCTTTAGTGAACATACATTCCAATCCATCCCATAAACGCCAGATAATTCGTGCCCCTTGGTGTTATTATATCGTACACGGTATAATTGAACACAGTGATGGGGCCTAATGGCATCAGTAAGAAAATGGCAGCATTCAAACGTAACATAGACATACCAGTCACACCAACTATTACAAGCGGTTGGGCGGCACAAAGAGCAAAAACCACCGCGCCTAGAACCGAGGCAAGAAGAACCTCGTTCACACCATAGCTCATATGTGTCTTCTCAAACATATCCAGCGAGAAGGCAAGAGCGGGTAGGATGCTGTCAGCATGGTAAGTCTGATATCCATGTATCCCATTGACTTTGAGGGCGTGTAGAATCCAATTGGTGTTCAATCACTGGCAGTCATGCAGATAGAAGGTCTATCGGAGAATGGATTGGCCATGGATTCATATAGATAGAGTGGGAACGAAAAACAAGGGGAAAACGAAATAGAAAGAATAGAACGAAATGACGAAAAGCAACAAGAGCACACATTTCTTGAGTCATACTTTGCAAAATACATATAAACTGTCGCTGGCACGACTCGATAGTCCCATGCATCCTTCCAATCACTCCAGTAGTAGGGTGCTCGTCTCCTGATATCATTTTTCATCCCTTTGAAAAGATGGATCCTCCACCACCTATCGCCAGTGAAGTTTGACGTATTGGAAGTGCGCCCAGCTAAAGGTGAATTTTGGAAAACGAGGCGGGTGTGGCCTGGTACGTTTTCTGATGGTGTCGATTCTGAGCCCATTCTACTAACAGGTTGTCCCGGCGCGCGAGCCTTTGAACCGGTAAGCGTAACGGGAGAAGGCCTAGGTTGTGATATGCCGGGGAGCTTGTCGTTAACCATCGTGACGTGGGTGCTTAATCTCATCCAAGCAGAAAGTCAATCTGCAATAGCCGGAGACCTCAACACCCCGTTAAACATTTCAAAAGTAAAGTCATCGTCACCGCCACAGCTGTCTTGCCGTTGGGCGCTTTTCTATGAGAAACAGCAAATGATGTGTTGTTTCCAGTATGGCCGACTTGCTTAGTAGTGATAACAGTCTTTGAAGCCCTACAGAGTATACAGAGTAGATAGAGTGCTACGCCTGGTTTACTCCCCTGAATATCATGACATAAACGGAGGGGCACACAGAAACGTGGGAATAGCCCACATCTGAAGAGACGGGCCTCCATGTAACCGGCGCTGTCATACGAACCCTTACAGTTTGGTAACACAGAATAAATCACATCAAATTGCATTTACTACAGTATTGATACAGTGGACCTAGAAATGAAATTAGTTCAAAACAAACAAAAGACCTAAATAGAGTCAGTCTTCATGGCTGGACATATATTTTGCTTTTATCAATTTGTCAACCGCAGAATACACGCAGTTTTTTGTTAGTAGCCATGAGCTGAAAAGTGCCGAGAAAACTAGTGGACGTATTCTTTATGCTGGAGGCGGAGGTGGAGGAGGCTGGTCGCTTGGGGGCTATAAACAATTATTAGTGGTGCTTGTCCAAGGCCAGAAAATAAAAAAATAAAAGTAGAAATAGAAGTCAGAAAACATACCGGTGGTGGTGGGCCATCAGCCGGCGGAGGTGGTGGGGGTGGGTTCGCTCCCCCATAGCCCGGATACATCGTTCCCATGCCAGGTGGCGGTGGTAGAGAGCCGCTGAGCCCTGGGGGTGCACCCATGGCTTGAGATCCACTATATCCAGGATATGCTCCATATCCATATCCAGCCTGTCCTCCGGGGGGGGGAGGAGGAGGAGGTGCTTGCTGTTGCCAGGGAGCGGCAGCACCAGGCGCAGCGCCGTATCCAGTACCTTGAGATCCGTACCCATACGGATCACCACCGCGATCTGCCCGGTCACGGTCACGGCCTCCAGTCGCCCAAGGCGCTGTACCCTGTTCACGCTGGCCTTGATCGTCCCGGCGATCATCGCGTCGTTGCCAAGGAGCGGGGCCGCCAGTGGGACCTCTTTGCCATGGTTTGAGGTCACGTTGTTCACCGTAGTTATTGCCTTGATCATACCCTCCAGGCCCGGCTTCAATGCGTCGTGGTGCCTCCCCAGTGCTGGAAGGACCTCCGCCCAATTCTTGCATGAGTTGCTAAGAAAGAAAAGATAATAAGCTTGGATGAATTCAAAAATAAACGATAATAGATCAGCACTCACCTCCATCTCTCGATCAACAGCGTCCCCAGTGCCTTTACGCATGCTAGGGCCATGGTTGCGCCAATCAGAGCCTCGTGGTCGATCTGGACAATCTTTGCCCATATGACCTGCATTTCCACAAACCCGACATATGATGTTGGCGGTGAAGTTGCGTTTCTCCGGACAGTCATATTTACGATGACCGATTTGTCCGCCTAAAAACAATGAGCATAAAGGTTGAGGTAAGGAGTCGAGATACTTACAATTTTGACAGGCCTGGTTCTCGTCGTCACGAAGAGTTCCGTTGAGCGCCGCAAGTTCACGTAGTTGGTTGCGCTTCAGCTCGTTCTGGCCTTCAGGAATAGAGGCGGCCTGTATTGTGCTGTTAGTCACTAATGCGCTGGAAAAGAAATACCTAGGACGTACGGTTTCGATAACGTTATGAATCAACTTCTTCGCTTTGTTGACTTTCTCTTCCGTATCTGCCATAATTAGACAGTGGAGATCCTCTTCTTGGTTGCTAGTGTGAGCGGCATCGGAACGGCCCTTGCCTTCCTTCACGGACCCTTTTCCGCGAATGGCAATTTTGGCGCCTGATTCTGATTCCATTGTCTTCAATGTATTGCCTCGAGGTCCGATAAGTAAGCCAACTTAAAGTGAGGTGAAGCTTAGTGTTAGTACTCAGTATCATCAAGTTAATATCATTACGCGGGGTTAGTAGATGACTTGGAATATTGGAAAAGGATAAGAAGAAATGGTAGCAAAAAGAAATAGCTCGAGCGTGACCTCGAGTATTTGAAAAGACAGACATCAAAACCAAATGCAAAGGAATAGTTAGGAGTTAGAGGGTTAGTAATCATACTGAAGTTAATCTCTGGATAGTCGTTCACTGGGACATAGACTTTCTCCTGTGTCTTGGTCGGGCGCCTATAATCAGAAGGCGGATGATAGTTAGGAATGACTTTCATGGCCTTTTCAATCAGCTTGTGTCGCTCGTCTTCCAGGCGTTTCCGATAACGATTTTCCCTAGTATTGACACGTCTACCAAAATTGTCGTACTGGGGAGCTGGCGAAGGCGACCTGCAAAAGGTGTCAATATGATTCCAAGCAATAATATCATACTAGGGTAGCCCGCCTTACCTATCACCGTCCGCAGGGACAACATCGTTGATTCGAAGTTTCTGACTGATTTCCTCGATCCGAAGATGCAAGGTATAAGCCTCTAGCTGTTCGTTTGTCATATTCGCCATAATAAGAGTTGGAAGACCCATGAGCCCTGCGGCTTTGTTCTCCTGAGCATCGCCCCATCGATTTCTCTTCTTCCGTTTCTTAGCTCCATCAGCAGGGGGATTAGCTGTTAAAGGAAGGCGTTAGCACCACATAATCTCAGGCAAGGGCAACAGCGGCATGACGCTCACCTCGGACAGGGCTTCTCCCACGCTTCAAGCCAGCATCCGGCGATCCTGGGGTTTCGCTCCTATCATTTGGCCCTTCATCACCTCCAAATCGACGACGACCCAAAGGAATGTTGTTGGATCCAGTGATTCCTTGGTTGCGCCAGGCCATGGTACAAAGTAGCTTGCTGTAACGCGTTTAGAGGAGGAAAGTCAGAGGTGGCGATCTCGATGGTTTCCTCAAGTTGTTGACGCAAACTCTAAATGTAAAATTACTAATCGAGTCACGTGCAAATTCTTTATCACACGATTTCGTTTCCAAGAAGCTATCCAGAGCAGGAGCTGACTGTGTAACATTCAAAGCTCAAGAATTGTCATATCATTTTCCATGGTCATAAGAAACAAATCAAAAGGCTCTGGCCACTATATTACCATGCCTAAAGGCTATCTTATTGCTTCGCATCACCTTTCATTCCTTTCTGAATCCACTCTCGAGCCTGAGCAGCGGTCTTCTCCATTGCTTCCTTATCTTTCATCAACTCCTTGACTACATGCTTGGTAGGGACATGTCGGCCTTTCTCGACGCCCTCACGTTGCAACATCATCTCTTCCCATGCTTTGAGGTGCGGGAATTCATCAATATCAATTCCTGACCAACCTGCGAATGTAACCCAGCCCCAGAGTGCGATGTCGGCGATGCAAATATGGTCCCCAACTAGATATCCGGACTTGCAGTTGGCGAGATGTTTATCTAGGACACCGTATAAGCGGCGAGTTTCGTTGATGTAACGATTCACGCCGTATTCAATGCGTTCGGGGGCGTAACGATTGAAGTGGTTTGCCTGGCCTGGTATTCTTGTTAGACTCGAGAGTTACCTCAAAGGCCTAGAAAAAATTGGCTAACCTTGCATGGGACCGACACCAGCCATTTGAAAATGCAGCCAATTGTTCATCTCATACGCCTCCCTGCTACCCTGGGGGTAAGAGATTTTATGATCTTTGTCATACTGCTCCACTAGGTATTGCAGCATGCTTCCCGACTCCCAGATATTGATGGTCTTGCCATCAGTAAAGGTATCCGTCATCGCAGGGATACGGCCATTCGGGTTGATTTCCAGAAACCAGGGCTCTTTCTGGGTGTTTTTAGCAAAATCTATCGCCACTACCTTGTACGGAAGGCTAAAACGTGCCAAATCAGTAAATCAATATATTTGCCACGGGCACATGAGAAAACGTACCCAAGTTCCTCCAAAGCAATAGAAATTTTGATACCATTAGGAGTCCCGGTCGTGTACAGGGTGATATTTGGTTGCTTGCCGGCCATTGTGTAAAGAGTTTGAGGTTGGAAGTGTTTGACGATCCGTGAGAGTCGGTGAAGCATACAATTATGAAAGCCAATGTCACGGCGGCAAAGGATAAATTACCAAAAAGAAACTCTCATGGAATTATATATCCTGCTATTGAAAAGCGGGGAGATCATTGTTTTGGGGCGGACAGCCTCCGCTATATACGGCAACGCTGCTCCTCGGTTGACAATTCACCGCATAGGAATGACGTGGGTCAATGTTGTATTTCCAAGCTAAAGCCTTGAAGGTTCCTTTGGCGATGCCTTTTGCTGAGAAATCACCCTGCACACCCCGCACCAGCAAGAGAGAACAAACAGAGCAAATGACAGGACGGAGTGGTTTCAACCAACCAACTGATTAATAAGCAACGCCCCCCGAAAAAGGCAATATTTCCACCGACCAGAGGGCATGATGATTCGAAATGAAATTTTGAAAAGGAAGAGAATAGGGGTCATAGTAAAGTAAAGGGTCAATGCTGAATTCATTATCGCTGTTAGGACGAGCTACGTTGAAACGAAACATTTGAATTACCACGTAAAACATTCCTCCACAAAATCAATATGTGTTGGGGACTGTCTCTCCCGACATGCACGACGAACATCGTCGCTTAGGCTTCCCGTGCCGCATACGAGTACCCCCATGGCGCCAATTTGATTTTTTACCTCGCGGTCAAGCAGGACCCCGATGTCAGGTTTTCCGGGGAACATCTGCACTGTGGAACTGGAACACTGGAGTTCTTTGGTGCAGCGTGGCCTTGTGATAAACAGCATAATTCGCAAAACTTCTCGACGGCGATCCATCTTTAAGATATGGTTCATCCAGGGCCTGACCCATTCCAGGTGATCGAGGGATTGTATAATCCAGACCAATGTCACTCGCCGAGCAGCAACAGTACCATCAGAGAACCCCTCGACGAGCCGTTGCACATAGGATATCTGATGAGTAATTCCAACACCAGCCGCAAAAAGCACCACTGTTCCATACGAGTCAAGGGTGTGCTCAGTGCCGTAGGGCCCCTCCACTAGGGCTCTGAGCGTGAGCTGCTTCTCCGAGTTCTTGTCGACCAGCTCATAGAGGTCATTTGTCAGTCCTGTTCTCCGTCGAACAACAAGGGAGATGACAGGTTTTCGAGATGTGAAAGCATCTCGTTGGGAAGAAACGGAGTCCTTTTCATCTGGAATGGCTTCTACCACATCGCCCCACGCAGCGGTGAACGGATGTGACATCCAAAAGCCCACTGCAGGAATATAAAGATACAGATGTTGGCCTGGTTTGAAAGCCCACGGTCGTGCCATATTCAACGAGATACGCATAGCATCGCCGGGCAGAATTTCGACAGTAGCGTTGGTTCCCCCTTTACCAAGATTAATATATATTAGACGTGTCAAACGCACAGCTCTCTGTTCTTCAATTAGTCAAGGTTTATCGATACTGTGAAGGAAATAATGTACCTCAACAACCCATAGGCTGATAGCCGCGATCAAATAGTGCCGTTGAAGTTGAGAATTTTTTAGATGGACCCAGAGAAAAGCCAGTGCGATAATGACCAGTGTGATATGGAAATGTAAAAAGACTTCGTAGAAAGCGTGTCTAATCGGCGAGGGAGAATGAAGGAGGAGTATAGTAAAGGCAACGGTAGACTATATCTTTCATCAGTTCCATCAAGCTTATATGGTAAATTGCAATTTTCTTACAATTAGTCCGGTTTTAATGAATTCACTCTCCCTAAAGGATGCCATAACGCTGTCCCATCCCACTGCATATAAAGTAAGAAAGAAACCAATATCATATTTAGATAGTCCACTTACTAGTATGCACTTTATTAATGGCCCATGCAGTAACATGGGCCGCGGACTCAACAACCACGATTCGCCCAAGCCAGCGATGTAGTAGATTCCAAGTATCAAACGAAATATCCAAGAATTTAATCAGAGGGTTGTTTCTTCCAGCCATGACAACGAGCGGAATCAGATTTACAACGGCCATCGTACCAGTGCGGTGTCGTATAGTACCAAGCAGAATTTCTTCGGAGGCGCGGTGTGGGATGGTCACAAAGCACAAGATGACATTTACCATAATGGTACCGGTAAGCATCGCCGCTTGGAACCTGGTAGGGAGAGTCCCAAAATTGATCGCTGATGACAGTCGAAATTCACGATTATGTCTGGTGCGAAATAAGGGTGCGTATAAAATATTCTTTTTGAGCCATGACCACTTCTTATCTGAAGAGATAAAATATTTTTGCGTATCATTGCTCAAGTTCACCAGCCGTCTCAGGTGGGCGGAGAAACGGAGGGCTGTGGCCCAGATAAGAAAAAAGAAGAGAACACAGCCGCCCGATAGCAAAGTCAACCTTGAGAATTTGTCCGTCAGAAGCTGTGCGGGTGTTCGTTCCCCCGGCGCCTGTTTAGCACCGCTGCGGTCAGGTGCGTTATTTGGAAGCAAGAAATTCTCGTCCTCTCCGGCTACCATGCGAGGTCTTCCAGAGGCGAAGGCAGTGCTAACAAGTAGCAGTAACAGCTGTCGAGGCGTCATGGTGATGGACAAATACAACAAAGCAGAATGTAGAGCCAAGTAGCCTATTTAGAAAGATGAACAAACGATTCTGCGTTGACACTTTGTTTAAAATGCCAGGGCCATTTATTAGGGCTGGATAAAGAAGATCCACGAATGAGAAATGTCAAGGATCTACTGAATCCCAAAGAGGCCTGACTCCGCCTGAGGCAGGCAGTATATTCGATTTTTGGCCGGCAGCGACTCGAATGTTACGTGAGAAGATATGCTGTAGCATCCGTAGAAGTGGGCTCGCAATTGCCGTGCTTCCAGAACGTCGTATATTAGGCAAGATGTTGCAAGGATATTTCCGCCTGCGAAGCAACGAAAAGGACAAAAGGGATTCGGAAGATGCTTAACGACCTGATTAAAATGGACAACACCATGTACCCGTGGCGAATTATGGGCCGGTAATATCCAACTGACGTGATTAAATAATTATATGGATTGAGGACGGGCCGCAAACGACAAAAACGAGTAGAAGACGTTTCAAAACGAATGACAAAAACACCCTGCCCGGGGTGTTCAGGCAATAACAGCAGCAGGGTAAGAAGAGCAAGATAAAAGTAGAAAAGAAACAGAGCTTGCAGGCTATTTGTTTCGGAGAGGTCGAGAAGCACACTTTCATGTGCTTGTCTTTCGCGCTGGCTCAACAGGGCCAGGCGTCCTGATTCCCGACTGGTCTTCGCCCCTGAGCGGCATCCCCCTAGTTCTGGTTAAAAACGCTTGCCATATTATATTATTGTTTATTCGACACGCCCTGGACGAGCTGGCCCTTTGCTAGTAAAGGGGGGAAAACGGCAAGGAAGAGACAGGGGGCATGCTATCGACCCTTTGGGAAGATCGTAGGCTGCGCATGGCCCGGTGCCGATGGGTAGACACCGTGCACACCCGGGCATCCGCAAGTGAATTCGAGAAACGGCAGAGGCAGTCGGCTCCGGCGCCTCTGAGCAAGACGAGTGTTCCTGGTCCTGGTTGACGCTAGTTGCAGGTTGTCTCATTCTCAACGCCGAAACCTAGACAACCGGTGCCGTTAGCACCGGTTTCGCCATCAACACGAAACAAACGAAACGGTAGCCTGCAAACTTTGCAATTGTTTCTCGGCTCCGACCTGCAGAAGAGAGCGCGCTCTCGATTCCGCCACTGCAGGGCACTGGAGTTGGCAGGGAGATAGTGCTGACTGTTCCGAGATGGCTGGACTGTGGGATGTTGTTTCGTTAACTATGCAGTTAAGTGGTTAGTTAACTTACTAACTACATAGTTAACTAATGAGTTAGTAGTTAAGTTAGTTATCATAATAAACAGCCAGCACAGACAGGCGATCTTTGCCCAGCCACCAGCACAGACGTTGCATCACTGATCCATCACATGGAGGTAATGGAGTCTCCATTTCTTGTTCAGCGTGGCTCTGGGCACGTATGTTGTTGAGACATGCCCACGCTGAATGCTTGAATCCTACGGAGTACAACGAACTTTATCGTCGGCTAACTAGTTAACCGCCATCAGTCCACAGTCAGCATCCCGACTCAAGGCTGTTTGAATTGTGACACTTCCATGCGATTTCAGCACGGCCCGAGATACGGAGTACCGGGAGCCTTTACTGCTGGTACGTCACCAGAGACGCTTAACCACCTTGTATGGCTTCGGGCCGTTGCATCAACACCGCTGTCCCGGCCGGCATCTCGGTCTTGTTAATGGTAGTATTATCGCTTGATTGATTCGACAGCTCGCTTTTCTAACGAGGATCTAAATTTACAGCAAAAATAAAATTACCTGATACCCTATCTGTGGGCCCGCTCGCTGATCTTTTGCCATACCCCAGATATACTCCCGCTTCGGCAACAAGAACTTTTCCACATTCAATGACCTGACGTCGAATTGTAGGCGGGCGACTTTTCCCAGAGATGGCTGGTTTGGCGTATAAGGGTTACTTATAACTGACAGACTAACTACAGTTATGAACCAATTCATCGTCACTGTACTCCGTACTGATAGGCGCTATACGAGTCCAAATTTAGACCCTGCATAAGTTACGCAAGCGTTTCCTCAAATATCAGAAATATGTAATGGAATTGCTGCCGAGAAAGATCGTACCAATTAGACGCAAAAGCTATGGCGTGATGAAGGGTTATTTGTCCCCAGCCCCAGGTTCCAATGGCCAATTGGGAGCTTTAATGGATCAAAAGGTCGTCTACTCAATACCGAGTAATAAACAAACCCCATTCAGTCCCCTATGCACCTTACAGTGACCTATGTCCGCAATTGGATTTCCAATCGAGTGATTCTATACCATTTGATCCGGAGTATGGCTTCTCCCTGCCTTCTCTAATCCTACCATAATGTTGCGAAACAGTGAAAATTACGAATCGGTCACAAACTTGACTTATGTTGGGGCATTCAACAAGGCCATGGGCACCTCGTATATATAAAAACGTATGTACATGTGGTGCCACTTTTCGAATTCTTGTCCGGAAGCTTTGGATTCCCTGAGCATTCGCTGCCATGGGCAGAATTCGACCAACGTGGTATCCGTTACCTCCAGTTGCTGTAAGTCCATGCAACCTGGACGGCCAATTCTCAAGGAAACTCGTATGTATGTATTGGGTTGATGGCTGAAAGGGTATGATCTGCCATGATCGGTTGAAAGGAAAAAATTAAAACCGAGTAACCTCGGTTTGCTTTCTATGTTGCAATGATGGGTATCAATGCAGTAACAATATAGAAGCTGCCAATAAAAACCCTAAACTATCCCAAATTACCGAAGGAAAGATACAAGTCGATTTGTGAAGACACTTCAACGCCTCCAATGGCCATTTCAAACCCGGTCAAAAGTAAAGCGGGTATCACAAAACATCACAGCCTCCAGAATAACACCAGGGGAAAAAAAATAGAAACATCTCAGTAAAAAACCGGACTCACAACTACAGAAAACTCAATTCATCATCGCTTGAGTAATTAGGATTGAGATGCGGTATAGTTGCGCGGCGTACGGCAGCCAACCTCGCAGAAACACGACGCCTGGCAGGTTGTATCAATTCTCGACCAAATGGATACGAGTGGCGTTGTCTCTTATGCTGAAAATTCTCAGAGAGCGCTGGGGCTGTGATAAAAATATCATCTTCATACTCAGCGGAAGTTCTCCTGGCACCGCTGACTTTTAATTGATTTTCTTGGAAGCAGGTATCATGTTCATTGGTACGAATGACAATGTCGATATCAGGGCATTTTCTTGGAATAACAGGTCGTATTTCCACAGCGATAGCAATAGCCACTGGCATATCCACCCTGTTATTTCTAGCGCGAAGACAATACCGGCTCTTAACCGTATCTTTGAATTTGCGGCCACTTGAATCATCAGACAAACGGCGTTTCCTATTCTGGCGAGTTTGATTGTGCCCAACCAATCCGCACGCGGAACCGGCCTGTGCATCACTATCTTCTTCTACTTCTTTTTCTTCTTCTGTATCCGTAGGTGCGGTGGATGGGGAACCAGAAGTGGTGCTGGACCCAAATTGACCAGAGGAAGAGCTCACATCACTGGGACAGCCTGATGTTGGATCGCTATCCACACTAGGAGTAAAAGAGCCAACGTAATCAATAACTGGTTGTTTTTTTTCATGGGGACATTTAACAGTAGCACTTCGGCTCATAACACTGCGCTTTACACACGGCGTTCTGGCAACCCACTCGCCAATCCCATCTTCCCATCTGAAGCTAGCGGTAGTAAGACTTAGTGATGGGGTCATCAGCTCAAGTCCATGATCAAAACCAGCCGCCTTTTCTTGAATATCCGTAGCCCAAGTGTGATGTTCACGTAGACATGTATACTCGGCAAAATTGAGCGCTACCTCTACTGTAACTTTCGTCAGCATGGCGCGGAAAGAAGGATAGCGCCTGAGGTGTATTGATTCAAAAAGAGTTGTCATAGGTTTAAGTATGTCAAATTCATTGCCGTCGCGGCCTCGACAAAGGCACCGCGAGAATTGGAGAAATAAGGCAGAAAATCCAGCCACCAGTTGTTTTCGATCAGGGGTGAAGCATATGAAATTCTCGATGCTGCTTAAAAGAGAAGGGGAATACCATATTTCGTCGAAATTTTGTGCTTCAAAATATTCAAAAATATATTGTGTCATTAAAACATAACCTATTCGCATTCGTTGGCTACCAGAGTAGTTTTTGGTCGGTAACTTCGCGGTAATTAAAAATCTCTTTACTGTAGCGGCCAAGGATGTCTGGATGTACCACATTGGGGAGATAGTATGCGGCTGGCCTTCAAACCGAGCAATATGCGCGCTACAGAGTACTGTAAGCATGCTGCAAATGGTATTGTTCAAAGCCTCAGACATAGGCCCATCAATCGAAGCCTGAAAGCTTACACTTTCCTCTGAGGGGTGTAAACCAGGTCGGCGTCGAGCCTGAACTTTTCCATTACGCCTGTACCTTTGTTTCTGGGTGGGTTTATTCAGCCCCAATGAAGCTCGAACGATTGCAAATATCAGCATGGCCGATGCTGTGGAGTGTTCATCTTCGGATACGACAGACTGAATAGCATCAACGATGTGAGATTTCATTGAGGCTGTTGCCATCCACTCGACAGGCACAATGCCCCGGGTTATCAATTGGGAGAGTCCCCGAAAGAAGAGCGTCGAATCGTGCATCTCTTTGATATAACATTCCAAAAAGAATGTCCCCAAAAAGGTGTTGGAGAAAAAAATACAGTCCAATGATAGAGGATGTGCGGCTGCTGGGGTAATAGTAAGAAAAGCTTCGCGCAATGCGGTGGCTGCATCATTTGAATTACTTTCAAGGGTTCTCAAAACCAAAAATCGAGCCAGCCTTTGGGGTATCATTCTATTTCGAATGGTCTCTGTGACCAAACGAATACCATGCTTACGCACAAGCCTCCTTAGAGGCTTCCAACCTTCATTGGAAGAAGTATAGGTCCTTTCTAATTCTGTGAAAAAATAATCCGCAACATCTATATCATCATCATTCTCTCCTTCCACATTTAAACGACGTTGTTCTTGGAGAATATATTCTGAAGTTTTGTTTAAAGCCATGGAAAGTAGCGAAGGAACACGACGACGGCATAGGGCGGTCTCTTCTATGGACGTCATTTTAAGAAAGGCATCAAATGCATTGGATATTCCAACAATAATCGAGACATAAGCGGAGTCGCGGTAAATGGATTTATCATCAGCGAATATATTAACGGAGGGACCTTTTCGACTGCCCCTTAAGGGTTCCAAATGCACTGTAGGCTTTTGCAACTCATTGTGAGGCTCTGCTTCAGCTATATCGTAGTTCTGGTGTCCAGAATGTCTCCAGTTCTTTCCCAGAATCAAGGGTGTCGCAACCGTAAATTCGCCCGGTTGTAACTCCTGGGGTTCCGGGGCACTTATTACGAGTCTTGACCGGTTCTTCGCGAGCCCACCTATTTTGCCTTTGCGTCCTGAGTACTTATGCTTAACCCTTTGGCACATGGTATTTCCCGGGACCCAAGTCGGGTCTTCCCCTACGGACTCAGAGTCCGATCCCTCAGTAGACCTGCTTGGTAGACGACCATTGCTCCGCGATTTATTTATATTCGTCGTATCGTTGGAAATTAGGGATAGCTCATGTGGCTGAATTGGGTTGGACTTCAGGTATTTCTCCAGTCGCAGTATCGCCGCGGTCAGGGGGCGCAAAGCTCGGTTGCACCATCTCGAGGTAGCAGGTGGTTGCGCGATGTTTGGCTTTGAGCGAGAGGCCGAGGTTCTCGAAGACATATTTAAACTAATTTCATTCCAATATCCAAAAAAAATCGAGTCAGGCGGCCCGTTTCATCCTTTACCCTACACACGCAACTCGCCGTAACACAGCGGGTACAGGTGTCGTCATAAACGGAATAAGAGCATTTAAAATAATTTGATAAAAAGTTGAGTTTATATTATTTCAAGCGTAGCGTAAAATGTAAATATGCTAATATGCAGCTTGGAGAAGATGCTTGTTGCTATTGCCATCGACTGCCAAAGCTCTCTGATAAACATAAACACCAAACGGAGCAAACACCACGTGAACAGAAACTTCGCTTATGTAACTATCTAACCAACCAGTGGTAGTATGGCAGCTCAACGATGAAGCATTTGCAATGAATAAGTATCCAAAGAAAGAAAAAATCAAGAATGACGATACAGTATGAAATAAGAAAAGCGGAGCCAAAAGTAACAGTCCAGCCCCCAAATCCTTGCCATGCAGACTTTTTCATACAACAAGGCTAGATGGATCATAATCGAGTTGAGTAGAGATATATACAAATCCAAAAAAATTCAGAATAGCTCCAGTCCCATTTCACAAGGACGAGCAAATCGCCCCATCATATACACACCTGCTCGACCTCCACAAGGTAGTCGGCTTCCCCAAAAGAAAATATTTTCAGACCTCAATGAAAGTAACCAAATACTTATTGCGACCCACCAGTTGACTGTAACAAATACAAAACCCGGCGTTCAGCATTGTTTACAATGCGCTCAGGACGATGCTTTGATAGTGGACTGTTTTGAACCGCGGAGTTTAGGGTTGCGAGCAGCAGCGCGCTTCTTCTGTTTAGTGCGTGGAGTGCTAGACTCGCCACCTTCGATGAACTTTAGCAGTTCGTCAATGCTCCGAGAATCCAGAGAGGTGTTGCCTCTAGCTTCTGCGGCATTAGACATTTCTGAGGTGGTTTGCCCAACTTGGGGCTGGGGCTTGGTTCCCAGACGAGTAGGCAGGTTTGCCAAACGACGTCTGCGGGCTTGAACATCTTTTGCATGCTTGGCAATAAACACTGCATTCTGGGTGAGCTGCTCGAGCCAGTTTTCAGCCTCTTTAGTGTTTCGATCTTCAGGCCCGAGCTCGCTCAAGAAGATGTTGTAAGCATCCCGCATGCGATTCACAGCAGCCTTTGAATCTTGGTCAAGTGCAAGAGCTTGAGCAAGTTGGAACAGAATGGTGGCTGTATTGACAGACTGTCTTCCGAAAAGCTCTTCGCAAACTGCGAGAGACGCCTCGAACCATTTTCGGGAGTCGGGGTATAACTTAAGGTTCTGAAGCATAACGGCGGCGTTGTTCATGGTCGTAATTGAATCGGGATGGTGAGGGCCGTAAATGACCTTCCACAACTCTAAAGCATGTCGGATATATACCAATGCAACCTTGGTGTTGCCAGTGGCATGTTCAAACAAGCTGAGATTGAGGTAGCTCAAGATGGCATCGGCAGAGTCCACGCCCATGGTACGCTCTGTAACGATCACTGCTTTGCGAGCGAGTTCAATCGCTGCATCCTTATCATCTGATTGATAATAGAGCATTGACAGTTGGTGATATAGCTTCGCGACTTCTGGGTGAAGAATGCCGTAAATCTGCTCATGGAGTGATAGCGATTCCAGAATAAGTTCTTGGCCAAGTTCTTTCTGGTTTTGCATCAAAGAGATGCGCCCGGCCTCAAGAGCTTCCTCTGCAAGCGCGCTTCTCGGCGACGCATCTTTGACTACTGGGACAATATTCAAGATATCATCTGGGACAAAGGTAACTGCTGGCGCAGGACTTTGGGCCGATCGTGGAGAAGCTTGGTCTCCGCCTTTCTTTTTCTTTTTCTTACCACCCTCCTCGGCGCTCCGGCTCCCATTGGAAACGGGAGAATGCTCCTGGCTCTTGACTTGCGATCGATCGAAAGCGAATGCTTTAGCGCCGACCTGGAAGCCAAGCTTGAGACAGATATCACGCAAAAGTTGAAGATGTCTGAGAGATGAAGCCCAGTCAGCATCAAGAGTGCAGCGATAACGAATTTGAATCTGTTTTTCAATATCCTCTCGAAGAGAAGTGGGGGTGACCTGTTCAAAAGAAAAGTCACCACTGGTGTAGATTTTCCGAAGATCTTCATCCATTTCGGGACGTGGCTTCGAATTAATCTCGGTTCCAAGAAGGCAGTTGAGCAAGTGAGCGATGCAGGAGGTGGCAAACGGTGTTGGAAGGTGGCGGAGATAACGATTGATAATGTGCTTGAAGGCACGAGCAATCATGTCCTGGGTTAACAGAACAGTCAAAGCTCGAAGTCTCTGGCCCTTTTCCTTAGCCAATTCAACAAGCTTTCCGAGGTATCTAATATTAATACCACGTTTATGAAGAAGCTGGCTCAAGGATTGGCTATCCATCGGGAAGCCAACATCGCCATCGTGGAGATCTTGAACAAGTTCAGAAATCACCTTCGTCCGCAAGTACTCACAGGCATCGCGAACCTCTTTCTCATCTCGTGCCCACTCCTCTTTCTCCTCTTCTGTCTGTGGGACTTGGCCACTGAACGCATCAGGATTTAGTGCCAGTTTAAAATTCGAGATATCAACTCGTTCCTGGTCTTGTGGGGTATCTTTCTTCTCAGAATCCGCCTTTTCTTCAGAAGGAACTTTATCATCCTTCTCATTGTCTTGTTCAGCCTTCTGTTCCGCATCCCTCTGAGCTCTTTTGCGTTTCTCAACTTCCCCTTTAACAAACTGGCCCATCTTGAATCGCCAGTAAGACTCCACTAGCTCTAATCGGAGGACAGACATGCGATGCGGATAAGGCTCGTACTTATCAGAATCTTCAGACCATAGAACATCCAAGGGCGTAATACGATATAAGTCCAAAACATATTTACGACCGTCAGTTCCGAGAAGACCTTTGGTCTCAACACTTCCTTCCAACTCATGCCTGATACCTTCTTTATCCCAGACAGGATGCTGCTTGACTCGCAAGGACTTGGAGAGTTTCTCAAACACGGGGGTAAAAGCCTCGTTCTTTGCAACAATGTCCTTGCCCTCAACGCCACCATAGTCAATCTGATGTTCTCCGGGTTCCCGTTGTTTGAAAATACCAGGTACAATGCTCTGGCCAACCACGCGCTTTCCAAGGTAGTCAACCACAACGGTTCCTGGGGTGAAAAGGCCCTGAATGTCAAGCTGATTTATTGCTTTCACACCCATAACGTCCTTACCCACAGCAATACGGGCGGCCTCATCACCACCTTCGGAGGCAAATGTTCCAACACCATCAGCTCCGAACGAAAAAAATATATTATTATACACAAAAATCTGGGCGTCTCTACCCTCTGTGGGGTTCAAAGGTGCAACTTCGCCACGTGCGACGAGGACCGCGCCACGAGCCGCGGCATCGTTGTAATCTGCAAACAATTTCGACGTTAATCGTTCTCTGAAAACTTTATCCTGTACGGTGTCTCGAGGTAATTCTCGTGTCGTTTGAAATTCTTCATTCCAATCTCTAAGGGTTTCGGAGTTGTCTACGCCAGCAATCAGGTAATTCTCCTGAGGTCTGGTGATGTCTGATTGGTGAGCAGACACCGGGTTGGCCGCGGAGGGGACAAACCACGGGTTATGCGGTATCGAGTTTTGGAAAGGGAATGTAGTGAGAAGGTCTTTTTTGTTGTTGAACTCTTGAAGGGCCTTGAAGGCGCTATCGAACGATGGGGAAATTTCAGAAATTAAGGTAAGTAAAGAATGGGAGCTGAAATTTTTAGGCGCTGGACGAGGAAGCGGATCAAACTTGCTATTAGAACATTTGTTGACGAAAAATCCAGAGACATGGGACGTGATCTGGTACTGTTCACCCTCGTTGGTGGTGACTTGTAAATAAAGCAAATGCCCTTTCTGCCGAAGATGATATGGAGGAGGGTTCCAGGGGGAGAGTGAGATAGACTTCACGGTTTTAGGCAATGGCGCGTGCTTGCGGGGAAGCACAGTTCGGAGATTAGCTGGGCCGGCAAGCTCGTAGCCAACAAGGGCATGCTCGCCAGTTTCAGACGCATCCTCCTTCGAGGAGGCCAATTCATCTGTTAACTCTTCACCAGCAGCAACAGAATCGTGGAGGGATAAACCGGCATAAATTCCATGCAAGTTGTCCACCCGATCTCCAGCAGCGCCAATGAGTTCTCTGATTCTGATTACATGCATTCGGGCCTCCTTCTCGGTGTATGGGTCCTCCACCAAGACTATTTCAGCATCAGGTTTAAGATCCTTAACCTCAGAAAGCTCAACATAGTCGTTTATTCTAACTCCGTTGTGCTCCAGGTGGAAGCTAGTGTACTGGAAAGTCCCGGGCAGCTCAACAATGGATTGTCGGACATCCTGGACTTGCTCTTGGCTTGAAACCTGCACGAAGTAAGGTAAGAGAGTTGTGGGCAAAGTACAATGGGCATTCTCACTAACCATAACCTGGATCTTATAGGGATCATGCGGCAAATTCACAGTAATCTGAAAGAGCCCTGGAGCATCTTCGAAAGTAGATCAGACTTCTGCTGCAAGAGGGAGAAATTGCTGCAGGTGCATACCTCCTCCATTCTGCTCACTTTCTTGTGTTTCATCGGCGTGGTCTCCGTTCGTAAGCTCCGTCGGCTCATTTGGACGAGTTTCGTCCGGCACCTCTTGACAAGATCAATTAGTCTCATACGAGCGATTCAATTGCACAGACGTAGGAATTCGGTACCTTTCTGGTGCTCAAGATTTCCGTTACTCTGTTCCATTGTACGAATTGAGTGAAATTAAGAGAAAGGAATCTATCAAAAACCACCCGAATGGAAATTGATGCGGAACTTAAAACTTCCGGCTCGAGTTTCGGCACAAAGGAATGACGCAGCGATGCTCAACGACAAAAACGTCGAGGCATATAGTACAAAAGAAGAATGGCAAAAAGAGGAGCCAGGAAGAAAGCTCAGTCTATGAGAGTAAAATCAGCATAAAATATTGACAGACAAAGTTTTGCAGAGATTGGGTGTCTGGGGGAGAAAATTTTACGGAGCCGGAATTTCCTGGCCGGAAGCAAAGTTACATGGCTTAGTCACGCTCGGCAACCACAACATCGGCCGAGCAAGCCGAAGCAAACCTTGTCTGCCAAAGCTTGTCGGCACTGGCCGTGCGGGAGCGTGCAGGCTTGGGCTGGCGGCGCTCTCACCTTCGAGGCATGCCGTGGGTGCACGGCAACGAGTGGATGGGTGCGTACTCCGTACATGCTACACTGTGTATAAATGGGCGGCGATCAGCCACTTGCGCCTCGCTGGCCGCGACGGGCGTCAAAGAACTTGTTTCAACCATGGACTAGGACGGGTTTAAGAGATCATCAAGGCTATTTCGGGAGGGTCGCGAGGGTGACAGGGGTAGCCGAGCAATCATCCAGCGTCTCGGGGGGTCTGCTGACGGCCCGTTGCATTGTGGGAGGATGCCTAGCGTATCATCTCAACGGGACAGACCGGCGGGCCAGGGAAATATCCAGACCCCATGTACGTGGGGATTTCGAGATACGAGATTGCATCCACTTTCCTGGGGAAGGCAGCCGCCGGGTGCACCGTAGGCTTGATCGATCACAGACCTCGACCTTGCACCCGCTGGCTGCGACGTTCAGGATCCCTGTCCCTAAAATTGCAGAGGCCTGTCCTGTCGATCGTGGGCGAATCAACTTCACAAGAAACCAGTAGTATCAGTGTGCAGGCACCGCCAGGGCAGAAGGTCGCAATATCACCGTGGAAATGATGTAGCACAGCATGTCAAGCTCCATGCAGCAGCAGGGATCAACATGCAACGACGATAGGCCATGCCGTGCGAGCCACGAGTCGCCAATAATAAAGAAGAAGTCCAGCTGCGGAGATACCTTCAACGCTCACTGATGGAAAAGTGAAGAACAGGAATACATGCAGCGGAGCAGACAACTCTCAGCAAAGTATCCGTATCGCACGGCGTTTTGATGGAAGACGCGAAGCGATAAGCCCAGCCACGCCGTCCACGTGACCCCAAGCCGCGCTGTGGCAGCCGCGGTGGCGGCGCGTAACTAACTAGTTAAGCGATGTTTCGTTTCTGTGTTGGCACCAATCTCTGTTTCAACCACAACATTCATTCTTTGCGCTTCGAGGCACGTCGATTGCCTAAGTCACTCCTTTGTCTTCTTTGTCTGGAGTTTCGTTCTGCTTTCGTTGCGTTATTTAGTTTACTAGCTGCGTGTATGGGGCCTCTTGCTTTTGCCCCCTTGTCGCATTAGACAGTCAGGAGATACGAGCTATCGCCAGCCGATGCTCCACTGTGCATGATGCCACTGGGCCTGCTGCGCACGCGGGCTGCTCTTGGTCTGAGAAAATATCCATTTCGGCCTGCTTTTCCGCCATGGACAGTACCCCGAACGCGCCAATATGGCTCCCAAGACGTCAATCCAGGCGGCCCTCCTCAGCCCGGGCAGGAGACGCCAGACACGCCAGACCAGAATTCCAAACAGGAGAGTCATTCATGGAAATCGACGCTGCTCAGAATGTTTGAGTCCGCAGCGACAACCTTCGCCTCAATTGCTGTTTTAGGGTAAGGCCAACATGGCCCCAAAATAGCCCCGTGCGCTCTATCTAACTGCCGCGATATGTAGTCTTGCTGGCTACTCTTATCACAAGTATTATAAGTACCTTGTCCTTGAGAAAATGGACAATGCGTTCAATCCTGGAGATCCGGTATTGGAAGTGGCCGGTGAAGCTCCGTCCATGGGAACCGAAGGCAATGATGCAGGACATTGGGTCGAGCGTGACGAGCAAGCCAAGATTGATCGCATCATCAATGGAACCCTTAAAGGCCGCTATTTCTTGTTGATCGGTGAAAAGGGCACTGGAAAGTCCTCCATGATTCTAGACGCGATGCGAAAAATCGATGGTGCTGGAGTTGCTATGTTTGAAGCCCATGCAGACCTCGAGATCTTTCGAATACGGCTAGGTAAATCTCTGGACTTCGAGTTTCATGAAGAGTACGTAACATTTCTGGATGTAGTGGTCAGTTCGTATACTAAAGGTTGATACACGCATTTTAGCTACGTAGGTAGCCTTTTTAGCATTCGAGGGCCACGCGATACCACGGCATTACTTGATATCGAGCGTGCCCTCAATAAGCTCGAAAAGGTTGCGCTACGGAGAAGAAAGACAAGCGACAAGCCCTTAGTTGTGGTAATCAATAGCACTCATCTTGTCCGGGATGATGAAGATGGGCGGGATCTTCTAGAAATGCTTCAACAGCGTGCTGAACAATGGGCTGCTAGCAGTCTTGTCACGATTCGTGAGTACTCCGTTATAGGAAGTTTCTTGTTCTCGGTACCGTAGTCTAACCATTTTTTAGTCTTCAATAGCGATGACTATTGGGTTTATGAGCGTTTCAAACCTTATGGCTCCCGAATGGAGGTAATCCCCGTACCTGATCTCCCGAAGGCGAAAGCAATGAAGGCACTTTATCAATTTCGCGCGAAATATCGCGCAGAAAATACCCCCATGCACGTATTAGAAGAGGTATATGACAAAGTGGGTGGAAGGTTAACGTTCTTAGGCAAGGTTGCCAAAGCTCCAGATATGATCGAAGCTTGCGATGCAATATGCAGAGCGGAGAAGACATGGTTTTTGAATAAATGTTGGATTTTGGGGAAGGAAATGGATGACGATGTTATGGACGAACAAAAATACTCCGTAAGAAGTCTCATTGTTTTTCCAAACGGCGTATAAAAGTTATGCTCATCAGAATAACTAGTCTGCTGCGATGGTCCTAGCAAAGGCTCTCGTTGAAATGGAGAAGGACATGGAGCACATCTATCATCCAGAGAACGGGCACATTTTACCGGAAGTACCGCTTCACAAAGCCAGACAAATAATGACCAGAGCAGACTTCATCCAGAGCTACGACCACGACAACATCTTTACAATCGACTCCAGGGCAATGGTTCGCGCCGACTCTGTGCCCATGCAACGCGCCTTTCGAGAGATATGTTCAGAACCTGGGTTCGACGAGTACCTTGAAGCTACTCTTGACCGAATCTCTGATATTGAGAGCTTGGGCAGAACTCGTGAGGTGACGGTTAAAGACTTTTGGCATGGTGGTAAATTCAAAGCCATTATGCGAGACACAAAAGGCAGGGAGACTGGCACGTTGGAAGTCGGCGTAGTTCCGCCCCCAGAGGAAGAGGATGGAAATAATGATTGAGCGACGCTCTAGTATCTCACTTTTTTTTCTAAGCTTGACACTCCTTTTGCTTTCCTTGGATTTGAAACGATTTCGGTGGAGTGTTCTCTTTGGCCTGCTATGATATGTGTAATATATTTACGTTTACTTGATGAAAAGAGTTATAGAGCGTTACGCTGCAATATTACTGGCAGATGGAAGAATTCTCACCTTTCAAGCAGAGTAATGATCCTCAACCCTTGGAGTACTCTGTACGAAACTGCTTGTGGTGAGCTCAAATAAACGCAGCCAATCACAGCTGCAGAAGTGGGTGATGACATCACCTCCACTCCTGTTGACAAAACAAGCCCAGACGCGGTAAGCTCTCAAAGCTCAACCCAACTCGCAGGCCACTACCACCCGCGCTGCTCCACGAGTCACGCTCACAGAACTCGCCTACCACCGAAGATACCGCCCAATTACTCCGCCTTCTTTGTCCATTTCCTTTACCCAACTTATGCCCTAAACAAAATGGGCCGGCGATCCTCCTCAGCAACATCCATCGCGGGGCCGAGCCCTCGAAGACGCAAAGCCGCCGCCAAAACTGGCCCACCTGTGCGCGATGGCTGCACGTGGGCGCAGTGTGCCTGCTATTTCTCAAGATTCCTCGCTGCTACTCTGAGTAGCCTTGTTCTCAACACGGTGCTGTTCTCGCTGAGCGTGTCGATTATACAGGGCGACATTGCGTGGACGAGTAAGCACCTGGACTCATGGGTGCAGGTTGTGGCGCTACTGTCATGGAGAGTGCTAGAGATGGGCGTCGTGTGGGTGCTGGATTATGATGGTGAGTTTTGAGTCTATGGAGGACCTTCGCGTCTACCGATGAATGTATGAGGGGAGTGCTAAGCGGACGTACTATCATTCTAGCCCGGGATATCGCCAGCTTCATTGGATTGGTCAACCTACCGACTCACGTTCTCCTATATAGCTTTTACGGCCTCCGTCCAACCACCATTCTCACCGTCGCCGCGATAAATATCATTTCCGCCACCATACCATTCCTCTACTTCCGCCCCACCAACACCATCCACTCCGTACCCCCCTCCTCCGAGCGCGCCATAGTCACCGACCGCCAGACCGCAATCTACACCACCGTCGTCGCCGCCGCCCTATACGCCGTGGTGCTCTTCCTCAGCTTCGCGACGTGGCTGCCCACCCACCTCGTGACCTACTTCGACGGCCTCCCCAGCCTCGAAATCGCCTTCGACGGCGCCAAAAGCCTCGTGCCGATGTTCATCGGCCTTCTCCCTGCCGGCTACGCCACCCGCGACTTCCTCTTCGTCAGCTCCGCCGGCCAGCCCTACGCAGAAGAACCCGGCCCGGCCTACCAGGAACGCAGCCACGAACTGTTCGCCGTGCTGCTCTACCGCAAGTACTGGATGACACTGCCCGCGAAGCGGAGAACGCTCATCGCCCGCACAATTGTGCTATCGTCCATGAGCTTTGCGAACACCGTGGTGCACAGCGTCGGGACGATAAACGGCGTGGAGCTCAACGGCGCCATGGGCTGGGCTGCGATCTGGAAGGTTGCTACGGTGACCACTGGGCTGATATACGGATGGATCGATGCCGCGGATGGCGTGGAGTTTGAGGCTAAGACCACGACGCGCAGGCAATCGACGAGAACCCGGTCGTGAGACTGTCGGAGAGGGATACTTCGCTTAACGGGGAGTATATATGGGAGAAAATACAAAAACGCGCGTGCTATGTATACGGGATCTCGGGTGAGCGCGGCGTGCATACGGGCTGCTTTATAATCCATCTGCCTTGGGGAGGGGGGAGGGTGGAAATTGAGACATTTGGGGGAGGTTGGAGATGTGATTTTCTTCCACTGCTTCTTTTTGGACAGAGCCAAAAAAATTCTCAAGGTGGCTGAAGATGCCACCACCTCTTCCTTTTTTGTTTTTTAGCACGTTCCTGCAATCTTTCAGGTACATAGGATAGTTTGCGGGTTTTGAGGGTGGTTTTTGGTTGCAGAGCTCTGGTCGTGATGTTTGCAATCTCGAAATTTCTTTCTTTCTCGATGTGTCTTATTATTACATTGGTACTCTGTAGCCCTGATATCCATGCAGTACCTTGTGCGGATGCATTCACTAATGAATGTTATTTCTTTTGTTTTTTTTTTTTTCAACCTATAAAAAGAAAAAAGTAGTCATGACGTAACTCTATAGCTAAATAGCAGAAGACGTCACAGGCAAAGGAATCAGGAGTCCTATTCACAGATGTATGATATTAACCCTCTTTTGTCCTAGTTAAACAGGAAAACAGAGGCGCAGGTAGTAGAGGATTCAAGTGAGAAACAAATATCTGCTCAGGCTGGCAGCAAAACGAGGGAATCACTTATCAAAAATCACAAGGAAAACAAAAAAAAAGCCTATTGATAACATGCGACGAAAGCAAGGCAGCCCAGGTCATTCAGTCGGTCATGACACACCACGACACACCACGCAGGGGAAAACCAAACCAGCAAAGAAACAACACTGTGCAGCCCCAGGTGTTCAGCAAGCACAGCCTTCCTTCGCAGTAGCAGCCCCGCGGTCTCGCAGGTTGACCCGCGAGTCTTCTGCCGACCGTCCGGCGCCTAGCGCTGTCTGCCCTGCACCGGCCGCTCGCGAAGTCTTGAGGCTGGTCTCTGGGATGGCGTTTGCAATGGCCGTGAACACCTCTGCGACGTTGACGCCTGTTTTCGCGCTGGTCTCGAAGAATAGCAGCCCCTCGTCGTCGGCGTACGAGCTGGCTTCGTGCGTAGATACCTTCCTGGCATCGCTCAAGGGACCCTCTTCTTCTACTTCTCCGCCGGCGTTTGCACCTTCCTCTCCATCTGTATCAGCTTTGGGCGCCGGAGAGCCGTCCGAGGCGGCAGGTTCCCTGGCCAAAGGCGGATCTAGACCGGTGGCCTCGCCGTCATTTGTGAGATCGAGCTTGTTGCCTACCAAGGCAATGACGATGCCGGGGCTCGCTTGGCGCTGGAGCTCGGCGACCCAGTGTTTGGCTTTTATGAGAGAGGAGGGCTTGGTGAGGTCGTAGACGACGAGGGCGGCCTGTGCGTTGCGGTAGTACATCGGGGCAAGGGAGGCAAAGCGCTCCTGGCCGGCAGTGTCCCAGATTTCAAACTTGATGGTGCGCGAGGGCAGAGAGCATTTCTGCGTCAGGAATGCAGCTATACAGCAGGGGCAAATGAAAGCGCGTTAGAGAGGGTGAGGGTCCGAGCTATGGAAGGATTGTCGACGGAAACCGGGGACTTACCGCCTATCGTCGGCTCCTTGTTCTCTTGGAAGTCATTGTTCACAAACCGGAGGACGAGAGAGGACTAGAGGAGGGCCCCAGGCCGCGCATCAGCAACAAGAACTCAACGGGAAGGAGGGGG